TCCTTCTTTTATTTCATTTATATTAATAGGGGCATTTAAGTATTTCTATTCTTTCTCTTATTTTTGCCAGTCTATTGTTTATTTTTAAAAAATCCTATTTTTTCGTCAAGTTCTTCCAGCTCACTTCCATTTCTGTTGTTGTTTTGCAGCAGATTTAGTTAATGTGAAAGCACAAAAGAACCAAAAAGAATCTTGAGGCAGGTTACACATTTATTCCAGTTCAGTCTTTGGTTATTGACATTTCTATCCCACAACCCTATCCACTTAGCAGACTGCCTCTGTCCCCTGGCCCTACAAGCCCATCAGTAAAATTTTCTGCAGAGACACTGGGGATTGTTCCATGACAGTTGTCACTTTCTGACAATGCAGAAGGAGGCTACCTTGGTGCACCCAGAAGATACCAGATGTTGGTTGTAGTTACGTCTATACAAAGTGCATAGCATTTGACCCTCCATAGAGAAATGGGGAGGAATGAGGAGCCTGAATAGCTGACTAGAAGGAAAGGTACCCTGGTAAGCTTCTGTTGATTCTTGAGGGGGCTTTGTATCATTTAACTTCAAAATGTGGAAAATGTTTGTGGGGCCTCCTCCTCCCCCTGTTGCTTCTGATGAGTGGGAACCTGGATATCTGCCCCAAACGTTTGCCTTGATGGTAGCAGGATGGGAGAAGTCAAGTGCCCAGAATAAAAAAGGAAAAGTATTTTCTGCATCTTTCTTGATTGAAATGGGTATGTCTGAGACCTCAGATAAAGTTCTTGTTGACAGTATCAAAACTGCTATTCATAACCCAGTTAATATATTTATTACTGCTGATATAAAGAGTCTATCCTTCAGAGAAATAAGGTGATATTCCATACAATATAATGCTGTCCCAAACAAACACTTTAACCAGATAAACTTGCCTTCTGGGAGGTGGGGCAAGATGCTGAGGGAATCTATTCTATCGGGGGCGGGGGAGCTCAATGCACTCAGAAGATTCCAGTTGTGGGTTGTAGTTGCATCTATACAAAGTGCATAGCCTTTGCCCCTCCATAAAGAAAGAAATGGCAGGGAGACAAGAGCTGGAATAGCTGACCAGAAGGAAAGGTAATTTTCTGGATCAAAATCCCTAGCTAATCTGTCTAGCTGCTGCTGCCTGTCACTGTTCCTGTGTCTCTGGAGTGTTTCTTTGAAGAGAATACAGGACACTGCAAAAGACCCTGCAATGCAAACAGGGAGACTTCTGTCCAGGAGATTTCTGTATAAAAAATTCTTTGCTGAGGTGGAAGTGGGGACTAAGTGTTATGTATTGAAGTTCTCACCCTGGCCACCAGGGGTATTGTGTCTATAGTTTTCACTCAGGTCCACGTCAGTTAATTTAGGTGGGAAACCCTGGGTTGTTGTTGTTGTTGTTGTTGTTGTTGTTGTTACAATAAAAGCAGGCCGGCTGAGCTGTTTGAGCTCAGTTCAGTTCCAGCTTACTATAAAGAACCACTTGGAGAAATCTCTGTGTTGTCTGCTATGTCCACACACAATTTAATACTAAGTGAGGTTGGAGTAGAACTATGTTTACATGAACATGAGAAGGCAAAATATGTTCTCCATTTAAATGTTTATTAAAATAATTTATTCAGATACATAGAAGTGTTATTAGGCTTTTTTGTTGTAAGCTAATTCATACATTATAAGAAGTGGGTCCTGAGACCCTTGATCCCCTTCCTTAAAATACCATCTGAACAAAATTGGTGAAGTAGTAAAGAGTTTATTGAGGACAACAGGTAAAGGTAAAGGGACCCCTGACCATTAGGTCCAGTCGCGGACAACTCTGGAGTTGCGGCACTCATCTCGCTTTACCGGCCGAGGGAGCCAGCGTACAGCTTCCAGGTCATGTGGCCAGCATGACTAAGCCGCTTCTGGCAAACCAGAGCAGTGCACAGAAACGCCGTTTACTTTCCTGCTGTAGCAGTAAGTATTAAATAATTTTTAAAGTCATATATATATATATATATGTCCCTCAGGTGGTGCAATGGGTTAGTGCACCTGACTTTAACCAGAAAGTTGGTGGTTCAAGCCCACCCAGGGATAACTGTGGGCAGGATTCCTGCTTTGCAGGGGGTTGGACTAGATGACCCTCAGGGTCCCTTCTAACTCTACAATTATGAAAGCTATGAAATATATATATATATATATATATATATATATATATATATAATGAATGTTCATAAATGCACCAACCATGCACGTAAATACATATGTGGACCACATGTCTGGAGCAGCACAAGAAGACCGTCCTGAAACCATTTTGACTCCCAAACTGACCAAATGTTTTCCCTGCAAGGAGGGAGGGGGTGAGGGAACCTTCCCATTGTCTCAGGAATTGAGTAATCACCATCTCAAAGGAATGACCAGACTACCAGGAAAGGCAATCAGATAAGGCATTATCTGATAACCTGGCACACAGGAAAAACAACATTCAAATTTCTGTTGTAGATCGCCTTTTCTGTGATGTACGTATGATGTTTGTGGGGGGTGGTCTTGGGTTACACCTCTTTTGTGATGTATGTATGATGTATGGAGGGGTGGTCTTGAGCTCCAGGGCAGGAAATTTAAATGATCTGTATAAGGGCAGGCCCACCTTTGTTCGGGGTGTGAGGGTAGCACCCTGTTGCAACAGTTCAATAAAGATCAGTCTTACTAGCTGCTTTGGTTCTCAATATTCTCTGGTTGGCCTCTGTTATTTTTTCCCACTGATGGAGAACCTGCAAAGGACTCTACAAGGGCTCTTGTGTCCCCCATAAGGGAATAAGGGCAGATTTTGTTTACAACAGGTACCTCTTTATCTTCTTGCACTTTGTGCTTTCGAATTGCTAGGTTGGCAGGAGCAGAGACAGAGCAACGGGAGTTCACCCCTTCGCGGGGATTCGAACTGCCAACCTTCAGATCGCCAAGCCCTAGGCTCTGTGGTTTAACCCACAGCGCCACCTGCGTCCCTTATTGAGGACAATACGTTCTTGCAAAAGCGAGGCTCCAAAGCAGGCACAGTCTAGCTGGGGCACAGAATGAGCTTTTATTCCCTATGCACACGTTCCCTCCCTCGTCTTCCCATTGGTTGGGTGCTGCAAGGTTTTCCTCCCCCCATTATCAAATAACAGACAAGAGGCTGAACGTGGGGAGAAATTTCTCCTTCCTCCTCCGAGTTGCCTCCACTTCCGGCTTCACCAGCAGAGATAAAATTGGGGCTTGCAAGGGAGGGAGGGAAGGAGGCGGGAAGGGGGATGCATCGTGCGGAGGCTGAGGAGGGGCTGCTTCCTAATTAAGGCTCCTAATTAAGCGCCCTCACTCCCTGCCTCCCATGCGGGGGCTCCCATTCCCGCCCCCGCTGCCCAGGATGTCGGGTGAGTGCAAAGCCAATGGCGGGAAGGGGCTTTACGAGGAGGTCCAGGATGAGAAGCCCCGGGACGGGGAGAAGAGAAGGGAGGGAAGGGAGCTGTTTATTTGAAGGGGCGGGGGGGGGGGAGGGGGAGAAGCTTCCTCCTGAAGGGATCTGGTACGAAGGGAATTGCAGGGGGGAGAGGGGAGAGGGGTGGGCATTGCTGGCCAGGATCGCCTTAATAGTATTAATTTAAATTTAATATCTGTACTCCAGCAGAAGACCCCTCGGAGGAGGACCTTATCTTTAGGCAACAGGCGAAAGCCTTGCTCTTCTCCCAGGCGTTTGGCTCATTAAACAATCTATGGACTTCACAACTGAATTGGGGGGGGGGGTGTTGTTTTTATTTTTTACTCTGCTACGCATCTCTGTGTTTTTTCTCTTGTAAGCTGCCCTGTGATCTTTGGAGGAAGGGCAGTATAGAAATGTGAAGAATAGCTGTAAAAATAGGAAGCCCTCTTGCGTTCAAGGGGGGGGGGGTTGGGACAAAGTCATTGATCAGCATGCATAACAGGATGGGCTTAGGAGGGAATAATACTAATAAGAATAAGAGTAAAATAAAAATAAATAATTCATTGCTTGCCCCCTGCCCATCTGACTGTGTTGCCTCAGCCACTGGGCGATTTCCATCAAAAACACCAAAAAATTTAAAACATCAAAAACTTTCCTGTACAGGGCTGCCATCATAAGACTACTGTTTTGTAGAAATGGCCCTCAAATATAAAGAAATGGCCTCTTCAAGGAATTGTGTGGTGTAAACGTGTATGTTGTCCTCTAGGTCCAAACACATAGTAAGAGCAAGCAGTGCTCCAAAGTGCTTCTCTTGTGAACTTGCCATCTAAGTTGTTTACTCCTGACCAAAACTCCTGTTTCCCAAAAGGACTGGAGGGGGGGGGGTCTCCTCACCACTTTTAACCCCCCCACTCCCACCGCATGGAAGGCAGAGGACGTGTTCATTCACAAACCCAGTAAACCATGTGTGTATCTGAAGTGAACCAGGCGCTGCAGCTCCTTCCCCTCTCACTGGGCTGCTGCAAGAAAAGGCAGCAGAGGAGGAAAGGGATGGGTTTGAAGGCTCTTCCTGCCTCTCTCCCCTGAGGAACAAGAGCAAAGGGTGTTTGCAGGGCAGGAGGGCAGAGGAGGGGGCAGCGAGGGCAGAGGGAGCAGTGGGCGGATCCCCCGCCTCTCCCAGGGGGTCCTGATGCAAGCAAGGGGCTTCCTTCTTCTCCATGCAAGGGCCGTTCAGAGCAGTCCTTTGCAGATGAACTCTTAAGTTCCAAGGGACCTACTCTCAGGCCACAAATGTGCGTGCCATGCCAGCCTTAGGAAGGGAGGTGGGACAGGCAGGTGAAAGGAATTGCCAAAGGTGTTTGAAAATGGGTGGGGCTCTTGGGAAGGGGGTGCCCAGTTGGGGCTTCTCCAGGGGCAGCAGAATGTCTTGGGCAGGAGAATCCCTGCAGGGGCTCTCAGACTCCCTTGGCTTCTTCTTCTTCCCTCCCTCCCAGGAAGCTGCAACTGGCTCTGGATTCTGCGCTCCTCAGGAAGCTGAAGCTGCAAACCTAGCTGAGACTGAACCTGCAACCCTGGCCAGGATGGAAGGAGGAAGATGGACGGGTGACCTGGTCAGGCTGTCTCCTGCATCCCTCCCCACAACCTCTGAGCATTCCCTCCCAGTACCCTTGGAGAAATCTGGTGAGTTCCAGGGGAGAGGAGATGGGGACAGGGGTAGATGGAAGGTGGAGGGAAAAAGAGGAAAAGATGGAGAGGAGACAAATGGAAGAAAGTTCCTGAAAGGAAGAAGGAAGGGGTGAGGCCTTCTCCAAAGCAGCTCTTTGTTTCTTGAATCCCTTTCATAAAGTAGCGGGGCAGATTTTCTCCCTCCAGGATTTTAAATCTTAGGAGTTACAGTGGTACCTCGGTTCTCAAATTTAATCGGTTCTGGAAGTCTTCCAAAACCAAAGCGTTCCAAAACCAAGGCGTGCTGTCCCGTAGAAAGTTATGCAAAATGGATTAATCCATTCCAGACTTTTAAAAACAACCCCTAAAACAGCAATTTAACATGAATTTTACTATCAAACAAGACCATTGATCCGTAAAATGAAAGCAATAATCAATGTTCTGTACCATAAAATAATTAAGACAGTATTGTATATGATAAAAATTAAAATTATTATTTTTTCGTACCTGCATTGATGATAGTCAATGTTTGAATGGGGAGCTAATATCCCTTTCCACAGTCAATTAATCAATCAATCAATCAATCATAAAACAAAAACCAAGCCTCAGTCAAAAATGAAAAAGCCACAAAAACAAAAACTCAAAAAATAGGAAAAAACTAAAGCTGCAAATGTCACCTCAGAACACTGCAACCAGGAATGGCTTGAATATTGAGGGGGGGGGCCTTAAATTAGCTGTCCAAGGGAACGAATGGGATGAAAAAAACCTTGATTACGATGGAGACGACTTAAATTAGCTGCTGAAGGGTAAAACGGAATGAAAAAAAGCCTTAATTAGGATGGGGGGCACTTAAATTTACTGCCCAACCATAAAAATGGAGCTCAGGAGCACGTTCGGTTTCCGAGGCAAACTTCAAAAACAGGAGCCCCTATTTCTGGGTTTGCAAATGATGAATCAACAGAAGCATAGTCAATCTATGGACTTCCCCTTTTTTTGAAATATTTTTATTGGTTTTTACAAATACAAGTTTACATCAAAAACATTTGATATAATGTTTTTATAGCATTTTAAATGACAGATCCCGAGGTTTTTGCAAACCAGAGGATCGCTTCTGCACACGCACACGGCGCAATAGAGTGCTTCTACGCGTGCGAGTGGCGAAACCCGGAAAAATACCAGAGGGTTACGTAACATGAGGTACCACTGTATAGATACATTCTCCACAGTTCTCATTTATCTAAAGTGTCCATAAACTTATTTACAAGTGATTCCTAAAGTCCAGCTAACGTTTTGATTTGCGTGCAGTAATCTCATACGTAAATTATAAAATTTCCCCATTCTTTTTAAAGTCCTTGTTTTCTTGATTCCTGAGTCTCATGGCTAATTTTGCCATTTTGGCAGAGTCCAGCAGTTTAGCTCACCATTCTTCCCTAGTTCGGATTATTGCATCTTCCCATCTTTGAGATAATAACATCTGTGCAGCTGTTGTCGCATACATAGTCTTTCCTGGTCTTTTGGGATCGCAGTACCTGTAATTCCAAATAAATAAACTTCTGGTTTCTTAACAAAATTTATTTTAAACATTTTTTTCCAATTCATTATATACCATTTCCCAAAATGATACTGTTATTTTACATAACCACCACATATAGCAAAAGGTACCCACTTCTTCTTTGAAGTGACCTGTTCATCCTTTGTATGCCATTCTAGGAGCAAGTTATACATTTTAGACAGATTTTTTTATGTTTCTTCCTAAGAGTTCTTTTTGAAATTGTGATGTCTCATAACTAAAACCTTTTTTTATTTTAATTTTTTTTAAAAAAATTATTGTTAAAATAGTTCATCATTAATCCACATATATTACAGATATACAAGCATACAAACATACATTTCATACAATCCTTAAAAGTGTTCAAACATACTTACACTCAATCCCACAAATAATTCCTTTTCCCATCACCATCCACCACCCCTCACCCCACCTTTGTGTTAGACTTCCAATCTACTCAATTGCAATTTCTTTCCACTTCTATTACTTTCTTTCACACACCTTTAGCCTAATTTCATAGAATCATATAATAGAATCATACAGTTGGAAGAGACCACAAGGGCCATCGAGTCCAACCCCCTGCCAAGCAGGAAACACCATCAGAGCACTCCTGACATATGGTTGTCAAGCCTCTGCTTAAAGACCTCCAAAGAAGGAGACTCCACCACACTCCTTGGCAGCAAATTCCACTGTCGAACAGCTCTTACTGTCAGGAAGTTCTTCCTAATGTTTAGGTGGAATCTTCTTTCTTGTAGTTTGGATCCATTGCTCCGTGTCCGCTTCTCTGGAGCAGCAGAAAACAACCTTTCTCCCTCCTCTATATGACATCCTTTTATATATTTGAACATGGCTATCATATCACCCCTTGACCTCCTCTTCTCCAGGCTAAACATGCCCAGCTCCCTAAGCCGTTCCTCATAAGGCATCGTTTCCAGGCCTTTGACCATTTTGGTTACCCTCCTCTGGACACGTTCCAGTTTGTCTTGAATTGTGGTGCCCAGAACTGGACACAGTACTCCAGGTGAGGTCTGACCAGAGCAGAATACAGTGGCACTATTACTTCCCTGATCTAGATGCTATACTCCTATTGATGCAGCCCAGAACTGCATTGGCTTTTTTAGCTGCCGTGTCACACTGTTGGCTCACTCTTCTCCAGGATGAAGAGGAACCATTGATGAGCACCCTTTGGGTTCGGTCAGTCATCCAGTTACAAATCCACTGAGTGGTAGCATAGTCAAGTCCGCATTTTACCAGCTTCTTTACAAGAATATCATGGGGCACCTTGTAGAATGCCTTGCTGAAATCAAGGTAGGCTACATCCACTGCGTTCCTTATAATAATAATAATAATATTTATTACGGCCATAGGCCCATGCAGATAAAAACAAGACATAAATAACAGCTTGTGCACGTGGGTAAAAACAGCCGCTAAAACACCACTGTAACAATAAAATACTATGAGATGGAATGACATACTGCGCCTTAATTAGCTTGTAGTGCTCCTTGGCAACGCTTTTGGGTAAGGACAGCGACCAGAAACCTAGCCACTTTCAGGGTCGTATGGGTATCCTTATCCTGCAAGATTTGGGCAAGGTGGAATTTTGGTGGGGTACCCTCTAGTTTCTGCATGATTGATCCCAACAAATTTGCCCGTGGCACGTTGAACAAGGGGCAAGTGAACATAATGTGCTGAAGCGACTCCGGCGTCTCCTTATCACATTCGCACATGGCGGAGGCTTGGCCCTTTGAGAATCTATGTCTCAGGACATTGGAGGGAAAAACGTTAAACCTCGCTTTGGTGAAGGCCAGCCTATGGGCAACAGTCGAAAGGGAGGAGAGGTATGATGGAACGCAGTAAGTTAAAGTAATACCAATGTTCTGGGGCGAACAAACACCTCCCCCCAGCGTATAATTTCGCTGTAAATCGATGTCATCCAGTCTTTGGCGGATCAGTCTTTGAGCAGTGATTTGATCTAGTTTTAGGGAATCTAAGGGAGAGATTCCATAACTCAGGAGTTTGGCATGAATTCTACTAGTCCAAAGGCTGGAGAATTCATCTCGCCATAAGCATTGGACAAGGTAATGGTCTGGTAATCTATGCCACAATGATAACCAATAACTGAAGACTTGCTTCCACAGGCAAGTTTCTAGGGATGCGATCTTCAATTCTAGTCGCATGGCTGCGTTACTTACGCACAGGGGGAGCATTAGGATCCGACGTAGGAATTGGTTTTGCAGAGTCTCAAGAGGAGCAAGATCTGTCATCACGGCCCAGAGCGGGGCAGCATAGGCAAGCGCGGTAACCACTTTTGCCTTGAACACCTTTAGGGCCGAAAAGCTCCATCCGAAAAGAAAATCGGAGGAGCGCATATGACAGAGTTTTGGCCTTATTAAGTAGGTGTTGAATTTGTGCTTTCCACCCCAAATTGTATTGAAAAATAACTCCTAGGTATTGAAATTTTAGGACTTGCTCTATTTTTGCTCCGCCAAGCTTCCATTCGTATAATCTCCGACTTCTGGCGAAAATCAGAATCTTAGATTTAACATGGTTGATGGTTAATTGGTTGAGTTGACAATACGTGGCAAAGATCTTCAGAGCTCTGGTTAGTCCAACACGTGTATAAGATAGAATTACCGCATCGTCCGCATATAAAAGGAGTGGACAGCGGTAATCCGCTAGTCTAGGCGCGTGTGTACTTGGAGATGAGTTGACTAGGGGTGCTCGCATGTCGCTGATGAATAGGTTGAATAGGCAGGGAACCAATATACATCCTTGGCACACTCCCTTGTTTATTGGTATCGAATTTGTGAGGTCGCCCGCAGGAGTAAGTCTCACTCTGGCATGGGTACCTTCGTGGAGCTGACTTATAAGCCATAGGAGTCTTCTATCGATGCCCTGTTTCGCAAGTTTCTCCCAAAGAATATTTCTAGGAACGCTGTCAAAGGCTGCCTTTAGATCTAAGAAGGCAGCACAAAGGTAGCCCCGGGGAGGGGAGGAGTACTTCCGTGCCAGATGGTAAAGAACTATCGCATGATCAGTTGTAGAACGTTTAGTTCTGAACCCTGCTTGTTCATGGCCAATCTGGTTAGTCTCATCTACCCATCGCGATAGTTTAGTCAGCAAAAAGCTGGCATAAATTTTCCCTATGATCGAGAGGAGGCTGATGTTACGGTAGTTTTCCGGCTCCATTGGAGAACCTTTTTATGAATTGGTACTATAATGGCCTCCTTCCATATTTTGGGGATGAGACCGGAAGCGTTGATTGCGTCGAAGGTTTTGGCCAAGATGCCAGCCCACCATTTTGGGTGTAGTTTGATGGCTTCAGCAGGGATCAGGTCGGGCCCTGGGGCTTTGCCCGGTTTCAGCTGGGCTATTAGCTTAGCTATTTCGTCAGGATCGGTGGGAGGCCAAATAGGTAGGTGGGAAAACAGATGCATCAGATGGTCGGAGGGAGCATCTGCCTGTGAGAAACATTTCTTCAGGAACAATTCCCATGTCGGTGCTGGGATGACTGCCCTTGGGTATTTCCTCACCCTTCTATTAATCAAAGACCAGAATTCCCTGGATCTATGTGGCTTTGAAGCAGTAATCAAGGCCTGCCAGCGATTTTGTTGCCACTCACATTTGGCAGTTTTCTGCGTGCGTTTGTAAACTTGCTTGGCTTGTGCATAACTAGCTGGCAGAGTAGATGCATCAGAGGTCTTATATACATTATATATAGCACGAAGGCGCTGTCTTGCTTGTTTGCACTGAGAAGTATACCAGGGGCACCGTAAGTATACTCGTTTCGATTTAATATTTTGGGTGGTAACCTGAAGAAGGACGTAAGATCAGTCGTATGATGGTGGAAGCGTTTCAACACTATGCTATGCTCATCTGAGGCAGAGCCTATGTTGGAATGGGGCCCAAGGATTTCTTTTTGAAAGAATTCCTGATACCTTTGAGCCTGGGTCTCCGACCATTTGATTCCTCTTACTTGGAGAGATTCGTTGGTTACCATCTGGGTCGCATGTCTATGGGCCTCCGACTGCCAGTTCAGGGAAAGCTTGGCTACCAGGGGAAGATGATCACTAGATTGTACATTCTCGATCTTAAAGGTGGAAATACACTTAAGTAGATCACTGGAGACCAACAGGTAATCGAGGACGCTGTTTGATTTGACGCTCAGGTGAGTGAAATCCCCTGGAATATCAGGGAGGCATGTGCCATTTAGGGGGACCAGATTTAAACGGATGGCCATTTGATAGAGGAGTACTCCAGCCTCATTTGCTCGTTGGTCTTTAGAAGTTCTCCTCATTATATGTTCCAGATCATAATTATCAAGGTTTGGGGTAACCCACCATTTGGCTTTGGTCAGCGAGTCCCAATTTGCTGCTGTGCGGGCGTTAAAATCGCCACCTATTATGGCCGGGGTGTTTGGAAACTTAACATAGCATGAGAGCAAATGCTCTTCTAGCGAGCCCCATTTAGAGCCCAGTTCGGAGGAAGAACCCCCAGGTGGCAAGTAAACATTTGTAACTAGAAGTGAGATCTTTTCCCCCTCTATCAGCCCGGTAAGGGCGTAAGGAGGCAAGGCCTGTACTAGAGTAAATTTAGAATGTAGGTTGAGGGAGATGCCTATTATTAGGCCCCCTTTGGGGCGGCCTCCTTTCTGAGAGGGGCAGGCAGGGAGTTCTAGAAGCTCAAAGCCATTTAGGGCAATTTTCTCTACTTCCCACGATTCTTGGAACAAGATAATATGAAACAGGTTAATATACTCCAAGAATTCTGGGTCAAGTTTTTTTCCCCTCCAGCCCGCAATGTTCCAGCTGAGGACTGATAGGGGGGAGTTCCTGTTGTGACCAATTCGCTGTCATTTCGGGGAGAAATGTGAGTCCTTTGGAGGCAAGGCAGACCCCACAAAAAAGTCAGTTATTTTACTTTGCATGGCAGGCACCTGCTGAAGGTACCTAGTCTTAAAGTTGGTAGTGAGGTATTCTGGCTGGGGTGACAAAACGGGTCTCCCGCTGGCTAACCCAAGGGCGGACACTTCAGTGGGAAACTCCACTGGATTTGCTGAGACTGCCCCACCGCGAGGTCTAAAGGTCGCCGATGAAACCATTTGGTTTATATGTCCGGCCGGGTCTTCAATCAAATCCGGGCCATTTTTTGATGTAGGTGGAGCACTCCCCTGACCTGGTGCTGGCGAAGGTACAGGGGATGCTCAGCGTACTGGTACCGTTTGTATGTCGGGTCTATGCCGCTCAGGGGAGTATGAAGACTCCAGTTCCGGCATTGATGGATTAGATGGTAAGGAATTGTTTTGGTGGAAGGAACTCTGAGTTACACTCCTCAGCGGGGGACTCTTGGAGGGCGAGTCAAAATTTATCAAGAGTTGGGATGAGAGGCCAACTTGTGAGGCAAGACCTGGGTCTGCCAAGCGTCGGTGGGTTTTGCCCACAAGAGGGGAGGCATGGGTTTAGGAGCTGGACTAAGGTAAGGAAGACTTCCTGCTTCCTTAAAACACGACTCCGAAAAGCTGGCAGGGATATCCTGAAAAGTGGGCAGGACTTTTCCGTTCTTCTGGACATATATGAGCTGATGATTTAGTACTTCTAGTCTATCAATTATTTCTTGTTGTTCTCTCGGTGGAAGGTCGCCAAAGGTGGCTAAAAGCTCTCTTTCCTCCGGCGGGGTCAGAGAATTACTTGCGCCAGTGGGTTTCTTTAAAGCTCGTGGGGGCGTAGGGTAAGTCCAGTTTCGGTACGGGTGGATATCCTCCGAGAGAGGAGGCTCGATGTCCCGAGGTACTCCTGACCTCTCCGACAGAGTCTGCTCCGTGCCGTGGCCGGCAAGTAGAAGGGGGTGGGTCATGCTATCCATAAAAACTCTTGTTGGGATGATATCATACCTAGCCAAGAGTGATTTCTGCCTGATGATAGCTGAAGGGATCCTTGGAGAGTAAAACGCAAGCATCACTTTCTGTTGCCTGAGGTGCTGGTTCAAAGGTAATACTGCAATGAGATCGCATTGTGAGATTTCTATGTTTAGGAGATTGCTTAGGTGCTTTTTAACCCCACTCAGAGTAAGCCACCTTGGTGACCCTGCCCCGATGTTTAGGCAGATTTTCTTAGGTTGCAGGGACAACGCTTGAAGTTTCAGAGCAGGATTTGGTTTATATTTAGGGATCACACTTCTTTTTTTGGTTGGAGGTAAGGACCTCTGGCACTTCAAGTCCCCCGTATCTACAGTTGGTTTAAACTCTGACCAGAGGTTATCAATTTTCTGTTCGAGGTTACATAGCTGGGAGGATAGCACATCAATCTTCTTGAATATGCAATTAAGGGTTCTGACCACAAGATGGAGATGTTCATGTTGTTCTTGTCTTGCGCAGTCCTCAGTTCCAGCGTCCTGCACCACCCTCAATGGGACACTCCCTCTTCCTCCAAGCTTGCCGTCCGCGGTTTTAGTCTGAGGTAAAAATAATTCCTCTGGTGTTGACGTTGTTTCTGGAGACGTTAGAGGGTAGAAACGGTTCTGAGTTTTCACCCCATAGTAGTGTTCAGTGGGGTCACTCCGTTTGCCAGACACGGGGGGGTCGGTTTTTAATTGTTTGGCTCTTGGGGAGGGCAGAGCCTCGTCACAATCCCTTAGGCGTTTGCCTTGGCCCATCATTATGAGTCTTTTAAAATAGCAGTGCTTAAAAGGTAATAAAAGGTGGTAGAAATAGAAATACAGCTGGCTGTGAGCTGGCGGAAAACCAGTAAGTCGAAGGCTGCTTCCAAGGCTGCCGGAGAATACAATTATCTGCTCATTAAAGCTGATTTACGATGCAGGCTTTACAATTATCAGCAATGTGAACTCCTGGCATGGGATTCCAGCACTCTGGTACAATCTTCAGCAAAAACTTGAAAGGCTGGGTGCCACAACACAGATTTTAGGGAGGATTCGAAATGAACTCCGGCAAATGCGTCTTACCTCGTCGCCATCTTGGACTGCAATCAAGGTAGGCTACATCCACTGCGTTCCCTTCATCTACCAGGCTTGTAATTCTGTCAAAAAACGAGATCAGGTTAGTCTGACATGACTTATTTTTCAGAAATCCATGCTGACTATTGGTGATCACAGCATTCCTTTCTAGGTGCTCACAGACTGTTTGCTTAATGATCTGCTCCAGAATCTTCCCTGGTATTGATGTCAGACTGACTGGGCGATAATTATTTGGGTCCTCTCTTTCCCCCTTTTTGAAAATAGGGACAACATTTGCCCTCCTCCAGTCTGCCGGGTCTTTGCCTGTTCTCCAGGAATTCTCAAAGATGACTGCCAGTGGTTCTGAGATCACATCTGCCAGTTCTTTTAATACTCTTGGATGCAGTTCATCTGGCCCTGGAGACTTGAATACATCTAAACTAGCCAAGTATTCTTGTACTATCTCCTTAGTTATTCTGGGCTGTGTTTCCTCTGCTGAATCATTTGCTCCAAATTCTTCAGGTCGGGCATTGTTTTCTTTATCGGAGAAGACTGAGGCAAAGAAAGCATTGAGGAGTTCAGCCCTTTCTGTGTCCCCTGTTTGCATTTCACCATCTTCTCCTCTGAGTGACCCCACTGTTTCTTTGTTCTTCCTTTTGCTACGGACATACCCATAAAAGCCTTTTTGTTGCTTTTAACCTCTCTAGCAAGCCTGAGTTCATTCTGTGCTTTAGCTTTTCTGGCTTTGTGTCTACATGTGCTGGCTATTTGTTTGAATTCCTCTTTGGTGGTTCCCCCCCTTTTCCATTTTTGTACACATCCTTTTTAATCTTAACTCAGTTAAAAGTTCTTTAGATAGCCACCCTGGCTTCTTTAGGCACCTTCCATGTTTCCGTCTCATTGGTATTGCCTGAAGTTGTGCTTTTACTATCTCCCTCTTAACAAACTCCCAGCCATCATGAACTCCCTTTCCTTTTAGTATTACTGTCCATGGGATCTCACCCAGCACTTCCCTAAGTTTTATGAAGTCGGCTTTCTTAAAGTCAAGAAATTGAGTCCTAGGCTGCTCCTTTCCGCTGTATAGTAAACTTCAGAAGAGCATGATCACTCACGCCTAATGATCCTTCCACTTCTACCCCACTAACCAGGTCATCAACATTGGTTAGGACCAGATCTAAAATGGCTGTTCCTCTTGTTGCTTCTCCCACTTTCTGGACAATGAAGTTGTCTGCAAGGCCAGTGAGGAATCTGTTTGACCTTATGCTCTTGGCTGAGTTTGACATCCAACAAATATCCAGGTAATTGAAGTTCCCCATTACTACTATCTCCCTTCCTTTTGCATGCTTGGCCATCTGTTCCAGGAAGGCATCGTCTATGTCCTCCGTTTGGCTTGGGGATCTATAGTAAACTCCCACAATGAGGTCTCTGTTATTCTTCTCTCCCTTAATTTTGACCCAAATGCTCTCACTTTAGCTTTGAGGTTCTAAATCTTGGATCTCTTCACAGGTATACACATCCCTGACATATAACGCCACTCCTCCTCCTTTCTTGTCTGGTCTGTTTCTCTGAAATAGATTGTATCCCTCCATTATTACATTCCAATCGTGGGACTTATCCCACCAGGTTTCAGTGATGCTTATTATGTCAATATTTAGCTTGCTGTACCAAGAGCTCAAGCTCATCTTGTTTATTTCCCATGCTTTGCGCATTAGTGTACAGACATTGAAGTCCATTAATCATTCCCCCGTGTCTCTTATTTCAGGATTTTTTCCTCCCACCACTAGGTCTGCGTGCTGTTTGCTCCATTTGGTATATGACATTTGGATGATCATCTTCATCAATTGATAGACTCCCACCTTCAGGAGCACTGTCTCCCTCCCCCACATTAGTCAGTTTAAAGCCCTCCTGATGAGGTTTCTGAGATTTTTGGCAAAAACATTCCTCCCAACCGTTGTGAGGTGCAGCCCATCACTTGCCAGAAGTCCATCTTCAAGAAACTGCAGTCCGTGATCTAAGAATCCAAACCGTTCCTGTTTACACCATTTGCGAAGCCAGCTGTTCACTTCCACTATTTTTCCCTCTCTCCCTGGGCCACGTCGTTCAACTGGGAGGACAGATGAGATGACAATTTGTGCATTTAATTGCTTCAATTTCCTGCCCAGAGCCTCGTAATCTCTTTTGATCTTCTGGAGGCTATTGCTTGCAGTGTCATTGGTTCCCACATGAACCAAGAGGAAGGGGTATTTGTCAGTGGGTTTTATGATTCCTTGCAGTCGTTCAATCACATCTTGGATCTTAGCCCCGGGGAGACAGCACATCTCCCGAAACATCTTGTCAGGCCCACAGATCACTGCTTCTGTTCCCCTCAGTAGGGAATCCCCTATCACCACTACACGCCTCCTCTTAGGTTTGGTCGGGGTTCTTCCGTGAGCTGTCCATTCCAAGGTCGCCTGCACATTCCCTGAGGACTGACTTTGCTGCTCGTCTTCATATACCTGATCGACTGTAATGAGGGAGAGATCCTCAAATGGAGTCTGTTCTTCGTCTTCCATGCTAGGGGAGGACTTCAAAGCGATTGTGTATTTCTAAACAATCAGAGCGAACCCTGGGCCTCCTACTTCTTTGAGTCACGTTTCTCCATATATCTGGCACCTGTGTTGGTGAACTAGCCTCCTTCTCAGGGGTGTTCCCTGTCTCCTCCTTGGTGGAGACGGTGTTCTCTGTTGCTTCCAAGAAGAGCTCCAGCTCTCTAATTCTTTGGAGCGTAGCTACACGTTCCTCCAGTTGCTGGACTTTGTCTTCTAAGAGGGCAATCAATATACAATTGCTGCAGGTAAAGCTGCCTGCAACCTTTGGCAAGATGGCAAACATTGCGCAGGAACTTCTTTTTCTATTACACATTGTTATCCATCTTATTTAGTATTTCAGTGTTTGAAACTGAACTTGTTTATTCCAATAGGAGTTCTGATTTTTCGATATGGTTTTGCAAGTATCTTTTAAACACCTTCCAGTCCCTATCTATCTACTCTTTTGAGATCCTTCCAATTTCTCCCACTGTTTTAGATATATTGTAGGACTCCAATAATTTGGCAAGCCACTCTATTTTTGTCAGTACAATACCACTTTTCCAGTTTTTCGCACTCAATAGCCTTGCGGCTACTGTTGCGTATAAATATAAGGTCTTGTCTTCTTCCTTTAGGCTTCCTGGTACTATTCCCAATAGAAAATCTTCTGGTGTTTTCCTAAATGAATATCTAAACATTTTTTTTCATTTCATTATATATTATTTCCCAAAATTGTTTGATGTTTAAACAATTCCACTATATATGTATCATAGTACCTTTTCCAGTGTTGCATCGCCAACAGACATCGCTACAATTTTTATTCGTTTTTGTTATTCTTTCAGGTGTTAAATACCATCTATGTTGTACTTTGAGGTAATTTTCTTTCAGTATATAACACATCGTGAATTTCATATCTTCTTTCCACAATTTTTCCCATTGTTGAAACATAATATTTTCCCCAATATCTTGCGCCCATTTAATCATTGATACTTTAACCAATTCATCCTTTGTTTCCCACTCTAAGATCAGATTATACAATCTAGATATATTATTTGATTTTTCTTGTATTAAATATTTATCAAATTTTGATATTTCTTTTTCAAATCCTAGCTTTTTGTCTTTCGCTAATCTATACTTAATTTGAATATATTGGAACCAATCACTAATATGAGCTTTAATTTCTGTATAATCCTTTAATTCCAATTCTCCGTTTTCTTCCTTTAATACAGTTTTTTATATATATAAAATATTTATTAAAGGTTTTAAACAATAAAACACCATTCACATACACAACCCAAAAAAGGAAAAACACCATCACCATCGGTCACATAGACCAAAAGAAAAAACCCCGAAAAAAACATACAAAAAAAGACAAAAGACAAAAAATCATATAAAAGACATGAAAAATAGTTCAGTTTCATAAACAAAATTTCCATAACCCTCTTTTCCGACTCCCTCACATCTCCCTTTTCTGTGTTCCCATTTACAAAATCTTGTTCAGCAATGCTTCACCTTCTCTCAAAACTTATTTTAAATTGTACGTTTCAACTATTATGTCTCCAGTTTTACCCTTTGTTATCAAATATTTAAGCTTGACATAATGTTATTCAAATTTCACCTTTGTTCTTATAGTTCAATTGTTTTCATACTCCTTTCAACTAAGTCACTAATGCCATATTATCTTTATATCCTGCATCATTCTAACATTCATACAATTTACAATACTTTTGCAAATAATCCTTAAATTTCTTCCAGTCCTCTTCCACTATCTCTTCTCCCAGGTCTCGGATTCTGCCAGTCATTTCTGCCAGTTCCATGTAGTCTATCAGTTGCATCTGCCATTCTTCCAGGGTGGGCAAATCTTGTGTCTTCCAATATTTTGCGATGAGTATTCTTGCTGCTGTTACTGCATACATAAAGAAAGTTCTGTCCTTCTTTAACACCATTTGGCCAACAATGCCCAGAAGGAAGGCCTCTGGTTTCTTAGGGAAGGTATATTTAAATACCTTTTTCAGTTCATTATAGATCATTTCCCAGAAAGCCTTAATCTTAGGGCACGTCCACCAAAGGTGAAAGAATGTTCCTTCAGTTTCTTTACATTTCCAACACTTATTGTCTGGCAAATGGTATATTTTTGCAAGCTTGACTGGGGTCATGTACCACCTGTATATCATTTTCATAATATTTTCTTTCAGGGCATTACATGCCGTAAATTTCACACCAGTGGTCCATAACCGTTCCCAGTCAGCAAACATAATATTATAGCCAATGTCTTGCGCCCATTTTATCATTGCTGATTTAACCGTTTCATCCTGAGTGTTCCATTTTAACAGCAAGTTATACATTCTTGAAAGTACCTTAGTTTTTCGTTCTAGCAGTTCTGTTTCTAGTTTCGATTTTTCCACCTGGAAGCCTATTTTTTTATCCACCTTAAAGGCCTCCCTAATCTGACCATAATGTAACCAGTCTCGCACTTTGTCCTTTAATTTCTCAAAACTCTGCAATCTCCAAGTGTCTCCATCCTCTTCTACTATCTCCCAATATTTTGGCCAATTGGCCTCCATATTGAGTCTTTTCTGAGCCTTAGCTTCCATTGGTGACAACCACCTTGGGGTCTTACTCTCTAATAAATCTTTATATCTTGTCCAGACATTAAACAGTGTCTTCCTGACTATATGGTTCTTAAATGCTTTATGAGCTTTAACCTTGTCATACCACAGATATGCATGCCACCCAAACACATTGTTAAACCCTTCCAAATCCAAGATGTCAGTGTTTTCGAGAAGTAGCCAATCTTTCAACCAGCAGAAAGCTGCTGATTCATAATACAGTTTCATATCTGGCAGGGCAAACCCCCCTCTTTCTTTAGCATCAGTTAGTATTTTAAATTTTATTCTGGGCTTTTTGCCCTGCCAGACAAACCTAGAAATATCTCTCTGCCACCTCTTGAAACAGTCCATCTTGTCCACAATCTGCAAAGTCTGAAACAAAAACAACATTTTTGGCAATACATTCATCTTTATAGCAGCTATTCGACCCAGCAAGGAAAGCTTCAATTTTGACCAAATTTCTAAATCCTTTTTGATTTCTGACCAGCATTTTTCATAATTGTCTTTAAATAAATTCAGGTTTTTAGCCGTCATATTAACCCCTAAATATTTCACCTTTTTGACCACATTTAACTCTGTCTCCTTCTGAAACCTTTCTTTTTCCAAAGTTGTCAAGTTTTTTCCCAGAACCTTAGTTTTCTGCTTGTTTAATTTGAATCCTGCCACTCGACCAAATTTTTGGATCAGTTCTAACACCCTTTTCGTACTAGATTTTGGCTCCTGTAATGTCAAAACAAGGTCATCTGCAAAAGCCTTAAGTTTGTACTGTTTAGCTCCGACCTGAATTCCTTCAATCAACCGGTCTCCTCTAATCATAGTTCAAGAGCACCTCCAGGACCGAGATGAATAGCAATGGGGAAATAGGGCAACCCTGTCGTGTTCCTTTCTCAATTTTAAACTCTTCTGACACCACATTATTAACTATCAATTTTGCCTTTTGTTCTGAATAAATTGCATCTATACCATTTTCAAACCCCCGTCCCACTCCCATCCCTTTAAGATTTTTCTTCATAAAATTCCATGAAATGTTATCAAAGGCCTTCTCCGCATCTATAAAAATCAACACTGCTCTTGTATTAGTATTCATTTGCAATAGTTCCAAAATGTCAATGATGTTCCTTGTATTGTCAGACAAATGTCTACCTGGGAGAAAGCCTGCCTGGTCTTTATGAATCACTCCATTTAACACTCGTTTTAATCTATTAGCCAAAATGTCTGCAAAAATTTTGTAATCCACGTTTAAAAGGGAAATGGGACGGTAGTTCTTGAGTTGTGTCTTTTCAGTTTCAGATTTAGGTATAAGTGTGATGAAAGCTTCTTTCCACGTTTCCGGTGCCTTCTTCCCCTCCATAATCTCATTACATACCTCCTTCTTCCTTTAATACAGTTTTATAGGTAACCCAATTTTATTTCATATTTAATTTTTTCACTGCGACAATTTCTGCTGGCGATGCCCACCAGGGAGTTTTCGGTTCTAGGAGTCTTTTATATTTCTCCCATATTTTATATATAGACTTTCTGACTATATGCCCTAGGAAGCCTTTATGTACTTTGACTTTTTCATCTATTAGATAGGCATGCCATCCAAATCTCGTCTCTACTCTGTCTAAATCCAATACATCCGAGTCATCTAATTTGATCCATTCTTTTAGCCAGGTCAGACCCACCGCATCATGATATAACTCCATGTCTGGGAGACCAAATCCTCCTCTCTCCTTCTTATCTATCATTATTTTGTGTTTTATTCTTGGCTTTTTCCCTGACCATACGAATTTAGCCAAATCTCTTTTCCAGTTATTAAAACATTTATCTCCTCCTAGTATTGAGATACTTTGAAATAAAAACATCATCCTTGGTAATATGTTCATCTTTATTACCGATATTTTCCCTAGTAAGGAAAGATTTAATTTCCCCCATACTTGCAAGTCATTTTTTATTTCATTCCATGTTTTCCCATAGTTCTCATTACTTAAGTCTATAGTGTTTGTTGTTAAATTTATTCCAAGATACCTTATTTTCTTTTTAATTTCCAATCCTGTAATTTATTGTAATTTCACTTTATCTTTTTCTTCCATATTTTTCACTAGTATTTTGCTTTTCCCATAGTTTAATTTGTATCCTGCTAATCTGCCAAATTCGTTTATGCATTCCAATATTCTAGGTGTACATTGTAGGGGATTTTCTGTTGTGATCATAACATCATCTGCAAAGGCTCTTAACTTGTATCTTTTTCACCAACTGCTATTCCTCTTATTTGGTTGTCCTGCCTTATTTTCTTTAATAGAACCTCTAATACTATTGTAAATAGCATTGGGGATAGGGGGCATCCTTGTCTTGTACCTTTAGATGTTGATGTCTTCTCCAAACTCTCCATTAATAATAATTTTTGCTTTCTGTTGGTCACATATTACATTTATACCTTTTTGGAATTTTTCACCTAGACACAATTCTTTTATTAGTTTTTCATGTCTATCTTAAAGATATTGTTTAGTTGATGGTACTGTAACCAGTCAGTTACAGCTTCCCTTATCTCTTCAAAATCTTTTTATTTCAGTTGGTTTTCAACTTCAGTTAAGAGTTCTCTATAAGTCGGCCAATTACTTCTCATATTCAATTTTTTTCAGAGATATTGCTTCCAAGGGGGAAAGCCACCAGCGTGTTTTTTACTCAAACAAATTTTTATACTTCTCCCATACCCTAAAAATTGATTATCTTCCTCTATGATTCTGAGAAGCTCTATGCATCTAGGCCTTTTCCTACCGTAAATATCCATGCTATCCATAATTCATGTCCTTCCAGGTCTAAAATACAGTATCTGTGTTTTCCAATGTAATCCATTCCTGGTTCTAGCAGATATAGGATGCTTAATAATAAAGTTTCAAATCCAGCAGGGCAAAACCTCCTCTCTCTCTTACATCTGTTAATAATTTATTTTTTATCCTTGGTTTCTTCCCTTTCCATATAAACCTAGATATATCTCCTTGCCATTTTTCAAAGCATCCTGTGTTGCCTATTGCCGGGACTGATTGGAATAAAAATAACATTTTTGGCAATACATTCATTTTTATTACTGATATTCTTCCCCAAAATGATAAATCCATTCTTCCCCATATCTCTAAAGCTCTTTTTATTTCTTTCCACTCATTCTTGTAATTGTCTTTAAAAATATTAATATTCTTAGCTGTCAAACAAATCTCTCAGAATTTGACTTTGTTATATATAACTAATTCTGTTTTCTGTTGTAATTCCTTTTGGCCTTGCTCCATTGTGCTTTTTACCAAAAACGTAGTCTTATTCTTGTTTAGTTTAAAGCCTCCGGCCTGCCCGAAGTCCCGTATCTTTTCTACCACATTCGGTGGAGTATTTTTGGGATTCTTTACTGTAATTACAAGGTGAACTGTAGAAGCTTTTAATTTATATGCTTTATTTTCTACTGTTATTCCTGTAATTAATTTCTCCACTTTTCTCTCTCACCAGGGCCTCTAATACCAAAATAAATAATAATGGTGATAGGGGATATCCTTGTCTTGTCCCCTTTGTTATTTTACACTTTTCTTTTATAACCTTATTAACAATCAGCATAGACTGTTGGTAAAAATAAATTGCATCAATTCCTCTCCCAAATGCTTCCCCAAAATTCATTTTTTCTTTTATCTTTTTCATAAAAGCCCATGAAACATTATCAAAAGCCTTTTCAGCATCAATAAACATTAAGACCGCTTTTTTCTCATTTCTTACTTCCAAATATTCAATAATATCAATTATATTCCTTCATCTGACGTCCTCGTAGAAAGCAGGCCTGCTTGTCATGAATTTTTTCTGCTAAAACACCTTTCATTCTATTGCCCAAGATATGAGCAATACTCTAAATGGACTTCTATGGACTTCCATCCTACAGGAGTGATGGCCAACAACTTGGATAGCTTGAAAAAAGAGGATTAGACTGAAAGCAGAGGAAGGCAGAGGGCTCTTGTACTCAAATCCTGCTTGCTGGTTTCCCGCAGGCATTTAGTTGACAACTGTGAGAACAGGATGCTGGACTACGTGGGCCTTTGCCCAAATGAGCAGGCTCTTCTTATATTCTAATACAGGGATCCCCAAACTTGGCCTTCAAGATGTTTTTGGGACTACAACTCCCATCATCTGTAGCTAACAGGACCAGTGTTCAGGGATGATGGGAATTGTAGTCCCAAAACATCTGGAGGGCCAAGTTTGGGGTGCCTGTTCTAATATATTGCAATATTTTAACAGTTACATGTGGCATAGTAACAAAAAATTTTACTTCTTAGTCATAGGAGAGAGTGCTACTTGAGCCTGTGATCATTTCCTCCCTGGAGAAAGAGAAATACAGAGATGTGTCTAAGAAGCCAATTCCACCATCGATTATAAAATAATGCAGTTTATTAAGTGTGAATGGAGTGATCATGTGTTGTTCTTGCAATTATCTCACCTGCATTCCTAAAACTTTGGAACATAGAGAGGACAATGGAGAAATGAGACAGTGTTAAAATAAGAGAAGGTGCATACTGGGATTGAAATGTGTTCAGTTCCTTTCTTGTCTTTCCTGAAAGTCTTAACAGGATTCTCTTCCCCCTCCCCCACTCCCAAACAGGTGAGGAAGACGATGGCCAGAATTCTATGGAGCCATCTGTGAATTCATTGGGAAGAACAAAGAAACAGTTTAAATGCATGGAATGTGGGATGTTCTTTAGTCACAGTGGAAGACTGAGGACACATCAACGAATTCACACAGGGGAGAAACCATGTAAATGTACTGACTATCGAAAGAGCTTCAGGGACAATGGAACACTTAGAAAACATCAACGAACTCACACAGGGGATAAACCATTTGAATGTATTGAATGTGGAAAGAGCTTCAATGATAGTAGAAACCTTAGACAACATCAACAAACTCACACGGGGGAGACACCATTTAAATGTATTGAATGTGGAAAGTGCTTCAGTCAAAATGGAAAACTTAGAAGACATCAACGAACTCACACAGGGGAGAAACCATTTAAATGTATTGAATGTGGAAAGAGCTTCAGTCAAAATGGAACACTTAGAATACACCAACGAACTCACATAGGGGAGAAACCATTTGAATGTATTGAATGTGGAAAGAGCTTCAGTCGAAATGGAACACTTAGAATACACCAACGAACTCACACAGGGGAGAAACCATTTGAATGTATTGAATGTGGAAAGAGCTTCAGTGGAAGTGGAGACCTTAGAAGACATCAACGAACTCACACGGGGGAGAAACCATTTGAATGTATTGAATGTGGAAAGAGCTTCAGTGGAAGTGGAGACCTTAGAAGACATCAACGAACTCACACGGGGGAGAAACCATTTAAATGTATTGAATGTGGAAATAGCTTCAGTCGATATGGAAACCTTAGAAGACACCAACGAACTCACATGGGGGAGAAACCATTTAAATGTATTGAATGTGGAAAGTGCTTCAGTCAAAATGGAACACTTAGATTGCACCAACGAACTCACACGGGGGAGAAACCATTTGAATGTATTGAATGTGGAAAGAGCTTCAATGATAGTGGAAACCTTAGACAACATCAACAAACTCACACGGGGGAGACACCATTTAAATGTATTGAATGTGGAAAGTGCTTCAGTCAAAATGGAAAACTTAGAAGACATCAACGAACTCACACAGGGGAGAAACTATTTAAATGTATTGAATGTGGAAAGAGCTTTAGTCAAAATGGAACACTTAGAATACACCAACGAACTCACATAGGGGAGAAACCATTTGAATGTATTGAATGTGGAAAGAGCTTCAGTCGAAATGGAACACTTAGAATACACCAACGAACTCACACAGGGGAGAAACCATTTGAATGTATTGAATGTGGAAAGAGCTTCAGTCGATATGGAAACCTTAGAAGACACCAACGAACTCACATGGGGGAGAAACCATTTGAATGTATTGAATGTGGAAAGAGCTTCAGTGGAAGTGGAGACCTTAGAAGACATCAACGAACTCACACGGGGGAGAAACCATTTAAATGTATTGAATGTGGAAATAGCTTTAGTAGAAATGAACACCTTCAAATACACGAAGGAACTCACACGGGGGAGAAACCATTTAAATGTATTGAATGTGGAAAGAGCTTCAGTCAAAATGGAACACTTAGATTGCACCAACGAACTCACACGGGGGAGAAACCATTTAAATGTATTGAATGTGGAAAGACCTTCAGTCGATATGGAAACCTTAGAAGACACCAACGAACTCACATGGGGGAGAAACCATTTGAATGTATTGAATGTGGAAAGAGCTTCAGTGGAAGTGGAGACCTTAGAAGACATCAACGAACTCACACGGGGGAGAAACCATTTAAATGTATAGAATGTGGAAAGAGCTTCAGTCGAAATGGAACACTTAGAATACACCAACAAACTCACACGGGGGAGAAACCATTTAAATGTATTAAATGTGGAAAAAGCTTCAGTCAAAATGGAAACCTTAGAATACACGAAGGAACTCACACGGGGGAGAAACCATTTAAATGTATTGAATGTGGAAAGTGCTTCAGTCAAAATGGAACACTTAGATTGCACCAACGAACTCACACAGGGGATAAACCATTTGAATGTATTGAATGTGGAAAGAGCTTCAATGATAGTGGAAACCTTAGACAACATCAACAAACTCACACGGGGGAGACACCATTTAAATGTATTGAATGTGGAAAGTGCTTCAGTCAAAATGGAACACTTAGAAGACATCAACGAACTCACACAGGGGAGAAACCATTTGAATGTATTGAATGTGGAAAGAGCTTCAATGATAGTGGAAACCTTAGACAACATCAACAAACTCACACGGGGAGACACCATTTAAATGTATTGAATGTGGAAAGTGCTTCAGTCAAAATGGAAAACTTAGAAGACATCAACGAACTCACACGGGGGAGAAACCATTTAAATGTATTGAAAGGGGGAAGAGCTTCAGTCAAAATGGAACACTTAGAATACACCAACGAACTCACACAGGGGAGAAACCATTTAAATGTATTGAAAGGGGGAAGAGCTTCAGTCAAAATGGAACACTTAGAATACACCAACAAACTCACACGGGGGAGAAACCATTTAAATGTATTGAATGTGGAAGGAGCTTCAGTCAAAATGGACACTTTAGGAAACATCAACGAACTCACACCGGAGAAGCCATTTAAATGTACTGAATGTGGAAAGAATGTGGAAAGAGCTTCAGTCCATATCGACAACTTATAAGACACCAACTAACACATGGGGAAGAAACCATTTTAATGTATGGCATGTGGAAGGAGCTGCAGCAAAAGTAGAGCACTTAGAATACACCAACTAACTCATACAGGGGAGAAACCATTGGAACGTATTGAATGTGGGAAGAGCTTCAACAGGAAGGATAAACTTACATTACATTGGCGAACTCCCACAGTGGAGAAGCTTAAGTCAATATGGAACCTTAGGAAACATCCTCTGACTCACATGGGGAAAGCCAGATTTATGAAACGTGGAAAGAGCTTCAGAGGGAGTGAAGACCTTACTATCCATAAGAAAATTCACACAGGCGGGAAACCATATAAATGTATGGAGTTTTCCACTCAGGTTTTACCAGATTTCCTGGGAAGTGAAGATTACTGTCAAGTCTTTGGATGTACAGAAAAGAATTTGGCAGTGTTTGTTTTCAGTAATAATAATAGCAACAGCAACAATAATAACAATAATTTATGCCACACCCATCTGGCTGGCTTTCCCTGCGGCAGAGCCACTCTTGGTGGCTTCCAACAAAATATTGAAATACAATAGTCCTTCAGATATTAAAAGCTTCCCTAAACAGGGCAGCCTTCAGATGTCTTTTAAAGCCTGGTGGCTGTTTTTTCCTTTGACATCTGGTGGGAGGGTATTCCACAGGGAGTAACTTCACTTCTCGGAGTGAGGCAACCGCCAGAAGGCTCTTGGTACTGGACCTCCATGTCCAGGCAGAACGATGGGGGTGGAGACTCTCCTCCTGTCACCAGTCTAGCCGCCGCATTCTGGATTAGTTGCAGTTTCGGGACCACTTACACAGGTAGCCCCACGTAGAGCGCATTGCAGTAGTCCAAACAGGAGATAACTGGAGCATACACTACTCTGGCAATACAGTCTAAGGGCAGATAGGGTCTTAGCCTGCGTACCAGATTGAGCTGGTAAACAGCTGCCCTGGACACAGAATTGACCTGCGCTTCCATTGACAGCTGCAAATCCAAAATGACCGCCAGGCTGTGCACCTGGTCCTTTAGGGGCACAGTTACCCCATTCAGGACCAGGGAGTTCTCCACACCTGCCTGCCTCCTGTCTCCCAAAAAGGACATCTACCTTGTCAGCATTCAACTTTAATATGTTAGCTGCCATCCATCCTCCAACCACCTCCAGACACTCACACAGGACCTTCATCATCTTCACTGGTTCTGATTTGAAAGAGAGGTAGAGCTGGGTATCCGCATACTGATGAACATCCAGCCCAAACCCCCTGATCTCTCCCAGCGGCTTCATGTAGAAATCTGAAAAGCATGGGGAGAGGACGGAACCCTGAGGCACCCCACAAGTGAGAGCTCAGGGGTCTGAACACTCATCCCCCAACACCACTTTCTGAACAAGCCCCAGTGTATAACAGTTCCTCCAGCTCCCAGCCCCTCTAGTTGATCCAGAAGGATGTTATGGCCAATGGTGTCAAAAGCCTCTGAAAGATCCAGCAGATCTAGGAAATAGCTCTCACCTTTGTCCCTAGCCCGCCGGAAATTATCGTGTCCAGGTCAGTTTCAGTCCCATGATGAGGCCTGAATCCCAACTGGAAGGGATCCAAATGGTCCACATCTTCCAGGCGTCCCTGGAGTTGTTCAACAACCACCCACTCATGCACCTTGCCAAAGAATGGAAGATTTGAGACTGGGCGATAGTTGGCTGTATTGGCTGGGTCTAAAGATTTTTTTTTAAGAAGCAGTTTAATACAGTGGTGCCTCGGATTACATACGCTTCAGGTTACAGACTTCGCTAACCCAGAAATATTACCTTGGGTTAAGAACTTTGCTTCAGGATGAGAACAGAAATTGTACAGCGGCAGCAGGAGGCCCAATTAGCTAAAGTGGTGCTTCAGGTTAAGAACAGTTTCACGTTAAGAACAGATCTCCAGAACGAATTAAGTTCTTAACCTGAGGTACCACTGTAACTGCCTCTTTCAGTGTGTCTGGGAAGGCTCCCTCACAGAGAGAAGCATTCACCACCCCATGGAGCCCATCGCCCAGCCCTTCCCGGCTAGATTTTATGAGCCAGGATGGGCAAGGATCAAGGAGACAGGTGGTTGGTTTCACTCATCTAAGCAGCCTGTCCACATCCTCGGACATAACAGATTGGAATTGATCCCACGCAACTTTACTAGACAGGACTCTAGCACTCACCAGCCCCCGCCCTGCTCCCACGGGGGAGTCTGCCTCTCTTAATCTGAGCGACTTTATTTGCAAAAACTTTGCAAAATCATTGCAGGAGATCATGTGGCCTGTACCGGGCACCATTGGAGAGATGGTTCCATTAAATTGCAAACCACCTGAAAGAGTCTCCTGCTGCTGTTTTCTGCAGATGCAATAGAGGGGGGTGAAGAAGGTTTTCTTCGCCTTCAGTATCGCCATTTGGTAGGCTCAACGTTGAGCTCTAACCCGTGTCCGGTCAGATTCAGAATGAGGTTTCTGCCACTGGCGCTCTACCCATCTCGTTGCCCTCAGATCCTTGGAAAACCATGGGATGGTTGCACTCCATGCAATCGGAGTGGGCTTTTTGGAGCCAGATACTCAATAGCCCTGGTTAACTCCACATTCCAACAGGCCACCAAGGAATCAGCTGAAAGGCCATCAACATGGGATAAAACATCCCCTGCCACTCTCTGGAAACCATTTGGATCCATTAAGTGGTGGTGGCGGACCATCCAAATCGAACCCACATCCCTGCAGAGGGGAGGGTTGTGGAGAAGTCCAGTTGCACCAGGAAGTGATCTGAACATGGCACTTATTTAGTTTCGCTTTTACTTAGTGTCAGATCACCAGCATCCATAGAGGAGAAAAACCAGGTCTAAGGCATTTCTGCGACTATAAGTTGGGCCAAACTTATTTAGGGACAGCCCATGGAGGCCATGCTTTCCACAAAGTCCCAATCGGCCCCTTGTAAGGTTGTGTCGGCGTGAATGTTAAAATCCCCCAGGACAACCAAATTAGGTGTCTCCAGGAGAACATCTGCCACGACCTGAAGCAGCTTGGGCAGGGAATCCTTGGTGCAGCGGGGTGGTCGGTACACCAAAAGGAATCCTGTACTGCCCCTATTGTCCAACTTCAAGAACATTCACTCAGAGAACTGGGTCTTCCCAATAGGACGCCTGGTGCAAATTAATGACTTCCTACAAATCACTGCAAATCACACCCCTCCCCTGCCCACATGACTTGGGTTGCTGTGCGTAAGAGAAACCTGATGGACAAGCAGTGGCAAGGACAGGTCCACCTGCTTCATCCCACCAGGTCTCTGTTAAACATGCCAGGTCAAGTTCTCCATCCACAATCAAGTCATGGATGGCAGTGGTCATATGAATCATTGACCTGGCATTCCATAGCGGCACCTTCGGGTCATGTGGGTCTCCCTTGCTGATTCCAGTATCCATCCAAATGACACCAGACCCGGAGGCAGGGATAGTCCTCAAACTGAAATGGGGGGCCATGCTATTTGGTGACCCTCTTTTTTTCTTTTTTAATTTATACTTCTACATCACACAAACAAGCATTGAATAAAACGAACAAACAATAGAAAACAGAAGAAAATGCAAAAACTAAATTACAAGGATCTAAACATAATATGCAATCAAAAATACAAAACATTATATTCTCTCCAAAAAAGGAAAAAGAACAAAAAACACCAAAAAAGAAAAAGAAAGGGGGGGGGGAATGACTTCTAACTAACTCCATGTGGCTCTTTATTCTTCATATCACTGGTTGTCTGTAATGATTAATTTTTTGGAGAATTATTCTAATTACCTGTGAGATTTTTATTCTAAACTAAGCCAAGTATGAATCTGGAAATCGGTTCTCTTCGTATAATTTATAAAGACTTTCCACTCTCTCCTTATTTTCTCATTAGAATAACTTCTTATTAAACCTGTAAGTCTGGCCAATTCAAGATATCCTGACAATTTAAGAACTCTTTCTTCTTTTGTTGGTGTTATGTTACTTTTCCAATTTTTAGCCATTACTATCCTGGCCGCCGTTACTGCATACAAAAATATTCTTTTGCTTTCTTTTGGGATGTCTGTTGTTAATAGGCCCCAAAAAAAATTTCTGGTTTTTTGGGAAAAGTATGTCTTAACATTTTATTTAATTCTTCAGTAATGGTATCTCAAAATTATTTAATTTTAGGGCACGTCCACCACATATGGAAGAAATTCTCTTCTTTAAGTTTGCACCTCCAACACTTTCCACTGGTGTTTTGGTACATTTTAGCCAATTTCGAGGGTTTAAGATACCATCTGTACATCATTTTTTTAAAAAATTATTTTATTGTATAACATGCTGTAAATCTTATGTGGTGTGGTGTGGTGTGGTGTGGTGTAGTGGTTAAGAGCGGTAGTCTCGTAATCTGGGGAACCGGGTTCGCGTCTCCGCTCCTCCACATGCAGCTGCTGGGTGACCTTGGGCTAGTCACACTTCTTTGAAGTCTCTCAGCCCCACTCACCTCACAGAGTGTTTGTTGTGGGGGAGGAAGGGAAAGGAGATTGTTAGCCGCTTTGAGACTACTGAAGAGGAGTGAAAGGCGGGATATCAAATCCAAACTCCTCCTCCTCTTCTTTTCTATAAGTTTTCCCATTTTTCTAAATCAATTGAATGACCGATATCTTGTGCCCATTTGACCATGACATCTTTAAACGCTTTGTCTCTTAAGTGCCAATTTAATAATAGTTTATACATTTTGGATAAATTTTTATCATCATTTATAATCATTTTTTTGTCTATTTCGGATAATTTTGTATCAAATCCATTTACATTCTTGTCTTCCTCAAAAATTGCATTTAATTGATGGTATTGAAACCAGCCTATTCCTGTATATCTTATTGTTTCATATTTTTTCATTTGTAATCTATTATTTACTTCCTCTAAAAGATCTTTATACGTCAACCAATTTGAATCCATATTTTTTCTTTTTACTGCCTCTGCCTCCATTGGTGACAACCACCAGAGGGTTTTTGGTTCTAATAATTTTTTGTTCCTTTCCCAAACTTCATATAAGGCTTTCCTAATAATGTGATTTAGGAATCCCTTGTGGATTTTTGCTTTATTATAACCCAGGTAGCCGTGCCACCCCACTATATTATCCCAGCCCTCAATATCCAATAATTTAGTATTCTTCAAGATCATCCATTCCTTGAGCTAAACCAGGCAGGCAACTTCTTTTTTTAAAATATATATATATATATATATATATTATTATCAGGCCAATCACATCACATTATCCAAATCACATTAGTTTCAAATTATACAGCCAAATTTTAAATTTTGTTGGGGGTACCCATACATCAAGCTCCGCACGAGTCCAAAACTCCGAACGAGTCCAAACATCACTTATATTACTGCTTTAATTAGACAGTTCTATCCAGTTCAATCCAGATAGTCCTTTATTACTTTCTTTCTCTTCTTGTTGTTATCGTATATTCCTTTCTTTACGATCTCTGATAATTTTCACAAGCAGATTGAAAACAGGCATCCTTTGTGTGGGTTTTGTACTGTCCAAAGATCATATCACTCAGGGACACCCTCTGTTCAGCGCTTCCATAAAAAAAATTAATCTTTGGTCTGTCCTTTACTTTTCTCAGGCTTGCCGAATAAATCAAATGAGTCAGGAGGCTCTGTCAGGTCAAGTTTGTGTTCCAACATTCCTTCTCTTTCGAATAATCCTGATTCTCCTCCCCCTGTCCTTCTTTCTCCGGCAAGCCTGTCTTGGCGAGACGCCATTTTTTAACTGCGTCATGAAAATTTTCCTCTTTCTCACCGTTCACCAATCCTCTCTCCTGTTATAATCCATCCCACACAGTTCTTGAATTCCTGCTTGTGATTAATAAAAACGCAACAATCTTATTTCTATCTGGGGTGAAGGGTTATTATTATCACATCGTGCAAAGAAAAAAAAAGTTTTTTCCTCCACCCCCCCTTCATTCCAAACATACAGTCTCCTAGTGGTGATTCATCAGAAGATTTACTTATCCATCCGTCACTCCCGGTCAGCAGTCTTATCTCTCAAACATTACTTGATATATGTGCTTCAGCTTCATTCCAATCGTATGTTTCCAATTATAATTCCAAGCTGAAGCTAACCAGCATGCGCTAATTGGAATCGGCGTCAGGAAGATCTGACTTCACCGAGGGCTCGTGCCAAGTGTTCGGCACCCCCATCTCTCAGATCAGGGGGTGCATTGTGAACACCGCTGGGGGGAGTAGGAAGACTGCATACTTCCCATAGCAGCCCCTTAATTACCTCATATGGGTCAGAGAGATGTTATTGTCGGCCATCTTCCAACACGCCACCTGGGACGGAGGTGAGGGGGGTCCTGGGGGGGGAGGTGGATGTCAGGGAATTGCCATCAGAGCCTAGAGAGGAGGTAAGGCTCCACAACGATGCAGGAGAAGGGACCAGCAGGGGGAGAGAGAACACTTCCCTTGAGGAAGGAAATAGGAGTGACACCAGGAAGCGGGGGGGGGGGACTGCGGAGAGAGGGCTCCAAGACTCTTCCACAGAGACCAGCGGGGAGAGCACAGGACCTCCGTTGGGCACGCCCACTCTGCGCAGGAGACTTCCACGCAGGGAGGCGAGGAGGAGACTTGGTGTCAAAGAGTTTCTATGTTGGAAGAAGTTCAGGAAACGCCCACTGACGGATTCTGCCAGCGACTGACACAGCCATGGAGAAAGGGCTGTCCAGCCAGGGAAAGGTTTTGCCAGGCTACCTTGCCTAGAACAGTAGCACCCTTTACACACAAGCAACCCCAACATCCCTTTACAGAGACCTTAGAAGACACCAACGAACTCACACGGGGGAGAAACCATTTAAATGTATTGAATGTGGAAAGAGCTTCCGTCAAAGTGGAACACTTAGAATACACCAACAAACTCACACAGGGGAGAAACCATTTGAAAGTATTCAATGTAGAAAGAGCTTCAGTGAATGTGGAGCACTTAGAAGACACCAACGAACTCACACGGGGGAAAAACCATTTAAATGTATTGAATGTGGAAAGAGCTTCAGTGGAAGTGGAAACCTTAGAATACACCAACTAACTCACATGGGGGAGAAACCATTTGAATGTATTGAATGTGGAAAGAGCTTCATTAAAAGTGGAACACTTAGAACACATGAACAAACACACACACAATGAAAACTACAGATGTATTGAATTTGGAAAGGACTTCAGAGGGTGTGGACACCTTAATATTCATTAGCAAATTCACACCCGGGCAAACCATATAAGTGTATGGAGTTTTCCACTCAGGTTTCCCAGATTTCCTGGGAAGTGAAGATGACTGTCAAGTCTCTGGGTGTGTCAAAAATAATTTGGCAGTGTTTGTTTACATTCTTGGGGGCCATGCTATTTGGCGATCCTCTTTTTTTCAAGAGGTATCTGAAGACTTTCAATCTGGATATCTTGGAATCTGGATTCTGGACTGCAAATGCTGCAAATTGCTCAGAAAAGACAGCGGGATCTGGATTTCCCATGTGTATACACACACACACACACATATATATATATTAGTTTTTAACATATTAATTCCTACATTTATACAACAAAACTTCTCATCTTATACAATATTTTTGGACTTCCGTCTACGCCTCTGATGATTTTCCGTTCTTTATCACTAATAATGCATTTCTTAATTTTGTATTACCCTTAATTATCCTTAACTAATAGTTCTCCTCATTGTCTTTTTTTGCAATATTTCAAAAAAATCACAAAACTTCTTGCAAACCTACTAGCGTGATCTGTTCATCACAATTACTTTTCAAATAGTCCGTAAATTTACTCCAGTCTTCTGAGAATCTCTGGTCCCGCAGGTTTCGAATCCTTCCGGTTAGTTTATCTAATTCTGCATAGTCCATCAATTTAATCCTCCATTCTTCTTTCATCAGTAGTTCTTCTTCCATTTTTGTGCCAATAATATTCTTGATGCCGTCATTGCATATAAAAACAACTTACAGTCCTTTCTGTTTATATCATCTCCTACAATGCCAAGTAAAAATGCTTCTAGTTTCTTAATAAAATGTATATTTCAACATCTTTTTCATCTCATTATATATCATTTCCCAGAATATTTTCACTTTTTTACATTCCCACCACATATGATAAAATGTTCCTTCTTTTTCTTTACATTTCTAACATTTATTACTAATTTTATACATTTTAGCTAATTTCACAGGCGTAATATACCACCTATGCATCATTTTCATCACATTTTCTTTTAAGGCATTGCATGCAGTAAATTTTAATCCTTCTTTCCACAGTTTTTCCCAATCTTTTAACTGTATGTTATACCCAAAATCTTTGGCCCAATGTATCATAACCGACTTTACCTCCTCATCTTTCAAATGCCATTCAAGCAGCAATTTATACATTTTAGACAAAATTTTACAGTTAATACTCGATATTTCAAATTTTGATTTATTTTCATCAAATCCTTTTTCCTTAAAATCCTGTTTAAACATTTCATTGACTTGGCAGTAGTGCAGCCAATCATTCACATATTCTTTAACTTCTTCATATGGCTTCATTTTCCATTTACTCCCTTCTTTTTTGTATTAATTTTCCATAAGTAATCCAGTTCTCACTCATATTTATCTTTTTCACACTCATTGCTTCTAATGGAGATAACCACTGCAGTGTTTTATGTTCTTATAGGTTTTTATACCTATCCCATATTTCAAATAGAGATCTTTGGAATGTATGGTTTCCAAATCCTTTATGGACTTTTGTTTTATTATACCATAAATATGCGTGCCAACCAAATCTATTATCATAACCTTCCAAATCTAACAAATCTGTATTTTCTAACAACATCCATTCCTTTAACCAACAGAGGCAAGATGTTTCATAATACAGTTTCAAGTCTGGCAGGGCGAAGCCTTCTTTTTCTTTAACATCTGTTAATAACTTATATTGAATTCTCGGTTTCTTCCCCTGCCAGATATATCTTGAAACTACTTTTTGCCACTCTTTAAAAATTGCTGCCCCCTTGATTATTGGAATTGATTGAAACAAAAATAGCATTTTTGGTAGCACATTCATTTTAATAGTCGAAATCCTTCCCCAAAATGATAATTTCATCATTCCCCATACGTCTAGATCTTTTTTAATTCCATTCCACACCGGTATATAATTGTTCTGAAAAAGATCTTTCTTTTTTTTTACGTTAACCAAATTCCAAAGTATTTAACTTTTTTAACTGCTTCTATACCAATCTGTTGCTGCAGCCTTTCCGCCAATTCCTGTTTCATATTTTTAACTATCATTTTAGTTTTCTTTTTGTTCAGTTTAAAACCTGCTACGTGCCCAAATTGTTCTGTCTCTTCTAGCACTTCTTTAGCACTGGTTGTTGGTTCTTCTATTGTTAGTACTAAGTCATCTGCAAAGGCTTTCACTTTATACTCCTTCCGACCTACTGAAATTCCTTTTATTTTTTCATTTCTCCTTATTGTCCTTAGGAAGACTTCCAGTACCGATATGAATAACAATGGTGATAATGGACACCCTTGTCTTGTACCTTTCATAATCTCAATATTTTCTGTTATTATGTCATTTACTATCAGTTTTGCTCTTTATTCAGAGTATATTGCTTTTATTCCTTTTAGAAATGATAGTCCAGTGTCCATTAATTCCAAATTCTTTAACATAAATTCCCAGGATATATTATCAAAGGCCTTTTCTGCATCTACAAAAATTAACGTCGCCTGTTTTTCATTTCTGGCAGTCAGATATTCGGTTATATTAACAAGATTCCTTATATTATCTTTCATCTGTCTGCCAGGTAAAAAACCTGCTTGGTCCTTCTGAATTATTTAATTCAATATTTTTTTCAGTCTGTTTGCCAATATACTCACAAACTATTTATAATCATTATTTAGCAGCGAAATCGGCCTATAGTTCTTTACTTGGATTTCCTGTGTCAGTGCATCATTCCCACCTACAATTCCTCGGTTTGTGAACGTGGCTGGTTTGGGTTCCTTTCGACCAGTTGCTCATAATTTACTTTTGTTGTTGTTCAAAATGGGTTTTTGCTGGTAGTGGGTTCATAAAACTTTAATAAAGCACAGGTCCCTTTCAAAAAATTCATTCTCACGTATTCCACTATATAGTTTGGTGGGGTCCCCCACCTGGTTGTTTTGTTCCTTGCAGTCTTTTGAGGAAGTGTGTTGTGCAAGAACTCCAATGCAGCTTTAATTATGCAACCTGAATTTTCCTGTGTGTGACTGAATCCCACCCCAAAACAGAGATTGTTTGGAAATGTCCTTTGTCAGATGCATCAAGCATGAATTTAAGCTTACAGTTATAGTGGATCCTCCAGATATGAACTTAATTTGTTCCGGGGGTCCGTGCGCAACCCAAAAAGTCCGCAAGCAGAGGCACTGCTTCTGCGGCACGCTAGAGCTTTTCTGTGCACACGCGAGAGGCAAAAACCCAGAAGTATACTTCCGGGTTTGCCAGCTCCCCGACCCCAAGAAAAGACCAGTCTAGAGAGGCAGGTGAGCATTACAGCTAAACCCCATGTTATACTCTCCAGTAGCTATTCACTCAGACAGGGCTATTTTCATTCAGCTCCTACAGTGTCCAGGGTGGGGGGAATGTTTTTTACCTTTCTTTTTCCCCTTCCTTGCAGTCTTTCCTAGTAAATAATTGCTGGAAACAGAAGCTACAGAGCTCTCACAGAAGGAAGCTTAGACTTGAGAATCATAGAATCATAGAGTTGGAAGAGACCACAAGGGCCATCGAGTCCAACCCCCTGCCAAGCAGGAAACAACATCAGAGCACTCCTGACATATGGTTGTCAAGCCTCTGCTTAAAGACCTCCAAAGAAGGAGACTCCACCACACTCCTTGGCAGCAAATTCCACTGTCTAACAGCTCTTACTGTCAGGAAGTTCTTCCTAATGTTTAGGTGGAATCTTCTTTCTTGTAGTTTGGATCAATTGCTCCGTGTCCGCTTCTCTGGAGCAGCAGAAAACAACCTTTCTCCCTCCTCTATGTGACATCCTTTTATATATTTGAACATAGCTATCATATCACCCCTTAACCTCCTCTTCTCCAGGCTAAACATGCCCAGCTCCTTAGCCGTTCCTCATAAGGCATCGTTTCCAGGCCTTTGACCATTTTGGTTGCCCTCCTCTGGACACGTTCCAGTTTGTCAGTGTCCTTCTTGAACTGTGGTGCCCAGAACTGGACACAGTACTCCAGGTGAGGTCTGACCAGAGCAGAATACAGTGGCACTATTACTTCCCTTGATCTAGATGCTATACTCCTATTGATGCAGCCCAGAATTGCATTGGCTTTTTAGCTGCCGCGTCACACTGTTGGCTCATGTCAAGTTTGTGGTCAACCAAGACTCCTAGATCCTTTTCACATGTACTGCTCTCAAGCCAGGTGTCACCCATCTTGTATTTGTGCCTCTCATTTTTTTGCCCAAGTGCAATACTTTACATTTCTCCCTGTTAAAGTTCATCTTGTTTGTTTTGGCCCAGTTCTCTAATCTGTCAAGGTCGTTTTGAAGTGTGAGCCTGTCCTCTGGGGTGTTAGCCACCCCTCCCAGTTTGGTGTCATCTGCAAATTTGATCAGGATGCCCTTGAGTCCATCATCCAAGTCGTTGATAAAGATGTTGAATAAGACCGGGCCCAAGACAGAACCCTGTGGCACCCCACTAGTCACTCTTCTCCAGGATGAAGAGGAACCATTGATGAGCACCCTTTGGGTTCAGTCAGTCAGCCAGTTACAAATCCACTGAGTGGTAGCATAGTCAAGACCGCATTTTACCAGCTTCTTTACAAGAATATCATGGGGCACCTTGTCAAATGCCTTGCTGAAATCAAGGTAGGCTACATCCACTGCGTTCCCTTCATCTACCAGGCTTGTAATTCTGTAAAAAAAGAGATCAGGTTAGTCTGACATGACTTATTTTTCAGAAATCCATGCTGACTATTGGTGATCACAGCATTCCTTTCTAGGTGCTCACAGACTGTTTGCTTAATGATCTGCTCCAGAATCTTCCCTGGTATTGATGTCAGACTGACTGGGCGGTAATTATTTGGGTCCTCTCTTTTCCCCTTTTTGAAAATAGGGACAACATTTGCCCTCCTCCAGTCTGCCTGGAGAAATCCAGGCTAAGAACTGATATTGTGGATACCTTTTTGGGGGATCGAAACCGGGAAAGAGGGGGGTGAGAGTTTTTGAATCCAAAAGGAGTATAATTTTATGATTTTTATGTTTAGTTATTATGTTCAGTAATTAATATAAAAATGGGGAAATTTGTGGAAGGGAACTTAGGTCGACCTTTGGAAAGGATGTAATGATTATAATTGATGTGTACAAGTTAAATTTAGTTAATTAAGAAGAACTAAGTTTAAAAAAATGATATTAATATTGTAAAGATAAGAGATAAGAACTTGCTGAACTAACTATTGGAATTGAAACTATTGAAAAGTCCCTTCCAAGAGCTCGTAAACCTTGTAGCCAAAACATTCTCTGGTTTTGTTTCGCTATCCCAAGCAACGGGGCTCAAGGTATGCTGCATTTCGGGCTAAAAGTGTGAACGCAGGAAGATTAATTCCCTGGTTCACGGAGCTGCGTTTCAAAGAAAACAAGAGCTCCGGAAGAAGAGGCCTGCAGCTTGAAGGCTGAAGCCTGCATTCCACAAATTTTTGTGGTAGATAAGACGTCCTATTGAAATGCATTGTTGCTAGGTAACGGTCCTGGAAAGTTACTGGCAAGGGGCTGGACTCTGCGTGTAAGCCTGGGAAAGCGAAACAAAACCAGAGAATGTTTTGGCTACAAGGTTTACGAGCTCTTGGAAGGGACTTTTCAATAGCAGCCTGAGTTTAGCTGCCAGGTGCAAAGAGCGTAAACAATTTGCAGTTTGCTGCGTGAGAAAGGAAAAAAACAACTGTTGGATTTTACAGTTTGTTTGACATTGTGAGCTGGAGGCTTGGCTTCAAGATGGATGCCAAGAAAGGGGGGAGGTTTGCCTTGCCCACCTCCCTTAACCAATGACAATTATTCATCTTGGTCTGTAAAGGTGAAGGCCCGGCTGCAGAATCAGAGGCTTTTAGATGCACTTGAAAACCCCATCCCTGCAGCACCAACCAGAGGTTGGGAGTCACAGAATGTAAGGGCCAGGACTGCTATAATTCTGTGTGTCTCAGATGATCAGTTGGTGCATGTTCAGCATTTAGAAAATGCGAAAGAGGTATGGGACACGCTGCGTACAACGCATCAGAGAGATGCTGGTTCTTCAGCGTTGCTGTATTTTGAGAAATTGACCAATCTGAGACTTGCGCCTGATGGAGATGTTCAAGCGCACCTGACAGAAATGAAGTTTCTGCGTCAACAGATGGTGGAACGCAATTTTCGTCTTCAGGAGGAAGTGTTTTGCTTCATGATGATAAACAGCCTTAGCCGCACCTACAAGGTTGTTGCCAGTCAGCTTGGTTCCCTACCGGCCGCGCAGCTGACCGCGGAGAGAGTTTGTGCTGTGGTCCTGAATGAACACGACAGACTTGCTGCACTGGAAGAAAAAGACAGGGGGAGGGAAGAACAGAGTTCTAATTCCCCACTGCTGATGCTACTGGAGAGCATGGTGTAGCATTGAGTGCTGTCCGATGCTACAATTGTGGACAGACTGGGCATCTACAGCGAAACTGTAAGAAGCCGCGCCAGTCAAGAGGAGCAAAGAGCAGCTCTACGAAGCCTCAGGCGTCAGGCAAAAGCCGTTCCAAGTGCCAGGTGAAACCTGCAAAGGCTATGATGGCGAAAGGAACCACGCCAGATGTTGGCAACTCGTTCATAATTGACACGGGCGCAACGGTTCACATGTGCCCGCACAGAGGACTGTTTTCGACGTTGAAGAAGCAAAGCTTCACTGTGAAACAGGCCAACGGTCAGGAGTTGGAAGCGACTGGAATTGGGACTGTGTATCTTGAGAGTCTGAACTTGACTATAAGTGATGTTTACCTGGTTCCAGAACTGAGATTTAATCTGCTGAGCGTGTCGCAGATTGCAAAGAAAGGACTGAAACTGTCCTATGATGCTAAAAGCTGCAAGATCTACAAAGATGGAGAACTGTTTCTTACTGCCAAAGAGAAAGATGGACTGTATTTGTTGACTTTTGATCAAAGTGATTACATGAAATGTAATTCTGCTGTTTCTAACGAAATCTCTCTTGCAGGAGTGACCAGTGTGAGCACCAGGAAGGTGACTAAGACCAAAAAGGTCGACAGAGCATTTCAGCGGGTGTATGCTGATGTGATTGGTCCTCTAGAACCATCTAGAGGCGGTGCAAAGTATTACCTTTTGTGTGTGGATTGTTTCACTAATTATTCTTGGGTTTATATGATGGAGAAACCGCAAGAAACTTTAGAAAAGTTTCAGGAGTTTTGTGACAAGGTTAAAGGTATGCATGATGCTAACATTGATTGTCTTTTCACAGATGAGAAGCAAATTTTTCTGTTGCAGAAGTTTCAGAAGTTCCTGGATGGAAAAGGGATAGACCACAAAGTTGCAGTCTCGCAAGAAGCGTGGAACAGGGGGTCTGTGTGAGAGTGAACAAAGAATTGCAAAGGGGATGAATGCGCAATTGCTGAGTTCACATTTGCCACATGAATATTGGGCCGAATCGCTAGCGTCCTATCTTCATGTGTGGTTGAGAAAAGTCTCAACAGAGTTGGGATGTTCTCCTTTTGAGAAGCTGTTCAATAGAAAACCTTCTGTTGCCTATTTTAAGGTTTTCGGGTCTCATGTGAGAACAGAAGCTCCAGGTGGAGTAAAGAATGCCAGAGGCATTTTTGTGGGATATGAAAAGGGTCTCTACAGAGTAATTTTGTCTGAATCTGGTCAGGTGATTCTCACAAAGTTCCTAGAGAGTGCTCCAAAGCAAGAGCGGATAGTACAAACATTTCCCACAGGAAACGATTCTGATGATGATGATGATGAGTTTGATCTTATTGAGTTCAGTAGTACTGATGATGACACTGATAGCTCAGAGAGTTCAGTTGTAACAGTCATTGAGAGGAAATCTCACACAATGGATAGACCTTCACAGGTGAAGGAAGAACCACTGATTGCTACTGGTTCTCAACAGAGTCCAAAGGTTGAACCAGTGAGCACAGAGGATCAGAACCTCATACGTAGGTCTGAGAGAGCAACGAAGGGTGTACCACCCAAGAGGTATTCAAAGGCGTTTGCTAACCTTGCATATGTTGCTATTGTAAACGACCAAGGACAGATTCAAGCTGTGTCTGAGTCAGAGACAAAGGCACAACAGAGAGGTGTTAACCAAGGTAATGCGAAGTCACACAACCAGAGAGGTACATTGGTTAAACCAGTGGCGGGTAGTTCCAAGGGTGGAACTGAAACAACAGGGGAATGTTATAAATATAACAACTGTTTGTTTTCTTCTCTGGATGACGCTTTGCTCGCAGCACACATTGATACTTTAGGGGGAGTATGTTACCATAAAGCACCAATGCTGCAGCAAGCAAAGGCTCTAGCAGCTCAGCCAGCTGCTTGTGGCTGGAAAGCCAGGCAGGATGTTTGTGACTGTTGCCATGGGAACAAAGGGGCAGTCCATTCTGTACTGAGCACCGGATGTTAGCTCAGTGTGTGTGTGTCATATGACCCGTACTGGATGTACTTGGGAGGAGTTTCTTCTTGCTGTTGTTGAGTGCAGACATGATTCTCTGTACTGATGTAAGAGGCAGAAATAAATGATGTAAATAGTTTTCTGTCTGCTTCTTTCCCCTCCCTGGGGACACCAAAGGGGAGAGAGGAAGAACGGTGTGTTCCTCTCATACATCTGAGAAGAATCGCCGGACCTCGCCTGCTTATCAGCAGAGGTTGGGAGACGCGGGGAGGTCGACAGGAATATCTGCCGGTGCCTACGCTGTGGCACATTCCTCTGACCCAGGCAGAATTCCAACAGTATGAAGGGGAGGTGTGGGGAAGTCAGAGAATGTGGTTATGAAAGTAAGGATTTGAAACTATACATGTTTGTCTTTGTCTTTGTCTTTGTGTGTTTGTAATGTCTATATAAAATGTGAAAACCCAATAAAAATTTTATTAAAAAAAAAACATTTGCCCTCCTCCAGTCTGCCGGGACTTCGCCTGTTTTCCAGGATTTCTCAAAGATGACTGCCAGTGGTTCTGAAATCACATCTGCCAGTTCTTTTAATACTCTTGGATGCAGTTCATCTGGCCCTGGAGACTTGATTACATCTAGACTAGCCAAGTATTCTTGTACTATCTCCTTAGTTATTCTGGGCTGTGTTTCCTCTGCTGAATCATTTGCTCCAAATTCTTCAGGTCGGGCATTGTTTTCTTTATCGGAGAAGACTGAGGCAAAGAAGGCATTGAGGAGTTCAGCCCTTTCTGTGTCCCCTGTTTGCATTTCACCATCTTCTCCTCTGAGTGACCCCACTGTTTCTTTGTTCTTCCTTTTGCTACGAACATACCCATAAAAGCCTTTTTTGTTGCTTTTAACCTGCCTAGCAAGCCTGAGTTCATTCTGTGCTTTAGCTTTTCTGACTTTGTGTCTACACGTGCTGGCTATTTGTTTGAATTCCTCTTTGGTGGTTTCCCCCCTTTTCCATTTTTTGTACACATCCTTTTTAATCTTAACTCAGTTAAAAGTTCTTTAGATAGCCACCCTGGCTTCTTTAGGCACCTTCCATGTTTCCGTCTCATTGGTATTGCCTGAAGTTGTGCTTTTACTATCTCCCTCTTAACAAACTCCCAGCCATCATGAACTCCCTTTCCTTTTAGTATTACTGTCCATGGGATCTCACCCAGCACTTCCCTAAGTTTTATGAAGTCGGCTTTCTTAAAGTCAAGAAATTGAGTCTTAGTATGCTTGGCTGCTCCTTTCCGCTGTATAGTAAACTTCAGAAGAGCATGATCACTCGCGCCTAATGATCCTTCCACTTCTACCCCACTAACCAGGTCATCAACATTGGTTAGGACCAGATCTAAAATGGCTGTTCCTCTTGTTGCTTCTCCCACTTTCTGGACAATGAAGTTGTCTGCAAGGCCAGTGAGGAATCTGTTTGACCTTATGCTCTTGGCTGAGTTTGACATCCAACAAATATCCGGGTAATTGAAGTCCCCATTACTACTATCTCCCTTCCTTTTGCATGCTTGGCCATCTGTTCCAGGAAGGCATCATCTATGTCCTCCGTTTGGCTTGGGGATCTATAGTAAACTCCCACAATGAGGTCACTGTTATTCTTCTCTCCCTTAATTTTGACCCAAATGCTCTCACTTTGGCTTTGAGGTTCTAAATCTTGGATCTCTTCACAGGTATACACATCCCTGACATATAACGCCACTCCTCCTCCTTTCTTGTCTGGTCTGTTTCTCTGAAATAGATTGTATCCCTCCATTATTACATTCCAATCGTGGGACTTATCCCACCAGGTTTCAGTGATGCCTATTATGTCATATTTAGTTTGCTGTACCAAGAGCTCAAGCTCATCTTGTTTATTTCCCATGCTTTGCGCATTAGTGTACAGACATTGAAGTCCATTAATCATTCCTCCGTGTCTCTTATTTAAGGATTTTTTCCTCTCACCACTAGGTCTGCGTGCTGTTTGCCCCATTTGGTCTATGACATTTGGATGATCATCTTCATCACTTGATAGACTCCTACCTTCAGGAGCACTGTCTCCCTCCCCCACATTAGTCAGTTTAAAGCCCTCCTGATGAGGTTTCTGAGATTTTGGCAAAAACATTCCTCCCAACCGTTGTGAGGTGCAGCCCATCGCTTGCCAGAAGTCCATCTTCAAGAAACTGCATTCCATGATCTAAGAATCCAAACCGTTCCTGTTTACACCATTTGCGAAGCCAGTTGTTCACTTCCTCTATTTTTCCCTCTCTCCCTGGGCCACGTCGTTCAACTGAGAGGACAGATGAGATGACAATTTGTGCATTTAATTGCTTCAATTTCCTGCCCAGAGCCTCGTAATCTCTTTTGATCTTCTGGAGGCTATTGCTTGCAGTGTCATTGGTTCCCACATGAACCAAGAGGAAGGGGTATTTGTCAGTGGGTTTTATGATTCCTTGCAGTCGTTCAATCACATCTTGGATCTTAGCCCCGGGGAGACAGCACACTTCCCGAGACATCTTGTCAGGCCCACAGATCACTGCTTCTGTTCCCCTCAGTAGGGAATCCCCTATCACCACTACACGCCTCCTCTTAGGTCTGGTCGGAGTTCTTCCGTGAGCTGTCCGTTCCAAGGTCGCCTGCACATTCCCTGAGGGCTGACTTTGCTGCTCGTCTTCATATACCTGATCGACTGTAATGAGGGAGAGATCCTCAAATGGAGTCTGTTCTTCGTCTTCCATGCTGGGGGAGAGGACCTCAAAGCGATTGTGTATTTCTAAACAATCAGCGCGAACCCTGGGCCTCCTACTTCTTTGAGTCACATTTCTCCATATATCTGGCTCCTGTGTTGGTGAACTACCCTCCTTCTCAGGGGAGTCCCCTGTCTCCTCCTTGGTGGAGACGGTGTGCTCTGTTGCTTTCAAGAAGAGCTCCAGCTCTCTAATTCTTTGGAGCGTAGCTACACGTTCCTCCAGTTGCTGGACTTTGTCTTTTAAGAGGGCAATCAACATGCAATTGCTGCAGGTAAAGCTGCCTGCAACCTTTGGCAAGATGGCAAACATTGCGCAGGAACCGCAGGCGACTGCAGCTGTTCCCTCACCCTCCATCTTGAGAACGTGTCGTTGGGGGTGACTACAGCGGTCCTCCATCATAAAAAGCATGAAGACAGGCCAAATAATTCCCCCCAAAAAACCTAGGTCTCCCCCAACAACGTTTGAGACTAGCTCCCCTAAATCTAAAAGATGGCGCCGCTGCCCTACAAGCTCTGATAAGCTCCTCCCACAGCTAATCACCTACCTCAACAGAAGCCCTGCCCCCTCTGACCTTTGCACAGGGAGAGCAGTTAATCAGCCACAAGAAACTCACACAAGAAAACCCTTTTTGTTCCTTCTTCAGCTGCTGCCCTACAAGCTCTGATAAGCTCCTCCCACAGCTAATCACCTACCTCAACAGAAGCCCTGCCCCCTCTGACCTTTGCACAGGGAGAGCAGCTAATCAGCCACAAGAAACTCACACAAGAAAACCCTTTTTGTTCCTTCTTCAGCTGCTGCCCTACAAGCAGAAGTCAGTGGGTGCTTGCTGGAGATGGCTAGGAGAAGCAGCAGCAGTTGCAAATAAGTTATGCAATGAAGAAGAAGCTTAGGATCTCCATCTGGGACCAGAGAGAGGAAAGCTGACTGAATTACATAAACGACTGAACATTATTTGCAACGTGCTACTTTATCGTGTTTATCTTTTTGTAAGACTGTTTAAGACTGGTCTGCAGTAAAGCTTCGAAAATTATTCTTGTGATGGAGAGAACTCATTTCCACACAAGGTCCACATCAGGAATTCCACGGAACAACTTTAACGACAAGTACTTGAAGAACCAAACCACGATGTAGCCATGCTCTTTTCCATCCCTTTCCAAGAATTGCAACAATCTGTTCCTCCAAATGGTTCAGCCTCCACCACCTTTACTGCAGTCAACTGAAAGCAACCAACTGTGCCCTGGGGGCCCCAATCTTTCCCACTGCCAATAAATACTAATAAATGAATAGAAAGAGAACCTACCCATCTCACATTAATACAAAAACCTTGCATGTAGACTCTGTAAAATAATTAAAGTTTACTACCCCCTCCCCCCACTCTCTCTCCCTACCTCTCAACTCCCCAACCTTTATACATTAAAGTCTCTCTGTGTGAATGTTGATGATATCCAAAGTAAGAGAGCTGCTTACAGATAGGAAGCTATATAGCTCTTCTAGGTGTTAGTTTCTTTTTGCAGACTCTACAATGTCCAGGCTCTTTCTACTCAAAAGTACTTTACTTTCCTAAACACGTAACTGAGAAGAATATATTTATAATCTGCTTATTCAAACACAGGTACGCTCTCACTTGAATTGTCTTACCGGTTCTTACGAAAGGTTTTTACTTTCACCTCAGCAGTATTCTCTCTGTTCCTGCACAGGTTTCCCCTATAAACATTTAGTGATCTTTCTCTGTTTCACTTTAGACAGATCACTCTGACACCAGGGATATAGGAAGGGGGGGCTGTGTGGGTGGTCCGCCCTGGATGTTATCCCTGACCGGGGTGTGTGTGACAAAATCGCCCCCAGGCGGAGCACTGCACTGCCCCCCTGGGTGCCAATCTCTGTGCCATAACTAATTGGTAGTTGTTGCAAGAATGACCTCACATATGCATATGCAGTTGCTAATTGGCTGGCTTTGATGCTGTGCTTATCTCTGGGGCCAGGGATGTTGGGCTCTGGGGCCAGACCTTGGAGCTACCTGTAAGCCTTGGATAGTTGCCACCTGTGCCCTTGTGGGCCAGGTAGATTGATGGGACGTTCTGGCCAAGCTGACGAAGGCTGATTTTTGAATAGGTAATATGTATACATTTGCCTGGGTGTGGACAAGTCGTGACAATTGCTTGCTACTGCGGTGTTTATTCTCAGCAGGGCTCTGCACACTGAGTTGTCTGTTACCTCCGAGGATGTGGACAGGCTGCTTGGACGAGTGAAACTTCCACAGGGCAGGCACTAGAAGACCCTCTGCCTGGTTCCCTGTAACCTCACTTCTCGCAGTGAGGGAACCGCCAGAAGGCCCTCAGAGCTAGATCTCAGTGTCCGGGCTGAACGATGGGGGTGGAGACGCTCTTTCAGGTATACTGGACCGAGGCCGTTTAGGGCTTTAAAGGTCAGCACCAAAACTTTGAATTGTGCTTGGAAAAGGTAGCACAAGAAGGAAAACTCTGGTCCCAAACCTCTGTTGCCTTGTGGGATACCTTTGGTAGAATAAAAGGCTAAGGAGTAAACCCTAAACAAATCTGGAGTGGGGTCCCACTCATACGACTCATTCTGGCAACTCCTGCAGCCAAGCTGGTGCCAAACGTCTTGCTCTGCTTTCCTTTGGACCCCATCAGCGAGGACGAGAAGGGATGTGTGTCTTATCCTCTGGGCAGCCCAGGACCTCCAAACACACTGCCTAGTCTTGTGCCCCACGGAGGTCACTTGGGCACTGCTAACACAGCCGTTTGGCTTTACCCCCGGAAGCGCACTCCATTGTCTCTTGAGAAAGACAAATGCCAACAGCAATATGTGCTCCAAATTTCAAATTGTTGTAACCCGCTCTGGGACCTGCTAGTAAAAGGCAGGTAATAAATAAAATAATGACGATGATCTTCTCTTGCACTGAGGCCATGATCCAGGGGCCTAATCATCCGAGTTAAGGCAAGTGAAAAATGCGGGGAGGAACTTTCATGGCAAATAAGGCCAAAAGTGGCTATGAAACATGATGGCCATGTTCCCTCTCCACTGCGGGAGACAGCAGTGCTTCCGAAAACCAGGAATTACTGGGAACCACAGGAGAGTGATCCTGTGCCGAAGTCCTGCTTGTGAGCTTCCCACTAAAGATGTCGTATACTTAATTCGGTGTCCCTGTAACTTCTTGTACGTTGGTTCCACCACTCGTGCGGTTGGAGTAAGGATAGGGGAACATGGTTCCCGCATCCGAAATGCTGTCTTGGAAGCTCCTCTGGTTGAGCATTTTATATCGCAGAATCATTCTGATAGGGATTTATTGTTCACAGTACTGTGGGTGAATCAGAAAACCATCAACAAAAGACAAGATCATGAAAAATGGCTACGACAGAAAGAATCTCAATTCATTTTTAGGTTTAAGACCATTCACCCTGAAGGACTCAATTCTGAACTGGATTTAAATTGTTTCATTTGATGCTTTTCTATTGTTGTTATATCGCTTTGTACCTTTAAATTTACTTACTGCAATTCATTCTCCCTGTAATGAGCACCACCTGGGAATGGTTACTTATGCTTCAGGTGTCATGTAACTGGTACCAGTGGTTACATATCCATATGACCACTGCTCCTTGTGCAATTTTCTAATCTATGGGGTATGTACCTTTGTTCTTCTTATTGTAGTTGTAGCATATGGATTGTAACGTGTGAAGTTTATATAGTATTCATGTACACAGGTCATGGTTTCATATTTGAATTCTTTTCTAGTTGTGCTGAAGAAGATTCCAGCGAAACAGTCAGATTATCCGGGATCACTGTCCGTTGTTATTCACCTACTACTTTGGCACGCCTAAAAAAAGTTTTACCACTTAGCCCACAGGATAGCATATATTACTTTGTTTCAACCATAGACTTATTATACTTCTGCGGACTTTCAAAGATTGACAGACGTGTGTTCAATTGATTTCAAATATATTAGAGAATTGACAAGTGCACACATTTTGTTTTTGTTATTAAATCATGTATATAATGCAATAAGAATTACAGTGCTATCTAGTATACTGGTCTGCGTGTTGCTTGTATTGATTGTAGTGTTAAGTTTTGCAACACAGGGGTTTGTTGTTCTGTATATGTGAGCTTCCCACAGGGATCTAGTTTGCCTCTGTGAAAGCAGGAGGCTGGGCTGGATAGGCCCTTGATCTGATCTAGCTGGGCTCTTCCTGTGTTTTTGTGTTATGCTCTGTATGCTATGGCTCTGTGGTGTGTACACTGCAACCCCATAGTCTCCTTTGACTGGACTTAACCGCCCAGGGGTCCTTTACCTTTACCTTACATAGCCTTACCTCTTCACCTGCTTATTTTGGTGGATTTCTGTCTGAGAAAAGCAGACTTATCTGGCATGCAGAATTCTGGCAAATAGCACCCCAGGAGAACAGAGCATGGTGGTGCTCCATTACACAACTGAATCACGGAATCTCAGCTAGAAATCCCTTTGAGTGCCTCCAAATACCAGTTTCTGGGAGCCATAAGTGGGGAGTCAGCTGTTCCCATCCTGCTCGCGACCGTCCCAGAGGCAACCGGTTGGCCACTGTTGGAACAACAGCTTTTGGCCTGATGCTTTCAATTAATTCACCTTACCAGGTTGTTACAGGATGTTGGGGTTGGGCAGGAAACAGTGGAGACCTCCTTGAGCTCCTCGGAGGGGAAGGGCAAGACATTTATTTTTTAATGCAATGCACATTCCACTACACATGAGATACAGCAGCTAGAATTTAATGAGGATCTGGAGTTAGTTTTAACACAATACCTACAGTCAGTATAGTTGCTAAAATCTAACTGCTGTGACTTTGTACATATTGCCTTCTGCTTTGGGTGGATCACAGTGGCTGAGAAACAAATGTGCCCATAACGTAGGTACGCACCAATGGCAAATTGATAAACATCCTCTATAATACAATGGAATAGAATATTCTCTCTTCCCCAGTGCCTAAAAGCAGTTGTGTACATCCATCAGAGCTGTTAAAAACCAACAAACCCATCACGTTCCTTGCCAACAAGGTTTACTTTTTTAAATCCAGCACCAACCTTTTTAAGACACCAGCCCTGCAGAAGCAGCGATCCTAACTCAACACACCTGGGAGTAAGTCCCACTGAATTCAGTGGGCAGGGCTGGGATGGCAGCCTAAATATTTCAATTCCCTTTCCATCTGAATTTTATTCCAATCTGCTCGGGCTACAGTGCCAGTGTGGTGTGGTGGTTAAGAGCGGTAGTCACGTAATCTGGGGAACCGGGTTCGCGTCTCCGCTCCTCCACATGCAGCTGCTGGGTGACCTTGGGCCAGTCACACTTCTCTGAAGTCTCTCAGCCCCACTCACCTCACAGAGTGTTTGTTGTGGGGGAGGAAGGGAATGTTAGCCGCTTTGAGACTCCTTCGGGTTGTGATAAAGCAGGATATCAAATCCAAACTCCTCTTCTTCTATAGTGTTGCGTCTGAACTCGTTTTCTGGCTCTTTCAATTAAGCAAATTCTCAAAGCTGGCCCATGACACACTTGAACCATGAAACCTCATCCTTGCATATTCAGAGTCTACTTCAGGCTTACTTCCAAAAGCAAGAATGGCAGAACCCAAAGCTCTCCAGGTGTTGCTGGACCGCAGCTCCCTTCATTCCTGGCCATTGCCCGCATCGGCTGGGGATGATGGGAACTGGAGTCTTGCATCCAGAGGGCCACAAGTTCCCCAAACCTGGCATAAAGCAATACCAGAAAAAACCAGCCAGCAGCCCTTCTTCCACTTGCTGGTTCTGTGAGCCAGAGTGCCCCTCCCTTGCAGTTCCCGGGCAGCTGGCAGCTGGAGGAGAGTGTGCCTTTTGGCAGGGAGAAGAGAAACAAGTCCCTCAAAGCGGGTTTTCGCTGCAGCAGCCCCAGAGGCTTTGTCAGGGTGAGGTGTCAGAGAGGTGAGAGCACTGCTTGTCAGTGTGCTGAACCAAAGGCGGCATGTTCTGGAAGGCCTGCAGACGCCATCTTGGTAGTCAAGATAACCCCACAATTAGTTGTTGTAGCAAGGAGCTCAGATAATTTTTACAGTGGTACCTCAGGTTAAGAACTTAATTCGTTCTGGAGGTCCGTTCTTAACCTGAAAATGTTCTTAACTTGAGGTACCACTTTAGCTAATGGGGCCTCCCGCTGCCGCCGTGCGATTTCTGTTCTCATCCTGAGGTAAAGTTCTTAACCCGAGGTACTATTTCTGGGTTAGCGCAGTCTGTAACCTGAAGCGCCTGTAACCCGAGGTACCATTGTATATTCACTTGCTTTGCTGGAAGTCTGCACCTTTTTTTGAATAAAGCACTAGGACTGAACCCCTGGGCGTTTTGGACGTCCTTCTTTGGTATCCCTGCACCCGACTGCACCCACGATCCCACCACTGGATCCGGAAACGAAGCTGGCGCTATGGCTTCTCCCTGGCGTGGATCTTCTGGTGCCGGGAGAGGTTGGAGGAGCTGGAGAAGGTTTTCTCGCACCTGGGGCACTGGTAGGGCTTCTCTCCCGTGTGCGTCCGCATGTGTTTCTTGAGGCCTTGGCTCCAGCGGAAGTTCTGCCCGCACTCGGAGCAGGCGTAGGGCTTCTCGCCCGTGTGGGACCTCTCGTGCTTGGCCAGCTGCGACCTCTGGATGTAGCCGTTCCCGCAGTGCGCGCAGCGGAAGGGCTTCTCCCCCGTGTGGGTGCGCTTGTGGGCGGTGAAGTGCGAGCTGGAGATGAAGCACTTGCCGCAGTCGGCGCACTGGTAGGGCTTCTCCCCTGTGTGGGTGCGCTTGTGCGTCGTCAGGTGCGAGCTGTAGGTGAAGCGCTTCCCGCACTCGGCGCACTGGTAGGGCTTCTCGCCCGTGTGGATCCGCTCGTGCTTCCTCAGCTGGCAGCTGGAGATGAAGCTCTTCCCACACTCGGAGCAGGCGTACGGCTTCTCGCCTGTGTGGGTCCGGGTGTGCGTGACCAGGTCCGATTTCTGGTTGAAGCTCTTGCCGCAGACGGCGCACTTGTGGGGCCTCTCCCCCGTGTGGGTCCACTTGTGGATGACCAGGTGCCGCGTCTGACTGAAGCTCTCCCCGCACTCGGGGCACTTGTAGGGCTTCTCCCCCTTGTGGCTGCCCTCGTGGATCACCAGCTGCGGCCGGTAGCGGAAGCTCTGGCCGCACTCAGCGCACCGGTATGGCTTCTCCCCCGTGTGCACCCTCCGGTGGCGCAGGAGGTTGCAGCGAGTGCCGAAGCTCTTCCCGCACTCGGGGCACTTGTAGGGCCGCTCGCCCGTGTGGGTCCGCTCGTGGATCAGCCGCCCGATCTTGTCGCTGAAGGTCTTGCCGCAGGCCGAGCACTTGTACGGCTTCTCACCCGTGTGGAAGCGCTCGTGGATGATGAGGGACTCCTTCCGTGTGAAGCACTTGCCGCAGGCTGAGCACTTGTGCGGCTTCTCGCCCGTGTGCGTCCGCTCATGGATGATCAGGTGGGCGCGGCAGTCAGAGATCTTCCCGCAGTACTGGCACTTGTGGGGCTTCTCCTTGGGCGGTGCCTTCGGGGTCTTCGGACGGGGGCCCAAGACCACCTTCTTCCTCACGTGGCCATACATCCCCTCCTCCAAGCCGGCCGCTCCCCCAAGGATATATTGCTGCTGGTCACTGACTCCTGAAATAACGCAAATAAGGGGTTAAGAGGAGCCTGCTGGATCAGGCCAATGTCCCATCTAGCTTAGGGTCTCGTTCTCACAGTGTCCAACCAGAACCCAGTGGGAAACCAGAAAGCAGGATTGGAGCAAAAGTAGAGCTGGGCACTATCTGCTTTTCAACTACAGTGGTATCTTGGATTAAGAATTTAACTCGTTCTGGAGGTCCGTTCTTAACCTGAAACTGTTGTTAATCTGAGGTACCACTTTAACTAATGGGGCCTCCCACTGCTGCTGCACGATTTCTGTTCTCACCCTGAAGCAAAGTTCTTAACCCGAGGTACTATTTCTGGTTTAGTGGAATCTGTAACCTGAAGTGTCTGTAACCCGAGGTACCACTGTATGTGCTATATCAGCAGCTAAACATCGCAGTACAATGGTACCTCAGGTTACATATGCTTCAGGTTACAGACGCTTCGGGATACAGACTCCGCTAACCCAGAAATAGTACGTCAAGTTAAGAACTTTGGTTCAGGATGAGAACAGAAATCGTGCTCCGGTGGTGCAGCAGCAGCAGCAGCAGCAGTGGGAGGCCCCATTAGCTAAAGTGGTACTTCAGGTTAAGAACAGTTTCAGGTTAAGAACGGACCTCCGGAACGAATTAAGTACTTAACCCGAGGTACCACTGTATAAGTACAGTTTATAAGCTAAGTAGAGGCACTGGCTGGCTTCACGGTTTTTCCTGCATCGTGATTTCTGCTGGCGTCTGCTCTTGTGATCCGCTGCCCCCCTGCATGAGTCGGGGGAGAGCTGAGCCAGCAGAGCTAACAGGGGCTGCAGATGTATGCCCAGAGATGGAAAGAAGATAAAGTCCCTACTAGAGAAGAATGACAGATGAAGTTGATGGATTATGCTGAAATGGCTAAAATGACCGGAAGAATCAGAAATCAGGAAGACCAAGATTTTAATAAGGAATGGGGAAAATTTATAACTAATTTTAAAGACCATTGGAAGCCATTAAAACTATTAGTAGGGTTGGGATATATCTTGCAGTCTAAGGATGAATACCGGACACAATGGAGATGTAAAAGATTTGGATCATCACAAAAGATGCGGGAGGAAATGACCAGGAGATTTCTTGGAATCTTATTTTTATGATTTATGTTTGATATATAAAAGGTAAAGGTAAAGGTACCCCTGCCCGTATGGGCCAGTCTTGCCAGACTCTAGGGTTGTGCGCTCATCTCACTCTATAGGCCTGGAGCCAGCGCTGTCCGCAGACACTTCCGGGTCACGTGGTCAGCGTGACAAGCTGCATCTGGCGAGCCAGCGCAGCACACGGAAACGCCGTTTACCTTCCCGCTGGTAAGCAGTCCCTATTTATCTACTTGCACCCGGGTGTGCTTTCAAACTGCTAGGTTGGCAGGCGCTGGGACCGAACGACGGGAGCGCACCCCGCCGCGGGGATTCGAACCGCCGACCATGCGATCGGCAAGTCCTAGGCGCTGAGGTTTTACCCACAGCGCCACCCGCGTCCCGTTTGATATATACATCTCTGTAAAAAATTTAATTTGAAAAACCAAATAAATAATTTTTAAAAAATTAAATAACAGGGGCTGTAGGAATCGAGAAAAGCGTTGGCTGGCTTCATGGTTTTTTCCATATTGTAATTTTTGCAGAACACACACAAACATTATGATTTGCGACAAATTGCAAGGTCAAAAATTATGAAACCGATATCGCGATATGGACTTCAAACAGGTTTTGAATTACATATCCAAACCGTGTCCCTTCCTGTGGTTTCCTGCAACTGATTTTCAGAGGCATCCCTGCCTCTGACCAGCAGCTTCAATCTTTTGTCAAAGGGCTCTGTCCTCACCTGTACCCCACCTCCCCCCCAAACCCCACTTTGGGTCTCCTCACCATCACCATCCATGGGCAGCTCAATCTTCACAATGTCCGACGGATCCAGCTCCGACTTGGGGGAACCAGCAGCAGAACTGTCCAGATCCTCCACTGTCTGGGGAAAAAAATAAGGACAATATGCAATACGTTATTTTAAATGAGTTTGGAAATCCATGTGAATATGCACATGTATGTTGGTGTGTATCAGGGTGGACAAAAATCAATGATTTTTTTTAAAGATAAAAAAATCAGATTATTTTAAATTTAAATCATTTTTTTTTTAAAGTCAGATTTTTTAAAATTTAAATCGGATTTTTAAAATAAAATGCTTTCGGAGGAAAAATCTTTCTAAAGATAGTTTTCGATTTAAGTTACATTATAGTCCAAAAGCTACTCATCAGGAAATAAGGATTTGTTTAAGATTTTCATGTGTGCCAAAACTCAGTCTAAGTATTTTTTAAAGTCCAGTATATCTGAAGGAGCGTCTCCACCCCCATCGTTCTACCCGGACACTGAGGTCCAACACCGAGGGCCTTCTGGCGGTTCCCTCACTGCGATAAGCCAAGTTACAGGGAAGCAGGCAGAGGGCCTTCTCAGTAGTGGTGCCCTCCCTGTGGAACACCCTCCCACCAGATGTCAAAGAGAACAACAACTGCCAGACTTTTAGAATACATCTGAAGGCAGCCCTGTTTAGGGAAGCTTTTAATGTTTGATGTATCACAGTATTTTAATATTTTTTTGGAGGCCGCCAGAGTGGCTGGGGAAGCCCAGCCAGATGGGCGGGGTATAAATAATAAATAATAATTATTATTATTGTTGTTGTGGTTGTTGTTATTCCTCACAATAATTTCATAATTATTGGTCTATGTATTTCTAATAATATAACCAAATCAGTAATTTTTGATATAACTGTAAAAACTACTCTGAAAATTTATTATTCCAAAAAGGAAACCTTCATCTGATTGGTTGTAAATATTAAGATTATACCAGCAAGAATGAGTCTTTCTGTAAAAAAAATTATTTTAAACCAAGCCTTACTGACTAATGATTTAAATAGTGATTTAAATTGATTTGATTTAAATCAAATCCACCCTGGTGTGTATTCAGTAGCGAATTCAGATCTGCAGTGTCCCTTGAGCTCCTTGGGTAAGAGGTGGGATACAAACAATAAATAAACTTTTGACCCCGCATTGAGCAGCGGGTTGGGCTGGATGACCTCCTGGGGTCCCTTCCTGCTCTACAAGCAATCTGCCCTCACCTTCTGCTCCGTCCTTTGCGGCCTCCACAGGAAATCCTCCGCCAGGGCCACGGCCTGGTTGCCGGTCTCTGGGCCCCTCTCCCGCACCCAGCACTGCATCTCCAGGGGCAGAATCATCAGGAACTGCTCCAGGATCACCAGCTCCAGGATCTGCTCCTTGGTGTGTCTCTCCGGCTTCAGCCACTGGCGGCAGAGCTCCCAGAGCTGGCAGAAGACCTTGCGGGGACCCTCGGCCTCCCGGTAACCGAAATGCCGGAAGCGCTGGCAGCGCATCTCCATGTTTAGGGCGTCTGCGTCCGGGATCTCCTCCTTCACTCCCACAGAGGCGTCTGCATTTTCCTGAGCCTCGTGGACCTCCTTGCCGCTCAGGCCTAGCAGGGCCAGATCCGCACTCTCTTCTCTGGACCACTGCTTAGTGTCCGACGCCCCTTCAAAGGAGGCCTTCGTCCCTGCAGAGCTCTCCTCCGTCGGGGGCCGAGGCAATAGTGCGTCTCCCCACCCGGGATACGAGGACGGGGCTGCTGTCTTCAGAAATTCCTGCTTCCTGGCTTCCCAGAACTCCTGCACCCGATCCTCTGGTTCTTCCTTAACCCGAGGCGGAATCATTTCCGCGCTCGTCCCAATTTGGACAATGCGAAGTTCTTTCCCTGGCATGCCCTTCACCGACGTAGGTCCTGGCGAGGCCCGCTCCTCCATTTTGACTCCTGGCACGTGGCACCTAGACAGGAAAGGAAATTTGATGAGTTTAAGTAGAAAAAAGGAAAGTGGTGCAAGATTGGACCAAATAAGTATCTCCCTTGAACGCACCACATCCCTGTCGCTTCTCAATTTGGGGAATGCGGATGTGCACTTAAGGCCGCATTGTGAAGACAAATTGACTTTCGGCAATTAATGTTATTTATCCGTTTGTATGCCAAAAAGGCTTTTTAAGTGGTTTGCAAATATGAAATCAAGTTACAAAATCCACACATAGTTAAAATGAAGAAATAAAACAATTCCAAAGCAATTAAAACAGTTTTTTAAAAAACAAAGCAATTGAATTTTCCAGGACAAAGTCCCTGCGCATGGCACTTCACTGAGTGCAAGAGGTCCCTGCCCCAAGGAGCTTACAATCTTAAACTCAACACAGGGAACAGCAGAAAAAGAGGGAAAGAGTAAAAAGAGAAGCAATGTGATTTCTGTACATGGCCCTCAGGTGTCTCCCAAGAAGGCCACATCCCTCACTTGCCCTGCTTCACACCCCCTGGGCTGGAAAACATCCTTGAACTCTGATCAGCCTTCTTTATGGTCCAGCTCTCACTTCCATACATCACTACTGGGGAAACCATGGCTTTAACTATACGGACCTTTGATGGCAAGGTGATGTCTCTACTTTTTAAGATACTGTCTAGGTTTGTCATTCCTTTTCTCCCAAGAAGCAGGCATCTTTTAATTTTGTGGCTGCTGTCACCATCTGCAGTGATCATGGAGCCCAAGAAAGTAAAATCTCTCACTGCCTCCATTTCTCCCCCTTCTGGCATCTCTGCTTAGTGCTGTCAAAACACTGACCGGCAGCGCTTCTCCAGGCTTTCAGGCTGAACCTGTAGATGCCGCTGGGGACTGAACCGAGGCCTTCTACATGCAAGGCAGGTGCACCAACCGCAGGCGCTGCTCATTCCTGGAAGGGCTTGTCTGTGCTTGGCTGTGATGCTGATCACAGATTCATATGAGCGTGTCCTGGATCTGGGAGGGCGCGGGCACTTTGTGCCTTCACTCCGCGCCTGAAACGGGGGAACCTTCTGCATTGCAAAGCAGTTGCTCCTGCCGCCAGGCTTGCGGATCTTCTGCAGAAGGAGGCTGCTGTTAGCATACACGTGTGTGTGTGTGTGTGTGTTAGCCAACACGTTTCATCTTAGGTACTCCTGCCTGCCTGCCTGCCTCCACCTGGGAGACTGGGATTCCCACCTCCCACCCCTCTTCTCCCTCCCAGGAATCCTGACTCCTATTATTATTATTATTATTATTATTATTATTTCACTCGCCTGTTGCTTCCACTGCCTTTGCAAACCGTCCACGTTCCGGGCTCCTGCCGTCCCCAGCAGAAGGAAATGATGGGAAGGGGGGAGGGAGGGCTGGCGGTGCAAAAGGGAAGCTTCGCACCAGGAAGGGGAGAAGGTGGGGCAGGAAAGTGACCTCACTGCTTTTCTATCTCTTTGCGCACTCTTTCCCTTCCCTTCCTCGCCATGTGGCTCTGGTTTCCCTCCTCTCTAGGCGCGCGAATCTCGCTGCACTTAACCCCTTGAGGGAGATAGAGAAAGAAGAGAGGGGAGAGAGAGAGAGAGAGAGAGAGAGAGAGAGGGGAAGACTCATATAATTGTCGCGTCGGAAGGGGGCCCGAGGGTCATCCAGTCCAACCCCTTGCAATGCAAGGGATCTCAACTACAGCAACCACGACAGATGGCCCTCCAACCGCAGAGACATTGCGTTTTGTCTGTGTGAAACCGGTGTCATTCTTAGGGGCATCTGTCTGTCTGGGGAGAGAATGGGAATCCCTTGCAGACGACCGCAGTGCCTGGAGACGATGTTTCTTCGAGATGTTGGGGTGGTGGATTAGGACCCGGGTGGAGCAAGATTAAAATGTCTTGCTCGGCCCAACCTACCTCGCAGGGTTGTTGTGAGATTGAAATGGAGGGCGGGGCAGATGGGGGGAGAACCATGTAAACTACCTGAATTCCCTTGGAGGAAATACCGGCTGTAAATGCAACGGGAATAATAGCAATAAACAGAAGAATAAATAATGTACAGGGCAACTCTTGTTCAGGGCTGCTCAGAGCTAAGTTCAGTGGGACGTACTCTCAAGTAAAGGTATACAGTGGTACCTCGGGTTGAAGTAGCTTCAGGTTGAGCGTTTTCGGGTTGCGCTCCGCAGTGACCCAGAAGTAACGGAACATGTTACTTCTGAGTTTCGCCGTTCGTGCATGTGAAGACGCTCAAAATGACATCACTCGCATGCGCGGAAGCGGCGAATCGTGACCCGCGCACGTGCAGACACAGGTTGCGTTCGCTTCAGGATGTGAACGGGGCTCTGGAACAGATTCCCTTCGCATCCAGAGGTACCACTGTATAAGGTTGCAGCCTTATTAATATACAGTGGTACCTCGGGTTACATACGCTTCAGGTTACAGACTCCGCTAACCCAAAAATAGTACCTCGGGTTAAGAACTTTGCTTCAGGATGAGAACAGAAATTGTGCAGTGGCGGCGCAGCAGCAGCACGAGGCCCCATTAGCTAAAGTGGTGCTTCAGGTTAAGAACAGTTTCAGGTTAAGAACGGACCTCCAGAACGAATTAAGTACTTAACCTGAGGTACCACTGTACAGGCAGCAGCTCCCTGCTATATCTAGAGAGGCTCAGAAGCAAAAATTTGAGGAGAGTTGGGTTCTGAAGGAGTAGTACCTCGGGTTACAGACACTTCAGGTTACATACGCTTCAGGTTACAGACTCCGCTAATCCAGAAATAGTACCTCGGGTTAAGAACTTTGCTTCAGGATGAGAACAGAAATTGTGCTCCGGCGGCAGCAGGAGGCCCCATTACCTAAAGTGGTGCTTCAGGTTAAGAACAGTTTCAGGTTAAGAACGGACCTCTAGAACGAATTAAGTACTTAACCCGCAATTTTGCTAAAGCAATTTTGCTTGACTGACTGGCTCCTTATTGCGCTCCAGGATGGATAACTATTTCCAGCCTGAGGGCCACATTCCTTTATGGTCAGCTTTCCAAGGGCCACATGGCAGTAGTGACCAGTGGGTGGAGCAACGGATGCAATTTTTAGAAATTTCGAAGCCTGGCACTCAGTTAAGAATTCATTGAACAATTAACTTACAGTACAGTGGTTTACATGGCTAGTCAGAAGTTTATTGGTGTTTAATGGGGCTTACTCTGTTTGTGTGCCGCTGCTGCTGCTGCTGCTGCTGCTGCTGCTGCTGCTGCTGCTGTAGTAACCCACCTGAGACCAGTTGAAATTCAATGCCCTAGGCCATCAGAGTATTTCAATATCTCAGACCAAAGATAGGCAACCTGTGGCCCTCCAGATATTGCCTGCCCCTCAATGCCTCAACTCCCATCATCCATGCTGGTGGATGGGAGTTGGGAGTCTAAGACTGGAGTTGCAATCAGGGAGTGGATCATACTCAAAGATACAGATTTGCTAGACCTAGAGGTTTTCGATAACCGATTCTGCTGGCATGCATATTTAGTTTACAATAAGGTAAAGGCGCACAGGGGCTTTTTAAAACATATAATCAGGAAATCTCTTTATAAGATCTAGGAGAAATACAAGATGTTGTTGGAACCTAAAGCCCCCTGGTGGACCTCTCCGATAGAAGCCACGGCTGTAAAAAGGAAAGATGCAAAAGGTGACTGGGCAACGCATAGAATGATATTGGAAGAAAAAAACAATAAGCTAAATTTGAATAAATTTGAAGAAATTAGAGGGTATGGCTACAATGAGAGATTGAGTATCGACAAACGAAAAGGATTCAAAAAAGAAACTTCAAGATTAGAAAAATGGAAAGTAGAGGCATGGAATAGTTATTTGTTTGAACTTATTCAGTCAGACATTGTCGCAGTCATGTCACAGGAAACAACATCAAGTCCACCACGATAAGGAACAGATGGAGCCCCTATCTTCAATGGATAAAAACTACTGGAACAAATGACATTTGATGAAAACTAAAGACACTATGCCCATGAGCATGGCTGAGGATAATTGTTTGAACCCTTCCAATGGATATGGGGGGGGGAGGGAAAGGAAAAAATTGTACAGGAAATTTAAAAATTGGAAGGAGATAATATAACGTATGTAAAAATCCCGAACTCAAATAAAACTGTTCCAAAAAAAGGGGGGGGGGAATAAAAATAGATGCTTTGTGATACACCCCTCTTCTCAGCCGCTTCATGAAGTTCAATAACAAAGGTGCTTGTCTGCAATGCTATCTGCACAGCTTTTGATGTATCGTCGTCTTGCCCCTGCAACAGTTCCAGCTTTTCCTCAAATCACAATGATATAGCGGGTCTCTTCCGAAGCTCATCCTGTTTATCTAAGTCTTTCGTTTATCTTAGACTAAGCTGCACTGGAAGAAACCCAACAGCATCCCAAGCTGAAGATGAGATGGCAGGATATCCCTTAGCTGGAGAACCCCCTGCAAAAGTCTCCAAGAAAGGACTGGAGCTTCTATCCACAAGCTCAGATAAAAGAAAATAAATACTTCTTCATGCAGGGCATAGTTAAATTGTGGCACTCACTCCCGCAGGAGGCAATGATAAACTTGGATGTCTTTAAAAGAGGACTGGGCAAATTCATGAAGAGTAAGGCTATCAATAAAAGGGATGCGGGTGGCCCTGTTGGTTAAACCACAAAGCCTAGGACTTGCCGATCAGAAGGTCGGCGGTTCGAATCCCCACGACGGGGTGATCTCCCATTGCTCGGTCCTTGCTCCTGCCAACCTAGCAGTTCGAAAGCACATCAAAGTGCAAGTAGATAAATAGGTACCACTCAGGCGGGAAGGTAAACGGCGTTTCCGTGCGCTGCTCTGGTTCGCCAGAAGTGGCTTAGTCATGCTTGCCACATGACCCGGAAGCTGTCCCTCGGCCAGTAAAGCGAGATGAGCACCGCAACCCCAGAGTCGGCCACGCCTGGACCTAATGGTCATGGGTCCCTTTACCTTTACCTTAAGGCTATCAATGGTTATCAGCCATGATGGCTGCCTCCATTGTTGGAGGCAGGGATGCATCTGAATCCTGTGGACCACGGGGGGGGGGGGGAGAATGCTCTTGTGCTTAGGTCTTGCTGGAGAGTTTTCCAGAGCCACCTGTTTGCCCATTGAACAGGATGCTGGACTAGATGGGACACTGAACTGTTAACAGAGAAATCTGAGGGCTCGCTTAGACAAAAAACCAGCCAGGAATACCAGAGCAAAACAGCAGCCAGTAGGCTTGGTCTTTATTGAAGACTGTCGCGACAGGACTCCCACCTGCCACAAGGTGGAACAAGATGGAAGCCCCGAACAAAAGAGAACCCAAACTTTTATTAGCTGCTAATCCCCATGTTCCATCCCCCCCCCCAACTACATCACTCATACATCACGGTTACATCATGAAAGGGGAGGTCTGGTGGCAGTAATCTGAGCATCCTGGACTCTGCCCTTTGGTTCTCCTTGCCCTCCACCAAACACCCATCAAGCGTAACAAAAGAGATACAGTCATACCTCGGGTTAAAGTAGCTTCAAGTTAAGTATTTTCGAGTTGCGCTCCGCGGCAACCTGGAAGTAACGGAGCATGTTACTTCTGGGTTTCGCCGCTCGCGCATGCGCAGATGCTCAAAATGACATCATGCGCATGCACAGAAGTGGCGAAACGCCACCCGCGCAGTCATGTGTTACGTTTACTTCAGGATACGAATGGGGCTCGAAGCGGATCCCGTTTGTATCCAGAGGTGCCACAGTATTTACATTTCCCTGTTTCCCAGCCAAGTTAATCATACCCTTTTGGGTTTGTTATTACTGGAATGGCTATGAAATACACTCGGAGTCGAGAGTGGATTTCATGCTCTTTATTCAACTCATAGTGGTGAGGAGGAATGGAAGTTCCCCCAGAATGTCTGCTTTATATACATTATTTACACAATGGGCAACGTATGATTGGCTAATTCCGGGATTCACCTGTAGGCCAATCAGGTCGCGGATTCACTTCCACCTGGAGCTGGATTGGGTGGCTCCTGTGGACGAATCAGACTGCTGCATTTTGGAGCCTATTGTTCTAGGACCAACCAGGCTGCTGCATTCTGAATCCTATTGTTCTAGGACCAATCGGACTGCTGCATTTTGGATCCTATTCAACTCAGTACATAACAACCCATAATACACTTTGTAGGATTTTTTGGGGGGTGGGGGCGGGGAAGCTGTGACTGTGATGTGATACTGCTTTAAATGTACTGTGCAGATGGGGCCTAACCCAGCATTCGCAAGCAACGAACTTGGCTTTTGAATACCAAGACAAGCCCTTCTTAGAATTGTAGCTCTGGGACAGGAATAGTGGCACCCTTAATAAACAACACCAGTTCCCAGAATTCTTAGGGCTGCTTAAAGTGACTCTGCTTTACAGTGGTACCTCTAGTTGCGGACTTGATCTGTTCCAGGGTGCCATTCGCACCCTGAAAAGTCCACAACTAGAGTGCAGCTTCTGTGCACACGCGCGGCACGATAGAGTGCTTCTGCGCATGTGCGAAGTGCGCAGATTGCTTCTGCACATGTGCAAAGCACTCAGATCGCTTCTGCGCATGCGCGTGCAGCGAACCCAGAAGTAAACCCTTCCAGGTTTGCTGCATTCATAACCCGAAAAGACGCAACATGAAGTAGACACAACACAAGGTATGACTGTATAGGTGTAGTGCAGATTGGGCTTGAGTCAGAGGACTGGCTCATTTAGCTCAGTATTGTCAACACTGACTGACAGCAGCTCTCCGGGATTTCCACCCAAGGCCCGCCCTAGACCTCACTCTATTCTTCTTCTAGACAACTTCAGGGGAAAAGCCTAGGCCGGCAAAAGCCACATACATAGGGTGGGAGGCACGGGGAGAGGTGTGGTCTGGGGAGACTGAATGGCGTGGACCAGACAGAGAGGATTGGAGGGCCACATTGGAGCCCCAGTGTTCTCCCTCACTTATCTAGCTCAGTACTGTCTCCTACAAACTCTCTGGGGTTTTCGGGCATATTAGGAGAAATCCCGCCCCCCACTGCACTAGAGGGTGACAGCAGCCACGAAATTAAAAGACGCCTGCTTCTTGGGAGAAAAGCAATGACAAACCTAGACAGCATCTTCAAAAGTAGAGACATCACCTTGCCAACAAAGGTCCGTATAGTAAAAGCTATGGTTTTCCCAGTAGTGATGTATGGAAGTGAGAGCTGGACCATAAAGAAGGCTGATCGCCGAAGAATGGATGCTTTTGAATTACGGTGCTGGAGGAGACTCTTGAAAGTCCCATGGACTGCAAGAAGATCCAACCTATCCATTCTGAAGGAAATCAGCCCTGAGTGCTCACTGGAAGGACAGATCCTGAAGCTGAGGCTCCAATACTTTGGCCACCTCATGAGAAAAGGAGACTCCCTGGAAAAGACCCTGATGTTGGGAAAGATGGAGGGCACAAGGAGAAGGGGACGACAGAGGACGAGATGGCTGGATAGTGTTCTCGAAGCTACCAGCATGAATTTGACCAAACTGCGGGAGGCGGTGGAAGACAGAAGCGCCTGGCGTGCTCTGGTCTATGGGGTCACGAAGAGTTGGACACGACTAAACGACTAAACAACAACAACAACAACTGCACTAGAGGGCTGGAATTCGAACTTGGGTCTCTTGCATCAAAACCAAATTGCTTCAGCTTTTGTGCAACATTTGCCCATGATGGGAAGAGTTTTCTTGCCTGGCAGTGAGGTGCAGTCGTGTTGGCCTCCCTTTCTTCTCAGCGCAGGGTTGCAGCAAGTCCTCTAATGCCTTAGTCGACAGTGCCATGTTCTTTTGGGTGCAGTGCCCCCTCCAGGGTTGTCCTCTCACCCCCCCGCCGCCCCATATTCTCCCCACCCTGTTTGCATGTTGACGAGAGTTCCCTGGGTAACAGGAAACCTTTCTCCTCCCATGCATTGTGTGGGGCAGGAAACCTTTGACAATGGAGTACAGAGACGGCAGGATGTCCCTCGTTCTTTAAGCAGGGTGGGGGTGGGGGGTGACAGGGAGAAATCCATTGCACAGCCGTACAGCCCATCTGCAGATATGGGGGGCTCTGTGGGTGGGGGGCACCCAAGGGACACCTCTTGATCCGGTTCTGTCCCGCAATCTTGGCTTCGGTTTTTGACACCCTTCCCTGGACGCCTGGGTTCTGCCTTCTGAGCTCACTTCTGGACGGATAGGAAGGGAAGTTGCGGGGGGGGGGTCTGTAGGGTGGTCTTCAAACAGGATGGATCGCTTGCTGCTGCTGGCCTTGATTCCACTTGCTCGGGGTGAGTATTAAGTTAGCCAACCTATGGCAGGTGGAAGGGGTTCAATCCTTCATCCTCGCTGAATTTCAGCCGGGGAAAGTTCCCAACTTCTCAGCCCATCTATGCAACTGTGCCTTTGCCAGCAATCTGATCCGACCACAGCAATGCTCAGTGTTCGTCTTGGTGCAGAGAGTGATGCTATCAACTACTGAATTTCTCCAGATCCAGCTGCCGTGAGAGGCGCACAGCTGCAGAGAAGGGCTGAAACGTTGGCAACCAGAGGCACCGTTTATTTATATATTTTTGTATGCAGTTGATGTGGCTTTTGGGGGCAGTGTGTGGCTTATTTGTGTACGCATAACTGTTTCCATTTGCATGTTTGTACGTGTGGTCACACTGCACACATATATGTGCAAAACCACACTTAGGTTTGCTCATTGGATGTTGTTGTTTAGTTGTGTCCGACTCTTCGTGACCCCCTGGACCAGAGCACGCCAGGCACTCCTGTCTTCCACTGCCTCCTGCAGTTTGGTCAAACTCATGCTGGTAGCTTCGAGAACACTGTCCAACCATCTCGTCCTCTGTCATCCCCTTCTCCTAGTGCCCTCAATCTTTCCGAACATCAGGGTCTTTTCCAGGGAGTCTTCTCTTCTCATGAGGTGGCCAAATCATTGGAGCCTCAGCTTCAGGATCTGTCCTTCCAGTGAGCACTCAGGGCTGATTTCCTTCAGAATGGATAGGTTTGATCTTCTTGCAGTCCATGGGACTCTCAAGAGTCTCCTTCAGCACCATAATTCCAAAGCATCAATGCTTCAGCGATCAGCCTTCTTTATGGTCCAGCTTTCACTTCCATACATCACTACTGCTCACTGGATAGGTATATGTAAATGAAACTGGGAGGGGGACTTGTAGCCCCTTGGATATTATGGACTGCAATTCGCCGTCATCTATGACCACTGGCCATGCTGGCTGAGGCTGATGAGAGCTGGAGTCCAGCAACATGCTCTGGAATACCACAGGTTCTCCCTCCCTGATGTAAAAAAAAAAAAAAGGAATTGAGGAACTGCAATTGTGGCAAAGGAGCTGTGAATCAGGTTACTGTGTGTAACCAGTGACAGCTCCTGCTGTTTCATATCCTTTGAGCTACTAACAGCTGAACCCTGGGCCATCTACCCTCAAGCCATGTGCTCTATCCCACAGCCGTGCTCTCTCCCTTTGTGTGAGTTTTCACGCAAAGCAGCAAAAGAAGCGGTTAGCCCAAGGGTAGGCAAACTAAGGCCCAGGGGCCGGAGCTGGCCCATTCGCCTTCTAAATCCGACCCGTGGACGGTCCGGGAATTGGCATGTTTTTACATGAGTAGAATGTGTGCTTTTATTTAAAATGCATCTCTGGGTTATTTGTGGGGCCTGCCTGGTGTTTTTACTTGAGTAGAATGTGTGCTTTTATTTAAAATGCATCTCTGGGTTATTTGTGGGGCATAGGAATTCGTCCATTATTATTATTTTTCAAAATATAGTCCGGCCCCCCACAAGGTCTGAGGGACAGTGGACCGGCCTGGGCCCTGGCTTAGCCTGTTTCCAGGCTGCACTGCTTTAAACTACAGGTAGAGGCAACTGATGTAACTATATGTTGCTCCGTACCAATAAAACTAAATAAAAATCCCCGGATGTAGAAATCTAGCATCTCAGGGAGAGAGACTGTGCTTGAAACTGTCCCCCTGGCAGGCTAGTTTTCTAAGTGCAGGACTATTTTAAAAATTCTGGAAGAGTATTTGATCATGCTGAGCCTAAAATGGCACAGCCCAGAAACAGATTCACCAACAACTCTGTTGTTTATGTGAATTAATCCCATGGACTTGAACCATCTCGTTGTTCTGTTTTTTCTCCTGGCCAGGTCTGTCTTGCAACCAGGTTCCCTGCAAGAATGGAGGCATCTGTGTGAGTCACACCAATGGGACTTTCTCCTGCCTGTAAGTTTTCAGGATTCACAATAAGGAAATAAATAAAGTGTCTGGGATAAAGGGGCAAGGAGTTGAAATTATCCCAAGAGAGAGTACATTTTCCAGGACGATGTTCCCTTTCTTAGAATCGAACTATGCGAAGGATGACTCAGCCTTCGTTACTCTTTTATCCCCCTCCCACCTGCCCTTCCTCTAATTATCCCAGGGTGATGTAACACAGCATTTCCTACGCCACCTCCTTTTGCCATCATGACAGCCCTGCGATGTAGACTAGGCTGAGAAGCAGCCGCCGGCGTTTTGCTAGGTACTCAAAAGACTCCGAGCCCAAAACACCACCTAGAGTTTGCATAGGGCGGTTTATAGACACTGAATGCAAATTTAGGCTGGGTTTTGGAGCGGGCAGGAAGGAGTAAATGAAAGCTGGCTCTTACTGCCAAACTCTGAGCTGTGCGGGTGCCAACAAGATGTGCTGGGCTCAGAAGCCTGGACTGTACCCCTGGCTTCATTCGATTTCATTTGATGTCACTGCGACATCAGGTGATTGACAGGTGGGCGGCAGGCAGGAGGGTGGGGCTGCACTGGTTTTTGGGCTTCCCCAGTGGTGGAGTTCCTGTGGGTTACCAGGAAGGAGAGGGGCAAGGCAGTACTGAGGTCAGCGCAGTATAAACTGGCAGAGCTAATCTGGCACTTTTGAGAATGTATTTGCACCACACCAACTTTTCCTTTTCTCTCTTTACAACAACTTGAGCTCCTGGCAGTAGAAAACTAGCCTGCCAGGGGGACAGTTTCAAGCACAGTCTCTCTCCCTGAGATGCTAGATTTCTACATCCGGGGATTTTTATTTAGTTTTATTGGTACGGAGCAACATATAGTTACATCAGTTGCCTCTACCTGTAGTTTAAAGCAGTGCAGCCTGGAAACAGGCTAAGCCAGGGCCCAGGCCGGTCCACTGTCCCTCAGACCTTGTGGGGGGCCGGACTATATTTTGAAAAATAATAATAATGGACGAATTCCTATGCCCCACAAATAACCCAGAGATGCATTTTAAATAAAAGCACACATTCTACTCAAGTAAAAACACCAGGCAGGCCCCACAAATAACCCAGAGATGCATTTTAAATAAAAGCACACATTCTACTCATGTAAAAACACCAGGCAGCCCCCACAAATAACCCAGAGATGCATTTTAAATTAAAGGACACATTCTCCTCATGTAAAAACACCAGGCAGGCCCCACAAATAACCCAGAGATGCATTTTAAATAAAAGCACACATTCTACTCATGTAAAAACATGCCGATTCCCGGACCGTCCGCGGGTCGGATTTAGAAGGCGAATGGGCCGGATCCGGCCCCTGGGCCTTAGTTTGCCTACCCTTGGGCTAACCGCTTCTTTTGCTGCTTTGCGTGAAAACTCACACAAAGGGAGAGAGCACGGCTGTGGGATAGAGCACATGGCTTGAGGGTAGATGGCCCAGGGTTCAGCTGTTAGTAGCTCAAAGGATATGAAACAGCAGGAGCTGTCACTGGTTACACACAGTAACCTGATTCACAGCTCCTTTGCCACAATGCTTCTTGTGGGAGTCCCTACCAGCCTGTCAAACTTGCCCCATAGGGAGTGGGGGAGATAAAGATGCTCCCCAATGGACAGAGCCAGTTCTCCCTGCCGCCGCCAACACACCTCTAGTGCAAACGACCCAGGGCTCAGCCCCCACCACAAGATAGTAATTGGATTCAATATCATCCAGTGAGCTCCGAGCAGGTATTCTGCACAGGCTCAGAGTCACTCAAGGTTTCATGTTCCTTCCTGCCCCTCTGCCGGGGACTGAGCCCTGATATTGAAAGCAAGTCCTGAACCGACACTGAGCATATTATGACCTCCAAGGTCCCTTTTTTGAACACAGTGGTACCTCGGGTTACAGACGCTTCAGGTTACAGACGCCGCTAACCCAGAAATAGCACCTCAGGTTAAGAACTTTGCTTCAGGATGAGAACAGAAATTGTGCGGTGGCGGTAGCGGGAGGCCCCATTAGCTAAAGTGGTACCTCAGGTTAAGAACAGTTTCAGGTTAAGAACGGAATTGCAGAGCTTGCAGGGACCCTGAGAGTCATCTAGTTCAACTTCCTGCAACGCAGGAATCTCAACTGAAGCATCCATGACAGATGGCCCCCCAAACTCAGCTTTAAAACCTCCAGTGAAGCAGAGTCCACCAGTTCTCCACCAGTTCTCCCTGATGTTTAGTCAGAATCCCCTTTCTTGGAGCTTGAATCCATTGGTTCAAGTCCTACCCTCCTGAGCAGGAGAAATCAAGCTTCCTTGTGACAGGCCTTTAGATATTTAAAGATGGCTATCCTATTTCTTCTCAGGGCTTGTCTATACTTCAGCTTTTGCTGTGCCTAGAAAACTCAGCTCCAAGCACTTTTCCTTTTGCTTTCTCTTCCCAGAGCTACAGTTCCCAGAGTGGTTGGTTGGTTATTGATTGACTGATTGATTGATTGGTTTTCACATATTACATTACAAATTTACCAAAGCCAACACTATTTCCTCCCCATCCCCCCCATACATTTACATTTATATCTCCTCAATCCATCATATTATTCTTTTCTCCCTCCTCCCGCTTCCCTCCACCCCCACTCGATTTCCTCCACGTTATACAATTTACAATAATCTTTGCATTCTACAGTCTTCTCAAATCATCTATATATTCTTATTATCTTTCCTTACTAATTTTTCTTCCATCCAGAGTGGTTTAACGGTCATCTCCTCTGGGAATTGAAGGGAATAGTGGTCTCCTAAAAACTCTCAGCACCCATAACAAATGACTGTCTGGCAACTAGGTTTATAGCTCGGACTCAGGCTACACTAGAGCTTTTTGTGCTTTAGGGAAGTTTATCCTTTCTCTAACTTTTCTTCTTCTTCTTCTTGCCTTGCCAGGTGCCTCGCCGGCTACGTGGGAGAGACTTGCCAATTTGTGGACCCCTGCACACCTGGGCGCTGCCAGAACAGGGGCACCTGCTCCCTCACAGCCCTTCTTCCCCCAAACGCCCCGGCCTACACGTGCCTGTGCCCTCCAGGTTTCACTGGGGAGGAATGCCAGGGAGTGGTTGGAGACCCCTGCTTCCCTTCCCCCTGCCAACATGGGGGGACGTGCCACTGGCTCTCCGGGAAAGAGTATCGATGCCAGTGCTTGCCAGGGTGGACAGGTATGGCAAAGGAAGACACATACACACACACACACTTGTGGCTTCTGTTTGGGAAATCAACTCAGGGTAGGCCCACTGCAATCAACAGACATGATTAGCTTAGGTGCATTAATTCCAATGCTCTTGAGTAGAATTTAGCTTGGTGCAACTCACAGTCCAGGATGCGCTATAAGGGCGAACGTATCCATTTCGGTTACTCTCATTTTATCATTTCTCCAGTCTTAAATTCAGCTACCCACAATTCCACATCAGCTTGCGATTCTTTCTTTCTTTTTAAGTTCCTCCTAAAAGTTCATTAGTATTTTAAGCGCTGATTTCTCTTAGCTTGTGCATTTTTGTACACAATTTCCCCCCAAAATACCATCAAACCTCTGCTCCCGAACACGGAAAACCCAGAAGTAACTGCTCCAGTTTTCAAATGATTTTCGGAAGCCAAACAGCTTCCAGGGAGTTTTTTTTCTTTTTTCTCCATTGACTTTGCCGATCATCCTCTGATTCTTGGTTGACAAACAGATTCGACAACAGAGGTTTGACTGTACGTAATTTTGCAAGGTGGTTCTGCCTTTTCGCAGGTTGTTTTCACTAATAGATGCATGTTGAAGTACATGCATTCTTGTACTTTGACCCAACTGTATATGCATCCTTGTACACGCTACTAGGATGGAGAATGGCATTGTAAAATGTAGGCAAGTGGGAATTTCAAAGGATGGCCATATCTCAGTTTTGGGAACGTATTGTCACAGTGTTTAAAGGGATTTTTCCCAGCCCTCCCTGGAGATTAAACCTGAGACAAAGCATTAAGCTGTGGCTCTTCTCCCAGAAGAAAAGCACAGTAGGAAGGACGGACATAATTATGTAGCATAGGACTATCATAATAAGATGGTTAATGATAGCATGAAGAGAGACTCCATATTCAGAGTTAGTCTATCATGGAACGCCAGTTGCTGCATGGGCCAGGGAGGACTATTGCCCTGCTTCTGAGAGTTAGCAAAGTCACTTAAATAAGACAGACGGAGTCCAGAGAGAAAAGAAATCCTAAAAGAAACAGTGTATAATCTGAGGAGAAAGGAACCAAGAGGTTTTGTTATCTTTAATTCAGGCCTTGCACATCACAGGGAGACATTCAACCAAACATACAGAGGAAAACTCCTATAGAACTACACAGCCAATCAAAGCACACCTTACTTCGGGGAAGGTCATGCCACTTTGCCTGGCAGCTAAGCAGCACCTTCACCCTATGCCTACATGGGCACTGGCTGGGGGTGGGAGTGGGGCGTGCCAACCTTCTCCACCCAGCGCAGCAGCTTGGGGGTTACCACTTCCTTCGCGCCTTCCGCTCTTAGCCTGTTGAATGTAACAAAGAACAGAGTTAACCCTTTAGCTGCACAAAGTATGATCTCTGCTGCGGCACTTCTGACGCCGTGCTTCCTTTGAAAGCCATCTGGGTGACTACTGTCGGAAACAGGATGCTGAATTGCATTGACCTTTAACCTTACATTCTTGTGAGAGCCAGAGGGGAGGAAAAAGCTGGGAAAGAAGGTTGGCTTATGCGTTTGGCTTTGCTTCCAGGGAAGAACTGCCAGCTGATGGACTTCTGCCCGGCAAATCCCTGCGCCAACGGCGGGACTTGTGTCATCACCTACCCGGTCATCGTTTGCCAGTGCCGGCCAGGCTTTGAAGGGCACACCTGCCAGCACGATGTCAACGAGTGCTTTGGGGACCCTCACCCCTGCCTCAACGGAGGCAGCTGTATTAATAACATTGGCTCGTTCCGCTGCGTTTGCCCACCCAGTTCTACGGGTCCGCTCTGCCAGTACCGTCTGGGACCCTGTTCCCCAGAGATCTGCCTCCATGGCAGCACCTGCCACCCTGTTGATGAAAGATACCATGGCTGCCTGTGTCCCCCAGGTAAGAAACAGGCGAGGTTGATAAACCCGATCCGTGGATTCTGTCTGGATTTGGAGTAGAAGGATCTCTAAATTTCAGTGCTCATTTGTCCAAGCTTTGATTCAATTCTCCATGTTTTTGCAGCAATTTAGAGGGTTGTTTTTTTTAAGAAATGCACGTGGAAATTCATTATTGTGAATTGCACTCAACTCTGCAAGCGGTTTTACCCTAAAGTAATGTGTTTTGTGTGTGCTGTTTTCACCAATATGTTCATTTTTACTCACGCTCTCCCCTAATGTTGGGGGACAGAATGCGAAGTATGAAGCAGCAATAATAATAATTTATTATTTGTACCCCACCCATCTGACTGGGTTGCCCCAGGCACTCTGGGCAGCTACCAGCATATATACTATTGGCTTTAAAGTCTACCCAGGGGCAGAGGAAGAGGGGTGCAGCGGGTGCGGGAAGCCCCGGGTGGTGGTGGTGGTGTTGTTGTTATTAAATGGAAAACCCCCTAAGCATGGGCTTATTTTGCGTAATGGTTCGTGCGGCCCTGCAGGTAACCATGGTTACCATCTAAGATGGCCGCCAAGAGCAAATGGTGGCCGTAGGCCTGCTTCCGCACAAGTACCTGAGGAGGGCCCTGTTGCATCAGAACCAAGGCCTGTCCACCTTCCCAGCGAATCCTCCATGAATTTGTTTTCTCCCCCCTCTAGGCTACACAGGTCAATACTGCGAGGTGAACCCAGACGACTGCATTGGGCATCAGTGCCGCAACGGGGGAACCTGCCAGGATGGGGTGGCATCATATACTTGCCACTGCCTGCCGGGTTGGACAGGTGAGGTACCAGCATGTTCCCACCACTATCTTTGGCAGCTTTTCAAGGTTTCAAGGCAGGGGACATTCCCAGCCCTCCCTGGAGATGTCGGGAATTGAGCCTGGGACTGTCTGCATGCAACACATATGTTCTACCCAAGCTGTGGTCCTCCCCACATTAAAAACCAACCAACCAACCAACCAACCATAGGTTGCCTTATACCAAGTCAGTCTTCCAGCCCCATACTGTCTACACTGACTGGCAGTAGCTCTCCAGGATTTCAGAAAAGGAACATTCCACCCCACCCCAAGATAATAGCAATTGAACCTTCTGTGTTCAAAGATTGGCCCTTTCCCTCACCCTGAGGAAAAGTCGCAGTGCTCAAATGGTTTTGTAAAATGCTTTGAGGGGTTTTCTTTCTTGCACTGTATCAGTTTTATGAAATAATTGTTTATGAAGTAAGGGGAGGGAGCAGTGGTATTGTGTGATGGGTTCTGAACTGACCAAGGATAGATCTCAGGGGAGCAGATGAATGCTCATGGGACACACAGTCTTGGTGAGTTGGCGGCAACATCAAAGGGGGGGGGGGAGCAAATGCCATGTTAGGAAAGGGATCAGAAATAAAACAGATAGCATCATAATCTCATTAAAAAGCTACCGATCCTGCCCCGCCAGCCTCTTAACGGGTAAACAAGGAAACCAGGAAGCTCCCAGCTTCCTGAATTAGGCGTAAAAGGAGCTGTCTGGCTATCAAAGGAAAGCGACTTGCTTAATGGTCGCCTGAGAAGCAGAATCCGCAGAGACACCCTGTGATGGGTTGGCGAGAGCCTTCTGAGCTGAGAAACAGCAAGCACACGTGGTTTAGCATTAAGTAGGGATGTTCCCCAGCCACACTGACCTCTCACTTCCCTGACAGCAGTTGCACTCTTTGTCAACATCCTGTTGCTGACGCTGTTGAGAATGTTGTTTGCAAACTTCAGGACCCTAGGGCAGCCCAAACATCCACAGAAGCCGCTGTGTGCTGACTGCATCAGACCACTGGTGTCTCTGTTATCTGACCAGCTGAAGCACCACAAGCTAGCGATGCAAGAACTGAGCCTGGGGTCTTGTGCATGTGCTGCACCACTGAGCTATGAGCCCTACCATAGTTTGTTGTCACCTTCATAGGAAGGAAGGTGACAAGCAGATGACCGGCTCCTTATCTGATGGGTGGTATTCAATTAAACTTTAATCAGAGTAAACCCCCGACTTTGGGGTTTCGGCGCTCATCTCGCTTTACTGGCCGAGGGAGCCGGCATACAGTTTTCGGGTCATGTGGCCAGCATGACTAAGCCGGTTCTGGCGAACCAGATCAGCACACAGAAACGCCATTTACCTTCCCACCAGAGCGGTACCTATTTATCTACTTGCACTTTGACGTGCTTTCGAACTGCTAGGTTGGCAGGAGCAGGGACTGAGCAACAGAAGCTCATCCCGTGGCGGGGATTCGAACTGCTGACCTTCTGATCGGCAAGTCCTAGGCGCTGTGGTTTAACCCACAGCGACACCCATGTCCCTTTAATCAGAGTAGACCCCCTGAAATAAATGTGCACGGCAAAGTTAGTTCTGCTAAGTTCAGCGGGTCTACTCTGAGTAAGACTTAATTGACTCTGACCTATTGTATGCAGTTTGAGCTCCCTCCACCCCTTTCAGAATCCGGACTGTTTATGAACATTCTGTGAAATCACCACAGTGCTGTCAACACTGACAGAGGGAACCAATATGACCTGGAAACCAAGGCCTATGAGGAACAGATGGGGGAACTGGGTGTGTTTAGCCTGGGAAAGAGAAGACTGAGAGGAAATATGATAGCCGTCTTCAAATATGTCACATCGAAGATGGAGCTGTTTTTTCCTGCTCCAAAGGGTAGGATAAAAACAAAGGCTTCAACTCCAAGAAAAGAGATTCTGACTAAACATCAGGAAGAACTTTCTGACGCTAAGAGCTGTTCCACAGTGGATCCATCTCCCTCAGAAGTGGGTGGACTCCCCTTTCTTGGAGGTTTTTAAGCAGAGGTTGGACAGCCATTTAGCTGACATTCCTGTTTTGCAGGGGGTTGGACTAGAGGCAGTGAGAGATTTTACTTTCCTGGGTTCCATGATCACTGCAGATGGTGACAGCAGTCACAAAATTAAAAGACGCTTGCTTCTTGGGAGAAAAGCAAGGACAAACCTAGACAGCATCCTAAAAAGCAGAGACATCACCTTGCCGAAAAAGGTCCGTATAGTTAAAGCTATGGTTTTCCCAGTAATGATGTATGGAAGTGAGAGCTGGACCATAAAGAAGGCTGATCGCCGAAGAATTGATGCTTTGGAATTATGGTGCAGGAGGAGACTCTTGAGAGTCCCATGGACTGCAAGAAGATCAAACGTATCCATTCTTAAGGAAATCAGCCCTGAGTGCTCACTGGAAGGACACATCGTGAAGCTGAGGCTCCAATACTTTGGCCACCTCATGAGAAGAGAAGACTCCCTGGAAAAGACCCTGATGTTGGGAAAGATGGAGGGCACTAGGAGAAGGGGACGACAGAGGACGAAATGGTTGGACTGTGTTCTCGAAGCTACGAACATGTGTTTGACCAAACTGCGGGAGGCAGTGAAAGACAGGAGTGCCTGGCGTGCCCTGGTCCAGGGGGTCACGAAGAGTCGGACACGACTAAATGACTAAACGACAACAACAGGACTAGAGGACCTTCGAGGTCCCTTCCAACACTTTGATTCTATGAAATGCTGTAGGCTGGGGTTACCATAGGGAGGCATGCAGGGCTGGCGTTAGTTTGAGGGCGTGCCAGCTTCCATCAAGGGCTGTTCTGATAACCGCCTATATCTCCTCCCACAGGGCTCCTTTGCCACCTGCATGATGCCTGTCTGAGCAACCCATGCCACCCCGATGCGTTCTGTGACACTGACCTCCGGACCGGCAATGCCGTCTGCACCTGCCAGCCAGGCTACGCTGGGCCCACGTGCTACGAAGACATCAACGAGTGCCTGATGGGTAAAGTGGGTGGCGTAGGTTGGGGTAGAGAAAAATATGCCCATGATCAGAAGTAGAACCTGATTGGGAACGAATGCTGAATAAGAGGACCGTCCGGAAGCACTCTGTGTGAGCAGATGGCCACGTCCCCTTCCCTGCGTCTGTGTCAGGGTCAGAGTCAGGCACAGGTCAGCAATGAAACAATAAATCACCCGAGGCCAGTGAAACAAAGAAAACAAACCGCAAGCTCTGGCCTGGTGATCTCAGTAGCTGTCCTGGAGGTCTTGCCTCAAGGAGACAGATAGTTGTGAGCACCTCTGCTCTCTAAGACTTCTTCCCTAGCAGCCTAAGGCAGCGGTTCTCAACCTGTGGGTCCCCAGATGTTGTTGGACTACAACTCCCATCATCCCTGAGCTCTGGCCTTGCTAGCTAGGGGTGATGGAAGTTGTAGTTCAACAACATCTGGGGACCCACAGGTTGAAAAAGGCTGGCCTAAGGTTTCTCCTTCTTGCCTCTTGTAGCTCCGCCCTCTTCATTTCTCTGCATGTTCTGGGAGACCAGGAAGAGGGGAGTTGGTTGCAGCAGGAGGGAGATTCCCCATCTTCTTCCACAACCGGCCTTCACTCAGCCTCTTGACCTCACCCCATCCCTTCCAGCCTTGGAGTCTGAACTGCTGTCTGCCACAGCCTCTTCCTGCTCACTAAACCCTGTTGCCCCTCCTGCTCCTCACAGTCTGCTCCTTCTCCCTCTCACCACTCATCGTCGTCCCACCACCAATCCCCTGGCTCTGAGCCTTCTTCTCTAGGGCTGGCTGGTGCCTTCCACCAGCGTCCTCTACATCCAGTCAGTCTGTGACGGTCTGTTCCTCTCGGCCTGTCCAGGTGCAGAGCCCTGTGAACACGGAGGAAGCTGCCACAACACACCCGGATCTTTTACCTGCCGCTGCCCCGAGGGCTACACGGGCTCTCGCTGTGAAGCGAACCTCAACGAGTGCCTCAGCCAGCCGTGCCACAACGGAGCCTCTTGCCTGGATTTGCTGGGACGCTTCCAATGCCTCTGCCCCTCGGGTAAGGAGCAGGGCTGGGAAGAGAAAAGGTGGTATAGCAGTCGGGCTGTCGAGAGTCGAGTCAGGGAGTCCTGGGTTCAAATCCTGAAACTCAGCCCTCCAGTTTCTTTGGGTTTCCCCTTGGGCCAGTCACGTAAGAGCATAAGCAGAGCCTGTGGCGCTTCTAGCCCAGCATCCTGTTCCCACAGTGGCTGAACCAGTGGGAAACCAGCAAGCAGGATTTGAGCACAGGAGTCCTCTCCCCTCTTGTGGTTTCGCCCATCCCTGCCTCCAGTGAGAGCAAGTTCCGTACAGTGGTACCTCTGGATGTGAACAGGATCTGTTCCAGAGCCCCGTTCGCATCCTGAAGTGAACGCAACCCGCGTCTGCACGTGCGTGGATTGCGATTCGCCGCTTCTGCTCATGCACGAGTGGCAAAACCCGGAAGTAACGCGTTCCATTACTTCCGGGTCGCCGCAGAGCACAACCCGAAAATGCTCAACCCGAAGCTACTTCATCCTGAGTATGACTGTAATTTAATTAGGCACTTTCTTTTATCCATCATCACCATCTCCTTCAGCCAAGTGTCCTTCAATATATTGCCCCCAGATGTTGCTGGACTACAACTCCCATCATCCCCAGCCAGCATGGCTGACGGTCAAGGATAAAGGGAGTCGCTGACCAAAACAGTGCTTTTCATCCTTGGGTCCTCAGGTGTTGTTGGACTACAACATCCATCATCCCCAGCCAATTTAGCTTTTGGGGCTCCACAGGTCAGACTGTCCTGATCAGATCAGCCTCGCAGGCTAAGTTTGGCAGGTGGGTCATGCTGCCCACCTCTCAGTCACCTGATGTCACAATGAGCTCAGGTGCAAGGTGCTTTGAAGTCCCATAGTCGGGACTTCAAAGCACCTTACAAGGCATTGCTTTTTTAAAAATAGGTTTGGTTCCCCATCCTGGTTTTAGCAGGGGTTTGTGTGGAATCCCCTACTAAAATGGAGTAAAAAAAACCCAAAACACATTTGTTTTAGCATGCACACCCCTGCCCGATTCAGGATGTGGTTTGCATGAATTCCTGCTGAACTGGGCAGGATTTAACAGCCCCACCAGCCCCCACTCTTCAGTTAGCAAGTGCGGGAAGTGCCTTAAACCTTCCTGCTTTGACTTTCCCGACTGGGAAGAGGCATGCATAGCCAACGGGTTTTTTAACTCCTTACTACTTCCTACCGGCTGGTGTCACGGGAAAACAACCTCGTGGGCCAACTTGAACCCTCTTGCTAAGCCAAGACTGGATGCGGGCTGGAGATTGCCCACCCCTGCTCTGACCAGTGTACTACACTGCCTTCTTACCCCTAATAATATCTTTCTTCTGTTGATTCCTCTCCAATGTAGGCTTCAGTGGGCCATTGTGTGAAGTGGGACAATGCTCCCGAGATAGCTGCTTCAACGGAGGAACCTGCCTGCAACAGAGCCATGGAGTTGCCTGCCAGTGTCCTCTTGGTAAGTGAGGAACGCAAAAAGAGGAGTCAGAGATCTCAAGCCAGGAGGGGATTTCTGAAGTGGCTGGTTCTTCCTCCTTCCCATTCAACTGCTTGCTCCTAGTATAGTGGTACCTCGGGTTAAGTACTTAATTCGTTCCGGAGGTCCGTTCTTAACCTGAAACTGTTCTTAACCTGAAGCACCACTTTAGCTAATGGGGCCCTCCTGCTGCCGCTGTGCTGCCAGAGCACGACTTCTGTTCTCATCCTGAGGTAAAGTTCTTAACCCGAGGTACTATTTCTGGGTTAGCGGAGTCTGTAACCTGAAACGTATGTGTCAGGGGTTCAGGGACAGAGGCACAGGGTAGGCAGGAGATGGAGAGCGATGGGGATGAATCCCAGGACAGCGAGGAAGAGGATGACAATGACTCAAGAGATTCCATGAGTCTTTCCAGCGAATCAGAGGATTCCCAGAAGGGGCGCCGGTGGTCAAGGCCAGGGGAGCCCCAGGGGGGAAGTGTCAGGAGCAGGGGGCCAGCGGAGGATCCCAAAGTGGCAGCTGGGCGTCAGGACCAGCCTCCCCGCCAGAGTGCAGCGAAGGGGGTGGAGGTTTCAGTGTATCAGGGGAAGCGGCTCCGGCAGCAGAGAAAGGAGGGAGGTCGGAGCAAGCCACCCTCCCGGAGGGGAGGGGAGTAGTGAAGGGAGTAGTGTAGCTGTTAAAAGGAAGGTTAGAGGCTGGGCGCGCGCGCCAAGTTCAAATGTAGAGGCGCGCGGAAGTACAGGGAGCCCGGAGGAGGGGCCAGGTCCCAAAGCCCGCAGGAGGGGGCAAGAGCAGCCTGATTCCGCGTCAGAGGAATCCAGGAGGGGCGAAACCCCAGCGGGCAGAAAGACCCTGCGGAAAAGGAAAGAGAGAAAGAGGTGGAGCAGCGCAAGCCTCTTAAACTGGTGCAGGGGAGGGACGGATTCAGAGGGGACTTCAGCGGTCTAAGCCTAGCAGACGTAGGGCTGCGCGCCTCGGATGTGAAGCAAACAATGAACTGCAATAAACACTTTTGTATATAAGAAGAGATAGGCGTTGGTCTTTTGTGAGCTGAGACTTGAGGCAGCCTTGACAGTATGTAATCTGAAGCGTATGTAACCCGAGGTACCACTGTAATGTATTCATCCCCATCTAGGGTGAGTCAATCTTTCCATTTCTCTCCATTTCTTCTTTTTTCATTCTTCTGTTTCAGCCTCCACGTTTCTGCATTTGTCATATTTAGTTCAAAAGTCTTTCACCTGCGCCTGAAAGGAGTTCCCACAATCGCTATGTGAACTCAACATTAATTAAATTAAATTGTGGGTAAAGCTTTGAACAGATTCTAGTTCATCTTCAAGATCATTCTCCTAAATGTGTCCGTGTGTTTAAACTCTTTAGACTCTTCGGACCTTTAAGCTTAAATATTGTCATTGGTGGAGGGAATGTATTTTAAAAATGCACATTCCCACGTGTATGTGTTTTGATGCTCTCTCGGCATTCTTAAGTGTATTTTGTACATGGAACAGCATTTCCTGGTTATTGCTTTTCTGGTTGGTATGCACTGGCCTTTGACCCTTTGCCCTGCTCTTATTAGGTTTTGAGGGACCCCGGTGTAAGATGGAGGTGGACAGCTGTGCCAGTTCCCCCTGCAAGAATGGGGGCCAGTGCCAGAACTCTGCAGGGATTTTCCATTGCTCCTGCCCTCAAGGTAACTGTCTGTGTGTGTGTGTGTGAGAGAGAGAGAGAGAGAGAGAGAGAGAGGGCTCATCCACACTTGTTCTGTGCCTAAAAAGCACAAGTGAGCTGTTTTCCGCTTGCCCCATGATCTAGATACATGCCCAAGCGGTTTTACCCCACCGTTTCCCCCCAGAAAACCCACTCTTTAGCGATAGATCAGAGCAAACATCAATCTGTGGAAAATCTGACTGCTGTTTGCTCCAATCTAGGGGTAAACTGTGGGTTTTCCCAGGGGAATCTGGTGTAGCGTACGGAAGTGTGATGAGCCCAGATTGAGAGAGAACGGTGGTGTTTAACTGGTAGAATATGAAATCAGGAAGAATAAGTCCTTAAGATGGAAAAAAATGTAGAATATTTCATAGGATCATAGAATCACAGAATCGTACAGTTGGAAGAGACTCTGAGGGCTATCTAGTCCAACGCTCTGCAATGCAGGAATTCAAAAAATTATTGTAAGCAAATCAAAACGCTAGCAGGATTAGCAGTTTAAAATAAACTGAGGGGGCGGGGAATGGAAAAGAACAATTAGAATATGCAGCAGCAAAGGAAAACTGAAACGTTCCATGGGGGGGGCATTGGTGTCTAATGGACGGTTTGTATTTTGATAAATAAAAATGTGCGAATTTTGTAAAATTGGAAAATGATACATCTTATTGAAAGAGAATAGAGAGAGAAAGAGAGAGAAGGGTGGTAGGGAGGAAACAAGACCCCAAAGAAAGCGCTTTCTTCGAGGGGAAATCACGCCAAAATGGCCGCCGTTCTCTCACGGTAAAAAAATGGGATGTCCCAGTTTGGCCAGGACACTTGCCAGGTATGCCAGTTGCCTACTGCAGCTCCAAGTGTTGGACCTGGTGTTTGTGTTGTTGTTTTTTAATTGAGGTCTCAAGGCAGGAATTAGCACTGACTGCGCTGAGACTGTTGGGGCCTGGCAGCTGACCCAATTTGCCCAACGATGAAGTCACGTGACCTGTAGCAAGCACACTATAAGCTTCTGTTTGTTCGGGGGGGGCGTTGTACCTCAGAGCCCTCTGACTTGCATGACATCACATGAGGGCAGAGTGGAATTGTGGGTAAGAGAGAGAGAGCAGGGAACGTGTGGCTCGAGGCCAATGATGGTGTTGAGGTTCCCCCTTCTTGCAGGTTTCGAGGGACACCAGTGCGAGAGAGATGCAGACCTCTGCCGCGCTGCCCACTGCGGCCATGGAACCTGCTTGAACACACCGGGCTCCTTTACCTGCGTTTGCTCTTTGGGCTTCACGGGACCCCACTGCACAGAGCTCAGCGACCCCTGCCAGAACTGGCAGTGCCTCAATGGGGGCAGCTGCCAAGGGGCAGAATTTGGGTATGGACGGGGAAGCAGGGGGAAGGCTGCATGTCAGCCATGATTCCCAGATGTTGTCTACGCTAACTCAGCACTGGTTTTAAGCCCTGTTCCCAAGGCTTTGTTTTGAAACAGGGCTACTCAGGAGAATGAATTTCAGATTTCTACACACATGCACACACCCAAAAACATGCAAGCCTTCTCTCTTTTAGGGATCTTCTCTCTTAGATTTGAAATTGATTACACTTGAGATATGGGTCACTCAATTTCACGACTCTGTATTGCCCTATGGCATCCTTCCCTAACTTGGTGCCCTCCCAGTGTTTTGGACTGGAACTCTTTATTACCCCCAGGAGAGGATTTTGTCTTAGGAATGGAATTGACTGGACCAGAAAGTGCTTGGGATCTGGCCTAAACAATTTCAGTGCTCTATTAACCTGTTGTGGGCTAGGGTATCCTTCTCCCGACCTTCTCTCCCAGTTATTTCGGCCTGTGGTTCTCGCCCCACACTCCAGCCAGCGTGGGCTGCGCTGTCTGGACCTGATGGGAACGGCACAAGCCAAAACCTCTGACAGGCACCAGATTAGGGAAGGCCAGACCAGGAGAAGCTCTCGTTTTCTTCTTCCTCCCGCCCCACCCATTTATTATTATCATTTATTAAATAAGTATCCCGCCCTTCATCTCAGGGCAGTTCTCAAGATAAATTTACAGTATAGAAAACACAAAGTACAGAATAAAAATAAGAACAAAAGCAAACCAATAACCCCCCTCCCACAACACATTTAAAAGAGCATAGAATGTCAATCAGCCCACGGCCTGGTTTAAGAGGAATGTCTTCACCTGGCGCCTAAAGCCATATAATGAAGACACCGGGAGAAGCTCCCTGGGGGGGAGAGAGAGCATTCCATGAACATGGAGCCGCCACAGAAAAGGCCCTGTTCTCATGTTGCCGCCCTCCAGACCTCTCATGGAGGAGGCACACAACGAAGGGACTCTGAGGATGGTCGCAGGGTCCGAGCCGGTCTGTATGGAGAGAGGCAGTCCTTGAGGTATTGTGGTCCTGAGCCGTTTCAGTTCCCACTGCTCCTCCATGAGCACTAGCATTCCCAACCATTGCTATATTCTGCAAATTCTGATTGCAGAGATGAAGTTCAGTTGGAGTTCTTGCGCGACAAACCCATTACCTCACAAGCACCACTACTGGACTTTTTTGTGATAAGGAAAGTGATTATATATTATTATTATTATTATTATTTACACCCCACCCTTCTGGCTGGGTTTCCCCAACCACTCTGGGCAGCTCCCAACAAAATATTAAAAATACATTAAAACATCAGTCATTAAAACTTCCCTAAACAGGGCTGCCTTCAGATGTCTTCTAAAAGTCAGATAGTTGTTTATTTCCTTGACATCTGATGGGAGGGCGTTCCACAGGGCAGGCGCCACTACCGAGAAGGCCCTCTGCCTGGTTCCCTGTAACCTCACTTCTTGCAGTGAGGGAACCGCCAGAAGGCCCTCGGCGCTGGACCTCAGTGTCCAGGCTGAATGATGGGGGTGGAGATGCTCCTTCAGGTATACTGAGCCGAGGCCGTTTTGATGGGGAAGATGCAACCAGAAAGGTTGAAAAGGTTAACAGGGCATCTCTCCGTCTCCCTGCAGGCCACACTGTCTCTGCCTCCCAGGCTGGACAGGACGGGATTGTGGCATGGAGGTAGACGCCTGTGCTTCCAGCCCCTGCCACCAGGGGGCCACGTGCCTGAGTCGCCAAGGGGTCTTCAGCTGTATCTGCCCCAGCGGTTACGTAGGTAACACGTCCCTCAACCCTGAATCCCAGCCGGGATGATTACAGATGATTCCCCATAACCCTGGCCCATCCTCTCGCCTCGTCCCAGCCCTCCACGACTCCCGCCATCTCTCTGCTCCCTTCCCAACCCCTCCCAGGTTCGACGTGCGAAATAGATGTGGATGAATGCACTTCCAGCCCCTGCCTCAACTCTGGATCCTGCCTTAACAGCCCTGGGACTTTCCGCTGCCTTTGCCCTGAAGGTTACACAGGACTTAAGTGCCAGGAGACTTTGGACTTCTGCTCCCCCAGTGAGTATATAGAGGTTCATCAGCAGTACGGTGGTACCTCGGGTTAAGTACTTAATTCATTCTGGAGGTCCGTTCTTAACCTGAAACTGTTCTTAACCTGAGGTACCACTTTAGCTAATGGGGCCTCCCGCTGCCGCCGCACGATTTCTGTTCTCATCCTGAGGTAAAGTTCTTAACCCGAGGTACTAGTTCTGGGTTAGCGGAGTCTGTAACCTGAAGCGTCTGAAACCACACCTGCAGCGGTCCTCCCTCTCTATTTCTCTTCACCCACCGCAACAGATCCCTGCAGAAACGGAGGCCGGTGTGTAACAAAGGAATCTGTCCCCTATTGCATCTGCCCCCCAGGCTGGGGTGGCTCGCAGTGCCAGCAGAGGGCAAGCCGGAATGGTGACAATTGTACTGATCAAGCTGGAGATCACGGCTGTCAGGTGAGCAACTGCCTTCTGGGTTTGAAGAACTCCCCAACAGGAGTGCTAGCAAAGGTCGCTTCCAGACAACCTGCTTATTCAGCATCCATCCCAATCTGCTTCCACAAAGTTTGTAGGGAGGCTCAGTGATGTCAGCTGCTTATTGAGCATTTGTTCTGATTTGTTTGTGGGGAGGTTAGACGAGCTTGCTTCCATCCAGTGTTTTCCCATCTTCTGCCATGCATTTGCCCATCACTTCTGTTGAGCACATAAGATGATGCCCATCACAGTCTAGCCTCCTGTTCTTGCAGGAACTATAGCTTGCAACTCTGTGAGGGGTAAACTACAGTTTCCAATGTTCTTCAGTTGGTGGGGATGGGGAAGTGCTTTAAAACTAAGCCATGTAAACAGCCCAAATGCAGGAAACCTGCTTCCCCACCCAAACCCTGAAATCAGACTGTTTGCAGTAAGTGATGGGAAGATGCACTGGGAAATGCTTGATAACATTTGCTTGACATGACGCCATCTAACTTCCCTTCAAACCAATCAGAACGAATGCTCCAAAACCAACTGAGATAGTCTAACTTCCCTGTGAAGTTTGTGTCAACAAATCGGGGTGAGCGCTCAATAAGCAGTGGTGTGGAAATGGAGGTAGAAGAAGAGTTTGGATTTGATATCCCGCTTTATCACTACCTGAAGGAGTTTCAAAGTGGCTAACAATCTCCTTTGCCTTCCTCTCCCAAAACAAACACTCTATGAGGTGAGTGGGGCTGAGAGACTCCAGAGAAGTGTGACTAGCCCAAGGTCACCCAGCAGCTGCATGTGGAGGAGCGGGGAAGCGAACCTAGTTCACCAGATTATGAGTCTACCGCTCTTAACCACTACACTACACTGGAGGGGAGGAAATGTTCTTTGCGGCTTTTCCTGCTTCAAATATAGTTGTCATGAATTGCCTCGGGATCTTTCCAATTGCAGTGCCTACCGAAGAAGTGTCTGAATGGGGGAACCTGTACCAGGACACAAGATGGGTTCCGCTGCTTGTGCCCTCCGGGGACCAAAGGTAAGTGGGAGCAGAGTTTAACCTTGGGCAGAAAAAGTACACAAGACCAGTGGAAGCTGGTGCCCATTGGGACTTAGAGAATCATAGATCTGTAAAGTTGGACCCCAAAGGTCGTCTAGTCCAACTGCCTGCAATGCAGGAATCTTAGCTAAAGCACCCATGACAGGGCCATCCAACCTCCGCTTAAAAGCCTCCAAGGAAAGAGAGTCCACCACCTCCCAAGGGAGAATGTCCCACTGCTGAACAACTCTTACTGCCAGAAAGCTCTTCCTGATGTCTAGTCAGAATCTCCTTCCTTGTAAGTTCAGTCCATTGGTTCAGGTCTTCCCTTTTGTAGCAGGAGAAATCAAGCTTGCTCCTTATTATTATTATTATTATTATTATTATTATTAATACCCCGTCCATCTGGCTGAGTTTCCCCAGCCACTCTGGGCAGCTTCATGTGACACCCCTTTAGGTTTTTCAAGGGTGCCTATCCTATCTCCTCTCCCCCTCCTCTTTCCCAGGATAAACATACCCATTTCCCTCAACCGTTCCTCATCAGGCTTGGTTTCCAGACTCTTGATCACCTTGGTTGCCCTCCTCTGCACACCTTCCAGCTTGACTGGATCCTTTTTAAATTGTGGCACACAGAGCTGGACACAGTATTTGTTGATATTTTCAGCCCCCTCCCATTGCGAGAATCTCCTGATCTGATGTTTTGAGAAAGGAGGGGGCAGAAACTGCTCTTCTACTCTTCCACTCCTGACTGCCTGCCTGACTCTGTGTGTGGAGAGAGTCTTATCTACCAGATTTTTCGCTCTATAGGACGCACCCGACCATAGGACGCACCTTGTTTTAGAGGGGGAGAACAAGAAAAAAAAAATCTTCCCCTTCCATTTCTCCTCCCGCTTGCCTGAAGGGGCGCTGCGCAGCTCTCCCTCTCTGCTGAAGCCAGGAGAGTCTTGCTCTCCCGGCTTCAGCAAAAGGAACCCAAAGCCTCCGGAGCGCGGAGGGAGCGCTCCCTCTGCGCTTCGGAGGCTTCACTTTGCTATCGCTGAAGCCAAGGAGCCTGCATTTGCTCGATAGGATGCACACACATTTCCCCTTAATTTTTGGAGGGGGAAAAGTGCGTCCTATAGAGCGAAAAATACGGTATGTAGTGACTAGATGGCTGAGTGGGAGATGTAACACTCATGCAAGACAGTAGTTCGTTAGTTTGTAGTAGCTATTAGAAATAAAAGAAGTTATGCTTCACAGCTAGCTTCCATGTTATTTATACTCTGCTGAGTCTGGTGCTCACAATGCACAGTTGTGAGTCCAGGGCACTGAGACCTGCTTTCCAGGATTGGAAGGTCTCTGAAAGTGCTCCAGTCGCCTAGCCCAGTCGGGGCAGAACCAGTTATTGAGCCCAGTTGCTGACAGTACTGGGTGTACTGACAGTATCCCAGGTGTGCATATGGTGGGGTGGAACGCAGGGAGCCCAGCCAGTAGGTGGAGCCAATGACAGACAGACAGAGCTACCTAATTTCTGTTCTGTCCCCATCCTCTCCTCTGCTGAGTCCTACAGGGACAACCTCGAGACTAAGCTGACATTCAGAACCACTCTCTAGAGCGGAAGTGAGGTTGGTGGGGCAGTGCCCCCACCTGCCCCAACAGAGCAGCCTCCACTGCCCATTGCAAGGAACCCATTAGATGCAGATGTTACAGTGACTGACAAAACAGAAACCTTGCCTTCTGACAAGAAAACAGTGAGGCTTCCTCATTCATCAGTTGCTCTGATAAAAACTGATGCTGTTTCCGAAGAGCTCTGAGGAAGGGAGGCTCAGAAAGGCTTTGTTCTCTGAATTAGAGCAATGCTGGGTTGAGCCCTTGCGATGTCCGTGTGCTCAGTGTGTACAACCAGAATTTCTCTGTCTCTGCTAAATCTGACAGGCTGTGGTTCTCAGAATTAAAGTGTTTGGCAACAGGCTGCTCCATTAGTTATGTATGTATGAATGTGCAATTGATGATGATGATGATAATAATAATTTTTATTATTTATACCCCACCCATCTGGCTAGGTTTCCCCAGTCACTCTGGGAGGCTTCCAACAAAATATTAAAATTTCAATAAAACATCAGACATTAAAAAAATTCCTAAAGTCTTCAGATGTATTCTAAGTCAGATAGTTGTTTATTTCCTTGACATCTGATGGGAGGGCGTTCCACAGGGCGGGCGCCACTGCTGAGAAGGCCCTCTGCCTCGTTCCCTGTAAGCTCGCTTCTTGCAGTGAGGGAACTGGCAGAAGGCCCTCGGAGGAGGACCTTGGTGTCCGGGCTGCATTTATTTATTAAATTTATGTACCACCCTTCATTTGCATATCAGAGGGCGGTTTCCATCTGTCGCCCTGCAACCTGGGATGCCGTCTTTTCCATCTCCCACAGGTCCGAAATGCGATTTGGACCCCTGTTCCCTTCCTGGCCCCCGTTGCTACCATGGGGGAACCTGCCAGGCTCAGCCCGAAGGATTTTCTTGCATCTGCCCACCCGGGTACGTTGGCGAGAGGTGCCAGGGGGTGGTGGACGCCTGCTTCTCTCAGCCGTGCCACCGGCCTGGTGCCCATCGCTGCCACTCCAATGAAGATGGCTTCCGATGTTTGTGCCTATCAGGATATACAGGTAAGTGTTTGCTGTTATGAACGCAGCTTAACTAGTTCATTTTTTTTTGTCTGTTTAATGTGTGTACATGATGAACTTTTTTAAACAATAATTTTTATTTGATTTTACAAGTGTAGAGTTATAACAGTACAAAATACATATCCATATTTAGAGATTTCTCCGAATCTCTAGAGTTCCCACCTTCCCATCCACAGGTCCTATTATAAATCTTTTCAACTGCATATTATTTCACCATCCAAATGTTATGTCTCTCCATTTTGTCCATAATAATTTCTACATTACAAGTGTTATTGCAATCCTGCTAATGTTTTCGATCTGCTTACCGTGGTCTCTCAAGTAAATTATAAATATTTCCCATTATTTATTGAAGTTTTGGTCTTCTTGGTTCCTGAGCTTTCTGGTCAGTTTTGCTATTTCGGCATATTCCAACAGCTTAGTTTGCCATTCCTCTCTGGTAGTGACTTTGTCTTCTTTCCATCTCTGGGCTAGTAACATCTGTGCAGCTGTCATTGCATACATGAAAAGTATTTTCTGCTCTTTTGGGATCTTGGTACCTACAATTCCTAATAAAAAGGATTCTGGGTTTTTTAAATAAAAGTTATTTTAAACATTTTTTTCAATTCATTATATATCATTTCCCAGAATGCTTTTATTATCTTACACATCCATCACATATGGTAAAAGGTGCCTTCTTTTTCTTTACATTTCCAACAGATATTTGTACTTGTCTTATACATTTTTGCTAACTTAAAGTAAAGGTAAAGGTACCCCTGACCGTTAGGTCCAGTCGCGGGCGACTCTGGGGTTGCGCGCTCATCTCGCTCTATAGGCCAAGGGAGCTGGTGTTTGTCCGCAGACAGCTTCCGGGTAATGTGGCCAGCATGACTAAGGCGCTTCTGGCGAAACCAGAGCAGCGCACGGAAACGCCGTTTACCTTCCTGCCAGAGCAGTACCTATTTATTTACTTGCACTTGACGTGCTTTCAAACTGCTAGGTGGGCAGGAGCTGGGACCGAACAACAGGAGCTCACCCCATCACAGGGATTCGAACTGCCAACCTTCTGATTGGCAAACCCTAGGCTCTGTGGTTTAGACCTCAGCGCCACCCGCATCCCGTTTGCTAACTTACGAGGAGTCAAATACCACTGGTACATCATTTCCATATACTTTTCTTTCAGCGTACATGCTGAGAATTTCAAGTCAGTTTTCCATAACCTTTCCCAGCCTAAAAGTTGGATAAAGGTAAAGGTAAAGGGACGCCTGAGCATTAGGTCCAGTCACGGACGACTCTAGGGTTGCGGCACTCATCTCGCTTTACTGGCCGAGGGAGCTGGCGTACAGCTTCCAGGTCATGTGGCCAGCAGGACTAAGCTGCTTCTGGCGAACCAGAGCAGCGCACAGAAACACCGTTTACCTTCCCGCCAGAACGGTACCTATTGATCTACTTGCACTTTGACGTGCTTTCGAACTGCTAGGTTGGCAGGAGCTGGGACCGAGCAACGGGAGCTCACCCTGTCGCAGGGATTCGAACCACTGACCTTCTGATCAGCAAGCTCTAGGCTCTGTGGTTTAACCCACAGATATTATGCCCCAAATCCCTCGCCCAGTGTATTGTTACAGATTTAACATATTCATCCTTTGTACATGAGGAATTTATCTACTCTAGCTTTATCACTCCTCTTATGACTGCTCCTAGTGGTGCTGCAATGAAACTGCTAGTACATCCGAGAAGTTAAGCAGGGTCTAATGTGGTTTCAAATTGGATGGGGGTGCCACATGTTGAGATTCCTGCATTGGGGGAGATGCAGAGGGGGAAATCATTATACAGTGGTGCCTTGCAAGACGAAATTAATCCGTTCCGCAGTCTCTTCGTCTAGCGGTTTTTTCGTCTTGCGAAGCAACCCTATTAGCGGCTTAGCGGATTAGCGCTATTAGCGGTTTAGCGGTTTAGCAGCTATTAAAGGCTTAGCGGCTTAGCGGCTAAAAGGCTATTAGCGGCTTAGCAGCTTAGAAAAGGGGGGGGAGCGAAAAAAATCGCAAGACTCGCAATACTTTTTCGTCTAGCGAAGCAAGCCCATAGGGAAATTCGTCTTGCGAAGCGCATCGAAAAATGGAAAACCCTTTCATCTAGCGGGTTTTTCGTCTTGCGAGGCATTCGTCTTGTGGGGCACCACTGTATTAAGATCCACATTGGGGGAAGAAGGTGTCAGAGGATTGATTTATTGCTCAGATAAGCGTCCGGCACGCTTCCATCGCAGGCCTCTGCATTCCAAAGTCCGACACAACTGAGCATAGCAGAGATCGTCAGCGGTAAGAGAAAGACTGCAAAAACTCCAGTGCATTCTTCAGTGTGCTTAAATAAAGTCCACTCAGGATCTTAGCAGCTAAAAGCAGTTTTATTTACAGCAGACTATCCATTATCTATCACAGCGAACAGCATCGCGAAAACACGTCCTCTCTCCTCAAAAGCGAAAGTAGAGAGACAGAGAATGCAAAGGGAGCTCTGCATGTTGAGAGCAAGCGTGGACGCTATGCTGTTGCCCCACCTGGAGGGCGTTGAGTCGGCTCAGGCCGCCTGGCAGGTGCTGAGGAGTCTGTGTGAGAACTCAGCAGGAGCCCAGGGCCGGGAGAAAGCCGAGAGGAAGCCGAGAGCCCAGAGTCAAAGGGGGTTATATGTTTATGTTTTTAATTCATTTGTTTATGTAAAATAGAAAATGCAAATAAATAAAGGAAAAAACATTTTTAAGCCACCCCTCTAAAAACATCAGATAAATCAAAAATGTGATTTAAAAAAAATATTGTTTTCATTTTTTCCACAACTCAAGGAAGAGTAAGGATCTGAGGTGGATTGCATACGGAAAGAAAATTTCAGTAATAACAAAATAAAACACTCATATATTCTTTTCCCCCTCCACAGGTATTCTTTGTGAATCTTTGATTGACAGTTGTCAGTCAAATCCCTGCCTCAACGGGGGAAGCTGCAGCGTGGTGCCGGGTAACCCTCTTGAATTCACCTGCCACTGTCCACAGGTATGAATGGGGCTGAGGATTCGCAGCCAGTCTGTGGGGGGAGGAGGGTTGTTCAAATTCTAAAGTGGGTGTGTCTCAGGTAGGGATGGAGGCAGGGATTCAATTCAGTTTATAAAGTGATCGTTAGTCAAAACTGCATACAAAAAAAAAGTAGGAAAAAATCTGGTCCAAATGCAGATGAATTTTCAGGAGAATTTTTTAAAAATGTGGAGAACTGGCTTTCAGATTTGGAAAAATGAGAATCTTGGAGAAGCAAAATGGGCAGATTTCTGACATCTCCAATACCAGGTCTTAAGCATGCACATAAATCCTAGCCTCTAACCTAAAAAATAAATAAATCTCAAATTATGGCAGCTCATAACTGTTGCTGGATCCTGCAGCCACAGCACCCTGCCTTATGGCAGATGAGGCAATCTGTTCAGCGCAACAACACTTCCCCAAGAGGGCATGTTGTTGTTGTTGTTGTGTGACTGGCACTCGTCATGTATGCATAGTCTCCATTATGTCACTGCTATCAAAATGCAGGCCGCGTTCCTTCCCCACCCACTCCGTCAAAAAAAGAAAATGTAAAAAATCTAGACTTACCCTTTTCCGATGCTCAACACGCCTATTGACCAGGGGTCAGCAACCTTTTTCAGCCGTGGGTCGGTCCACTGTCTCTCAGACCATGTGGTGGGCCAGACTATATTGGGGGAGGAGGGAATGAGCGAATTCCTATGCCCCACAAATAACCCAGAGATGCATTTTAAATAAAAGCACACATTCTCCTCATGTAAAACCACCAGGCAGGCCCCACAAATAACCAAATAACCCAGAGATACATTTTAAATAAAAGCACACATTCTACTCATGTAAAAACACACTGATTCCTGAACCGTCCATTGGCTGGATTGAGAAGGCAATTGGGCCGCATCCAGCCCACGGGCCTTAGGTTGCCTACCCCTGCTATTGACAGTAACCCATTTGTGATATCTGAATAATCCATTGGACCAGACCAATTTCCCATTCCTTCCAGTTCCTGTTCTCAGTGGCCAACCAGAGACCCACAAGCAGGAACTAAGTGTCAGAGCCCTCTTTCCTCCTGTAGTTTCCAGCTTACAAAAAAAAGATTAAAGCAATAACATTATCATTTAAAAAAACAACAACCTGAACAACTATTTAAAACATTTTTTAAAAAAATCAGCAACAACAAGCTGCAATCTGATTAACAAATGTCAGCATCTTACATATCTGGATAGAAATCCCTTCGCAGAAATTCCAAAGTGCAGTTGCTGCTGCAACAGTAAAAGATCTAATTTTAGGGCAGTTCCTTATATCAAAAGAGTTATACCAATCCAGTTTTTGGTGGACTTTCAGCTGCTTTCATGTTTTATGGGGCTGTAAGCCGCTTTGAGACATCTTTTTTCCTATCAAGCAATGAATTAAATATTAGTAATAATAGCTTGCATCCAATTAAGCTATTGTTCAGGGTAGTCTCATTTGAAATCAATGGACCTAAGTTTGGGAAGTGCATTCATTTCAACAGATCTACTCTTAAAAGGGCCAGGATAGGATAGTGCCTAATAATAGCAACAGCGATAGTTAGTACTATTTTTCTAGAGAAAGAGGTTGCAGAACTCGCCATGAGCATTTTGCTTATTCTCTTATAATTAGCAAGACAACAACAAGCAAACCTATGGTCACGTAAAGCATACTCAATAAACACACGAGACGTAACCAGCTGTGTTCTTAGATAAATAAGGTATATTATTCATGTATCAAATCATAAATTTCAACAGAAGTAACTCATAAAGTTCAACAAACGAACAAAGCAGAAGACCCAGTGGATCAGATCATTCTCTAGTCTGTTCATACATAAGGTCCATCTGTGTAATAGTGTCTATTCCACCTGTCTGTTCATAAGGTCCAAACAATCCACATGAAAGGTTGTTACAGTTCCACAGAATCCTTTCACAGAGTCTAAGACAAGGATTTCCGGAATATTGGCCTCGTTTTGCCATTCTGGGCTTCATCAGTAGTTAAAGCTCTAAGTAATACAAATAGATACAATATCGTGATCTCATACATTTTACAGCAAAAATAATATAAAACCATAAATAACTGTACATACCATATGTGATGTTACAGGACGGTGGATCTTATGGCATAGTAGTAGCTGTGGTAAGTAGCAATTGTTACAAAGCAGGGTTATATGGACAAGCACAATATGATTATGATTTGATACATGAATAATATACCTTATTTATCTAAGAACACAGCCGGTTACGTCTTGTGTGTTTATTGATTATTCTCTTATAACGGCAATGGCGCCCACCTGAGAGGTGCCGGAACTGCGTTCCAGCTGAAAAAAAGCCTTGCAGTGCTAATTATTTCTAAATGCACCATCTTGTTTCAAAACTCAAATAAAAGTAGACTGTGGAAGACTTTTGTTTTTTTTAATGACCTTTACTTCCCCACTCATCACTACCTAGGGTTATGAAGGAACCACCTGTGAGCTGCAAGCCCCTCCTTGTGGATCGCTCCACTGCCACAATGGGGGAGTTTGCATAGCCCACCCGTCCGGACTCCGGTGCCTGTGTGTGGAAGGGTTCTCTGGACATGACTGCCACCTCCCCCCCTGCTCCTTGGGTTCCTGCCCCACCACCAAAGCCACCACGAGTTCCGAGTGCCGGCTGGTGGCAGGAGACCAGCGCTGTGACCGGGCCTGCAGCTCCCCCGAGACCAACTGGGATGGTGGCGACTGTTCCCTGGGGGTGCTTGATCCTTGGAGGTCCTGCCCAAAGCAGGAGATGTGCCAGGCGGCTTTCCGGGATGGGGATTGTGAGCGCCGCTGCCGTAGCGAGGACTGCCTGTATGACGGATTTGACTGTGCCCCGTGGAAGCCTTGCAAGTGGGTCATTGCCAGGGGGTGTGGCGAATGGGGGGGTCTGTGGGGTGGGGAGCGGGGTCTAGCATTGGCCGAGTAGGACAGAGGCGGCCAACCTCTTAGGGCCAATGGACTTGTTTGCAGGCTGGAGAAACTGCTGTGGGCACCAGTGGAGGCTGGCATCTTACTTACTAGTGGTTCCATGGGGTGGCACTGGCTGGCGGATTTGCCTTCCACCTGAGTCTCAGCAGGGATGAGGATGGGGGCAAATGACAGGAGCGAGCCAGCAGTAAATCACACTGTGCAAGTTGAAGTTAACTCTTTATTAGCAAAAATGGGATCTGCACAGGGGTGTCAAGCCTAATGAGCACAGCAACCCATCTTCAGCAGGTGTGAGCCAGTGTGGTGTAGTGGTTAAGAGCTGTAGTCTTGTAATCTGGGGAACCGGGTTCGCTTCCCCGCTCCTCCACATGCAGCTGCTGGGTGACCTTGGACTAGTCACACTTCTTTGAAGTCTCTCAGCCCCACTCACCTCACAGAGTGTTTGTTGTGGGGGAGGAAGGGAAAGGAGGATGTTAGCCGCTTTGAGACTCCTTCGGGTAGTGATAAAGCAGGATATCAAATCCAAACTCCTCCTCCTAATCCTCCTCCTCTTCTTCTTCTTCTTCTTCTTCTTCTTCTTCTTCTTCTTCTTCTTCTTCTTGCCCCCATGAAGCAGTTGCTGAGACCGAAGGTCCCCCGCTCCCTCACCACAGCTGCCCTCCTCTCCAGGGTTTCCCCCAAGCAATCTGAGACTGTGCCTGCACGAAGCTAACGTCTCCTCTGCCCCTTTCATACCTCTCTGGGTTCTGCGGTTTCCAGCGACTTGGCTTTCAGAAGCATTGCTGCTTCTGTCAGTGGAAGGGAGAGCATCTCCAGCTAGTGCGGAAACCCTAGAGAGTCACTCCCTGTCAGTATAGACAATACTGTGCTAGATGTAGCGATGGTTTGACTTGGTTTAAGGCAGCTTCCTGTGTCCCTGTGCACTTAGCATGTGGTGTGTGTGCCTCAAGGCACATATAGAAATGGATCTGAGGGTGGCAGAGTGCCAATTTCTCTCTCCTGGCAAAACAGAGCCAGAGACTTCCTTGCCTGTTCTTAAAAATCTAAGAAGGACCCGGCTGGACGAAACCAAAGGCCCATCTGGTCCAGCGTCCTGTTTATCACAGTGGCGACCCAGGTGCCTCTTGGGAAGCCCACGAGCCGGACGTAGAGACAATATGGAGCTGGTTTCCCTGCCGTTTGTTTAACAAAAGTGCCCACCAAGATGCTTCCTTCATGGGAAAAACTGAAATAGGCAAGTGTTCTTCTCTTGCTTGTCCTCAGCAATTTATATTCAGAGGTAGACTTCCCTTGAACCTGGGGGTTCTATTTTGAAAGTTCATGAGGTTCTGTTTTTTAAAAAAAATCCACAAAATGTAGAAAACTGAGGGATTGGCAGATCTTCCCATCCCTATTGAGGTTTAGTGGTATAGGTGAAAAAATGTTTTATGCACTCACTTTCCTCACGCCATTCACCAAACGACAAACTTTTCCTCCTCAGCCCTTTCTATGAGCAATATTGTCGGGACCACTCCTCGGATGGGCACTGCGACAGAGGATGCAATGAGGCCTCATGTGGCTGGGATGGGGGAGATTGTCGGTCTCATCCTGGCCCACTCGGGAACTCCGCCTTGGGCCTGGCTGTCCTGCTTCCCCGCAAGGACCTTCCCCATTTCCTGTATTCCCTGGCGGTCGCTGTGCGGACGGTGCTGCAAGTTCAGCAAGATTCCCAGGGCAGGGAGAGGATTTACCCCTACACAGGAAAGGAGCTGCTTGGGAGCAGGAGCAACTGGACGGAGGTTCAACCTGAGACTTGGGAGGAGACTGTTGGGTAAGAGAGAGCCTCCCTTTCTCTCTGTATTGTACCAGTCATTCCACACCATGCCAGACCTCGTCTTCCTGATTTCTAATTATTCCTGTAAGTTTTTGCCATCTCAGCATAGTTCATCAATTTTGTCTGCCACTCTTCTTTGGTCAGAGTTGTACCATCTTTCCATTTCTGGGCTAACAGAATCTGCACACCCGTGGTCGTGATCATAAATCGTTTCAGGATCTCTGGTCCTTTGATACCTAAAAGAAAAGCTTCTGGTTTCTTTGGGAAAGTTATTTTCAATTGTTTTCCTTCAGTTCATTATCTATCATTTTCCTCGTCTTTCAAGGCACATGTCTGTCCTTTAATGCTTTGTGTTTCTAAGCATGTTTTTTTCCTCCTTGAGCTTTCCCTACAAAAACCCACTCTTTGAAGCTGAATCGGAGCAATCGTCAATTAGAGTTTTCTATGGATGGATGTTTGTTCTGATTCAGCTCCAAAGCACAACTTTTTGTGGGGGAAACCCCAGGGCAAAAAACAGGACGCTTGGATGCAGAGCTTTAAATCGCGGGGCGTGCCTGGAAAGAGCAGAGGAAAGGCAAGTGTGTACCTCACAGAGCTGCAGTTTTGAGGTCCTTGGGAAGAAGGGTTGCTCAACTATTTCGTATTTATTTTACTTTGCATTTATTTATTATTGGCTTTCTTGTCATTTGTTGCAGATTTACCATCTTCTTGGCCGTGGATGGGAGCCAGTGCTCAGGGCAGTGCTTCACATCCCCCCAAAGTGTCCTCAATTTCTTGGCAGCCTTATCAGCCAAAGGAAGCCTCGAGTCCCTGGTGCCATACCCAGTGGTAGCTGCCTGGGTCGAGTCTGCGGGAAATGGTAGGTAGCAGACACGCTAGGCCCAAATTCCTGAGAGTTTCAAGCAGCGGTTCTCAACCTGTGGCTCCCCAGATGCTGTTGGACTACAACTCCCATCATCCCTGAGCTCTGGCCTTGCTAGGTAGGGGTGATGGGAGTTGTAGTTCAACAACATCTGGGGACCCACAGGTCGAGAAAGGCTGGAAGGGAAAAGAGAAGGTTAGAACAGAGTGGAGTTTCACTTCATACTTTTCCTTCATGGAGATAAATATGGGATACACGGTTCCCCTCCTGCCTGTTTTCATCCTCACACGAACCCTGTGAGGTAGGCCAGGCCGAGGGACAATGCCTGACCCCAGATCGCACATTGAGTTTCTCTTTTTATTTTTCTCTTTTTGTTTGCATCTCACCATGTTTGGTGTGCATATAGTTATGTATTTTTGAACTTTCAATAAAGATGTCACCAAAAAGAAAAAACAAAGTTCTTCCTAACGTTTAGAGTGTATGATCCTGTTTTAAGTCTGTTATGTGGATGGGACTTCATTCTTTTTTCTTTTTAAAGGCAAAGCAAGCTGGGAATCTGGAAATTATGGCATATTGGGGGTAGGGAAGAGGCCCCCTTGCCCCCTACCCAAAGGATAGCCACAAAAACTCCAGTTCTATTTTGCAGAAAAAGTTAGCCAAGGGGGGAGTTTGATTCAGAACGTGCTCCCACTCCAGATCAGGGCCCTCACGCCATTTTCTGCTGGAAACCCCACCTCTGGCCTGCTATTTCTCCCCCCCCCCCACCACCACCAATTGCTCTTTACAGCACCGTTCAGGGCAAATACCAATGGATCGTTACCAGATAATTCTTGCCAAACTACAATTCCCATAATTATTTAGAAGGAAGCCGTGCTTAGGAAACTGGTATGGAACTGATATAAATCAGTAGCGCAGATGGGATTTGGTGAGGGGGGGGCTCCTGTTTCACATTCTCTCTCCTCCCCACCACCAGATCCCCAGGCCTCTGTTTCCCATTTTTCGGGGCCTCTCATATACGGCGTTGGTGCTGCCGTTGTGGTCATAGCGCTGGCCGTCTTCCTCGGAGTCTGGAGGATCCGCCAGCCCCAGAGGCGCGAACACGGCTCCCTCTGGTTCCCCCCTGGGTTTGCTCCACACCAGGCCAAGAAGCGACGGTGCCGCCGGGACCCGGTGGGAGAGGACGCCATTGGGCTCAAGTGAGTATGAAAGGCGTGGCTTGCGGCAGCCTTGGCTTGGCACCAAACAATGAGGATGACTTGGGTATTCAGTCCACTTACAGTGGTACCTCGGGTTAAGAACTTACCGTATTTTTCGCTCTATAAGATGCACCAGACCACAAGACGCACCTAGTTTTTGGAGGAGGAAAACAAGAAAAAAAATATCTATTCTTAACCTGAAACTGTTCTTAACCTGAGACACCACTTTAGCTAATGGGGCCTCCTGCTGCTGCCGCGCCACCGCTGCACGATTTCTGTTCTCATCCTGAAGCAAAGTTCTTAACCCGAGGTACTATTTCTGGGTTAGTGGAGTCTGTAACTTGAAGTGTCTGTAACCTGAAGTGTCTGTAACCCGAGATACCACTGTATTTGCTTCAGTGGCGGCTGGTTGCCATTGGGTGGAAAGCAGGGAGGCTGAGAGGTGGTTGAGCCAAAGGCAAAGACAGACAGAGCATCCTGATTTGCTTAAGGGCCGATTATATTTGCTCAAGGGGCAATTAGACAATGCTGCAACAAGCCATTTCCGCCCCCCCCCCCACACACACCTCATTTTCCAGTGCATTATCCTTTTTGGGCAGAGGCAGATTTAGGAAGCACAACTGCTTCTGTCACACTGGGCGCAGAGCCTCGGGGCGCCATAACCATGATGTAGAATGAAACATGAGAGGCTGTGGGGAGGCCACTGCTAATATTTGAGACCCCCAAAGTCTGCCAATGTTTTGGGGAAAGAGGGCTTGTTGCATAAGACCTCTCAATCGACTCTCATTACGCCGCCTGAATTTGCTAGTATGTGACATTGAATGCTGCCTGCAAAATAGTGTTACATGTCCACATGCCCCCCAATCTGTGAGCGGCGCACAATTCCAGGGGTTCCAGGCGCTTCCCCAGGGTATGTGTTTCCTTTCGGAAAATGAGACACAGCAGAGACTGATGTCTTTATGATAGATGGTTTGTTTCCAGAGACAGTTGAACGTTTTGGCTCCTGAATGCCGCAAACCTGGAAGTGAGTGTTCCAGTTTGCGAACATTCTTTGGAACCCGAACATCCTCCACGGCTTCCGATTGGCTGCAGGAGCTTCCTGCGGCCAATCAGAAGCTCCGCCTTGGTTTCCAAATGTTTTGGAAGTCGAACAGACTTCCGGAACAGATTCCATTCGACTTCCGAGGTACCACTGAATATGAAACCTGCGCTTGCGATGGAGGGGTGCGCTGCACTGACATCCCAAAAGGGTCTTGCTCCTCCCATTGCCGCAGCTGTGGAGCCAAACAGAAATCAAATATTGTTCTCAAACATTGTTCTAACTCTCCAGTCTGCTGCTTTACCTCACTTTAGGTCGCATCACTTCTCTCCAATTCTTTTTTGCCTTTTTTCTCCTTCTCCCTATCTGTGAGTTGAGGGAGGGCATTTGCTGTCTCTTACAGATCCCTTTCCTTTGTCCTCTTTACACCTCACCAGGGAGCTAGACAGGCTATTTCAAAAATTAGAAGCCTTCATTTGATTTTAGCACTTGCTGGAACCCGGGGATTAACGCCGCAAACTCATAACAACAGCAGCAGCAGCAGCCTGGGATCTCTCCTTATTCCTCTCCATTTCTTTCCCCCTCTCTCCACAATGCAGGCCAATGAAGCCGAGTGCTGAATTTGTAGATGACCCTGACATGTGCTCCAGCCCCCACTTTGATGGACCGCTGAACTGTGCAGATATGGAGGTATTTGGTCCGGATGGGGAGGCAGTGCTGCTGCTAGGATTTGGATGGCAGAGTGTATGTCCAGAGCCCTACAGGCAAGGCCAGGGCCATCGTAACAACTTTAAAAAATAAATCAATATATCACAGAGAACCAATGTGGTGTAGTGGTTAAGAGCGGTAGACTCGTAATCTGGTGAACCGGGTTTGCGTCTCCGCTCCTCCACATGCAGCTGCTGGGTGACCTTGGGCCAGTCACACTTCTCTGGAGTCTCTCAGCCCCACTCACCTCACAGAGTGTTTGTTGTGGGGGAGGAAGGGAAAGGAGGTTGTTAGCCGCTTTGAGACTCCTTCGGGTAGTGATAAAGCGGGACATCAAATCCAAACTCTTCTTCTTCTTCAAGTGTGGCACCATAGTTGGGCCACAGAGAAAGTGGTGGGGACAAATATGTCCCCTTTTACTTTATTTCCCCCCACGAAGGAACAGAGAAGGGTCACATTTGTTCCCATCAGACTGCCAGGTAAGCAGGGAGGATGGGTGGCAGGCAGGGTGCAGAGGGGAGACATTCACAGTCGCAGCAGTGCCCATGTTGTTGATCCCGTTCCACTAGCAGGGACAGAGCAAACTTTTTATAGCCTCTTTGGTACAGGGTGATGCAGATGCCGTCTCGATCCCAGACCGAGGCCAGTCTAGGCCAAAGAAGCAGGTGCAGTTCAGCACACCGACCTCAAGCCAGGAGAAGGACCCCAAGCCGAAGGCCGTCAAGACTCAAAAGCCAGGTACAGAGGGAAGCAGGCCTTCAAGGGAAGCCGTCAACAAGGCAGGAAGTCCTGCCCCTGGACTGGATGGAATAAGGAGAGATACTGCCCATAGGGCTGGTCTGAACCAGGGGGGAGGGCAAGATAAATATAATATTATATCATAATGAATTACATAATAATAATACTAGGAAAGATTGCCTTGCAAACCCGTGTATATTTGCCAAAATTGCACACATAAATGTGTATGATGGGAGAAATTTGCACTAAAAGGCTAACAAATTTTTATGAGGGGGCTTTTCTTCTTTAAAAAAATTGACTTAATAGAAATATTGTTTAACAGAAAATGGAGAAGACATGGACTGAATGTCTTTAAAAAATTCTTTTTTTAATGTAACCGGCAGATAGAAAACAAGAAGCCTTTTTAATTTTCCTCTAATGCTTCTTTTCCTTTCCTCGTTCTTTTCTCTCTCTCTATTTCCTTTCTTCTTCTTGTTTTGCTATCTTATTGAGATTTTTAAAAAGAGAAATCTTACCAGGCAGCCCTGTTCAGGGAAGTTTTTAATATTTAACTCTGTATTGTTTTTAATACTTGATTGGGAGCCACCCAGAGTGGCTGGGGAAACTCAGCCAGATGGGCGGGGTATAAATAATAATAATAATAATAATAATAATAATAATTATTATTATTATTATTATTATTATTACCAATAAACCCCAAAATAGATAAATAATAACACTGACAAACTGATGAGGGAATCTGGGGAACGGAACCCAAGACTGGGAAAAAGAGAGGCAGAGGGAAACCAAAATGGCTGTCCGTCCCTAGTTACAAGTCTGACCTTCATGAAATGCCCTTTTTTTATCCCTCCAGTTTGTGGCCTGACCCCCATGATGCCCTTGGCCCATTCTCCTGGATTGGACCTGGAGGGATCCTGGGCAGAGGGGCAGAAGGGAAGCCCTGGAGAGACGCCCCTTCACTTGGCAGCTCGATTCTCCCGTGCTGATGCCGCCCGCAGGCTCCTGGCCTCCGGCGCCGACGTCAACGCCCGTGACCAGTGGGGACGGAGCCCCTTGCACAGCGCCATCGCTGCCGATGCGCTGGGTGTATTCCAGGTGACTAAAATAAAATCGAGGTGCAGGGGTAGAATGACTTCACACTCCCAGAAGGCCTTTTCCATACAAACAAGACTCTTTGAACACAGAGGGCAAGGTTATCATACTGGTCACAATGTCCATGTTCTCTCCCAGTGTGGTGTAGTGGGTTAAGAGCAGTGGACTCATAATCTGGTGAACCGGGTTCGATTCCCTGCTCCTCCACATGCAGCTGCTGGGTGACCTTGGGCTAGTCACACTTCTTTGTAGTCTCTCAGCCCCACTCACCTCACAGAGTGTTTGTTGTGGGGGAGGAAGGGAAAGGAGATTGTTAGCCGCTTTTAGACTCCTTCGGGTAGTGATAAAGCGGGATATCAAATCCAAATCCAATCTCTTCTTCTCTCTCCACTGTCAGAGGCAATATATGCCTCTGAAGAGCACTCGCTGGGAATCGCAATTGGGGAGGTGGGTGCACTTGGGTCCTTCTCTCGGGCTTCTTGGGGGCGCATCTGGTTGGCCACTGGGAGAACAGAATGCCAGACTGGGTGGGTGTCATTGGACGCAGAGGAACGGTGGGAGGAACCAGCTGGGGAACCCCCAAAGGAAGAAGGCTGAGAGCCCAGGGAATGGTGGTGGGACAACAATGAGTGGTCAGAGGGAGAAGACTGGGAGGAGGAGGTGTGGGAAGCTGAGGAGGTAACAGGGCTTGGTGAGCAGGGAGACTCTGTAGCAGAGAGAAGTCCATAATTAGAAGAAGGAGAGGAGAGAGGTCAAGAGGCAGAGATGAGTCATAGGTTGTCTCCCCATCCTGTTGCGACAAACTCCCCTTCCCTCTGGTCTCCCAGGACCAAGAGAGGCATGAAAAGAGCAGAGGAGAGGTTGGCTGCATGCAGGCGCAATCTCTGATTGCTTGGGGAAAACCCTGGAGAGGAGTGACCTTTTAGGAGGTGTCAGAAGCTGAAGAGGTAACAGGGCTTGGTGAGCAGGGAGAGTCTGTGGCAGAGAGAAGTCCAGAATCAGAAGGTAAAGAGGAGGGAGGCCAAGAGCCAGAGACGAGTACATAGAATCATAGAATTGTAGAGTTGGAAGGCACCCCAAGGGACATCAAGTCCAACTCCCTGGGATGCAGGAATCAGGAGTCCAGCTGGTCAAGAGTCACGGGTGTCTCCACCTCCTGCTGCGACAGAACCAGGAGAGGCAAGAAAAGAGTGGAGGAGAAGTTACCTTCGAGCAGGCGTAGTCTCCAATTGCTTTTGGAGGAAACCCTGAAGAGGAGGGGGCTTTGGCAGCTGTGGGAAGGCGGGGCCTTTCAGTCTCAGCAGCTGATTCGTGGGTTAAGACCTAACAGGGATGAGTTGCTTTGCTCATTCAGCCCGACACTCCTGTGACAATCCTGGTTTTTGCTGAGAAACTGAAATATACTCCGAGTTGAGAGTGGATTTCATGCTCTTTATTCAGCTCATAGTGGCGAGGAGGAATGAATGTTCCCCCAAAATATCTGCTTTATATACATCATTTACACAACGGGCTGCACGTGATTGGCTAATTCCGGGATTCTCCTGTAGGCCAATCAGGTTGTGGATTCACTTCCACCTGGAGCTGGATTGGGTGGCTCCTGCAGACCAATCATACTGCTGCATTGTTCTAGGACCAACCAGACTGCTGCATTCTGAATCCTATTGTTCTAGGACCAATCAGACTGCTGCATTTTGGCTTCTATTCAACTGAGTACATAACAGAAACAATTAACTCCAACTTGCTCCGTGTGATTTGCTGCTGGCTCCCTCCTGCCCGTGGGCGACATCTCAATGAGACTGTGGCAAGAGCATAAGAAGAGCTCTGCTGGATGAGGCCAGCGGCCCACTGGCGGGAGTGAGCCAGCAGCGAATTTTTTAAAAAGGGAACATTTTCTCCACAGATCCTTCTGCGTCACCGGCATACGGACTTGGACGCATCAGCGCACGACGGCACCACCCCTCTCATGCTTGCCACACGGCTTGGAGTTGAAAACATGGTGGAGGAGCTGGTCGCCAATCACGCCGACATCAGGGCTGTGGATAAAAGAGGTGAGGGCATTGCTTGTCCGTGTGCTGAACCCAAAGTGCCTGCCATTGCCAGAAGGCCTGCAAATGCCATCATGGTAGTCAAGATAACACCAAAACTAATAGTTAGTTGTAGGACTGAGCTTATATGTGTCTGTGCATTCACTCGCTTTGATGTATGCTAATTGGTCGCATTGATGCTGTGCTTATCTGTGGAGAGACTTTGGGCAGTTGCCACCTATGGCCTCACCAGCCGGGTATGATGGGAAGTTCTGGGTAAACATATATGCTTTTGTTGTTGTTGTTGTTTAGTCATGTTCGAATCTTCGTGACCCCATGGACCAGAGCACGCCAGGCACTCCTGTCTTCCACTGCCTCCCGCAGTTTGGTCAAACTCATGTTGGTAGCTTCGAGAACACTGCCCAACCATCTCGTCCTCTGTCGTCCCCTTCTCCTTGTGCCCTCCATCTTTCCCAACATCAGGGTCTTTTCCAGGGAGTCTCCTCTTCTCATGAGGTGGCCAAAGTATTGGAGCCTCAGCTTCAGGATCTGTCCTTCCAGTGAGCACTCAGGGCTGATTTCCTTCAGAATGGATAGGTTTGATCTTCTTGCAGTCCGTGGGACTCTCAAGAGTCTCCTCCAGCACCAGAATTCAAAAGCATCCATTCTTTGGCGATCAGCCTTCTTTATGGTCCTGCTCTCACTTCCATGCATCACTACTGGGAAAACCATAGCTTTAACTATGTGGATTTTGCTTTGTGCATAAAGGATGCAGAATTGTTTGCTTGGGTGCAGACAAGCCACCTCCTTCCTGCGGCATCCGTCCCGCATCTGGGGGACCTGGCAGGCTGATTTGCTGTAAGTTAGGGTTGCCATATTTCAAAAAGCGAAAATCTGGACACAAAAGTTTTTAGTTTTTCCCAGACTTGTTGAACTTTTCCTTGCTAAATCTCAAAAAAAAAAAAAGGAAGTTTTCCAGATATTTTTAAGGAAATACGCCAAAATCTACACTTCCGACACGGGTTGCCATACATCTGGATTTTCCCGGACATTTCAGCAGTTTCCGTCTGGGCACTGTTTCCCACTGCCGTGTTCCAGCTATGCCCAGGAAATTCCAGATGTATGGCAACCCTACATAAGTCTACACCAGGGAGCATCTCCAAGGAGGTTTGGTTTGGCTGATTGATGGTGACTTGGCCAAGATCACCCAGAGAGCCTCATGGATTTCGATTCATTAAATCCCTGTATTCTCTGTCCTACAGGAAAAACGGCCCTCCACTGGGCTGCGGCGGTCAATAATGTCCGTGCCACCCTTGTCCTGCTCAGAAATGGAGCTGATAAGGACAGCCAGGATAATCGGGTAGGTAAGGTATTTCTGCTCACGCTGTCTGAAAACAGACACATCAGAGGTGGAGGGGAAACTGTAGGGGTCTGCTAACAAGCCTCAGCACCTTTAACAAACTGCATTTCCCAGCATTCCTTGAGGGAAACCGTGGCTGTTTTATAAGCGTGCTTTAAAGAGATTTGTGCAGATGCGACTTTTATCTATTTTGCTCCCTCCCACCAGGCACAGACCCCGTTGTTTGTGGCTGCCCAAGAGGGAAGCTACAAAGTGGCCTGCCTTCTTCTCCAGCACGGAGCCAAGCAGAGCATCCGGGACCACGTGGGCCGCCTCCCGAAGGACGTGGCCCTCGAGCGCCTCCACCACGACATCCTGGCCCTCTTGGACTGCCCCCGCCCCTCCCAGCAGCTCTCGCCACACAGGCCACGCCCCCAGCCCCAACGGTCTGCCGGCAGCCCACGCAGGTTAAAGTGGCAACCTGGCAACCAGCGGCTAACTCCGGTCCCAGAGACCAAGGGCCCTTTTAAGGACCTCCCCGCTCCTACGCTACCGATTGGCCAATCAGAAAATGCTGTGGGGCCACCCGACGAGTGACTCTGCACCCTCTGGGTCTGGGTTGGCCAGAGGCCACAGCTGCGAGTCAGCGACAGCGGACTGAGCCATGGCGTGGCGCTTCCTGATGAGGTCATGCGGGGCTGGGATGATGTCACAGGACCGCACCACGAAGGGAGGCAATTCAGAGCCGAGCGGTGCCCGAGGGCAGATTTAGACGTCCTGCATGGAGGAACGAGGAGGATCTTGTGTAAAACCAGAGAACTGTCTGAGGACACATCTGAGGTCAGGCAAGGTGTTGTTGCACGGGTCCGTGGCAATGATATGTCACACAGCTTGGACAGAGAAATCCTTGATCATAACTTGCTGTTGGATAATGGTGGACGATCTCAGGCTACTGGGGTCAGAGTGGTCTTTCGCCCCACTTCTCCAAGCTGCAATTCCCCAATATACACGCTGTCATAGTTGGCTTTGCTTTTCCATTGGTGCAGAATCAGATAGACGGGGGTCTATGAAGACCAGGCCTTGCAATGATTACACACCATCTCTGCCACGTAGCTAAGCTCAGCTCTGCCGGCTTAGAAACTTGAGGGCTCCTAAGAAATCAGAACCAGGGATCTGCTCTCTTGCGGCTAATCTTCCCTGCTCCTCCTCCCAGCACCTAAACAAAAATTATCAGGGAGAAGGGAGGAGCTCTTCCCCCAACCCTTAGAAAAATTGGGAGGGGGGCATAAGGAGAGCCTGCCGGATCAGTCCAAATGCCCGTCTAGTCCAGCGTCCTGCTTTCACAAGGACCAACCGAATGCCTGTAGGAAGACTGAGCACAAGAGAACCCTCCCCACCTGCATTTCCCAATAACTAATATTCGGAAGTGTGCTGCCTGTGACAGTGGAGGTTGACATAGATATTGTGGCTAACAACCCAAAAACAATTGAAGCAGGTGAAAAATCTCCTGGCAGCGTCCTGGGGAAAGGTTTGGCTGCCGTGCTTGAAAAGTTCGTTTTTAAAAGAGCTAGTTCAGGGTGTCCAAAAAGGAAAACTACTTCTAGTACCTGTGCGATATAAACTAGTTTGGTTCACGCTTGGTTTAGATTTATCCAAATTATCCTTAGCAAATACACACACACACACACACACACACACACACATTCAGCATTCAGAATGTTGCAAGCAGTAGTGCTAAAGTATAAGATATACTTAGGAAGGCTAAGCAAATATCAACATCCACACACAAAGCAGTTTTTAAGATATATTTTCCCCAGCCATTATGATCTTTAAGCTTAAAAGCCCAAAGAGTTTAAAGAATAAAAACAAAACAAAACAAAATACGTAAGGCAATGAACCTGAAAATGAGCTAGAAACCGTTGAAAGTTCTACAAACACCCCCCCACACACACACAACCCCCCCCCAAAACTTATTTCGCATTCAGTTCACCCAGAAATCATTAGAATGACTTTTGGGCGTGGTTCAGAGATTTTTGAATGAATTCAGTCCGCCTTGCTAAACCAAACTGATTCATTCAAAGCACTGGCCCCCTGCTAATTTCGTGCGTGGCAAGCTGCCATTAAAGGCCAGTACAAAAAGGTAACCCTTGCCTACACTCTGCACATGCTCAAAGACACTCTCCCCTTGTGTCATCAAGTCACATATCCTTGGATTGAAAATTAGGTTCTGGACTGGCTCTTGCTGGAACTCAGGCTGAGCCCAATATCTGAAAATGTACTGCTAAAATAAATGTACTAGCTTTGGAGTTTTTTTATGAGCAGTTTTTTTCCCTTCCCCCACCCACTGTCAAGTCCCAATTTCATGGAAAATAACATTTATTGAAAAAGCACCATGATCTTAACTAAAAAAACACCAGCCTCACTTGGAATGATTCCTCAACACCCTCCATCTTATTTCAAGCAAGGTTTCTCTGTCTGCAACAGCTGCACTAACCTATCTAACTTGGTAGTATTCAGAGCTTCTACAGCAAGGAAGGGAACACCTGTGGCCACCTAGTTGTTCCTGAACTATAACTCCCAGCATCTCCGACCAATGGGACATAGTGGCTGAAGCAGATGGGAGCCCGTCAACATCTGTAGAGGAACAAGTTCCCCACCTAGGTAGTTTTGAAGATGCCATGGGACTCTCTCTGTGTGTAGGCTGTTCTTGTGATCTGCCAAAACACGTGCCCCCTCTCTTCTCCCTGTCCATTGAAAAGACAAAGGAAGCTGCAGAACTCTTTGCACATTAAAAGCAAAAAAAGCAGCCACACTCATCGCAATTGCAAACAGTCCCCGTGCTGAACGACTCTCTCCCGGTTGTCATTCCAGTTTTAGCCGCAGGGTGGCAAACAGTGCCATACTTGAAAATAGTAACAAGTTCCACAAGTTCTCGTTTCTCCCAGAGGTACTACAGCGGCCTCTTGGGGGAGGGCGGAGCGGGGGGGGCGCAGAAACACCCCCGCTCTTTTCACGGATCCCCGTAGAGGCAGGACCAAAGAAGGAGGGCGGAAGGAAGGCAGGCAGCGCAGGGTCACACCAGCCACCAGAAGCGTATGTAGATCATAAGTATCACAAAGACAAGACTGGTAGCGGCAGCTTTGGCGTAGGCAGAACGGCTGTTGAGGAGTTTGGCGTCATGGCGGTATTTCTTGGAGAGAGTTGACAGGTTGCTGGCCTTGGAATCCAGAGCTGGAGGGCAAATAGAGGAAAAAAGGAAGACAGGGCTGGCTAACGGACCTTTTAGAACCACATCTTCGCTGATTTTTCTCCATCCCGCTCACCACAGCGAGCGGCTAACCCATCATAGGCGACTACGTCCGGGCCCAGATTTCCTCCCAAACCAGGGGATGCAATATCCTCGCATCCACCCCAGTCCCCAAATTAGACAGAAGTGAGATTTTGCTCTGTGACTTCCCATACGACACGCAGCACTGATCCCAAACCCCCTTTCCCCATACCTGATAAGGCCTCTCCACGTTGGAGCACCTCTTCAATGTTGGTCACCATAATCTTCTGAACATCCTGTAGCTCCATGTTGATGCTGCTCAGGTGGCGCTTGGACCAGGTGTCCAGGTAGGATTTCTTCAGCTTCTGGATATAGAGGTCTTTTAAAAAAATATAGGAGGGTTTCGTGGATTGGCAACATCTGAGATGAACTACTACTAGGCCACAGGGACTCGCCTTTTGAGGCCACTCGCCCAGTGGTTTGGTTTTTTTTGCACTGGTATCCTGATCTTTTTCTAAGGACTTCAAGGTAGTGCTTACAGTCCCCCCCCCCATCCATTTTATCTGTGTAACAACACTGGTCAAAGCTCACCCAGTGGTCTTCATGACTGGGTGAGGATTTGAACCCTGCTCTCCCAGGTCCTAGGCCAGCATTCTGGCCGCTACTCCATGCTGCTGTGGTGTGTACACGTGGCCCAAAGTGAATGTGGGTCTGCTTTTATTTTTATTCCAAGTTTTGCAGGGGGTCAGAAAAATTGGCCCGAGGGAGCAGGCAAATTAGCTCTCGCCCCCCACCCACCCAAAAAAAGAAACCTGGATGTTGTCCACTTCTCTTCTAGACAAATACCGTATTTTTCGCTCCATTGGACGCACCGGATCATAGGAGCGGGAGAACAGGGAAAAGATTTTTTTTCTTGTACTCCCCCTCTAAAACAAGGTGCGTTCAAGGTACATTCACCAGAGCTTGTGGGGCTGGCGGTGGGGGGAAGCGCTGCTTTCCCCCACCGCCAGCCTCAAAGATCCCTGAAGCCTTTGGAGCGCAGTGCCCCGCTGCCCTGCACAGGTTTGCGCGCAGCCCTCCCCAAGCTAGAGCAGCGAGACGGAGCCCTCCGTCTCGCTGTTCTGGCTTGGGAACAGCCTTGCTAGCTTCTGCAGGACAGCGGGGTGAAGGGACCCCACTGCCCTGCAGAGGTTTGCGCGCAGCCGTCCCCAAGCTAGAGCAGCGGGACGGAGCCCTCCGTCTCGCTGTTCTGGCTTGGGAACAGCCTTGCTAGCTTCTGCAGGACAGCGGGGTGAAGGGACCCCACTGCCCTGCAGAGGTTTGCGCGCAGCCGTCCCCAAGCTAGAGCAGCGAGACGGAGCGCTCCGTCTCGCTGTTCTGGCTTGGGAACAGCCTTGCTAGCTTCTGCAGGACAGCGGGGTGAAGGGACCCCACTGCCCTGCAGAGGTTTGCGCGCAGCCGTCCCCAAGCTAGAGCAGCGAGACGGAGCCCTCCGTCTCGCTGTTCTGGCTTGGGAACAGCCTTGCTAGCTTCTGCAGGACAGCGGGGTGAAGGCACCCCGCTGCCCTGGAGAGGTTTGCGTGCAAGCTAGAGCAGTGAGACGGAGCCCTCCGTCTCGCTGTTCTGGCTTGGGAACAGCCTTGCTAGCTTCTGCAGGACAGCGGGGTGAAGGGACCCCACTGCCCTGCAGAGGTTTGCGCGCAGCCGTCCCCAAGCTAGAGCAGCGAGACGGAGCGCTCCGCAGTGCTCCGTCTTCCTGTTCTGGCTTTGGGCTTAGCGGCGCAGCCTGCATTCGCTCTATAGGACGCACACACATTTCCCCTTAATTTTTGGAGGGGGAAATGTGCGTCCTATAGAACGAAAAACACGGTAAATAAAAGTACACTCCACATCCAATAGCTACCAGGACTGAACCTAAGGTCTTCTGCTTGCAAGGCAGGCAGGAGTTTTGAGTTGCCAAACTTGGTTTAGACAATGAGGACTAGAAGGCTGGTGGGGCTGGGCTGGAGAGGCTCCCCGAGTTAGTACGCACCAAACTCGATGAAGGCGTACGGCCGTGACACGGAGGACACCTTCTTCCCGTACAGCTCCCAGAATTCGGCTTGCAGCTCCTCCAGGAAGGTGAAGGCCAGCTTTTTGGAGTAAGCGGCTTCGCACAGCGTCAGGTAGCAAATGCCCTGGCTGATCAGGTAGCTGCAGAGGAGGAAGAAGGCACAGAAGCAAAGAGGAAGGGAAATCGTGATCCGGCTCTTTCAAGCGAGCACAAACAGCCTCACAAGCAAGTTTCTAGACCCTAGGAATTTGTAGCAGCGCAACCGCACTAGTAAAATAATGCAAATAATTTACAACGTTGGGATAGCTTGCATGAATAAAGGAACCATCGTCTCCCAATTGGGAACACAGGCGACCATGCATGTTGTTATTTCGGTGAAGGTGGTTTAGAAGCAGCAGCCGGGTGTCATGTGGAGCTGCCTTATACCGAGTCTCACCATTGGTCCATCTAGTTCAGTGTTGTGAAATATGATTGGCAGCAGCTCTTCCCCATTGAAGAAAGAGGCATTTACTAGCCCTGCTGCCTAAGAATGCTTTTTTAATCTAGACAAGCAAAGAGATTGGACCTTCTGCATGCAAAGAACATGCTCTATCTCTAAGCTGGGGCCCCTCCAACTTCTCTCAATTGTAGCTTCCCCCAGTCCAGGCAGGTTTCACATTCAGGATTCGAACACAGGGCCCCCGGCACTCTAAGCGAGAAACACACATCCACAGCAGGGGTGGGGGAACCTGCAACCTGCCAGCTGTTGTTGGACTCCAGCAGACATCAGCCCCAGCCAGCATGGCCGATGGCCAGGGATCATAGAATCATAGAATCATAGAGTTGGAAGAGACCACAAGGGCCATCGAGTCCAACCCCCTGCCAAGCAGGAGCTACCTTGGGCAAAAGATTCCCAACCCCCTGCCAAGCAGGAGCTACCTTGGGCAAAAGATTCCTGCATTGCAGGGGTTGGACTAGATGACCCTCAGGGTCCCCTTCCAACTCTATAATTCTAAGATATAAAGGTAAAGGGACCCCTGGCCATTAGGTCCAGTTGTGACCGACTCTGGGGTTGTGACGCTCATCTCGCTTTATTGGCCGAGGGAACCAGCGTACAGCTTTCGGGTCATGTGGCCAGCATGACTAAGCCGCTTCTGGTGAACCAGAGCAGTGCACGGAAACACCGTCTACGTTCCCGCCGGAGCGGTACCTATTTATCTACTTGCACTTTTGACGTGCTTTTGAACTGCTAGGTTGGCAGGAGCAGGGACCGAGCAACGGGAGCTCACCCCGTCGCGGGGATTCAAACCACCGACCTTCTGATCGGCAAGTCCTAGGCTCTGTGGTTTAACCCACAGCGCCACCCGTGTCCCTAATTCTAAGATACTTCTATGAATAACATCCGGAAGGAGCCAGATCCCCCCACCCCCTGCTCTAGGCCTACTGCCCTGTCAATCCCAGCACTGTTATAGCATCTTTTAACAGTTCGCAGGTTCTCAAAAGAGATGACCTTTTAATACCAAGCTCCCTCCTTATTTCTGAGAAACACTTACTGGAAAGTCATCGCCCCAGCCTGCAAGGAACAGCGGTTCGGCGAATGCTCCCCGAGCTTCCGGAAAAGTTGCTTCGCTTGGCTGTGATATTCTTGGAAGTTCCGGTTCGACTGCAGAGGAAATAATTGGGACTAACACCAAGGGGATAAGGCTATCGGAGACTATGTTTTCCCTCCCCTGTCGGGGGCTGAATATTCCTCTGAATATCAGTTTCTGAGAGCTACAGGTAGGAAGACTGGTGGTGTCGCTCTCTGACGGTCCTGCTGTTGAGCTTCCCAGAAAAAAGGCATCTGTGAACACTCTGCGAACAGGATGCCAGACCAGGGTAGGCCGCTGGCCTGATTCAGCCAATCTTCTTTTTACCCTGGTCTTGGATACTCAAGAAATATATATTTTACAACCCACCCTGTTCCTGCGGCTGCAATTTGTTTTAAATGGTTTTTAATGTTGCGTTTGAAACTGTTGTGATGTGCCCTTGGGGCATTAGGGTGAAGGGTGGGAAACAAATCAAATGATTATACTTATAACACCGCAATAATAATTCACCTCCGGCAGCAAAATTTCTTGCACCAGCCAAGGAGCTTAAATCAAAATTCTGGGAAGGGGACCGGTTACAGCTGGTTGTGGGGTGGGAAGAATCTCTATGATCCCAAGACTTCTGGGCTCCCTCAGGAAGAGAGGAAGGCAATTACATTATTAGGCATCGTTAGAGGATTGTTACAGCACACATAATCCTACAACAGCTTTGCATGGCAGGCTGGCATTATTGCCTGAATACTAAAGATGGGAGCCTGAGGGCACACATTGGATTGCCTAAGTCCGTTTAGTAATAATAATAATAATAATAATAATAACAATAATAATTTATTATTTATACCCCGCCCATCTGGCTGGGCTGCCCCAGCCACTCTGGCGGCTTCCAAAAAAATATTAAAATACTGTAATACATCAAACATTAAAAGCTTCCCTAAACAGGGCTGCCTTCAAGTGCCTTCTAAAAGACTGGTAGTTGTTTTTCTCTTTGACATCTGGTGGGAGGGCGTTTCACAGGGCAGGTGCCACCACCGAGAAGGCCCTCTGCCTGGTTCCCTGTAACTTGGCTTCTTGCAGTGAGGAAACCACCAGAAGGCCCTCGGCGCTGGACCTCAGTGTCCGGGTAGAACGATGGGGGTGGAGAGTGAAAAGTGAAAAGAATAACAGTCTTGCTGGATAATCTAGTCCAGCAACTTGTTTTCATCACTTGCCAGTTAAAGGTAAAGGGACCCCTGACCATTACGTCCAGTTGTGGCCGACTCTGGGGTTGCGGCACTCATCTCGCTTTATTGACCAAGGGAGTGGGTGTACAACTTCCGGGTCATGTGGCCAGCATGACTAAGCTGCTTCTAGCGAACCAGAGCAGCGCACGAAAAGGCCATTTAACTTCTTGCCAGAGCGGTGCCTATTTATTTACTTGCACTTTGACATGCTTTCGAACTGCTAGGTTGGCAGGAGCAGGAACCGAGCAACGGGAGCTCAGCCTGTCGTGGGGATTCGAACCACCGACCTTCTGATCAGCAAGCCCTAGGCTCTGTGGTTTAACCCACAGCGCCATCTGCGTCCCTAGTTAGCTGCCCATTTTTGTTAGCTTCTGAAGGACCCTTGTGATCTGCTCCCAAGTTCTGGTATTCAAAGATAAACTGCCTCTGAGCCAGGAAGCTCTCTTTAGCAGTTATGGTTCACCTGCCTAAAGCTGGTTCTGTATATGAGTGTGTGTAGTGCCAGGAAAATACAAAATTAGCTTACAATACAAAGTACACTTGAAGTGGTCTCCTATACGCTGGAGCAGCCCTTTTTGCATCAAGGGCCGCGTTTACCCTCAGCCAAACCTTTGGGGGCCACATGCCAGCAGAGGGCGGGGCCAAAAGTGGGCACACTCATCTGCCCCACACATCAGCTGGGAGGCAGGAGAGAGATTTATTCTTCCTTTTCCCAGTGGCGGGAAGGGTAGATCTGTAACGTAGCAAGCTGCCTTATAGTGAGTCAGACCACTGGCCCACCTTGCTCAGTACTGTCAACACTGGCCGGAAGCAGCACTCCGGGGTTCCAGAGTGAGGCCTCCCCTAACTGTACCTGGAAATGTCAGGATTGAACCCGGGAATTTCTGCAAGCAAAGCAGATGCTTCACCACTGAGCATTCCAAATCAGGGCACCACCTTACTATTATTTATTTATTTATTCACCCCTGCTATACATTTTATTATTATTATTATTATTATTATTATTATTATTATTTCTACTCAGAAAGGTGTCTCATTGTTTTTCAACTGAGTTTCCTTGCGGATGTGTGTACAGGATTGCAGCCTTCAAACAGACGCCCTGTGACGTTTGGTGCTATTTATTTATTTGTTTAACACCCCCAACTCCATGTGCGCTAATGTCATAACCCCTACCTAAATCACCTCTGAAACCGGGTTTGAAAGTTCACTCCCCCCCCCCCCATAGTAATAATAATAATATATTATTTACACCCCGCCCATCTGGCTAAGTTTCCCACTTAGAACAAAACCAGGTGCAAGTAAGAAGTAGGGGAAATCTGAAACGTGACCCTTGAGAGGAAAGGATTTCCTAGTGGTTAGAGCTGGAGAGGGTCGGCTGAGGGGGTGGGGGGCGGAGATGCCCTGGAAGCCTCGGACTCCTGGGTTCCTGCTTCCTCTTACCTGCTCCGTTTCTTGCATAGAAGCTGCCAGGAGAAGCCCGTCTTGGACCCGGCTAATCATGGTAAGCAGGACCATCCTGGCTGGGCGGGGGGGGGGGGGGAGAGGGGTCCTGGGGTGTTTTTTTAAGGGGGGGTATCCCTCTCCCCCTCCCCTCCGGAGGCTGCAGCCGGACCCGGACTCCCGGCTGACGTGGCCGACGGGAGGGATGCAAATCGCGGGCGAAGCGGGGCGGAGCGACGCCGCCAAGAAGTTAGTTTGGCACCAGGCGAGGCGCGCACGCCCCGCCCGGCCTCCGGAGGGCTCCTCCTCTCTTTCGCCTTGGAGGTAATATCCCTGCTAGTAATATCGTTAGCAGCAGCGGCTCTTTAGGGCCTGTTGATTTTAGTTATTGTGGGAGTCTTGCAAAAAAAAGTAGCAATTAGTATTGTATAGCTTGATGGGCTGAGCTGCTTTGGCCATCCTGGCTGCATTTGGCATTTTTGCAACTTCGATTATTTGGCCTTGTATGTTGCTATATCTTGGTCGTGGTTTTGTATTGTAATAATACAATTTCAAAATTATTATTTGCAAATAAGAATGATTTGCAAGTTACTGAACAGAAATAGCAATAAGACAGACTTCAAAAACAGCAGGCACCAGTAAATTACCAAAGTACAAGCTAAAGGTTAAGGGACCCCTGATCATTAGGTTCAGTCGTGGCCAACTCTGGGGTTGCGGTGCTCATCTCCCTTTATTGGCCGAGGGAGCCGGCATACAGCTTCCGGGTCATGTGGCCAGCATGACTAAGCCGCTTCTGGTGAACCAGAGCAGCGCACGGAAACGCCGTTTACCTTCCCACCGGAGTGGTACCTATTTATCTACTTGCATTTTGACGGGCTTTCGAACTGCTAGGTTGGCAGGAGCAGGGATCGAGCAACGGGAGCTCACCCCGTCGCAGGGATTCAAACCACCGACCTTCTGATTGGCAAGTCCTAGGCTCTGTGGTTTAACCCAAAGCGCCACCTGCGTCCCAAAGTACAAAGTAATGATGCCAAAACAATAAGCGGAAGTAACTTTTTAGGTTGTCTGGTTTTGGCTATTGTGGCATGTTGCGCCTTTGCAATTTATTTTGCAAAACTTACAAACCACTCAAAAAACGAGTGGTTTCTTCGCTGCGCCACTGAGGGTGTTTGCCAGCTTTACAGCGCAGTTCTACATAGGTCTACTCTGTGGTGTAAAGTTTAAATTCTGCTGTTACAAATTGCAGGCGCGTTGAGCTGAGGGAGCTTCTGAGCCTGCGCAGAGTTCCTTAGCTCGGAGGTGCCTGGAGCTTTCTCGCAGCGTCTGTTTTCTTTGGAATGGACACCATTCACTCAGTTATTCTTGAAAAGCCAGTTGTTGCTCCCTAGAGTCTCAACCTGTGAGTCCCCAGATGTTGTTGGACTACAACTCCCATCATCCCTGAGAGCTCTGTCCTTGCTAGCTAGGGGTGATGGGAGTTGTAGTTCAACACCATCTGGGGACCCACGGGTTGAGAAAGGCTGCGGCCTAGACTGATCTCGTTTCCCAGCCGGCATAAGTTGGCTTATGCCGAGTCAAACCATTGGTCCCCTAGCACAGTATTGTCAGCACAGGCTGGCAGCAAAGTTTCAAACAGGGGGCACTCTTGCCCTTTTTTGGAGGTGTCAGGAACTGAACCTGGGACCTTTTGCAGATGCTCTGGCCCAAGGATAGGCAAACTAAGACCCGGGGCTGGATCCGGCCCATTTGCCTTCTCAATCTGGCCCTCAGACGGTCCGGGAATCAGCGTGTGTTTACATGAGTAGAATGTGTCCTTTTATTTAAAATGCATCTCTGGGTTATTTGTGGGGCCTGCCTGGTGTTTTTACATGAGTAGAATGTGTCCTTTTATTTAAAATGCATTTCTGGGTTATTTGTGGGGTCTGCCTGGTGTTTTTACATGAGTACAATGTGTGCTTTGATTTAAAATGCATATCTGGGTTATTTATGGGGCATAGGAATTTGTTCATTCCCCCCCCCCCCCAAAATATAGTCCGGCCCCCCACAAGGTCTGAGGGACAGTGGACCGACCCCCTGCTGAAAAAGTTTGCTGACCCCTGAGTCTGACCACTGAGTGACAGCTCTTGGTGCTTGCAGAGACTGACACCGCTGTCTTATCCTGCCTTCTGTGGAGTGTCCCTTGACACAGGCTGTGTCGTGGGTGTTGAAGGTGGGCGCTTCTAGGGAAGGGGTGCATCTCACAAACGGTTTACTCTGATCCAATTTTTCCGCGTGCATCACTGGTGCATGGCCACCCACCCACTCATTTTTGAATACATGTGTTCTTCACAGACACTCTATTGTTTCCTGGACTGGGGCGAAAGTAGGCTTTATTTCACCCAGATCAAAGACCCAGTTTGGCACACGCACCCCATGTGCATTTGCTTACCCACGCTGGGAGCTTACACGGGGGCAACCCCCCCCCCAGCTAGCCCCCCTGTAGCTACAGCTCTGCCTGATGGCCATACCAGTAGCAAGGAGTGCGGTGTCCTGCATGAAATGTTTTGGTCTTCGTGGCCCTTTTACACACAGGTAATTCTGTTCCTGTGCCTGCACACCATTAAAAAAAATGGACAGGAAGTGTGAAACTGCAGTTATTACAAGCTCCTAGTTTTCATGTTCCACAATGGCCTAGAGGGATGCTCGTACTTTCTGGAGAGTGAGCAAGACTGATGTGCTTTGGGCTTTGCCTCCCTCGTTTTTGTTCTTGTTTTACATTTTTAAGACAGAGGTCTTGCGCAAGTCTGACATTTGGCCATGCCAAAATTCTGATAAAGGGGTCTTGGGCGAGACCTCTGCATTAATACCTTTTAAAAGTCCTTATTCATTCACACGTTTTAAGCAAAAAGCTCTCCGGAACTAGGATTGCCATATTTGAAAAAGTAAAAATCCGGACACAAAAGTTGTGGGGGGGGGGGCATAGGGTTTTTTTTTGGGGGGGTGCAAAGTTGTTGAGCTTCTTTTGCAAAATCTCAAGCAACCCGGGTTTTTGAAAATTCAACAGATGAATCCTGGCTGTGTCCGGTCATATGGCAGCCCTATCTGAACAGAGTTGCCAATATTCCAGTGTGCTTTTGGCATGTGTCTGTCCATATTGTTTGGAAACAAAACGGTTTTGCTCCTATAACAAATTGTACAGAAAGAGCAGAGGACAGGAAAGTGTGTGGATAGGCCCTTAATGTTAAAGGGATAAAGTACAGGTTGACATTTTGATGAGGATGCTGACATCGTATGATCAGTGCAAAAAACGTGCATGCGCCTACGACCCTGGGCAAAGTATACCTTCACCTGTAAGTGCCTGACAGTCTTTTTCAGGGACTAATGGCCACAAGACAGCGGTAGCTTGTCTCGGACTGCCAGTGGCTGGGAATCACAGGTGAGAAGAACAGGGCTGCTGCACTCAGGTGGGCGCTGCGTGTTCTGAAGAGGGTTGTGAGGGGCAGATGGGGCTCATCAACCTGGGATGGGAGCCCATCTAGGAGAAGGAAAACTCTGATCCTCCGCTTCCTTGCAGGATATCTATACAGCTGACTGTGCCCCCAAATACCCCAGTAATAAGATCATTAAGTTCGCAGATGATACAACGGTGGTTGGTTTAATCATGGCTGGAGAGGGGGAGGCGGCCTATAGGAAGGAAGTTGAGTAATTGGGGGAGTGGTGCAGGAAAAACAACTTACTCCTTAACTTAAAGGAAACAAAAGAGATCATTGTGGACTTTAGGAAATGTAAATTGAATATTCAGCCACTCATTATTGAGGGGAAGTGTGTGGAACAGGTCTCGGTGTTTCGATTTCTGTGAATGGAGTTGAGAGATGACCTAACCTGGGGAGAAAACAGCAAAGACCTGAAGAAGAGGTTATATTATCTGAGAATTCTCTGGAAAAATAATCTCTCAAAGGACCTGTTGATGGCATTTTACCATTGTACTGTTGAGCGTGTATTAACTTATGGTCTGTGTGTGTGGTTTGGGAGCTACACGGTCAGGGAAAAAACAATGCTGTCCAGGGTTGTAAAGACTGCGGAGAGAATAACTGGGTGCACTCTTCCCACCTTGGATCAAATCTATGCTTCCAGGTGCCATAAGAAAGCTGCAGAGATAGCGCAGGATAGTGCGCACCCCGGAAATGATCTGTTTCAGCTTCTGCCTTCTGGAAGAAGGTACAGGGTTATAAAGACTAGGACTAGCCTCCTGAGAAACAGTTTCTATCCAAATGCGATTTTGGTTTTAAACTCAGGGTAAGGAGTCTCTATGGGAGTATATAGTATTTAATTATGGGGTATCAGAGTTTTTAGGGGGCTAACCAGCTTGGGATGGCTGGGATAGCAGGCTTGTTGGTTTTTGAATGCCTTATGTAGATTTTTCAATTTCATTGTTCTGTATGGGACAATGACAATAAAGATTATCGTATTGTAAGAAAAGGCTCAGGAATAACCCGACACAAACTTCCGGGGTGGCGCCATCGGTAATGGCGGACTCCCTCTGATTTGGAGGGACCAGCTCCACGGGAAACGGGTCTTTTCCGCTACGGCGAAGCGGGGACCCATTCAAAAATCACAGGCGGATGAAGCCTGTGACCATGGGACTCGGCGGGCACCTTTAGCTCCCCCCAACCCGCAAAGGAACCCACTAACGGGCTCCGAAGCGAAGAGGGGGAAGTGGCGCGGTGCTGAGAGTCAATTGCTTCTTCCGTGGAGCGAAGCCGCACAGCCGTTGCCGGAGAGCGCTGCCTTTTTCCTGGGACAATTTGGCTTTTAAAACAATCACCCGTGAGTACTTAAATTTCGGACAATTGGACTCTAAATAAGGATTTGTGAGCTGAAAGGAAAATTGGACTTAAAAGTTTATTTTAATTTGGCACTGAAACGGGAAGGTCTAAACAGGAAGTCAGCCTTCCGTTTCTTTGTAGATAGATTAAAGCAAAGACATGGCAAACTAGAGTTCTGAAAATCGCTTGTAAAGGATTAACTTTCATCATTTTAAATTGTTGAACCCCCTTCGGAAGCAGGAGAAGAGGGGGATTTTTTCGGACTGATTAAACCTGCAGAAGTGAGTGTAAAGCAAAGTAACTTTCCACCGTCTTGATCCTGGAGCGGGGTGTCAGGACTGACGTTTTTTGAAGCTCATTGACCAGAGACAAACGTTTCTGACAGATAGCTAAAAGAAGAGAAACATAGTGACTCCATTGTTCCCCTTCGCATTTTAAAGGAACAAATATTGACAAAATATCTGAAAAAGGAAACTTTGTTGTTAGATCTGTCTTTAAAAGAAAAGAACAAACAGAAGTTCTTCCCCTAGAGGGAGCCTGTGAAACTGTAACCAATTCTGAATCGGGGAGCTTGCAGCTGTCATAGATTACGATAGTGGGAATAGACTTCTGACCTTGCAGGACAATGTATTCAGAAGCTCTGTTGTGTGCTTTCTGTAAAACAAGTGCCCTACTGGAACAGCTACATGAGACGACGGATTTTATGACTGATGCGATCAGAAATTTTGGACAGGCAGTGGGAAATTATATAGAGCCCACCCAGGAATCAGATCAGGAGTGTGCCCTGACAGAACAGATGAGGGAAGAGGATGTTTCTGAATCTTGGGCGCCAGAGATGGAGGGAGCTGTGGCCCAGCAGGAACATGAATTCTTGGATTTGACAAATGAACTTGGAAAAAGCCAGATTTGGAAAGATAAAGTTTGGTTTGGTTTGGAAATGGGGGGTTGGATAGACCCCCCTATGCAGGGAGGTTTGGACTTTTCAAGTCTGGCAATGGGCCGTGAGATGTTTGGGGTTGTGGGGGCTCTTAATTTTGGAGGGACTTTGAAACATGTTCTTAAGTTTTGGGCTGGGTTGCCATCAGTATGCTGATGACACCCAACTCTATCTGTTGATGGATGGCCATCCTGACTCGGCCCCAGACACACTGACCAGATGTCTGGAAGCTGTGGCTGGATGGTTACGTGGGAGCCGGTTGAAGTTAAATCCTTCGAAGACAGAGGTCCTCTGGCTGGGTCGGGACGATATGGGATTGAGGGGGCAACTCCCATCTCTTGCGGGGGTGCAATTAGTGCCAGCACCGTCCGTTAAGAGTTTGGGTGTAATCTTCGATACCTCCCTTTCTATGGAGGCGCAGATTACAGCTATAACAAAGGCGGCATTTTTTCATCTCCGCCAAGCTAAGCAGTTGGCCCCTTATCTCTCTTGCCCTGACCTAGCCACTGTGATCCATGCGACGGTCACCTCCAGACTGGATTATTGTAACTCGCTCTACGTGGGGCTGCCCTTGAGACTGACCCAGAAACTCCAGCGGGTGCAGAATGCCGCGGCGAGACTCCTTATGGGGTCTTCGCTGCGAGATCACATTCATCCGGTACTATACCAGCTGCACTGGCTCCCGGTGGAGTACAGGATCAGGTTTAAGGTGCTGGTTTTAACCTTTAAAGCCCTATACGGCCTAGGACCCTCGTACCTACGGGACCGCCTCTCCTGGTATGCCCCACAGAGAAACCTACGGTCTGCAAATAATAACATCCTCAAGGTCCCAGGCCTCAGAGAGGTTAGGCTGGCCTCAACTAGAGCCAGGGCCTTCTCGGCTGCGGCTCCAATCTGGTGGAATGCTCTGTCACAAGAGACTAGGGCCCTGCGGGACTTGACATCTTTCCGCAGGGCCTGCAAGACAGAGTTGTTCCGCCAGGCCTTTGATCAGGGCGCAGCCTGACTCCCTCCTCTGGCAACCTGCACAGAACTTTGCTTAATTGGTTGCCATCAATTTGATTTAATTAATTTTTATAATGAAATATTTTTAGATTGTGTGATTATTTGATTTTTTGATTATTTGATTGTTGTTAGCCGCCCTGAGCCCGGCTTCGGCTGGGGAGGGCGGGATATAAATAAAATTTATTATTATTATTATTTATTATTAAATACTACATGGAGCTTAGTCTGGACTATGGAAAAGGGGCTGATTTGTCGAGATGGGTCAAAAGCATTGTCAAGCTGGAGTTCCCAAGAGTGAAAGGAGCAGGAGATAAAGGAAAATACAGCTGTAAATATGAAGAAGAGCTGCGGAAGGGACATGGAAGGGACTTAAGGGCCTCGGACATAAGATTGCCAGGTTAATGCGCTAGATTGAGGAGATAGAAAGGACTGACAAAACCCGGGACCAGGAGGAAGAGACGCTGGAAGAAGATTGGATTGTTTTTTTTTTGTTGTTGTTGTTTTATTAGGATTGTTTTATAAAATTGATGAATGTTAGAAAAATGTTGGAACGAAATTATTTGGCTTTAGCAAAAATGTTTAAATAATTATGTAAGAATATTATGGTTATGAGAAATTGGTAAAAATAAGATTTAAGTTTTAAGCTTTAAGGTTTTTATAGTAAGATAAGATTAAAATAGATTAAGGTAAAGTAATGACAGAATATTATGAAATATGGAAAGGATTTGCTGCGACAATTAATAACCAGGATACAAAAAAAGGGGGGAGGAGGAGGAGGTCAAAGAAAGAAGGTAATGACAGTTAAGGATTTGAGAATATTGGATTTGTTTTTAAATGTTTGTGGTATATTTTTGTTTTTTGAGCGTGTTGTGCTATTTTTTTATTTTGATTTCTATTAATCTGTATTGTTTGACAAAAAAAAAAAAAAAGGAATAACCCGACACAAATCCAGAGTCGGGTCCCTAAGACCTTTGGATGGCGCCTTGTACGCCTCCTTCTGGCAAGTCCTGCAGCCCAGCTGGTGCCAAATGCCTTGCTCTGCTTTCCTGTGGACCACACCAGCGAGGACAAGAGGGGAGTCTTGTGGTCTGAGCAGCCCAGGACTTCCAGACACATGGCCCAGTCTTGCACCCCAGAGGAAGTCATGGAGGAGGTGCATTTCCTGTTTGCACCTTTGCTCTTGGTTTTCCTGCCATGTGGCCCTTCACGTCTATCATTTCTTTCCCCCTCTTTAAATTGTGTGTGCATGCAGAAGCACAAACAGCTCAAGAACACGCAAGGAAGTTTTATTATGATGACCACACTAAAGCGCAACCGTGCATAAAAATGACAAACTTTTCTTGCAAGGGCAGCCAACCGCTGCCGTTTTATCTTAGCTTTGCAACGCAGCAGCTGGCAACTGTGGACGTGGGCAGCGAGGGTTTGCAGGTGGACTGCTGTACATAAACCGGGCAAAAAACCCTATTGCAGTCAAGTTCTCGGGTTGTGATTCCGCCTGGTTTGCTACTACTTAAAATAAAAATTAAAAAACAGGTAACTATCGCACAGATAATATCTGGTGCATTTGCACTTGCCTTTACAGGTAAGAACAAAAAGAGGGTTCTGCTCTGCTGGGATACTTTGCATAGGCCCACCAGAGCTGCACCCTGAATGTGTAGTGCAGACAGGGATGGCAGGATGGAGGAAAACAGCTCCATTTCTAGAGCCGCTATTGTAATTACATTTCCATATGATTGCATTACAGGACACAGCGTGGAAGCAGCTAAATAAGACAGTACCCATCACCATTGCTTTATAAAAGATTGGAAGCATGTAAAACCGATCTCTTTCAAAGCAAGCATCAATCAGCTGAATTTACATTTCAATTGCACACACACACACACACACACGAACACCCCAGTACATTCTGACCCTAATTTTAGAACACGAAAGACTATGGAAAATGTTGAAAGACCACAGCTCCAATGATCATTGGCCACGCTGACCAGGGCAAAGTCTGGCAACATCAGGAGGGCTGCAGGTTTTCAAACCATAAAAGATTGCTGTGAGGCTACAGTGTAAGATGGTGGATTAATCTAGCAAAAAGTGGTGGTTCTAACAGCTTGATGCCTCCTAAAGACAAGTTATCCACTTGTAATACCTCATTCATCACACATATCTAACGTCTGCTATTTGTTTATCAGTCTGGTCTCTCCCCCCCCCCCCTTTCTCTGCCCACCTGAGGAAGAGGTAGAACCATAGAATCATAGAGTTTTAGAAGGGACCCCGACGATCATCTAGTCCAACCCCCTGCAATGCAGGAACTTTTTGCTCAATGTGGGGCTCGAACCCACAACCCTGAGATTAAGAGTCCCAAGCTGTGTCCCAGCAGACTCAGAAACTTCCTGACTTTCCATGGCTCCCAATAAACATACCACACTACTGCTTCTGCCACCAGTTCAGGCCATTTTGCTTGTAGACGGGTTAGAAGGAAACGTTTGTTGAAGACAGAAAGCTTAGCCGGGAATCAAATACGGTGCTGCATTTGGAGAGAGGCTGCCTCAGTTTTGCACCCACCCTCTTTTTCTTTCTACAACACAGGATACCTTCACAGTATGAAACTTTTTCAAATTTCTCAGTCCATGCTGCCTTGCTCAGTTTAGGCCTCGCAAGGGTTTCGTCTTGCGGCGCAATGTGTCTCGAGTCACTAGAACCACATCTGTTGGAGGGAGGAGTCTGCCGGGGGACTCAGGCACTGCATGGGGAAGGAAGTGTGCGCCCCCAGCAAGGACGGCCCACCGAGACCAGGAGGGAGAGCCGAGCGCTGGTCTTCCATCCGGGTGCCTTGGGCTTTGAGCAGCAAATCCAGTAGGCCCTGAATTCCTACTGGGATGGGGGGCTCTGTGCGCTGGTCTTCGAGACGCTGGCTCTGTAAGGAAAAGAGGAGATGCTGAGCTCTGCTAGCCGACTGAGAGGCAGCGTGGTGTAATGGTTAGTGTCGGACTAGGACCTGGGAGAACAGGGTTCAAATCCCCGCTCAGCCATGAAGCTCGCTGAGTGACCTCGGAGTCAGCTGCCATCTCCTAGCCTAATCCATCTCACAAGGTTATTATGAGGATGAAATGAGGATTGTCCTAAGACAGCTACATCAAGTCCTCCATTTCCAATGTTTAGGGTTTGAGTGCCATAATTTAGAAAGCCAAAACATGCACAAATGGGAGGTAATAGCAAACTTGAGGAAACACTAAGTAGAACAGGGGAAAATGTATTTAGGGGGGGAAACACCCTAATGTTTGGGGGAATCTCGGAAACAGTCCACAAGGACTAGGGCTGTAGGAAGTTAGCAAGGTCCTTTCCAAGCCATGTTTCTTGCAATCAGCGCTGCTGCAGTTCAGCTGCAGTTCAGCTTCTGTTAAAAACGATGTCAGTTACCTTGCTGTGGCTGAATGTAATGTAATTAATCACATTGTCATTGTGTGATTCCATCCCATTCGCTTCAATGCAAAGGAAATGTCAGAATGGGGGGGGGGGGGGGCGGACGGACGTACAACGACCCTATAACAAATACCAGTCGTATTAATTTGCCTGAGGCCTTGGTTCCTGACTACAAACGAGCAGGGAAACTGAGGCAGTTTCCGCTTCTGTGTCTGCTTGGAGGAGAATTTGCTGCCATCCTTAAGGAGGACTGAGCATGCTCAGTAGCTGCAAGAGGCTGACTGACTGCTGGGGGGGGGTTGCAATCCTGAGTAGAAGCACTCCATGCTGCAACATTTTGTTGCAGATCCCGCTGTAGTTGGATTTCAGGATAGGTAATGTTAACCACCCTGGGAACGTCAGACGGAAGGGAAGTATCAACATTTTCATCATCATCAACATCAAGAGGCTCTGCTAGCACCAACGTCCACCCAGGCCTTATCTGGAGACCTCATCGCTCACCTGATGAGCCAAGATAGTGTCATAGAGCTTCTCTTCAGAGACCCTCGAGTTGCCCGCACACATTTCCGCAGCCTCCTCAAAATCAGCCCGCTGGTCATCAAGCCTCCGGGCCTGGGCTTTGGCCACCATGTCAAAAAACTCCTCCGCTTGGAGAGAGGTCAGCGAAGAGAAGAAGACTGGGAGAAGAGAGGAAAGAGAACAGATTGTGTAGCAGAACAGCCATACGCAGAGGGCAGAAGGATAACAGGGAATCCTGGGTGTCAAAGCTTCAGATCCTCCAGCGTCACCCAATCAAAACATTAACTGGTTTGAAGTTTCTAACCCTTATGACTGTCAACCAAAGTTTGGAAATGCTGAGGTTGCGCGTCTGCTGAAACCTCCAGGCGTATGTCAGTAGTGGAATTTCGTGGCCCTTCTGAGGTCCCCACCTGTGCTCCAGAACGGTTCTCCCTGCCCAAATTTGTGTTGTGGGCACACGTTAGCATGCCCAAGTCTGTGCCACATGAGCCTGTGCTCGGAGACTTCAAAGTACCTACCCCCCCCCCGGAAAACTGTTGGTGGAAGCCAAAAGGCCTCCCTCACCAGGGGACCATTTGGAGTAAGAGGATCCTAGGGAGTTAGGCTTTCGGCAACCACCCCTTCAGTTTCCCTGCATCACTTCAAATAATAATGATAATGATAACAACAACAACAACTTATTATTTATACCCCGCCCATATGGCTGGGTTTACCCAGCCACTCTGGGCAGCTCCCAAAAGAATTAAAAGCACAATAAAACATTAAACATTAAAAACTTTCCTAAACAGGGTTGCCTTCAGATGTCTTGTAAAAGCCAGATACAGTGGTACCTCGGGTTACATATGCTTCAGGTTACAGACTCCGCTAACCCAGAAATAGTGCTTCAGGTTAAGAACTTTGCTTCAGGGTAAGAACAGAAATTGTGCTCCGGCAGTGCGGCGGCAGCAGGAGGCCCCATTAGCTAAAGTGGTGCTTCAGGTTAAGAACAGTTTCAGGTTAAGAACGGACCTCCGGAACGAATTAAGTACTTAACCCAAGGTACCACTGTAGTTGTTTATTTCCTTGACATCTGAAGGGAGGGCGTTCCACAGGGCGGGCGCCACTACTGAGAAGGCCCTCTGCCTGGTTCCCTGTAACCTCACTTCTCACAGTGAAGGAACTGCCAGAAGGCCCTCGGAGCTGGACCTCAGTGTCCGGCCTGAACGATGGGCTATACTGGGCTGTGTCCGTTTAGGGCTTTAAAGGTCAGCACCAACACTTTGAATTGTGCTCGGAAACATACTGGGAGCCAATGTAGGTCTTTCAAAGGTAGGATACGCCTGGAAATCTTTGGAGAAGACTGCAACATTCTAGTCCAATAAATATTGTTGTAAGTTTTCTTTTGGTGGGGGAGGTTGAACCCCCCAAATTAATAAGTGGTAGTATTTTGGTTATTTGAGATGTGAAGAGAGAAATACTAGCTGCTGAGGGATTCCTGGGCTAGCCTGAGGTGTGAACAGAGACTGGGGATTTTGAGGGTTGCCAGTTGTGGGAGGAAAGAGTGTCTTTATCAAGGTGTGTTGGGAAGAGGAAGGGAGAACAAAGACAAGAGATCCATTTTGGGCAGATGCCCTTGACTCCAGGGCTGTGGGAAAGACACCCCTCTTGAAAGGAACATGCTGTAAGATCCGGACTCCCTCCCTCCAAACTCAGATATAAATATGGGAATAAGCCATATTTCTGAAAGCTACAACCGTCTCCGCCATGCCTTCAATTCTCCAAAGGAGCAGAGGCCCTGTTTGAGGGCCAAGACCCCAGGAATCCTGAAGGGATAAGACCCCAAATACACCAAATGCCTATTAGCACTGTTATAAGAATTCTAAGGTCTCGAATATAAATTAAATGTTCATAAATGTACAAGGCAAACACATACATAACTATATAAAGCACGGGTCTGAAATAGTACAGGAGAGCAATCCTGAAGCCATTTTGACTCTCCCAAATTGACCTCAAATGTTTCTCTGCAAGAAGGAAGGAAATGGGAATGCCGCCCCCCTCAATTGTCTTTTGGGGTGTATTTGTGTATGAATAGGGTGATCCTGTGACCTGGAGTCAGGAACTAAAGTATTAACCATCACAAAAGAATGGCCAGACTGCCCAGGTAATGCAGTCAGTGACTATTATCAGGTACATTGGTACCTCTGGTTGCGTACTTAATTCGTTCCGCAGGTCCGTTCTTAACCTGAAACTGTTCTTAACCTGAAGCACCACATTAGTTAATGGGGCCTCCAGCTGCCGCCGTGCCTCTGGAGCACGATTTCAGTTCTCATTCTGAAGCAAAGTTCTTAACCCAAGGTACTATTTCTGGGTTAGCGGAGTCTGTAACCTGAAGTGTATGTAACCCAAGGTACCACTGTACCCTGGCAGACATGATTTCTGCTGTAGACTGCCTCCTTCTGTGATGGATGTATGCTGTTTCAGGGGGTGGCGGTCTTGGGCTACAGGGTTGGGCAATTTCAAGAGTCTATATAAGGGCTTGTGCACCGTTGTTCAGGGTCCTCCTCCTTTCCTGCGTGTGAGGGGAGCACCCTGTTGCAACAGTTTAATAAAGATCATGCTTACTAGCTGCTTTGCTTCTCAATATTCTCTGGTTGGCCTCTGTTAATTTCTCCTACCAAAAGGGAACCCACTTAAGGGCTCTAGATGGGCTCCAGAATACCCCATAAGGGAAAAGGAGCAGTTTTTTCTTATAACAGCGCAGATATAAAACATGGATGAATATACTGTCTGGTTGTTTTTTTAAAGCGTTCAAATTAAAACAAAACCTGAAAACTTACGGGGGGCCACTAGGGGGCGCATTGGAAGATGGCCAACAATACCATCTCTCCGACCCACACGGGGTAATTAAGAGGCTGTTATGGGAGTAGGCAGCCTCCCTTGTTGCCCCAAGGAAATGGGGAACACTGCCCTTACCTGCTGTGCCCATAAATCACCCCCTAATTCGAAAGAAAGGGGTGAGGGCCCTAGGCAGAATGCCCCCGTGTGGACATCGGCTCTCCTGGACGCTGTCTCTGATCGCGCACTAGTTGCAGCAATTTGGAATAATTAATTACAAAGAAGCAAATGCACATATTTCAAGTGAAGAAGGGAGTGAAGTCTGCTAATTTAAATGACCTCTGCGAAAGAAGACGACGGGCTGGAGAAACAGGAATATTTTACGATGAAGATACACCAAAGGCGGGGTATGTTGACAACGGGGCTGAATGGGGGGGGGGACTTTTTTACTTTCCTTCTATGTGATTTACAAGAACCCCTCCTCATTAGAACCGTCGGTTGAACTGACCCAAGCAGGATGATTAAGGTCTGTGTGGAGATAAACTTTAACCAAAAGTATGCTTTATGGAGACCGAGAAGCAATAAGAGCTTTTGGGAATGGCGCAGCAATTAATTCAGAGTCACCATCTTGCCAAAGGATTTACAGCCGGGAGGAAGAACGGATTTGTTTTCAGACTGCATTCCTAGTGAATCTCCTCAGAGGTTTTGAGAAAGGAGGCAGATTGGTGAAGATTAATGACGCTAAGACTGTTTTGATGTATGGAAGTGATGTTATATGGAAAACGTCTGGATATGGCTACTGGATAAAAAAAAATATCCACGCAGGATTACAAACTGTTCTAACCAGCTTGCGGAGACTATTAGAGGTCACAAAGAGAAAGGAAAAATATATGAAAATAACAACAAGAGATGTGGAAAAATAATAAGAAAGGACTGGATAGTACTGTGAACATCATAAGGTTAGATTTGTGGACATTAAAACAGCAGTAAGAAGCAAGAAGTTGATTGGATCCCTTCGGAACTTGAAATATGGGTACCCCCAACAAAAATTTAAAATTCGGCTGTGTAATTTGGAATTTATGTAATTTGGTTTGATTTGATGTGATTGATCGATTAATAAAAAATTATTCTTTAAAAAAAAAGAAGAAAACTTACAGGGTTTAGCTTGCTCAAGGTGAGTTGCAGCAGCCCTGAGCCAAGCAAATGTCTCTGGCGTCTGACTTCCTCATAATCAACAGAAACTTCTGCAAACTCCTGTCAAGCGCAGTGTACTTTAGCACCTACACACTGGGAGCATCCGGGACAAGAACAAATAGCGTCTCTTTCTTTCTTTTTGAAGTTCAGAAGCTTTTTGCCTATTTCTAAATAAACACCTTCCTTAAAGAAATGAGCAGTTCATGCAAAAAGGCTAGATTTTGCAGACGGGTTTCTGCAGCCTTTCTGAAAAAGTTGAGCCTAATGGAAAAAGTAATTCCAGCCCCTTCAGCTTAATGATTGGTGCAGGGGTTTTTTGTTTGTTTCATGAGAAGTACAGGAAGTATAATCTTGACGGAGTGAATAAGGGTTAGCAAAAGGTTTACAGGATTTTGTTTGCGATAATTAGGAAGTCAGAAAATAGACGCAGCTCATTTTGTCAAACATTTGGTTTCAATCTTGCGCTATACACAGACACTAAAAATAGCCTAAGGGCAGGATCAGGCCAAAATTGTTTTGTTTTGTTTTATAATCCTTTCCTCCTAGGGTTTTGGGGCCATGTACAACGGCACCTTCCCCCGCTCTTCCTCCCTCCCCCACTTTATCCACACAAAAAGCCCTGCAAAGCAGGCCAGTCTGAAAGATGGTGACTGGCCCAGGGTCACCCGCTGAGTTTTGGGGGCGACTGGGAATGTGAACATGGGTCTCATTGGTGCTATGGTGACACAACTCCACGCACCGTACACTTAAAACACGCGCAAACCACATTACTTCCCCCAAAGAATCCTAGGAACTGTAATGTGTTAAGGGTGCTAGGAACTGTAACTGTGTGAGGATTCTTTGGGAGAAGAAATAATGTGCTTTAAAGGTAAAGGGACCCCTGACCATTAGGTCCAGTCGTGGCCGACTCTGGGGTTGCGGCGCTCATCTCGCTTTATTGGCCAAGGGAGCCGGCGTACAGCTTCCGGGTCATGTGGCCAGCATGACTAAGCCGCTTCTGGCGAACCAGAGCAGCGCACGGAAACGCCGTTTACCTTCCCGCCGGAGCGGTACCTATTTATCTACTTGCACTTTGATGTGCTTTCGAACTGCTAGGTTGGTAGGAGCAGGGACTGAGCAAAGGGAGCTCACCCCGTCGCGGGGATTCGAACCGCCAACCTTCTGATCGGCAAGCCCTAGGCTCTGTGGTTTAACCGACAGCGCCACCCACGTCCCTTTTTAATGTGCTTTAAATAAAAGTTAAAGCAACTTTTTAAGTTAAAGCACCTGTGGTAATGCAGGCATCTCTGGCTTAAACGCACAGGAACTGGTCTGCTAAAATAAAGTTGTTAACCCTGCGGGATTTGACATCTTTCCGCAGGGCCTGCAAGACGGAGCTGTTCCGCCAGGACTTTGGTCGGGGTTCAGTCTGATTCTTTTCTTTCTGTAGAAGAACAAGCATTAAAGAGGCCTCCTAGCCCGCTCACAGGTCCTTTATAAGACCAGTGGTAACAGTTGGCCCTGGAGAATATTAACCACTCTCAATTTTACCCGTGGACTGCCATCTGTCCAGATTTTAATTTGCTCTGAACTAATTTTAAGATGTATTTTAAGTAATTGATTGCCTGTTTTTCTGTTCTTATGTTCTTTGTATACTGTCTTAGTTTCATGATGTTAGCCGCCCTGAGGGCGGGCTACAAATAAAAAGTTATTTATTTATTTGGGAAAGGAGGTCTCATACACACCATAGATGTGCAGAAGCACATGCCTTCTGCCAAAGAATACTGGGAGCTGTAATCTGTCAAGCATACTAAGGATTGTAGCTCCGCAAAGGGAAAGTTCCTTTGTGATTCGATTGTGTTTGCCATGCATGGTGTGGATTTGACCAGCGATAGCAGGCTGGCATTCTCATCTTACCCGCCTGATCTTTCTCCATCTCCCCCGTAGGGGTGGCTGGCAGGGACCTCCAGGGCCGCGCGGGATCCGTCTGCCGTGTTCTCTGCTTTGGACGCAAAAGAGGACCCGGGTTTGGCAGGAGACTGAGGTCATCTTGAGAGGAGGCCTGGATCTGCTGTGGAGCAGGAAGCAAGGTTGAAAGTAAGTCTCTAACCTTCCTAGAAAGAAGGTTATGGGGTGCAATGAGCAAGTGCCTTCCAAACAATTTCTCTGAAATGAGAGTGGGGGTGGATCTACACACAGGACAAAAACACTGTAAATGTCAGTAATCGTTATAACGAAAGAAAAGAAAACGCTATGGAAAATCGCAAGGAATTTTTTTTGCTCTCCAGCGCCATCTGGTGTTGCATGTTTATAACACATTCGAAACGCTGTTTTTTGACTAAGGTAGCTGAGTCCTGAGTGTGGTGTGGCCATAGCTGTCAACTTACAGATTTGAAAATAAGGGAACAGCAGCCTTGAAAATAAGGGATCAGCAGCCTTGAAAATAAGGGATCAGCAGCCAAAATAAGGGATTTTCCAAGCACAGGTATGTTCAACTTCTGAGCTCCTCCAAGCCAAAGGCAGAAAGCCCAGCCAGCAGCCAAACGAAGCCTCAAGCAGTGGTTCCCACAGCGCAGCAACCCAGCAAAGGGGATGCAGCAAGGAAAACCACCGTCACCTCTCCGCTGGGAAGCACTGAGAAAGGCGAGTCCCCAGGCAACGCGGCCGATTTGATTGGCACAAGGCATGCAAGCTCCACCCCCCAGTCGTTCTTAGACTCCTTATTGGGTGAGCAACGCAGCCAAGCAACACAGTTGGAGCCTCCCTCCTCCCTGGCCGGCAGGGAGGGAGGGAGAGGAGCTGCTTCCTTTGAAACCTGGGAAATTTAAGGGACAACATCAATAAGGGACAGCAGCGGGACACAGCACTGGGATAAGGGACTTTCCCGCCAAATAAGGGACGGTTGACAGCTATGGGTGTGGCCGCCTTGACCAATCATATACAGGAACGGAGGAGCTAGGTAGAATCACAGATCTGTAAAAAAGTGTAGACTTGCACACAGTGGCCAGTTTCTCTTTTGACTTGAAATGTTCTTTTGGGGCTTCTCAGAAGTACATAAAGGCACAAAGTGGGCAGGGAGAGCGCCGGCCCGCAATGACGCCCACCTGATAGGTGCCGGAACTGTGCTCTGGCTGGAAAAACCCACTGGATGTAGACATCCTGTTTTGCTCAACCAGCAGACCCTCCTGCTGCCAGCCCTCACTGGATGCGAGTTCCCCTTTTCATTTGTGCTCCTGCATACCTCTTGGGGCTCAGCCTAGCATGCTAATACGGCCCTCTTGTTTCCTAGCGGTCCCATTTTGCCTTCGATTCTGTTGGCATTCAGCCTCCCAGATTTGTTTTTAGAGGGAACGATATCGGCTGCTGCCATTTTCAGTGGCGCACGTGCAGTTTAAGAATGCGAGAAGAGGCTGGCTGGATCAGGCCAATGGCCCATCTGGTTCTCACATTTAAGTTCAAGCATGGGGTACCTCTGGCTGGTGGGAACTGTAGTTCAGCAGCACCCAGAAGGCCAAAGGTTCTGCTTGGCCCTTATTCCTCTGAGAGGTACATCAGCCCCTTACCTGTTCCTCTGTGGCTGTCGCACTGACGTCCAGTCGCATCTCTTCTTCCACTATCACGTCCATTTCCTCCATCCTTCTTTTGGTTTATTCTCTGCCTGCTGGCCGAAGACTCTTGTGGCCAAGAAAATCGCTTTCCCCCTTGTCCTGGGCAGCAGAGAAGAAAGGAGATTAGCTAATTCCTTGTCCCCCGCAAGTCTCATCCCAGAATGTAGCAGTTCCTGCTTTCTAAAGATTGGTGGGGTGTTTGGAGAAGAAAATAGTATGCTCCAGCTAAATCTCTAGTCTCTGAGCCCTGTCAATTCATAAGAACCGAAGAAAATAGCTCATAAAAAGGTAAAGGGACTCCTGACCATTAGGTCCAGTCACGACTCTGAAGTTGTGGCGCTCATCTCACTTAATTGGCCAAGGGAGCCGGCATACAGCTTCCGGGTCATGTGGCCAGCATGACTAAGCCGCTTCTGGCGAACCAGAGCAGCGCACAGAAACATCGTTTACCTTCCCGCCTGAGTGGTACCTATTTATCTACTTGCACTTTCACGTGCTTTCGAACTGCTAGGTTGGCAGGAGCAGGGACCGAGCAACGGGAGCTTACCCCATTGCGGGGATTCGAACCGCTGACCTTCTGATTGGCAAGCCCTGGGCTCTGTGGTTTAACCCACAGCGCCACCCTCGTCCCACAAAATAGCTCATAAGAAGGAATAAAAAACAAACATCAAGAAGGAAGGGTGGGAAGTCAAGAAGAAACTTTGTATGTTTTTTTAAAAAATTATATGATGATAAATGCTTTGAAATATTGTTGGAGACTATATATATATATATATATATATATATGCAGAGAAGAGAGCTCAGTTGGTATCAGCATGGTGCTGATAATATCAAGATTGCAGGTTCAATCTGCATATGGGGCGTATGGGACAGTGGCATATTTTTACATTGCAGAGGGTTGGACCAGATGATCCTCAGGGTTTCTTCCAACTCTACAATTCTAAAAGTACTGCTGGATCTTGCGAATGGCCCACCTCGTCCAGCATGCTGTTCTCACCGTGGCCGACCGGGGGCCTTTTGGGGGAACCCCCAAGCAGGACCCGAGCACAAGATCCCTCCCACCTTCTGCAATTTCCAGCAACTGGTATTCAGAAACATTGCTGAGTGCCACCGAGTGCATTAACTGAACCCAGTTAATTCATCATCTGCGGCCATCAATGTGCACAACATTTTTAGATGTTAGCATAAACACCCTCTCTTTTTTCCCCCCTTTCCCCCCAAACAATAGCTCCTTGATCTGAAGAGTTTAAAGCTAAATTTGGACATCTGGGAGACAATAGAAGGAAGGGGAGGGTCGCAGCGGACGCTGGGCCGTGAGGGCAAGCAGGGCAGTGCCCACCAAGGGCTGCTTGCCCTTGGCCAGCCTGCCCCTGCCTGCCTTCTGACCACCAGGCTGAGGTGTGGCTCGGCCTGCCAGATTCCTCTTCCTCCTCCTCAGATTCCTTAGTGTTTTCCCTTGTAGAACTCAGCAGGCAAGAGGACAGTGATAGCTCAGTGGGCCAGGCACAAGACTCTCCCAACTCCGCAATTCTGTGATTCTTTGAAACCAGAGTAAGTTGCTGCCACCTATTTCTTGCTCGGCCTGCCATTGGCTACACTTATTGTCCATCTCATCGTGTTCCACGCCATCAGTCCTATGCGCACCAGGTTCCTCTGGGAAAGGCTGCAAAAGAATTAAAGTAGGGGGGCCAACTGACCTGGGAAATGTGGCCTTGCCTGCTCCTGCACCTTATATCGGTCGTTCGCTGTGAAGGTCAACAGCTGCACAGGTTGGATTTTATTTCAAAACGTGTTGGCTTTTGGCGAATTTCCTTAGCTCAGAAACTTTCCCTTTTTCTTTTTTTTTTCTTTTTTGAGAATGTGTAAAAAAAAAGCTCAGCAACTTTGCCAAATTAAAAGCTCAAAAAGCATTTGTGTCTGGATTTTCACTTTTTGAAATATGGCAACCCTCAGTTAAATCACTTCCATGCATGCCCAATAAAAATAAACAAACTCTCACAAAACATCAAAGAGAGCAAAATATTGTTATGAGTTCGGGAGGGGGGCGCTAGATGCCCCTAAATGTGTTATGATGTAGTAAAAGTTAAAATTAATCAAGGCTTGATTAAACTTTGCCGAAGATGGAAATCGACAGGATTTAGTTACACTCATGAGCCAAGCCATCTGGGCAGAGCTAGCTGGATCGGCCATCAGCAGGGGACAAAGGCCGTTTACCTTCCCGCCGGAGCGGTACCTATTTATCTACTTGCACTCTGATGTGCTTTCGAACAGCTAGGTGGGCAGGAGCAGGGACCGAGCAACGGGAGCTCACCCTGTCGCGGGGATTCAAACCGCCGACCTTCTGATCGGCAAGCCCTGGGCTCTGTGGTTTAACCCACAGTGCCACCCGCATCCCTCAGGTTGTTTATATGTGTCAGTAAAACCATATATCATAATGAAGACACCACAGTCTCTGCTGTGCCTCATGCCCAAAAGGAACAATAAACCCTGGAGCCGCAGGAATATCACCCTCTCATGGAGACTGGGGTGACGTGTCACAATATCAAAACAAAGCATGATAGATTAAGATTCAATAGAAAAGACCACAAAGATCAGCACCGAAAGCTGAAAAAATGAAGTCCAATTTAGGGTTGCCAACTTCCCCCCCTTGCTGCGCTCCTGCGCCTTTTAAGAACTGCATGACGAGCAGAAGCTAAATGCATGGGCGGGAATAAACTTCCCCTTTTGAATTTCTGCCTGCCACGCAGCTCTTAGGGGCACAGGAGCCTTGGCTGGGAAAGCCAGGTGGCGCCACCCCTCCCTTCCTCCTCATTCTGCTACGGCACCTCTCCTTTCCAGCTACGTCTCCCCTCCACGGGGCAAGGGGTGGGATGTCACTGCCCTCAGCCTGCCCCTACCTTGCCTGCTCTCTCACTTGCATCCGGCCCAGAGGGTGGCCCTGGCTGTCAGCTGCCTGCTCCTCTGTGGCCTCAATGCTCCTTGTACAACTTGGCAGGGACGAGGATGACAACCATATGTCAGGAGTGCTCTGATGGTGTTTCCTGCTTGGCAGGGGGTTGGACTCGATGGCCCTTGTGGTCTCTTCCAACTCTATGATTCTAGGATAGGGACCAAAGGAGCAGGAGATGTTTCTGGTCCTGCCTGTCACTGGCTCTCCCTATTGCCCCATAAGTTGCCACCACCACCCATACCAGACTAGACTTCTCCCCTCCCTGTGGTCAGGCAAAACATGTCACGTCATGGGCCCGCAGCTGGGAGGGAAGGTTGTTGTTTTCAGTTTCTTCTCCAAATTCTGGGCTGAGTCACAGGACTAATCGCACACAGGCTCAGCCCCCTAACCTAGGTGGCCGGCTGAAAAAGAGAAGAGGGCCCCACAGTCGTTTTGAAAGGGGAATTTCAAACCCAGCATGGCGAGTTACTACACCTGCGGAGAAATTCCGCTTTCCACCCAAGTCTGAAAGTTGCCACGAGCACCGTTTTCTTTATCGAACCCTCCCCAAAGTTTCCTTTTTAAAAAATACAAAGGACATAGCTGTGGAAACACAAGGCATAATGGTAAAGAAAAGAGGGTTTCTGGGAATGTGCAAAGTTCACGTCCCCGTTGGTGCCTTTCAGGCACTCCTACCTGCTCCCTGCACCCCACCCCTGCAATCTGTTTCTCTAAAGAAGTGTTTGTGTGTGGCTGAGGGGTGTAAAATACAATTGGGTCCTGCAACAAAATGTTGCAGTGTGGAGAGCTCATATTCAGAGTTCCAACAACATATAAAAACACCCAAAACATCGGACATTAAAAACTTCCCAATACAGAGTTGCCTTCAGATGTCTGCTAAAAGCCAGATAGTTGTTTATTTCCTTGACATCTGGTGGGAGCGTGTTCCACAGGGCAGGAGCCACTACCGAGAAGTCCCTCTGCCTGGTTCCCTGTGTACCTCACTTCTTGCAGTGAGGGAACCACCAGAAGGCCCTTGGAGGAGAACCTCAGTGTCCAGGCTAAACGTTGGGGTTTGAGATGCTCCCTGTCCCCCCTACATGTACACACACACAAAGGCCACTTTTACACCACTTGAACATTCCTGGGAATTGTAGTTTGTTATAAGTGCCGAGAAAGTTGTTACGAGACCATTTTCCCCTTCACGGAGCTACAATTTCCAGAGCGCTTTAGCAATCAATCCCTCTTCCCAGAGAATTTCTGAGTATTGTAGCTCTGTGAGGGGAATGGGGGCGTTCCAACAACTCTCTCAGTACCTTTAACAAACTACAGTTCCCAGGCTCCTTTGAGGGAAGCCATGACTGCTTAAAGTGGTGTAATACTGATTTAATGGTAAGCCGCAGGTGTGGCCTTAATCTGCATTGCATGCCCACTAAATCACCAGACTGTTGGTGGGGGGTCTCCCCTTAGAACTTTTTCCTCTAAAGATCTGGTCCACTTCTTTCTGCAAACCTTGGGGTTTTCCCCAAACCTGCTGATACTTCCCTTCAGTGTGTGAACTGTGCCGTTTTAAAGATACATGCCTTGCATTCAGAAGGCCTCGGGTTTAATCCACGGCACGCCCAGGTAGGACTCGCAAAAGACTCCTGCCATAAATCCAGCTGCTAGCCGCTGTATACTGAGCTCCATGAGCCAATGATCTGACTTAGTATAATGAAAGGCACTTTTCTATGGCCTGCAGCAAAATGTTGCAGTGCACTTCCGCAGCCTAAAATGATTGTGGCAGTCCAACAACATCATGAGGGCCACAGGTTCCCCTTCCCTAGTGTAAACACGACCAAGCTAGAGGGACCAAAGAGGTCTAACTCGGTATACGGCAGTTTCCGAGGTTCCTATGTCCGCACATCAAATTCTTTCAGAAGTGGCACTTGCCAGAGAGAAAAGTCTGTCGGCACATGCTCCCATACCCTCCAACATTTCTCTGATGAAAATAGGCACGTCCCATTCCACAATGATCATTTTACTATAAATACCCCACACATCTTATTGGGTTGCCCCAGCGACTCTGGGCGGCTTCCAACACAAATAAAAACATAATAAAACATTAAACATTCCATATCCTCCAACATTTCTCCAATGAAAATAAAGACGTCCTAAGGAAAAATGGGGACATGGGTGGCGCTGTGGGTTAAACCACTGAGCCTAGGGCTTGTCGATCAGAAGGTCGGTGGTTCAAATCCCCGCGATGGGGTGAGCTCCTGTTGCTCGGTCCCTGCTTCTGCCAACCTAGCAGTTCAAAAGCACGCCAAAAGTGCAAGTAGATAAATAGGTACTGCTCTGGCAGGAAGGTAAACGGCGTTTCCGTGCGCTGCTCTGGTTTGCCAGAAGCGGCTTAGTCATGCTGGCCACATGACCTGGAAGCTGTACGCCGGCTCCCTCGGCGTATAAAGTGAGATGAGCACCACAACCCCAGAGTCGGCCACGACTCGACCTAATGGTCAGGGGTCCCTTTCCCTTTCCCTTTAAGGGAAAGTGGGACATGCTAGGATCAAATCAGAAACTGGGACAGCTTCTCTAAATCAGGGACGTCCCTGGAAAATAGGGTCTGTGCTCAAGAGTTGTTTGGCCCTGAGCAACAACGCCAAGAAGCGTCCTTTGGGAGAAGGAGGGAGAAATACTTTGCAGCCTCAAGGGGACATTCAGCTCAAGCTGCCAGGATTTCTAAATTCTAAACATGGCCAATCCTCATTCTCCAAAGAGCTTCCTCACACATGACACATTTCCTACCCAGAGAGGACACTCCCTGCAGGCCAAACTAGACCGAGCTGGTGTTGACGTGGTTTGCCCCTTGCTGCTGCTGCTGTTGTTTTTTAACAAACGACCAACGGGCAGGCAATAGCGGGGGAACTGATTGCATTTCTTTATTTACTGCACTGCCAAGCCAAACATTAGAATGAACAGATGCTGCAGAACATTCACAGGGCAACTTAAGTGCAGGGCTGCATTCAATTAGCAGAAACCAATGCAAGGATTTCTGCTGGTGCAATGGGGCTTCCTGCCCCCTCTCTGACCCTGTGCACCCCCTGCCCCCCAAATTGGCTCAGGGTAGATGGTTCCAGCTAGCAAGCTTGCGCTGATGGGACAAGCTTAATGCTATAATGAATTCCTCCCCCTGGCCAGGGCTTCTGCCTTCCCTCAGGGCAGACAGGTCCTTAAGAAGCCCCAAGGAAGATGGGGAGGGGGGTACAGGAGAGAGGCTGCCCCACATTTCTTTCAGGCCCTTCACAGTCCCCTCAGAGGCCGGTGAAACAGAGTATCCAGGCTTCCCCCAGGGCTTCTCCTCCCATGGCAAATCAGCAGATGTAAGGAGGAGGCCCGATTCATAGAATCATAAAATTGTTGAGTTGGAAGGGACCTTGAGGGTCCTCTAGTCCAACCCCTGCAATGCAGGAATCTCAGCGAAAACATCCATCACAGATGGCCATCTACCGTCTGCTTAAAAACCTCCAAAGAAGGAGAGTCCACCACCTTCTGAGGGGCGTCCTGTTCACTGTCAAACAGATCTTGCTGTCAGAAAGTTTTTTCTGATGTGTAGTCAGAATCTCCTTCCTCGTAACTTGAAGCCATTGGTTCGAGTCCTACCCTCCGGATTCGGATCAGGACCGGGTCATGGGCAACAACGTCACACGGTCAAGTTTAGTTTTGGCCCATGGCGAAAGGCAGGCATGTGCAACCGTTTACACACAACCTACAAGAGGGCATTATGCTTATTTATTTAGGTGGTTTATATGCCCCTTATTTGCGCAGCAGATAAGAATCCGTGAAAACCCATTAAAATAGCAGTCCATAAAACCACACGCGCCGTATTCCAAGCCAGGTTCTCCTATCCCACCCTGCCTAGCTGTGTAAACAACACGCAAAACCGCACAAGGCCCATCTGTGCAAACCATGCCAGATGCAGCCCTGCGGAAACGCAACCAGACCCACACCTGCACCAGACCGCCGCACATGTGGGAATTTACACCTGGTGAAGCCGCCTTCAGCTGAGACGGGCCGTTGCCAGGTCTCCAACCGGCCAAGCGTCTCTGACCAGCAGCATCTCTCAAGGGGCAGCAAACATGTCGGCCCTCCAGATGTTGCTGGCACCCAGCTCGCATCCTCCCTGCTCATCGGCCGTGCTGGCTGGGGCTGATGGAAGTTGGAGAACGCAACAACATCTGGAAGGCGGCTCCACATTGGCTATCCTCAGAGACAAACGCAGCTGTCCTCTCTGTGGTCCTCTTCTCAGGAGATGCCACTTCCCAGCACGGAAGTGACTTGCGTGCCGGAAACCTGTAACTTACGAAGCAACTTTCTAGGGCTGTTTTTGTGCTGGCAATTGTACTCTGCAGTGCTCACCTTTTTTGAGGGGGGAGGTGTCGGTGTGGTCCCCCCCTCAGATTTATTCCCGCTGTTGCTGACAGTTCCACGTCCCCATTTTCCTTCCTTCCTTCCTTCCTTTTCCCCTTGCTTTTGCCCCAGTTGTTTAGTTCTGGCTGTAGTCTTCTCTCCTTCCTCCTTGCGCCTGGACTGTCGCTCGGCTCAGCTGTGGCTACGCCCCTATTTCTACACGGGAAGCCACTACTTCCTGCCTCCGCTGCTCATGCATTTGCTGCTCACTCGCTTTCGCCTCGGCTCCCTTCCCCACAAACCCCCTTCCTTTTATCTCCCCACCCACTCCTTGCGGCTGAGGAAGGAGGCAGGTGCACAGAGGCCTTGCCCTTTACTCAATCAGCCTTCGCTTCCTTCTCAAGAGACAGCAAGACCTGCTGGGAAAGCCCCTTTGCCCAGGAGCCTAGCTCTTTGCTCAGGGTCCCTCTGCAAAGCGATGCTCCGTCTCAGAATCCCGGAGACATTGGATTGTAGAGTTGGGGCCTGAGGATCATCTAGTCCAACCCACTTGCAACACGGAGATATGCAGCTGTCCTGTACAGGGATCGAACCTGCGGCCTCGGTATTATCAGTACCATGCTCTGTTTTCCAGCGATAGTCCCGGATTTAGAGAAGCCGTCCCAGTTTCTGATTTGATCTTGTCATGTCCCACTTTTCCTTAGGACGTCTCTATTTTCATCTGGGGAAATGTTGGAGGGTATGGAGTTATGCAGCCCTTGAGCCAGCCTTTAGAAGACACCTGAAGGCAGTCCTGTATAGGGAAGTTTTTTAATGTTTTTATTTATGCTGGAAGCTACCCAGAGTGGTTCGTCAACCCAGTCGGATGGGCAGGGTAATAGTAGTAGTAGTAAGGGAAAGTTAAAGGGACCCCTGACCATTAGGTCCAGTCGTGACTGACTCTGGGGTTGCTGCGCTCATCTCTCTTTACTGGCCGAGAGAGCCGGCGTACAGCTTCCGGGTCATGTGGCCAGCATGACTAAGCCGCTTCTGGCGAACCACTCTGGGTAGCTTCCAACGCCGTTTACCTTCCCACCGGAGTGGTACCTATTTATCTACTTGCACTTTGACATGCTTTCAAACTGCTAGGTTGGCAGGAGCAGGGACCGAGCAACGGGAGCTCACCCCGTCACGGGGATTTGAACCGCCGACCTTCTGATCGGCAAGTCCTAGGCTCTGTGGTTTAACCCACAGCGCCACCCACGTCTCTAGTAGTAGTAGTAGTAGTAGTAGTAGTAGTAGTAGTAATTGGATAGAATATCCCTGTTTTCATAGGAGAAATGATGGAGGGCATGCCATCAGCTTGCTTTGTTTTATTTTGCACATTGGGAGGTGAAAAATGAACACCACCTTCCCTCTCATGGAAAGTCCCAGGTTAATCCCTGACATCTCCACATATGGCTGGGACAGAGACCCTGCCCAAGTTGCTGAAGAGCTGCTGCTGCCAGTCAGTGCAGGCAATACTGAGCTCAATGGACCAAGTGGCCTTGAAGGAAACACCAGAGCCTGCATAGATTCCCACAGACTGACTCATAAGGCAGCTTCTGACACCCGTGTTGCATTGGGCTGCCATGTTGTTCTGCCACCTTGTGAGAGGAGCAGGTGGGTGGAAGGATGGCTGTGGACCAGCGGCACATATGCGCCCTGCAGAAATCTCACACTGTGTGTGAAACCGGGCTGGAGCTCAACAGCCTGGCACTTCAGGGTGGCTGTGTGGGCTTCATCGTTTAATCCTGGCTTTCACACAAAATATTCTGGCGGCTATCCCAGAGGTCAAAAAGCGGCCAAGCTGATTTTGTTCTGGTTGGGGTTAGCCAGGACCCTTCTGTGTCCTCTGGGGGGGAGAGAGAGAGAAAGAGAAAGAGAAAGAGAAAGAGAGAAAGAAACAAAGAAAGGGCTCAAAAGGAGCCAGACCAAACTAGGCCTTATCCCTAGAAAACAACCCTGCGCTAAATTTTCAAAGCTCGCAATATATACCAGGGAAATGTGTTGCAGCATGGCTGTCGGGGTGTTCACCCCACTATGTACGTGACATTTGAGCCATACAAATCAACATTTGCACTCTCTTTCAAGCAGCAAACACTTGCCTGGGTGTCAGCATAACATGTGAACTTGGCTGCTGTTCACACACCCAAGTTTCTGAGCAGGTGAGAAATCTTTCCCATCCTGTTCAAGCATGACACTTGCTGGGTGAGCTTGGGCCAGTCACTGTCTCTCAACCACACCTGCCTCACATGGTTGTTATGAGATTAAAAGGCATGTGCACCACTTTGAGGTCCTTGGGGAGAAAGTGGGATGTAAACATAATCCTAATTATAACAATGAACACAGCAGCCTCCGTTAATACCTTGGGACTGGATTTTCTAAAAACGAAGCTCACTGAGGCGTTTGTGATACCTGTAATATATGGTTTTATTTGCACATAGAATTGTAGAGTTAGAAGGGACTCTGTGGGTCATCTAGTCCAACCCCTTGCAGTGCAGGATTTTTTTTTGCCCAGCATGGGGCTCAAACCCACAACCCTGAGATTAAGAGTCTCCTGCTCTATTGACTGAGCTACCAAGGTGGATGTGCACCAACTGAGTTTACGATGGATGGTCTCACAGGGCTAACACTCCACTACAGGCTAGTTCCCCTTTAGTTCTAGGGTTCCTCAAAGAAAGCAAAACCTCTGGGTGTTCCCAGCTCCAGTTGCAATATGACGTTGACTAGCCTTCTTGCTGATCGGAAGGTCGGCAGTTCAAATCCCCACGACGGGGGTGAGCTCCCGTTGTTCGGTCCCTGCTCCTGCCCACCTAGCAGTTCAAAAGCACGTCAAGTGCAAGTAGATAAGTAGGTACCGTTCTGGCGGGAAGGTAAACAGCATTTCCATGCGCTGCCCTCGTTCGCCAGAAGCGGCTTAGTCATGCTGGCCACATGACCTGGAAGCTGTCTGAGGACAAACGCCGGCTCCCTTGGCCTATAGAGCGAGATGAGCGCGCAACCCCAGATTCGTCTACGACTGGACCTAGCCGTCAGGGGTACCTTTACCTTTAGTCTTCTTTTATGCTCTCCCCCAGGCAAGGGACAGTGGGCTGGCAGCTGAGTCCTGATTCCCCAAAGGGCTCCCTCTCATCCCAGAATCGTCCTTCCATCGAGAGGCATTGCCTTAATTCATTGCAGATGTTATTCCAAAATTCTTCAATGGCTGTGCATTCCCACATGTGCATATATGACCCTATTCCATCCTTACACCTCCAACAAGTTGGTGATCTGTTTTTATACATCTTTGCTAGTTTTGCTGGAGTGTGGTGCCATCTGTACAGCATTTTCATAATATTTTCTCTCAGATTATAGCATCACCTTAATCCTCTCCTGCCTCACACTCACAGTCAAGAATCGCATACCCCTCAACCGCCCCATTTCTTCTGTGGCAGCCGCCAAATCAGTCACAATTTCTGTCGGTGTTCTGCCAAATCCCGATTTTTCCAAGCGGGACAGAAGCAGCTCTAGTGAAGTGCTCTCAGCGTGGTGGCTAGCTCGCACCCGAGCAAAAGGGGCTTGGTTTTGGGTCAGGTGCTCTGGCCTGTGCCAGTGTGTCTGACCCAAAAAAGAGCGCCCAAATTTGGATCCTCCGAATGTTGAAGTGTATGGAATCACATGACTGTGTGGTACCGCTCAAGGAACATCTATTCTAGACGAAGACTCTGTTCACACTCCCGTTTACTGTGTCCCTCCCTGTGTTTCTGGTGCTGGGTTTTTAATCCATGTTCAAATGGATTAACGTCCTACACTTTGTTATAAAATGCTACCGCCTGGTGCATTATTTCTGAAACCAGCTTTATACTGATTAGAGTCCTTCAATGATTCTCTAGCCAAGGTGTGAACACCTTTGCAGAGGGTAAAAGCCTCCCCTCCCACCAGTGCCCCCCTGCCTAGTGTGCACACAAATAGAAATGAATTTGACACTAATGAAGCCATGCTGATGTGAACAGCTGGGGGGGGGGAAGAGCCGTGAAATGCATGGGGGGAGGCAGGGGGGCAACTTCACTGTGCTTTAATGTGAACACACCTGAACACGCCTACAAATCCTTTAACAAAGCCTGGCACGGTGGCAGACTCAGGTCTCAAATTTCAGTGACACCCTGTGCAATGCCAAAATTTGGCGCCCCTGCCTTTAAATAACAGTTGTGGCATCCCCTGTGGCTCCGCACCCTCAATCTCTGCTCCCCTAAATCCACCTCTGCCTGGCACAACATAACCCAATCCAAGGTCAGGTGGAATAAGTTAACAGGGGAAATTATTTCGAAGCGTTGCTTCTCTCCAATAGGAAAGGCTTTGCCCGTTGAATTTCAGTCAACAGGGGAAAATATTCCCTGCCCCTGTTTCTCCCTGGTGACCAACAGCTTCACCTCTTGAATTTCAGCCTGTCGCATTGAAGGAGAGAAGGTGCAGATGTTCAGCCACGCAGCGGACTTGCCCCTGCCAACGAAAAGGCTTTCGAACCGGGAGGCGGGTGCACTGCCTGAAGCCTTATCGCCTCCTCGCCTCCCGGCCCACCCAGACACCGGGCTCCTTCATCTTGAAGGCGTTGCAGCGGGAGACAATGTGTGTGGCTGTAGCCAGCCGGTTTGTTTTAAAGGCCGACATCTGTGGGCGACATTTTCCGTCACAGCCTGGAACCAGTTCCTGCCTTTGTCCTATTGTGGCAGCCCAGACAGTGGCCCGAACTCAAGTTCCCGAACTTCGCCGCAGCCTCCTGCCAGCAGTGGCCCCCGACAATTCAGGCACACAGCTCCACACACACAGAGCTCCCCGATATCCTGGCGTTGTGGTGTGTATGCGCTGGGTTGGGGAGGGGGGTTCTGTACATAATGCTCTCCCATTCCAGCGCAAAGGACCCTGAGAGTGACAATGAACTGGTTTGTTCGGTGGGGGGTGAGGAATCCCAAGAGGGCGGAGGGGACAATGAGGCCCTGTCTGGGCCACTCGCCTCGTCGGCGGGTTTGGGGTCGAGGGGGGGAGGGCGTGACTCATGCCAGGGGCCGAAATGCCAGGGGGCATCGGCCAGAGGTGGGTGGAAGGGGGATTTGCTGCGGCTGCTGCTGCAAGGGTGCGTGGCAGCTGTCCAAGAAAGGTGGGGACTTGGCCGTTTCAAACTCTGCTTCCACCCACAGCTGAGCTGGGAACAGACGGCTGGATGCAGGAGCTCTCAGGTTGGGACCTTGAGGGCAGCAGGAGAGAAGCGCCAAGGCTGAGAGGAGACGGAACAGGTAGTGTGCAAGGGTAATTTTATGAGGTTGGTGGTGGGGACATTTTGCAGCACGCACTGAGAGTGTGTGCGTCCTGTGGGATAGCTTAGTTGGTAGAGCATGAGACTCAAGGTTGTGGGTTCGAGTCCCACGTTGGGTGAAAGATTTCTGCATTGCAGCGGTTGGACTAGATGACACACCCACACCCACACCCACACCCACACCCCCCCGGTGGTCCCTTCCAACTCCGTAGATCTGTGATTCCGCATGTAAAGTTTGCTGAATTCTCCGCAGCGCCAGATACTGAGGATGGTGCAGGGCCATCTTTGCCAACCTGGTGCCCCCCAGATATGTTTCAGACTACATATCCCATCAGCCCTGGCTGACACCTCTGGAGGTCATCGGGTCCGGTCAGCAAAGGCTGATAAAGAGGAACGTTGCTATACTTGCTCCTTTGCTGTTTTGGCACGGAGGGGGTTGAAGGTTTGTTTTATCGTTTTATCATGTATAGAAAACAGAGAATTACGACGACTGGCGGAAGTTAAAAGATGAAAAGCAGAACTATAAAACGGGCATGCTGAATGCACCCAGTTGCACAGGGGTTAAAATAACAAGTCTTAAGTAAAGACTATAAACGTTATCAGATCACCCAGGATAGTTGCAGATTTGCCAGCCTTGTGATGATGATTGCACTGAAAAAGATGCCTCTGCTGCGTATGTCATAGAAGAATGCCAAACCGTATAAAAATGGTCTGGAGGTTCCAGTCCTTGTCGAAATCTTGAATTATCCATTATAGCTATATTCCAGAATGAGCAGCCAGGGGAAGATTTGGGACTGTTTTCCATTGAGTTGCAGTTACCATTCGTGCCGCCAAGATCATATATAAGACCAATTCATAGAATCATAGGATTGTAGCGTCAGAAGGGAACCTGAGGGTCATCTAGCCCAACCCTCTGCAATGCAGGAATCTTTCGCTCAACGTGGAGCTCGAACCCACAAGCCTGAGCTTCAGGGTCTCATGCTCCATTGATTGAACTAATATATATCTGTTTTAACAGTAGCTCAAAACGTGGAAATATAGGGTGAAAACCTGTCCTTGGCATGAGTGGGGCAGAGGGAGCTTTAGCCTTGCAATTTCTGCATGTTAAGGTGTTCAGCAAAGGAAACAGGACCAAAGGGAGCCAGTAAAAAGAGGAGAAGCCTTGTTGCAATGGACAAGGCGAAATTCTGTATAAATTTGCACTACAGTAATACAGCACACCTTTGGCAATCACACAAAGCCCTACCACAAAAGATAAATTTTGTGACAAAAGTTCCATCTCCAAAAGATATTTTATTAAAAAAAAGTACATCCCTTTCTCTCTTTTATTGAAGAAGAACAGGATATTTTAATGCCATTATCATCGTTACAGAGGCGTCTGTGGAGGGGATATAGTGATTGAAAATGCCTAGCCAACCAGATTGGAAGCTGGGTTCCTATTGAGTATATTTGGCGAGCCGTCATGACAGTGATGTGGGATTGATCATTCTGTGATATTATGGCAGGGGACAAAGCTGTATTGTAACTTTTGAATACATGTATAATAATAATAATAATAATATAAAAATTACCTCAGATAATAAAGTAAGGAAAAACCGCTCCTTCTCGTTCATTTCCCCCTCGCCCTACCACATATAAGGAATCTGAGAAGAGCTGTTCTGGATCAAGGCAAGGGGCCCTTTAGAGATGCTAATTTTCAGCTGGGATTCCATCACCTACTGGCAAATGGAGGATGCAGGATTAAGGCCCGTTTGGGAACTCCTGCACGACAAACCCACTTCCCCCCAAAGACCAGGCTTTTGTGATAAGGAAAGTGTGGACGTTTGCTTTGATCTAACCTTGCCCAGCCTCCCCTGCAAACCAACCGGACTGATGGCTCAGTTAGTTGGAGCGAGGTGCTGATCATGCCAAAGTCGCAGGTTCAATCCCCGTACGGGACAGCTACATTGCAGGGGGTTGGACTGGATGACCCCCGAGTTCCCTTCCAAGTCTACGATTCTGTGTCAAGGACTGAAGCTGCAGGCAAAGGTGCTGCTTTGTTGCTGAGCCGCAGCCCTTTCCTTAAATCATCCTCTTCTCTTCCACAGGTCCTGGGATTTGAACCCGCTCCCTGCCCGCTGTGCGATGGGGAGGCAGGGTGTTGCTGCCACAGCCTTCCTCTGCGGGGGGCTCCTCGCTGCCTTCCTCCTGAGGGAAGCGCTTGGACAGAGCAAGAAGCCTGAGACGTAAGGAGAGAGCGGTGGGGTGGGTGATGGGGTGGGTGACGCAGGCAAGGAATGCAAGGCTGACTCCTGGATCTGGGCTGGAAAGCTGCAGCAGGAATGGGGATGGGGGGACAGACTTCTGCAACCGCTTCCCACCCTCAGGGAGGGAGCCAGTGTGGTGTAGTGGTTAAGAGTGGTAGTCTCGTAATCTGGGGAACCGGGTTCGCTTCCCTGCTCCTCCACATGCAGCTGCTGGGTGACCTTGGGCCGGTCACACTTCTCTGAAGTCTCTCAGCCCCACACGCCTCACAGAGTGTTTGTTGTGGGGGAGGAAGGGAAAGGAGAATGTTAACCGCTTTGAGACTCCTTCGGGTAGTGATAAAGCAGGATATCAAATCCAAACACTTTTTCTCTTCTTCTTCCTCTATAGAGCAAGATTCAAAGTTCTTGTCCTAGTGTACAAAGAACTTTTGGCCCAGGGGCCAGTGGTACCTCAGGTTAAGTACTTAATTTGTTCCGGAGGTCCATACTTAACCTGAAACTCTTCTTAACCTGAAGCACCACTTTAGCTAATGGGGCCTCCAGCTGCCGCCATGCTGCCAGAGCACGATTTCTGTTCTCATCCTGAAGCAAAGTTCTTAACCTGAAGCACTATTTCTGGGTTAGCAGAGTCTGTATCCTGAAGTGTATGTAACCTGAAGCGTATGTAACCTGAGGTACCACTGTACAGTCATACCTCATGTTGCGTTTGCCTCATGAAACGTTTTTTCAGGTTGCGTCCCGCGGCGACCCGGAAGTACTAGAAAGGGTTACTTCTGGGTTTCACCGCTCACACATGCGCAGACATGCAAAATGACATCACGCGCATGCGCAGAAGCGCTGAATCGTGACCCGCGTGTGCGCAGACGCACAGATGCGTGTTGCGTTCTTTTCAGGTTGCGAACGGGCCTACAGAACGGATCCCGTTCGCAACCAGAGGTACCACTGTATATGCTAAACTGGGATAGCTCAGTCCGTAGAGCATGAGACTTTCTTAATCTCAGGGTCGTGGGTTCAAGCACCGCATTGGGCAAAATATTGCTGCATTCAAGGGGGTTGAACTAGATGTCCCTCATGTTCCCTTCCAACTCTACGATTCTATGATTCCAATCACTGAGATCATCAGGGGGGACACTGTGAGAAGCTCCCGATGAACCAGAAACACGAGTCTTTGGGCATAGTGGGCCCAAATCTGTGGAACTCCTTGCCACAAGAAATCAGGCAGGTGCCATCAAGATGAAAATGGTTTTCTGCTCAGGGCACCTTCGCAGTTTAAAGCTGTTCTGATGTGACACACACATACACGATGCTTTCATTTGTGTCTTAAATTTTCCATGTGATATTCTTTACCTTTGTTGTAAGTTTCTTTGACGCATAACTTGGAAACTGGATATAAGTTCCTTAAATAAAGAGAAACGAGTAACTGTGAAAGAAATAAGAATGGAAGAACAGAGGCAGGCTGAACACAGCAGAATTCAGCAGCCAAGTTACTCACCGGAGCAAGACAGTTTGAGCATATTACGCTGATCCTGGTCCGACTGGACTGGCTACCAATTAGTTTCCAGACCCAATTCAAAGGGATAGTTTTGACCTATAAATCCTTAAATGGCTCAGGACCGCAATACCTCAAGGACTACCTCTTTCCATATGAAGCTACCCAGACCCAGAGATCATCTTCCGAGGCCCTCCTTCGTGTGCCTCCTCCTTGAGAGGTCTGGAGGGTGGCAACACAAGAATGGGGCCTTCTCTGCAGTGGCTCCCCATCTGTGGAATGCTCTTCCCAGGGAAGTTCGTCTGGTGTCTTTAGGTGCCAGGCAAAAATGTTCCTTTTTAACCAGGCTTTTGGTTGATTTGATTGACATCCCATGCCCTTTTAAAATGTGTTTTATTTTTTGGGGGGTGTTATTGGGTTGTTGTTTTCATTTTGATTATGTATTTTGTGGTTTTATATTTTGATTTTATTCTGCGAACTGCCCTGAGACCTCCGGGTATAGGGTGGTATATAAATTCAATTAATAATAATAATAATAGGCTAGGTGATTGGTGCATGAGAGTGCCGCCCCCAACACACATACAATCACACTTCCTTCTCTTTGTGAACCTGAAACATTGGGATCAAGCAGCTAGGCAGGAAACAGAAGAGCAGAAAAAGGACGTTCCTTCACATCAAATAGCCCTGAGCTCTGCTGATAGCCACAAGGCATCACAGTCTGGAACCCTCGACAACAGTCCCAGAATCATGGAATTGAGTCAGAAGGGACCATGGGGTCATCTAGTCCAACCCCCTGCAATGCAGGAATATTTTTGCCTGACGTGAGGCTTGAACCCATGACCCTGAGATTAAGGGCCTCATGCTCTACTGACTGAGTTATCCTAGTCCTCCCGCTAGGGCAGGCATAAGCAAACTTTGGCACTCCCGGTGTTTTGAGACTACAATTCCCACCATCCCTGACCACTGGTCCTGTTAGCTAGGGATCATGGGAGTTGTAGTCCCAAACATCTGGAGGCCCAAAGGTTGCCTATGCCTGCGCTAGGGGGTGAGAGAATCCACTGCCACGTTTTCTTGGCGATCCCACTGATTAAGTAAATAAATCTCTTCTTCTCCTTCTCCTTTGGTGGTCACTCATAGCTGAGTAAGATTGTCTTCCATAAACACAGTTTTAACAATGAGTCTGTAAGTGACTGTGGAGGCCAATTCTGGATCCACACGTCCTTCCACAGTGGGGACATTGGTTTCCAGGCGGGAGTTGATCACCGTGTGGATTTGCCAAGCGTGCCTTCCTCTTAGTATGATTCTCCCTTGTGTCCTGAGTTCGAGTGTCTTCAAAGCCCATGACACCTTTGATAAAGGATGTTCGGTAGCTGTTTTTATATATATACAGTGGTGCCTCGGGTTACATATGCTTCAGGTTACATACGCTTCAGGTTACAGACTCCGCTAACCCAGAAATAGCACCTTGGGTTAAGAACTTTGCTTCAGGATGAGAACAGAAATCGTGCTCCGGTGGCGCGGCAGCAGCAGGAGGCCCCATTAACTAAAGTGGTGCTTCAGGTTAAGAACAGTTTCAGGTTAAGAACGGACCTCCGGAACGAATTAAGTACGTAACCAGAGGTACCACTGTGTAGCAGGCAAGGTAGCATTTGTCCTCTTTATGTTATTGCAGGATGAGTGCTTTTAGGCAAGTGAAACGGACTCCTTTGGAAAGTGTTTGACTCTCCTTCCTTGGAGATTTTTAAGCAGAAGCTAGATGCCATCTCAGTTGCTTCAGTTCTGATTCCTGCATTGAGCTAGATGACTCTTTGGGGTCCCTTCCAGTTCCACAATTGCACGATTCTAAGGTTTATTAATTTCAATAGGTCTACTCTGAGCAGGACTTAGTTGAATACAACCCAGTGTTTAAAATGCTTTCTGGTCCTCATCTTTGGCACGCAGAAATTCCTGATTCAGTCTTGGGCTTTCCAAAGAATCTCGGGTCTGACGAAAGCCGTTGGCACAGGGCAACAGAGCTTGGCACTAAGACAGAACTGTATCATACAAAAGGCTCTTTTGTCTGAATCCAGCAAAAGACAACATCTCATCTCTTTAAAACAAAGCAAATAATTAAGAAGCAAAGACTTCCCTGGGACCATCGCTTTCGCCCCGCCCCTTTCCTCTTGGAAAGATAAAATAAAAATGGGCTGCAAATTGTTTTTTTAAGAGCTGTGAACTATGCGAAGAGGATAAATTATGTCAATCAAAGCAAACGCATGCACACAATTTGTCTGGAGACAGATTCTGGTCCCCACCCCTGACTCTCCTAGGCAGCTTGAAAAAGATGAAAAATTGGGATGAATCCAAAAGCAATCCTTCTTCTCCAAGTGGCAAATAACTTATGCAGGTTCCTGTATTGTTTTAATTGTTTTAATTAATTTAATTGTTTTATTGTTTCAACCTGCTTGGCCAGAGGAGACAACAGAATGACAGAAATATATGTATATGTTACAGAAAGCAAACTCTTTCCCAGATGACATGCAACTCTCTTAAAAAATTGTCTCTGCTCAGCTAAGCAGCCAACCACGGCACCTTACACAGAGATCAATTTAACTTTCAATTCAACTCGGTCCCTCTAAAGTAGAAGGGTACTGGGAGATATTTTTAGCAGAGCAGCAGCACTGGGAGATAGTGGCTCCTTAATCCTTCCCCCACCTGCCATTTCTCCACTCCAAATCATCTGCCCTTTTTATCCATGGGTTTCAGAAAGCACAATTTCACCCAGCTCCCAGATATAGCTGGCAGAGAGGCAGGGAGTGGAAGCCACATGGGGGTGGGCCACAATTTCAGAATGAAAAACTGGTACGTGGGCATTTAAAGAGTTAAGCTCCCCTCCACAATCCAGCAATGAATATCTCATGGTCATGTCCAATGACGTTTTCAAAAAGCTGGCTAGGGGGAACCTTTTGGACGTAATCATAGAAATATAGAGTTGGGAGGGACCCTGAGGGTCATCTAGTCCAACCCCCTGCAATGCAGGAAAATGCAGCTGTCCTTATATGGCCTCGGACCAGTATACCTTAAGGAGCGTCTCCACCCCCATCGCTCAGCCCGGACACTGAGGTCCAGCTCCGAGGGCCTTCTGGTGGTTCCCTGCGAGAAGCCAAGTTACAGGGAACCAGGCAGAGGGCCTTCTTGGTAGTGGCGCCCACCCTGTGGAACGCCCTCCCATCAGATGTCAAAGAGAAAAACAATTACCAGACTTTTAGAAGACATCTGAAGGCAGCCCTGTTTAGGGAAGTTTTTAATGTTTGACGTTTCATTGAGCTTTTAATATTTGGTTGGGAGCTGCTCAGAGTGGCTGGGGAAACCCAGCCAGATGGATGGGGTATATTATAAAATTATAATTATAATTATAATTATTAGGGTCAATCCTGCAACCTTTGCATTATCAGGACCACGTGCTAACCAACTGGTGCCCATGAGTAGCCATTTAATTAAACGGCTGGGGGGAATATGGATGGGTTTGGGCAGAGAATTTAGCAATCTATGCAGCACCCTGGTTTTAAACCAGAAGCCGCATTATGCAGTCAGGCCTTAGTCCATCTATCTCAGTATTGTAGACACTGACTGACAGCGCCACTCCATTGATTCAGGCCGGGGACTGTAGGGGATTGAACCTGGAACCTCCTGCAAGGAAAGCAGATATTTTAACCACTTTGCTAAGACCTTTATTTTCGATGTGTTAGCAATCCCATGTGGTTTAAGGCACCACAGGGCTCTGATATTCTAGAGGCTGAAAGGAATCCCCAAAACCCTCTCAGTTGTGCACCCTCTCTGACCCACAGCCGAGTGTGTGCACGGCGCACGTTGAGGATCCCCTTGTTCTACAACGAGACCTACGCCAAGCCTGCGCACCAGCCGTATTTGACGCTGTGCGCTGGACCCCGAGTCTGCAGCACCTACAGGTAAGCAAAGTCCTCCACTGCATGGAGATTCCAGGGGTGAGGAGGGTGGGGAGAACGTTTTACTGAACGGTGCATTTTTAGGGTTGTGTATTTCATACCCCTCAACTGTCCCGTTTTGAAGGGGGACATCCCAGAATCACAGAAGCCAATCCCGGCTTCTGTTTGTATCCTGGAATGTCCCATTTTGGGGCCTGGTGCTTTGCTGATTTGCACCAGAGCGCCAGAATGAAAGATGCTCGGTTTTTTGGTCTCATGAGAGTGTCTTTCGGTCTTGTATTCCCACATGCGCGAGAGTTCAGGACCAAAAAAAGAGTGTCCCGATTTTGATGCCACAAATGTTGGAGAGTATGGTTTCTGCTGGTGGTTTTTTGTTTTTTTTTAAACTGCTATCTGTTTTAACTTGCTGAGGGAGAGGGTCTTTTCTGTGGTGGCTCCCTGCTTGTGGAATGCTCTCCCCGATGAGGTCTGCCTGGAGTCATCTTTAGCATTCTCTCGACACCAGATAAAAACTCCACCTAGGCATTGGACAGATTGTCATGATTTTCTATTCATTGATTACGTCAGGGATAGCCAACATGGCTCCCTCCTGATGTTTCGGACTCCACCTCCCATCATCCTTGGTCATGCTGGCTGAGGCTCATGGGAGTTGTAGTCTAAAACATTGGCTGCCCCTAGATTGTATGCCTTTGCTGCTGCTTCGTTAGATCTGTTTCATGAGTCACCGTGTTGCCTTTTAAAGTAATTTCATCATGCTTATTTTAAGAAATGTCGTGCTCTTAAAATTCCACAAGTCACATGGAGACTTCTTATATGGCAAGTGGCTAGTGAGTTGAACTCGTGACTGTTGTAATGCCTGTTGTGATTTTGATCTTTTCTTTTTCAAAAAAAAATATTCATTTTATAACACAAATAAACAACACAAACAGAAAAAATAATAGAAACAAATTCTTGTCTTATCCTTATTTTTTCTAAACATTGTTAGGTGAGCTTCCCCAAGTCCCCCCATCTGATTTTCATTTTACCTCATCTTTAGCAGTTTACATATATCATAATTTTTAACCATTTTTTAATCACACTTACTTTTACCATAAAAATTTTCACGTATTATCCCTTACATATGATACTATTTCAAAATGCACTATCTTCTACTTCTAACCCTACAGCCTAGATTTTGATCTTTTAGGCTGCATTGTATGGTGATCTGCTTTGTATACTGTCATAAAAAGGTGAGATATAAATAAACTCTTTTCCTCACCAGTGGGCCTTACCAGCTATTAGCCACAATAGCTAGGAAGGGGGGGTCATAATTTCCTGATGCTGAAGACAAACAACAAAGGATGCTGATTCCCCTTTCCCCCTGGTGTGCAGTGATCATAGAGTTCTGGTCCTTTGCTGTGTGTAGCATGTCTGTTGCTGTGAGACCTTAATAAGCGGAGAGACTTTCTGGCCAGACGTCTCTCTACAGTTCCTGCTTCTGATAATGCTGGCATTGTCTCATCTTAAACACTGTATGGTGTCAGAAATGGAAATCATCATTTACCCAGTTTGGTGAGAAGGAGAAGTAGCCAAGGACACTTGCGTTTTCCCTCTTCCCTAGGACTACCTATCGCGTGGCCACACGGCAGGTGCGCAAAGACATTCTGCAGACCCACATCGTCTGCTGCCAAGGCTGGAAGAAACGCCACGTGGGAGACACCAAGTGCGAGGAAGGTGAGTCCTTGAACCGTGGTTTGTGCTGCAGAAATGTGATGGAAGCCACAGAGATCAGAGTCAGACATCACTCAGTTATCCGCATATCCCTAAGATAGTTGTTTATGTCCTTGGCGTCTGATGGGAGGGTGTTCCACAGGGCGGGTGCCACCACCGAGAAGGCCCTCTGCCTGCTTCCCTGTAACCTCACTTCCCGCAGGGAGGGAACCGCCAGAAGGCCCTCAGCACTGGACCTCAGTGTCCGGGCTCCTTCAGCCTTGCTCTCTCCTTTCTCCTGCCAGCCATCTGCAACAAGCCCTGTCAGAACGGAGGCACCTGTGCCCAGCCAAACCAGTGCCAGTGCCAACCAGGCTGGGGCGGGCGCTACTGCCATGTCGGTGAGTAGAGCAGCTGGAAGTGACAAGAGGCAAGGGTTAGCACTGGGTGGCTGGTGGGGGACGTCGGTCACGGCTAGCTTGACATTAAAGGCACCATCGCATCTTTTCCGCCTGAACCATTAGGAAGGCGCCTCAGGTGGCAATTGCTGGGAGGTCCGGGGTGGTGCCCTCTATCTTAGCCTGGTGCCCTTTATTGCAACAGAAGGCACCACCAGGGCTCATTTAAGGGATAGCTCAGTCGGTAGAGCGTGAGACTTTTAAATCTCAGGGTGATGGGTTCGAGTCCCACACTCGGCCGGGCATAAATTTCCTGCATTGCAGGGGGCTGAACTAGATGGGTCCCTTCCAATTCTACAGCTCTAAGGTTCAGCTTCTAGTTCAGATTTCCTGTGGGTTGGCAGATACTTGGCTTTAAAGGCCTTACTCACCAGGACTAGAAACTTGAGGTCTCCGGGATTTCTGCAGGTTGGCAGATTATTTATTCAAGGTCCCGAGAGGAAGATGCAACAGGGGTTCTCCCTCCCGTCAGACTATAGCTGTCAACCGTCCCTTATTTGGCGGGAAACTCCCTTATCCCAGCGCCGTGTCCCGCTGCTGTGCCTTATTGATGATGTCCCTTAAATTTCCCGGGTTTCATGCTCCCCTGGCTCGGGAGGGAAGCAGCGACTCAGGGTCCTCCGCCACGAGAGAGAGCATGCTCTGGCGCCGTCATCCTGGCGCGAGGAGTTCCATCGGCCCTTCCCTGCCCGAGGGGGGGGGAGGGGGAGAGACTCTCGCCCACGCCGCCCACAAGCCCAGAGGCGGCAGCGGTGGTGGCAGCTGAGGAGGCAGCCTGAGGGAGGAGGAAGAGGAAGAGGAGGGGATGGGGAGGGACGCAGAAGGGCGGCGCTTCAGCAGCTGCCGTGGCCCTGCAACCGCCTCATGCCAGATTGACAGCATCTGTCAATCCTACCAATGTATGCAACTTTACAACAGCAAAATCCCTTATTTGGGCTGCTTATCCCTTATTTTAGAGGCTTCTGGTCCCTTATTTTCAAATCTGTAAGTGGACAGCTATGCGTCAGACACGTAGACTCCTAACCCCGCTGCCGTCTTTCCTTAGATGTGGACGAGTGCCACGCACCTGTCTCTCTCTGCGACCAACGCTGCCTCAACACCGCAGGGAGCTACGAGTGCCAGTGCCACCCTGGCTATGCCCTGGAACCAGATGGCAAGAGCTGCCGCTTGCTGCCCACTGCCCAGGCGGCCCCTCTGCACGCCAGCAAAGGTGGGTCCTCACAAGGACTGGGAGAAAGCTCTATGGGAGAGGAGGACGCTTTGCAGGCCGAGGGCCGCATTGCCTTCTGGGTAACATTCCAGAGGCCACATGTCGGCAGGGGCAAAAGTGGGGGGAGCAATGGCTCTGAATTTTGCCTATGCACCCTAAACCAGTTTCTATTTGTATTTATGGTTTGCTTGTGTGTTGCATCTTTTCCCTACCTTTATCTCTGAGGAGCTCAAGATGGCGTACGTGGCTCTCCCCTGCTTCGTTCTCTCCCTACAACAACTCTGTGAGGTGGGTCAGGCTGAGGGGCAGTGACTGGACCAGTGAGCATCATGGCTGAGTGAGGATTCGAACTCTGATCTCCCAGGTCCTAGTCTGACACTCTAACCGCTATGCCACGCTGGCTGTGTCTCTCTCACACACAAACCCCTCTGCCCTTTATCCGGGCGAGCAAGATACCTCAGCAGAATTTGAGGACACGTCCCAGCTATGCCAAAACACTCCTGGAAGGTGCGAAGCTGGGCTGGCGAGGGGCGTGGCCTGTGAAATGGGGTGTGGCCTGTTGAAAGGGGGTGTAGCCTGCTTAAATTCTCAAGGGCCAGATAGACCTGGCAGGCAGGCAGGTGGGGGCCGGCAGAGGACAGAGTGAAGAGTGAAGTTGGTGGGGCAGGACCCCATATGCTTTATGTCCCTGGCCACATCATTAAAGGTAAAGGGACCCCTGACCATTAGGTCCAGTCGTGACCGACTCTGGGGTTGCGACGCTCATCTCGCTTTATTGGCCGAGGGAGCCGGCGTACAGCTTCCGGGTCATGTGGCCAGCATGACTAAGCCGCTTCTGGCGAACCAGAGCAGCGCATGGAAACACCGTTTACCTTCCCGCCGGAGCGGTACCTATTTATCTACTTGCACTTTGATGTGCTTTCGAACTGCTAGGTTGGCAGGAGCAGGGGATTCGAACCGCAAGTCCTAGGCTCAGTAGTTTAACCCACAGCGCCACCCGCGTCCCAATGGCCACATCCTTACCATCCACTTAAAGCAACTCCTATCTCACTTTTGCAGTCATGGCTTCCCTGCAAGGAATTCTGGGAACTATAGCTGGTGGAGAGCGCTGGGAATTGTAGCTCTGTGGGGAGCGGGGATTTTAACAGCTCTCTGGTTCCCAGAAATCTTTGGGAGAGGAAGCTACGGCTTTTTAACAAAGCCATGCAGTGGAACCTTGGTTGTCGACCGTAATCCGTTCCGAAAGACCCTTAGACTTCCGAAACGTTCGATAACTGAGGCGCAAAGGGCTGTCTGCAAATTCAATTGAGAAAATTGAAAAACACACAGTGGGAGCCGTTCAACTTACGAGGCGCGTTCAAAAACAGAAGCATTTACTTCCGGGTTTTTGAAACGTTCATCAACGGAGACATTTGAGAACCAAGCTTCCACTGTATAAACGTGTTGGTGTGGGTGAAGGCCAGTGTGCCCCACAACCGCCACCTCCTCCTGCCTCACGCAAGCACCTTGTTTCATCCCCTCATAGAAGAAAGCAGCCGGCTCTACCATTGGACAGAGTGAGGCAGCTGCTTCGGGCGGCAGTTGATGTTAACAGGTGGCGTTGAAGGGCAAGTGTGCTTGTGTGCCTGCCCTGTGCCCTCAACTTGTGTCCACAGTGCCTTGAGGCCATTTTAAAGGGGGTTTGGGGTTCAATCCCTGCCATCTCCCTGGAGAGCTGGTAGAATTTCCTGCCTGAACTCCAGGGGAGAAGCTGCCAGTCCGTGTAGGCAGCACTGAACCGGGATGGACCAATGATCCGATTCAGTGCAAGGCAGCTTCATAAGTTCGTTAGAGCTGCTCAACAGGATTTTTGGGGGGTCGTAGGGCATGTTCTCCCTCGCTCCCTTTCCGTTTACTGGTTGCTGGGGTGCTGAGGTGGAGGAGAGCGCGACACCTTCAATTGCGCCACTTCCTGGCTTCTTCTTACAAACAGATCTATTCTTCATGGGTCACAGCGGCAGCTGCCTCAGACTGTGACCCCACGCTGCTGAGTGCATTTCACAACTTTCCTGTAAAAAGCAGCTTTGAATCTGGCCACTGAGTTCAGTTCCAAGAACCTCTTTCTGCTTTGGTTTGCATGAAAAAGGAAACAAAACAAAAAGTGCATAGGCCCTGAGAGTCGCGGAACGCAGTCTTCAGTTCCTTTGTAAAGTACCCCAAACCAGCAGATATGTACACAGATTGGCTTAGGGTTGTATCCGATACTAGTCCTACTCAGAGTAGACTTATCTGAGTGAAGGGACCTGACTAAATTATGAATAGGACCAGTATTGGCTGGGGGGCGGAGTCTGGACACTTGAGGGCGGTGCCTGGTGGAAAAGGAGGCGGAGCCTGCCAGGGCCTATTAGTCGACACCCCTAATTAAGTGTCCAAAGAGCAGAATGCTGATTCGTTGTGTTCTGTACATGTGTTCAGATCTCGCCCTCCTTGGCCCTTCTGCCAGCGTGGCATAGTGGTTAGAGTGTTGCACTTTGGAGACCAGGGTTTGAATCCAATCACTTGGAGACCTTGGGACTGTCACTGCCGCTCAGCCTAACCTATGGTTGCCATACGTCTGGAATATCCCGGACATTACCCGGAATACTGCAGTCGGCCGATTTTCCTGAAAAATAGCTATTAAAAAATCAACCTTTTTTTTGCAATTATGCCAAAAAAGCTCAACATTATTGGGCGAAACAAAAACTTCTGAGAAGAAAGGAGAAGAGGAGAAACCATGTACAGTGGTACCTCAGGTTACATATTGTCAGGGAACTGACATCGGAGCAGAGGGGGGAGGCGATGCTTCCAGACTCTGCAGGAGAGGGAACGAGTAGGGGTAGAGAGAGAACGTCATCTGGGGAAGAATGTCCAGGTGACACCAGGAAGAAGGGAGAGGGAGAAAGCATCTCGGAGGATGAAAACCATGTACAGTGGTACCTCAGGTTACATATGCTTCAGGTTACATACACTTCAGGTTACAGACTCCGCTAACCCAGAAGTAGTACCTCGGGTTAAGAACTTTGCTTCAGGATGAGAACAGAAATCGTGCTCCGGCGGCACGGCAGCAGCGGGAGGCCCCATTAGCTAAGGTGGTGCTTCAGGTTAAGAACAGTTTCAGGTTAAGAACGGACCTCAGGAAAGAATTAAGTACTTAACCTGAGATACCACTGTATTCCACCTTGAGCTCCTTGGAGAAAATGGTGGGAGATAAATACAAAAAAGAAATGAAATCAATTTTGGACCCTCTCTGGGGCTCCACCACACACCGGTAGTTCCAGTCCTGCTCCTTCTCACGCTCTCTTCTCCCTCGTCCTCCTCTTCTCTTCCCCCCAGTGAAAATTCTAGGGGCTCAGGAGACGATTCCCAATGAGATCCAGGAGCTTCAAGCCAAAGTGGAGCAGCTGGAAGAGGTGAGAGTCTTGGTAGGTCTCTGTCCCAGGAGGCTGACTGGCCACTGGGAGAACAGGATGTTGGGCTCTATGGGCCATTGGCCTCATCCAGCTGGGCTCTTTATTATGTTTCTGTTCTGGCCCCTTTGAGTTTCAACCAACGGCTGACCCATAAGGGACAGTGGCCTTCGAAAGAAAAAACAGTTTCCTCACCCCAATTTTAGGGGTCATTGGACCACCCCTCCCTGGTTTTTGGCCACCACACTCCTTACATGCCAGGGAGGGAGAGGCCCTCCAGTTTCCAACAGCTGGGTCTGTTTCAGATAGTTGATGGATGAGGGGATAGCGGACAGATTGATAACTTTTAAAGACCCAGGTGGGGGGAGCTAAAGGCCAAAGATTAGCAAATCAAAGAACTTAGCAGTAACAAGATTTCAGTGCGGCATTTCTCGGAGGGAGAAACAGAGACGGGGGTTTAGCCGGGGATACGTGCCATTTTTCCCCCTTGCAACATGTGTGGGCATAAAGAATTTGGCAAAGCCAGCTCTGGATAACTAGCAGATGAAGAATCCATAGTGAGTGCCCTTGAAAATGGTTATGTCCTGGCTATACCCTTGGGCAGGGACGCGGGTGGCGCTGTGGGTTAAACCAGAACCTAGGACTTGCCGATCAGAAGGTCGGGGGTTCGAATTCCCGCGATGGGGTGAGCTCCCGTTGCTTGGTCCCTGCTCCTGCCAACCTAGCAGTTCAAAAGCACGTCAAAGTGCAAGTAGATTAATAGGTACTGCTCCGGTGGGAAGGTAAATGGCGTTTCCGTGCGCTGCTCTGGTTCGCCAGAAGCGGCTTAGTCATGCTGGCCACATGACCCGGAAGCTGTACGTCGGCTCCCTCGGTCAATAAAGCGAGATGAGCGCTGCAACCCCAGAGTCGGCCACAACTGGACCTAGCGGTCAGGGGTCCCTTTACCCTTTACCTTATACCCTTGGGCGGCCAAGGTGCTTTTTTGGAGGAGGAGGAGGAGGAGAGCCGAATGATACAGGGCATTCCTGCATTCTCTCTCCCTCCCATGATGGGGTTGGTATAATAACAATAATAATAATAATTATTATTATCTCCCCACCCTTCACCGTAAGGTCGCAAGGTGGGCTGCAACAATTTAAAATACAGTATTATTAGCACTGTTGTTGTTTAGTCATTTAGTCGTGTCCGACTCTTTGTGACCCCATGAACCAGAGCACACCAGCATTAGTATTATTAATTACATTTGTATGCCACCCTTGATCTGAAGACCCCAGGGTGGTTCACCACAGAAAAATACAAAATGAGAACATACACAAAGTTCTTAATAAAAGCAAAAACAAGCCCAAAAAACCCCTCTCCCACAAACACATTTAAAGGGACTTAGAACGTTAAGCAGCCGTTAAAGAGAACAGAGAGTGTTTGCCTGACGCCTAAAAATATGTAATGAAGGTAATACAAATTAGTTACGAGGAATGGGCTGCTGCCCCACCAACTTGGGTCTGCCATCAGTCAACCCCCACCTTTGCTGCTTGGAGAGTCCATTGAGTGGCCCTGCCTGACAGCTGCCGCCTCCTCCTTGCTCTCAGTGTTTCGCCTTGTACAGCAAAACCACAACATGTTGGCTGTCTCTGGCGCCACCTGCTGGCTGGCTCCCCACCTTCTGCCCTATCAGTCCCAGTGGGCCCCTGCCACAACTGCCCTGCAGCCCTCCTCTCTCCATCCCACCCCTGCAGCGCCTGGAACGTGCCATCGCCATCTTACCGCCTTCCCTGGAGCCTGCCCAGCTGAAGGAGCTCTGGAGTCGCCTGCTCTACCTGGACCAGGTGGAGTCGCTCAGCGATCAGCTGCTTTTCCTTGAAGAGAAACTGGGGGACTGTGAGTATCAGAAAGGCCACGCCGTCCCGACAGCCTCAGCGGCAAAAAAGCGCCTCGCGACCCATGGGCGGCCCATCCTGTTTCGGTACCTGAAGCGAGACGGGAAGGTGCCACCTAGCACGTGTGCCCTGCACCACCCAACATTCCTTGCCCTCCCCCCTGAAGCCTCACAGCTGGGGTCACACAGCTGGGGCTTCCAGGTTCTTGCGAGAGTTCACCGGAAGCTGCCGCGGCCGCTTCCACTCACTTCTCCAGCAGTGGCAGAGACGCCCCCTAGAATTTCGCCGCCTGAGGCACCTGCTGCAGTCTGCCTCATGGATAGGCCGGCGCCATCCACGGGAGGCAAATGGTTTTATGCAGGCGAGGGTGCGACCTGGGGCAAGGGCATGGCTAAGAGAGTCCCAAGGGCCAAGTGGACTGGTCTGGAGGGCCGTAAGTGCGCTCCCCCCACCAGACCTGAGGCAGTAACAGGCTGGCTCACGGGTGCAGAACGCTTTGCATTCACCTCTGAGCGACTTTCCAAGGGCGGCATGAAACTCTCCAGAGTTTCAAGAAGCGTATTTCTCCCAGCCCTACCTGTAGATGCCTTGGGGACTGGAACTGGAACCTTCTGCAAGGAAACCAGATTTTTTGCATGCATCCCCCTGCTTCCTATTGGGCTAGGAAACATTGCTTTCAGGTACTTTGGCTGCTAAGGGACGCGGGTGGCGCTGTGAGTTAAACCACAGAGCCTAGGACTTGCCGATCAGAAGGTCGGCGGTTCGAATCCCCATGACGGGGTGAGCTCCTGTTGCTCAGTCCCTGCTCCTGCCAACCTAGCAGTTCGAAAGCACGTCAAAGTGCAAGTAGATAAATAGGTACCGCTCCGGCGGGAAGGTAAATGGCGTTTCCGTGCACTGCTCTGGTTCGTCAGAAGCGGCTTAGTCATGCTAGCCACATGACCTGGAAGCTGTATGCCGGCTCCCTCGGCCAATAAAGCGAGATGAGCGCCACAACCCCAGAGTTGGCCATGACTGGACCTAATGGTCAGGGGTCCCTTGGCTGCTACAGCTCAATTCACCCCTCCATCCCACGTCACCCCTGCAGATAATCGATTTTGCCTTGCTGGTGGGATGTGCAAGCGCCTCAGCGTAATATTGGGAGCTGCCTTATAGCAATTCAGACCAGTCATCCACCTAGCTCAATACTGTCTACACTGGCTGGCAGCAGCTCTCCCGGGTTTCAGAATGAGCTCTCCCATCTCCTCCCAGATGCCATGGATGTTGGGACCTTCTATGTGCAGATAATGCTGAATACCTTTCCCCGACTATTGAAACTCTTAAATAGCTGCCAACTATTTCTACGAACTGCCTTCCCTCTAGTATCAGGGGTTGTTCGGGGTCTCTTGCACTTTTCAAACCTCATTTTTTTTCTCCTTCTGGGTTCCTTCCTCCCAGGTGCCTGTCAAAACGGTAAAAATGGCTTTGGCTACGACATTGCCCGGTGATGGCTGCGCCCTGGACTCGATTGATGGGAAACCAGCCCCCCACCACCACCTCCTGCTCCCCACTCTGGGCTGATGGCTACTGCTCTAGGAAACTCCAGTTTAACATCTCCTCCCTGGGCACACTCCACTCATTACTTAAAAGCAAAATACGCACAGCAAGGGCTAGGCCTCTAACAGATTAACTAATGGAAGCAAGCTTCTGAGTCGCACAGCATTCTTCTGGAAGAATTTGAAGCACGGCCACACAGAATTCTTGAGGCTTTCACAGCCAATGCAAAAAAGAGAGAGGAAAAATTAAGCACTTTTGATTTCAATGGGAGATTTACAATGAATTTCTATGCGTGTTGACTCATTTGCAAATCCTGCTGCAACTAGTAGATTATTCCCAAGTATGCAAAGGACAGCAATCTTAAGCACGTGCTTAATGCCCCCACAGAAGTCAATGGAATTTAAAAATGTTAGTGTCCAACTCATGCCAACTTTTAAGTAGCAATGTGGCCTGCCTGGGGTGTTCTTGATTTTGTCGCCTGAATTTTTCTGTGGTGAAGAGCACTCATTTTTCTTTCTTGGATTACCCCCCTTACACACCAATTTTCCAGTTTCTCCATCACCTTGTTTATCCTGGGCTGGTTTCTCAACCACCGTCAGTCCAGAATTCAACAGGTAGAGCTCTTAACTCCTCTCAAACTCCCTTTCTTCTGAAATGCATCAAACTCTTAACAAGCTAATGATGGTGGTCTGCGCCACATTCCCTGCAACCCTGTACTTCTTCCAACCACACATGAACAACGGAAGGCACTTATTTGCTTTTGAGATCTCGCTGTCCCTGCTAAGTTGGCTGCAGTGTTGTTGGACAACGCAACTCCCATCTTCCCTTACCTCCCCCCAGCACTGGATGGGGGTGTGGTGGGCATTGATGGCAGCTGGAAATCCAACATCTGGAAGGCCACAGGTTTTCCAGCTCTGGAACTAGGGAAAGATCTGCGTTCAATTCCTCTGCCTGGAAGCTCACCCTAAACCTATGAATGCTACCATTGAGCTCAGTATCCAACAGGGCAAGCTATGATTGCACGTTGCAGCATCTGAAAGAGGAATGGCTTTATTATGGCATAATCTTTCGCGGCGAAGCATAATCATTTTTTTTAAATCTTCTTCTTTGGCGATCACTCGTAGCCAAGTAAGATTGTCTTCCATGAACACGGTCTTAACAGTGAGTCCGTGGCTGTGGAGGCCAATTCTGGATCCACACATCCTTCCACAGTGGGGACATAGGTTTCCGGGTGTCAGCTGTTCACAGTGAGGGTTTGCTAAGCGTGCCTTCCTTAGCACGTTTCTCCCTTTTGTCCTGAGTTTGTGCTTTTTCAAAGTCCATGACACCTTTGGTAAAGGCTGCTCACCAATTGGAGTGCTTGCAGATCAGTGTTTCCCAGTTATCAGTGCTTATACTGCATTTTTAAAAGATTTGCCTTGAGAGTGTCTTTATAAACCTCTTTTGTTGTCCACCGGTATTTCGCTTTCCATTCTTTGGAAGATGACAATCAGGCATCCAAACAACATGACCAGTTCAACGAAATTGTTGTTGAAGAATCATTGCTTCGACATGGGTGATATTTGCTTCTTCCAGTACTCTGGCATTACTTTGCTTGTCTTCCCAAGTGAATTAGGGGGTCGTGGGAACCTGGCACCGAATTTCCCAGGAACAACTCTCTGGGCAAGAGAATATTGTTCAAGCTGCACTTTTGACATAGTTAATTTCCTTTTATTAAAAAACAAATAAATAAAAGGTCATTTATTAACTTCCTGAATGGTAGCAGTCCTGTTTGGAGAAAGATGCCATTTTAATTCCACAGAATCTCTTGTAAGATTCTGATCCAGTTAATAACTGTTCCTTGGAATGAATTGCTGCAGCTGGATTTATTTGGGAATAAAATAATAGTAGTAGTTTTATTATTTATATACCGCTCATCTGACTGAGTTGCCCCAGCCACTCTGGGCGGCTTCCAACAAAAAGACATTTAATAATAAAAATCACACATTAAAAACTTCGCTAGACAGGGCTGCCTTCAGATGTCTCCTAAAAGTTGTTATTTATCTCCTTGACATATGAGAAGAGGTCCCACAGGGCGGGCGCCACTACCGAGAAGGCCCTCTGCCTGGTTCCCTGTAACCTCACTTCTTGCAATAAGGGAACCGCCAAAAGGCCCTCAGAGCTGGACCTCAGTATCCGGGCTGAATGATGGGGGTGGAGACGCTCCTTCAGGTATAAAGGTTTGAAGCCCTGTATGTAAATATTAATGGTAATATTATCCATGCATCTATCTAATCCCATTTTTAAAGCCATCCTAGTGTGTGACCATCACTACCTCCTATGAGGGCAACTCCCCCAACTCTTTCCATAGTTTATCTGCACATAAATAGCTGCAATTCTGGTACCGCCTGCAGCAGATGCACAGAAAGCCTTCGCCTGCAGCTCAACCCCAGCATCTCCAAAAAGGTGCCAAAGGCAAAGGTTACAGGACCCCACCATCACACAACCCCCCCCCCTTTATCTGCTAGAGACACAGAGCGAGACGCGTTGCAATGGTGGGGGGTTGTTTGAGGGTCTTTATTAAAAGCAGGAAGGTCTTAGGAACATGGACTTGGTGATGCCCCTTTTACCCGTCGCCCCCTCCCCACATCGACGCTCCCCCGACATCAACAGCCCCCCCTGGAAGGGCATCTGGTGGGAGGGATAGGCAACTGGGTCTCCAACTGGGGAGAGGACAGAAATATATCAAGGGGGGGAATTCCCCAAAGGCAGGAGAGGAGCAGAGGCAGCAGCCCCTCTTCCCCCCCATAGCAGGGAATATTTGGCAAAATCCCACCCACCCCACGAACAAGCGCACACTCCCTGAAACAGCTCCCCAAGCACGCCTGCCCCCCACAATAGAGGGGTCTCTCATCCCAAAATTATAGCCTCTCCCCAATCCTAATGGCCCACCCTCATAAAAAATATAGCTGCACACAGAAATCCACTCCAGTCCCAGGAAGCGTGCACAGGAAGTGCATGCATCCGACTGCCCCCAATTCGCCTCTCCTCCATCCCAGGCCCTATGGGGCACCAACATGGCACCCTCCCAATCATCTGGACTATGACTCCCATCAGCCCCAGGACTAGAGAGAACAGGTCCGGGAAAGGCTTTTCCCTCCGCCTGAGGCCTTGGAGTAGGCCAGGCAACGAGGTGCCCTCCAGCGGCTGCCGTACCCCAGCTCCCAACAGCCCCAGCCAGCAGTGAAGGATGATGGGAATTGTAGTCCAGTAATAGCTGAAGGGTGCCACATCAACTACCACCACCACAATTTAATTCCTGCTTGGCCCAATTGGCTAAAGGGCACCAGCCTCATGCCACTAGCCCCCTCCTCCATGTTGTGCACCCCTTCCACCCCAAAAAAATTCGGCCTAGTGACCCCGCACCCAAACACTGGTTGCCCTTCCCCAATGCCCTGTCCCAAGACCTCAGCCTTCCTGCCATATTTTGCCACAGAGGGAGCACACACACGTACCTCCCCTCTGACCATCTCTGAGACCAAAAAACGAGAGTTTGCAGCGCCCGATGCCTCCAACTGGAGCCAGGAAAGCAGGCTGCCACGTTGACGCAGCTGGGATAAGGATAAGGGCAGGCTTGCTTCCCCCTTCGCAGGGCAGTGAAAATATTTTAACCAACACAAAAGTAACTGGCCCAGGGAGGCTGTCAGGAAACGGACGTCTTCTCACGTTCCTGCTCTCGTTTTTCCCCAAAGTAGCATCCCTAATTTCCGCCCCACATCAATTGGGTCGAGGGCTGGTCCCATAAACTGGGTTCCACAGGGTCAGCCCATATTATTTTAGCCCCCCCCCACCTCCCCGTGAGACACACCGCAACCCCCCCTCCCCGCAAAGCTGCTCTTTCGTTCCCTCGTTTCACCCACCGGGTGACTGAAAAGAGCCAATACAGAGTCACATTCTTTCTGTGTCCCCAGCCCCCCCCACCCCGCCGCAGTTCCCCCATTCGCCGTGCCCCTTTCACAGAGGGAGGTAGTCTTGTCCACCGTTTTATTAGAGCTGCTGATCAGTCAGAGGCCTGGGTGGGTCGTAGTCCGCACAGCTCCCCTCCTCGGGGAGCTCTGGAGTGGTTCGTCGCCGCCTCGCTCCCACCGCAGGCAAGATGTAGCGGATCGATCAATCGTGCCCATTCCCTTATCTCACACGCAAACACATACACACACACACACCCCTTCGTGAAAGGCCAGCGGGGTGTTTGCAACCAGCTGGCAACCCGGCTTCACATTTTGCAGTGTTCGCACTCAGAACCTGCCCTGCGCCCATCTCGTCCCCCAGAGGAGCGCCGGGATGAATCTTCCCTCTGCAGGGTTCGAGGAGTGGTTCTGTTTATACGTTGCCTGTGGGTCAGCCCACAAAATGCTCCCTGCCCCCGGAACAGGGGGCTGGAGTGGTCCAGTCCGAGAAGCTCAAGCGGAACAGTTCACATCGACAGAAACGGTTGAGGGGAAGAAGACCTGGCGGGGAGAGGGCTGCGCCATCTACCTGGTTGTGGGAGGGGAGAATTCTGGTCCGAAAGGTGGAAGCGGGCGTGGCTGGGATCAACTCCGCCCCTGCGGCTCCTTGTGGGCGTGGCCGGGCGAAGCCCACCCCAGCTTGCAAATCTCCGAGTTTGGTTGTAGCGTGGGCCGCTCCCATCACCGCCTCTGCCACTCCTGGTCCCGGCTTGGCCGCTGGGGAGTTAACGCCGCCCTCTTCTGCCGTGGCCCCCGCCCCAGTGGGCGCAAAGCTGTTCCCAGTCCCCACCCCATAAGCTCCTCTCTCTCTGTCTCTCTCTAGGGCCGGATGTTGGGAGGGAGGAAGTAGTAAAAGGGGGTCACTGCGGGGCACCCAGCTCCACCGAGAGCCCCTCAAAGGCAATGAGCATGGCCTGGCGCACGCGATCTGTCAGTGCCGGCACGTCTTCAGCCACCAGCTCCCGCGTAGGCATGGGAGGCAGGATCTGGACCGTGCAGCGCCCTGCGCCGGAGGAGGAGGAGACGGAGGCAGTGGAAAGGGGCCGTGGTGATGTAGCCGGACCAGGTGGGGGGCAGAAAGGGAGAGAGAAGGAAAGAAAAAGAAAAGTGTTAAGTGTGCAGGCTGCAAAGAGGCAGGGCAGGGGGTATTTAATTACAGTCATTCCTCGGGTTGAATGTGCTTCGAGATGAGCGTGTTCAAGTTGCACTCCGTGGCAACCTGGAAGTAATGGAGCACGTTACTTCCGGGTTTCGCCGCTTGCGCATGCACAGACGCTCAAAATGACGCCACGCACATGCGCAGAAGTGCCGAAATGTGACCCGCAGACACGCGGACACGGGTTACGTTTGCTTCTAGATGCGAATGGGGCTCCGGAACGGATCCCGTTCGCATCTAGAGGCACCACTGTATTTTCATTTATTTGCCTGCTAATTTCATATTCCCACTTTCCTCCCAGGTCAGCTCACAACGTAAATTAAAACAGATACAGTGGATGCTCGGGTCGCGAACGTGATCCGTGCAGGATGCACGTTCGCAACCCGCAGCAGTGCGTCTGCGCACACGCGTGTTGCGATTCGGCTCTTCTGTGCATGCGTGACTGCTGAAACCCGGAAGTAACCTGTTCCAGTACTTCCGGGTTTCAGCGGTCCGTAACCCGAAAAAACGGAACCTGAAGCGTCTGTAACCCGAGGTATGACTGTACAACTAAAAATGTATGATTGCTTTACCTATTTTAACCCCCCCCCAGCTATGTAGCCCTATTGAAAGCAGCACTGAAATCACTCAAAGCCATTTAACCCCCAAAATTACATCACCCACCGTCAGAAGACCCTACCACAACAGCCAGTGAGTGGCCACAGGTTTGTCAGAACCAGCCTCGTCCCTGGGGATAAGGGAAGGGAAAGGGAGGGAAAAGGAGCCGGACAGCTGGACTCACCCGTGGTGAAACGCCTTTCCTTCTTACTGTAGAAATCCCGATACGATGAGATCACAACTGGGATGATAGGAACCTGGAAAGGGGCAGGGAAGGGAGGAACAGCGTGAAGAAGACAAAAAGATAATACACTTCAGGGAGGGCTGTTAAAAAAAAAAAGGTGTCTAAACATCTTTTAAAAGTTGTTTTGATTTGGTGGCTGTTGTGGTCTTTTGGGAAACAAATCCCAGAGTTTAGCTGTGTGCTGAATGAAAAGGGTTCCAGCATTATGAGAAAATCCTTCCTTCCTTTCTCCCTCCCTCCTTTTTCAGCTCTCTCTTCCCTCCTTCCTTCTTTCTGTCATGGTCTAGCCTATTAAGGACTTTGCAAGGACTGGAAAAAGGCAGTGCACCCGATTCTCTGAATAGTGCCATAGGAATGCTAAGGTTTTTTATTATGAAAACACACCTCTTTGCACTTTTTGACACCTCAGGTGCTTCACTGAATGGTGACCACCTCTTTTCCGGCATCGACTCTGTTCCGTTCGACTTGGAGCGGTTTTGTTTTAGAGCAGCACTGGTTTCCTCCGCTTTTATAACCATGTGCTGAGATTCCTGCATTGTGGGGGGTTGGACCCTAGAGCTTCCTTCCAACTCTGCAATTCTATGAAATGAAAGGACTCTGCCTCTGAAACCCTGGATACCCACGGACAGTCCGCTTAGCCCAGTGTTTCCCAAACTTGGGTCTCCCGCCGTTTATGGACTACAATTCCCATCATCTCTGACCACTGGCCTTGCTAGCCAGGGATAATGGGAGTTGTAGTCCAAAAACAGTTGCGAGACCCAAGCTTGGGACATCCTGGTTTCGGCAATACAGAGTCAGGCAGACCAATATTCTGACTCTTTCTAAGACACCTTTCTTTGGCTTAACAAATATAAAAGCAGCGCTCCTGGTTCATGCTTTGCATACATCTTCCTGCTAAACTTTGGTGTAGTGGTTAAGAGCGATAGACTCGTATTCTGGGGAACCGGGTTCACAGCCCCACTCACCTCACAGAGTGTTTGTTGTGGGGGAGGAAGGGAAAGGAGATTGTTAGCCGCTTTGAGACTCCTTCGGGTAGTGATAAAGCGGGATATCAAGTCCAAACTACAAAACAGCCCTGCGAAGTACAATTATCCCTGTTGGGAGAGGTCAAGGTCGAAAGAGAGAGGAAGGGGTGTGGCAGAGACGCGCTTGGGAGGTCAGTGGCGGAGGAGAGACTTGGAGGTGGCTTCCTGGCTCTTAACCTGCTGATCTGCAACCTTAACAAGACACACACTATGTGCGTTGGGCTCAGAGGTCACCCCCGCCGGATTTCAGAGGCCAAAACCGCACAGGGGTTGCAGCTCGAGTCGCCCCCACGGCTAAGTAAAGAGGAAAGGACTCCCTACCTGGGCTTGCACAGCCAAATGGAAGGCACCCCGCTTGAAGGGCAGCATGGAGCCGTTGTGGTTCCTGGTGCCCTCGGGGAACACCCAGACCCGAACCTGCAGGGGGGTCAGAGGAGAAAAGGATGGAGCATAAGTAGCTGCAGGCTGCACAAATACAGCTAAAGGGGTTCCTTTCTGTGCCCTCCATTCCCCAAGCCGAAAAAGCTTTCCCCAGTGGCTGCTAGAGACCCAGCACAAGAACCCACCATAAGAAGAGTCCGGCCTGGATCCGGCCCAGGATATGTTTCCCAAGCAGAAGCACATGGGCAGAACATCCCTCCACTGACGTTTGGTCCCAGAAACTTGTATCTGGAGCTACACTGCCTCTAAAAACGGACAATCCGTTCGGCCAAATAGATGTCGCAATCCACACACTCCGCCCTGCGGTGGCGTCGATTTAGCAGACGGCTAGATCAGCGCAGAGCAAATCCAAAAAGGCCTTCTCTGTGGAGAGAGCTTGAGGCCGGTTTGTTTTCCTACAAAAGCGTCTCCCTCCGCCTTGTGCACTCCAAGATGGTGTGTTCCACCCACTGAGGAGACAGTACCAGTACAGTGGTACCTTGGTTCTCAATCTTAATCCGTTCCGGGAGTCCGAAACCATTCGAAAACCAAAGCGCGGCTTCCAATTGGCTGCAGGAGCTTCCTGCACTCAAGCAGAAGCCATGGCGGACATTCGGCTTCTGAAAAACATTCGCAAACTGGAACACTTACCTCCAGGTTTGGGGCGTTCGGGGGCCGATTTGTTCAACAACTAAGCCGTTCAGGAACCAAGGAACCACTGTGATTAAGAGCCAAACGCTACAATGGCAAACTTCCCTCTCTCCCACTCTCTGCCCAAAAGGGCTGTACCAGCAAGTTAGCATTTAAGCAAGGTGGGAAAGTCCAAGAGGCCAGCACCCAGGCGCACGCCCTTGTGAATTTTGGGGAAAATAATATTAGCTCTCTTGCTGCATCCTGTACACCCAGCCACGACACAGACACAATCCCACTTCGCAATCCCTTCCTCCTACCCACCTCCAGATCCCACACGATTCCCCAAAATGTAGGCAGCCCCGCCTCCCGTTCCAGCAACACTCACATCCTCACAGAGCATGGTTTGCGCCGTCTCCGCCATGACGCTAATGGCGTCGTCGGTTTTCTTGCGGTTGATGAAGATGATGCCCCCTAGCCAGCACGCCAGCCCCACCGTGCCCATGTACATCAGCTCCTTCTTGGCGATTGGCACACACCGGTCGGGCAAGACTTCCATCATCCCTGCAGGGCGGGGCAGGGCAGCGGAGAGGGAGGAAAGCGGGAAGGTCAGCCACGGCAACAGATCAAGGCCGCCCAGCCCACTATGTGCCAGAACACCGGTTGGGGGGCGACCATGGCCTGGTGGCACAGCAAAGGCCCAGCCAGAGTAAACCAGAGGTGGGGAATCTGTGGCAATTTGTAGCTTATTGACTACAACTCCCATCGTCCCTGACCACTGGGCCATGCTGCCTGGAGGCTGTTGGGAACCTCAGAACCTTCTGCAGGGACACAGCCTCCCCACTGGGATGTAAAAGCAAATTTTTAAAAACGTTTTCGCACTTCCTGGACTCCGTTCCTGTGCAAAATTCAACTAAAAGGGTCAACCAAAATTTGAGGCAGCCAGTGCAGTCCCCTCTGGATGTAGTTTGACTCTCAGCAGACGGCGGCCAAGAGGAACAGGAGTTATGGTTCAGTCACATCTGGAGGGTTGGGCTATCCCAAACTAGATTACTTTTGATAATTAGGCCTGATTATCGTCTTCCAAAGCAACTCCTCTATTCCGAACTTAAAAATGGAAAGCATAATGCTGGTGGTCAACAAAAAAGGTTCAAGGACTCTCTCAAGGCAAATCTAAAAAATGTAGTATAAACACCAACAACTGGGAAACACTGGCCTGCAAGCGCTCCAGTTGGAGAACAGCCTTTACCGAAGGTGTCATGGGCTTTGAAGACGCTCAAACTCAGGACGAAAGGGAGAAACATGCTAAGAGGAAGGCATGCTTGGCAAACCCTCACCGTGATCAACTCCCGCCCGGAAACCAATGTCCCCACTGTGGAAGGACGTGTGGATCCAGAATTGGCCTCCATAGTCACTTACGGACTCACTGTTAAAACCGTGTTTATGGCAGACAATCTTACTTGGCTACGAGTGATCGCCAAAGAAGAAGACTTTTGAAGATGCCTTCCCAGCTCTGCAAATCAGGTGTGGGGAACGTTTGGCTCCCCAGAGGTTTTGGGTTGCCAACTGCCACCATCCCTGGCTGCAGGCCACGCTTACTGGGGCTGATGGGAGTTGTTGTAGTTTAGCATGAGACTTTGAACTGCAGGGTCGCAGGTTTGAGCCCCATATTGGTCAAAAGATTCCTGCACTGCAGGGGGGGTTGGGCTAGGTCAATGCTTTTTTTCCTAAAAAAAATGTTTAGGGGTACTCTCATTTTCCTTCTCATATTGAAATACTGCCCCTCAATGAGGCCAAACTTAGATGCACAAAATGTTTAGGGGTATGCGTCCCCCCAGGAAAAAAGCACTGGGCTAGGTGAAGCTCATGGTCACTTCCAACCTTACAATTCTTTGAACATCTAGGGGTCCAAAGTCTCCCCGCACCTGCTTAGAAACCAACGTAAGGTAAAGGTAAAGGGACCCCTGACCATTAGGTCCAGTCGTGGCTGACTCTGGGGTTGCGGCGCTCATCTCGCTCTATGGGCCGAGGGAGCCGGCGTGCAGCTTCCAGGTCATGTGGCCAGCATGACTAAGCCGCTTCTGGCGAACCAGAGCAGCCCATGGAAACGCCGTTTACCCTCCCGCCGGAGCGGTACCTATTTATCTACTTGCACTTTGGCATGCTTTTGAACTGCTAGGTTGGCAGGAGCAGGGACCGAGCAATGGGAGCTCACCCCGTCGCGGGGATTCGAACCGCCGACCTTCTGATCGGCAAGTTCTAGGTTTTGTGGTTTAACCCACAGCGTCACCCATGTCCCTGGAAACCAATGAAGATTGCTTTAAAGTGGGCAGGAACTCTTAATAATTTGGTGGTATGGTAAAATGGACTGACGGAAGAGGCCACGAGGGGTTTTCTACTCACATTCTGGCCACCTACCCAGACCCCCTTCCCCCCTGCCCAGGCGTACCAAGCAAGTCAAGCGAGCTCTGATGGTTGGACACGATCACATAAGGCTGCTTGATGTTGAAGTTCTCTGTCCCCCGCACGTCAATCTTGATCCCGTACAGGTATTTCACATGTAGCATCATGGACCGGATTATCCTGGAGATGGAAAAGAAAAGAGGATAAACTTGTTCACCTGCGACTTCCGCACCTCACTGCACCGCAGTCGCTGATGATGACAACAACAGTTTGCCATCTTCCCTTCTGCAAGGTTTACCTAGTGGCTTCATTATACAGTGGCACCTTGGTTTTCGAACGTAATCTGTTCCAGAAGTCCGTTCGACTACTGAAACGTTCAAAAACCAAGGCGTGGCTTCCGATTGGCGCAATAGCCGACAGCAGCATCGGACGTTCGGCTTCCAACAAACATTCGAAAACTGGAATACTTCTGGGTTTCGGGAGCCAAAATGTTCGAGAAACAAGGCATTTGAGAACCAAGGTTCCACTGTATATTTTTAGGTGCCAGGCAAAAACATTCCTCTTCAACTGGGCTTTTGGCTGATTAATTTGCCACAACCTTTTAAATACCTTTGTGGGAGCGCAGGTTACTGTTTTGTTGCTGTTGTTTAGCTATTTATTTGTGTTTTTATCTTGTGAACTGCCCTGAGATCTTTTAATGAAGGGTGGTGTAAATATCAAAATAAATACAAATAAAAATAAAATAATAAGCTGTCAGTCATAAATAATTTTTGAGGCACTGAGGTGTCTGGAGTGCTCATGCTCCCTCTAGAGGCCAGTGTTGTTCAATGCAGCTTTCAGTTTTCAAAATACCAAAGCAGCGAGAAGTTGTTTTTATTGCTTTTGTTGGCTCTCCTCTTTCTACCAATACAGTAAAGGTAAAGTCCACAGGAGGCCAACCTGCATATAACCATGTAAGAAGCAGCTGCCACAAGACATTTTGCTGCCTCAGGTGAAGTCCAAGATGCCTCCCTATGGCATTCACCTAACCTAAAAGATCGCCTCATCCCCTACCACACAGTCTCAGTTATGTATGTTAATCGTCAAATGGCACCTTAAACCCAGGTTACAGTGGCCACAATGGAATGTCTAGGTACCTCTTTGTTTACAATGAATTTTGGTGTGATGGTGGTTCATTTTATTTTTATACTGCTTTATATATATATATATATATATATATATATATATATATATATTAAAAAATCTCGAAGCTTCCTTGGAGGTATTTAAGCAGAGGTTGGATGGCCCTCTGTCATGGATGCTTTGGCTGAAATTCCTGCATTCAAGGGGGGTGGGCTAGATGACCCCTGGGTCCCTTCCAACTCGTGATTCTATGATATCTGCCAAATCTGCCCCTAAGACTCGCCTTCAGTCCTTAAGCCGCACTGCTAGCTAAAACCAAGCCACAGGCATTCCATTCAGAGCAAAATTCCAGGAGGCCAAATGTCAGCGGTGGGCAGGGCCAGAGACAAAAGTTGGCAAATAAAATTAATGCGAAATTTACCTTTGTGCAGTAGGCTAGTTTACCCTGTTCTATCCTTAATCTAAGGAAAGAAGAGGCATTGTCAGAGTCTGTGGGGACATTCCAGCTAGGCCAAAAGCTATCAAGGAAGGGTGCAGAGCAGAACCGCATTAAACTGATTTTATCTATAGATATTCCAGAAACAATGGAAACGTTTAAATGATTATTTATGTAGACAAAGATTAAATGTAAGGTATTGGTTGTGTTTAGAATAGATTTATGAAAGATTTAGAAAACTTATTGATTAGAATATTTGTATGAGATTGTATGGGGAAAATACGGAATAACAGATACAATGTTGCTTAAAATGTATATAGGAAGTGCAGTGTAAGCGATGGAAGTCAATCAACGAAATTTTATTATTGAGATATTTGTAGAATAAATTTGGAAGAAATTCTTCCAACTTTTCTTCTTTTCCTTATTTTTTCTTTTTCTTTTCTTCCTTTTTTCTTTTCTGTTCTTTTTTATATATGTGTACTTATCTGAAATATATATGTATGTATGTATTTGCAGTACTTTGCTTGTATTTTGTAATCATTATGTTAAATAAAATAAATTAAAAAATAACAAACAAACTGATTTTATCTATAGATACTCGTAATGGGAAAAGCTTAAACTGCAAATAAAACTCAGTTCTAGAGAGTAACACAAATAAGGCAGGAATTATTCTTTACAAAGTGCAAGGAGATAACAAGTGCCAGTATTGCTCTTACTATTTCAAGCAGCACAAAGAACTCTAATTTCTACATAGCAACATACTGAGGTGGGGGCTATTCTGTCGTGAATCTCCTCGTTCAAATACATTACAAAATCACACCATTCAGATCCAGATGTTTCACCCCTCCCATTGCAAGAATCTGCTGACAATGTTTCAGAAAGGAGGGGGCGGATTTTGCGCATTGCTGCTTCTGCTCCAGCCTGACTTCAAAGGGAGTCTGAGTGTTATCTGTATATACCGTATTTTTCGCTCCATAGGACGCACTTTTTCCCCTCCAAAAATGAAGGGGAAATGTGTGTGCGTCCTATGGAGCGAATGCAGGCTTTCGCTGAAGCCTGGAGAGCGAGAGGCATCGGTGCGCACCGACCCCTCCCGCTCTCCAGGCTTCAGGAAGCTATCCGCAAGCCTTGCAAGCCCGGTGGGAGTTCCCGCGGGCTCACAAGGCTTGCAGGCAGCAGCCTGCAGCCCCGGCGAGTGTCCGCAAGCCTTGCGCGCCCGGCAGGAGGTCCCACCGAGCGCGCGAGGCTTGGGGCAGCAGCCTGTCGCCCGAAGCACGGGGAGCCCTCCGGAGGGCTCCCCGTGCTTCGGGCGAGTGTCTGCAAGCCTTGCGCGCCCGGCAGGAGGTCCCGCCGAGCGCGCGAGGCTTCGGGCGGCAGCTTGTCGCCCGAAGCACGGGAGCCCTCCAGAGGGCTCCCCGTTCTTCAGGCGAGTGTCTGCAAGCCTTGCGCGCCCGGCAGAAGGTCCCGCCCAGCGCGCAAGGCTTGGGGCTGCAGCTTGTCGCCCGAAGCACGGGAGCCCTCCGGAGGGCTCCCTTGCTTCGGGCGAGTGTCTGCAAGCCTTGCGCGCCCGGCAGGAGGTCCCGCCCAGCGCGCAAGGCTTGGGGCTGCAGCTTGTCGCCCGAAGCACGGGAGCCCTCCGGAGGGCTCCCGTGCTCGGGCGAGTGTCTGCAAGCCTTGCGCGCCCGGCAGGAGGTCCCGCCCAGCGCGCAAGGCTTGGGGCTGCAGCTTGTCGCCCGAGCACGGGAGCCCTCCGGAGGGCTCCCGTGCTTCGGGCGAGTGTCTGCAAGCCTTGCGCGCCCGGCAGGAGGTCCCGCCCAGCGCGCAAGGCTTGGGGCTGCAGCTTGTCGCCCGAGCACGGGAGCCCTCCGGAGGGCTCCCTTGCTTCGGGCGAGTGTCTGCAAGCCTTGCGCGCCCGGCAGGAGGTCCCGCCCAGCGCGCAAGGCTTGGGGCTGCAGCTTGTCGCCCGAAGCACGGGAGCCCTCCGGAGGGCTCCCGTGCTTCGGGCGAGTGTCTGCAAGCCTTGCGCGCCCGGCAGGAGGTCCCGCCCAGCGCGCAGGGCTTGGGGCAGCAGCCTGTCGCCCGAAGCACGGGAGCCCTCCGGAGGGCTCCCCGTGCTTCGGCGAGTGTCTGCAAGCCTTGCGCGCCCGGCAGGAGGTCCCGCCGGCGCGCGAGGCTCGGGCGGCAGCTTGTCGCCCGAGCACGGGAGCCCTCCGGAGGGCTCCCGTTCTTCAGGCGAGTGTCTGCAAGCCTTGCGCGCCCGGCAGAAGGTCCCGCCCAGCGCGCAAGGCTTGGGGCTGCAGCTTGTCGCCCGAAGCACGGGAGCCCTCCGGAGGGCTCCCCTTGCTTCGGGCGAGTGTCTGCAAGCCTTGCGCGCCCGGCAGGAGGTCCCGCCCAGCGCGCAAGGCTTGGGGCTGCAGCTTGTCACCCGAAGCACGGGAGCCCTCCGGAGGGCTCCCGTGCTCGGGCGAGTGTCTGCAAGCCTTGCGCGCCCGGCAGGAGGTCCCGCCCAGCGCGCAAGGCTTGGGGCTGCAGCTTGTCGCCCGAGCACGGGAGCCCTCCGGAGGGCTCCCGTGCTTCGGACGAGTGTCTGCAAGCCTTGCGCGCCCGGCAGGAGGTCCCGCCCAGCGCGCAAGGCTTGGGGCTGCAGCTTGTCGCCCGAAGCACGGGAGCCCTCCGGAGGGCTCCCTTGCTTCGGGCGAGTGTCTGCAAGCCTTGCGCGCCCGGCAGGAGGTCCCGCCCAGCGCGCAAGGCTTGGGGCTGCAGCTTGTCGCCCGAAGCACGGGAGCCCTCCGGAGGGCTCCCTTGCTTCGGGCGAGTGTCTGCAAGCCTTGCGCGCCCGGCAGGAGGTCCCGCCCAGCGCGCAAGGCTTGGGGCTGCAGCTTGTCGCCCGAAGCACGGGAGCCCTCCGGAGGGCTCCCTTGCTTCGGGCGAGTGTCTGCAAGCCTTGCGCGCCCGGCAGGAGGTCCCGCCGGCGCGCAAGGCTTGGGGCGGCAGTCTGTCGCCCGAGCACGGGAGCCCTCCGGAGGGCTCCCGTGCTTCGGGCGAGTGTCTGCAAGCCTCGCGCGCCCGGTGGGAGGTCCCGCCGAGCGCGCGAGGCTTGGGCGGCCAGCCTGCAGCCCGAAGCACGCGAGGCTTGGGGCGGCAGCCGCGGGGGGAATAATTTTTTTTATTCATTTCCCCCCCCAAAAAACGAGGTGCGTCCTATGGACCGGTGCGTCCTATAGAACGAAAAATACGGTAGATAAGGTGACTGCTCAAGCAGCTGTAACACTCAATCAGTCCAGCGTCTCCGATTAGTCGTGAGTTTATGCAGTAGCTGTAGAGAATACTTCATTGTTTGTGTGGTTCATACTCTGCTGTGCTCCGCTGACTTTTGGAACGGAGTTTGGTGCTCACAGCTCTGAGTTGTGAGTCCACAGCACTTAGACCTGCTTCCTGTGTGAAAAGTCTCTGGAAGTGCTTTCCCAGCTCGCCTGGCCCAGTCGGGGCTGAAGAGGTTGAGCCCAGTCTTTGGCACTGGCTCAAAGGCGAAGCTGGCACCCAGCCGCCCAGCCCTCTTAAAATTTATTCCCAAGCTTTTCAACCAAAGCTACATCCCAAACTTTTTAATGCTTTTTAACGTGTGTTTTATTCTGTGTTTGTATTAGTTACAGGTTTGTATTTTGGCGACATGGTTTTTTTTTCAGATTGCATGCCGCTTAAGAGGTTTTTAAAACATTAAGGTTTTAAAACATAAAACAAACAATTTTAAAACATTTTAAAACATAATGCTTTCGGAATAAATCGCTCTGAGATGTACCAGTAGAACCCAATTTACCTTCTGCCCATCCCTCCTCCAAAGTATCGTCGTACAAATATGAAAAATGCTCTGTGTAACTTAAGTCACATTATACAGAGATACCAAAGTTATGGAAACGAATAGCCGCTTGGAGCTCTTTGACATGCAGAGTGTACATTGTACAACGTGTGAATCTGGTTAGAGAGTAGACGTCACTTGTTGAAATCGCACACAGAGTAGAGTAAGAAAATAGCTTTATTCTGGGAATAAATCAGAACCTGGATAGAAAAGTGTTCTAGCTCTAACCTAACTAATCGAAGACAAAAGGAGCCATGCCTGCTTCTCTGTTTTCCGATGATAGATTCAAGGTGACCTCTCACCTTATCAAGGTGACCTCTCACCTTAAGGTCTGAGGAGGAAGCGTTAGAAAGTTGTAAACAGGATGCAACCTAAGACATAGCCGTCTGAAGTTTTAAAAGGACAGGGAGGCCAGAAAATAGGTCAGAGGCTAGATAAAATCAAAGCGTTGGAAGGGATCCCACGAGTCATCTAATCGGTTTCCTGCCCACAGCTGTCCCTGGGCAGTCTTGAACCACCAACCTTCCGGTTAACAGGCACAGGGATAGTCTGGGAGTCTGGAGGTCCATTGCTCTGCCTGCCTTAAAGGTAAAGGGACCCCGACCATTAGGTCCAGTCGTGACCAACTCTGGGGTTGCGGCACTCATCCTGCTTTACTGGCCAAGGGAGCCGGCGTACAGCTTCCGGGTCATGTGGCCAGCATGACTAAGCCGCTTCTGGCGAACCAGAGCAGCGCACGGAAACGCCGTTTACCTTCCCACCGGAGCGGTACCTATGTATCTACTTGCACTTTGACGTGCTTTCGATCTGCTAGGTTGGCAGGAGCTGGGATCAAGCAACGGGAGCTCACCCCGTCGCGGGGATTCAAACTGCCGACCTTCTGATTGGCTAGTCCTAGGCTCTGTGGTTTAACCCACAGCGCCACCTGCGTCCCATCTGCCTACCTTAACCCCATGCAAAAAAACTCTCTCTTTTCTTCTTAAGTTTTTACTTTTCAAGTCTATACAATTCATTAGCTTTGCAATCAATTTAACATTTCTGAGTTGGACTTCCTTCCCCCTCTTCCTCCTCTCTCAGCAAGCAGTCTCATGCCCAATCTTCCAACAAAAGATTTATGAGTCGTCCCGTCCCGTTCCCCCCCGGCCAAACACAACAATGGCTGCACCCACCATTGCGCTGGCTTTGTGAACATCCCATCAGCACAGGGACTTCCTTTGGCATGGAAGAACAATGTTCCCCAAGCCTCTGTCCCCCATGGGCCCCCTAAATCTGTTCTAGGGGGTTCCCCCCAAAAAAACACACACTCTGGAGCAGATTTGGGGAAGGTGGAAGGGAACAGGGGGAGTCCCACTGCAACAACGAAAATCCTTGCTCTCGCAGAATGAGATAACTGAATACCTCCCAAAGAGCCTAATACACACAAACAAACAAACTCTTGTGCTTACTTCATATTCTCCACGTTGCGCCCACGGACTGCGCAAATAGGGATGACGATGACGGCCAGGAAGAGGATGTAGCTGTTGTAGAACGCCATCTTGCAGAAGTACTTGAAGGTAGCACTCCATTCGTAGAGAAGCGGGACCACCACCAGGAACAAAATGAGGAGCCCCTGGCCCAGCGAAATCTCCATTGTCCCTGCAGGGGGGAGGGAAAGAGTTAACTCCGTTTCTATTTCAGCAGCCATTTTAAAGCCCTTCTTCCATTTTATAGCTTGCTTTTCATTGGGTTTTGTTTTATCGCTGTTGTATCTGTTACACTTATCATACACTGCTGAGAGATGGCTGCAACTAAGCAGCATATAAATTTTCATAATATTTATGCACCGCTTGTTGTTGTTGTTTTTAAAAAACCCCTCAAGGAAGCTTTCAAAAAGACATGACAAATAAAATTAACAACAATTCAAAACTGTCAAAAAGTTAGCATAGCAATAGACTGAAATGGATTAAAACTCAGAGATTAAAATGGTTAAAACAAACATCATTAATAGATATTTTAGATTCTTGTAAGCGCTAAATGCCAAACACAACCCCCCTAAAAGCAGTTTCTATAAAAATGTATATCCATAACAAAATCATGAAAGTTATAGAACTACAGCTAGAAGGCACCATTCCCCACTCAGAGAAGACCTGTAAGTCCCTCTTTAATGGGCAGACTTTTGCTGTGCTGTCAAACCATCAAAATTCTGCCTTGAGGCCACCCAAAGTCGACACCCAGAGATCTTCTCTGATAAGCAAGTGTGGCAGGTTCCTTAATTTTGCAAGCTTCTGTCTGCAGGAGTAGGATGTTTTTATGCAGTTCCTTGCAAGTACAAACACACACACACACACACACACACACACACACACACACGTGGCACCTGAGATTTCACCAGAAGTCGATCCACACACAGGGGAAAAAACGCTATGGAAAATCACATAGAATTTTTTTTGCTCTCCAACGCCATCTGGTGTTGCATGTTTCTAACACATTCAAAATACTGTTTTTTGACTAATGTAGTTGAGTCCCAGATTTATTCTGGACCAGTGTCTCGCCTTGGTAAAGGACAGGATGAGAGCCAGCAAACAAGTGGTTGTTTTTATTTTTATTATATATATTTGTGGTTTTATATTTTGATTTTCTTCTGTGAACCGCCCTGAGACCTCCGGGTATAGGGCAGTATATAAATTCAATAATAAATAATTAATAATAATATCCTTTCCAAAGATTTTTAGCACAATCTAGCTTTAAAATAAAGGGACACGGGTGGTGCTGTGGTCTAAACCACTGAGCCTAGGACTTGCCGATCAGAAGGTCAGCGGTTCGAATCCCAGCGACGGGGCGAGCTCCCGTTGCTCAGTCCCAGCTCCTGCCAACCTAGCAGTTCGAAAGCACGGCAAAGTGCAAGTAGATAAATAGGTACCACTCCGGCGGGAAGGTAAATGGTGTTTCTGTGCGCTGCTCTGGTTCGCCAGAAGCGGCTTAGTCATGCTGGCCACATGACCCAGAAAAACTGTCTGTGGACAAACGTCGGCTCCCTCGGCCAATAAAGCGAGATGAGCGCCGCAACCCCAGAGTCATCCGCGACTGGACTTAACTGTCAGAATAATAATAATAATAATAATAATAATAATAATAATAATAATTTATTATTTGTACCCCGCCCATCTGGCTGGGCCTCCCCAGCCACCCTGGGCGGCTTCCAACAAAGATGAAAAATACACTAAAATGTCACATATTAAAAGCTTCCCTGAACAGGGCTGCCTTCAGATGTCTTCTGAATGTCAGGTAGTTGTTTATCGCTTTGACATCTGATGGGAGGGCGTTCCACAGGGCGGGCGCCACTACCGAGAAGGCCCTCTGCCTGGTTCCCTGTAACTTGGCTTCTCGCAGTGAGGGAACCGCCAGAAGGCCCTCGGAGCTGGACCTCAGTGTCCGGGCAGAACGATGGGGGTGGAGACGGTCCTTCAGATATACTGGACCGAGGCCGTTTAGGGCTTTAAAGGTCAGCACCAACACTTTGAATTGTGCTCGGAAACGTACTGGGAGCCAATGTAGGTCTTTCAAGACCGGTGTTATATGGTCTTGGCGGCCGCTCCCAGTCACCAGTCTAGCTGCCGCATTCTGTCAGAGGTCCTTTACTTTTTTTTTTTTTTAGCTTTAAAACACACACACACACACACACACACACACACACCCTCCACTTTCCCACAGCACTATTGCAACATACACTAGGGCGTGGTCATTCGAAAACATCCTGCACTGAAAAACAAGAGAGGCATTGCAGGGCACTGATGCCTGCGAGCCACGTTCTCTCTGGTATGACGTAGGGAAAATTTCAGGGCTGCTGGCAGGCAGGCTGGGCAGCCGCCCAGGAAATCAATAGTTTTGCAACCACACATCAAGGAATCCAGCAACCCAACCGCGCTAGGAGGCAAGCTGCCAAATTATGCCCTGCGTTCCTTTGTTTGTGCCCTATCTCTCTCCACCAACCCACACGCGTGCCTTTTCCCAGCTCCTGAGCGTTTGCCACTTGGGAGCACAGATACTTGGCCACTGTTCTGCATTCTGCAGTAACTTCCAGACTAGATTGCTGCAGAGCACCCTACATGGGGCTGCCCTTGAAGGCGGCTCAAAAATTCCAAGGGGTCCAAAATGCAGTGCCCAGATTACCAGCAGCGGTTCCGTTTGCATCTCGCACAACATCCGTTTTAAAACAGTGGCACTGGTTGTTTCTGTTGGAAAAACGCCCGGGAAGGCCACCACCTTCCCAAGACACTGTGGAGTTTCTCCGGTGGTCACCCTCTGGCTGTAAATCTTCCTCAGTCCAGAGAGATCGGTGATAAGTGACCCTCCTGAGAGGAGCACACTCGTCTTCTGGCATCTCATTGCAGAAGAAAGAGACAATCGTAGCTTTAAAATTACTTTATTCAACGGTCTATATAGAGAGACTCCATCAGCATGTCTGCTCTCTCTCAGCAGCAGTACAGAACAACATCTTGCACAGAAGTGAAAGTACCGTCTTTTTTGCTCTATAAGACTCACTTTTTCCCTCCTAAAAAGTAAGGGGAAATGTGTGTGCATCTTATGGAGTGAATGCAGGCTGCACAGCTATCGCAGAAGCCAGAACAGCAAGAGGGATTGCTGCTTTCGCTGTGCAGCGATCCCTCTTGCTGTTCTAGTTTCTGAGATTCAGAATATTTTTTTTCTTGTTTTCCTCCTCCAAAAACTAGGTGCGTCTTATGGTCTGGTGCGTCTTATAGAGCGAAAAACACGGTAACTTCTCTCGCAGTTCCGAACAGTACTGAGACTTCCTGTCTCACGCTCTCAGACACTCACATGATATAAACAACCATAGTTCTACTTGCTGAGCAGCTGGTGAGATAAAAAAATCCTAACAGTTTCCGGGCCCAATTCAAGGTGCTTACATGTTAAACAACCCCTCTTGGTTGTTTCACTACCCTCAGAGGCTTGGAGGGTAGGGGTGGCCCAGGAGAGGGCCTGTTTTGTGGCAGCCCCTAAGTTGTGGGGCCACCTCCCCACAGAGGGGTACCTGGCAACTTCAAGATGCACCTTGGTAACACAGCTATCAGTGAATGCTATAGACACACTGCTAATCCTGGCTTTCAACACAGAAGATGTCTATGTTTAGGAGGGAGCAATTTCTTCGGTTTTAAATTGTTGTAGCCTATCTTTGCCATTGCTTAATAATTTGTTTCCACGAACAAGCGTTCTTCAAGTTATGTCTGAAGGCAGAGAGCCTTCTCGGTAGTGGCACCCACCCTGTGGAACGCCCTCCCATCAGATGTCAAGGAAATATACAACTATACAACTTTTAGAAGACATCTGAAGGCAGCCCTGTATCAGGAAGTTTTTAATGTTTGACGTTTTATTGTGCTTTTAATTTTCTATTCAGAACTACCCAGAGTGGCTGAGGAAACCCAGCCAGATAAGCGGGGTATAAACAATAAATGATGAAAAAGATCTCAAGGCTATTTCATACTGTCATGAGCATTATTTTTTATTAAATTTGTATACTGCCCTTCATCTGTCAATCTCAGGGCAGTTCACACCATCAAAACAGAAGATAAAAACATAAAATGCATAATAAAAACCAATAACTGCCCCCCTTGCCCCGCCACAGTTTTTCCCTTATTCATTTGAGGTGGGGGGGGAGTATAGGGAGCCAAAGGGAGCTAAACGATATCAAAACACAAACCAAACCAAAGTAATAATTAAACACAAACACAACTAAAAAGATTTCAAATCAAATTGGTGATGGTGGGGAAAGAGTATAATACAATTTGATTCATGCAAAATGCATACATATTAGGTCAGTTTCCTCAAAACCAAACATTTCTCTAAATAAGTGGCTAAACAAGAAGACTGTCACAAGACCCTATAAGCGGACGCACTGAGATTAGTATAGCGATGGCACAGGGTATACAGTTAAACTTTTGTATTTTATTTCATAGAATCATATAGCTGGAGGGGACACCAAGGGTCATCTAGTACAACCCCCTGCAATGCAGGAATCTTTTGGGGCCCAGACACATGATTAAAGAGTCTTGGGTTCTAATTAATAATAATAATAATAATAATAATAAAATTTATTTATACCCAGCCCTCCCTGGCCAGAGCCGGGCTCAAGGTGGCTAACACCAGTAAAATTACAGTAAAAAGATAACGGGGGGGGGGGACCCAATTTAAAATACAGTGGTACCTCGGGTTAAGAACTTAATTCGTTCCGGAGGTCCATTCTTAAGCTGAAACTGTTCTTTACCTGAAGCACCACTTTAGCTAATGGGGCCTCCCGCTGCCACCGCACCGCCGGAGCAAGATTTCTGTTCGCATCCTGAAGCAAAGTTCTTAACCCGAGGTACTATTTCTGGGTTAGCAGAGTCTGTAACCTGAAGCGTTTGTAACCTGAAGCGTATGTAACCCGAGATACCACTGTACAGGTTAAAATGCAATTTAAAATGCAGCCTCATTTTAAAAGGAGCCCATAGATCAAAACCATAAGGGGAGGGAAACATAAGGGTCAGACTGAGTCCAAACCAAAGGCCAGCTCTGTCTTGCAGGCCCTGCGGAAAGATGTCAAGTCCCACAGGGCCCTGGTCGCTTGTGACAGAGCGTTCCACCAAGTCGGGGCCAGTACTGAAAAGGCCCTTTCCTGAGCTACCCCTTCCTCCAAGGAGCTTAAGTTCATCCTCACATACCTGAATGGCACCACATGGCTTAAGAAAAACGTCTCTTCCCCACCGGAAGGAACTGCAACTCCCCACTCCGACTCAGGCAAGTGAGGAAATGAATACCTGTATATCTTGGACTGGGGATCCGGTCTGGTCAAAGAGAATTAAATTTCTGACCAACAGGAAAAAGAGGAGGAGGAGGAGGAGGAGCCTCTGGCTTTTAGATTCCAGCCGGGCAGGACCAGGCAATAATAATAATAATAATAATAATAATAGGCTTTCCCTGGAGACTTCACTCCTGGCAGAAGCTCAGGTCCCGGCATTATCCTGAGAGGAACAGATGCTTCATCAGAGAGGCCAGGAAGAGGACGCAGAGTTCAGTGTCATTTGTCTTGGGTAAGCAAGCTGGAAACTTGCCCCAGCAAGATCCCAGCATGCCAAAGGCATGCCAAAGGCAAAGTGGGAATGGGGAGAGGAAGAGATAAGAAGGGGGGGGGGGATAATTGGCATACATTGGGATGGAATGTAGGAAACAGATTCCTGCTTCATGCCAGAGATAGTGAGATTTCCAACTTATCCCCTCCAGCCCAGAGGCGGCATTTGAAGCTGTAGCTTCCAGCAGAGAGCTGCGGCTGAAAGATCTGACAGAACTTTATGGCAGAAACGTGGAAATATGTGGTTGGTTAACCAAAGGCTAAAAACAATAAAATAAGGCAGCGGCGAGGATGAGCATTAAGGACACTGTAATTTCTCTTTTAAAACGAAGATCTAGCGCCACACAAACAATTTGAAATATAATTAATAATAATAATAATAATAATAATAATAATAATAATAATATTTAATTTATACTCCGCCCACCTGGCTGGGTTTCCCCAGCCACTCTGGGCGGCTTCCAACAAAATATTAAAAATACAATAAAACACCAGACATTAAAAACTTCCCTAAACAGGGCTTTGTAGCATTTTGCTGTGCAAACTTCGCGCTTTGCAGCCGCCACCCCTCCCCCCCAAAAACCCCCAACCCTGAGCAACTGATACATCAAACTGGGTTTTATATTTAACACCCAAAACCCCAAAATGATCTGAATTGCTCCAAACCAGGGCCAAAGTTTGGTAATAGTTTTGCAGAACAAACCCCACATTTTTGCAGCACCCCACAATCTGAGCAACAGGTAGATCACACTTGATTCTGAACGGGAAAATGGTGAGCATTCATCAACTTTATTCTCCGACGAGTCCGAAGACAACAAGGAGGAGGATGAATGCTTTAGGAGCTGGAAGGGAGCCCAAAGGTCATCTAGTCACAAAGAAATTCGCGATCGCATTTCCTAAAGAGCATACACTGGGATTTCACCAGACCATGTTTCCCAGTAGTGATGTATGGAAGTGAGAGCTGGACCATAAAGAAGGCTGATCTCTGAAGAATTGATGCTTTTGAATTATGGTGCTGGAGGAGACTCTTGAGAGTCCCATGGACTGCAAGAAGATCAAACCTCTCCATTCATAAGGAAATCAGCCCTGAGTGCTCACTGGAAGGACAGATCCTGAAGCTGAGGCTCCAATACTTTGGCCACCTCATGAGAAGAGAAGACTCCCTGGAAAAGACCCTGATGTTGGGAAAGATGGAGGGCACAAGGAGAAGGGGGCGACAGAGTACAAGATGGTTGGATAGTGTTCTCGGAGCTACCAGCATGAGTTTGACCAAACTGCGGGAGGCAGTGGAAGACAGGAGTGCCTGGCGTGCTCTGGGGTCACGAAGAGTCGGACACGACTAAACGACTAAACAACAACAAATTAGTGCCTGGAGAATAAGGGCTTGGGTCCTTTCCTACTGAAGGAAACAAGAAGAGAATAAAATGTTTTACCTACAGAGACAACCAGAGTGGGGACGCACAAACCTCAGTCAGGCCAAACCTACACCCTCTTGGAAAATGGCAACAGAGACACACTGAGCCCATGTCTAGGGGACAGCGGCAAACGCATGTGCCTTTGATTCAGTCTCACATATCTTCTGTGGAACAAAGGGCAGGTGCTTTTGTCTCTGGCAAACATATTCCAGCGTGAACCACTGCCAGGCGGCATGGATAAATCAGTTGTGAAACTGCAGCGTGCAGCTCTGTGCGAATCCTACTGGGGGCGGAATTGCAAGTAAGAGCAATTCAACAGTGGAACAGACTCCATTGGGAGGTTTTAAAGCAGAAATTGGATCGCCATCTGCCATGGGTGCATTGCAAGGGGGGGTTGGACTAGATGACCCCCGGGGTTCCCTTTCTTCATTGGACTAGTCATGTTGTGCGGATGCCTGGTTATCCTCTTCCGAAGCAACAACTCTATTCCGAACTTAAAAATGGAAAGCGTAATGCTGGTGGTCAACAGAAGAGGTTTTAAGACTCTCTCAAGGCAAATCTAAAAAAATGTAGTATAAACACCAACAACTGGGAAACACTGCTTGCGAGAGCTCCCGTTGGAGAACAGCCTTTACCAAAGGTGTCATGGGCTGTGAAGACACTCAAGCTCAGGACGCAAGGGAGAAATGTGCTAAGTGGAAGTCACGCTTGGCAAATCCACACCGTGATCAACTCCTGCCCGGAAACCAATGTCCCCACTGTGGAAGGACGTGTGGATCCAGAATTGGCCTCCATAATCACTTACGGACTCATTGTTAAAACCGTGTTTATGGAAGACAATCTTACTCGGCTACGAGTGATCGCCAAAGAAGAACTATTGTTTAGTCATTTAGTCGTGTCCGCCTCTTCATGACCCCATGGACCAGAGCACGCCAGGCACTCCTGTCTTCCACTGCCTCCCGCAGTTTGGTCAAACTCATGCTGGTAGCTTCGAGAAGACTGTCCAACCATCTCGTCCTCTGTCGTCCCCTTCTCCTTGTGCCCTCCATCTTTCCCAACAAGAAGAACTATGGAAGCAGCAAATGCTCAGGAGCAGGTTGTCCAGAGAAGCAAAGGGCAGAGAACAAGGCAGCCATGCTCACCTAGGCATCTACCAGGACCACAAGGGGAAGAACTCGAGATGTTACTGGTGGAAACCACACAGGAGAACCACAGCTGGTGGCCTGGGACCCAGGGCGGCTGGGACACGACCATCACACCCGCCGCTTGCATGTGGCCATTGAAAGTTTGCCTAGGAAGGAATACGGTCCTCGGGTGAAAAAGGTTCTCCGCACTGGAAAATTTCTGTTTCCTTGCACACCAAGGGCAGAATCCAGTTCTGGAAGTGGAGTGGGAAAGAAGGAAAGGACTGGAATAAGGAAACGTTTAAGGCTGCAGCCCTAGACACCAGCCTGATGTCTTCACTGACCTGATGTCCTCCACATACTTTGGGCTGCAACTCCAGTGGAGGGAGCCCAAAACATTATGGAGCTGGCAAAAATGACTGCATCAATCAGGGGCTGCGCCAATCAAAAAATCTATACAGAATGGGAATGCATAGGGGAAAACTGTACATGAAGAAATATGGTGTTAAAGCAGAACTCTTAATAGGCAATTGTTAAGTGTGTGAGGACAAAAGAAGTAATTATATTTAACAGTTTTCATGTTATTCTATTTTATTAAAGCAACCAGAAAAAATATTAGGATGGGAAGATCTCACACAGGTGAAGGGAAGCAGTGGGGAGGGTTAGGTTGAATTTGGGAAATAAAATACAGTGGTACCTCAGGTTTCATACGCTTCAGGTTACATACGCTTCAGGTTACAGACTCCACTAACCCAGAAATAATACCTCAGGTTAAGAACTTTGCTTCAGGATGAGAACAGAAATCGTGCTCCGGCAGCGCGGCAGCAGCAGGAGGCCCCATTAGCTAAAGTGGTGCTTCAGGTTAAGAACGGACCTCCGGAACGAATTAAGTACTTAACCTGAGGTACCACTGTAATATATGGGACAGCAAAGGATATAATAGATTCTTATAGAACAGTAATATATTGTAACCAGAACAGAAGTTCAAAAGGGGAAGTAAATGTATTTTTAGTATTTTCATTACTGTAATCATTATTATTTCTTATCGGTAAAAGGCAATGTTCATTTAGGCTTCTTCGTTTTGCTGTCTGTATAATTTTCTTAAGTCAATAATAATAATAATAATAATAATAATAATAATAATAATAAACAAAACAAAACAATATGGAGCTCACCGTGCTGGGAGAAGGCCACAACCCACATTTACTTGAGGTTAAGCCCCACTGAATTTAATGGGGCTTTGAATTCACAGGCTAGTACTGCAGATTCCTGTACCGCCATGAACCCCTTTTTGGAGACACCCTGCCAGTAACTGGAACTCTCTCACTTCCCCGCTAAAACAACTGTTCTCAGAAAGGCACAGAATGCAAAAGAAAGGTCTAGGGACAGGCAAGGACCCTTGGAGTTCTTAGAGAGAAGAAGAAGAAGAAGAAGAAGAAGAAGAAGAAGAAGAGTTTGAATTTGATATCCCGCTTTAGCACTACCCGAAGGAGTCTCAAAGCGGCTAACATCCTCCTTTCCCTTCCTCCCCCACAACAAGCACTCTGTGAGATGAGTGGGGCTGAGAGACTTCAGAGAAGCGTGACTGGCCCAAGGTCACCCAGCAGCTGCATGTGGAGGAGCGGGGAAGCGAACCCGGTTCACCAGATTACGGGTCTACCTTTCTTAACCACTACAAGTGGCCCAAGAAGAAGAACAACAACAACTGGGATCCTGGGCTTCGCGTCTTCCATTTTCCAAACACATTTCTTTCCTTTTTTCCCTTTCTTTTTTAAAGGATTAAGATTGGTAAAGAGGCAGAGACGCATGCCAGAAATGAGATACCGCGGGCAGGTGTTAACTGATCATGTTAATGAGGCAGTTTGGAAGAGGAACAAAGGCGGCGCAGTTCGTTCCTCCACCAAACTTGCCCAATCCAACTCCTGAGCGCAGAGAGAGGCCTGGCCTTTCCCTGTGAGTCCCAGCTCAGGATTTATGGCCAGATGCAAAAGAGAGAGAGAGAGAGAGAGAGAGAGAGAGAGAGAGAGAGAGAGAAAGAAAGAAAGAAAGAAAGAAAGAAAGAAAGAAAGAACGAGAAAGAAAGAAAGAAAGTGCTTCTGCACTTAAGTTACGTTCACAACTGCCACTGCGGGCTCCAGAGAGGTTAGAGGCCTGAGATCTTGGGAACAGAGCAAACCATTGCAAAAAGCAGCCTTCCCCCAGCGTGAAGTCACGGGCTGGGTGGACGCAGAGGAATGGTGGGAGGAACCAGCTGAGGAACCACCAGGGGCGGGAAAGCACAGAGCCCGGGGAGCGGTGGTGGGACAACGATGAGCGGTCAGAGGGAGAAGACTGGGAGGTGGTGGTGTCTGAAGCTGTGGACGTAACAGGGTATAGTGGGGGGGGGGCAGAAAGAAATCCAGAATCAGAAGCAGGAGAGGAGGTCAAGAGGCAGAGGTGAGTCTCCCCATCCTGCTGCGACAAGCTCTCCTCCCCTCTGGTTTCCCAGGACTGAGAGAGGCATGAAAAGAACAGAGGAGAGGTTGGCTGCATGTAGGCAAAGTCTCCGATTGCTTGGAGAGGAGGCAACTTTTAAACGGCTGTGGGGAGATCTTCAGCCTCAGCAACTGATTCATGGGTCCAGACCTACTGAGAATGAGCTGCTGGGCTCATTAGGCCTGACACTTCATTAGTCTGGGAAGACTGCCTCTTTTCTAATAAAGAGCTAACTCCAGTGTTGACGGTGCGTCTCGGCCTTAGACACCTGGTGACCTCCTGATGCTTTGAACCACATCTTCTGCCAACCCAGCTGTAGTTCAAAAACATCTGGAGGGTACCCAGCTGGGGGGGAGCCAAGGTAGACAAATCTGACCACTAATTTTTTATTTGTGGGCTGCTTCTTGATAAACAAACTAAGATTTCTCAAGGAGCTTTCGGACAAGCAGAGATTCAAAAGGGGCGTCTGTAAGAAAGGCGGAAAGAGGGCAGTCAGGGATTCCCTAGCTGTGATTCCTGAATTCCAGGGGGTGGACTCAATGACTCTTGCAGACCCTTCCACCGCCAAAATTCTATAATTCTATCATTTATGGGAAGAGTAGAACACAGGACACATTAATGGGCCGACTCCAAGAAAGCCATTACATGAGTGGAAATACTTCCTCTTGTGCAAAAGGAAAGATCCCTTCCTTTTCCCCACCTCACCAATCTGGAGATTTGTTAGAAGACTGTGGCAGCCCCTAAATTTGCAGCCTTCTGGCATTCCCACTGCACAGCGTTTGCCGTATGCTGAAGACACGTCCCGAATCCCAGCCTTTGGCCGTTAAGGCATTGCGGGTTGCATCAAACGCTGCGCCAGCCCCGCTTGTGCAACGTAACTTTTGTCTCCTCCTCTTTCCGTGCCCGACCAAGTGCACATCTCGAGGGCACACAAGGGAGGGAGGGCGGGTCTCGCCGCCTTACAGCAGATTGTCAACACGTGTCTGTCAGGGAACGGAAGGCAATGCCCATAGCTGTCAACTGTCCCTTATTTGGCAGGAAACTCCCTTATCCCAGCGCCGTGTCCCACTGCTGTCCCTTACTGATGATGTCCTTTAAATTTCCCAGATTTCATGCTCGGGATGGAAGCAGCGGCTCAGGGTCCTCCGCCGCGAGAGAGAGAGAGCGCACGAGCTGCCGTGTCTCCATCTCTCCCTTTTCCCCCTCGGGCGCGTCATGAGGAGACGGGTGGTGGTGGGCGGGCAGGCAGCCCCTCTCTTGCGAGACATCCGCCACACTGCCAGGGGAAGCCGGAGGCGGCAGCAGTGGCGGCGGCTGAGGAGGAAGCCTGAGGGAGGAGGAAGAGGAGGGGATGGGGAGGGACGCAGAAGAGCGGCGCTTCAGCGGCGCCGCATCCCGCCTCTCTCTCGGGCGGGGAAGGGCTGATGGAACTCCTCGCGCCAGGACGACGGCAGCCCACGACGTGCTGCTTAGCATACCCTCCAACCAGTGTAGCATCTTAATGTAGTGATTTCCCCCTCTGCATCCCTTTCATAACTCTATTTTTATAAATCATTTGTCCATCCATAGTTCAAATTTTTACTACAAGTTTTCTGTCAATCCTACCAATGTATGTAACTCTTTACGATAGCTTTTCAACTAAATTATAAACTTTCCCCATTCTTTATTAAAGAGGTCCACTTCCTGGTTTCTAATTCTGCCTGTAAGCTTTGCCATCTCAACGTTGTTCATCAGTTTTGTCTGCCCCTCTTCTTTGGTGGGAGTTGTAGACCCTTAGGATCATCTAGTCCAACCCCCTGCAAAACACAGTCGGTGGCAGCCAAAGCAGCATGGCTCCATCAGCGCCGGATTTCTGTATACGTTAAGCAAAATCCCTTATTTTGGCTGCTGATCCCTTATTTTCGAGGCTGCTGGTCCCTTATTTTCAAATCTGTAAGTTGACAGCTATGACTCTGCCTAGTCACATAAGTTTAGAAGAAAGAAAGAAAAACACAAGAAAACCCAAGGGCACAGAGAGGTTGCAGCTCGGTGGGAGAGCATTCACTTTGTGTGCCAAAGCCCCAGGTTTAGAGACCTTTGTCTGAAACCCCTGAATAACCTCTATCAGTCAGGACTGACAGTTCTGAACTAGGTCGGCACAGTACAAGGCAGCGTCCTTGTGTCCAAGCTTAACAAGGTCTTTGATGACAGTGGAAAAGCCCCAGCAGCCGGATGCGAGGCTCGCCATACTAACACATGAACAGCCTGCCCCCAAGCAAATAAATATATTCATTTTCAATTACAATAATCCAATAATAGCCTCATTATAACAATGCCAAATTATAATACAATTACAGTGGTACCTCGGGTTAAGTACTTATTTCGTTCTGGAGGTCTGTTCTTAACCTGAAACTGTTCTTAACCTGAAGCACCACTTTAGCTGATGGGGCCTCCCGCTGCCGCTGTGCGATTTCTGTTCTCATCCTGAAGCAAAGTTCTTAACCCGAGGTACTATTTCTGGGTTAGCAGAGTCTGTAACCTGAAGCGTATGTAACCTGACGCATATGTAACCTGAAGCGTATGTAACCCGAGGTACCACTGTACTGATACAGCGGAACCTTGATTCTCGAACGCCTTGGTATTCGAACATTTTGGCTCCCGAACGCCGAAAACCCAGAAGTAAGTGTTCCAGTTTCTGAACATTTTTTGGAAGCCGAACGTCCGGTGCCAGCTATTGATTCCGGGGCGCCTGTGCAAATCAGAAGCTGCCCCTTAGTTTTCGAACATTTTGGAAGTCAAACAGACTTCTGGAACGGATTATGTTCGAGAACCAAGGTACCACTGTACCAATCATTCAGATGCCAAATTATATAATTTAGATGGCCTTCTGAGTGCTAGAATTGATGGTTTGATTTACTTTATGTCTGCATTCCTAATATTAATTTCAATTGCACTCCAGTCAAAATGACAATCCCTTACACAACAACTGCAATATGAACGACTTCCATTCGTATTGACACATTAAATGATTTCTAAATCTACAGGTGCAGCATTCAAAGTATATTCTTGCTTTACCTGTGCCTGTGTGTGGCAATTATTCGATCCATGGTGTTTCTTTCTGTCCTCGTAATATATTATGTCTATCTTTTCCAATCATGCCTTGGGCAGAACTAATATTCCACTGTGATTTTAGAGGTTCTCCATTGCTCCATCCCCATGCTTCATTGTTTTGCAACTTTAACAGCAGCTGCATAGATCACACCGTCCCAATAACCTGTTTTCGCCCTTTACCTCTCCGCCTTGGACGGATCTGCGAGCTTGCCAAGGAGTTGATAAGGTTCATTACTGAGTTATTTGAAGTTCGACAGATCACTCTCCTGCACTCTAGAATTCAGATCTTTAGTTAAACTGCTCTGGTTTCGAGTGCCCCAATGTTCCAGCACGCTAACTAGTCCCCAATTAAATGAATGACAAGCAAGTTTACAAGCTGAATTCTTGAGGCCACCTGAATGAAAGAAACTTAGGGAACCTGCTCTGCATTCCAGGTTCAATCCTGCAATCCTCATCAAACCCAATGCAATGCAGGAAAAAAGCAACTGTTTTCAACGATCCCGTTGCCAGTTTCTATGCAGGCCGCAAATGAGGATGCAACTGGGGCCAGGACTGAAACGCAAGCTCCTAGTCTCTAATAACAGGTGGATTTACAAGGCTGAGTAAACAAACAAACAAACAAACAGCCTCTGCCCCTGGGTGCTCCTGGCTCCCAGATCCCCTGGCACATTTTACACAAGGGGAGAGCGGGGGGGGGGGGGGAGAGCGTGAAAGCACGCTTTGTGGACTTGCCAAAAAACGCCAGGCCAGCGCTCGCCAGCTGGGGCAATCGAGGGAGCAGTTCCGATTCACATGCACGTAAACACAGGATTCCTCAGAGCACAGACATGCACAGCGCAATAATGGTGCACGCACTCCCTTTCCCCAGACAGGGACCTCAGGTGGCAGGCCTGACGTAAACCTCTCAAGGAGCCAATCCCGTTCCTTGCAAACCTCCGGCTCAAAAATAAAAATGCGCAAGGACACCCACAGCATCCTGGCGCTCATGCAACCATATCCCGGGCAGCAGGTCGCCGGGAAAAAACCACAGGAAACAAACTGGTCAAAGCTCAGGCATTTAATGCAGTTTTTTAAGAACAGAGCAGCCCTGAGAGCTCCAGGTATAGGGCAGTACAGCGGTACCTCAGGTTACATACGCTTCAGGTTACAGACTCCGCTAACCCAGAAATAGTGCTTCAGGTTAAGAACTTTGCTTCAGGATGAGACCAGAAATTGTGCTGCAGTGGCGCGGCGGCAGCAGGAGGCCCCATTAGCTAAAGTGGTGCTTCAGGTTAAGAACATTCAGGTTAAGAATGGACCTCCAGAACGAATTAAGTACTTAACCTGAGGTACCACTGTATATAAATTCAATAAACAGCAACAACAACAACCTCCCTTCTGCTCTACCTGCCTCAGTGATACTGGAAAAAACAACAGCCCAAGGCTCTTAATAACTTTGCCTCCCAGGATGGTTGTGAGCGAGGGGGGTGCCCAGCACCAAGAGCGTTGAAAAGGATTTTGGGTGCTAATGACAGTCATCTTAACCATTGCTAGCGGCAAATAATTGCCAATAGCAGCAGCAATAATAATATGACCTAAATTGGAGATTTCTCTGCTGAACAGTTTCCAGATCTGGGATTTCTGCACACACGCACAAACACACCCCAGCAACATGCCAGTGTGTCAGAACTTTCAGGAAGCAACAAGGGGTCTTTCTTCATGGGGAGCGGGCTCATGCCAGCGTCTGAAATTTACCAGGTGCATTTTGCGACCAAGTGAAGATGTCTGGGCGCCAGGATGATGTCCGACATCTCCACCATCTGGAGCTACATGCCCGGGGGACTGTTTTCTCACACTAATGCCACATAGAATGTAGAATTCTATCCGTGATATGTTAAATGCACAATCAGAATGAATTTCAGGAACCCCAAAGCCGTCGGTTTTGGCGACCATAACCCTGGTTTAAGGAGCCATTTGGCACCTAGCTTATTTATCTGAGTTTCTAATACTGCTCATGACCCGTGGGCAAGTTTTGCACACCAAAACCCCCACAATAAATCCCTGGAAATTTCCAGTGAAGTGGCTTTCGTGGAAGCGGAAAGGGGTCTTGCCCACCACCTGCCAGGACCCTGGAGATCCACTCCCGGAGAGAGCCTATCAGCCTCCCCCAACTTGGTTTTCCCCAAATGTCTTGAACTACAGCTCCCATCAACCCCAGCTAGCCTGAGCAGCCCTGAGAGATGATTGGAGCTGTAGTCCAATAGCATATGGAGAGCTTTGGTTGCTAGGAGACCCCTATTTCCTTCCCAGGGTAGTTTAACAACCAGTCTTTCCAGGGAACTCTGGGGATTATAGCTCTGGGAGGAGAATGAGGTCTCCCAACAACTCTCTGCATTCTTAAACTACAGTTCCCAGAATTCTTTGGGGGAAGCCATGAATGTTTTGAGTGGGACCACAGTGCTTTAAATAAATGGTGTGGATGTGGCCTCAGAGAATGCTACTTAGCACCCTCTTACAACATGATACAGTGGTACCTCAGGTTACAGACGCTTCAGGTTACAGACTCCGCTAACCCAGAAATAGTACATCGGGTTAAGAACTTTGCTTCAGGATGAGAATAGAAATCGTGCGGCGGCAGCAGCGGGAGGCCCCATTAGCTAAAGTGGTACCTCAGGTTAAGAACAGTTTCAGGTTAAGAACGGACCTCCAGAAAGAATCATGGCAAGAAAAATTGATGGACTATGCAGAACTGGCAAAACTTACATACAAGCTACAGGACAAGGATAACTGTGACTTTAAGGATGAATGGGAACCCTTTACAAAGTATTTGAAGACGCAACAAAGTGAACTGGACTCCTTGGCTGGTTTTGAATAAACATTCACAAAGTTTATATTGATAATAATCAGCTAAATAGTTTGAGGATCTATACAACTGTGTAACATGCAGAAAACAGCATTTTTAGAGAAATCAAAGACTGGAACTGAGGGAAGTCGGGGGTGGGGGGGCTCTGTGGGGGGAGGGAGGGGGAGGGAGGAAAAATGGGGGGAAACAAGGATGATATGTTTCTGGATAATATGTTTTGTTTTAATTTTGAATAAAAAAGTTATTAAAAAAAAAAGAATGGACCTCCGGAACAAATTAAGTTCTTAACCCGAGGTACCACTGTACTTTGCAGGATTAACATAAACCAGAAAAAGAGAGGTCCCTGCCCTGAGGAGATTACAATCTAGATTCCCCCCCCCCCCCACTTGGTAGTGGGAAGAAAACCAGAGACGGGGAAGGCAAACACAGTAATACAGAGACAGAAGCCGGATGACACAAAAGAGGTCATGGGGTTAAATTCAAACATTAGCCTTGTATTTCTTTGTCGCTTGCTACAAAAAATTCTCACAGCTAACAAAACTTAAAACTTAAAACACACCCGAAAGATTAAAAAAGCGTTACTTAGAAACACAGAATTGTAAAGTTGGAAGGGACCCCAAAGGCCATCGACCAGAGGTTTATCGGCAACATTGCAGAACATATTTGACTTCTCAGCCGCTTGCAATGCCGGAATCAGAACTGAAACATCCCTGACAGATGGCTATCCAACCCCCGCTTAAAAATCTCCAAGGAAGGAGAGTCCACTGCTTTCCGAGGGGGTTCTTTCCACTTGACTAAAACTGCTCATCCTGCAATAACATAAAGGGGACAAGTGCCCTGATATATATGGCAACCATGCCATAAGACCCTAATTAAGAGCCATACGCCTGAAGATGAATGTCATTGCCTAGCACCTAAAAGCAGATAATGGAGATAATTTAAGATTTCTTTACTTAATCAGGGCAGTGGATTCTCTCACTCCCTAGTGCAGGCATAGGCAAATTCGGCCCTCCAGATCTTTTGGGACTACAATTCCCACCATCCCTGACCACTGGTCCTCTTAGCTAGGGATGATGGGAGTTGTAGTCCCAAAACATCTGGAGGGCAGAGTTTGCCTATGCCTGCCCTAGTGGAAGGACTCCTGGGATAACTCAATAGAGCACAAGAATTTTAATCTCAGCGTTGTGGGTTCAAGCCGCACGCTCGGCAAAAAGATTCCTGCATTGCAGGGGGTTGGACTAGATGACCCCATGGTCCCTTCCAGGTCTACAGTTCTATGATTCTATGACTGCAGTTCTATGATCCAGGCTGTGATGCCTTCCTCCAGGAAACTATAAGCTTGTCAGGGGCATTGCACATCACCCAAGCTTTCCATTTTATTTTCTTACAATAATTATGACCAAAAAAAAACACACTCATATAACAAGACAGTGCTTTAAACCAATAAATAAAACGCAGCGACCAGCGGCAATATAACTTAAAACTGCAGAGCAAATAATACTTTAGGACACAAATGCCTAGAGATGTGGAAACATCCTTAACCATTTATTTACAAAATACTTTTGCAGCGGGGAGCATTTTAAAAGGGCAGTACATTTTTTAAAACATGCAATGAAATCCACATTGCCACCCTACCACAATTCAAAATATGACTAGAAGTTCACAGAACAAAGAAGCTCAAGAAACCATTTTCCACACAGTACAAGGCAAAAAAAAGCTTGTTTTTTTAGACTGAGCACCACTTTTCAAAAATCATTAAGTGTTTTACAACATACCTTAAATCACAACGCTCAAGTACAACAAAAAAACCCAGAAAAAGTCTACATTATAGACCGCAACGGACAGCTAAACAGGGCATCCTCTTAAATTATAAATAAAAAATCAACAAAATTCAGTAAAAACCACACATTTTTAAAATAGCATAAGCAAGCAAAAAATAAAAATAAACTCGCTCTTCCTAACCCATCATATACTCAATCATACCATTAAACAAGGCAATCTAATTAAATCCCCGGCCCTAGATGCAATGATAAACAAAACTTAAAACTGAAACTAAAACTGCTCTCTGATTCGTATGTGACCCTTCTCCCCAAAAAACCAATATGTATCTGACCACCTGCGTTCACTATTAAAGAGTAATTTCTATTTTTCACTTTTCTTCCAAAGAGTTCAGAGTTTCTTCCCTCTTCCCATTTCATCCTCACGACAACACTGCGAGGCTGGTCAGGCAGTGAGATAGGTCAGCCAGGAAGCTTTGCAGCCATTCCTAGTCCAACATCCTACCTAACCCATGGATGGGGAACTGGAGTGGCCCTACAGTCTGCTGCTGGACTACAACTCCCATCATCCCTGACCACTGGCCAAACGGGCTTGGGCTGATGGGAGCTGGGGTTTTACAACATCTGGAGGGCCACGGGCTCCCATCCCTGTTCTAACCACACCATAGCAGCTATCCTTAAGAAAGCCTTCCCCAACTTGGTGCTCTCTCAATGTATTGGACTACAAATCCCATCAGCCACAGCCAGCTATTGATGGAAGGTGCAGGACTAAAGAGTTTTAATGAAATTAATATATATTTACAAAAAATAAAATAAAAAATGCATGGCTCACACAGCAAGTGAAAACCACTCCAAGATTTTATTTACGCTTGCAGTTTTAAAAAGGGGGAGGGGAAATAATTTTAAGCGAACAGAAAAGCAAAAATCAATCGCCATCTGACAATGAACGTAAGAACATTCCATCAATCCTGCTTTAAATGTAGGCCTTAATATAGGCAGCCCAAACAGGCATCTAAGCGAAACTGGGGGTTGTTAAGTCGCATGTTCTAATGTAAGAACGGACGAGTCAAAGTAGAACAATTAAAACCACAGAGACGTTCTTGGCCTCCGTACAAGCCTAACCCTGTTCTGCTTAGGCTGCAAACTTCTCAGCCGCCCCCCCACTTCTCGCCAAAGGAGAAAAGCAGCCTCGTAGTCGGGCAACAAGGAATTGTGTCCAGGCAAGTAAGTAAGTGGGCTGGAGGAAGATGGCGGGAAAGGGTGCAGCTCTCCGTCCTTCTCCCAGGACAGGAACCCAGTGGATCGTAAGGCTAGTCCAAAGGGATATTTGTTTTGTTTTGCAGGATGAAAACTTATGGGTATATGGAGTGGATGAAGCATGCCTTTATTCCATCTCCCAGTTCCCAAAAATCTTTTCAATATATATATGGTCCTCAAACAGAGGACGTATCAGCTATTAATTATATTAACCCAACGCACTTCAGCTGCAGCGAGCTTTCTCCAGGGGCTTATCTCGCTTGTTTCTTTGAAAGCTGCTCAAGGACCATCCAATTTTAAGAGACCTTACAGGGCAAGATATAAGCCGCTGAAGGAGGGTCACTTGAGCCAAAACACGCTGGGCTAATGTATAAAACAAATATTCATCCTTTCCAGCATCTCTGGGATCACAGAATCATAGAACTGTAGAGTTTGAAGGGACCACAAAGATCATCTGGTCCAAGAGCTTCAAACCATGTTTTGCCCTTTTTAAAAGAAAAGAAAATAAAGCATTTTGATACCACTGTCCCTAGCTGAAGATAGTTCCAAAATAGGCTCAGGTTGCAGCTATGGATAACCTCCTGGGAAAGACAGGTTCCGCTCTCAGCCAAATTTTAAATCAGTGGTTTCTGAACTTTTTCCAACCACCACCTCCTTGGTTCTATAAACGTGCCCCCGGTGCCCCCCACCCTAATAAAAAGCATTATTCAGAATTGTAGTTTGCACAGCCCCCTATGGAAGATAACAACACATCAAGTTCAAAACAGCAGCAATTATTTGCATTTATTCAAAATCCAACTGAAACTGTTTAGTTTAATTAATTCAACAAAATGGATGAACTTGACACCCGGCGAAACCAGCTTTTTTTGAGTCCGATAGTCATTTGGTCTCCCTTTGCCTCCCGGGGGGGGGGGGCGGGGGCGAGGCACCACCCACAACTGGTTCAAATGGGCTGCCTGCCAGTTGATACTGGAATAAAGGATGCTCAGATCTTATGAACAAAGTATTCCTCGCTGCCACCTCCATAAGAGCACACCTGTATGCACGCTGTGTCAATCATCCTGGAACAAAAGCTCATAAAAAAGCACACTATTGCACTTACCACTACTGTACAGATGTGGATTTGCATCCAGTCCCTTGAATGATGATGCCATCTCAACCCTGCAATGGCCAGTCTTGGGAGCAAGGGATAAATGAGCAATCTGTGACAACAGAGCTTGGAAGGAAGCCACAGAGAGAGGTGCTCCCCATTTCTCTCTCCTCCCTCGCAAAAATGACCCTCAGAAATTAAGGCTTGCTTGAGCAGAAGGAGCTGCTGAAAGGATAAAGTCAGGGTGTGTGTAAAAGAACAATCTCCTTTCAGCCATCTTAACTGCATTACAGCCACTAACAACAGTTTTAAGAGCTAACTAATGCATAGGGAAACTGAACTTTTAATTATCTTCCACACACACCCTTAAAAGGTAAAGGGACCCCTGACCATTAGGTCCAGTCGTGGCCGACTCTGGGGTTGCGGCGCTCATCTCGCTTTATTGGCCGAGGGAGCCGGCGTACAGCTTCTGGGTCATGTGGCCAGCATGACTAAGCCGCTTCTGGCAAGCCAGAGCAGCGCACGGAAACGCCGTTTACCTTCCCGCCGGAGCGGTACCTATTTATCTACTTGCACTTTGACGTGCTTTCAAACTGCTAGGTTGGCAGGTGCTGGGACCGAGCAACAGGAGCTCACCCCATCACGGGAATTCGGACCGTCGACCTTCTGATCAGCAAGTCCTAGGCTCTGTGGTTTAACCCACAGCGCCACCCGCGTACCTACACACACCCTTACAGTACAGCATATTGCCAAACCCTTTGGCAAAACAAGATAGCGCTGAGACTAGCCCTGTGAAGTCGTGTGAAATATTCCAGTTATGCCCACGGCAGGCTTCCTGGCCCTTATGTGAAGGCGGCTTCTGTGTGACTCAGAAGCTTGCTATCCCGTCAAAGGCATCTGCCAAACTAAGAAGGTAATTTGAGCCCTTTGGAATGTTTGCCTCAACAACCCTAAATTTCTTGTCTGGAAGCCTGGATATTGTAAAACAGGAAGTTATCTTCACTGCCGCACAGAAGGACAGATGTCAAAGGACACTGGTTCTCTTCAACCAATCCCAAAGGAGTAGAAAAAGCCACTCTGCTACAAAATCTACACTCCTGTCTTGGCTAAGACATGTCCACAGAATGGAAGATGGCAGGATCCCCCAGGGATGCGCTCTGCGGGGACCTGGCCTGAGGCACCCAGTCCACTGGCAGACCAACTCTGCGATACTAAGATGTCTGCAAATGTGACCCAAAGGCTGGCAACATCAACCCCGCCATGTGGGAATCCCTTGCAGACAACAGACCATGCATCCATAGCAGCGACCAGAGGAATGACCCCTGGGAGGAGCGCAGAGAGAAGAAATGGCATGGTGCATTTGTAACAGCAAAACCGGACGCCTTCATCTGCCCCGGCTGCAACAAAACATGTCTCTCCCGTATCAGTCTCTACAGCCACAGCAGGCACTGTAACTCTCCAACAGTTTTGACTTCGCCCCCGAAGGCGCACTCTTCCATTGTCCACCGAGACAGATGGATGCCAAATATTTATCATAATTTGAAAGGCTTCTCTCTGCAGTTTGGGAGCTGATGCCATTTGCCTTATGGCAAACCAGGCCATTGTTCCTATCTAGCTCTGCATTTTCTAGCCTGGCTCTCTGGGCTTTTGGGGACAGTCCTCTCCTGGAGACTTAACCTGGGACCTTCTACATGCAAAGCAGATGTCCTGCTACTTGCCTTCCCCATTTCCTCTTCTGACCCAATGCTTTATAACCCCCAAAAAGCCTTTCCCACCACCCCGCACAAAGACACTCATTTCCCATTCAATGCAAAGAGACCTCTATCAGGAACAGTGTTAGAAACTCAGATATATAAGCTAGGCACCAAACAGCCCCTTAAACCTGGGGTGCGGTTGCCACAACAGAACGTCCATATTCCGGGGGTTGGACTAGATGACCCTCGGGTCCCTTCCAACGCTACGATCTCAACGACATTGCTTGGCTGTAGCTTGCTCTGACAACAATTCACTTGCCCCAGTGTGCAAGGAAGAGAAACACACACGGTGAAAATAGAAATGGTATTAACCATGGACTAAGGCCAGGGGTTCTAAACTGTGGCCTGTGAGCTCCACTTGGTTGGCCTGATGTGACGGAGGACTAAGATGCCCAGCAAGGTGCCCATGATTTGTGCCACAGCGCAGGAGCAAAAGGCATGCATCTTTTGCTGCGCAGGTTGCCCCGTGCCAACCTGGCACCCAGAAATCTCCACACCGTCGCTACTGGGTTTGCTCAGCATCAAGATGGCAATAGGTAAGGCCAAAGAGGTTCCCGGTCAATTATCCCACAGAACAATGGTGTCAGAAATCTTGATAAGATTAGATTCCTGAGGATTAGATTAGATTAGATTCCTGAGGTTGAATCCTGACAAGACAGAAGTACTGTTTTGGGGGGACAGGAGGCAGGCAGGTGTGGAGGACTCCCTGGTCCTGAGTGGGGTAACTGTGCCCCTGAAGGACCAGGTGCGCAGCCTGGGAGTCATTTTGGACTCACAGCTGTCCATGGAGGTGTAAGTCAATTCTGTGTCAAGGGCGGCTGTCTACCAGCTCCATCTGGTATGCAGGCTGAGACCCTAACTGCCCCATGGACTGTCTAGCCAGAGTGGTGAATGCTCTAGTTATCTCTCGCTTGGGACTACTGCAATACGCTCTACATGGGGCTACCTTTGAAGGTGATTCGGAAACTACAACTAATCCAGAATGCGGCAGCTAGACTAGTGACTGTGAGCAGCTGCCGAGACCACATAACACTGGTCTTGAAAGACCTACACTGGCTCCCAGTATGTTTCCAAGCACAATTCAAAGTGTTGCTGCTGACCTTTAAAGCCCTAAACGGTCTCGGTCCAGTATACCTGAAGGAGCGTCTCCACCCCCATAGTTCTACCCGGCCACTGAGGTCCAGCGCCGAGGGCCTTCTGGCGGTTCCCTCACTGTGAGAAGCCAAGTTACAGGGAACCAGGCAGAGGGCCTTCTCGGTAGTGGCACCTGCCCTGTGGAACGCCCTCCCACCAGGTGTCAAAGAGAACAACTACCAGACTTTTAAAAGACATCTGAAGGCAGCCCTCTTTCGGGAAGCTTTGAATGTTTGATGCGTTACTGTATTTTAATATTTTGTTGGAAGCCACCCAGAGTAGCTGGGGAAGCCCAGCCAGATGGGCGGGGTATAAATAATAAATTATGTTGTTGTTGTTGTTGTTGCTGTTGTTGTTGTGGTTGTAATTATTAACCTCTCTGGCAACCGTGGCTCTGGAACAGGGGTCTCCTAACAATTCTCAGCAACCTCTACAAACTGCATCTCCCAGAATTCTTTGGGTAAAGTGGTATTGTAAGTGCTTGGATTCCATGCTGCGAATGTGCATTAAGTAGAACTTAGCGGGAACCCACCCCAAATCCTGAACGTTGGCCATACTGGCTGGGACTGGTGGAAGTTGAGTCCCACCACCTAAATTCCCTGAGAGTTATTGCAAGGGTTACTGAAATAATGGTACGAGAAGCACTCTGAAGAGTCAAAACAGCAGTATGTAGACAGCTGAGTACTGTGACCACTTTTTCCCCACCTGTGCAGTGCAGCCAATCTAAACTGATCAGCCAGGACTCTTCCTTGCACCCCCCCCGAAATCTGCAGAAAGTACCATAACGGAGATGGCACAAGGTTGTGGACATAGACCTTTCATTCCGGAATACCTCTGCCAAGACCCCAGCCTTCCTGGTCTTTTACAAACATGGAAACTCCAGAAGGCCTCACCCATTCAGTTTTCAGTTTTCAAATACTCCTTGTGGGAGGCCCAGATCCAGGAAGCCCTGGATTCAAGTCCTTAGTCCAGCCATGGCAATTCAGCCCCTGTTTCACCACCGGCTCAAATGGGGTTAATAAAGGCCTCCCACTCTGGGCTGCTGCAGGAATGTGATAAAAATTATCATCATCATTATATATTTATTTATACCCCACCTTTTCCCCCAACAGGGACTCAAGGCAGTTTACAGATAAAACAAAAACAGCTAAAAACATTGGGGGCAGGGGACGACAATTATAAAAAAAAACCCCAAATTAAACTTTAATAGAATTAAAACACTCTCTGTAGTTTAAAGGACCTACTAAAAACATAGATAATTACAATAAAAACGGCATGGCACCAGCCCTTTCCTTAAAATCAGTCGGTTCCCAAAAGCCTGTTGGAATAAGGTTTTCACCTGCCAGTGGAAGACCAACAAGGAGGGAGCCAGTCTGGCTTCTCTAGGAAAGGAGTTCCAGAGTCTGGGAGACACCACCAAGAAGGCCCTCTCCCACATCCCCACCAAGCAGGGCTGTGAGGGTGGTGGGACCCAGAGAAGCGCAGCCCCCGAAGATGTTGGAACCTGGGCTGGGTCATATGAGGAAACACAGTCTTTCAAAAAGCTTGGACCCAGGCGGTGCTGGGCTTTCTAGGTCATAGCCAGCACTCTGCATTGAACCCGGAAATATTATTATTATTATTATTATTATTATTATTATTAGTGGTAGCTATTGGAGCTGTTGTCCGCTCCATGTAACGAGCCCTGGCCGACAATCTGGCTGCTGCTTTTTGAGGCAGCTGGGATTTTCTGAGCACTTTTCAAAGGCAGCACTACATAGAGCAAGTTGCTGTAATCCAAACGGGAAGTAACTAAGGCGTGTGTCACCGCAGCCCAATCAGAACAGTGATAAAAACCTTTTGAAGGCTGCTGCTCTTAATCCCCAGAATGGCACCATCATCAGAACAGGGGAGGGAAAACAAGACAGAAGCTGCTAAAGCAAAAAAATTAGGCTGCATAAACACCAAGCATTTAAAGAACATGGCTTGCCCCAAAGAATTCTGGGAACTGCAATTCATCCCTCACCGAATGATGGTTCTCAGGACCTTTAAACTACAGTCCCCATTATTCCTTTGGGGGGGGAGGAGTTTAAATGGACGATGTGGATGCACCCTAATAAGGCCTTTCCTCTCGGGTAAGGATGAGCCCAGAGCAAGCCTGCATGCCCAGCTCTGCCTGCCCTCAAGCCCTTTCCACCCACAACCTGTTCACAAAAAGCTTTTATAAGAGGGTGGGGTGGGGAGATGGCAGCCACACTCCCACTCCCGGCAGCCCTGGCCAGCATGACCAATGGTCAGGGCTGAGGGGAGCTGTGGCCCAGCAATGTTTGGAAGACCAGATCCTCCCTGCCCCTGCTTGAGCGTTCCCTTGGCCTGGTGCCTTGCAAACTACCACACCCCTCACCCCTGACCATTGGTCATGCTGGCTGGGAGAAGGCGGCCAACAGCAGCTGGCTGAGAGCAGCTGGCCTGCATCGCGTTTCCTGTGCCCCCTTCCCAGACTATATATTCAGTGTATTACACCTCCCGCTTCCAGAAGCACCCCATGGCTTGCGCCGTATCATAGCCATGTGCTCTTCCAAATTCCGCGAAACCCTTCCGCTAGGCCCCTCGCCCTCCTCCCAAGGCACATATCAAGTTATATCTTCCCCTTCCCTCTCAGCAAGTGTCCCCACTGCGCTGCCCCTCTCACAACCAGCTGCCCCATCTCATTATACTTCCCCCCTACAAAAAAATAAATAAATCACAACTCCTTGGAAACCCCTTCCTGGTACCCATCCCAAACCTCTATTTCTCCCCAGCACAAAATATCCCCCCCAAAAGTAGTCTCCCTCAGAAAGCCACCCCCATATTGTAGACCCCATTGCAGGCACCCCAAACCTACACACACACACACAGGCTCTTACTTTCCAGGCCAGGGCCCTGCCCCCCAAGTCATACCTCCCAGCTGCTCACCACCACGAGCACTCCCTATAACCCCACAGCAGCCCTTCAATTGCCCCCCCCCCCCAAAAAACCCCTGGGCACTTTGCAATTACCATTATTACCCCCAATTGCTACTCGCCCATCACCGGCGGCTCCCAGGGCGGGTTACAACAATCCCCCCCCCCAACGAGGTTAAAAGGCTTCTGAGTTCCCAGCTTACCTCCACCGTTGCGAAACATCCTCCCCAAATTCTGCTTCCTTGGCCCCTCCCACCCCAACCCCTTAAAACTCTCTCTCCCCGCCCCCGCCCCACTGACCAAGACACCCAAGGCGATTTATACCTCGCGTCGCAGAGGAGGACCCTTTCCCAGCCCCTTAGCGCACCCCCACCCCAAAAACACACCCCTCCTAGGGTGGCTTGTAGCGGGACGACTCCCTCTCTCCCACCCACCTACCCCGCTCTGCGGCTGCACCCCAGCCCCCCACCCCAGCTGCCCATCACCCCCTTACCTGGCTGCGCGGGGCCTCCCCCTTCGCGGGGGAGTAGGGAGGCGGGGGGGGCTCCTGAAGGCCCCTGCCCGGCTACCCCCCGCGCCAGGCCATGGTGGAGGAGGAGGAGATGGAGCTGCTGCAGCTACAGCTGCTGCTGCTGCTGCTGCTGCTGCTGCTCCAGGGATGCGCTGCAAAAAGGAGGAAAAGTGGGATGGGGGGGTCTTGTTGGAAGAAGAGGAAGGTGGGGGGGGGGGAGGAATCGGATGCTCGAGCCCGGCTGCCTGCTGGTGGCTCTACCGGCGCGGGCCACTTCCTCAGGGCTGGAGTCAGTGTGGGGCGGGGGGGGGGCGCCAGAAAGGCAGGAAGTGGGGGGCAGCTGATGGGCAGCCCCGGCCGCCAATGGCAGCAGCTCCTTCCTCTCTTGTCCCCCCCCACTCTCTCTCTCTCCCTCTCCCCCTCCCCACCCCGTGACCACTGTGCTCGCTCTCCGCGCCCCCCCCCCTGTCTCTCTCTTGCTTCCTCTGCTGCTGGTGCTTCTCGCGCATTCTCGCGGCTCGCCACCCCTCCTCTTCCTCCCGCCGGCCTCCCACCCGGGGCTCCCATTCATTCATCTGCTCGCTTCATTCATTCCTGCCAACCACCCCCCCCCCCGCCAGCGTTCTTTCTCTTCTTCTCCTCGGGGGAGAAAAAGAATAGAGATAAGGGAGCGTTTGTCTCCTCTCCGTTAGCTTTCGGAGCGGTTCATGTCTACTCGGAAGGAGGAAAGCCGGTTTTGGATGTGATGCCTAACAGGGCCCTATGCCTTTTTGTGGGGGGTGGGGGGTGCGTAGGTTTGGGGGTGTACAAACGAACATGTTTGTTTCAACATACATGACGTATAAATAAGTTTATAATCCTCCCTTCACCAACAGCAGGTCCCAGGGCAGGTTACTATAATTACAAATTAAAAACAGATATATGTATGTATATAAATGTGTGTGTGTGTGTGTCTGTGCGCATATATGTATGTGTATATATGTGTGTGTGTGTGTGTACGTACAGTGGTACCTCAGGTTAAGTACTTAATTCGTTCCGGAGGTCTGTACTTAACCTGAAACTGTTCTTAACCTGAAGCACCACTTTAGCTAATGGGGCCTCCTGCTGCCACCGCGCTGCCAGAGCACGATTTCTGTTCTCATCCTGAAGCAAAGTTCTTAACCTGAAGCACTATTTCTGGGTTAGCGGAGTCTGTAACCTGAAGCGTATGTAACTTGAAGCGTATGTAACCCAAAGTACCGCTGTGTATATATATATATACATATATATATATATATGTATATACTGTATATGTGTATATATATATATATGTGTGTGTGTGTGTGTGTGGATTCTGTATCTTTACTCATTGAAGCAACCTTAGTGTCACATGAAAAGTGTGAAAAAGCTTTAATAAAATATTATGTTTATTTTGAAAAGCCATGCAAAATAAAAGGTAACCCTTTGAGTTCACTAGGGCTTACTCTCAGGTAAGTGTCTTTTATGGGCATAGGTCCCATGCATGTTTTCTCTGGAGTAAGCCTCATGGGGCGGTGGACTAGCAATGTAGACCTGTACATGTGCCTTGTATTTGTAGGATTGCTCCCAAGCAGCGTGATCCTATTGTTTACTTAAAAGCAACCCCAGGCTTTTTCTTCAACAGGGCTTACTCTGTAGTACAGCCTTCACCTGCCTGAGCCCTCTGAACTGCCTATGCATCTTCCATTTAAACTTACCTGGCTGGTGGGCTACCTGTGAGTCTCTGGTTGGCCACACTGAGAAATGGGTGCTGGACTAAATAGGCCTTTGGCCTGAACCAGCAGAGTTCTTATGTTCTTATAGCATGTCCCCTGCTTCCTAAAGAATCCTGGGAATTGTAGTGTACCCCTCACAACTGCAATTCCCAGCACCCTTAACAAACTATGATTTCCAGGATTCTTGGGGGGGGGTGTGTGTGGAAAATGTGCTTTAAATGTATACAGCCCAAGCTGGGCTTACCTTGGGCCCAGCAGCAACGGCTGGAGATGATGGGAGTTGCAGTCCAACAACATCTGGAGGGCACCGGGTTGGCTAACGCTGCGCTAGCAAAAGTGTGCTTAGGTTTGTGACGAAAGGTGCACTGAAAGGTTGCAGAGGGAATCCTCCAAGTGGCACCTGCAGACAGGCTGGCAGTGCAACTCCATTGCACGCTTACTCAAAGGTTCCGTGGAACACACTCCCAAGTAAGTATGCCTGCAACTATTCTATTCTATGCCTGAATTATTCTATATTTTTATGACTATCCAACATATGATAAATGTTGACATTTCACATTTATATGCTAACAATCCCAGATGGATTTTTTGAATGTTAACACACACATCATAATACCTTATTTAAATCCATGCAAGTGCAATCATGGCATATTCTTCCTCAGTTTCTCTGTCTCCATTTCCCCTTCCTCCACTGCAGATGTGGGGAGCCTTGCATTCCCCAAATAGTGAAAGACTTCCATATTTACTCACACTTTCCAAGCAAACATTGCTGGATTCTGGCAGTCGCATCTACAACCTGGTTCCTATGCAGTGTTAGGTATGTCAAAATCTATTCCAATCAATAAAAAGTATGCAGCCAAGGAGTTGGCTGGTTCCCTCAAATCAATGTGTGAAATTCAGCTACACACACATATACACATCCTGCTTTATAACCTTCGTTGGCCCCTTGATGTTTCTAGCGCCCAACATTGCAGTAAAAGACACCATGACTGGCAGAATTTCAGGGTGAGTGGGGGAGAAACTACACATCACACAGGAGACCATTGGATCACCTTACGTTAAAACATGCATAAGCAGCCAGCCTCAGAGAGGGGACAATTTGGATGGGGATATTAGTGCCTGGAGAATAAGGGCTTGGCCCTTGCCCCTAGTGCTGTTTTTCCAACCAAATTCCACCCCCCCAGCTGCTGCTAGCCCAGGTTGGGGTGTGGGTAAAGACAGGTATCTATATTGTAGCTGTTCTGTTTTTATCCACAGTCACCTGTCCCAAAGAAGGCCAAATGTCAGCTTCAGAGGGTGATTGTGCAAAATAACAGGGGAAAGAATTAAAAACCCTTCCCCAGTGAAGTCAGGAGATTCAAGCTATGGATCTCCCATGCCATGTTTAATCTGGCCCTCAACAGACCAAGGATGGGGGGACATGTGGCTCTCCAGATGCTTTTGGGCTTCAACTCTCATCAGCCCCAGCCAGCAGGGCTAGTAGCCAGGGATTATGGGAGCTGTAGTTCATCAACACCTGGAGGGACACAGGTTTCCCATCCCTGGTGCAGACTCTGGTACCCTCCAGATGTTTTGGTCTACAAATCCCACCATCCCTGACCGTTGGCTATGTTGGCTGGAGCTGAGGAGAGTTGAGGTCCAATAGCATCTGGAGGATCCCAGGCTGGGGGTGTCTGCTGTAGACACAATGATACCCTCCCTTCAGTCATGTCCCTTGCATGCCTCCTTTTTCCTGATCTCATGCTCTGTAAAATTTCTCCAGAGTCCTATCTCAGATAACTTCCTGGCTTCAATTCCCTTCCTGCATTGAACTTTCCTGACAGCTGCCTACCTTTACTCAAGGTTCCTCTATCTCACTCCATTCCCTTCTCTGCATCCTTCTTTTAGCCACCTTGTCCCTGAGTTTCCTGCATCTCAGGACTGTTTAACTGGACTTTTCCCCGATAATAATAACACAATAGGATCCCTTCTGGATCAAACCAAAGGCCCATCTAGTCCAGCATCCTGTTCTCGCAGTGGCAAAAATATATGCCCCTGGGAAGCCCGAAAGTTGGACATGAACACAACAGCCCTCTCCCCACCTGTGATTCCCAGCAACTGATGTTCAAAGGTGTACTACCTCCAATGCTGGAGGCAGAACAGACCTCTGTGTGAAGCTCCTAGCCCAACTGACAATTGCCCATTCCCTTCCGGAAGTTGGATGGCAAATTGTTTAGTTCCCTAAGAAATCAGAACCATTCCCGGCCACCAAGCCAGCCAGCATCACAGGCTTCAGTTTCACCCATATAGACAGGAGGAAGAAACTAACATTCTAGCCTAGTTCGATGTCCAGAATTGTAAGGTGTGTACACCACTTCTGATGTACATAACACATCTTGCATCTACCCAAAATTTGCTGGAGCCACTGTGGAAGAGGGGAAACAAAACCCCACTGTATTACTTTTCAGTCCGTACAGTGCAATCTTTTACATGTCTATTCCAAAATAAGCCCAGCTGAACTCCCAGGTAAGTATGTAGAACTGCATAGCAAGTGCTCTCAATAAGTTGCTGAACTCCAGCTCCCACCTTTCCTGGCTATTGTTCATGCTGACAGAGGCTGATGGGGGTTAGAGTCCAACAACACCAGGAAGGCACCAAATTGGCAAACCCTGATAAATTGCATCGCAGCCACAATCTGCTTTAAAAATGAGTGTTGGCATTCCCAATACGGTGCCCTTCAGACATTTTAAACCACAATTCCTATCAGCTCCAGCCAACATGGTCAATGGTCAGGAATGATGGGAGTTGTAGTCCAAAATTGTCTGGCAGGGGAAAACCAGGTTGAGGAAGGCTGAGGCACTGTCTTGTGCTGCCCAGAATGAGAGAGACACCCCCATGTGCCTAGAAAAAACAGCAGCAGAGTAAACTGAGTTTCCTTTGCTCCCACGACTCTGAGATTAAGAGTCTCATGCTCTACCATCTGGGGCTGCTGTGACATTGGCAGCAATTGTGATGGCTGTGGGTTGCCATGGTGCAGGCAGGAATGATTCTCAGTCTTAATAACCCAATCCTAAGACTGGCGGCAAAGCCAGAACTTACTTCCTAGTAAGTCTGTTCACAGGGTGGCTGTAAATTGTCACATTAATCCCAGGAGCTCTGGCTGAGTGCAGATATGCGTTTGTAGATGGCTAGATTTGTGGTGACTCTGGCTTAGCCTTTCGAGTTTGACGGGTAACATCAGTTGCTGGGGCAATGGGAAGTGTGTGTTGTCATGACAATGGTGGTAGCAGCAAGGGAAGTTTGTGATGAGTGTACGGCTTATTGTGGTAACAACAGAATCCTTGGAATGGTTTGGTTGATACCAAAAACCAAAACTGTGGTTTAAATGGGGCGGGTAAAATTACCAACATGGACCACAGTGGCACTGATGGATAGCAGGTTGCCATGCCAACAGCATCACTGACAAGCAGGTGTCTGGTTGCTATGGTAACACCTCACTTTCTACAGTTAAACCTGGTTGAGGAGTGGTTGACTTATCCAGGTAATAACTGACTGCCATGGTGAAGGGCTCTGGGCTGACTACAGACACCGTCGTATCTTGATAGCTGCCATGACAACATGCTAGACCTAAGGAAGAAGCAGTAAACTTCAGGCCCGAGGCAGGAAGTGATGTTTCACCTCCCATGAACCTTCGCCTCAAAAATGGGCAAGCTTGGTACAGCTCGGCACGAGAGCAGACTCCGCCCTTTGGCCGAAGAGCTCTGTTTGCTCATTGGCCACCATATAATGCAATCGTTATTAGTTCCCGCCCCGATCTGGGATTCTGGCCAATCACAATATATAGAAGGCGTGTGCTTGCCTTTCGTGTTTTCAACTGCATTCCAGACATGCCCATCGTGCACCCGCCCCCAATCCTTGCTGTCTTGCTCTTGACAGGTTGCCTTTCCAGTCAATCAGGCTACGCCCCACCCCCACCTCGCTCTTTAAAGTCACATGACATCTTATTTTGCTCGACGGCGGGAGGCGGGAGAATGAGGCCTCCCTTAGCCAATAACGTAACCTCACATTTTGACACCCGAGCGATGCAGCCAGTCAAAAAAGTTTCGAGCGTCCCCCTAGAGCTGTGAAGGCGGGACTAACTCGGACGTGCTCAATCATCTTCGCCAGGTGCCACAACGGACTGCCTCTGGCTCCAATGAAATATCGGCCAGGCGAGAAAGACGGGCGCCGGGGCCAATTGCTGAAGAGCGGGCGTGTCCGGCTCCCCTCCTTCAGTTTAAGTGAGGGCGGAAGATGGCGGCGGCGGCCGGGATGGGTCCGGGGGTCCCGGACGGGGAACCCGAGGGTTCAAACCGCGACCGCAGCGCTTTCGAATGCAATATCTGCCTGGAGCCTGCCAGAGAAGCTGTCATTGGGCTCTGCGGCCACCTGTACTGGTGAGGAGGAGGGGGGAGCAGAAAGGGGCGTGGCCCTGAAGAGTTGGGGGGCAGCCTTAAAAGGGCGGGGGGCACAGAACAAGGTGCCTGGCAGGGAGAGCTGCCCTTGTTCTTACTGGGTCTGGCAGGTGGAAGGTTTGCTCCATTGCAAAGAAGCCTGGGAAAGAAGCTTCACCTGCTGGATTTCTGCCTGTCGGGATGGCCTTAAAGCTGCAGGGGCTGCACCAGATTTCACTTGACTTCGACTGCCACTTCACCACTGTCTAAAAATCAAAGAGGGTGGGTGGCAACCTCGAAGGACAGCCCATGTGGCATCACACGGTTAAGGTGTGCGGATCAGAACCAGGCTCTGTGAAGCTCCCTGTGCGTGATGTGTGGCCAGTTGCGGGATTAGCTTTCAGAAGGTATCCGAGGTGGGAATTTCAGAACCTAGAGCTTTTCTCTGTGTGGCCTTAGTCAGGCATATTATTCTTGCTTTTAAAAAAAAAATTGCATTATTATTCCAGGTTTTAAAAGGGTCACTCGCTTTTTCTTCTCTTTTTCCCCCTAGCTGGCCGTGTCTTCACCAGGTGAGTGTCTCCCTTTCCTCGGCTGCTGACCTCTAGGGCGAGGAAAGGTGAAGGTGTCAAAGAACGTCATTGAGGGAACCTGCCCTGGTGTGTGAGCCTATCTGCCATGGTGTCGGCCTGCCAGGCGGCCAATCTAGATGCCTACGGGAAGCTTGCAAGCAGGACCTGAGTGCAACAGGGCCAGTTTGCGGAGTCCCCACAGGCTATTGGGAGAACAGGATGCTCAAATAGATAGGCCATTGGTCAGATCCAGGCATGGCCAAACTTGGCCCTCCATATGTTTTGTGACTACAATTCCCATCATCCCTGACCACTGGGTCTGTTAGCTAGGGATGATGGGAGTTGTAGTCACAAAACATCTGGAGGGCCAAGTTTGGCCATACCTGGTCAGATCCAACAGGTCTCTTCTTATGTTTTTATGGGAGGCAGGTTTTTATAGGAGGCTTTAATAATATTTGTGCCTATTGAGGAAGCTCGAGGAAAATGCAACCTCCATGTGCAGAAGCCATATATCTTTTTAACTGCTGAAGGCAAACCACAGGAGAAGAGAGCAGGTTTATCTGTGTTCTACCTTGTTTGTGAGCCGTCCTTTTGTTTCTAATCTGGCAGACTTCTGTTGAGACAGAATCCTGATCAAGATGGACCATTGGTCTCACCTGGTTAAATATTTCCTATCGGAGCAGCTGTCCTTGAATTGAACCTTTCCACCACCAATAAGAAGTCTGTCTGTGCTTAATTAGTAAAAAATAACTTCAGAGTTCTGTTGTGCTCAGATCCTGCTTAAGGCCATTGGCCATTGTGAGAAAAGGAGGCTGGGCTAAGATGGGCCGCTGCCTGATCAGGGGACCTTGGGCAAAGCCAGAGGCAAAAGTGGGCAGAGTCACAAATGTGAATTTTACCTGCACTCAGCTCTCACCTGTGGTTCCTAGAAGCTGTCAGCGTGTGACAGTAGCCACAGCCCAGGAACAGCTTTGTCTGGCAGGCTAAACCAGGTGAGGGCAGCTGATGGGTCTCAAACCCTCGGTGAGTTAGGGGCTTCCTCTGTATTGAAGACAGGCTCCAGCGGATTGAGCAGATGAGAACAGTGGTGGTTCCAACAGTCAAGAAGGCTGTAGAGCAATGGTTCTCAACCTGTGGGTCCCCAGATGTTGGACTACAACTCCCATCATCCCTGAGCTCTGGTCTTGCTAGCTAGGGGAGATGGGAGTTGTAGTTCAACAACATCTGGGGACCCACAGGTTGAGAAAGGCTGCTGTAGAGGAAGTGAGGGGCAGATGGGGCTCATCAACCTGGGAAGGTAGCCCATTTAGGAGAAGTAAAACTCTGATCCTAAGCCTCTGATGCCTTGCGAGATATCTTTGTGAAAAGAAAAGCTAAGGAGTAAACCTGACACAAATCTGGAGTGGGGTTCCTAAGACGGTTGAATGGCACCTTGTGTGGCTCCTTCTGGCAACTCCTGCAGCCAAGCTGGTGCCAGGACCTCCAGACACACTGCCCAAACTTACGCCCAAGGGAGGTCATTTTGGTGCTGCTAACGCAATGGTTTGACTTTACCCCCAGATGCACTCTCCATTGTCTCTTGAGACAGATGGATGCAAAGAACAACAACAGTTCAGTTGTGCACCCTTCTCTGTCTTCCATTCAGACAAGCAAGAGGCGTGATCAGAGTTCAAGGTCTCATTCCAGCCAGGCAAAACATTTGGGTTTGAAGCAGGGTCAGGGTAAGGGGGTTGGCCTGGAGGGGGATGTGCCCACCTGCCTGCCTGCTCACCTGCCCTGGGTGCCTGAGATTTCCCTGCCCTGGTTACATATGATCTGCATATCTTTGGGGATGGGTGGGAGAAACTCTTCCACATTCACTGCCATCTTTCCCCCCTCCATAGTGGCTAGAAACTCGGCCAGAGCGCCAGGAGTGTCCAGTGTGCAAGGCAGGAATCAGCCGGGACAAAGTCATTCCTCTCTATGGACGTGGAAGCTCCGCCCAGCAGGATCCCAGGTAATCGTTTCCCTTTGCTAGGCTCCCTGCTAGTTTGGTAATCCTCAGTGATAGTGGAATTCTGGGCTAGAGTGGCATTTCCTTTTCCTGTAGGCTGGTTGGTCTCCCTCCCTCCCTTCTCTCGCCGTGAGTCCTTTACTGACTCTGAAGCATCTCTTATTCTGATAAAAGGAAAGATTTGTAACTTTCCAGTTCCCAAGCCCAGTATCTCTGGGCAACTGCCTAGCCCAGGAAAGTGTGATCAATAGAATCATAGAATCATAGAATAGAATCATAGAGTTGGAAGAGACCACAAGGGCCATCAAGTCCAACCCCCTGCCAAGCAGGAAACACCATCAGAGCACTCCTGACATATGGTTGTCAAGCCTCTGCTTAAAGACCTCCAAAGAAGGAGACTCCACCACACTCCTTGGCAGCAAATTCCACTGTCGAACAGCTCTTACTGTCAGGAAGTTCTTCCTAATGTTTAGGTGGAATCTTCTTTCTTGTAGTTTGGATCCATTGCTCCGTGTCCGCTTCTCTGGAGCAGCAGAAAACAACCTTTCTCCCTCCTCTATGTGACGTCCTTTTATATATTTGAACATGGCTATCATATCACCCCTTAACCTCCTCTTCTCCAGGCTAAACATCATCATAAATCATAGAGTTGGAAGGAACCAGTAGGGTCATCGAGTCCAATTCCCTGCAATGCAGGAATCTCAACTAAAGTATCCCGGCCTCTGTTTAAGGAAAGAGATTCCACCACCTTCTGAGGGCGTCTGTTCCTCTGTCAAACATTTCTTACCATCAGAAAGTTCTTCCTGACATTTAGTGGGAATCTCCTTTCCTGTCATTTGAATCCACAAGATGGGCACGAACTTGAATTGCTTTAAAAGGGGCTATGGCAGATTCATGGAGCAGAGGGCTATCGATGGCTAGTAGTCATGCCTCTGAAAATCACTTGTTGAGAATCGCAAGTAGGGAGTGCGCCATTGCTTCCCATGCGCATCCAGTTGGCTGCTGTGAGAACAGAATGAATGACTAGGTGGGCCTTTGGCCACATCCAGCAAAACGCTGCTAAAGCTGAGGAAGCTCTCCTTCCAATGTAAACATGTTGCCTCTCTCATTGAATTGCAGGCTCAGGGCAAAGACCTGCTCCGTCCTCTGTTGATCTTCCAAGCACAGCCACCACCTCCCCCAGTGTTTTGTAAATACGACATCCTTATCCTAATGTGTTTTTAAAATCCCTTCTGCGCCCTGTTATGGGGAAGACGGGGTGATGGTGAAAATACTGATGAACGGGAGGAGTGTCTGCCTACCTGCCAGTGCTGCTTATGCATATTCCCCCTTCCTATCGCAGGTTGAAGACCCCTCCTCGGCCACGAGGGCAGCGCCCAGAGCCGGAGTCCCGAGGGGTGAGTGGCCCTTGCTTCTAGCCCTCTATAGACTGATCCCGGCTGCTTTGCAGTTTGCAGCAGACTACTAACCTACATTTCCCCCCTTTCTGTTTTTTGCCCCCTGCTCCCCCTCCCTCCGACAGGGCATGGGCGCCTTTCCCGATGCGGCCACTGGCTTCCACATGGCATTTGGCATTGGCGCGTTCCCCTTTGGGTTTTTTGCCACTGGCTACAGTACCCCAGGAGAAAGGGCAGGTAATGGACTACTTTTAAAAACAGGTCTAAGCTTGTTGCACAAATCTGCCCATAAGGGCACACTCAAATTCCACAGCCGTGCTCACTTGTCCTATCAACCAACCTCTGGGATTATGATGATGATGATTTTATATCCTGCCCATCAGGCTGGGTTTCCCCAGCCACTCTGGACAGCTCCCAACAGAGTATTAAAAATATGATAAAACATCAAACATTAAAAACCTCCCTAAACAGGGCTTCCTTCAGATATCTTCTAAGTCAGATAGTTGTTTATTTCCTTGACATCTGGTGGGAGGGCGTTCCACAGGACAGGCACCACTACCAAGAAGGCCCTCTTCCTGGTTCCCTGTAACCTCGCTTCTTGCAGTGAGGGAACCACCAGAAGGCCCTCGGAGCTGGACCTCCTTGTCCAGGCTGAACGATGGGGGTGGAGACGCTCCTTCAGGTATACTGGGCCGAGGCCGTTTAGGGCTCTAAAGGTCAGCACCAACACTTTGTATTGTGCTCGGAAACATACTTGGGAACCAATGTAGGTGTTATATGGTCTTGGCAGCCACTCCTAGTCACCAGTCTAGCTGCTGCATTCTGGATTAGTTGTAGGTTCCGGGTCACCTTCAAAGGTAGCCCCACATAGAGCGCATTGCAGTAGTCCAAGTGGGAGATAACTGCAGCATGCACCACTCTGGCGAGACAGTCTGCGGGCAGGTAGTTGGTAGTTGTTGGCCTCTGTCTGCCTCGAGACAATGGAGGGCACCTCCAGGGGTGAAGTCAAACTGCTGCATTAGCAGCATCAAAGTGACCTCCCTGAGGCACAAGCCTGAGCAGTGTGTGTGATGGTCCTGGGCTGCTGAGAGCCAGTGTGGTGTAGTGGTTAAGAGCGATAGACTTGTAATCTGGGGAACCGGGTTCGCATCTCCGCTCCTCCACATGCAGCTGCTGGGTGACCTTGGGCCAGTCACACTTCTCTGAAGTCTCTCAGCCCCACTCACCTCACAGAGTGTTTGTTGTGGGGGAGGAAGGGAAAGGAGAATGTTAGCCGCTTTGAGACTCCTTAAAGGGAGTGAAAGGCGGGATATCAAATAAATAATAAAAAAAAAATCTGCCTCTCAGCCTCGCTGATGTGGTCCAAAGGAAAGCAGAGCAAGTGTTTTGACACCAGCTTGGCTGCAGCAGTTGCCAGAAGGAGGCCTGCAAAGCACCACCCCACTGTCTTAGCGACTTTGTTCCGGATTTGTGCAGGGTTTACTCCCTTAGCCTTTTCTACTTCTGAAGCTATCCCGCAAGGCAGCAGAGGTTTAGGATCAGACTTTTCCTTCTCCTACCTTCCCAGGTGGGTGAGCTTCACTTGTCCCTCCCTTCCGTGTATGGCATGTGCAGAAACTGCCTTCTCGATGGTTGGACCCACTATTGGTCTCATCCCCCGAGTCTGCCAGAGCCTGTCTTCGCGTGAAGGGGAAGTCCCTAACTCACTGAGGGTTTGAAATCCATCAGCTGCTTTCACCTGGTTTAGCTGGCCCGTCGAAGCCATTCCTGGGGTGTGACCACTGTCGCACACCAACAGCTTTTAGGAGCCGCAGGTGAGAGAGCTGAGTGCAGGATGGGTACCAGAGGTACTACCCCTTCCCTAACACCCTGTACAGTGGTACCTCAGGTTACATACGCTTCAGGTTACAGACTCCGCTAACCCAGAGATAGTGCTTCAGGTTAAGAACTTTGCTTCAGGATGAGAACAGAAATCGTGCTCTGGCGGCGCGGCGGCAGCAGGAGGCCCCATTAGATAAAGTGGTGCTTCAGGTTAAGAACAGTTTCAGGTTAAGTACGGACCTCCAGAACGAATTAAGTACTTAAGCTGAGGTACCACTGTACATCCCTGGGATTAATCTCTTTTCCCACGCTACCCTTTGTGGGTTTTACCCAGGTAAAAGCTGCGTCCTCACTCTGATTTGCAATCTCTGTGCTAAGTTCAAGTGTACCTTTTTTTTGCGGCTGGGCAAGGCACCATGTCTCTCCCTGCTAAGCTGCCACTAATAGAACTTGGCAGCAGCCCTGCGCTGGGTCACGTTTACACAAGCAGGTGCTTGAGTCTTAACCTGTGCTTGAAATCCTTACTGTTCTGCTTTACTGGCTTAGAGAAGGGGTTGTTCCACCGTCAGGCTCTTACACGCGTCCCTTTCATGTTCCTCTCTCTCCAGGGCTGCGTTACTTCCTTCTGAATAGTAGCATCTCTTTCCTTCTCTGTATTTGGAGAGGGATTTTAGCTCGGCGTCGGAGCACTTGTCTTGCATTCACAAGGTCCGAGGTTCCATCCCATACTGGTATCTCCAGTTAAAAGGATTGCTGGTGGCATGTTCTGGGAAAGGATCTCTCTTTCTCTCTCTCTCTCTCTCTCTGCCAAAGATCCTGGAGGAGCACTGCCAGTCAGAGCAGACAGTACTAGTCTAGATTGTCTAGCCTTCCTACCATCTCTTCCTGCCTCAAGTCTTAGGGTAGGGAACTTCTGATCTGCAGGCCGTGTTTGGCCCTCAAGGCTGTTTGGTCTAAGCCATGCCCACCCACTCTACAATCAGCTGATTGTTGGGGGCTTGCATAGTTCCAGGCAGGATGTTTTGCAAACCCTGAGGGCTGTAGCCTTCGTAGCTCTAGCAATACATGGAGATCTGCCCTGATTATTGTGATACATCCATAATTACCGTATTGGCCTGAATATAAGCCTCACTTTTTTTTTTCCCCCAAATTCCGACTTAGAGTGCGACTTAAATTTGCGACCTTACAAAAATTGGCTTTTACAATATTGCTGCTGGAACAGACATAAGGTAAAACAGAATGGGTATGAGTGCCTGCAGAATTTTAATGGAGTGGCTTAAACAGTTTAGGGAAGCTTTTAATATTTAATAGACTGTTGTATTTAATAGACTGTATAATAGACTGTATACCTGAAGGAGCGTCTCCACCTCCATCGTTCTGCCCGGACGCTGAGGTCCAGCGCCGAGGGCCTTCTGGCGGTTCCCTCATTGTGAGAAGCAAAGCTACAGGGAACCAGGCAGAGGGCCTTCTCGGTAGTGGCGCCCGCCCTGTGGAACACCCTCCCTTCAGATGTCAAAGCAATAAATAACTACCTGATGTTTAGAAGACATCTTAAGGCAGCCCTGTTCAGGGAAGTTTTTAATCTGTGATATTTTACTGTATTTTTGGTTTCTCTGGAAGCCGCCCAGAGTGGCTGGGGAAACCCAGCCAGATGGGCGGGGTACAAATAATAAATTATTATTATTATTATTATTATTTATTTATTAATATTTTAATATTCTGTTGGGAGCCACCCAGAGTGGCTGCGGACATCCAGTCAGATGGGTGAGGTATAAGTAATAAATTATTATTATTATTATTATTTGGGTATTGTCTTTTTTCTTTTTTCTTCTTGAATTTTAAAGGTGCAGCTTATATTCCGGCGTGACTTATATTCGGGCCACTATGGTATTATTATTGTATAATTATAAGATTATTGTATTAGGATGTGTCATTTTGGGGGACCATTCTTAATTTTTGCACATTTCTTCAGTGACTGGTCATAAAAAAATTGTTTTTGGGTATGAAGAATTCAAATTGGCTATTAATATTGAGCTTAGTAAGTCTATGTTTGATGAAGAAGCCCATAAGCTGCTTTTGGCAAACCAAATAATTTAAAATTTAACTTCTGAAAATGTCAGGTAATGCCAAACAAGGATAAGGATAATAATAATAATAATAATAATAATAATAATATATGAGACGGAAGATACTTCTATTCCACCCCCAACACAATAATCTCTGTGGAGAGGATACTTGAGGTGATAATACATAAATAAACATATTGTTTGTGTACTATGCACTGCATATGAAACATTAAAGATGTACCACTAGACATGTTACAGTAGTTATATGTTGTTCTTGTATTTAAATGTGAAACAATAAAAATTGTTGGGGAAATAATATGAATAACAGTAGTAATAATGATAATAATAATAATAGTAATAATATATTACTGTAAGTACTTGGCAATCATTTTTAATTATTTCTATGCAGTCTTATACACATTTTGCTTACCAAGCAAAACTAAATTATTATAATTGATTAATTAATTTTCTTATATGTACCCCACCCATCTGGCTGGGTTTCCCCAACCACTCTCGGCAGCTTCCAACACATATAAAAACATAATAAAACATCAAACTTTAATAAGAACAATCTGATCCAATATAAAAAGTCACAATAACTTTAAAATAAACAGCTTTTATCAAATAATGCAATATTCAGTCATCCATTAGAAATTATATTAATTTAACCAGAATATCTTTTGAACTCCCAAGTCGTGTTGCAACTTTTTAGCGCCCCTCATTTTTGGAATTTGAAAGCTGAATTCTTCAAATACGTCCCAATGTATCATCTTATTAGAAGGGGTGTGATGACTGTGACTGTCATGGAGGGACCCTGCACTTTTGAATTTGCCACTACACTTACTGCCTGGAAATGGATTTCGATGAAAATGGTGACTTTTGGGGATGTGGGTGGCGCTGTGGGTTAAACCACAGAGCCTAGGACTTGCCGATCAGGTCGGCGGTTCGAATCCCCGCGACGGGGTGAGCTCCCGTTGCTCGGTCCCTGCTCCTGCCAACCTAGCAGTTTGAAAGCATGTCATAGTGCAAGTAGATAAATAGGTACCGCTCCAGTGGGAAGGTAAACGGCGTTTCTGTGCGCCGCTCTGGTTCGCCAGAAGCGGCTTAGTCATGCTGGCCACACGACCCGGAAGCTGTACGCCGGCTCCCTCGGCCAGTAAAGCGAGATGAGCGCCGCAACCCCAGAGTCAGCCACAACTGGACCTAATGGCCAGGGGTCCCTTTACCTTGACTTTTGCATCTACCTGTAATGGTATATGGTGCCTCCTTCTAACCTTGAGCTCCTCCGTCTCTCTTTTTTGCTTAGACGCAGAAGCTGCCCGCCCATCCAGCTGGCAGGATTCGCTCTTCCTCTTCATTGCCATCTTCTTTTTCTTTTGGCTGCTTAGTGTCTGACCGGCTGGACTCCGCTGGACTTGCCCTGTACTAAAAAAAAGAAGAAGTCTATCAGAACAGGATAGAAGGACTTTCAAACTATGGGGAGGGGAAGGGGCAGCTGCGGGGAGGAGGGTGGAATCATTTCCTGCCTGCGCCCAGGCGAGGCAGGAGGGGGCTGACCTGCAGGGTGGAGGGCAAGGTGGCAGAGCTGGGGCCTGGTGTTTCTCCCCGCTCAACCTCCCTCCTTGATCCCCCTACGCAGAATTAAAAGTATAATAGGGTGACTAGGGGAGCTGACGATGCAAAAGAGGTGTATATTTGTGTTCAAAGTGTATCTGTGTGTATGGGGGGGGGCAGGTAGGGAAAGTCGTAATTATCAAGGTGTTTTAATTGTTTCCTCTTAATCGCCCTTGACTGAAGCGTTCCAAAGTTCGCCTGAATTGCAGGTGGGCTGTGTTAAAAATAATAATTGAGAAGATGTAGAAGAAGGTAGCAGTCAGGAGCTGTGGGGTCCGGGAGCCAAATCCGGCCTGTCAGTCCTCTGCTTCCCCCCCCTCCCATGATATTTTGCTCACCTGCATTCTCCCTCCTCACAGGCCAGAGGGGTTTGGGGTGGGGGCTATCACTTACTCAATAGCATTAGTGGGACAAAATCCCACATTTGCAGCCAGACCACCCTCTTTTAATGGCTTAATTTGGCAACTAGGCCTCAAACAACGACAACAAAATCGAGATTCGTTCCTACCTGTAAGCTTACAGTGGCATGAAATGCTACATAGTGGGGAAAGAGGGCCTTTTTAGGAGGGGAAGAGAGCTGTGGTCTCCCTCTTTATAGGGGCAAAAAGCCCACCACACCCACCTGCCTCAGCAGGTGTTGCGGTAGGGGGCGCAGAGGCAAGAAAAGTAGGGTGGTAAAAGCAGGAGGTGGGCTATGGCAATGGAGAAGGAGCCACAGGAAAAACATCTGGGCTTCTTTTTCTCTCTCCCCCCCTCTGCATTCCTGTGGCCAACCACTGGGAGGGAAATGGGCCTCAGGTGTGTTAATTTAACTGGTTGCAACGAAGTTCCGTGTGGTTAGTTTTATATATAATAATAATGTCCCATCCCGTCCCTTTAAAAATTTGACTTCCAGAGATGTAAGAAGCCACCTGCTTTTACAGACTGTTTTATTTTCCAGGCTGGTGACGGACTAGTCAACTGGTTGTATTTCTCTCTTTCCCCCTGGTGCCCTCCCCTCAATCTTCTGAGGGCGTATGGTACAGTCAGCGCTGGTGGGATTTGTTACTGCTTGGGTTGGGATGGGGGGGATAGCCTTGGCTGGCCTAACAGTATTTAATTGCCCAGAAATCTCTGTGTGTGGGGGGGGGACTCACCCACCCACTTCCCTTTCTTCCCGTTTGGGTGACAAGAGGGAAGATGTGATGTAAATTAACCTATTCTGTAATTAAATTAACCTGTGATTCATATCCGCTTGCGAGTGTGGAGTCTCCTTGCCGTTTTCTGGCGGCGCGAGAGGTGTGCGTGTGGAGAAACGTTGGGCAGGTTGATAAGAGATGATTTGCGCAACTCATTCCGCTGACTTGTGGTGATGTGGTGGTGGGGAGTGCTTTATGTAAGAAAACAGAAGTCCTGCAGTTACGTCAGGCCAAAGCCCCTCCTCCTCTAACATCCTGTTCTCCAAGTGGTCCACCAGATCATTTCTGGGAAGCCCTCAAGGACTTCCTCTCTCCCTACGAACCTACCCGGACCCTGACATCATCATCTGAGGCCCTTCTTCATGTACCTCCTCCAGGACAGGTTTGGAGCATGGCAGCACGAGAACGGCCTTTTCTGCGGTGGCACCTTGTTTGTGGAATGCTCTCCCCCGGGAGGTTCGGGTGGCACCTTCATTATACATCTTTAGGCACCAGGCAAAAACATTCCTCTTCAGCCATTGGCAGGCTGACCTCCTGTGCCCTTTTAAATGTGTTCTGGGAGGGGGGATTGTTGGTTTATGTTCTTATTTTTATTTTGTGTTTTATCTTGTAATTTTATGTTGTGAAACAGCCTGAGACATGTGGATCAAAGGTGGTATACAAATGTTAATATTAATAATAGAATTGTAGAGTTGGGTCGGGCATCTAGTCCAACCCTCTGCAATGCAAGGATCATTTCCCCAACTTGGGTCTCGAACCCACAACCCTAAGGGTCACATGATCTACCAACCGAGCTATCTATTTGCTCCCTCTGCATGTTGCATTATTATATAAGCCTGTTTTCCTTTTTTCCTGAAAAGGCCCCAGAGTTGTAGCTTTATGGCTTTGAGATGTTCCAGTTCCTTGTTTTCATTACCTTTTCCCATCTGCTGTGGGAAAACACAGGGATGGACAGATCTGGGTGTCTCGTATTACATCAGCAAAGGCTTCTTGTCCCCCAATTATTTTACAATAGCAACAACGCAATGACTTATTTCCACCCAATTTCAGCTGCTGAAATGAAGCTACTCTGGAGTGCATGTTTTTGTGACAGGACTATGAGTTTGGTTGAGTTCTTTGTACTGAAAACCAAGTCTTGAGCTCAGAATGTCCTCAGTAACATCCTGTTCTTTAATCCTAAGTGAATTCTAAGTCTCTTGCACCAGCTTCTGGTTGGTAGATCTTGGGCTTTTATTATTATTATTATTATTATTGAATTTATATACTGCCCTATACCCAGAGGTTTATTCTGCTTAAAAACAACTCAGATGAGATCCAACAAAGTAGAACTCTCCCCCCCCCCTTGCTTTTAATAGGGGAAGACACAAACTATTCCAAATTTGAATGCACCAGAAATGGGATGCTGCTAAACTTATTTTCAATCCCTAGCAATGGAATTTGCCTTCCCAACCCCCTCCACTGCTACTGCATTGAGTTGTTAAAATTTTTCAAGTCATTGTCACGCAAGCTCTCTTTCCTGTTTGGTTACAGCCAGTTCAGATCCCATCAGCTTCTGAAAAGTTTGCCCTTGCTTACGTTAAGAACATAGCATCCGTGCTGCGTTATGCCAAAGGCCCATGAGGTCCAGCTATGGAATTCACACTCAATGAAGGTGGAACAGCCACTGATAAGACTCATCAGTCACAAATTTGTCTAAATCCTTTCAAAGCCACCCGAGTTAGTGACTTTTGAGCGTGGATTCCATAGTTTTAACTATGCGCAGTGTGAAGAAGCACTTTGTCTGCCCTGAATCTTCCAACATTCAGCTTTGTTGAGATCTAGCGTCACGAGGAAGAAAAAAACGTGATCCTCTCTCTCCACAACATGCAGGTTTATGCCCCTCTTATCCAGTCTCCTATTTGCTCAGTTTGGAGTAATCCTTTTGGAAGGCTTCACAAATCTGCTCAGATTTCCATCCTGAATAACCGGGTCTTGTCTGCAGTGATGGCAACCATGCCCTATAGAACACAGTCATCTAGCCCAGCCGCCTGCAATGCAGGCATCTGTTCGCTCCTAACTCCAGATCATCCATGAACATGTTAAATAGCAATAGCCCCGTCCTTTGTGTGGGATGGGGGACACCTCCAGTTTATATTGCATTTACTCTTTAGTTCCTGTTCTTTAGCTGAAGATCTAGAGTGCACACCCTTTCTGTAGTATGCCTGCTAACTCAGAACTCTTTAAGTTCTCTAAAGTAGAAATAATTGGAAAGCGCCAGTGGAAAAAAATATATTTTATTGTTTAGGCAAAACTGTACAAGAGAGTGAGGGGGGGACCTCCAGAGTATATTCCCCCCCCCCAATTGAAATCCATCCTTCCTCTGAAGCCTCCAAAGGCCCTCTGTATTTGCGGATCCCTTTGCTTAGGCTTCCGTCTGCAAGGAAGTAACAGACTCCACCTCAGGGAAGCCAACTTTGGGGGTGGGGACGGGACCTCTGTGACTTTCGACAGTAAAAATCCAACAGATGCTTTCTTTCTGCATCACTGTCATTACTACATTGGGAAAAAGGCAGTCACACCACCCAAATTAAACAATTGCATCCATGCCAAAAGGGCAGGGAGCCAGTTTTGGTCTAATGTTACTAAGATGGCTACTTAGCCCAGAAAAGAGCCCATTTTGATCTTTGGGTAGTTAAAAATGCAGGTGAGTGGGACATTCAGTGTTATAACAGACTCTGTGATGCTTAGGAATAAAAGGGACACCATAGCCCACTCCGGGAGAGGAGTGTTCAAAAAGCATAAAGAAAAATAGGGGGAAACGGAACCACGATTTTACATTACTTATCCTTTTATGCATGTTAAGACATGAGAAATCTTGAATATGCACCTTGAAATATCCTGTGTGTATATTCTTGCCCAGACATCTTCATTAACTCTCCATTTAACTTCACCGCCACCAAAGTAGCCAAAGGTTAGTCTTCTGCACATACTTGGGAGCATAACCTATTAAACTCGGCAAGACTTGCTCCCAAGTAAACATTTAATGGGCATGGGCTGGGTGCAGATGCTTTAGTTCTGTCAGGGCGTAGTTTGGGGGTTACAACAGAAGCCTCAGAAACATTGCCCAATGACAATTCCCAGAATGGTTTGGGGAGGGAGCCATGACACTTCTGTTGGTAAAGCCTTGCTTCAGATTTGCAGTGGCAATTCCCTGAGACTTAGGGGATCATCGCAACGACAAATCTCAATCATGGCTGTACCAATGGAAGGATCCTCCACCCCAGCCAATGAACTGAAATTTGGGGTTCTCCATTCTTCCAGCATGGCTGGAAAATCTATGGTCCTTTCAAACTCCCGTCAGCCACGATGGGGGTCACAGCCTAACATCATGAGGGCTGTAGGATCTCTTATCTGTGTCCTAGTGCCTCCTCACTCCCCTTCTGCCGTTCTTTCTCTGTTAACATGCCTCTGTGCACCTCTTAAATGCTTTGGTTCTCCCCCTCCAGCTAACCTATGCTTCCATGTGGGTCATGGGTTTTTTATTTCAACACCACCGTGGTAGGGCCATAGGACAGAGCTGGGAGCAGGTTAGACCCTGCCATCTCGTAGCCTCCAGCAAGAGAGACGCAAACAGCAAAAGCTTCCCATTTGCTCCCGTGGCTGGGCATGTTGGGTGCGCACATGCACCATATTCCAGTGTAGGGTGAAGAAAGCGCAGGGGCACATAAACCACTCCACAAACAGCACTGGTGCACCTTTTTAACAGTCTCACAAGGGGTGGAAATTGCCACAATGGTGGCTTCCATTACAGGTACATCATGTTGGGACCTCCTGAAATATTAAGGCTGCCCCAAGAGAGTCTCAAAACCTGCGTCTTAAGAAATGCCACGTCGCAAATGGTGTATAAACTGAGCAGGGCTGACAACCGGCTGGTCAGGTGAGCGGTATTATTTAGCGCAGTGGTTCCCAAACTTCTGCACCTGTTTGTTAGATGTTAAGGTGCGCACCAAAAAAACAAACCAAAAAATTAAAAATGGGGAAGAAGAGCCACCCCCCCCCCAATCATTGGTACCAAATGACAACCACCAGAAATGTGAATCTGGCTCATTCATTTTATCATTCTCATAAGTGTGCCATTCAGGGCCTTTCCTGGCACTGCTTTAGTTGTTGTTTAAAAAATAAAGAGGTGCCAGTACTCAAAAGAAATGCTGGAAATGGCTGCCATGGGCACCCAAAAATAAATAAATGAATGACATGGCAGTACTCTGTACTGATGAGCACTGTCACACACAAAAAGCACTGCTTCTAGCTAATCTGGATGGGACGGCAGGAGAACCAGGATCTGGAAATCTCCTTCCATTGCCCTCTTGCTTTGTATAGCTACACCAGAAGGCTGCATATTTGAATGGAGGAATGTCGTGTGAATCCTTCCCCAGTCACACAGACCGTTTTCCCAGTCACATACTAAACCACCCCCTCACCCCACTTGCCTCACCTGGTAAAATATAGAAGTTACAAAACATACAATCACACAGAAATAGTTAAGCCCACCCCCACTATTATTGTTAAAAAGGAAAAGAAAATACTGTGAGAGAGAGAAAAACTACACATCTAGTTTGGCCTTAAGGCTGTAACTTATGTTGTCAATTCAAGTAGATCCAATTGGAACTTATGTGTGGGAACTGTTTCAACATGGGTGTCCTAACCTCATTTATCTTTCCTCGTGTTGGCAGACAACCAGCCATTGTTTTAGGATTACCATTTAAAAGAGAAAATCAAAACCATAAGGAATAAGCTGCAGGGCCTGGTTTTGTTTTGTTTTGTAAGGAAGAAACAGAACAGGTACATCGGTCAGAAATTGGCCAAGGGGCAATCCTAACCCCTCAGCCTAAGAAACAAAATGGCTGCCGTCAGCCACCAAGGACCAGAACAGAGATTAGATGTTGTGCTAGGGAAATTGCTCAAAAAAACTTTGTAAGCAGCTTCACGTAGCAAGCTGTGTGAAGTGGTTTCTCATATGGTTCAGGTGCTTTCACCAGACAAAGCTATTCCAACCCCCTCCACAGTGGACATTGGCATGGTGAAAAAAACCCCCAAATAAGAGCGGTTCACAAAAATGTATTGGTACGTAAGCCACATTGGTACTTCCGCCACATAACATTTTGAGCTTTCCCCCACACACTGCAATCTGGTCTGAATGATGCAAAGTGTGGTTTGGTCTGTGTGTGGGCTTGTATAGATACCCAGCAAACAGGTGTGTGTGTGTTTTGGGGGTGAACCAGACTTTCCTCCCCACTCATTTCCTCCTCCTTTTACCCAAATGAATCCCAGGGCAGAAATTGTCTTCAATTTTATAGAAGAAAAATGATGATAATAAAAGCAAAGGCAATCTAGAGCAAGAAAACAAAACAAACCCAAAACAGAACAAGTCAAAACGGCCAGTCAGGGTGATGAACCCCAATACCCTCAGTCAAAGGGAACGGGGCAGGGAGGTTTTTTTTGGGGGGGGGTGTCTCACAGCACTGTTCTCCCCCCCAAAAAACCCAACAGGGCACACAGAGGTAGCAGGTTCAAAAGGTCTCTGTCCCAAGACTCTATTGGTTTCTTGCGCCATGAGGTAATAAAGCTATTGGACTGACTAGCATGGAGCCCTCCCTGCGAGCAAGGGGGAGAGCAACTTGAAAAGTCTTATGTGGGTTTCCGTTGCTCCTAATGGGTCTCTCGTGCCATCAGGATTTGCGCCTGTCGCACCCAATGTCCACCCGTGGGTCTGAATCCCTTCGGCTTTGGCAACTTCCACAAGCAGGCCTTTCCTCCGTCCTTTGGACCATTCCTCCGTCATCTTTTGCAATCCGATTGCCGTTATCCACATTCCGTCTTTTGAGTCTTATTTTGGTATCTTCTCATGTCCAAATCCTCTTTTCTGATCCAAGTACACATTCCTCTTGTGAACAGGTGCCGCTGAATGTGTTTTCTTCTCCCCCCCCCCCCAATCTATTGGATCTTTTCTACTTTATAATCCTTTCCCATTAACTCTTCTAATTTCCCTCTTTCCAGTCTGCAATCTCCTCGTTAGTTCCCAACTCTTTCAAGTTTCAATATTCCTGCCCTTCAGATTTGTCTTCCTTAGTTCATATTCTCTCATCACGAGATCTCAGCTTATCTCCCTACCATTTCTGCTTTCCCATTGTTTCATTCCGACCTCTCACTACTTTTGATATCGCTCTCTCCTATTTCGTATTTCTCACCCACTATTTGCTCTTGTGCACTTGGATCCATTCTGTGTGGTTTTTACTAGATTTACTTTACTAGATTTTCCTTGTCTCCCTCCTCAGCTTCTGCCTCTCATTCAGGCCATTCGCTTCCCAAACAAAACTATTTACACACTCATACCATTTCTTTCCATCACAGTGGGGGAAACGCCTTACTCAATTCTGGATAAAACGGTCCTTTGAAATATAAACTATACTAGCTTCCCAAGCATCGCTAGCGACCCCTTTGGGCTGGAATTCATAGGAGCAAAGGGAGGGAAGGAAATCAATGAAGATGGGATACTGGAAAAATGCTTTTGGTTTGTTCAAATCCTCCATATTTGAATTGGGCTAAAGGAAAAATAGAAGCATCGAGTGAGCTTTTCTGCACAAATCAGGATTCTGGAGCAGGTGGTAGTTGCACAACAATGATACTTCCTATTTTGTTCCCAAACCTCCCCTCGTATCTGTCCCTTCCTTTGAAAGACTATTGCGCTGCCAGAGCATTTAACCAGAATACGCTGTCCCTGGCAAAATGCAATTTCCCTGGCTGGTACTGTAGCACTTTCCTTGTTTTTCCACCTTCAGTTTATCCATCCCTTGCAGATCTGCCACAGAGATGCAGAGGATTCTGGGAGTGTTCCTGGGGCATCTGATCAACCCACACTCAATCAAGCCATCGCCAGATGTGAATTGAGAGAATATACCTTCAACCAAGCATGCTGTCCCCCCTCCACACTCTTTTGACTGGTGGTGATGGTGGGCAGATTCCCTTTCAAGGACACCCATCCATCAGGACCTACTTTCCAACCACAGGGGCTTCAAACCCCATTTTAAACCATACATTACATTAAGTCCCATCAATTAACCTGGTGGATTTTTAAAAAAACAAAAACTGCAAGCAGGACTCTTGCCAATAAAAAAGCCCCCTGAAGCAATTTCAGTAATGGAAGTTTTCCTTCCAAGGCAAGCAGACATTTTTGGGTGTGGCGGGGGATTTTTTGGAACTGCTCCACATGTCCATTTTTAAAAGTGAAGAAATGAAATGGTGCATTTAACATAATTTATAGTTTGTCCCAGATACACAGCATATCTATTTAATGGGAAGGGATACTGCTATGCCCAACCTGTATCTCCACCATTCTGTAAACTCCCTTTAAAAAATATATTTAAAGGTCATTTTTTCCATTTTGAACGAGATTAGGGCCTGCACAAATATCACACAAAGAGGACTGTGACATTCAGAAACCTATCTGATTGTGCTTGGGTCAGACCAGGCAGAAAAGCCCTAAGATGGTGATGGGTGGAGAAAGGGAAAAGAACTTAACAGGGGGAAATATCAAGAATATAAGAAACAGCAGAGGAAAAAAACTCAAGAGAGAAACTGTACACACAATAAGAAATGGTTACAATGGGAAAAACTGAAAGAGAGAGAGAAGAGGCCAAAAAAACCCAAACCAGCTCAGAAAGCAAGAGATTTGACAGAAAGAAAAGCAGACCCCATCACCCATAATGCAGCTACAGTATACAGCATGTGTAATGTGGGGTGTGCTGGGCTCTCTTAGCCCTATGGCTTCCCCCACAACTTCTAGTCCTGCCTAGGAGATAGGAAGTTTGTGCTTATTACTACTTCCCCTCCCCTATTACCTTGAACCGCCATTTTGGAAAGCCAGCCCCCACTGTCTTTCTGATAAAAGGTACCATGGTATGTTCTGTATCTTTAGCGGGGAACCTTTGGCTCTCCAGATGTTGATAAACGACATCTCCCATCAACCCAAGCCAGCATGGCCAACAGCCGCAGCCCAACAACCATTGGAAGGCCAAAGGTTCCCCACTTCTGGCCTAATGGAAGGGCACCAGTCTGTAACATCTTGGGCCCCTCATAACTTCTCTTCAGGGCTATATCCCCTTTCTGATTCAGATGGTAGCCATCTTAGATCTTCATACCCAGGGAACCTATTCACTGAGAGGTATAACGGTTTCTTCAGCCTAGGTGAGGGTTTCGCCATGGCTCCACACAATCTTACAGCGAGGCCCTTGTATCGCCTTACATGTTCGTTTTCTGCCAAAATATTTCATAAGGATGTTGGTGTCTCTGGTCAGCACCAGCAAAGGAGATGCCCACCTTGAGTCCAGACAGGATCTATGCCTGATTTCCCTTCTCTCTTTTATATATACATGCCATGTTCAAATCTCGACAGGAAGACGCCACAGTTTACTATCTTGGAATCATCCCATCATGGAGAGATGCCAACTTAAGCCCTCTTTGGCCAACGTCTCTGCTCATCCTACTACCAAGAGACCCGTTGGTGCTGCCATCTTGAATCGCAATCCCACGATAAGCAGTTTAGATGCCATCTCGACGCCCCTCAGGCAGGTGTGCTTATCTACAAGGCCGAGCCAGCAGATTATGATATCGCATTGCAGGTACATTAGCTCATCTGCCTAGCCCCTCCAAGCAGACGGACCACTTGAGATAGCCCCTCCCACCCGCTCCCCACCCCGCCTCCCACCGTCTTGGGTCCCCTTCACCGCTTCTAGAGTTGCATCTTGCTTATTAAGAGGATCATGGAAGGATCTTGGATCACAACGGGTGCCATCTTGAATTCATCGTCCCCATGGAGTGTTGCCACCTTGAATGCCAAGAGATGCTGTACTTGCTTCCCTCCCCTGCCCCGGCACTGCGGGTGGTGCAGTGATCTCCTGCCAGGTGGGAGAAAAGACGAGTTCTTTCCCTGCCCAGCCTAGTTCAGCACTAGGGTTAATTCCCTCCCCCCCACTGGAGCCAGGAAGAAAACGACAGAGGAGGGAGCGCAGCCCAGCAGGATCAGTTGGAGGTGTCAGAGTGGACACTACCAGGACCTTCTGTTGGGGAGGTCACAGAGGATGGGGTGGCTGCTTCCTGCCAGCCACCATTGGCCTGGTGAAAAAAACGAGAGGAACGGTTGTTACAAAAAAAAAATAGAGGCAATTTAATTTGCAGTTTCTTGCAAAGTTCCAACCTGCTAAACCTCTTTTCCTTTCCGTGGGAGTTCTCCTAGCACCGCTTTCCCAGAGTCTGGGGAGTGCTTGTTCCCAGTCCGCCCCCTTGGCACCATTATAGACCATTAGGTGCCAGCACCTTGCCCAACTCTTCTCTGCGACAAAGAATCCCTAATTTTGCTATCAAAAACAGTTCTACAGTAGAAGGAAGAGTTCGGGGGGAGTGGGTGTGTATGTGTGCTGACTCCCTTTATTTTATTGGATCTAATGAGCAGCCCATGCAAACAGCAGATCACGTGATAAAAAGCTTCTCCTGGACCTTTAACTACTTTGGACTCAGATGAATCATTTTACTAAGCTTCACCAAGTAAGAAAGAAAACCTCGTATTTCTTTCTTTCCGTTGAGGAACGTGCGCATACCAGAATGTAAAAGTGCGCACATAATTCAGCTCCACAATCATCTCGGGCTTTTCCCTTTAAACAGGCTTCTAGGTCACACGACTCTACTTGGGAAGCATGCTGGAATGCTTGCTGAAATCTCAGAAGCCACTGTGGCTTTGAAGCCACTGACTGGGGCAGAGCTCCCACTACCTTACCTCCCCCATCACTAGCAAGGCCAGAATAAAATATTTGAATGAACTGATATTCAGCCTTTCCTGACATAGAACTGTAATTATGTTTAACGCCGAGCATATGCACAGCTGTGGTTCGAGTCTAGGCTGTCCCCAAAGATAGTGGTTTTCTTTAGTTTTACTAGCAGGAATGTATATTGATGTGGGAGCATTCAGATATGCAACCGCCACAAGCTGCTGTTCACCACACTGGGCACAATCCTCTACCCTCACTTGGGTTCTTGTGAGGTCCAGGAGAGGAAAAAGATCTTCAGTCCCTGAATCTCCTCAAACCAAATCTTCTTCACACGCAAGGCATAATTAAATGTCAGCCTGGAAGCTGTGGCACTGGCCATCAAGCTCAGATCGTTTTAAAAGGGGATTAGAGGGAGGATTTGCGAGGTGGAATCCAATTGGTGTCCTTGCAGCAAAGCGGACGGCTTTTGCCTACGGAAATCAGAGGGAGGGAATTTTTGCAGATGTCCCCCTGCAGCCCCAAAGAATTGGGAAGCCTTCCAGAATAGATGGAAGGGCTGCACAAGGAACTGGCAAAATCGCCTTCCCCTCCTCTTCTCTTAGCAGATTCCTCCCCATCAAAAGCACACCTCTGTGAGTGCTGGGACACCAAATGGATCCCACCCATAAGAGAACGGCTAGAAACCACAACTGGTTAAATGAAATCTCCACATTCAGAAGCCGTGTATCACCGAACAACCTCTGCCAGGCTATTGCATCCCTGCTCTGCTAGTGGCTTGACCACTGTGGAAAACAGGAGCTGGACTAGAGCCCATACATTTCAAGTACCTATGATACCACTTTAAACAGTCACGGCTTTATTGAACTGTATTAATTGTTTTGCTGACTCTGTCACTGCAGTTTACTTTATTTATATGCTATTGCGTTGGATATTATAATGATTGCAATGTTGGGTTTTCCAGCACTATTGTGATTACTGTGAGCCGCTTTTGAGCTCAGCGCTTGTTGTTGGAAAAGCAGAATGCAAATATTAAATCAAATCAAAACCAATGCCTTTCCCTCAAAAGAATATTGGGAACTGTAGTTTCTTAACAGTGCTGAGAGGGGCCAGTAGACCGTAATTCCAACTCACAGAGCTTCAACTTCTCTGTGAAGTAGGACTGATTGCTTGACCGCTCTGGGAATTATAGCTCAGTGAGAAGGAATAGGGGTCTCCTTACAACTCTTAAGCACCATTAATAAACTACTGTTCCCAGAACTCTCTCAGGAAAACCACGAGTGCCTAAAGTAGCATCACAGTGCTTGAAATGTTTGGTGCAGATGGGGCCTAGGTGAACCTTTGTCCTAATCTAGCAGGACTCTTGTATAGTGTGAGCCCTGGCATGCATGCAGTCTAAAGCAATACATCCCAGACAGAACAAAGTTACCTCTTCAGTGAGAACCAGGTGGGTCAAGTCTCCCGACGCACAAACTTACCCTCATTTCTCGTGGACTGTACATCTGGGTGGCAGCCATACTGTCCCCGTAGCCCCCTGGCCCCATAGAGTGACGCATCGATTCCACCTAGTAGTTGAGGGAACACATAAAAAGGGCAGAATGACAGCAGGGATGGGGAGAATAAGACAGGAGCAGCAGTTATGCTGGGCTGAAAACTTCTCATGAAGACTTGAGTGGGCGTTAAGAAGGATCGAGCAATGTGGAGTTTACTCAAAACTGTCAACTGATTTATGGCACTGTTTTGCTATGTAGTGTGTATTTTCCATTTTACGTCAATCTTTCCTCTCTCTCTTTTTCTACAGGGGACAGGGAAAGTTTGTTAAAATTGCCAATTTCCTCTAATTTTCTTCTCTTTTCATTTTTACAGAAAAATAAGACTTCTGCTAGTATTTTGGAAAGTGTTGTGTTTTTGGGGGTTGCAGACCCGGAAGTAACCCATTCCAGTACTTCCGGGTTTCGGCGGTCCGCAACTCCAAAAAACGCAACCTGAAGCGTCTGTAACCCAAAGTATGACTGTACTGGGCCGAGGCCTTTTAGGGCTTTAAAGGTCAGCACCAACACTTTGAATTGTGTTGTGCTCGGAAATGTGCTGGGAGCCAATGTAGGTATTTCAGGACCGGTGTCATATAGTCTCGGCGGCCACTCCCAGTCACCAGTCTAGCTGCCCCATTCTGGAGTAAATGTAGTTTCCGGGTCACCTCCAAAGGCAGCCCCACATAGAGCGCATTGCCGCAGTCCACGTGGGAGATAACTAGAGCATGCCCCGAGCCGTCCCAGGAGGGAAAGGAACTGACCTGTGATGTGGGATACGAGTCTCCATTCAGACCCTGAAGGCCCATGAACATATCCCCAGAGCTGGAGAGGTTGAAGGAGCCGCCGGAGCCTGCCAGAAAACAGAGGAAGGGGCGGGAGCGAAAGACAGCAACAGGGTGACTGGGGGTGGAACGCACGGTTGCTTCGAGTAAAGAAAAAGGTGAACACCACTGCAAAAGGCAACTAGCTGAAGAAGCAAGCCGAGACGACCTGCCTGCAGGAGGAAGCCTTGGCTACTCCAAGGCCGACGGGGGGGACGCAAACACGGGCGTGTGGGGGAGCGGGGTGTGAGGGGGCACCTCGCCGCTCTGCGCCCAGGAGGGGGCGCACACACTGACCATGGGGGAGTGGGGCAGGGGGCGCTGGTGTTGGAGGGATCTCCTTCGGGAACTCCAGCGCATGTTGGAGGGGAGGGTTCCACGTTTCTCCAACCCCAGCGAGGAGGACTCCCGCACCAACATGGGGTGTGGCGGAGCTTTCTTTTCGGGGGGGAGGGGAGTTACCCGCGGAGGAGGGGGTGTTGGGGGAGTCGCCCCCACTCTGTGCGGCGCTGACAGCCGTTTTCACGGCGTAAATATTGGCTTCCTCTTGGAACTTGCCGATGTTCTTCTTATAGCGGATGCGCTTGTTCCCGAACCAGTTTGAGACCTGGAAGGAGGGAGGGAGGGGGGAAGTCGGGGGTGGGGTGGGGAGGGAAGGTCAAACATGAAGGGATGGGAAGCGGGGAGGGAATGAGGGGGGGAAAAGAGGGGTGGGGAGGGAAGGGGAGGGAAGGGGATTATGTATTGACAGGTCAGCCAAACAATGAGCTTTTCCTCCCCTCCCCAGCCAACCCTGTCCCATACTCAGGGGCCTCTCTAGCACAGCCTGGGGCCTGCCCCCCCACCTCACCCCCCCAAAACACACCCGGGTACCTGTGAGACTGTGATTCCACACTTCTTGGCAAGCTCCTCTTTGGCCTCTTCGCTGGGGTAAGGGTTGCTCAGGTGAGAGTAGAAATACTCATTGAGCACCTCCGTAGCCTGCTTGCTGAAATTGCGCCGCTTCCGCCTGCGAGCGAAAAGAAAAGGATGCGCAGGGTTGGCAGAGGCAGCAATTTGGGAAGAGGAAAAGGAAGGCAGTCGGGGTAAACAGTGGGGTGGGTGTGCAGCATGTGGAATCCAGAAGTATTGTTGTTATTTATGAAATTCGCATTTCGCCCTATACCCACGGGTATCGGGGTGGTGGAACCGAGCTACGGTGGTACCTCGGGTTAAGTACTTAATTCGTTCTGGAGGTCCGTTCTTAACCTGAAACTGTTCTTAACCTGAAGCACCACTTTAGCTAATGGGGCCTCCTGCTGCCGCCACGCGATTTCTGTTCTCATCCTGAAGCAAAGTTCTTAACCTGAAGAACTATTTCTGGGTTAGCAGAGTCTGTAACCTGAAGCGTATGTAACCCAAGGTATCACTGTATTGTTATTTATTAAATTTGTACCCCACCCTTCCTTCAAAAGGAGCTCAGGATGCCAAGTGATGAAAACAATTCCGGGCCCCACATTTCTCTCCATAGGGTAGGACTCGAACCAATAGCTTCAAGTTACAAGAAAGGAGATTCCAACTAAACATCTGGAAAAACTTTCTCACAGTAAGAGCTGTTCGGCAGTGGAACAGACTCCCACGAGAGGTGGTGAACTCTCCTTTCTTGGAGGTTTTTAAGCAAAGGTTGGATGGCCATCCGTCATGGATGCTTTAGATGAGATTCCTGCATTGCAGGGGGTTGGACTAGATGACCCTCGAGGTCCCTTCCAACTCTACAATTCAATGATTCTAAAAGGCTTGTAGGAAGAGGAAGGTCTTTGGCAGGCGCCACAACGGCAACAGAGACCAGGTCTGTCTGACATTTGATGGGAGGGAATTCCACAGGCCAGGTGCCACCTCCTTGAAGGCCTATATTGTGCAGTAGACTCCAGAGAAGGTGGCATCTGCAATAGGCCCTCAAAAAGTTAGAGAGACGCGAGGAGAATTAGAGGCTGGGCTATATGCTCTGATAAAGTATGTGGCACGCACAGCTCTCCTAGCGCTGTGCCACTTGACAAATTGCGTGATTTCAACACCCCTTGTGTGTTTGGTTAATTGCCTGCTTGTGTGGGAGACTAACATGCAAAAGTCAATGCATGTCAGGGCAGAGGCTTGGCCAGATACCAGGCCTGATACAAGTATACCGTACAGAGATTTTGCAGGAGTGCTGAAACAGTCCACTGTCTACCCTTGGTGCGCCATTCAGCTTCTTCTGAATCAGATATTTCTATTTTATGTTGTTTTAAGAAGATAGCAATCCAGCCCTTATGGCTACATCTTTCCTAAAAGTACAGTGGTGCCCCGCAAGACGAATGCCTCGCAAGACGGAAAACCCGCTAGACGAAAGGGTTTTCCGTTTTTGAGTTGCTTCGCAGGACGAATTTCCCTATGGGCTTGCTTCGCAAGACGAAACTTGCGAGTCTTTTTTTTTCGCTCCCCCCCCCTTTTTCTAAGCCGCTAAGCCTTTAATAGCCTTTTAGCAGCTAAGCCGCTAAGCCTTTAATAGCCGCTAAACCGCTAATAGCACTAATCCGCTAAGCCGCTAGTAGGGTTGCTTCGCAAGACGAAAAAACCGCTAGACGAAGACACTCGTGGAACGGATTAATTTCGTCTTGCGAGGCACCACTGTATGTTAGCAATGCCTGTTGAAATCCCAGGCGGAAAAACAGAGAACCACTGAGGTTGCCAGAGACTGGGGAACAGGTCTTCAGTGTTGTCCCTAGATCGTTGCCTCTCTCCCAGCAAATGCAGAATTATGCCGAGAAAAGGTAAATATTTCAAACACAAACATTTCCTCAATTTGCATAATTAATACAGGTGGAGGAATTAAACTATAACCGATGCAAAATTTTAATTAATGAAGAGTGGACAGCTGCCCTAGAACTCATTCCCCTAACATGTTAGATTTCCACAGGTGGACTACTGCAATGCGCTCTAAGTGGGGCTACCTTTGAAGGTGACCCGGAAACTGCAATTAATCCAGAATGGGGCAGCTAGACTGGTGACTGGGAGTGGCCGCCGGGACCACATAACACCGGTCCTGAGAGATCTGCATTGTCTCCTAGTACGTTTCCGAGCACAATTCAAAGTGTTGATGCTGACCTTTAAAGCCCTAAACAGCCTCGGCCCAGTATACCTGAAGGAGCGTCTCCACCCCCATCATTCAGCCTGGACACTGAGATCCAGTGCTGAGGGCCTTCTGGCGGTTCCCTCATTGTGAGAAGCCAAGTTACAGGGAACCAGGCAGAGGGCCTTCTCGGTAGTGACACCTGCCCTGTGGAACGCCCTCCACAGGGAGGAAATAAGCAGCTATCTTCTCTTTAAAAGACATCTGAAGGCAGCCCTGTTTAGGGAAGTTTTTAATATTTAATGCTGTATTGTTTTTAACACTCGATTGGAAGCTACCCAGAGTTATTGTTGTTGTTGTTATTGGAGGAAGCACTGAAATATGCAATACTTTGCCTGGGGTCATGCTATGGAAGAGCAGGGGGGTCCTGAATTGGATAGAACATTCAAGGTGAGGCATCTGCAGGGTGGAATGGGCCATGAAGAACCACTTATGAAATTCTCTCCCCAGCGAGGTTTGCCTAGAGCAGGGGTACTCAACCTGGTCAGGATTCCAGGTGGGCAGTAAGGGGTTCTACGCCACATGTTACTGCAGCACTGGTGGGCGGTAAGGAAATTTTACCATCAAGGGAAAAAATGCATTAGTGGGCGGTAGGTATAAAAAGGTTGGCTACCCCTGGCTTTTTGATGGCTTTTCTGTGCAAAGTGAAATCCTCTCTAAGAATATAAAGCAAAGCCCTGCTGGGTCAAGCCAAAGGTCTAGGGGAAGCCTAGACTGAGTGCAGCAGAGCTCTTCCCACCTGCGATTCCCGGCATCCGCTATTCAGAGGCATATGCTACCTCTGACAATATTATTGATTTTCCCCCGATGAAAAATTCAACCTGGTGGAATGTTTTATCCTGCTGTTTTTCACCCTTCTCTTGTATCAAATTGTTCACGTAGTGTCTATCTATCTATCTATCTATCTATTTATTTTTAAAAACTACACCCACAACCAAACACCACAAACTACTCTGGAAATACTTACTGAAAGGCAGTGTGCAGCTTTAAAAAATTAACAAAATTAAGTTTCAGCAGTTCTGCTCGCCACAGCAAGCCTTCCTCCCAACTCTGAAGTTGCGGAGGGAGTGGATGTTTTGTGCTGACCCCTGCCCCTCTCTCCGGTTCCAAGGAAGGACGAGGACTGGGTTGGCAGCTGTACGGCCACAAGGGTCAAGCCAGCAGACCTTGATCTCTCTTTCCTACTCCTGAGTGTTGCTAACCAGCATGGCCTGAATCCCTTCCTGGTCTTTTTCACAGGGCAGAGAAGCAAAAGGAGCTCTGAACCCCTTAAACAGGCAGCAGCTGCAGCTGGCATTCTTCCTGCCTCTCTTAAGTGAGAGATGTTAGGTGCTGGCGGGATGCAACAACCCACAACCAGCAGTGGCTTGTGCCCATTCGGACTGTAGGGCAGAAGGCAAGGAGACCAACTCTAGGGGGCACCAGAGTCAACTTATTCAAGTTTTGTCTCTGTCCTTCCTGCCAAGTCCCCCAAAAAAGCAATGGCATAAGAAGGGCAGGCAGTGTTAGAAACTCAGTTATATAAAGGTAAAGGACCCCTGACAGTTAAGTCCAGTCGCAGACAATTCTGGGGTTGCGGCACTCATCTCGCTTTACTGGCTGAGGGAGCCAATATTTTGTCCACAGACAGTTTTTCTGGGTCATGTGGCCAGTATGACTACGTCGCTTCTGGCGAAACCAGAGCAACGCACGGAAATACTGTTTACCTTCCTGCCGGAGCAGTACTTATTTATCTACTTGCGCTGGTGTGCTTACGAACTGCTAGGTTGGCAGGAGCTGGGACTGAGCAACGGGAGCTCACCCCGTCAAGGGGATTCAAACTGTCAACCTTCCGATCGGCAAGCCCTAGGGTCAGTGGCTTAGACCACAGCGCCACCCGCGTCCCACAGCGCCACCCATGTCCCTCAGTTATATAAGCCAGGCGCCAAATGGCTCCTTAAACCGGGGTTACAGTCACCAAAACGGAATGTCTAGTTGCCATTTCTGAGAAGGCTCCAAAGTCGTATTTTCCCATACAACTTTTTGGTCCCTGGAATCCGTTCTTGATTGCGCAGATAAAATACAATGGATAGAACTCTACAGGATGTGTTGCTAGTGTGAGAAAACAGTCAAGATCCAAGGATCTCCGGGCAGGCATCTCCAGATGGGGAAGATGTCCGAAGCCATCATGGAGCAAAGGCACCTTCGCTTGGTTGCAAGCGGCTGGTAACCAGGTGCAAAATGCACCTGGCAAATTTTGAATGCTAGTCTAGGGGGAATCAAGGCTGAGGTTGGTGGGGCAGTGCCCCGTCAGCACTAAGAGACCAGCCAACTGCCCAAGAGCACACTCCTTGCCTCTCTTTCCCGCAGAGGAGAACGCAAACTGGGAAGGGAGGTTTCTTCAGCTAGCACGCAGCAAATGGACCCAGAATCCCTTTGCATTACATGAAGCCAGAATGCGTCCCACCTGCCTTTCCTGCAGGGGAGGTTTGTTTATTTATAAAAAAATATATTTATATGCCGCTGTGCATTAAAAATATACATATCAAAGCAATGTATATAGCAATCAAAACTTAAAACTGTACAACAAAACCCATAAGAACGTTAAAAACAGACATCAATTAACCACTGTGTAAGGATGTAACCACTGTGTAAGGATAGGGACGCGGGTGGCGCTGTGGGTTAAACCACAGAGCCTAGGACTTGCCAATCAGAATGTCAGCGGTTTGAATTCCTGCGACGGGGCGAGCTCCCGTCGCTCAGTCCCAGCTCCTGCCAACCTAGCAGTTCAAAAGCACGTCAAAGTGCAAGTAGATAAATAGGTACCGCTCCAGCGGGAAGGTAAACGGCGTTTCCATGCGCTGCTCTGGTTCGCCAGAAGCGGCTTAGTCATGCTGGCCACAGGACCCGGAAGCTGTATGCCAGCTCCCTCGGCCAATAGAGTGAGATGAGCGCCGCAACCCCAGAGTCACCCACAACTGGACCTAATGGTCAGGAGTCCCTTTACTTTTTTAAGGATGTGCAGTCGTACCTTGGAAGTCAAACAGAATCCGTTCTGGAAGTCCGTTCGACTTCCAAAACGTTTGGGTTCCAAAATGTTCGACTCGCAAGGCATTTGAGATCCAAGGTACGACTGTATTACTAATTGCCTCCGCTAGAAAACTCGGAAAGGTGGGCTTTCCTTGCCTGGTAGGCAGAGGTGGCTGGCTCCATCAAGCTGGCGGAAGGAACAGAACTTGGCAGCACCAATTTTTGGCATGTCCAACACAGCCAGCCAACCACTGTACACCCTAGCAACAGCCACTGCATGAAGCTGCAGAGCAGGGAATAGAAAAGAAGTGGGGCCAATCCATTGTCTCTGGTGAGAGACCAGCTTGCCTCAAGAAGTCATTCCCATGAACATCTATTCTGCTGGTCATTGTGAGAACCTGTGAATTTAAGACCCAGTGCCTGAGGTTGCTTTCTCCCTCTCTCTCTTCTCTCCTCATCCCTTTCAGCCACTCTGGGAGCCTTCCCGGCTAAGGTAAAGGGACTCCTGACCATTAGGTCCAGTTGTGACCGACTCTGGGGTTGCGGTGCTCATCTTGCTTTATTGGCCGAGGGAGCCGGCCTACAGCTTCCGGGTCATGTGACCAGCATGACTGAGCTGCTTCTGGCGAACCAGAGCAGCGCACGGAAACGCCTTTTACCTTCCCGCCGGAGCGGTACCTATTTATCTACTTGCACTTTGACGTTCTTTCGAACTGCTAGGTTGGCAGGAGCAGGGACCGAGCAACGGGAGCTCACCCCGTCGTGGGGATTCGAACCGCCGACCATCTGATCGGCAAGCCCTCGGCTCTGTGGTTTAACCCACAGCGCCACCCTGTCCCAAAGGTAAGGTAAAACAAAAAACAAAAAACCACTTCAGATATAGGTGAAGTAGGTGAAGTAACCTGGCATCGAGGAAGCGGGATCTCAGGATCATGACAGCCTCGCAGGTGCTTTGCTTCAGCTGCATCTGGATGGAGCTGAACTTCCGGTGGATGATGCTGACCATGCGCTCAATCTCCTTGGGCGACACGGGGCGCGTGCGGCTCTGCTCCCGAAGGAGGTTCATCACATGTGTCGTAAACTCGTTGCAGGCCTGACGAGGAGCAGGTGAGAAAGGGGAAGAGGCTGAGTTGGAGGAGTAGGAGCTCCAATACACAAACCCAAGGAATATTAATACCCCCCACAAAAAAAATCCCTGCCCCCAACTCCTAATGTAAATGTAGGGGACCTGTGCCCCACCCAGATGTTTTATTATGTATTTTTAGTTCTCCTTTTGCATTTTTATGTTGTGATCCGTCTCGCAATCTTCTTATGAAGGGTGGTATACAAATTTAATAAATAATAGCAATAATGGTAATCACATCCTTACCTGGTTATGACCAGAAAGCCCTATCTGGTTTTATCCCAGGCTATCTGAAAGATCGGATCTCTCTATATGAACCTGACCAGGTGCTAAGATCCTTGGGTGAGCCCCTTCTCTTGATCCCACCAACGTTGGACTCTTGGAGGTGGCGAGAGCGGAAACCTATTCCGGGTTGCTCCAATATTATGGAATTCCCTCCCAAGCAGTGTTGGAAATTAGCCAGGTACGTTTCACTACTGGCATGGGTCCAATTGTGACGACATGGGAAATTTCTGGGCACCAGGTGGGCAACCACCGTTTAAAAACCTCTGCCTTAAGTCCATAGTTAATACCATTTCCACTTCCACTGTGTGTGTTTCTCCTTTTGCATACTGGCTCAAGTGAATTGTTGGAAGAGCAAGCTACAATCAAGCAATGTAGTTGAGCTTATACAATTGTAGAAATGGAAGGGACCCCAATGGTCACCCATTTCAACCTCCTGGTAAATAGTCATTCCATTGTGCTGAGTGTAACCTAGATTTGGTAATTCTTCACAGAACTCTAGCCTAATGGTTGCCATCAATTTGATTTGAACTGATTTGATAATGAATTGATTTTAGAATGCTGTATTATTTTACTGTTGTTAGCCGCTCTGAGCCCGGCTTCAGCTGGGGAGGGCAGGATATAAATAAAATTTTATTTTATTATTATTTATTATTTAAGATGCCGTTTGGCACCTAGTTTACACATCTGAGTTTCCAACACTGCTCCCAAGAGATGTTAGAAGCGTCTGTCTCCCTCCTTGTTTTGTATAGTAAGAACTTCCTGTTCAGACAGGCCTTTGAAAACTGCTGCGCCGCCAATCGACTGCCAAACAAGCTGGATTTTAAACTGGCGCCCCAAACGTGTTTCAGTGTGGTTCCAACTATTCATTGTTAACTGGCTTGCTTTTGCATTTTATAATGGGTGTCCTTGAACATGGTGGAAGCCGCCGGGAGTCCCAACTTGGGAGAAACGCAGGGCAGGAATACAACGTATATAATCACCACCACCACCATCCTTACCTGTTCGTATTTCTCCAGCTCCGAATGGTAGATCTGGCGGATCTGGGAGAGCTTGTTGCGGTAATCGGAGTGCTCAATTGAGTTATCTGGGGACACCCCCCCTGCTGCCGCGGCCGCTGCTGCCGCCGCTGCAGACCCACCCCCTTTCTCTGGGCCGGCCACTCCCTCGGCCAGCAGCATATTGTCCAAGCGCATCAGCTGGGGGTCCACCGGCTCCTCCTCCTGGGAGCTTCGGATGCTCAGTCCTAAAAAGGTAGACGGCAGGGGGAAGGAAGGAGTTAACGGTGGGGCGGCCATGTTCACACACACACAGGCATTCCCAGCCCCCCTTTCCTGCCCTTCCTTGGTGGGCTTCCCCTCCTCCCTCCCCCCTCCTGGTGCCTCCTTCCTCTTTTGTCGCTTGGCAGGAGACTAGGTCACCCCGAGGTCGTTGCTACGGCGACGGCGGGCCCAGAAAGGGGGTAGCAACTTTTGGCAGACAGACACAGAGATATGGGGGGGAAGGGAGTGAGAAAGAAGAAAGAAAGAAAGAGCAGAAAAGAGGCCCAAGGTTGAGCCAAAGAAGCAACATATTGAGGATCCCAAGGAGAGAAAGGGGGAAAAATAGGGCCCCCTAACTCAACCCCCCCCCCAAAACACCACCTTCAATGTCAAAGCTGCCTCCGTTTAGGGACTGGCTCTGTTTTGGCTTTGAATTGCCACCTGATCCACATTTTCCACGGAGGAAAAAGAACCAAGACTCTGGCGGCACCCCAGACTTGATTTATTATGGCACTGAGCTTTCAGGCCCTAATTATTTTGCTCTCTAAGGCAGGGGTGGCAAGCTCAGTCCGGCCCAGTGAGCGTTTCTTGCTCTCTCCCCATCCCAAAGACCCTACAAATGCTGGCGATGGGAGGCAAAGCCACACAAAAATTCAAGAAGGGTGGCCGGTCGTTTCACCCCGCCCTGACCATTGATATGATCAAATATCAATCATTTGATAAGCAAAGAGGGGAGCGACAGCCCTCTTCCCGGCATGCGGCCCCCGCCCCGCAAGGTTAGCGACCCCTGGTGTCGCAAGACTCTTTGTTGATCTCGCATATATTTAGCAGCCGGGTGTCTTCACCGGCCAAAACGTCTGTAGGTCAGGCCGACCCTAAAACACAGCACAGCAGCAGGGGGCCAGTTTAATGTTTAAAAAAGGAGTAACAGGGCTGCCAACAACAAAACCCGAAGCAAGAAACCACCTTGCCTACTCCTGTCCCTTTAAGAGAACTTTGCTGGGCAGAAATCCATGGCCCGGCGCCAGACAGGATCTCCAGGCCTATAGCTGCGCCTCCAAGTCCTGTTAAAGAGACCAGCCACGTTCACACTGAATAGCTGAAGCACTCTCAGACCACTTTAAACACTCCCCAAGAAAGCTGGGAACTGTAGTTGGTTACTGGGAAGAGGGACAAGCTCTTAAACCACTCTGGAAATTGTGGCTCTGGGTTGCAGGAAGCCATGGCTGTTTAAAGTGGTATATTCCCCTCCCAGAGTGGCTTAACAGCTCATCCCTCTTCCCAAGTACTGCTGGGAATTCTAGCTCTCAGCATCCGTACCAACTACAGTTCCCAGGTTTCTTTGAGGGACGCCACGACTGTTTAATGTGGCATCTATTGCAGTGCTTTAAACGGATGGTGTTGGGGGGCTGCAGGCCCTAAATATGGCAAATGTGGCTTTCAGCAGTCAGTTGGCATAACGTAGTAAACTCACTTTGGGGGGGGGGACACAACAGAGGGTCTGACAAACTGCAGAGATTAGGCGGTAGAGCAGGGGTCAGCAACCTTTTTCAGCCGCGGGCCAGTCCACTGTTCCTCAGATCATGTGGTGGGCCGGACTATATTTTTTGGGAGGAAATGAACGAATTCCTATGCCCCACAAATAACCCAGAGATGCATTTTAAATAAATGCACACATTCTACTCATGTAAAAACATGCCTATTCCCGGACCGTCAGCAGGCCGGATTGAGAAGGCAATTGGGTTGCATCCGGCCCCCGGGCCTTAGGTTGCCTACCCCTGTGGTGGAGTTACCAGACAGACCTAAGTGAGAAAAGCAATGAAAGCAACCACACCAGCTATTTTACACACACCCCAACTCCTCCAGAGCCTCCCCTCCAATGCAAGAGGAAAAATGGGGGCTTGGAGCCAGAGAAAAATACTCTCCATCTGGTCAGGCCTCAAAGTCCCATGTGAGCCACAAAAAAGAACAGAAGGAAATTGGGAGGCAAAGTGCTCTCTCCTATGGGGAGTGGGGCTCGAGATATTTTGATGCCCGAGGCCAATATGCCCACCCCAATATGGCAAAGTTTCCCCCTCATACATATTACATATTAACATGGGGCAGGATTGGGGCGAGGCATCGGGAGGGCTTTCACGAAAACGACTAGCCATAGGCACAGTGGAAGAACGGTCAGCCACCATGGATAGTAGCCACTGGTAGCCTTAAGGTAAAGTTAAAGGGACCCCTGACCATTAGTCCAGTTGTGGGCGACTCTGGGGTTGCAGCGCTCATCTCGCTTTATTGGCCGAGGGAGCCGGCATACAGCTTCCGGGTCATGTGGCCAGCATGACTAAGCCGCTTCTGGCGAACTAGAGCAGCGCACGGAAACGCCGTTTACCTTCCCGTCGGAGCGGTACCTATTTATCTACTTGCACTTTGACGTGCTTTCGAACTGCTAGGTTGGCAGGAGCAGGGACCGAGCAACAGGAGCTCACCCCGTCGCAGGGATTCGAACCGCTGACCTTCTGATTGGCAAGTCCTAGGCTCTGTGGTTTAACCCACAGTGCCACCCCCGTCCCTTCTGGTAGCCCCTATAGAAGCATGAGGTGGGGGGGGGGAATGCACCACTGCTTGAAACACTGGAAAGCGCGCCTGTCAAATGCACCGGCAAAGGCCGGGGAAAACTGAACTCACCCCACGGGAGAAAATCCTGTTGCCAAGTACATGGGTCTTTTTGTTCATTCTGTTCTTAACACTGTTCTAATAAGATTATTGGGACGCGGGTGGCGCTGTGGGTTAAACCACAGAGCCTAGGGCTTGCCAATCGGAATGTTGGCGGTTCAAATCCCCGCAGTGGGGTTTGGTCCTGTTGTTCGGTCCCTGCTCCTGCCAACCTAGCAGTTCGAAAGCACACAGTGCAAGTAGATAAATAGGCACGGCGTTTCCGTGCGCTGCTCTGGTTCGCCAGAAGCGGCTTAGTCATGCTGGCCACATGACCCGGAAGCTGTACGCCGGCTCCCTCGGCCAGTAAAGCGAGATGAGTGCCGCAACCCCAGAGTCGTCCGTGATTGGACCTAATGGTCAGGGGTCCCTTTACCTTTAGTAAGATTATAAAGAACTATACAACATATTATGCTGAATACAGCAACTTTAACCTGACAAGATGTAGAGAACAGCATTTTGAAAACTGCGCAGTTGTCCAGGATTTTTCCAAAACACAACAGATAAATATCACTTGACTCGGGAAGAGAAAAAAAAAAGGACAAGCGTTGATCCTTCCGGCACCTCTCAGTTTAAGCTCCCAAAGTCTTGTTTTTACATGACATTTGTGCACAACCCTGTGCCTTTCACCCAACCCTCTTTTCTGGTTGAAGAGGTTTGGTGGGTTTCTGAAGCAACTCAAAAAATATGTTTAACCAGTAGGAGAACCGGGAAGAGCGATCCAAGTTGCAAACCGCCTAGAACTCTTGCCAATAGAGCATTGCCTATGTATGCTCATGATAGCAGACCTTCAGGTGGTGTGGCACATTATAAGGAGAGAGAGAGAAAGAGAGAGAGAATGGATATGCTTTGCATACAAAAGGACCCTAGGTCAAACCCCAGCATCTATGGCTAAAAGGCTCAGGGTGGAGGTGATGGGGAAAAACTTTTGCTTCAGATCCCAGAGAGCCACTGCCTGTCAAGAAGTGGCAATATTGGGCTAAACAGACAAATAGGCTTACCTGGCATAAGGTAGGTACTTTTATTGAAACAGTAGTTCACCCCTGTATTAACTTCTACTATAAAAGACCCAAATTCTGCTCCTTGAAAGTTCATTTCAGAGGGGAGTGAATTCGCTGCTGTTTCCCTACAGATTTTTCCTCCGGCACTGAAAACATATTTAAATTGGAGGAAGAGAAGGGGCGGGGAGGAATACTGTATTCTTCGCCCTATAGGACGCACCTAGATTTGGGGGGGGGGGGGGATAAAGGAAAAAAAAAATATTTCTCCCCCCCAGGCACGGGGCTGGGGCAGGGGAAGCCCGAGCTTCCCCCAACGCCAGCCCCCAGAACGGGACCCAGAGCGATGCCGAAGCTGCGTGCAGCTTTGGCATCGCTCTGGGAGCTTGTGGGGCTGGGGGAGGGGGAAGCCCTCCGCCAGCCTCCAAACCAGGTGGGGAGACAGCGAGATGGCGCGCTGCGCCTCTCCCGCTGTCCCCCGAGTTTGCGGGGCTGGCGACGGGGAGGAGCAGGCTTCTCCCCCCCGCCAGTCTTCTAACCAAGTCGGGGGACAGCGGGAAAGGCGCAGCGCCTCTCCCGCTGTCCCCCGAGCTTGTGGGGCTGGCGGTGGGGCTCTCCTGAAGCCTGGAGAGCGAGTGGGGTTGGTGTGCACTGACCCCTCTCGCTCTCCAGGCTTCAGCGAAAGCCTGCATTCGCCCCATAGGACGCACACACATTTCCCCTTCATTTTTGGAGGGGAAAAAGTGCGTCCTATAGGGCGAAAAATACGGTAAATCCTTTTCTGCTAGTGTGCAGGAAGGTGAACAAGGATCAAAGTCCCACTCATATTCGGGGATGAATTGCAAAAAAAAGTAAATAAAGTTAGTAAGGGGGCTATCCAGCTACATCACTGAGTTATTTCAGTGCAAGGATTTTAATGGATCTGCCCCGAATTTGACTGATGTTAAACTATCACCCAGTGCATTTTAAGAGTGTTTATTGCAGCTGCTATTTTTATACCTCACTATAATCACAGCTGTGTTATCAACAAAGGACAAACAGGCATCCTTTTTGCAGCGAAGATTTATGAGCCTCTTGAGTCCCATTCTGGCATTCTAATCCTCGGGGAGATTACGATTGCCCCAAGGGAGAGTGGGGCACTAACTCTGCCCTCCCCTCATCCCTTTCCACCAGCTGAAGGCAAAATACCAGCAGCAGGGGATATTGCTCTACTCATCTAGGTCCCCTACACAATTTAGGATCCTGGACAGCCAGGGGACTAAATCAAGCAGAGAACCTACACAAGCAGAAAAAGGCTCTCCACTTCAGAAGTTAATACTCGCAACTAGCAGAGGGCAATGGGAAATGGGGAAGGTACAGGAAGGAGCATAGCTTAAGGGCAGAACGTTTGACTTGTGTGCAGAACATCCTAGGAAGTGTAAGAAACTCGGATACAGTGGTACCTCGGGTTACATATGCTTCAGGTTACAGACTCCACTAATCCAGAAATAGTACCTTGGGTTAAGAACTTTGCTTCAGGATGAGAACAGAAATCGTGCTCCGGCGGTGTGGCGGCAGCAGGAGGCCCCATTTGCTAAAGTGGTGCTTCAGGTTAAGAACAGTTTCAGATTAAGAACGGACCACAGGAACGAATTAAGTACTTAACCCGAGGTACCACTGTACTCTCATTGCCAAAGGGCACCTTAAACCTAGGTTACAATCGCCTCAATTGAATGTCTAGGCGCTATTAATACTATTATTTCTATACCACTTTATATTTTAAAGAACAAATCTCAAAGCGGTTTACGACACATTAAAACATCAAACAAAACAATCCAGAATAAAACAAATTCAAGCGTCAAGAAAAATATATTTCGCATCCTTCTCTAAGTGACATTTGCTTCCCCCACTCACCAGCCTGGGACCTAGGGATTTCCCCATGTTCACAACTGGATCCGCACCCGTCACAAAACACGCCTAATTTCTAATTTCTAACACTGGTCCCAGGCTTGATCTCCAGCATCTCCCTTTCCTGCAACCCTGGAGAACCACTGCCATTCAGTGTAGACCTGCGGTTCCCAAATATTTCCCCTTAAAAATTGCTGAGGACCACTAAATGATTTTTCTGACTGTTATATTAATTTCTGACTGAATTAATTTTATAATGAAATGATTTTAGAATGTTTTATCATTTTACTGTTGTTAGCTGCTCTGAGCCCGGCTTTGGCTGGGGAGGGCGGGATATAAATAAAATCTATTATTATTATTATTTTTATTATTATTATTATTATAGCTGTAATGCACTGTGCTAGATGCTGCGTGGTTTTTAACGGAGTTAAGGTTCAAACTTTTAGCTCCAGCCTCCCGTTAACTTGGCTTCCGATCTTCTCCACTTCTCTCAAGTGCTTCGTCCCCCTATTATTTATTATTTGTATTATTTTTATTTATTGAATTTATATACTGCCCTGTACCCGGGGGTCTCAGGGCAGTTCACAGAATAAAATCAAGATATAAAACCACAAAATACCTAATAAAAATAAAAAATCACAACTCAATAGTCCCCCCCCCTCCAAAAAAACCCACCACATTTTAAAAGGGCATAGGATCAACCAAAGGCCTGGTTAAAAAAGAACGTTTTTGCGTGGCACCTAAAGGTGTGTAATGAAGGCGCCAGGTGAACTTCCATGGGGAAAGCATTTCACAGATGGGGAGCCACTGCTGAGAAGGCCCTGTTCTTGTGTTGCCATGCTCTGGACCTCTCAAGGAGGCGGCACACGAAGGAGGGCCTCAGACGATGATCTCAGGGTCACTTCCCCCTAGTCACTTTAGGGCCATCCTGTTCACCTTCCTGGAAGATTTCTGGATTCCAAGAATGATGAAGCAGGAGCAGGGCCTGCTACCCTTCACAGACATGCTGTGGACCTCCTGAATGAAACTCGTGGGCCACTGCTGGGCCGTGGCACACAGCGTGTGAACCCTGCGCTAGATGCACCAATGATGTAAGGCAGCACCTTTTGCTCCTAGCGTGCTCCCTGCCTTTCCACCCACTGCATGGTGTTAGAACGCATGGTGTTAGAACACCAAAATCTCCCGTTCACAGTCCCCCAAGGTGAAGAGAGGATCAGCTATCCCATAATCCCATACACCAGTTAAGAATGTACGCAGGGGTGTTACTTTAGGTCTCTGCAATGTTTCCACTTGGTCCTAATAAAAGGTATTTCCCCTGCTGCTCCCTTTTTAAGAGGATGCTCTATAAATAGCCACCTCTCTCTGGCTGCGAAGATAAAATCCAGAGCCATCCCGACTGTGTTTTTCAAGCATCCTTGGGGAGGTAGCTGCAAACGACCGCTGGACTTCCAGCAGTAATTCAACACCAAACTTACGGCTGAGTGTTAACAGCTGAGGAGTGGCAGGAACGCCCAGAGGAGGCTGAGCGATAACTATCAGGGTGAATCTACCTCTGCAAGAGGCCTCCCCAACCTGGCGCTTCAAACTACAACTCCCACCAGCTCCGGCCAACATGTTTTACCTAAAAGCATGTTATTTTGGGTCCCTGTATCTTAATAAAATCCATGTTTGGGGTTTTCATAAGAGCTGGTTTGAAGAGCCTCACGTGGATTATCTCAGTAATGCTTTCAACAGACTCTGCAAATTTTGTTGGCAACCATCAGTCTCGACATACAATGGAGTGCGCCACTGAGGGTGAAGTCAAACTGCTGTGAATTAAAAGGTAAAGGGACCCCTGACCATTAGGTCCAGTCATGGCTGACTCTGGGCTTGCGGTGCTCATCTCGCTTTATTGGCCGAGGGAGCCGGCGTACAGCTTCCGGGTCATGTGGCCAGCATGACTAAGCCGCTTCTGGCGAACCAGAGCAGCGCACGGAAATGCCATTTACCTTCCTGCCAGAGCGGTACCTATTTATCTACTTGCACTTTGACGTGCTTTTGAACTGCTAGGTTGGCAGGAGCAGGGATCGAGCAACGGGAGCTCACCCCGTCACGGGGATTTGAACCGCCGACCTTCTGATCGGCAAGTCCTAGGCTCTGTGGTTTAACCCACAGCGCCACCCGCGTATTATACAATTGTGGAATCGGAAGGGATCCCAAGGGTCATCTAGTCCAACCCTCTGCAATACAGGAACAGCAAAACTATGTCAACTGCTTTGATACTCTTACTGTATGTGGAGGGAGGGCTGGGGGTTGACAGTGGTTTGTTTATACAGTTCAGATTACTGTTTGAGGCTTCACAAACCATGGTTTATGGCGCCAAAGGGTCTCGGGGCTGAACACTGCTCCCCTCCATTTGAACCAGGGAACTCCGGCTTAAAAACAAGCCAGGATCTTTGTGCCAATTGCGAAGGAAGAGAGGAATGAGCTCTCTCCACACCAGTGCTCCTTCCTGGCTTCACAGACCGCAGTTTATGTAGCCCCAAAGGCCCATCTGAACTGGGAGTTAATGGCCAAGCACTAAATTTTATCAAGAAAGTCCCTAGCCGAAGCTCTTTGCCACTCCAGCCCAGCCTCTTCATAACGTCTCCTTGTAATAAATCAATTCTGCTTCCTTGGAGGTTTTTAAGCAGAGGTCATGTGGCCATCTCAACTCCTTCCTCCACCCACCAAAAAAACCCTTTTTGCTTCTTTTACCCCCCGCGGCATTTGCCCACAGTTCCCCCTTTTCAAATTCACAGAATCATAAGAGTTTGAAGAGTCAGCTTAGTCCCACTCCCTGCAAGGCAGGAATCTTTTGTCCAATGTGGGGCTCAAACCCACAACCCTGAGATTAAGAGTTACCTGTCACAGCCTAGCCTCCCTCGCAGGACTGTTGTGTGGACAAAAAAGGAGTGGGGCAGAGGGGAAACCACCTTGATTGAGCTCCTTGGGAGAAAAGGGGGGGATAGAAATGGAATAATAACTAAATAAATGCTAAACTGCACTAAGTCCTACCCCATCCCCATCCTGCCTGTTTCTGCCTGGCCTCTCATGTCAGACATCCAAATTATTCACACATGACCACACTCTCCCAATTACAGGCCTATAGGACCTGTTTTATGTTCAATCAAAAGAGGTGCGTTGATTTAAACAGGCCCAATTTGCATTTATTTTGTTTTATTGCAACTTGCACAGCCTTTGCAGCTGCCAGATCTCCTCAAGGGCACCATTTCACAACCGCAGCTGCCAAGGGCACCAATTTAACTGCCAGGTTTCGCAGGCTAAAGATAAAGAGGGGGAACAAGCGAAATTCAGCAAGATCCAATGGAGTGCCACTCTTGAACACATTCAAGATTGAACCGTGTTTTTTATTTTAAAAAAGTGTCCTCCATAAAACAAAAGGGGTCTGTGGATCCTGCCTTCCACCATCCCATTCCTCCTTTCAGAAAGACACTCTTCCCTGGTCTACAGGGTTAAATATACATATATTGGAATCACAGAATTGTAGAGCTGGGATGCCAAGGGTCATCTAGACCAACCCGCTGGGCTGTGACAGTCGTAATGTACATGTTAGCTCAGTACTACGTTCTTCCATCGGACTAGATGACCCTCAGGGTCACAATTCTATGATTTCTAGGTTCAGAAAGGTTCCACTCCAAGGATAAGCCCAGGCCAGGTGTGAGGAAACTTTGGATCTCCTGAGGTTGCTGAACTCCACCTCTCATGAGCCCCAGCAAGCATGGTCCAGGACAAGGGATGATGGGAGTTGTAGTTCAGCAACACCTGGAAGGCTGAAGCTTCCCCACATTTGATCTAAAACAAATAAATATAAAGCCACTTCTGAGCACCTCTCACCCTTGGGAAGCTGGCCTATCCTATCTCAGCCAAAACAAGGCGTGAGGCCTGTACTGCTGGGCCTGAGAAGCTTCCAATGACAATAATCCTTGTATTTTTCTTCATAAACCCTAATAAAAACACTATTTATTTTTTTTAAAAGAGCTCCCATTTTTAATATAATGTTAACTCCGTGGTGAGGATGGCATCATGGGAGATTCAGATGGCAGCCTCATTTTTAAGTCTCTTTTACTATCAAGGGGCCCAGCTCGGCATCTGCGAAGACGCCGCGGACCCCGACAAGAGAGCAACGTTCACCACGAAACAACAGATTCCCATGTATACACTGTGAGGAAAGCCATTGCAGCTCCTCCAGATGCAGGCGAGCATATGGATCTCTAAAAATAAAGGAGCCGTGGCACATTTTGCCTCCTGTGGAGGACGCCGGGCCTTGCCTCCCACCTTAACAATGAAAGCAACAGATGCTCTTTCCAGCCATGGGAAACGCAGCTAATTTATGTTCTTTCTAATTTATGTCTTTTGGGGAAGGGCAGCAGCTCAGCGGAGAAGCATCTGCGCCCAGCGCTGAAGGCCCAGGTTCAATTCCTTGGCATCTCCAGGTAACAGGCGAGGGGGAAATGTCCCCTGCCTAAAATCCTGCACAGCTGCTGCCAGTCAGTGTAGACTACACTGACCTGGGGGAGTCGATGGTCTGACTCAGAATGAAGCAGTTTCTTATATTCCCCTATTCCATCCACGCACCCTAAACTTTAGGTGGGCAAACCACATGCTTTTCCTAAATTTTAAAAAGGTACCACCAACACTCATGTAGATCAGGAGTAAGGAGCCTTTGGTCATCCTGATGTTGCCAAACGACAACTCCCATCAGCCGCAAGAAGGAAAGCCAACGATGAGGGAAGTGGGAGTTGTAGTTCAGTAAACATCCAGGATAGCAGTCACGAAATTAAAAGACCCCTGCTTCTTGGGAGAAAAGCAATGACAAACCTAGACAGCATCTTAAAAAGCAGAGACATCACCTCGCCAACAAAGGTCCGTATAGTTAAAGCTATGGTTTCCCAGTAGTGGTGTATGGAAGTGAGAACTGGACCATAAAGAAAGCTGACCGCTGAAGAATTGATGCTTTTGAATTATGGTGCTGGAGGAGACTCTTGAGAGTCCCATGGACTGCAAGAAGATCAAACCTCTCCATTCTGAAGGAAATCAGCCCTGAGTGCTCACTGGAAGGACAGATCCTGAAGTTGAGGCTCCAATACTTTGGCCACCTCATGAGAAGAGAAGACTCCCTGGAAAAGACCCTGATGTTGGGAAAGATGGAGGGCACAAAGAGAAGGGGACGACAGAGGACGAGATGGGTGGACAGTGTTCTCGAAGCTACCAGCATGAGTTTGACCAAACTGCGGGAGACAGTGGAAGACAGGAGTGCCTGGTGTGCTCTGGTCCATGGGGTCACGAAGAGTCGGACACGACTAAATGACTAAACAACAACAAAACATCCGGGAGCCCAGAGGCTTACCACATCTGATGTGCACCAGTATGGGATCACTTTTAAATGTTTTTTGATGAGAAATAATTATTCGTTAAATTTATATACCGCCCTTCATCCAAATATCTCAGGGCAGTTCATGAGATAAAATAAACATCACATTACACAGAGACACGCACAACCTGCCTTTTAGAAATAGCTTAAAAACCGGCCAGGACAGGTGATGCAGAGGTGAAGAAGTGACATCATAGGGGCCAGCCAATCAGCACAGGGCACAGCCGGTTTCTGATGGGAACAGGTGACATCGTAGGGGCCAGCCAATCAGCACAGGGCACAGCCAGCTTCTGATGTGGACAGGAAGGGATGGGTTTCCCCTGACTCAGAAGGAAAGGCTGCACTCCTGTACAAAACTAGTATATTTATTGCTCTTCTGTACAAAACTTCTGTACACTTCCCTGGTGGGCTGAGTGCTTGTGTTGATGCACCCAGTTTGGTGCAGAAACATGCTTGCCCCAGAGGTAGGTGCAGCTGCCGTACAGACCCACCCTCAGGCACCAACGGGGCTCTCAAACCAACGCCACCAACAGACAGGTTTCAGTGCCTTAGCTTCCTGCACCACCTGCTCCCTAGGAGACCAGGCCTTAAGGAAAAGGGTGTCCTATGTGGATGTGGACCTGGCCTGAAGAGAGACTCAGGTGACCTTCCCAGCTTGAAGAGTGCCTGTCGACTCTCTATGCCAGCCAGGATGCACCAAGCCCAGTAAATCCCTCTACCTGCCTTTGACCTCACATCTGCTTCTGGCCACTCCAAGCCTTGGAATTTGACCTTCCGCCTGCCTTGAACTCTCTTCTTCACATCTATCGCTCATCTTGCCTGCCCACACCCAAAGCTGGACTGCGACTGTGGCTTGTCTCAGAGCTAGGGGCAGGCCCGATGACATTCTCCCTCGTTCCAAGAACTGCACAACTCTGCGCTCAAAAAGGCAGCCAGCAAAAGCAAGTTTCTGGACCTCATGGTTATGAAGATGCACATAAAGCAGCCTGGGGCATAAGGCCCTAAAAGTTACTAGCCTATAAAAATGTTTACTAGCCTACTGAGGACCTGCAGATGGTTTACCCGCTGTGTTTACATGCTCACTGTGCAGGTGGGAGCTTTTTTCTTCCGAAACAGGGATGGGAAGCTTTTGGCCCACCATTTTGGCCTGCAAAGGCCATGTCCCCCAACCCTCCCCACCTGTCAATCAGCTGACATCACTCATGACATCAGCTGCTGGGTGGGAGGGTGAGGTCCAATTTTGAGTTGCACAGGCAAGTTTCCGGCAGCGAACAGGCGCTCACAGCCAAATCCCAACGAGCAGGGATTAAATCCTGCTCAGTTTGGCTGTGCATGTCTGTTGTTTGCTAAGCACAGGCCCACACAGCCAAAGCAAGCAGCTCCAGTTTTTTTGCAGCATCGACTTGCAAGCCTCTTTCCTGCACTACCAAGCGCAGGACTGGCAACGCCCCTTGCACTGTGGTTTACGAGTGCCCGGCGTGATGTCATTATGATGTCACATGATTGACAAGCAGGCTGTCCCTGGAGCCAAAAATCTTCACCCCTGCTCTAGCAGCTCACTCTGGTTTCTGTGCTGGGGACAGGAAAAGAATGGACAATGCTGTCTTTCCTCTGCCAGTCTACACACTTGCTTCCATGCACGTGTCTGCGGTAACCAGGCTAGTGCTTAACTGCAAGGTTCCCTTAAATAATATGAGCAATGTGAGCCAGAAGTTTTAGAGACTAGAGACAGGTGTGGCCAATTAGCCTTTCAAGCAATTGTCAGAAGAATGTCAGTGCATTGCATAACTTCCCCCTTCTCCTTGCCAAACCAAAGCAGGATTAATTATGCAAAATGAGCAAATTATGAACATCTGCATCAACTCAGCCTTCTGGTGGGGGGGGGGGGGTAAGGAATTAAGCTTTCTTGCGAAGATTTGTTTTTTTAAGCAGGGAGAACATACCTTGCTCTGGATCTTGAGGGAATGAAGATTTGCCTTTGGCATTCAGGGAGGGGCGCAGCTCTAAGCCTCCCCAAAGGTTCCAGGTACGGCAGGGCAAAGGTTCAAAAAATAAATAAAACACCCGTGCAAATGCGTGAGGCAGCCAGTGGGAGGGGAGAATAATTAAAAAATGGCAAGACTTGGCATGCATACACACCCTTTGTACAATTAGCGTGATTTCAGTGCCACTTCTAGACTTTAAATGGCTTGCAGCAAAAACGTTTAAACCGCAACAACACCAAGCCACTTCATTCGAGTTGTAAAACAACCAGAAAATGACCCTGTAATTAATCCTACTTTGCGAAGTCAAGAAGAATACTATCTCTTGCTCGGCATCTCATCCTAAAGGGGCCAAAAAGATATGAAGACAAGACGTTTCACATGAGGAGCAAGGATTCCACTAAGCAGGATTCCTCAATTGCTGGGGAGGGGCGGGTTGGACTAGATGACCCTTGTAGTCCCTTCCAAATCAAATTCTGTGATTCTAGCAAGAAAACACTGCTCCTGGCAAAGGATAGCCCTGATTTTAGTGAGATTCTCAACAGGACATCTCTATTTGGTTTAAATCTCTCTCTTTGGAGGGGGGCTCATATGGGAGAAGGTGCTCAGTCAAATATGCCAGGGTGTTTATTCCTGCATTGCATGGGGTTGGACTAGATGACCATTGGTGTCCCAACTCTACAATTCTACGAGTCACCCTGATAAAACTGATATAGTACATTCCTCCCTTGGGGTCCCTTTGCACCCCATAATTCCATGATTCCAACAGCCAATGCAATGCATTCGAGACCAGCTTCAGTTTCCAGACTGTCTTCAAGGCCAGCCCTCTGTGCAACTGATTGCAGTAATCAAGCCAAGAAACTACCAGCGGATGCATCACAGCATCTATCTAGATGCTATCTTGCTATCTAGAAAGAGGTGCAACTAGCTGGGAGAGGTGAAACCTCACACCCGGCTGCAACTACCAGAGCAGTCTTGATCCCCAAGTACGGTTATGGTTCAGACTGAGATGGGATGCAGAAAATCAATTTCAAAATTTTAAAATATGGAATTTTTTTTGCTGATTTTCAGGACCAAAGTCCTTTCACAGCAGCTTGCAATCACGACAGCATGACCAACCTGACCTTTAAAACCACATACAAATAAGGATTTTTTTTTCCAAAAGCCAAAGGGTTAGCAGAACACGATAAAGACAAAAAGAGGACCTATTATAATGCTAGGCTGCTTGCATCCGTCATATAGAGTCAGCATACAGCTAGCCAGCTTGCAAATAACACAAGCAAGTTTAAACCATCCCAGCTACCTAAACAAAGGCAGATTGAAATGGGAATGTCTCCAAGGCTCAACTATATGGACAGAGCCAAAATATGTCATCTACAAGGGAAGGAGTCCAACAGATGAGGGGCCACCAGGGTGGATAAAAATCAATGTTTTTTTAAAGAAATAAAAATCGGATTTAAAAAATTTAAATCTATTTTTTTTAATTTACATTGGATTTTTAAAATAAAATGCTTTTGGAGGAAAAATCTTTCTATAGTCTTCTATTTAAGTTACATTATATTTCAAAGGCTATTCATCAGGAAATAAGGATTTGTTTTAAGTTTTTCATGTGTGCTAAAACTCAATGTGTGTGGTTTTTTTAAAAAAATTGTTTAACCACATCAGTTAACAAACATGAATACATATGCTATAATGTTATTGTTTTAGTTAAATAAATTGTTTAAATTGTTATTACGCAATTGATTATTTTTCTCCTTCCAATAAAGTACAGCAGAAAAGTTGTCCAAATATAAACAGTTAACTTATTAAACCTCACAATAATTTCATAATTATCTGTCTATGTATTTCTAATAGTATAACCAAATCTGTATTTTTTAATAAAACTGTAAAAACTACTCTGAAAATTTATTATTCCAAAAATGAAACCTTCCTCTGGTTGTAAATATTAAGATGATACCAGCAAGAATGAGTCTTTCTGTAAAAAAAAAGAGATTTAAATCAAGTCTTACTGATTAGTGATTTAAATTGATTTGATTTAAATCAAATCCGCCCTGGGGGGCCACCACCAAAAAGGCCCTGTCTCGTGAATTCACTAACAGGTCTGCACGCAGGGCCTCTGTGGCCCAACAGTTACACCAATGTGGGACCCTTAAGGCCTTCTCCTGGAATCGACAAAGCTTCTGAGCACCAGTATATGCACACCTATTGCCCTCTTTTCTCCTGGGAAAAGTACATAGAGCTAAAGGAGGAAGTTGAAAAGGCAACGCTCTCCCCCACTTCCTCTTTCGCCTTTAGGTGCTTTGCAAGGCTCAGATTACTTCTACTGGCTCCCACGGAAAAGCATTCACACCTTCTCTTTTTCTGTCTCTCCAGTTCGCAAGAAAAGGGATCAGAGGGGGTCGCATCCATGATTCTTGCTCGAAAAATACAAATGTGCCCACAAGCCGCCCCACAAAAAAAGTCTGACAGCCCCTGATTTAGTATGAGAACGCCTGAGCTTTCTAGCTACATTGTCATACGTAGGAAGAAGATTCTTAAATTGGTTTATAATTGTTTAACCCGAAAGGACCCACAACAGGCTTTTTCAGTGTAGGCCTCACTACTGTCCTCCATTAAATGCAGCTGGAAATTTTGGCTTCCTCAATGAAGCATTATCTGCAGAACCAGCCTAATTTGTATCAAAAGAGCCCTGGTGGATCAGTACAAAGGCCTACCTATTTTAGCATCCAGATCCTACCCCAATTTAAAGTTTAATAGATTTATAAGCCACTTTAAGAAGACATTCTTCATAAAGCTGTGAATAATAACAAAAGCCACCAAGGAGAATAGTTTCAAAACATATAGAAAACCAAATTTATTTCATAATATTCTAGAACAAAAGCCCATCAAGCAGTGTTTTATTTTTCCCATTTCTAAAGTAATAACGAACGGACACAAACTTCAAATAAGTATAACCCAGCAGCTTCCAAGTTTTTAAACATGCTCAATTTGTTCTCTCTAGCACATCAGAAAATAATTTCCAACGCATCCTGAAAAAAAATCCAGTGCATATTACCCCAATTTCATAGGAACACTTTCCTAATTCAAGTTTGTATGGGAAACCCACATCGGGGGCAAAAAAATAAACATACTACCTGCAATTTAGAGCGCTATCTCTGCAGTCCAGTTTGCATCAACCACAAAAAGATACAAAGAAAAAGGTAGGTTCTCAAGGACCACCAAAAGGAAGGAGCCAAACTGTCCTCCCAGGCAACTGAATTCCTTAAGTATGGGGCCATCACCGAGAAGGCCCTGCTCCATGTCCTCACCACACAGATCACCTTAGCTGTCAGGCACCTGAGCAAGGCCTCTGGAACAGATCTTAAGGTACAGGAAGATTGGTACGACTGCAGGTGGTCCTTCTGGCCCACCAGTTGCCTCAGAGAAGCACACAGCCAGGGCAGTAGGCCTCTCTCACTGTTATTTTCCCAGCAACTGGTATTTCAGAGGCATAACGTATCTAAAAACCGGAGGTAGGATATAACCATTATTTCTTGTTACCATGGATACATTTATCATCTTTGGGATCATATGCCTCTGAATACCAGTTGATGCAAACCACAGGTGGGGAAAGTAGTTCTGTTGCATTCAGGTCCTTTCCTCGTGGGCTTCCCATCGCGATATCTGGTTGGCCACTGCAAGAACAGAAGGCAGGACCAGACAGGCCCTTGGGCTAATCTAACAGGGCATCCTCTAAGCCAGGCATCCCCAACCTTTGGCCCTCCAGATGTTTTGGACTACAATTCCCATCATCCCTGACCACTGGTCCTGTTAGCTAGGGATCAGGGGAGTTGTAGGCCAAAAACATCTGGAGGGCCGCAGGTTGGGGGTGCCTGCTCTAAGCGCTGGCCCACTTATAAGACAAAGTGAGGCGACTGCCTCAGGCGGCAAGATTGACAGGACAGCAGATCCAGCCTCCAAGACAAGCATCTGGCAGAGACTGACGCACTGGCAGAGATGGATATGGCACACACCTGGGAGGTCTCCTCCCACCCTTGCTCCCGATGTGGCTCTTTATTGCTCCCTTGTTCCCTGGCAGGGAGGGGACACCATTTTGTGGTTCGCCTCAAGTGCCAAAATGTATTTGGGCAGGCACTGGCTCCTCTTATGTCCTTATCAATTTTTTTAATTTAAAGCCGTCTAGGCCAGTGGCCTTTGTCACCATTTTATGGCAGAGAATCCCATAGTTTAACTACGTACATGCCCTGTACTTCCCCTTTGTTCCTGAGGACAGATCAACACTATAAAGTACACCCGACACATATTCAGAGCACACAAATTGCCCCCAAAGAATCCTGGGGACTGTGTACAGTGGACGCTCGGGTTGCGAACATGATCTGTGCAGGAGGTGCATTCAGAACCCACGGGCTGCGATTCCGTGCTTCTGCGCATAGCGCAATATAGAGCTTCTGCGCATGCGCGGCCACCAAAACCGGAAGTAATCCGTTCCGGTACTTCCGGGTTTCGGAGGGTCCGTAACCCGAAAAAACGCAACCTGAAGCGTCTGTAACCCGAGGTATGACTGTATTGTCAAGGGTGCTGGGAGCTGTAGAAGAGGAAGTTGCAGTTCCCAGGATTCTGTGAGGCAGGCAGAGTCATGTGCTTTGAATGTGAGTTAGGCATGTTTTAAAGGTATGGTACGGATCTGCCCCAAATCTTCTGTCAATCACCTTCAGAAGAACACCGAAAATTGAAATTGACCCTCTGGTAGTAGGAGAGCAGGAGAAGATAAACTTCTCCTTATCCATTTTCTTGGCGCCATGCATCAGTTTATAAACACAAACAATGCCTTTTCCCTTCTGACAACAGATTGCAGCACTCATGTTTCATAAGCAGTCTTTTAAATTGCAAGCTTCCACCCAGCATCTCTGCTTTGGGTGATGTTGCAGAAGCAAAACATCCATCTCATATGGAAACCACAAGGTGCTTCCCCTAACTTGAGACATTTCAAATACGAGTGGACTCCAACACCCATCAGCCCCAGTGAGCAAGGCCCCAGTGAGCAAGGTCAGGGAAAATAGGGAGATGCAGCCCAGAGATATCAGGAGCAGACCAGCGGTCGGAGAACGCTGCCGGGAAGAAAGCAAACCAAAAGCCGGAGCCTTCTGCACATTTATTCAGAATCAAATGCCAATATACTCAGTTGGTCTCCCTCCCAAGGAAGCACGCACAGGATCCAATTGTCTGCACAAGCCCCACTGAATTTTGTGGAGATGATGTCTGAGCAAACTTGCACAGGACATGGCTGCGACTGCTTGCCTAAACTAGGGACCACTTCAAAGGCAGAAAAACTTTTTCAAACAGATTTTCTTGGCGACCTTCTGTGGGTCACATGACATGGGCGAATGGGGCCGAGCAAGAAGACATTTATTAACACACGCCAAAACATTCAGTCCCACAGCTTTCACCCATCGTTCTTTAAACTTCCGGACCTATCTTTGATCACGAAATGCAAAGAAATGGGACTTGCTGTTAATATTCTCCTGCACGTCTCTCTCCCATCTATGACTTTTACCTCCTTTTGAAAAACACAACAACCCACCCTAAAGCAGCTGCTTACAGAAGGGACGAAAATGGGAGGTGCACCATCGGTGTGACACAACTTTTCCCCGAGTGCATGATATGCTTGAGAGTTCCAACCCACCGGGCTCACGTTTGAGCAAAACAAAACAAAAAGTATTCACACTCACTCTCTAAAACACAGATTAGTGTTTCCAGAATCCAGCTTAATGCTTTTCTGGCTGCAATCCCACTCCCAGCGAGGCCTCCGAACTCCTATTGACTTGAGTGGGATTTAACCAGTTTAAATAAACGTGCAGATGACCAAACGAGGCCCTAAAGACAGCTGGCCATTACTTCGGATACATGTGGCTCAAATCCCAGCAGCTTAAGACTGGATGAACTTTAATGACAATCCCAACACACACACACACACACACACAAACCCTTCCTTCTCGCTCTCTCCTTTTCACTAATCCTTTTAAGGCTTGGGCTGCTGGGTTCTTTTCACTTTTTAATCTGGGCACAGCACAACTTCCAAGGAGCTGGCAGGAAACTCCAGGTTTCTCCTCCCTGCCTCTCTCATGCAGAAACACAGCCTTAAAGGCACTTTGCATATCCCACCCCCCCCCCAGCAAAAGGACACCCCACAGGGAAGCCTAAAACTTAAGAAGCAAGCCAGTCAAGGAAGCATCCCAAAGCAAGGGAGAATTTTGGGGAACACAACAGTGATGGGAGGAAAAGGCGGGGATGAAAGTTTCAAAGACAGGAGGGGAGACCGGGGTGGGTGGTATTTATTTCTGTGGACAAAAGATCCTGATGCTACCAGAGACCCCTTTATGGACTAAGTGACCCCCATTACAAGTGAGGCAGTGTGAGCGGGGGGGGGGCGAGAGAGATAGGGGGACATTTCCATCCTTGCACAAAAAAATACACCATGGTCAAACAGCGGACGGGTGGAGGCAGAGAGAGGAGGCAGGTGGTGGGGCAAAGTTGCTACAAAGAAAACCAGGCAGGCGGAAAAAGAAATTTCAGACGCGTCAAGATGGCGCGGGAGACGACAGGCCTCTGGCAAAAACCTCTGGAGGGAAAACACCGACTCTTCTGCCTTCCTCCTCTTTACCACAGACTCCCCATAATCCCCATTCCAATCCCTCCTTTTCTTCGCTCGACAATATAGTGGGTTGTGGGGTTATTTTGGTAACAGGTTGACAAATATATGTGTGTGTGTATTTGAACAACAGCATGCAGCCGCCCCTCTCAAACCCGGAGCCAAAACAATACAGTACCTGTCTTTTCTTTGATTTCGCAGAGGACGGTGAAGAGAGCTGGCTTCATGCGGTGACAATTCAGGGCATGTTTCCTGCAGTTTAAACAGTGGGAGAGAGAGCAGATAAAGCCGGTGGTTTTTGAGGGGAGGAAAGACTGGATTTGGAGTTGTCATAAAGAGAAAGGAAGCCTCTATCCACTTCCACAATAGCTCGCAGGCCTGAGCCTGGCGAATCAATCAATCAATCCTCGTTTATTCGCACATATAATGGAGTCCCCTCTCTGCCCCAGTAATTCCCAGTATAATTCCAGCACCTGAAGAGCGTAAACAATAAAAATATATATTTCCTTCAGTTGTTGAATGGTTTCTAAGAATGTGGAGGGGTGTTCAGGTACAGTAAAATGGGCAAAGTTTGGTCAAGTTAGGGAAGGTAGACAAAAAGGGGGGGAAATCTTAAGGAATGATCCCTGTTTACCCTTCACTGGAATTACATTTTTGCATTGCTTTGATTCCTCCATCTCTCATCTTTTAAAATCGATTTTATGCAGTACAAAACAATTTTCAAACACTTTCTTCTGATATATAATTGCAGCCTTTGACATTCTTTTGGTTACATAGCTTTCCCCATTTCTAAATAATAACTCAGTTCACAAAACACTGGACTTGGGTTTTGCAACTCAGAAATTGCATAAAACCTGGATATACCGGACAATCAAAGCACACAAGCACATATTCAGAGAAACAATCCTCAAATTATTTTGTTCCCCTGCCCCAAACAGAACTCAGTATTTAGACCATCACACAAACTCACGATTCTCCCCTCAAAACACAACTTCCAAGTTCAGACCAACACAGTGTCCTGAGAGCCCTTTTCTCTCTATAATGCTACAACTTCCACAAACCAAGAATTCAGCACAGAAAACCTCTCCGCAGACCTTGATATCTACAATTCACCTCACACTGGATTTAATCCACATAGCTACACAGATCATAGGAAATAAAAAGACACCCCTGAGGATTTTAACTTTCTCAGTATAAAATACCTCTCTTCCCAAAAGCCACTTCACAACCCTTAACCACACTGGTCTTCCATTCTCTCACAAACTTGGTGCCAATTCCCAGCAGGGGGCAAAAACAACCTTCCAGGAATTTGGATGTCCAGACCTTTGGATACAAACCACTCCACACACAAACTCATATCTGAAACCAAACTTCTGGCAATCGTTCTGTCAAACAGAAACCATCTGACCAATAATATTACCTCTAATCTAAAGATTGGCCTACAATATAAAGTCTTTTTTTATATAAATAAAAATTAAAAAATACAGCAACCACACAAACTTATTATTCAAAGTTAGACAAAAGTCATAATTTCAGCATAAGACCCTTCAAAGAGTTTTATCTGCAAATAGGTAATTCTTTGCTCCCTCCAGCTCACCAAATATAATCAAAAATTTAACTGTTAATATATTTAACTACACAACAAAGACCCTCTAAAACATCAACCTCAGGGGTTTGGGATACCCCTGAACCAAATGTGAAAATCTGGTGGCTTGGCTAAGTGAACAGGCAGGGAGTGAAAAGCCAGGCTACTAAAACATCTGGAAGGGAAGCAAGGTCTAGTGGTTTAAGCAGAAGGAATAATGTGAGCAGCAGTCCCCAGAATCTCTCTCTTCATCCAAATTCCAGATCCCCCTGTTATTTACGCTGGGATTCCACACCAACCATCCCTCCCAAACCAGTTCACCAGCAACACCATCCTGTGCATATGTACGCCCCACAACAAGCTGCAAACCCCTGAGAGTATGTTCAGTTACCCTAAAATGGCCCAAGTCCCAAATGGAACAGGCCCCAGCAACCCTCTCTGTAATCCACGCTTGGCTCCCCTGAAATCCGAACCTCTTCTTCCCAACTTCTCCACCCAACAAAAACAAGAGCCAACTTGCTCCAGACTTCCAGGCCTCAGGCTCTCCTCCTTTCTGAAGAGGCTCTACTCAAGTTCGCCCCAACAAACAAGGGAATCCATTCTTAACCCACAACCTCATCTTTCTTCCCCATCAAGTTCCCCCAAATAACACCCCCTCCACGTTCAGTTCCTGCCCAATCCAGCTTCCCAACTCCCAAATCCGGATTTGGGGGAATACCCCAATAAAACTGGAGCACCTCCACCCGAAGCCTTGAACTTCCAAGTCTCCACCCAGGCGCACAACATGCGCCCCCGAGATCCGGCACTACCAAACTCCGCTGGAAAGCGCGGGCCACCCCACGGCCCCCAGGTCTCGGTCCCACAGCTTGCATCCCAAACTACTCCCCGCCACACACAAAGGGAGAAACCCTCCCAGGCAACTTTCCAGCACCCCCTTCTCCCCCACCAGCCCGTGCGCCCCGGAATGGCGAGAGGGTAACCAACTTTGCCTGCGCCTCGTCCAAGCTTTGGTCGGTGATGGTCATGATCTGTTGCAGGATGTCGCCGATGTCTTGCTTGCGCGGCTCGCCGTTATCCGAGGGGGGCTCGTGGAGGGAGTGGGGGGTCATGCTGGGGACCCCCGGCACGGCCGGATGGCCCGGCGGGAGCCCCACGGCCCCCCGAGCTTGGATCAGCCTCCCTTGGTCATCCATTCCGCGGGGGCGCAAAAAGCCACCAAGGCGAAAACTGTCCAGCCGAGCGCGAGCGAGCGCGCACACAAAGACGCCGATCCTAACGCTGTCCAAATCCGGAGGCGCCCGGGCGACGTCGTCGAGGCACGGCTGGGTTTTGTATAGCTATACAGATCTACAGATCGCTATATGCAAGATCTAGAGATCTCTATTATTCCATCTTGGCTGCGCACTCCCACGGCCCCCTTCCCTTGGAGACTTTGGGGCTGGGAAAATGGAGTCCCACACAAGGGCTGGAGGAGGAGGAGGAGGAGGAGCTGGAAAGAGGGAGGGAAGAGGAGGAAAAAGGAGGAGGAGATGGAGGAGGAGAGAGCAGCTTCTCTGGGCTTCCCTCCCTCCTCCTTCTCCTTTCTTCTTGACGCCTCCCCTCCTTTTCCAAGCTAGCGCTGCTGTGTGTATATAGAATACATTTACTGTATATGGAACAGCGCGCTCTCTCTTGTCTCTTTGCTGCCCCCAGCCGGCCCGCTGGAAGAAAAAAACCTGGAGGGGGGCAGCGAGAAGGCGCAAGAAGCCAGCCGGCTTCCTTCCTCTGAAGATTAGAATACTGTATAATCATAGAGTTGGAAGGGCTCCTCCGGGTCATCTAGTCCAACCCTCTACAATATAGGACTAGGCAGCTGGATCGAACCTGCTGCAGCCTTGGAGTTATGAGCTAGAGAGAAAGAAAGAAGGAATGGATGGGCGGGATGCTTATGCACAGTATGCTTAAACCACATTTATGACCCCCCAAGACTCCTGGGAACTGTGGTTCAGTCCCTTGCAGATCTGCAGTTCCCAGCACTCTTAACAAACTACAATTCCCAGGGTTCTTTTTTCCCCCTCCTTTTTTGGGGGGGGAGGGGGAACCATGCACTGTAAATGTGTGTGTGTTCACATTGCAGGAGATTCTTCATCTCAGGGTTGTGGGTTCAAGCCCCACTTTGGGCAAAAAGAGAAAAATAAAAATAAAACGATATAGTGGGTGGAAGACCTGGAGGGACACAAAAGATGGGAGCAGCCATTTTTACAAAGAAAAATAAAATCAAATTTATGGGCCCACCAAAAATGTTTGGGCAGGCAGGTATGGGCCATGGGCTAACCAACCCTGACCTCGAGGGGGGCTGTGGGGCAGACCCCTATACCCCTAAAGGCAGCCCAGACTTTTGGACCTAATTCTCCTGGTCTCACTTGTTTGTGTTGTATTGAGAATGAGATACTGTAAGTTCAGCAGTATTCTTCAGTTGTAAAGAAGACTAACTAATAGGTGCTGAGTGAACTTGAGTACATGAGCCTGAGGGGGCAAAATCCTAGTGGCCTTTGACCCTATAGCATTGCCTCATGGATATCCAGTCAAGTTGTGTGGGGACAAAAAAAACGCTCTAACAGAGGAATAGAGAACCATTTTAAGGGAGGGAATTTGCATTCTCTTCAGGTCCAGTTTCTGTGGGTCACATGCCAGTGTTGAGTGAGGCCAGAGGCAGACGTGGGTGGAACGACGAATGTGAATTTTACCTTTAGGCTACTACTTCCTAGGCCTAAAAAAAAAAGGTTCTCTGTCCTCCCACCCTGGGCTACAACCTCTCAGCCAGCCTAAGTGCTGCAGAGGCTTTCCATTTATGAGAGGCTTTGGCTCGAAGGGCAGTATATAAATGTATTCTGAACAACTAAATAAACACAAGGGATTCGCATCCCATCCCAGGCCTGCTGTCACTTTCCATGTAACCAAAAATGTGTAGGTGAAACGTAGTTCATGGTGGAGGTTTGAGTCTCGTACATAGGAGCACAGTGTATCCTACGCAGGTTTCTACTGAGGTTTAACATGAAAAATGGGAATTGGCTACAAAATTTAAAATCTTGGCTTTCATTATGAAACAAGAAGGAACAAGTTTCTAGGGCTCATGATTCCAGAAAGAAACCTTCTTAAAAACGTGGTGCCAATACCTTGCTAACCCTCTGGAGCCAGAGCTCAGTCAAATGTACAGTATAGCAATCAGCAGGTGGAGCTAGCGGAAGCCAAATAAAATTATGCAAACTAAGGAAAAGTCTGCACTGATGCATCAATTATACAGATTACAGGCATTCGCTTTTCTTGGCATGGGATTTGGACAGGATCCCAGCACTTTTTAGGGCACATGACATTCTGTCCTGGTCACTCTGTGTCCTTGGATGTGACTGAAATACACAAAACACTGAGGTAAAATGGGGAGGGGGTGATTTGTGTGTGTGTGTGTTGCCGCTTCTGTCCCCCCTGCAAAAAGCACCCACCCCAGCTGTTTGGGGGCTGCATTCAAGAGGGTGCAAAAGTATCCACACATCCGAAGTGAAGGTATCGTGACTCACAAAGCATTGATCTCACTGTGCATTAGCTGCGTTTGATGTCAGTGATGTCATCATGTGGCCAGATAGGATTAGCTGTGCAGTAGTGTCGGTACTACAGTGGTACCTCGGGTTACATACGCTTCAGGTTACATACGCTTCAGGTTACAGACTCCGCTAACCCAGAAATAGTGCTTCAGGTTAAGAACTTTGCTTCAGGATAAGAACAGAAATTGTGCTCTGGCGGCGCGGCGGCAGCAGGAGGCCCCATTAACTAAAGTGGTGCTTCAGGTTAAGAACAGTTTCAGGTTAAGAACGGCCCTCCGGAACGAATTAAGTACTTAACCCGAGGTACCACTGTACTGTAGGGGGAAATTGGTGGCAAAGCAGCATGAAATGGGGGGGGGGGGGGTCAAACTGTGCCCAAGACAAGCAGCAAGGATTTGAGAGGAGACATTTTGTGCTTTCGGAGAGCATTATGCTACACAGTGTTCAGATGTGAAAGGGAAAAGGTCTGGGTGTACTCTATACATTTAAAGCAGACTCCCCAAGTGTCCTTATATTCCAGGGACAATCTGGATTTACAGAAGCTGTCCTGGTTTCTGATTTGATCCCAGAATGTCCTGCTTTTCCTTAGGATGCCCTTATTTTCACTGGAGAAATGTCGGAGGGTATGGAGTTAACCGACGTCCAAGCCAAGGAGATAAGATTTCAGAAGAAATCTGAAGGCAGCCCTGGATAAGGAAACTTTTTTTTTAGTGTTTAATGTTTTGTTATGTTTCTATAGAAGCCGCCCAGTGTGACTAGGGCAACCCAGTCAGATGGGTGGGGGGATAAATAGTAAAATTATTATGGAATAGGACATGGGTAGGCAAACTAAGGCCTGGGGGCCCAATCGCCTTCTAAATCTGACCGGTGGACAGTCCGGGAATCAGCGTGTTTTTACATGAGTAGAATGTGTCCTTTCATTTAAAATGCTTTTCTTGGGTTATTTGTGGGGCATAGGAATTCATTCATTTAAAAAAAAAATCAAAATATAGTCCGGCCCCCACAAGGTCTGAGGGACGGTGGACTGGCCCCCTGCTGAAAAAGTTTGCTGACCCCTGCAATAGGACGTCCCTGTTTTCATTGGAGAAATGTTTGAGGGTATGGAGCGCACACAGAAATATCCAAAGGGATCAGACTTTTGTGAATGGCCTGAGTCAGGCCATTGCTCCATCTAGCTCAATATTGCCTCATGTGGCCAGTGCCAGCCTGGAGACTCCAGGTCCAGGAGATACCCAGTGTTAAGTTGTGGGTGAACATATCAGACGACACAGCGATTCTTCAAACAGCTCTTGTTTATTCACAGGCCAGAACAGAACTGAACTGAAGGGTTCAGCCAACCTGCTTACATAGAGCTCCAATACAACATAACTGTAGCAACTTTCTGTAACTATCCAATCACTGAATGTCACTATCAATCCCTTATTTGCATATGTGGACCTGAACTATCTACAGTATCCCCCTGCTGGCCCAGGGTGAGAACTTCAGTACATAACACCCGGGGTCTTCTGCATGCAAAGCTCATGCTCTGAACCTCTGAGCTACAGATCTTTCATAATCGTACGGTGAAGCTTCTCCCCTGCCACTTTGGCCTGTAAAGTGGAGTGATATCTGTGTGCGTTACACGCACAAAAACTCAAAAATAAATGTGGGAAATGCTGATTCGGGAATGTCTCTCTATCTCTCTCCCACATACACATCCAGACCTGTTTGTTTTGCCTTTCGCTGGGGGAATATCCATGAATAAAATTCATGGCAGAGAGGGGTTGTCTAATGCCACCTCCATTGATAGCTCTGATGGTGGACTCGTTGGGCCTCTGGCCTGATCCAGCAGGGTCTCCTTATGTTCTTCGTATTAAACATGCAGAGCAAGGGAAGTGGCAGAATTGAAAAGCTTGCAGTTTCTAAATATGTTAACTGACCGTAAGTAGTTTCAGTTCCCGTAGGAAGCACTTATTGGGCAACATTAGAGCACGGGTTCGATGGGCAGCTAAAAATCCGACTTGGCCTTCGGACCCCTGGTTTGGACTTCCTAGAGCAGGATATGTGGTGGTGGTGCAGCTGCTACGTAAAATAAGGTTACCAGGTTTTTTCCCAATGAATCCGGGGACACTTTTCAACTTGCTACTAAATAGATGGATTTTGTCAGGGGGCTGATTTGTAAATCCGGGGACTGTCCCCAGGAAACGGGAACCTTAACGTAAAACCTAATCCACACTGGCTGCATTCACTCTCCTTCCTTGGAGGTTTTTAAGTAGAGGTCGGATGGCCATTGGTCATGGATGCTTTTGCTGAGATTCCTGCATTGTTGGGGGTGGACTAGAAGACCCTCGGGGTCCCTTCCAACTCTATGATTTAAGGCACTAAGATACTGTTATGTACTGAAGTTCTCACCCTGGGCCAGCAGGGGGATACTGTAGATAGTTTTCACTCAGGTCCACATATGCAAATAAGGGGTTGAAAGTGACGTTCAGTGATTGGATAGTTACAGAAAGGGTTACAGTTACGTTGTACTGGAGCTCTATATAAGCAGGCTGGCTGAACCCTTCAGTTCTGTTCTGGTCTGTGAATAAACAAGAGCTGTTTGAAGAATCGCTGTGTCATCTGATATGTTCACCCACAACCTAACAGATACCACTTTAAACAGTCATGGCCTCCCTCAAAGAATTCTGGGGAAATGTAGTTTGTCAAGCGTGCTGAGAGCTGTCAAGAAACCCAAAACCACAGTTCCCAGAATGGTTAACAAGCAATCCCTCTGGCAACTCTGGAAATTGCAGCTCTGCAAAGAGAATAAGGATCTTTTGGCAGGGATGGATTTGGGAAATCTTTCGCAATATGGCGCTCTGTGCGAATTTGCCAATGTTTAGTGCTACCAAATGGATCTTGTTTTTGCACCACCTCAGCTCGGCGCCCGTTGGGGGTGGGACACACCAACCGCAGTGCCTTAAATCCGGCTCTGCTGTTAGCAACGCTCAGCAACCTTAACTGACTACAGTTCCCAGGATTTTTTGGGGGGAAGATACCAGTTATTGTTTAAATGATACTGCTTTAAATGTGTAGGGCAGATGGGGCCAGATTCTGCATCAGCCTGGCAGTGTAGAAACGTTTTCAACAAACTGTTTAAAAATTAACACTGAAGGCCCCTGCAGAATTTCCACCGGAAGAGTTTTCCACAATGAAGAAGGCTTGACTGCATGTTGATGTTCGTATTATGATGATCAAGATTTTTGACACTGTTCTTCTGTGGAATGACAGACGACACCTAGGCGGCTCCCAGTCCATCTCCCATCTCAACGCTGACCCAAGCCAGACCTGCTTAGCTTCAGCAAGGTTGCTGGGTCATGAGCCCTGAGGTGAGGGAATGATAACATTGTGGGCCAGATTAAGTCGTTGACCTTCTTTCTCTCTTTCAGCTTGATTTTGTTACCCTGACTGAAATTAACAGTTAGCCATCTGCAAGCAATATTTGCGTTACGATAACTTGCTGTCGTTAAGCAAATAAGTCTTAACTGATCGAAAAAGAGGAGCTGGGAGCAGAAAATACGGGTCCCAAACTAAATCTAAAACCTCACTCGCACAGTGTATTTAAAGCACTACGATACTCCCTCTTAATAGTTGCGGCTTTCCCCCAAGGAATCCTGGGAACTGTAGTTTTGTTGAAGGTGCTAAGAGCTGTTAGGAGGCCCCAATTCCCCTCACAGAGCTAAAATTCCAAGAGTGCTTTTACCATCAATCCTTCTTTCCTGGGAACTATGGGAATTGCAGCTCTGTGAGGTGAATAGGGGCCTCCTCGCAACTGACAGCACCCTTAAGGAACCACAGTTCCCAGGATTCTTTGGGGGAACGCCACCATTGTATAATAGTGCATTAAATGGTGCAGATGGATGTAGCGCAAGTCGCTTGTGGGAGTCATGAGCACCCAAAGGACCGGTGTGAGATTGGGTGTGACTGGTCCAGCCTAGCCGCCCACCAATCTGGGGACCATTTCCTGAACTACAACTCCCATCATCCCTCACCACTGGCCATGCTGGCTGCAGCTGATGGGAGCTGGATTCTCCCCTTCTGAGTTAGGGGAATCAATGGCCTGGGTATTTATTAGGCAATGTCTTTCTCTGTTGTGTATAACCCTACTCTCATCTCCGTTCCCACAGCCTCCTAGAAGCCGTGCCTCCTAGCAGGGCTGGGGAGCGTGGCTGACACAACAGTGAGGCAAACACCTTCTGCACATGCTCAGAAACACCTTTATTCTCTTTCTCACACGCGCACAAACACACACCAGGTACCTGTTTCCCAGAAGTTGCTTGGGCGAAGTGACAGACGGGACGACCTCAACAGCTCAGCAATCAGATTCTAAGACATGCTGGCTCATTTTTCTTCCGTTAATTAGTCCCCTAATTACAAGGCTGTTTTGCTTAATTAAAACCGGAGAGGGAGAGGGAGTCAGGAAGGGGGGGATTTATTAGGGGGTTCCACTCCTCGCTCCCAATCAGCGCTAATTAATATCATCTCCAACTGCACGCTTAATGAGCCACTAATTAACGAGGGAGGGAGGGGGAAGGACTCATTCATTCTCCGCTCACCTGATTAGCTAGTCAACCCCCCAAAAGACATGAACCTGATTATGATGATTGGACCCACACGAACCTTTTTTTTAAATAGGCTTAGCCAAGGCCCCGCAGAATCCTGCCTCATTCCCACACACTCACGCTCTCAAGGGCAGAACTTTCCCTGCTTTCCAACCAGGAGTAACTTTCTGTTTATACAGGCAAGTGGATTTCTCGTAAATCACGTGGGTCCAGTTCCCAGCACTGGGAGGATGCGAAGAGGAAGAGAAGCAACCAGAAATCCCCTGGGCAATGTCTAGTTTTTGAGTGTGCAAGCGGGGGGAGCGGGGTGGGCTTTTTGAGAGAATGCGAGGACAGAGCAGCACTTCTCTCTCCAACCCCCCCCCCCCCGCAAACAGGGTTTTATTTACCCTTAGCGAAGGGAGAAGGAACCTGTGGCTTTCCAAATCTTGCTGGGCCAAAACGGCTACCAGCCACATTGTTGTGTTGTTGTTGTTATACCTTCGCTGTGCATTTATCAAGGGAGGGGGTTGTAAAAACAATTTTGCGCATTGAATGTGATACTCTGTACAGTGGTACCTTGGGTTAAGTACTTAATTCGTTCCGGAGGTCTGTTCTTAACCTGAAACTGTTCTTAACCTGAAGCACCACTTTAGCTCATGGGGCCTCCTGCTGCTGCCGCGCCGCCGGGGCACGATTTCTGTTCTCATCCTGAAGCAAAGTTCTTAACCTGAGGTACTATTTCTGGGTTAGCGGAGTCTGTAACCTGGAGCGTCTGTAACGTGAAGCATATGTAACCCAAGGTACCACTGTATTAGTGCATTATTGGTAAAGGTGAGCTGCTGGCTCAGTACCTAAATGCATACCACCCACTCATAAATTTACTATAAAATGAAATAATAATCATAGAATTATGATTATAATTCTGGATTATAGAGCTGGAAGGGAACCTGAGGATAATTTCCTCCTAATATTTATCTTTTCCCTAATATGCATTTCTGTATGATATTGTTACAGAAGTCAGGGGCCTGCCCAGTGGCGTAGGAAGGGGGGGCGCAGGGGGCAGGCCGCCCCGGGTGCCACTCTGGAAGAGGTGACAAGATGGCTGTCTGTACGCGTGCCGTCTGTACGGACTGCCTCTCGCACGGCAACCGTATGGGCTGCCACATGTGCGCAGTCCATACGGTTGCCATGCAAGCAGCAGCACATACGGACTGCACATGGGCTGCATTCCGTATGGAGTGCACACGCACGGGATGCCACACATGCGCAGTCCGTACAGGATGCTGCACATGCGCAGTCCATGCAGGCTGTGCCATCCCGGGTTCCCCCGCCACTGGGCTTGCCTCTCTCTCTCTGACGAATGGTGGCAAGAGCCCATGGGGTCCCAGGCATGCACACAGGGTCTGTGTCCATTTGGAGAATAGAAAACATGATGGAGACCTGTCATGCTTTTTGCCCCCCCCAACCCAGACATTTCTTTTTAAGATGTAAAAATCCGCCCAAATGGGCATGTTTAGGTTTTCCCGGACGTATGGCAACCCTGGGGGACGGGGGGAAGAGATGGTGCCGCGGACCCCCCGGGTGTGTTCTATGGACCCCTAATTGGGAACCACTGTACTAGACTATGTATTCTCAGACAACTGTCTTTTTTGTACCTGTTACTCGTCTGGAGACCCACATTGCAAAATTCGGATGGGCGCCAATTTCAAAGGATGGCTGTGTTTGCGGTACCCTTTTGGAAAGTGCCATGAGGTAGATTTGCCTCAAAACATGAACGGAGATGATTATTTATGTATGCGATGGCAGCAGCGCGGATAACACTGGCCCAGAGATGGAAAGAAGATAAAATCCCAACCAGAGAACAACAGCTGATGAAGGTGATGGACTACGCCAGAATGGCGAAAATGACTGGGAAAATCAGAAACCAGGAAGAGAGAAACTTGAATAAGGAATGGGGGAAATTACAATTTACCTAAGAGAACACTGTAAACAACTAAAAACTGTGGCAGGATTTGAGTAACGCTTGTAATGTACTAAAAACTGAGGTAGAAATGGATTATTTTAAGAAAAATAGAGAAAATATATGATGCAGTTGGAAAAGTTTGAAGATGGAAACCTTGGAAGGGTGGAGGGCATAGCTGTCCCGTTTTTTAAGAGAAATTCCTTTATTCCGAATAGGATTCCTCGCAAGAAAAGGAAAAAGTTGACAGCTATGGTGGAGGGAAGCCTAAGGATTCAGGAAAGCCTAAATGTTGATGATTATGACTAGTGTTTGAATTCAAATGTGTGGTGTAAAACTGAACAAAAAAGATTATAAACAATAAAACGTGAGGGGAATTTCTGTGCTCTGCATCCCTAGCTCTCCCTATCTGTCCCTATTAAGTTTTCCTTTTCCCTGGACTTGTTTGCAAAATACCTTGTCTTAACCCGCTTGAGGGCAGGGCTTTGGGCCATGAATGGTGCTCATAGCAGCTGCACATCACTCTCCCTCTGACCCCGCCTCTTCTGTCCAGCCTCGAGACTAAATTGCAACATCCCCTTGCAGCCTCAGGCAGAGCAGCAGAACTGTCCACTCTGCACGGCTACAGCCCAGAGATGGCATCTGGGAAGAGGGTGCCTCTCTGGCTGGCATGCTTCGGAGCTCTGGTGACTCTGAGCCACGGCGCTCCAAGGTGAATATGTTGGGCAGGGACGTGGGTTTGCCAGTCCCCAGTCCCCTTTCTGACTCCTGTCTCAAGAATAGCTTCTGTTTTTCTGCATGGGCTTTAAGAACGACCTGGCAAACAGAAGTTCAACAGGTGAAGGGTGGGGTGGGTGTGTTGCATCCTTGCTTCGCAAACAGTTACCTGTTGAAGTTTTGCCTGTTGCCCAGGTGTCAAAGGCACAGGAAAAGTGGCAATGCTTGCTCTGTTCAAAGGCATCTGCACGCTCTCGGTAATTCGGCTGTCTGCTTGTTTCAGTTATTTTAACCATGTCGCAGTCTTAGGGTGCAATTCTATGCTCCCTTACCCAACCAATTGGGCTGCTATTGGCATGTTATTGGTCCTCAATGGAGAAAGACAAGTTGTTACAATCTCAGGAAATAAATATTAATTCGCATGCATTGCCAGTGATTAAGCGGCTGGCTCTTCTTCTTTAAAATGGATTGCTTATGAAGGATTTGGTTTTATGTTAATGAACTATTTTATGCATGATATAAGTTGATGCAATTTTTATGCAGCAAATGAGGTTTTATGCTGAACTTCAAGGGAGGTGGGGGAAATGTCATATAATAGTGTTATCTAAGCATCGGCTGCTCTCGAATGTAGAAAATAATTTGTTTCCCCTCCAAACTTGTCAAGTATTGCTAACTTTGATTAATACGTTATTGTCAATTTTTGTGATTAGATTTATTTCACAGGATAGTATGTAATTCTGAGGGCTATGGAGTGCAATCTTGGGCATTTTACTCAGAAGGAAGCACCACTAAATTCAATGGGATTTTATCTCAAGTAACCGCAGGAAAGGTTACAGCTTAGCTAAATTCTTTTCGGGAGCCTCCATAGGGTCAGAATTTTGTGGGAAAGATCCAAGCCCATGCTCCCAGGGTGATATTCCGTGTTAGTGCTACTCAGAGTAAACACATCGAAATTCATGAAGGTGACTAACTTTTAGTAATGGGTGCACTCTGAGTAGCACTTGGAATCACAGAATTGTAGAGTCAGAAGGGACTCTGAGGATCATAGATAGATAGATAGATAGATAATTTATTACGGCCAAAGACCAGCTCACGTAACATAACACAATAAAAACAGCGTTCATAAAGATAAAATATACAATCGGAGCAGATTGCAGCCATAGCTCATGAGTTAAAATTGAGATATATACCTACACACGTACAACTGAGATTTGGGCCATAGCTGTCAACGTTCCCCTTTTTTTAAGGGAAATTCCCTTATTCCGAATAGGAAAAGGGAAAAGTTGACAGCTATGATTTGGGCTACCCTGAGGATCATCTAGTCCAACCCCCTGCAATGCAGGAAAATCCCCATATGGGGATCGAACCTGCAAGCCTGGCATTATCAGAACCACACACTAACCAGCTGAGCTATCCAGACTGAACATAAACCTTAGGTCTGCACCATTAAAGTGGATTAATAAGCTCTGTTGCTGTAGGACAATACATCCTGTTAAAAAGGGGGAACCTGCCTTCTTGTGGTTTATAAAGCATCGGTTTGTGCAGAGCCATCAGCAGATTGGTATGTGCCTTTTTTTCTTTTTCTTTTGCAGAACCAGCAAAAAAAGAGTGCTGTTTACACACACACACTTTTATTATTTGAAGCGTTTTCTTTTAAAAGTGATAGTTTGTTCAACTCGGGAATTCCCCAGCTCGTTATATCTAGATGGCGTTAAGGAAACAACACTCTGTGGAAGGCTGCCAATATAAATATTGCGAAAGAATGGAAATTTGTTCCCACTTTGAAATCTTCTTCTTTGTTGCTTGTGTTTTGATTATTTATCAGGGAAGGAACAGGGTTAGGCCAGAAGCTCAGACACAAACAGAACTGGGGGGAGTCGGGTCAGAGGCCTATGCTCAATTTCCTGGGAGTAAGCACTCTGCTTCTGATACACTCCACCTTCCTACCCACTTCTATCATGAATCCTCTTTCTACAACGGTCTAACTGGGCCGACTCTACTTTCTTTCCCCACTCAAGAAACCCACTTTTGCCGCAGTCCCTCCCCTTAAGGTTATATCTAAATATAGGGGTGCCAACTTGAATAAAATATTGTGGGTCAGGTAAGGCCCGCCCCACAGAATCCATCACATGACACAGTGCACCCACACTATTTGAATGGGAATACCCATTAACTTTGTGGGGACTCAGCCCCCTGAATATTTTATTGGGGGGGCTGAAGGCCCCATTCATAGGAGTTGGCTCCTATGTCTCCATACCCTCTAACATTTCTCCAATGAAAATAGGGACGTCCTATATGATAATATTGGGCGCCGATCAAACATCAAGCATTAAAATACTTCCCTATGCAGGGCTGCCTTCAGATGTCTTCTAAAGGTTGTATAGTTACTTATCTCCTTGGCTTGGGGCGGCGGGTCACATAACTCCATACCTTCCAACATTTTTCCAGTGAAAATATGGGCCTCCTACCACACCACCAATCAGAAGGTCGGCGGTTCGAATCCCCATGACGGTGTGAGCTCCTGTTGTTTGGTCCCTGCTCTTGCCAACCTATCAGTTTGAAAGCACATCAAAGTGCAAGTAGATAAATAGGTACCACTCTGGCGGGAAGGTAAACGGCATTTCCATGCACTGCTCTGGTTCGCCAGAAGCGGCTTAGTCATACTGGCCACATGACCCAGAAGCTGTACGCCGGCTCCCTCGGCCAATAAAGCGAGATGAGCACTGCAACCCCAGAGTCAGTCACGACTGGACCAAATGGTCAGGGGTCCCTTTACCTTTACCACACCCTCCCAACATTTATTTGATGAAAGTAGGGACATCCTAAGAAAAATCTGGACATTTCAGGGTCAAATCAGAAACCGGGACAGCTTCTGTAAATCCAGGACTGTCCCTGGAAAATAGGGACACAGAGGATCTGTATCTCTCTTTCGCAAACACACACATACATTTCTTCTTCTTCTTTGGCGATCATTCGTAGCCAAGTAAGATTGTCTTCCATAAACACAGTTTTAACAATGAGTCCGTAAGTGACTGTGGAGACCGGTTCTGGACCCACATGTCCTTCCACACTGGGGACATAGGTTTCCAGGCGGGAGACAATCACAGTGCGGATTTGCCAAGCGTGCCTTCCTCTTAGCACGTTTCTCCCTTGCGTCCTGAGTTCGAGTGTCTTCAAAGCCCATGACACCTTTGGTAAAGACTGTTCTCCAACTGGAGTGCTTGCAGGCCAGTGTTTCCCAGTTGTCTGTGTTTATACTACATTTTTTAAGATTTGTCTCGAGACAGTCTTTAAACCTCTTTTGTTGACCACCAGCATTACGCTTTCCATAAACACACAGAGGAAGAACACGCACCCCTCCCTCCCAGACCCACATGCCTACATTAGGGTTGTTGTATTTCAAAAAGTGAAAATCAGGACCGAGTTGTTTAGTTACTTTTTTGCCCGAAGTTGTTCAGGTCCTTTTGGTTGATTTTTTTTTTTAAGGGGAACCAAAGTTGTTTAGCTTTTTTTTTAGTTGAAGGTACAATAATTTTTGAGTTTTGAAGCTTTTAAAAGGCATTTTTGGCACGATTTAACCCCCGTTGCTGGTTTTCCAGGACATTTGCCCGATTTCCGAAAAATAATCCAAGATGCCATTTTTGGAGGCGAATTCCAGGACATATCCTGGACAATGAGGACATATGGCAGTCTTAGCATACATACCCTTTCTCCTTCCTTTCCCCCCCCCTTTCTCTCTCTCTCTCTCTCTCTCTCTCTCTCTCTCTCTCACACACACACACACACACACAAATAGAACTTGCTTCCCTCTGCCACTCATGTGCTTGCCTGCCCAGGCTGTTATTCACATTCACAGTCTATGCCGTATAATATATAAATGAGCGTATGAAGAATCTGCCAATGACCCACCTGGTCCAGCATCCTGTTCTCACAGTGGCCAAGCTTCTTAGAGGCTTTTGCTGTTAAATCCTATTAAATATTTTTCTTAAAAAAAAATATTGAAAAAGAAAAAAATAATGCATGCCAACACTATGCATCTGTTTGTTATGATCATATTTGTTATATATTTGTTATATGATCTAGTTTGTTCCTCCCTTCCCTCAGAGCCTTTTCTTACCTGTCGCAGCTTGCAAAAGTGTTTGGCATTTTCAGAGCCGCATGAAGAATGGCTGCAGGAAGGAAATAGTGGGGCCAACACTGTTACTATATCTCTGCCCACTTTGCAGGTTGCTGATGGTAGCGCCCAGCGTGGTGACGGTGGGGGTGGAGGTGCCGATCGCCCTTCAGGTAGAAGACGCCCCTCCAGGCGGGCTGTCAGGCACCGTTTATTTCCAGAATGAGTATACCAGGATACTATGTTCCCACGAAGTGCGCTTCAATGTCGGGCCTGATATACAGAAAGTGACCTTGAAGGTAGGAGATGCTGCTGCCCTCGAGAGATAATTCCTGGTTCTAAGCATTCGTCAACACCGGCAACTCCTAGAGCTACCTGGAGCCCATTGAAACTGATTGGGCGGAAGGCAAGGATGCCAACACTAGGGGGAGCCAGAGCCAAAAAGAGGCAGAGTGTTTTGCACAAGCAAGACCTTTTGCCTCTCCCCACTGTCTCACCCCTTTCTCGTTTTCTCAGGTGACCCCCGAACTTTTTAGGCAATGTGACTTGACTCGCCTTCGGCGGGAAGGCTACATCCAGCTTGTGGCCCGCAGCCCTCAGCTCTCGAACGGGGTTCAAAGCCTCAACCTGCGGTGGACGGCCCGGAAAGGGTACCTGCTTCTGCAGACCGACAAGCCAATCTACACCCCTCGGCAAAAGGGTGAGTCCAACGCCTTGAGCATTTTGGCCTTGCTCAGCTGACGTTTTCCATTTGCAGGCATGCACCCTTAAAAAACCCACGAGGCACCCGAAAGAAAAGCTCAGCCTGTGCACACGCTATATCGATAATAATAATAATAATAATAATAATAATAATAATAATAGTTGTTGTTGTTTAGTCGTTTAGTCGTGTCCGACTCTTCGTGACCCCATGGACCAGAGCACGCCAGGCACTCCTGTCTTCCACTGCCTCCCACAGTTTGGTCAAACTCATGCTGGTAGCTTCGAGAACACTGTCCAATCATCTCATTCTCTGCCGTCCCCTTCTCCTAGTTTGGCGGAGATGGAAAAATCTTTCCCAACATCAGGGTCTTTTCCAGGGAGTCTTCTCTTCTCATGAGGTGGCCAAAGTATTGGAGCCTCAGCTTCAGGATCTGTCCTTCCAGTGAGCACTCAGGGCTGATTTCCTTAAGAATGGATAGGTTTGATCTTCTTGCAGTCCATGGGACTCTCAAGAGTCTCCTCCAGCACCACAATTCAAAAGCATCAATTATTCGGCGATCAGCCTTCTGTATGGTCCAGCTTTCACTTCCATACATCACTACTGGGAAAACCATAGCTTTAACTATACGCACCTTTGTTGGCAAGGTGATGTCTCTGCTTTTTAAGATGCTGTCCAGGTTTGTCATTGCTTTTCTCCCAAGAAGCAGGCGTCTTTTATTTTCGTGACTGCTGTCACCATCTGCAGTGATCATGGAGCCCAAGAAAGTAAAATCTCACTGCCTCCATTTCTTCCCCTTCTCTTTGCCAGGAGGTGATGGGCCCAGTGGCCATGATCTTCGTTTTTTATTATTATAATAATAAATAAATAAATAAATAAATATATTATTTATACCCCACCCATCTGGCTGGGTTTCCCTAGCAACTATAAAGCCCATCTTTCCCCTCACAGTTAATTCTGGGCATTGTCATCTGTTACCGGTGGCTGTGAATTGTAACTCTGTGAGGGACAAGACAACAGCGCCTACAATTCTTTGAGGGAAAGCTCATAGATATACTATAGAATCATAGTGTTGGAAGGGACCCCGAGGATCATCCAGTCCACCCTGTGCAATGCAGGAATATGCAGCTGTCCCATACGGAGATCGAACCTGCAACCTTGGCGTTATCAGCACCACGCTGTAGCCAACTGAGCTGCCCAATTAAGAGTGTGCTTTCAGTGCCCGAGGCTGCATACACACCAAATATTTAAAACACATTGTCCCCCACCCACCTCAAAAATCCTGGGAACCGTAGTTTGCTAATAATAATAATAATAATAATAATAATAATAATAATAATAAATTTTATTTATATCCCGCCCTCCCCAGCCGAAGCCGGGCTCAGGGCGGCTAACAACAATAAAACAGTACAAAAGTACAGCACAAACAACACTCTAAAATCATTCATTATAAAATTAATTAATTCAAGCCACTGGCAACCATTGGGCCAGAGCTCCGCGAAGATTGCCGAGGGAGGGAGTCAGGCTGTGCCCTGGCCAAAGGCCTGGTGGAACAGCTCTGTCTTGCAGGCCCTGCGGAAAGATGTCAAGTCCCGCAGGGCCCTGGTCTCTTGTGACAGAGCGTTCCACCAGATCGGGGCCACGGCCGAAAAAGCCCTGGCTCTAGTTGAGGCCAGCCTAACTTCTCTGTGGCCTGGGACCTTCAATATGTTTTTATTTGAGGACCGTAAGTTTCTCTATGGGGCATACCAGGAGAGGCAGTCCCATAGGTACGAGGGTCCTAGGCCGTATAGGGCTTTAAAGGTTAAAACCAGCACCTTAAACCTGATCCTGTACTCCACCGGGAGCCAGTGCAGCTGGTATAGCGCCGGGTGAATGTGATCTCGCAGCGAAGACCCTGTAAGGAGTCTCGCTGCAGCATTCTGCACCCGCTGGAGTTTCTGGGTCAGTCTCAAGGGCAGCCCCACGTAGAGCGAGTTACAATAATCCAGTCTGGAGGTGACCGTCGCGTGGATCACAGTGGCTAGGTCAGGGCGAGAGAGGTAAGGAGCCAACTGCTTAGTTTGGCGGAGATGGAAAAATGCCGCCTTTGTTGTAGCTGCAATCTGCGCCTCCATGGAAAGGGAGGTGTCGAAGATTACACCCAAACTCTTAACGGACGGTGCTGGCGCTGGCTAAGGGTGCTGGGAATTCTAGGGGTTCTTATGGGTTCCAGACAGGGCCGTCTTAAGCCTATCTGGCGCTGTGGTGCAAAGATCCCTCTGGTGCCCCCCTAGCAACTACAAAACAAGGGAGGGGGCGGTGGAAAATGTCCTCTGCCTTCTCCACCACCCTGATCCCCGGCGTGGTGGCGGCGGCGATCAAGCAGGAGAAGGTGCTGGTGGACATGCTCTCCAGCGTCAGGAGTTGGCATGGCGCAGCTGGGGGGCATGCAGGGAAAGGGGCAAAGCCGCGAAGCTCCTCCAGTTGCTAGGGCGCCCTTGAGAAGCTGGCGCTCTGGCGCAACGAACCACTAAGCCCTATGGGAAAGATGGCTCTGGTTCCAGGATTCTTATGGTTGAGGGAGATTACTTTAAATTCATAGCCTGGTGTGCAGCCTTGGAACAGCAGCCAAGTGTGCTGCGTACATTTGGGGCTCATCCAAGGATCCCACTGCCTATGCTGCTGTTCTGTACTTAGAGGAGGAGCAGCCTTTCCCAACCTGGTGCCCTCAAGATGTTTTGAACTCCCAGGTCAGCCCCAGCCAGCACAACCATGGCTGCCTTCGGGCCCCACCCTCTCCCCACCAGACACCCCCTTTCTACAGTTTTGTGATTCCTTATTGCCTTATCCAACACGGCACTGTGAGAGAACTGCTTCTATCGCGGCACGTGGGTTGGGGAACAAAGACCCATCTCGCAGAATCCTTTGCCAAAACCCATAGCCTGACTCAATATTGTCCTTTTCGCGTACACGGCAACGTCTATTTATGTGGCTCCAAAGGTGAAATAGCAAAGTCCTGTTTGCTCCGCACCTCGCGTTTCACGCCCAACCCTGTTCGATTGCTTCTCAGCCTTTGTAAGCAAAGCCCTGCGGAGTCCCACACCTGCACACAAACACACAAACACACACACACACACACACACACACACACACAGGGAATGTGGCTGCCAAGTAACCGCCAAGGCCGAAGCCAGTACATAATACTCTGCAAAGGCAGCAGCTTAAGTTATCAATGTAACTGTGATACAAAAGCAACCACACTTTAGAGTAGGATTAAGCAGTTTAAGGTGCAGTGCCATCCTTATAGCCACAAAGAGATTTCTTCCCCCTCTTGTGTTGCTGTATAGGGAAGTTTTTAATGTTTGATATTTTATTATGCTTTTATATGTGTTGGAAGCCAGCTGGGGCAACCAAGGCTGGATATACAGCGACCTATTTAACGTTATTAGAACAATATTAGATATATCGTTCTAAAACGTCACAGGGCATACTTGTAAATTAAAAGTGTTTCTTACCTTGTTTTCTCTGTAAAAACATTGTTTTCTTGCTGCCAATTCCTGGTTGCTCTGCAGCGCTCTCTGTTGTCACATTTTAATGACGCATTGTGAACGTTAAAAGTAGGACGTAGTGTGTTCATCGATGTTATGAAAACCCTTCCTTAATGTTCTAAACCATGAGTGTAGATCCACCCCCAGTCAGATGGGTGGGATACAGACAGGGCTTTATTTCAGCCAGAATTCGCCACCTCTCAGCGGGCACCATTGCCATCATAAGAGAACAAGGGAGGCATTCATGGTGAGTTCCAGAACCTCTTTTTCTAGTAAAAGATCACTGGGTACAATTATTATTATTATTATTTTATTTTCCTACTTCTTCCTCACACTCCATTTTTGGTTCTTCTGCTTCCAGTGAATTTCCGAGTTTTTGTCCTGGATCACAAACTGAGGCCAACTTCCGAATCCGTGGTTGTCACTGTGCAGGTAACTGAGAGCGTTGTTCCAAAATGCAAAGGTGTGGGAGGTCGAAATTAACACTCCCTATCAAACAATCCATAGCCTGGCATCCTGTTCTCACAACAGCAGACCAGATACCTGCGGGGAACTTGCGGGAGGGACTTTAGTATGACACAAGCATTGTCCCCTCTTGTGGCTTCCAGCCCTTGTTATTCAGAAGTATCCTGCCTTTGACTGTGGAGGTGGAACATCACCACCTTGATTGGTAGCCAGGATGAATTTATCTCAGTCCCTGCTACCAGGGAACTCTGGGAATTGTAGCGCTGCGAGGGGAACAGACGGCCTCAGCACCCATAACATATGTTAACGGAGAAATCTGAGGGCTCCCTTGGACAAAAAGCAAGGACACCAGCCAGGAATACCAGAGCAAAACAGCAGCCAGTAGGCTTGGTCTTTACTGAAGACTGTCGCGACAGGACTCCCACCTGCCACAAGGTGGAACAAGGTGGAAGCCCTGAACAAAAGAGAACCCAAACTTTTATTAGCTGCCAATCCCCATGTTACACCCCCCCCCAACTACATCACTCATACATCACGGTTACATCATGAAAGGGGAGGTCTGGTGGCAGTAATCTGAGCATCCTGGACCCTGCCCCATGGTTCCCCTTCCCCTCCACCAAACACCCATCAAGTGTAACAAAAAAGATATTTACATTTCCCTATTTCCCAGCCAAGTTAATCACACCCTTTTGTCTTCCTCTGGGTTTGTTATTTCTGGAATGGCTACCTGTCTGGCACTCAGGTATCAGGATGCCAGGGATTATCACTCAGGCAGATGGGCTGCTGAGTAGCTGAGCTCACATGTCTATATGAATTTCTGAAGTTTTCCCTGTGAGCCAGTACATAGATACATCTATCAGTGAATTCTTACATTTGGTATCGTGCAGCAAAGGCCCTTTGAATAGATAGGAAGAAACTGTGATGAAGTGTTTTCTGGGGACAAATCACAAAAGTCACAAAAGTGATTGTGCTGATTTTGGTAGTGGGCTGCATGTGCATGATATCTGCTGGAGGGGCAACCACCCCTAACCTATACATAAATCCCTGCAACACATACTACCAGGGCTTTTTTTGCAGCCGGAATTTGCTGGAACTCAGTTCCAGCCCCTCTCAGGTGGGAACCATTGCCATTCTAAGAGATGAGGGAGGTATCCTGGCACCACTTTTTCTAGAAAAGTAGCAACTCATACTATACTTCCCAGGATTATCTGGGGGAAGCCTATACAGTTCAGCCCCTCCCAATAAAATATTTGAGGGGCCTGCCATCCCAAGTTAATGGACATTGCCATTCAAAGGGTGGGTGCACACAGCATCATGTGATTGATTATTTGGGGCGAGGCTCCCCCCAATATTTTACAGTCATACCTTGGGTTGAAGTAGCTTCAGCTTAAGCATTTTCGGGTTGCACTCCGCGGTGACCCGGAAGTAACGGAGAGAATTACTTACGGGTTTCGCCACTTGCTCATGTGCAGATGCTCAAAATGATGTCACGCGCATGCGCGGAAGTGGTGAATCGCGACCCGTGCTTGCGCAGACGCGGGTTGCTTCGCTTCAGGATGTGAACGGGGCTCTGGAACGGATCCCATTTGCATCCAGAGGTACCACTGTATTCAAGTTAGCACCCCTGAACTGCTTTATGTGTACATTGCAGATGTAGCCATGATTACCTGTTGTCAAAACATGGGTGTCTTCCTGTCTCTCTGTCTCCATCAGAACCCACGAGGTATACAGGTCCGGAAAGTCGAGCGTATGCCGGTCCAGTTTGTGATAAATGATCACCTGTCAATCCCCGATATCTCTGAGTAAGTTTAACCAGTGGTGGTGAATCTGAGAGGTGGCAGAAATTCAAGGGTGGAGACCCTAAAAGTGCCCCTATTTTCCAGGGATGCCCCTGATTTAGAGAAGCCGTCCAGGTTTCTAATTTGATCCCAGAATGTCCCGCTTCCCTTAGGACGTCCCTATTTTCACCAGAAAAATGTTAGAAGGCATGGTAGGATGTCCCTGTTTTCACACTGGAGAAATGTTGAGGGTATGGAGTTCTTTGACTTCCGAGCTGTTTGAAGGCAATCCTGTATAGGGAAGTTAAAAGAAAAAAGTTTAATGTTTTATTGTGTTTTTATATATGTTGGAAGCTGCCCAGAGTGGCTGGGGCAACCCAATAAGGTGTGTGGGGATATAAGTAGTAAAATTAAGGAATGGGACGTCCCTATTTTCATCAAAGCAATGTTGGAGGGTATATGAGCAGCGAATGTGTTGACCTTGTCTCCTTATGCTTGCCCTGTTGGGATCCCAGGTGCCAAATACTGCCCCAAAGCAACAGCAATTCCTAATGACCCAAGCACCTATAATAATATATAATAATAATTTATTATTTATACCCCGCCCATCTGGTTGGGCTTCCCCAGTCACTCTGGGTGGCTGCCAACAAAATATTAAAATACAGTAAGGTATCAAATATTAAAAGCTTCCCTAAATAGGGCTGCCTTCAGGTGTCTTTTAAAAGTCTGGTAGTTGTTGTTCACTTTGACATCTGGTGGGAGGGCGTTCCACAGCGCAGAATACCTTGAAATAAGGAAGTAACCTTTTTTATTCTAGAAGGAATAAATATTGTACTTTAACAGCGGTGTGCTGGGCAGGATTTTAGCCCAGGCTTCATGAGGAAACAATGATGACGAAAGCTTTACCTGTCGGATTTCTGCATGCAACCGTTTCATGGCAGGCAAACGTTGCTTGCTGCCTCAAGCTGAATCAAGCCACTGGGACACCTAGCCTTTAAAGGCACTGGAGTATGGAGTGGCAGAGAAGTTGGCAACTTTTTTTTAGGCCAGGGTGCAAAGGTCTGGTTTAGGGCTTTTGCTCATCTGGGAGGATTTAAAACAAAAACAAAAAAACCTGCTTTTCTCATTTGAGTGATAGACCCCTAGGAAGCGTTACAAACTGCTTTTGCGAATTTATTGCTGTCTAGATATACATTGCCACTCAGCTTTTTGTGAGGGGGGGGGGTGCAACTGCTGTTCAATATGCAAAACTAGTTCCCTGGTTCTTTGCATTACTATGACCTGGCTCGAGTTTTCTTCCTGTTCTTTCTGCCTTCCCCTCCTCCTAGGCCTGGCATTTGGCGAATCACGGCCCACTTCACCACCACTCCGGGTTACAACACGACCACTGAGTTCGAGGTGAAAAAATACGGTATGTTCTGCTAAGGCAGAGGGCTTTCTGAGAGCTGTGTGTGACAGGCAGCAGCTCAACAGGGGCGGTTGTTGAAGCAACCTGATAATATGATTCTCCCACCCTCCCTTTTTGTGAGGAAGCGGTACATTCTTAAAAGGTAAAGGGACCCCATTAAGTCCAGTCGTGGCCGACTCTGGGGTTGCTGTGCTCATCTCGCTTTATTGGCCGAGGGAGCCGGCGTACAGCTTCCGGGTCATGTGGCCAGCATGACTAAGCCACTTCTGGTGAACCAGAGCAGCGCATGGAAACAGAGCGGTACCTATTTATCTACTTGCACTTTGAGGTGCTTTCGAACTGCTAGGTTGGCAGGAGCAGGGACCGAGCAACTGGAGCTCACCCCGTCGCGGGGATTCGAACCGCCAACCTTCTGATCGGCAAGCCCTAGGCTCTGTGGTTTAACCTACAGCGCCACCCAATTATTAGGCTGCCAGGTATTTTGGTGCCATATCTCAAGTAACAGAAACCTGAGTGCTGCTGATGGGCTGAGGGGAATGGTCTGAGTTGGGAAAATGCAGCTTTATAAAGCTGGCAGCTGAGGGGGCTAAGATTAGGCACTTACCAGGATCTCAAAGACTAGCAAAGGCCTCACTCCAACACTGTGCACAGGGCATCCAAACATTGCAAAATGCAATATTCTACCTGCCTGCACAAGAAGGGCAGGTGAGAGAATACAGGAGCCTAGGGAGCTCCCAGAATCAGTCCCAAGCATCTCTGAGTAGATACTTGGAGAGACCCGCATGTGAAATTCTGCCGCTCCCATCAGCCACAGCCAGCACATATAGAATCATAGAGTTGTAAAGTTGGAAGGGACCCTGAGGGTCATCTAGTCCAACCCTCTGCAGTGCAGGAATCTTTCACCCACCGTGTGGCTCAAACCTGCAACCCTGAGATGAAGAGCCTCATACTCTACCAACTGAGCTATGAAACCTCTCTGTGGAGCAGAAGTCAACCCAAAAACCCTCTTTCAAAAGGCTGCCTACCTCGGCAGCGAGTCCCATTCCATAAAGCCGGGGGGCCAACGCAGACAAGGCCCTGCTTCCAACTGCATGGCCAGAGCTTTCCCAGAAGATCTTACATGGCACAGGCCATTTGCACCATAACGCCGATTAGCACACCACCTACCGAATTTCAGCCTGTCTTTCTCTCCTCAGTGCTGCCTCATTTTGAGGTGACGATCGTCCCGGAACGGAAATATATCCTGACCTCACCCCAGCAGAACTCTGACTTGAGTATTGACCTTCAGGCTAAGTAAGTTCCTCTTACGGGTTGGGACGTTTCTGATATACTGTAATTAACTAATTTGAAACATTGTATAAGCCACCCTTCACCATTTAAACATAAACTTTAAAGGTGCCTAGCACAAAAGCCCCTGGACCGATTTGTCTGATATTTGGAAAGTTTATTACTCAGGGACACCTTTCTCAATGTTCCCCAAATTGAGGTCCCAACCAAATGTGGTTTGTTCACACCCCTACTAAGTGGGCCCTTGGTTTGGTTCAGCAGAGGTCACACTGGGATATATTCTATATTATATTGCAAAAAAACAGCACCGTTTATGAACGTGTAGTGTGGTTGTTGCTTTAGGCCTCAAACAAGACCCCTGTTTGACCAGAGGGCAGACAGTCCATCTTTACACACACACACACACACACACACACACGTACGCACAAAGGAATTTTGCATTTCTGGTTTAAAGACCCATTTACTATTTTACAGTAAAATAGTTTTCCAGTGTCACGCTAAACCACTGTTTAGCATGATGTGAAGAAATGTAGCCACATTAGTGTAGCGACTTGACTGGGTGGAGGGCAGGGTCTGGAAGTTTTTTGTTTTGCCTTTGGTTAACCATAGTTTGTTGTGTCGTCAAGTACAACAAACTACGGTTAAAACTAACTGGTTATTTCTATATTTGTCCCTGGCTTTTTTCTGGCCCACATAGGACCAGTCTGGATAGTTGGCCTTGGTGAAGATTTGACGCTTTCATCCCCAAAAAGTTTTTGATTTGAGTTTCTACTGAAATGAGGCTGCATTTTAATGTTGTATTTTAATCTTGTTTTTAAGTTGTATTTTAATCAATTGTTTTCATACTTGGAGGTGGCCGCCCAGAGCCTGGTCTTGGCTGGGGAGGGGGGGGTATAAATAAAATTTATTATTGTTGTTGTGATGTTGTTAATTTAATTTATATGCCACTCTATACCCGCAGGTCTTGGGGACGGTTCACAGAATAAAACCAAAATATAAATCACAAAATCACTAACTATAGTTAATTTCTACCAAGCCACCTTCAAACCATGATCTGAGACATGTTGAAATTCACTTTAGTTAGCCACAGTTTCTGGTTTGGACAACGCAGGAAGCTGCGATTAGCCAAAAGTAGAAACCAGAAAAAAGGGGCTACTCGGCAAGATGCCTACATTCTGCCTCCACAGCTGGAGACAGGGAAGCTTTTGAGTCCTGGTTGCTGGCCGCTGTGAGAACAGGAGGCTGGACTAGATGGGCCACTGGCCTGATCCAGAAGAATCTCCTTACGTTTGCAATTCTGCCTCTTAGCCACACAGGAGAGGAAAGGAGAAGCTAGGTCCACCCTGGTTCATTGTGACTATTAAATGCAGGCAGTGGCAATGTACCCTGCTTGCTCACCCCAACTCCTCGCCTTTGAATTATCCCCGGTTTCTTCTCCCAACAGATTTTTTTACGGGAAGGGAGTGACTGCCACGGCCTACGTGCGTTTCGGAGTGACAGATGAAGATGGGGGCAAAATGTACATCCCGGGACTGGAGCAACAAGTCACGGTAAGAAACGTCCCTGCCCTTCATCAGCTCACAGGCCTTCCTGCTGGCTTTCCAGAGATAATAATAATAATTTATCTATGGAGTTGAGCCCTCCTAGTTTCCCCTTGTAATTAGAGATCCACCTGACGCTTAGCTCCTAAAATCAGGAGCGCTGGTGGGATACCTGGAGACTTTTAACCCTGCTCCCAGATGTCAGCGCATTGTCAGCGTGTGTGGAATGGATTCTGTAGTGAGGCAAGGTTTTCTGCGGATGCTTAAATGCACTATTTCCTTTATTAGGGCCAGTTTTGGCAGATGGGCAGGACCACCCAACCTGTCATTCACCTGGCGTTATTATGATGTCCGGTGATTGATAGGTAGGTGGTCTCTGTCAGGGAAAAAGGCAGGATGTAAATAAATAGATGATGATGAGCCATGAGATAACGATCTGGCCCAGTGGGCCAAAAAACAAACTCCTCACCACTGCTGTAATATAGCAAAGCAGGCCTAAAATAAAGTAATAACCAGACAGAGGGCCTTCTTGGTGGTGGTGCCCGCCCTGTGGAACACCCTCCCATCAGATGTCAAGGAAATAAACAACTATCTGACTTTTAGAAGACATCTGAAGGCAGCCCTGTTTAGGGAAGTTTTCAATGTTTGATGTTTTATCGTGTTTTTAATATTCTGTTGGGAGCCACCCAGAGTGGCTGGGGAAACCCAGCTAGATGGGTGGGGTAATAATAATAATAATAATAATAATAATAATAATAATAATACTGTTTGCCTCTTCCAATACCCTTATGACTTAAGGCCCTCCATCTGACCCACAAAATTAGGGTCTCTTCTACCCTCCTCAGTCCAAACTCAGCTATGAAATTCTAGTCTCTCGTTATGTTAATTATTATATATAAATATATAATAATTTATATTTGTGGCACGCATGGTTCTTTCCTCCCATCCTTTATCCTCACAATGACCGTCTGAGGTACGTGAGGCTGGGCGATGGTGACTGACCCAAAGACTGACCCCTGAACTTTATGGCTGAGCAGGGATTTGAACCCAGGTCTCTCAAGTCCTGAGCCAGCACCCTAACCACTACACCACACAGGTCTCTGAATGTGTCCTGCTTGAATATCAGCACGGTACAACTAATTTTATATCCCACTCTGCTACCATCTCCTCTGACCTAATTCCCTCCGTATTCAGGTAACGGATGGTCACGGCTCACTCATCCTAAAACCCAGCCTCGTCTCTGAGAAACTGGGACGTCCGCTGAGGAGTCTAGCCGGGACGACGCTCTACATCACAGCCACTGTGATAGAGAAAGCAAGTAAGTTTGCAAATGGGACATGTCTGAACCACTTTAGACATGGCTTTCCCTCACCAAATAATTCTGGGAGATGTAGTTTCATATCACCTCATACAAGGTGACCCGGGTTTTGAGATCTTTGGGGGAGGCCCTTCTCTTGGTTCCACCATCCTCAGAGGCCTGCTTGGTGGGGATGCATGACATGGCCTTCTCAGTGGTGGCTGCTCACATGCTTTGGAACTCCTTACCTGAAGAAGCAGACTGGCTCCTTCCTTGCTGTCTTCGGCCAGCAGATGAAAACCTTCTTATCCCAACAGGCCTTTGGGAACTGTCTGGTTTTTTTCAAGGGAAGGTCTTTTAATAGTGTTGTGCTGTTTTTGTTATCTATTTTTTAATAGATTTTTATTTTAAAAATTGTTTTAATTTTATTAGATTTTATTTACTTTTTAGCAATTATCTTTTATATGTTCTTAGCATTTTGTATTTTAGCTGTGTTGTTTCAATTAGCGTGAGTTGTCTGGAGTCCTGGTCTGGGGAAAAGGCAGGATAATAATAATACAGTCGTACCTTGGTTTTCAAGGGCAGGTGGCGCTGTGGGTTAAACCACAGAGCCTAGGACTTGCCGATCAGAAGGTTGGTGGTTTGAATCCCCGCAACGGGGTGACCTCCCGTTGCTCGGTCCCTGCTTCTGCCAACCTAGCAGTTCAAAAGCACGCCAGTGCAAGTAGATAAATAGGTACAGCTCCGGCGGGAAGGTAAACGGTGTTTCCGTGTGCTGCTCTGGTTCGCCAGAAGTGGCTTAGTCATGCTGGCCACATGACCCGGAAGCTGTACGCCGGCTCCCTCGGCCAATAAAGCGAGATGAGTGCCGCAACCCCAGAGTCAGCCATGACTGGACCTAATGGTCAGGGGTCCTTTTACCTTTACCTTGGTTTTCGAACAGCTTAGTTCTCAAATGTTTTGGCTTCCAAATGCCGCAAACCTGGAAGTGACTGTTCCAGTTTGTGAACTATTTTTGGAAACCAAACATCTGACAGGGCTTTCGCGGCTTCCGGTTGGCTGCAGCAGCTTCCTGCAGCCAATCAGAAGCCACGCTTTGGTTTCTGAATGTTTTGGAAGTTGAACGGACTTCCGGAACGGATTCCATTCGACTTTCAAGGTACAACTGTAATAATAATAATAAGGAGCATTGCAGAACAACTAATAAAGTAGGATCAGTCCACCATTATTGCACCATCACTGTGCCAAAAACACATTGTAGAATATAAACCCATAATAAAACACTGATCTGGAAGGGCCTTCAGAGAGCGAAGGCCACAATGGTTTCCGTTTCTTCACTGTCTTTTCCCTTCATTCTCATAGGTGGTGAGCTGGAGGAGCAGGAGCTGGCCTCGGTGAAATTTGTGGAATCTCCATATTCGGTCGACCTATCCAAAACCAAGCACCATTTTGTGCCCGGGGCACCCTTTGAAGTGCTGGTGTGTATATTGCGCCTCCTGCTGCTCACGTATTTCCCGTTTTGTTGGTTTGTTCCAAGATTTTATCCATTTTAGGGCTCCCAAAGTGGCTGATAAAAGTTAGTACAGTGGTACCTCGGGTTACGCACTTAATTCATTCCGGAAGTCCGTTCTTAACCTGAAACTGTTCTTAACCTGAAGCACCACTTTAGCTAATGGGGCCTCCTGCTGCTGCCGCACCGCCGGAGCACGATTTCTGTTCCCATCCTGAAGCAAAGTTCTTAACCCGAGGTACTATTTCTGGGTTAGCAGAGTCTGGGTTAGGAGAGCCAGTGTGGTGTAGTGGTTAATAGTGGTAGTCTCGTAATCTGGTGAACTGGGTTCGCTTCCCCGCTCCTCCACATGCAGCTGCTGGGTGATCTTGGGCTAGTCACACTTCTCTGAAGTCTCTCAGCCCCACTCACCTCACAGAGTGTTTGTTGTGGGGGAGGAAGGGAAAGGAGAATGTGAGCCGCTTTGAGACTCCTTCGGGTAGTGATAAAGCAGGATATCAAATCCAGACTCCTCCTGTAACCTGAAGCGTATGTAACCCGAGGTACCACTGTAATAGGACGGTCCTTTGCCCCTCAGGCTTGCAATCCAAAAGACACAGCACACACACAAAAAGCGATTGGGGAGGGAAGAGGAAAACAAAGAAGCTCATGTCGCACTCCTGGGTTTGCGTGTTGTTGGGGCAGTGAGGGGAGCAAAGGAGAAGGCAGGTTTTAAAATGGTGGTTTTAAACAACAGCAGAGATCTGAAAAAAGCAGGGCCACAGAGGAGCTGTGTGGGGCTGAAAGGAGCCGCTAAAGGTTGCGTGGGCTGGTATGAGCTTTGAGGATATGGAAGCGCCGGGTAGGCAGGATTTGCAAGCAATGCAAGCAAAGGTGGCACCCGGTGTGGATGTCGTCATAAACTTTTTATGTTGCTGTTTCATTCCAGGCTACTATTTCACTCCCAGATGGCGCACCTGCCCCCCGCCTCCCAGTCCACATCTCAACCCAGATAGCGGGAGGCTCGTCGCCAGCTGATGCCCAAATAGAAAGCAACGATCGTGGAATTGTGACACACAGATTCAACGTTCCCGCTGGTGCCACCTCAATCACTATCCTGGTATGTTGTTGTTGTTGTTTTGATTAATATCCGCCCTTCACGCGCAGGGCAAGTCGCAACAATTAAAAATGCGACATTAAAAACAGTCCAAAACAAATGACCGTTGCGTGAATAGGGCGTGTATACCTCAGGCATCAAATGCTGAGACACACAGAGAGGCTCGTCTTCCGCATGCAACGAAAATTTGGCAGCGAAGTTGCCACATGCTCTGTGGAAAGAGAGTTCCACAACTTAGGGGGCCGTCTGAATTTCTGAGGGCAGTGGAACTACAAACTGGACCTGCCCTAAACAATAGGAAGTTAATTTCAACCTTCAGTTTCCTCTGAGGAGGAGGAGTAGACAAACCACCAAAGGTGGGATCAAATGAAATTCTTGGGGCAAGGTGTTCCAAATGTTAAGTTGTGGGCGAACATATAAGACAACACAGCAATTCTTCCAAAGCAGCTCTTTATTTGTAAGCTGGAACAGAACTGAACTGAGGAGCTCAGTCAGCCTGCTTATATAGAGCTCCACTAGAATGCAATAGTAACCATTTTCTGTAACTAGCCAATCACTGAACGTCACTTTTGATCCTTCATTTGCATACAAACTATCCAATCACTGAACGTTACTTTCGATCCTTCATTTGCATAACTATCTATAGTATCCCCCTGCTGGCCCAGGGTGAGAACTTCAGTACATAACACCAAAGATGCTGGGGTCACCACCGAAAAGACTCTGTCCCTGTTGCTGGCTATATATATATATATATATATATATATATATATATATATATTTCTCAGTGGGGCAAGTCATACAGCAGAGTCTCCAAGGCCAGTCTTAGCTTCTAGCAGTTCTGGGTGAATGTGGGCCTTCTAATAACCAGGTACCACACCACTAAGGCAGAGGCAGTATACCCTTTTTCAGTACTCAAGGGCTACCTTCTTTCTTGGCAAACCTTCTGGATTTGTGTGTGTATCACATGACAGTGTTGGGTGGGGCCAGAGGCAAGCAAGTTTATTTTATTTATTTTACTTATTAAATTTGTATACCACCCTTCACCCGAAGATCTCAGAGTGGTTCACAATTCAAGGATGCATTTGAGCTAGCCAAAAGCACTCATTTATTTCATTTGTTTATTTCATCGAATTCATACATTATTTTATTTTATTTTTTTGTTTAAACAGCGCAAAGCGATTTACAAAAGACAAAACAGCAAAATCAGGAAAATTCCGTACATACTAAAGTTAAAATACTAAAACAGATTAAAATCACCTCAGCTTTCTAAGAATCTGGGTAGACTTGTCTAAACAAGAATAGGTAGTCAATGCAACTGTTGCAAATCGGATATGCACAAACCATATAGCCAAAGGGTTCTGTCAAAGAGTAAATCATACTGTTCAAAGCTGGAATTAACTCTTTATTAGCACAAAGGTGATCTTCGCAGACTTGTAGTGGAGCATCAGGCCTAATGAACACAGCAGCTCATCCCCAGTAGGTCTGGCCCCATGAGTCAGTTGCTGAAAGTTCCCACCTCCCCATAGCTGCCTAAGTCCCCTCCTCTGCCGGGCTTTCCCCAAGCAATCTGAGACTGTGCCTGCACAAAGCTAACTTCTCCTCTGCCCCTTTCAGCCCTTTCCTAGTCCTGGGAAACCAGGGAGGAGAGAGCTTGTCACAGCAGGAGGGGGAGACACCTATGACTCTTCACCGGCCAGACCCATCTCTACCTCTGGGTCTCCCTCCTCTTTATCACCTGCTTCAGCTTTTGCCTCTTGTTCTGGACTTCTCTCTGCCACAAACTCTCTCAGCTCACTAAGCCCTGTTACCTCTTCCCAGTCTTCTCTCTCTGAGCACTCCTCATTGTCCTGCCACCTCTGCACAGGCTCTGAGCCTTCTTCCCCTGGTGGTTCCCCAGCTGGTTCCTCCCATTGTTCCTCTGCATCCAACCATGATAGGTACTCAACATGGTGCATTTTAGATGTTGTGGGACTCCAACTCCCATCAGTCCCAGCTCACATAGCCCAATGGTCAAGGGTGATGGGAGTTGTAGTCCAACAACCCCTACATTGGCTGTCCAGCGATCTAGCTTCTGTTGGCCTTCTAAAAGATGCCTTCTATTGAAGTTTCCAAACTGTGTTTAAATGTAGGGCCATGTAGAGAGCACTCCAGTGGTCTATTCTGGGTCCGAGAAGCAAATACAGTGGTGCCCCGCAAGACGAATGCCTCGCAAGACGGAAAACCCGCTAGACGAAAGGGTTTTCCGTTTTGGAGGTGCTTCGCAAAACGAATTTCCTATGTGCTTGCTTTGCAAGACGAAAATGTCTTGCGAGTTCCTGCGGGGTTTTTTTCCTTTCCCCCCCTTTTTCCCAAGCCGCTAAACCGCTTATCAGCTGATGGCTAAGCCGCTTATCAGCTGATCTTTAAGCCGCTTAACAGCTGATGCTAAGCCGCTTATCAGCTGATCTTTAAGCCGCTTAACAGCTGATGGCTAAGCCGCTTATCAGCTGATCTTTAAGCCGCTTAACAGCTGATGCTAAGCCGCTTATCAGCTGATCTTTAAGCCGCTTAACAGCTGATGGCTAAGCCGCTTATCAGCTGATCTTTAAGCCGCTTAACAGCTGATGCTAAGCCGCTTATCAGCTGATCTTTAAGCCGCTTAACAGCTGATCTTTAAGCCGCTTATCAGCTGATCGTTAAGCCGCTTAACAGCTGATCTTTAAGCCGGCTAAGCCGCTAATACTGTAGCGCTAAGCCGCTAAACCTCTAATGGGCTTGCTTCGCAAGACGAAAAAACCCGCAAGACGAAGAGACTCGCGGAACGGATTCTTTTCGTCTTGCGAGGCACCACTGTATGTCACTTTGTGTTCCTTTGTCACCCACACAGCTAAGAGCCGGAACAGAGTCTCCAGCAGAGGTCACCTTGACTGCCAAACGCATGGACTCCCCGAGAGGAAACTACTTGATCATCGAAAGCCCCAAATATCAAGGCTTGAACCCTGGAGAGACCCTTGCATTAGGGTTGAAAAGCGTTGGATCGACTGCCTTCTCCCGATTCTATTACATGGTGAATCCTTCCCGGGGTGTTATAAGGGGCCCTAACCTTCCTAGGATGAAGGAAAGATGGGTTAAGGACAGAGATGGGTGAATCAATTTTTGGTTTCTCGTTTTTCCAGATTTAAGTTCATTTCTCTGCATTCCCATGTCGGTTTGCATTGGTTCTATTTAAAACCGTCTCGAAAATTCATCAAGCATTTGGGTGTGGATTTATCCTAAGAAACACACTTTTGTAGGCAACGTGGCCTAAAATTAGGGCAGTGCCCTCCTGAGGGAAGCAGACTAGACTGTGGGGCACGGGGGAAACTGTGTAGCCGTCACAGCTCTGTCCTCAAACACCTCACCAGCGCTAAGGCGGCTGCCTCACTCATGTTATAGGCCACCTCAGTGCTATTTCAGTGCTAAGACAACATATATGAAACGTGAACATTCAAAATCACTGCATATTCCCGTGCTTAAGCACTATCCTTTGAACTGGTCCTTTCCTTCCAGGTGTTGAACAAGGGGGACATTGTCTCTGTCAACAGCGTGGCCCAAGGCTCCTACACTGTTGTTTCCGTTCCCATCACCCCCAGCCTGATGCCCACGTTTCGATTTGTGGCCTTTTACCGCCTCGGGGACGAAGTCGTGGCCAACTCCATCTGGGTGGATGTCGTTGACAGCTGTGAGGGGAAGGTGAGGCCTTCTCAAAAAAAAATTGTGAAAATTCTCCTTCTCGGAACTTTCCCTGAACGGAGCGAATGTTCACAAGGGCACTGGGGGTGTTAAAATGCAGGACGTTAAAATGGCTGCCCCTAATGTCTATGCCCCTCCAATCTCCAGCTGGTACTCCGGACGTCAAGTACTGATCTGCAGCCTCAGGACTTCCTGAGCCTCACTATAGACACCGATGCGAGAGCCTACGTATCCCTGGCTGCCACCGATTCGGCTGTTTACGCCCTCAACCGGAAGAATCGCCTCACACAAGACAAGGTACAGCGACACACATTTCTCCTCAGTCTCTCTCTTGTAATTTTTAATTTTTTTTAAGTTGTAATCAGCATTAGTCATCCTCGGATGAGGTCCACTGAAATTCACGGATGTGAGGAACCCATCTCCATTAATTTTGAGGGTCTACTCTTGAGTAGAACTTAGTTGGAGACAGCCCTTTGTTTCTTGGCTCCTTGGCTACCCCAGGAATAACTTCCCACAGGTTGTTGTCATTGGGGTTGCCTTTTCAAAGCCATATCTTTTTGCCTAGGCTCTCCCTGGCCCCTGCTTTTGGTCACTTTCATTGTTTTAAAAACTTCCTCTATTGCTAATATTTCTAACAACCCAAAAGTGCAGCAGCAGAGTATGGCATCGTTCCATATGCTAAAGCCAACAAGCAATAAACAAAGAAAGAAAAGAAAGTATTTATACACAAGTATAAATCACAACGTCCGCATTTCCTGAGCTGGCGTGGATGGTGAATATTTAGCATCTAAGTCCAAAGAATAGGAAATAAAACCTCAGCAGATCATGTTCTGGGTTCCCCACCCTGGAAACAAGCAGTTTGTGTGTAACTTCTTCTGCAACAGCCAAAGTCCACAAGTCCTTATTCCACAAAGACAAATGTGGATTTTCCAAGGTTTTCCACTGCTGAGCTATTTCAATCCTAGCTACAGCTAACATCCATGTCAAAATTGATTTAGACAGACAAGCTTCCACGTTGTCAGTCCACCTACCCAGTAATGACAGCCGTGCGGGAGCCCAAACAGGTGATTTAATTAACAGGTGATTTAATTAGCTGTTTGGTCCTTTTTATGACCAAATTCCTGTTTGCAAGCTCTTTTTATTACACTGTTTTACAGGTTTTTTGTTGTTTTTTTAAGTAGCACCTCAGTTTTTACAATGCTGCTTTATTGGGGTATTTTTATTAATGCCACTTAGAAATATGATCTGTAAACTGCTTTGAGGATGGTTGCATGTGTGGGGTTGTTGTTTTTTTTAAATAATATTTATTATTTTTCCAGAAACTTAAACACAAAAAAGACAATACAATACAACACATCAAATTAATAAAACAAAACAAAAACAATAAAATAAATCAAACAATTTCATTATCCCATCTTTCATTCACTTATTTCCACGGCCTCCTCACACCTCCCTCTTTGTATTACACTTCTATTAATTATTTCAGCAATTCCTTTCCATCTTCCTCTGTTTTCTATCCTATATTTATCTTAACTCATTCTAACCTTATTTTTCCTTTAATGCTCTGTTAACCTATCTGTACTTAATTCCTTATAACATTTCTACTAAAGCCATTTAACTTCATTGCAACATTTTTCTAACATTCATTAATTTTACAATATGTGTGGGGGTTTTAGTTAGTTAGTTTGTTTTACAATCAAGCCGTTATATCAGTTTTGATAAATAAATAAACAAGCCTTTTAGGAACCCTTTTGAGTAAATACGTACAGGCAGCGACCAGTTTAGGTGCGTCCAAATGATACACAATCACACATGTTCGCATAGCTCCGAATCCGGATGTGGGTCCAAAACATAACCCCGGTGCAAAATGAGGATTGCCTGTGCATAGATAAATTCTGCTACCACCCTCATGTCATGGCAGGGAAGAGCCATAGCTCAGTCGATAGAGCCTCTGCATTGCATGCAGAAGGTTCCAGGTTCGATTCCTGCCACCTCTGGGTACAGGTAGGAGAGGCACCTGTTTGAAGCTCCTGAAAGATGCTGCCACTCTGTGTAGAGACAGTCCTGAGAGAGATGGGCCCAGTGGTCTGACATGATATAAGGTAGCTCTCTGTGTTCCTTCTTTGCTCCTTTTGGCTTGCTTTTGGGCTTGCCTAACCAGAGGCACCTGATTAGACACTGTTGAAAATAGATTACAGTATTGGATCCCGAACACCTTGCGAGTTGACCGTTTTGGCTCCCAAACAACGCAAACCCAGAAGCCGGCGCAGCTTCCGCGGCTTCTGATTTGCTGCAGGAGCTTCCTGCAGCCAATATACTACTACTACTACTACTACTACTACTACTAATAATAATAATAATAATAATTTATTTATACCCTGCCCATCTGGATGGGCTTCCCCAGCCACTCTGGGCGGCTTCCAACACAATATTAAAATACAGTAATGTCTCAAACATTAAAAGCTTCCCTAAACAGGGCTGCCTTCAGATGTCATGTAAAAGTCTGGTAGTTGTTGTTCTCTTTGATATCTGGTGGGAGGGTGTTCCACAGGGCGGGCGCCACTACCGAGAAGGTCCTCTGCCTGGTTCCCTGTAACTTGGCTTCTCTCAGCGAGGGAACCGCCAGAAGGCCCTCGGCGCTGGACCTCAGTGTCCAGGTAAAATGATAGGGGTGGAGATGCTCCTTCAGGTATATAGGACCGAGGCCGTTTAGGGCTTTAAAGGTCAGCACCAACACTTTGAATTGTGCTTGGAAATGTACTGGGAGCCAATGTAGGTCTTTCAAGACCGGTGTTATGTGGTCTTGGCGGCCACTCCCCGTCACCAGTTTGGCTGCCGAAATTCTGGATTAGTTGTAGTTTCCGGGTCACCTTCAAAGGTAGCCCCACATAAAGCTCATTGCAGTAGTCCAAGCGGGAGCCAATCGGAAGCCGCGCCTTGATTTCTGAATGTTTTGGAAGTAGACCCGACTTCCGGAACGGATTCCATTTGACTTCCGAGGTACGACTGTAATCCAAGCAGGGTCATCTTATCTATTTATCAAGATTTACATACTGCTTAGGGACATGGGTGGTGCTGTGGGTTAAACCACAGAGACTAGGACTTGCCAGTCAGAAGGTCGGCAGTTTGAATCCCTGTGACGGGGTGAGCTCCCGTTGCTCGGTCCCTGCTCCTGCCAACCTAGCAGTTTGAAAGCACATCAAAGTGCAAGCAGATAAATAGGTACTGCTCTGGCGGGAAGGTAAACGGTGTTTCCGTGCGCTGCTCTGGTTCGCAAGAAGCAGCTTAGTCATGCTGGCCACATGACCCAGAAGCTGTACACCGGCTCCCTCGGCCAGTAAAGCGAGATGAGCGCCGCAACCTCAGAGTCGGCCAAGACTGGACCTAATGGTCAGGGGTCCCTTTACCTTTACCTTTACCTTTACCTTTACATACTGCTTAGTCATCAAAGCCTGTGAAATGAAAAATGTACATTAAAGGATATTAACGGATGTTACGTTAAAGGATGTCAGAGACAAGTTTTCAAAATAAAATTAGGCACACTATAAAATACAATCACACATTAAAATACACACCAAATGTACAGTGTCAGGTTAGGCTTGCTTAGACAAAAAAAGTTTTGAGGAGGCCGGGGCAGCAAACGCACCTGCCCAGTATCAGTGCTGCTGCCGCACTGAAGGACTGATTCCTTGCACGTTTGGATCATGTGCACTGTTGCACTGACCCATCTCTGTAATCCTTTCTTTCTGGAAAACAGGTCTTCCAGGCCATGGGAAGCTACGACCTGGGCTGCACGGCCGGCAGTGGGGAAAACACCCTCAGCGTTTTTGGGGATGCCGGACTCTCCATTCGGGCTGGTGAGCTGATGAGCCCCCTCCGGAAAGGTGAGTTTGTTAGGAGGAGCACAAAACAAGGATGTAGTCAGAGAGGGAGTTTGGGGGAGCGGGGAGCATTGTTGACTGACGCACTAACATCTCATTTCTACCATTGCAACTTGTTCTTTCTTTTTTAGATAATGTTTATTTGGTTTTCATAGAATCATAGAGTTGGAAGAGACCACAAGGGCCATCGAGTCCAACTCCCTGCCAAATATGGTTTTACATATTTAAGTTTATATTCATACCACAACACATCCGAAATGACAAGATTCCCTCCAATCTCTGGACTTCCCACCTCCATGGGTTTTTTTATTAAACCTTTTCTACTGCATCTTTTTTTAGTTAAGCCAAGTTTTCTATAACTCCATTGTATCCATAGTTCTCGTTACATTACAAGTGTTTTTGCAGTCCTGCTAATGTTTTCAGCTGCTTACAGGGGTCCTTAAGGAAAATTGTAAATTTCCCCCATTCCATATGAAAGTTTTGCTCTTCCTGGTTGCGTGGCGAGTTCCCAACCCCCCCAAGTGGAAATAATGACACATGACACAATTATTAAGGTAAATGGGCTAAAAAAAGGCCACAGCTTTATTGGTTACAGGTGAAGAGCAGTATTGGCTTAGGCATTGGTCCTAACTGACTATATCCAACTCCAGCCTGTCTGCTCGAAGTCCGGGAAGGGTTAACCACCAGTAGGCGGAGTCCTGCTGATGCACATCAACGAGGAACTCCCCCGGGGTCACAGATAGGGGGCGTCCCTTAGGCCCTAACCTCCTTAGGCTTCGGAAAGGGCCACACCCCCTGGAATCCTTTAACGGACTACCCTTCAATATGTGGGGCAGGTGATGGCGCTACCTCCCCTCTTCCATCTTCAGAACAATACCAAGCCCTAACCGCCAATACCCAGAAAGTTGTGACGATTTGCTATGAGGTAGGCGAAAACCAAGTGGCTGGTGCCAATTTGCCTTAAATAGGGCAGGCCACGCCCCCGAGCCAGCTGATTGGCTGGCCAGGGGATGATGCAGCCGGGAATCGCGCGGGGCTGGCTTCCGCCTGCTGCGCACGTGGGAGCCCGTGAAGCCCGCAACCCCACCTCCTCCTTAGGCAGAAGTGGCTTTCCTGAGCTTTCTGGTCAGTTTTGCCATTTGGGTATACAGTGGTACCTCGGGTTACATACGCTTCAGGTTACACACTCCGCTAACCGAGAAATACTGCTTCAGGTTAAGAACTTTGCTTCAGGATGAGAACAGAAATTGTGCACCAGTGGCGCAGCGGCAGCAGGAGGCCCCATTAGCTATAGTGGTGCTTCAGGTTAAGAACAGTTTCAGGTTAAGAACGGACCTCCAGAACGAATTAAGTACTTAACCCGAGGTACCACTGTAATCCAATAGCTTCATTTGCCATTCTTTTCTGGTAGGGACCTTATCTTCTTGCCATCTCTGAGCTAACAGCATCCGCGCAGCTGTCGTCGCATACATAAAAAGTCTTTTCTGCTCCCTTGGGATTTCGGCACCTACAATTCCGATTAGCATCCTATTCTTTCTGTTCTTCTAGCACATGGATGCGGCAGCAATGCTTCCCGGAAGAAGCGTTCACTGGAGTTCCACAAAGAGCTCCAGAAGAAGCGTAAGTGACGCGAGGGAAGAGGGGCGATAACCCTGAGGGGGTGGGAAATGGAGGACGCCTCCAGGGCTGGCTCTACTTTGAGGCATAATGAAGCGGCTGCCTCAGGTGGCAGATGCAGGAGGGCAGAGAATGGTGGCAAGGTGTTGGAGACAGAGCTGTGTGTCCCCTATGTGGCCAGTCCTGTGCCCCAATGCCAGTCTACTCCCCTCAGGTGTGGCGGAGGATGCTGCCCCATTGCCAGCGCTGAAGTCAGATTCAACTGAGGCACACACTCTGACACCTTTGAAACACTCTACCTGGTTTTTTTTAATCACGTGTTTGCTATTGTATATTCATTGTCCATTTATTTAGCCAAAGGGGCACTCGGACTGAAGATCGAAAAAGCTTACAGTCGAAAAAGACCCGACACAAGAGGAAAAAGAAAGGGGAGGGAGGAGGGAAAAGAAAGCACAAGTTTCTTAAAGTGACAATTGTTATAACAACCCAGTTAAGACCAGCAACTCCCTAATGTCGTTGGTGGATCTGACACCCATCAGTCAGTCTGACATCCGTCCGTCACAGCCACTCACCCTTCCAAGTTGATGCAACCTTCTAAGATTGTACAATAATATCATAATTATGCAAGAATTATAATTAGGGATGCGCTGCAACCATTGATGTAGATCTCCATGTGTTGCCTTTCAGCTAAGTTCTACTGTTTTCTGTGCTTGTAATCTGGGCAAATGGTTTGGAGGGCTTGTGCTTCCTGTCAAGTTCTGCTGTACGTAACAGAACTTGCATGCCATTCTCTTGAAAATGAAGCACCATGTGTCTTTTCAGCACGGTGGCGCTGTGGGTTAAACCACAGAGCCTAGGACTTGCCAATCAGAAGGTTGGCGGTTTGAATCCCTGTGGCGGGATGAGCTCCCATTGCTCGGTCCCAGCTCCTGCCAACCTAGCAGTTCAAAAGCACGTCAAAGTGCAAGTAGATAAATAGGTACCGCTCCAGCGGGAAGGTAAATGGCGTTTCCATGCACTGCTCTGGTTCGCCAGAAGCGGCTTAGTCATGCTGGCCCCATGACCCGGAAGCTGTACGCCGGCTCCCTTGGTCAATAAAGTGAGATGAGTGCTGCAACCCCAGAGTTGTCCATGACTGGACCTAATGGTCAGGGGTCCCTTTACCTTTAAATGCTTAGCTTTGGAGCGCACAGATCAGTTCCTCCTCGGTTTCCTTCCCACGTACAACCCCTCTGTCCTTGCAATAATGTGAAAGAGGCCTGAACAAGTAGCTGCGTTTATTTTGGTTTCTCTCTCTCCCGGCCCCCCAACCTCCAGGCTTTCCTTTCCCATCCACTCATTCAGCTGCTTTTTGGTCCTTCTTTCCTCTCTGCAGTTTCCAAGTACCAAACCCCAGAGCTTCGGCGGTGTTGCCAGGGGGGCATGGTGTTGCTGCGCCAAAAGCTGACGTGCGAGGACCGTGCCAAGCGGATCCAGGGCCCAGACTCCCAGCAGTGTCGCCAAGCCTTCCTGGATTGCTGCAAAGTTGCTGCAGGCCTACGGCGAAAATCCTGGGGATCCCACAGCCTTGGGCGGAGTGAGTCAAGAGATTGGGAGCCTAGCCAGATTTAGGGTGGCACGGGCAGTTCCCCCACACAAGGCACTGAACCAGGGGGCGTGCGCAAAATTGAGAAGATTGATAACTGAGAAGACCTACTTGGGGGTTGCAAAATTGTGGCCTCGCTCAGGGTGCCATATTACAGTGGTACTTCAGGTTACAGACTCTGCTAACCCAGAAATAGTACCTCGGGTTAAGAACTTTGCTTCAGGACGAGAACAGAAATTGTGCTCTGGCGGCACAGCAGCAGCGGGAGGCCCCATTAGCTAAATTGGTGCTTCAGGTTAAGTACAGTTTCAGGTTAAGAACAGACCTCCAGAACGAATTAAGTTCTTAACCTGAGGTACCACTGTATCAAAGTTTCTCGTAGGGGCAGACGGGGCTCATCCACCTGAGAAAGTAGCCCATCTAGGAGAAGGAAGTCTCTGATCCAAAACCTCTGCTGCCTTGTGAGATTTCTTCAGGAGAAGGGAAGGCAGAGAAGGGGTGCAAACTCTATCCCTCAGCCCAGCTCTCAACATGGAACCTCCGCTTTCTGTGCAGCACAAACCCAGGAGCTGGAAGAGGACTTATTCGATGAGGAGTTCATTCAATTGCGGAGCGTCTTCCCCGAGAGCTGGCTCTGGAAATCGTACGATGTGGAGCGGACCTTCACGTAAGTAGGTCAGAGAGCTGGGCCTCAAGGCATCCTGGGAACAGGAGGTAGGTAGACAGAAGACCAGGATCTGCTGATAGATCTCTGGGTGATTTGCAGTAGATTAGCAATGAAATCTGACTCCCACGGTAGCTGTTGTGGCGTATAGTTTGTATGCGGTAGCATCATCTCCCGTGATGCCCTGCCCCCCAAAACTACTGGCTTGCTGATCTTGCAAAACTACAGTTCCTTTTTTAATTATTTTATTTATGCTTTTCAGGTTTATACATTTCACTAATTTTACAATCATTTTATCATTTCAAAACTTGACTTCCTCCTCTTTCTGCAGTTCCTTACATTTATTTTTAATATCTTCTGCCTATCCAAATTAACTTAATTTGTTCATTTATTCATCTTCTTTAAATATATACTTATGAAACTGCAGGTTATTACAATAATCCTGCCAATGTTCTTATCTGTTTACAATTTATCTGTAAATACTCAATGAACCATTTCCATTCTTTGATAAAGTTTGTTGTGTTGATTTCTTATTCTTCTGGTAAGTTTTGCCATTTCCACATACTCCATTGGTTTATCTATCTGTTCTTCTTTTGCTGGGACTTCTGCTTCTTTCCATTTTTGGGCGAGCAACCTTCTTGCCGCTGTAGTTGCACACATGAATAAGTTACTATTCAGTTTAGGTAGCTCTCTCCCTATAATTCCCAAAAGAATTTGGGGAAATTATAGCTCTTTTGCAGAGCTACAGTTCCTGACATCCTTTTACATGCTGTAGTTCCCAGCAATCTCCACGAGTAGAATAAGGGTGCTTTCAATACATTGTGTGGATGTGGCAGGTCTAAGATGACTGGGCTTGGTCATCTGAGGCTTGGTTCTTGAAATATACTCGGAGTCGAGAGTGGATTTCATGCTTTTTATTCAGCTCATAGTGGTGAGGAGGAATGGAAGTTCCCCCAGAATGTCTGCTTTAAATACAATATTTACACAATGGGCCCCACATGATTGGCTTACTCTTCCGCCATGTTGGTCCCTTCCTGCCTCTCACAGTATATTTAGGCCCCATTTCTGTCTCCCACAGGACAAACGTGCTTCTTCCTGATTCCATCACCACCTGGGAGATCCAGGCTGTTAGCATGTCTAATACGAATGGTGAGCTGGGCATTTTTGTATTTCTTGGACCAAAACACTGTACTCTCTAGCTGCTGGCACCTTAAATACTCATTTATCCCTTTCAGCGTTTAATTCATCCATTTTCATTCAACTGACTACACAAACCCATCATAACACCCAACCCATTCTGCCATGCCGCATAAGCCTATATTATTATTTACTGCTTTCTACAAATGGCACATCTTCTCAAAACAGTTCTCAATATCAGCATGATATCATGCTGATATCAGCATGCAGTGAAATAGACTTTTAAAAAAATTATAACTGAACAAAACAGCATTGCAAACAGTACTAAACACCCAAAAGCCAGCATTATGCCAGCAAAATATAGAAAAACTATCCAAATCGATCCAAAATAGTAATCATGCAGCTCAAATCTCTTTAATTAACTGAAGGCTTCAGCAAAGAAATGAATCTTTAAGGCCTTTTTAAAAGCCACAATTCTCAGGGCCTGCTGGATGTCCAATGAAATTGCCTTCAGCAACGGTGCAGCCACCACCAAAAAGGACCCGCGTTTGTGTGTTCACCAGTCTCGCCTCCTTGATCGACAGGCACCTCAATAAAGCTTCAGAGGTGCATTTTCAGGTGTACATGGCATCGCACATGGCACAAATTGAACACATTCATGCGGGGTGGCAACCAATGGTAGGCAAGTAGGGGTTGTGCCCTTGAATTCTGTAGTGAGTTATCCAGGAGAAGGCATGGCACATTCATTATACAGCTTTTGGTGAATGTGGAAGGCACACCTCTTTACCTTGAGGTGCATATTTTTAGAACCTACCTAAATAAAAATAAAAATAATAAAAATGATTTATTATTTATACCCTGCCTATCTGGCTGGGTTTACCCAGCCACTCTGGGTAGCTTGCAACAGAATTTTAATAATAATAAAAAGAGATAAAACATCAAACATTAAAAACTTCCCTAAACAGGGCTGCCTCCAGATGTCTTCTAAAAGTCATATAGTTGTTTATTTCCTTGACATCTGATGAGAGGGCATTTCACAGGGCGGGCGCCACTACCGAGAAGGCCCTGTGCCTGGTTCCCTGTGTAACCTCACTTCTTGCAGTGAGGAAACCGCCCGAAGGCCCTCGGTGCTGGACCTCAGTGTCCGGGCTGAACGATGGGGGTGGAGACGCTCCTTCAGGTATACTGGTCCGAGGCCATTTAGAGCTCTAAAGGTTAGCACCGACATTGTGCTCGGAAAATATACACCTTAGGGTCCCAGTGCGAGCAATTAATAATAAGGACAATAATAAAATAATATCTATGCCAGGGACCTGCCAGCAAGACGGCAGCTTTCAGCTCAGTTCTGGAAGTCTGTGTTGCCGTTCTGATCTTTTCTTAATCCTGTGTCTCCTGCAAAAAGATACAACCAGGAAACGTCATTCCCTCCGGTTTTCCGGTTGTCCATATTTCCCTCCCTCCCTCCTCCTTCACTGGGGGCTCATTCGTTCTCGTTCTCTCAGGCATCTGTGTCTCAGAACCCGTTCGGGTCAGAGTCTTCCAGAACTTCCACATCTCTCTCCGGCTGCCCTACTCAGTGAAGCAGTTTGAACAGATCGAGCTTCAGCCGGTTCTCTACAACTACCAGCCTGAGCCCATCAGCGTAAGCAAAGCCCCCACCATCTCCTCTCCCTTCCGCTGATCCTGTGCCTGCACAGGTCACCTGCTTTGGGTGCAGAAGGCCCCTGGTTCACTACCTGGCGCTTCTGCTAGGGACCCTCTCTGGAAACTGAAATATACTCAGAGTCGCAAAGTGATTTCATGCTCTTTATTCAGCTCATAGTGGTGAGGAGGAATGAATAATAGTCCCCTCACAGTATCTGCTTTATATACATTATTTACACAATGGGCTGCACATGATTGGCTAATTCTGGAATTCTACTGTAAGCCAATCAGGTTGTGGATTCACTTCTATCTGGAGCAGGATTGGGTGGTTCCTGCCAACCAATCATACTGCTGCATTGTTCTAGGACCAATCAGACTGCTGCATTCTGAATCCTATTGTTCTAGGACCAATCAGACTGCTGCCTTTTGGATCCTATTGTTCTAGGACCAATCAGACTGCTACAGTTTGGATCCTATTCAACTCAGGACATAACCCCCCGCCCCTCTAAGTTCCAGTCCTGCCCGGGAGGTCGCATTCATAGTCCTCAAGGTATGCCGGCGGCCTACGTGTGCGTTGTGGCCTGGGGTGTTCCCTGGTCCGGGCTCCGGGTTCTGGCTCGTGTTCCAAGGATGCTGGCTGTGATGCGGCTGTTTGGTCTGGTGCAACCGGCTCGCTCAGTCGTGGTTCTGGTTCCGGTGTCCTTTCGGCCTCACGGGTCCTCTCTGTATTTACTGATTCTGCCTCTCCTGCTGGCCCCTCCTGCTCTATGGGCCTCACTGCCCCGCTGTTCCCTTGGGACTCCTCTGACCTGTCCTCCTCCTGGTTTTCTCCCGGGAATCGTCGCCGTATCTGGTCGCAGTGGCGGCGCCAGCATTGCCCCCATCCGTTAGCACCTCGTACGACACGGGGCCAGTGACCCTGGTGATTGTGGCGGGTACCCATGCTGGGCCTGCCCCAAAATTCTTTGCGTACACTGGGTCCTGGGCCTCGAAGGTCCGGGGTTCCTGCCTTCCCCCACCACTACCTCATCCTGAGCTCTATCGGGGTGAAGGCGGTCCAATCTGATTGCAAGGCGCCGACCCATTAGTAGTTCAGCTGGGCTCCGGCCAGTCGTTGAGCTGGGGGTGCTGTGCTGTGCTAGAAGGAATGTGGCAAGGCGGTACTCCCAGTCCCCTTGCGTCATGCGGCGAAGGGTGTCCTTGGTGGTCCGCACCATGCGTTCTGCTTGGCCATTGGTGGCAGGGTGGAACGGCGCCGAACGGATGTGGCGGATGGCGTTCTGCGCTGTGAAGGTTTGGAATTCTCCTGACGTAAATGCAGTCCCGTTGTCTGAGACGAGAGTGTCAGGGAGCCCGTGGGTTGCAAACAGCCTGCGTAGTACCCGGATGGCTGCGGACGTGGAAGTGGACGGTACCAGTGCGACTTCCAGCCATTTGGTGTAGGAGTCCACCACTATGAAGAATGTTTTCCCCTGAAAGGGGCCAGCGAAATCCACATGCAGGCGTGACCATGGTGCTCGGGCGGACTCCCAGGACTGGACTGGGGCCCTTGGGGGATCTGGGCGGGATTCTTGGCAGGCCTGGCAGTGTTTGACCCAGGCCTCTATCTCTCCATCGATCCCCGGCCACCACACATAACTCCTGGCAAGGGCCTTCATTCTTACTACCCCTGGATGTGTCTCGTGTAGGGCTGTGAGGACCCTTTTGCAGAGGGGCTGGGGAACAACGACTCTGCTTCCCCATAACAGGCACCCCTTGTGGGCCGACAGTTCATGTTTGCGGGTTGTGTAGCCGGCGAATTCTGGCCCGGGGCTGCTGCTGGGCCATCCCTCCACACCCAGTCCAGGACCCGGGAGATGACCCTATCTTTCTTGGAATGGTGTGCAACTTCTTGTGCCTGAATGGGGCGGTCGGGAAGCAGCTCCAGGCTCATAACCTCTTGTGCAGGTGCTGGGTCAGGGCCTGTTTCCGGTAGTGGTAGCCTGCTGAGGGCGTCCGCATGGCCCATCGCCTTCCCAGGTCGGTGAATCAGTGCATACTGGTAGCTGGCAAGGAAAATTGACCACCTGAGGACGCGAGGAGACAGCACTTGGGGGGTCTGCTTTTCGGGGCAAACAAGCCAAGCAACGGCTTGTGGTCAGTCACCACGGTGAAGGGCCGCCCGTACAAGAAATCATGGAATTTTTTTACTCCCTTTACGATTGCCAGACCCTCCTTGTCGATTTGCGAGTAGTTCCGCTCGGTTGTGTTGAGTGTCTGGGAAAAGTACGCCACCGGTACCTCTCTTCCATCCGGGAGTTGGTGCCCCAGGACAGCTCCAATGCCATAGGGTGAGGCGTCGCATGCTAGCACCACCGGCAGCCTCTCGTCGAAGTGTGCCAAGACCGAGTTTGAGACAAGCAAGTCCTTGACTGCCTGGAATGCGGCCTCCTGGCGCTGGCCCCACACCCAAGGGGCCCGCTTGTCCAGGAGTCTGTGTAGGGGCTCCGCTACCGCCGCCTTGTGGGGAAGGAAGGAATGGTAAAAGTTCAATAGTCCCAAGAAGGCCTGAAGTTCAGTCTTGCTCTTGGGCGCTGGGGCATCACAAATGGCCCGTACCTTGTCCCCAGTCGGGTGGACCCCTTCTGCGTCCACCATAAATCCCAGAAAGTCCACCTGAGGCACTCCTAGTAGACATTTTTCCCGCTTCACCTTGAGACCCGCCGTCTGGAAACGGTGCAGAACGGTGCGGAGGCGGTCCTCAAACTCCTCTGGTGTGGGGCCGGCAATCAACACATCATCGAAGAAGGGGGTGACGCCAGGAATCCCTTTAAGGAGAGAGTCCATTATATTCTGGAATATGCCTGGTGCCACGCTGACACCGAATTGCAGCCGCTTTACCCTGAACGCTCCTCTGTGCGTCACAATCGTCTGTGCCTCTGCTGTGGCCTCATCTACTGGCAGCTGTTGATATGCTTGGGCCAAGTCCAGCTTGCCAAAAATTTTCGACCCAGCCAGGGTGGCAAGGACATGGCTGACCACTGGCACTGGGTATGCGTGGGCCGTGAGGGCCTTGTTTATGGTACATTTGTAGTCTGCGCAGATGCGGACCGAACCATTAGGCTTGACGGGTGTGACGATTGGGGTTTCCCAGGGAGCATTAGGCACCGGCTCCAGCACTCCTTGCTCTACGAGTCGGTCCAATTCCTCGTCTATACGGGGTTTCAAGGCGAACGGGACCCGGCGGGCCTTGAGCCTGACCGGTCGTACTGCGGGGTCAAGCTGTAGCGCAATGGGGGGGCCCGTATACTGTCCCAATTTCCCATCGAAAACCCCTGGAAATTCCTTGCATATGGCGTCCACGTCCACTTGTAAGCTAGTGTGGTTCACCCCAGTGACAGCTAGCCCCAGTGGTCCAAACCATGCCAATCCCAGTAAGCTAATGTAGGGGCCCTTGACCACAAGCAAGTCCAGTTGCCGCGTCCGCCCTCGGTATTGCACCCTGAAGGTCCCCACCCCCATTGTGGGGACCTTACGTTTCTGGAAGTCCCGGAGGGTGAATGGGGCCGGCCTGAGTTTGGGACTCCCAGTAGGTCACAGTTTCCTTAAGGTCCTTGCCGAGATTATGGATAGAGTTGAACCCGTGTCAAGCTCCATGCGGCATGGGGCCCCTCTATCTGTACCTCTACATAAATTTTCTCTACGTTGGGGTGGGGCAACTGGTATACCTGGAAGTCCGTGAGCTCCGTCGAGTTGCCTTGGTGCGTTGGGCCCCGGGACCTGGGGCTCTTGGATTGGTCATCTGATGCCTGGTGTCGGGTGGGCCGAGCCCGACACACCCGGGCGATGTGTCCCGATTTTCTGCACTGCCTGCACTCTGCGTTGCGGAAACGGCAGGTCCTCCTCTCGTGACTCTCCCCGCAGCTTGCGCAGTTCCCTCCTTCTCGTCGAGGCAGCTGTGGTCTGTGCGCTGCTTGAGTGCGCTGCTGTACTCGGTGCACCTCCTCCCTGTCGGATCCTGAGTCGTCGGTGAGGTCTTCATGGTGGACCCTCGGTTGGGATGGCAGGCTCGGCCGTGCCTCTTGGGTCGACCTCTCGGCAGCTTCTGTTGCCAGGGCCTCCTCCAGAGCGACCTGGAACGTTAGGTCCTTCTTAGCGTAGAGGCGTCGTTGCAGCTTCTCATCCTTCAGGCCACCGACGAGGCGGTCACGAAGCATGTTCTCCAGCTCTGAGAAGTTGCAGAACCGGGCGGCTTGGCGGAGAGAGGTCACAAACCCAGTTATGGTTTCCCAGGGGCTTGCCGCTTTGCGTAGAAGGCATTTCGACGAGCCACCACTGAGGGCTGCGGCGAAAGTGCCCCTTCAGCTGTTCCATTATTGTTTTGTATGGAACAGTAGCGACGTCTTCAGGCGCAAGGAGAGCCCGGGCGATTTCAAACGTCTCCTCTCCGCAGACGCTGAAGAATATCGCCCTCTTCTTGGCGTCTTCTTCGTCGGTGACCCCTTTGGCTTCTAGGAGGAAGGTGAAACGGGAGGCGTACGCTTCCCAGTCTCCAGATGCTGGGTTGAATGGCGAGAAGCTGCTGTTGGCTGCCATTCTGAGTTCCTTGTGCCCCGGAGCTGAAGCCTGGATACACGGTGCGAGGCAGCGGTGCGGCAGTTGGCGGTGCTGCGGTGCTGTGTGTGGCAGTCAGCTCAGCGGGATCCCATCCTCGTCGCCAGTGAAATATACTCAGAGTCGCAAAGTGATTTCATGCTCTTTATTCAGCTCATAGTGGTGAGGAGGAATGAATAATAGTCCCCTCACAGTATCTGCTTTATATACATTATTTACACAATGGGCTGCACATGATTGGCTAATTCTGGAATTCTACTGTAAGCCAATCAGGTTGTGGATTCACTTCTATCTGGAGCAGGATTGGGTGGTTCCTGCCAACCAATCATACTGCTGCATTGTTCTAGGACCAATCAGACTGCTGCATTCTGAATCCTATTGTTCTAGGACCAATCAGACTGCTGCCTTTTGGATCCTATTGTTCTAGGACCAATCAGACTGCTACAGTTTGGATCCTATTCAACTCAGTACATAACAGAAACCCAGGAGAACTGATGCCAGACAGTGCAGACAACACTGAGGTGACCTGGCAGCTTCCTATGCGAGTCCCTGGGAACTGCTGTCAGCCCAAAAAAGCCAAGGCAAGCAGCATGAGGCAGGAACAGGAAGAGTGGAGCTGGTTCCACAGAAGATTTCTGGGCAGGCATTGCAATGAAATAGCTGAAGAGGGCAAATAAGAAAGGCTTATGGCTGTTAAGCATTGAGGCAAAAGGATCACTGCCCCACCAACCTCCGCTTGCTCCCACCTGCCTGCCTTCTTACTTTCAACCAATCAGGAGGCGGCACTACCTGTCATTGGCTGTGGTTAATTTTATTTATATATGTTCTTCCACCGTTGCCTGTGGCCAAAATAGGCATTGCAGGTTTTCAAAACGGTACCGAAACTTGTGAAACCTGTTTACCAGAAAGGAAAGCAGGCCGTGCACACGCACCTTTCAGAATCTATATTTGAAAAAATAAAATAAACTCCACCTGTGTATCCACGGTCTATTCAATTACGGTAATTTTTACTTGGGGAAAACCCACTGAAAAGCAAGGCATGTCAGTTTCGGCAGGTCAGCCCTGAGTAAAAAAAACTCAGTTGAATGCTGCTTGATCGGATTCTTCTGCCTCTTGATTCTTTCTTTTGTCCCCTTTCTAGGTGTCAGTATACCTGGAGCCCCATGATGGCCTCTGCTCTCCTGCCACTGTAGGCCCGGCACGGAAGCAGCGGGTGGAGGTGCCCGGGAACTCTGCGGTCCCCATCCCCTTTGTGTTGGTTCCCATGGGAGCGGCCGACATCCCCATCACGGTCGTCGCCCTTGGTGGCTTCGGGGGAGGGGACAAAGTCACCAAGAAACTGAGGGTCGAGGTAAGAGGCCTTTCATCGCAGGGAATGTTTTTCCGCTCCCAAGACCACTCTGGGCCAACCTTCTTCTTCTTCTTCTTCTTCTTCTTCTTCTTCTTCTTCTTCTTCTTCTTCTCCTTCTCCTCCTCCTCCTTCTCCTTCTCCTTCTCCTTCTCCTTCTCCTTCTCCTTCTCCTTCTCCTTCTCCTTCTCCTTCTCCTCCTCCTTTGGTGATCACTCGTAGCCGAGTAAGGTTGTCTTCCATAAACACTGTTTTAACAGTGAGTCCGTAAGTGACTGTGGAGGCCAATTCTGGACCCACACGTCCTTCCACAGTGGGGACATAGGTGTTATGTCCTTCTTTCCCCCTGCTGTTGCTGTTTTCCATCATGTCTTGGGCGAAGCGTATATCCCATGGTTGTTTCAGAAATTTATCCATTTCTCTGTTGTTTAGCAACTTTAACAACAGCTGCAAAAATCCCTCTGTCCCAGTGAATAACCTGTTTTCACCATTTCCCCTCTCAGCCTGGGAAGAGGAGTGGTCTGTTGAATTGCAGATGACTCAGTAATGAACCTTATCAGTTGCTTGGCAAGTTCACAGACTCCTTTCATTCTTCCGTCCAACTGAAGATAAATGAGCAATTATACTTCCAATTAAATTAAATTCCAGGTCCTCTTAGCGTTATTCCAATTCTTCTTCATTTGCAGAAAGAGGGTGCCGTCCAGGTGGAGGAATATTCCGTTTCCCTGGATAGTAAAGGTAGGAGACTTGAACACAGATCTGAAACCCAGTTCCTGAGGGTGGGTGATGCAGAAACAACTCTTGGCGTTTAAATACAGAACACGCATACATACACCACACCCAAAGCATTACGTGGGCTATATCCCCCTGTCACCCATAGGTTGATAGCAGGTGAGCATGCTTTTTAAAAATGGAGAAAGTAAAAAGAAACCCCCAACCTCAAAAGAGAAGTCAGATAAGGAGGGGGCACCTGAGACCCTCCAGATGTGCCACCCCCCCCCCCCCCGCCAGCATGGCTAGTATTCAAGAGTCCCTTCCAGTATTGATGATATTTCTTGCACTTATGGTTTGGAAGATGGGAGCTTGTGAGCAGAGAGCCTGCACTCTTGCCTGCCTCTATTTGCAGAGTAGCATACGCAGTATAATAGTAATAATAATAATAAACCTTTATTTATACCCCGCCCTTACTGGTTCAAAAACCGGGCTCAGGGTGGCTAACAACAAATTTTAAACACTTAATTATAAAAGCAGCATAAAATACAGTATAAAAATGTGATTAACAATAAAATTCAGAAATCAAAAATCAATTTAGGGGAAATAAGTATGAGATAATCCCCAGGGCTAGCTGGCTGAATTGGTCCTACTTGGGCCAGCAAGGAGGCCAGGGGAGAATTAGCTGTGGGGTCTCAGAGCGGGTGATCTTCATAAAAGGGGAGGGGGAGGGAAGAGAAGGGAAATAAAAGATCAGGCTGAATTCAAATTAAAGGCCAGGCAGAATAGCTCTGTCTTACAGGCCCGACGGAAGGAGGTTAAATCCTGCAGGGCCCTAGTCTCATGGGACAGAGCAGTCCACCAGATCGGAGCCGTCACTGAAAAGGCCCTGGCCCTGGTGGAGGATTGTCTGACTTCCTTAGGGCCCGGGACCTCTAAACTATGGTTATTCATAGACCTTAAGGTCCTCTGCGGGGCATACTAGGAGAGGCAGTCCCGTAGATACAAGGGCCCTAAGCTACAAAGGGCTTATGTGTATAGTGTATAGTGGCAATCTCCCAAATTATTATGATTTATTACATCTAGGATCATCCGAATGCTTGGCTATTGGAAAGGATCAGAGAGCAACAGAGACGTCTTGTGAGCTAGAACATGAGGAGTGTCACTGTTCCATTATAGGGCTACCCAAAATGCATCTGGGGTTGCCACTGTCAGAACAGGGTGCTACATTATGATGGGCCCATGGCCTGATCCTGCTACAGAGCTCTTCTCACATTCTTTACGTACAGGAACTTAGCTGCTGTAAGGAAATTTCAAACAGGCTTTTTGGGGAGGCTGCCTGATGTTTCCAGGAAGTAGACAGACCATGGTAGTCTGCACTGGCAAAAGGAGGAGGTTGCGAATCCCAGATCCCTAAATTATTCGGAAGGGCTGCAGAAGCTGTTGGCTTGGAGTGGTGAGGAGCTACCAATGTTTTCCCTTCTTTTTTCCCCGTTCGAGACAGATGGGCGCACCAGAACGGTGGAGATTTCAGGCGAGATTCCCTCCAACGCCATTCCCGGCAGCGACTTCAAGATGAGCGTCCGTTTGACAGGTGCAAGGAACAAGCCAGAGAGGAAATCATGGAATTGTAGAGTTGGAAGCCCTTGCAAAGCAGGAATCTTGATGCCAAACCTTCCTTTAGTTTCACTTGTTCTCCAGCTGGCAGTTAAAAGATTTCCAGATTGTAGCGGCACACTGGCATGGCAGACTTAAACCGGTTTGGATCAAGCAAGCAGGGGACGCTGTGGGTCTCTAACAGAGAATTATCAGCACCTTAAACAAACATAATAATAATAATAATAATAATAATAATAATAATAATACAGTGGTGCCCCGCAAGACGAATGCCTCGCAAGACGGAAAACCCGCTAGACGAAAGGGTTTTCCGTTTTGGAGGTGCTTCGCAAAACGAATTTCCTATGGGCTTGCTTCGCAAGACGAAAATGTCTTGCGAGTTCCTGCGGGGTTTTTTTCCTCCCCCCCCTTTTTCCCAAGCTGCTAAGCCGCTTATCAGCTGATCCGCTAAGCCGCTAAGCCGCTTAACAGCTGATCGCTAAGCCGCTTATCAGCTGATCTGCTAAGCCGCTTAACAGCTGATCCGCTAAGCCACTAAGCCGCTTATCAGCTGATCCGCTAAGCCCGCTAAGCCGCTAATAGCACTAATCCGCTAAACCGCTAATGGGCTTGCTTCGCAAGATGAAAAATCCGCAAGACGAAGAGACTCGCGGAACGGATTCTTTTCGTCTTGCGAGGCACCACTATAATACCTATTTTTCTGTTTGTTAAGGGAGACCCCTGTTCCCCTCCCAGAGCTACAATTCCTAGCATGGCTTAACAATCAATTCTTCACAGGGAAATTTGGGAGAGGAATAGTCTCCTAACAGCTCCTTTAGCAAACTGCACCTCCCATAATCCTTTGCAGGAAGCCATGACAGTTCAAGGTGGTGCCACAGTGCTTTAAATGGACTGTGTTGCTGCGGCCCGGGCCTTGTGCAAACATTGTTTTAAAAGCATAACAGTTGGCTGGGGTTGTGGTAGGGGTAAGATGGGAAATAGTTTTGTTGTTTTCCCTCGCTGGCCCGTGCCGTGTTCTGAACCATTGTTTTGCCTTGGGCCACCAGGCTCAGTGCCTGCGGACGTCCTTCAGAGCTCCCTGACCCCGGACGGCCTCTCGTCTCTGCTGAGGGTTCCCCAGGGATGTGGGGAGCAAACCATGGTCCTGCTGGCCCCCGGAGTCTATGCCATGCAATACCTGGACAAGACAGAGCAGTGGCTGCACCTGAAGCCAGAGAGCAAGGAAAAAGCGCTGGAAAACCTCCGTTCAGGTGATGGGCCATGATGCATGCTGGGAGACGCAAAGGGGATGCGCTGAGCTGTATTAACTTACAAATTACTGCACACGCCCCGGTAATTTACACACCTGCAATTTTCACAAGGAAAAAGCATACTGTAAAATTATATATAAACAGACTGGCCATGTTCATCCTTAGCTAACAGCTCAGTAGCCCAAAGAGGCAGCAGCACTGATTGGCTGGTGCCTGTGACGCCACAACTCCACCTCCCCATCCTGCCTTGCAGTCTATCTCCATGTGCCAATTGGAGCAGGCCAATTTGGGGGGTGGGCAGGGAGGTAGGAGGACCATTTGGCCTTGGCCTCAAGCTCAGAGAGACTTCCCTAGAGCATGGATCAGCTGAGGATCTCCCACTTAATCAGCATCCATTCGTTCGCTTTAAGGATCTGCCATCACTTACGCATGGCCCCTGAAGGATCCTGGCCTGTTTCTTCCTTTACCCCTATGCCGCCAAAAATAAATCTAAAACTAGGAAATCCTTATGGACGTTTTGCAGAGAGGAAGCAAAGCAGCCATGATAGGTGTCTTTTGGGTGTTTGCCTTTTGCACTGCAGGCTATGAGCGGATCCTCACTTTCCGGAAGTCGGATGGATCCTATGGAGCTTGGATCACCCACCCCAGCAGTGTCTGGTGAGACTCAGCACTACGAAGGAGGCGGGAGGAGAGGTTCTGGGTGCGAGTATTGGGATGGTGCCATACTAGACCTGCTTAATCAATCTTTATCCCAATCCCCTTGCACTGCATGGTTAGGCCATGTCGGGTCTTCATTTGGCCTTGGCTCTCAGTGAGCGTTTGTCCTGCATTCTGCTTGCTTTGCAAGGTGTTTTACGTGTCTTCCCATTATTCATCCCCCTCATTCCCTTATTTCAAGGCCTTTCCATGTCACTTTTCAAATCACAAAGAAGTCCAGTTCTTTTTTAAAAAAGTGGATTTGCTGCATTAGGCCTGCCCTGTTGCTCAGATAATAATAATAATAATAATAATAATAATAATAATAATAATAATAATATATTTATACCCCGCCCATCTGGCTGGGTTTCCCCAGCCACTCTGGGCGGCTTCCAACAAAATATTAAAATACAATATTCCGTTAAACATTAAAAGCTTCCCTAAGCAGGGCTGCCTTCGGATGTCTTCTAAATGTCAGATAGTTGTTTATCTCCTTGACATCTGATGGGAGGGCGTTCCACAGGGCGGGTGCCACTACCGAGAAGGCCCTCTGCCTGGTTCCCTGTAACTTGGCTTCTCGCAGTGAGGGAAGCGCCAGAAGGCCCTCGGCGCTGGACCTCAGTGTCCGGGCTGAACAACAGGGATGGAGACGCTCCTTCAGGAATACTGGACCGAGGCCGTTTAGGGCTTTAAAGGTCAGCACCAACACTTTGAATTGTGTTCGAAAACGTACTGGGAGCCAATGTAGATCTTTCAAGACCGGTGTTATGTGGTCGCTCCCAGTCAGATAGTTGTTTATCTCTTTGACAACTGATGGGAGGGCGTTCCACAGGGCAGAAGGCCCTTGGCACTGGACCTCAGCGTCCGGGTAGAACGATGGGGGGGAGACGCTCCTTCAGGTATACTGGAAAGGAAGTGGTCTGGCAGCCCCCAAGCACTTGCAGGCACAAACCATATTGTCATACATGTGGGTAAAATGATTCATTGTTAACGTTAGGATTTTGATTAATTGGGATATGGATGAAAGTGCAGAACTATGCCAGGCAGGGAATTCAGGGAAATCCTGGGCTGGCTTATGCAAACCAATCTGGCTGCCTATGGGGAGAAGAGCAGTTACAAAAAGGTGTTGAAGGGCCTTTGAGGTGAGGAATCCTTTAGCATCCTGTTACCAAGGTGATGGAGTGTGTGTTTGAGGGGACAGGAAAAAGGAGGTTTGAAGCAAGGGTTTCTGGGAGTAAGCAGGGCTGAGATCCATCTTGGTGAGAAGAGGAAAGACTGAAGGTGTAAATGGGCAAATGAGCCCTATTTGTCAAAGCACGACAGTCTCTGCTGTGTCTTCTATTCTCCAAAGGGACACAAACCCTGTGTGTGTGCCTGGGATGCCATGGGCTCTTGCCACCGCTTGCATAGCTGTCAACGTTTCCCTTTTTTTAAAGGGAAGTTCCCTTATTCTGAAAAGGATTCCTCGCAAGAAAAGGGAAAAGTTGACAGCTATGACTGCTCGGCAGAGAGAGGGGCAGGCACCTGACTTTCGTAGCAGCATTAGTTGCTTTTGACTGATCTAGCAGCATCAAAAGGACTGTTGTGGCCTCTGAGTTTTATGGTATGTGCTTGAAAACCTCCAATTTAATGCCGACCGCTTGCAGGCACCCCAAGTCAGCCGAGCAGTCCCTGCAGCCATGTTCAGTGCCTCCTTTTTAAATACGAGCTCCCATTAAGGGCCCTGGATGCGCATGCACACACAATCTCCACACCTGTGTCTGATTATTCGCCCGTCCTCCGACTCTCCTTCCCTCCAGGTTGACGGCTTTCGTAACAAAGGTTTTGACTCTGAGCCGCGAGTACCAAGAGGTGGATGAGGCCAAGATCCGTGAGACGGTGCAGTGGCTGCTGAATAAGCAAAAAGAGGATGGTTCCTTCGAAGACCCACATCCTGTCTATCATCGGGAGATGCAGGTAAGCTCCTGAGCAAACATTAAAAAATCAAACCTAATGAAAACTCACCGGCGTTTTCATGCAAATTTATCCTAATTAACACATTGGTTTATGTACACATTTTTGCAAGCACTTTCCCCATAATATAATGCATTTCACCAATATCTTCATTTTTACGCCCACTATTATTGTAAACTTTGTCTGGAGAACTGCATCACAAAAATCAGGTGAGTGCAAATTTCAAAGGATGGCTGAGTTTTGGTTTCTATTGTGACTCGGAAAGGGTGAATCGATTCTCCGTCAGCCATGCGTTCCCTTGTCTTTCCTCCCCAGGGTGGCGTTGGCGGCCTTCATGGAGGCACCTCGCTCACGGCGTACATCACCATTGCGCTTCAGGAGGCCTTGGCTGTGTACAAAGAGGAGGAGTCGGATCCAGAGCAGGAAAGAGCAAAGCAGGAACAGCTGAGCCGACTGGTAAGAAGCAAGGGAAGGCTGCGGTGGCGGGGCAAGCAGAAAATATGTGCAGTGAGGTTACAGGGAACCAGGCAGAGGGCCTTCTCGGTGGTAGCTCCCACCCTGTGGAATGCCCTCCCATCAGATGTCAAAGAGATAAACAACTATGTGACTCTTATTCTTATTCTTATTCTTATTCTTATTCTTATTCTTATTCTTATTCTTATATTAAGAAACCACTGGAGAGCCAGTTAATATGCTGGACATGGAAATCCAGCCAGCCCAGAATCTCCATTTTTAACTTTTTTATTAAAAAAAACACACAATCAAGTTTCTATCCCTCATGGCACCTGACACCTGGCTGATCCTGCCTCTTCCTGCCCAGGCAGCAAGACTCCTCACCTCCTTCCCTTCCTCCTCCCTTGACATCACTGTAATGTTGCATGTCCCACCTTGCTGTGTTCTTCTGGCAAATTGCAAGCTACAAACACTCAAATACGTATCAATCAATGTTTGCTTTTCCTTCTTTTCCAGAGAAACGGCCTGGCTCAGGCGACTGCCTTCCTTTCCCGCAAGCTGGAGGATCAGTCCCTGGGCCCGTACCCTGTCGCCATCACCAGCTACGCCCTGTCGATCGCTTCCGACGACAAGTCAGCCATTGCGAGTGCCGGCGTCCGCCTGAAGAGTCTCGCTACAGAGGACAAAAGTAATTGCCCTCAATCCCAATAAAACTCTGGCCTTTCAGATTCCGAGCTAACGCACGAGATCCTGGCCACGCGTGTGTGTCCCCTTCCCCAATACATCGCATCTGCATGGCCCCTACATTCTGTCCTTTCGTGTTTCTTCCAGACAACACCATGATGTTCTGGGCAGTGGAGGAGAAGGACCGGCTGCAGAATGAGAAGAAACCTGGCCGGGTGCCTCCTGCTTCAGCCATCTCGGTGGAGGCCACCGCATACGGGCTCCTCTACCTGTTGCAGAAAAACGACATTGCGTCATCAGGCAAGGTGGCTCGGTGGCTGACGGAGCAGAGGAACTATGGGGGTGGCTTCAGATCGACCCAGGTATGGTCTCCCGCAGGGCATGTTTACAAAACGGAGGGACTTTTTTTATTAAAGATTTTCTTGATTTACAAAAGTGTCTCTTATCTCCTATTTCCCCCCCCCCATGTAACATTTTTACAAATCAGTTTCATTTGTTGAGACATTAGGAAGAAAAGGGGGAAAGAGGTGGAGAGGGGGGAAGATAGGTGGGATCGGGTGGCGATGTTTCTATTTTACTTACTATATGTAGGGTTTGGTGTCAGCGTTGCTTGTGCAGGTTCTTTGCTGTTCACTTGTGTTCCTTTGGTGGTGAGAGAGGTTGGGATTGGCTTAGGGTGTGATTGTTCATTTGTGGTTGGCTGTGGTGGTCATTGTTTTCATGTGAGAGTGGGGTGGGTGGGTGTTTTGGATCACGTCCTGGAGGAAACTCTTGAGAGTCCCATGGACTGCAAGAAGATCAAACCTATCCATTCTGAAAGAAATCAGCACTGAGTGCTCACTGGAAGGACAGATCCTGAAGCTGAGACTCCAATACTTTGGCCACCTAATGAGAAGACTCCCTGGAAAAGACCCTGATGTTGGGAAAGATGGAGGGTACAAGGACGACAGAGGACGAGATGGTTGGGCAGTGTTCTCGAAGCTACCAGCATGAGTTTGACCAAACTGAGGGAGGCAGTGGAGGACAGAAGTGCCTGGCGTGCTCTGGTCCATGGGGTCACGAAGAGTCAGACACGACTAAACGACTAAACAACAACAACAGCCATATTGATTTGTATGCTGTTGGTGGATTTTTGTCGTTGCCTTTAGGGCTGTGTATGTGATAAAGGGGAGCCATACATCTGTCAGTTTCAGTTTATTGGTTAATTTTTCTAGTAGGGGTCTTTCCCATACTATTTGGTACCACTGGTCCATGATTACCAAACGGAGGGACTATTGATGGCCACCAGCTCAGGTGGCTTTCAAGGGCGCTTTGACGAATCCACGGAGGGTAGTCTTTGTGGCTGCTGGCCATCATTTCTCAAATTCTCAGGGACTAGCCCAGTGCAGGCTGTGTTTTCCCACTCAAACTCTCATAAACTGGCCCACTTCTCTCTCCTTTCAGGACACAGTGATGGCGCTAGAAGCTCTGTCCCGCTATTGGATCAGCTCCTTCGAGGAGGAGGACAATGAGCTGAAAGTGACCCTCAGAATCCCCGGGAAAAGCTTGCCGAGGACCTTTACCTTTGGGCGGTCGAATGATCCGATCCAGGAAGAACTTCAGGTGAGGGTTCGGGGTAGGGATTCCTGCCAAACTAGGATTCCGGACACTCGCCTGATTCGATTTGGGCAGATCAGCCTGACCTGGGGTGGATCGTGAGATCCCTTCAGAATCCATAGTCCCACAGGCCCCTTCATGAGGCAAACCCTGGGGGCTGCTGTTGCCGTGTGGGTATTACAGTATTATTTGGTCTGGCCATTCACTTTCCCTCCTCGTTTTTCTCCCACCTTCAGTTTTCCATGGGAAGTAACATCAATCTGAAAGTGGAAGGGAAGGGGAAAGGAACTCTAACCGTGAGTAGCTTCATCATTTGTCTGCTTTGCTTTTAATTAAAACCAACTGCTTCTCCCTCATTTGTATAAGCTTTATATTCAGGAAGGGCTGCAATGTGCTCTAAGTGGGGCTACCTTTGAAGGTGACCTAGAAACTGCAACTAATCCAGAATGCAGCAGCTAGATTGGTGACTGGGAGTGGCCGCCGGGACCACATAACACCGGTCCTGAAAGACCCACATTGGCCCCCAGTAAGTTCCTGAGCACAATTCAAAGTGTTGTTGCTGACCTTTAAAGCCCTAAACAGCCTCGGTCCAGTATACCTGAAGGAGCGTCTCCACCCCCATTGTTCAGCCCGGACACTTGAGGTCCAGCTCCAAGGGCCTACCGGTGGTTCCCTCATTGCGAGCAGTGAGGTTACAGGGAACCAGGCAGAGGGCCTTCTTGGTAGTGGCACCCACCCCGTGGAACGCCCTCCCTTCAGATGTCAAGGAAATAAACAACTATCTATGATTTCTAGAAGACATCTGAAGGCAGCCCTGTTTAGGGAAGTTTTTAATGTTTGATTCTATTTTTAATATAGTCATACCTTGGGTTACAGATGCTTCAAGTTGTGTTTTTTCAGGTTGCGGACCTCCGAAACCCAGAAGTACCAGAACGGGTTTCTGGGTTTCGGCGGTCATGCATGCACAGAAATGCTAAATCGCGCTTTGTGCATGTGCTGAAGCACCGAATCGCAAACCGTGCGTGCGCAGACACGGGTTGTGACCGCTGCGGGTTGCGAACGTGCATCCCACACGGATCACGTTTGCAACCCAAGCATCCACTGTATTCTGCTGGGAGCTGCCCAGAATGGCTGGGAAAACCCAACCAGATAGGAAGGGTATAAATAATAAATAATAAATAATAAATAATAAATTATTCTTATTCTTATTATTATTATTATTATTATTACTACTACTACTACTACTACTACTACTGTTACTACTATTACTACTACAGCCCCCCACCCTGCCTCACTTTCTACCTGAAGCCTGTCAGCTTCCTCCTCCTTAGGCTGCGACTCCTGGGCTCTGAACAACCTTTACTCCAGTGTCGCTACTGCGAGTGCACAGCTTGAGAGCAAGGAGGAGCACTCCTCTTCTGTCTCTGTTCCCTTCCAGGTCCTGAAGCAATACCACGTCTTGGCTGTGCAAAACACTTCGTGCCAGACTCTCGGGCTGCAGGTGGACGTGAGTGGTTCTTTTCAGCGTGCACGTAAGTCTGGGCTTCAGATTCCAGTTCTATGATTCTGCAGTTGGGGAGACCGCCACTCTCCACATTAACCACCACGGACTCCACTATTGCCCTCTGAGGCCCTTCTCTGTGAGCCCGCTCCACGAGAGGTTTGGAGGGCCGCAATGCAAGAGCAGGCCTTATCAGTGGTGGCTCCTCAATTGGGGGACGCTCTCCCCAGGGAGGCTCGCCTGGGACCTTCGTTACTTGTCTTTAGACTCCAGGCAGAAATTTCTTTCCTCTGGGCCTTTGGCGTTGAATTATCCACAGCCTTCTTGAGTGGTACCTCAGGTTACATACGCTTCAGGTTACATACGCTTCAGGTTACAGACTCTGCTAACCCAGAAATAGTGCTTCAGGTTAAGAACTTTGCTTTGGGATGAGAACAGAAATCGTGCTCCAGCTGCACGGCGGCAGCAGGAGGCCCTATTAGCTAAAGTGGTGCTTCAGGTTAAGAACAGTTTCAGGTTAAGTACGGACCTCTGGAACGAATTAAGTACTTAACCTGAGGTACCACTGTACATCTGTCATGAATCTCCCAGCATTCATCAAGTGTTATGAGCGAAAGAGGGGGGAACTTTTCTCCAGCCACTGCATAATTTTATAAACTTCTATTATGTCAACTCGCCTCTAAACTCAAATGTCCCAAATGCCACAACTGTTGCCAGTAGGGAATTTGCTCCATCCCCTTGACCATCTTGACCTTTTTCAACTCTGTCCGCAACAGCCGACGTATTAGACTACTACTATGAATATGAAGATTACGGCCCAGAGGATTCTGAGCCGAAAGCAGACCCTGCCGACCAGCCGTTGTCACCGATCGAAGTCTTTGATGCCCGCCGACGCCGCAGGAGGGAAGCCAAAGACCCTGGGCAGGAGCAGAAGGACGTCACCTACAATGTCTGCTTCTGGTAAGGTTTGATGAATGGACATTTCTTGAACAGGCATAATATTCTGGTTCTAACCAGAACTAGGCCATTTTGAGGAGGAAAGAACTCCCTTCCTCTCTTTGAGCACTGCCTTTTAGGGGAAGGCAAGTATTTGCCTGGGTCCAGTAGTGGCATGCTAGCCCAACACTCTATAGCCGAACACTCTAACCATTGTGCAATATTGCCGCTACCTGAATATCCTTTCCCTAACCTTTTTGTTTTCAATTCTTTCCTCCCTACAGGAGACAAACAGGGGCTCATGTCTCTGGCATGGTTATCGTGGACATCACCCTGCTGAGCGGCTTCCATCCGGATGAGAACTACCTTGAGGAGGTGAGCGGAGGCTGTGCGGGCATTTTGGCATTTGACAAGGCTCAGGGTCCAGGCCTGCCAAGACCCCACCAAGTCCCGTCAAGTTCCCTTCCCCGTGGGGCCTTTAGATATGCATCAGCACAAGTGCAGGCTGGTCCATTAGCACACCAGCCTTCCAACAAATGGCTGGGCCCAGCCTAGTATTATGGGCCACCACTCAGTCTGCTGTAATAATAATAATTCCCAGCCCATCTGACTGAGCTGCCTCATCTGCTAGAGCCTCATCAGGACAAAGGACTGTGGCGATGCTGTTCAGCTATGAGAACCTTATCCTGCTTAGTTGCCTCAATGGCTATTATTATTATTATTATTATTATTATTATTATTATTATATTTCAATTTTTAAAATTAATTTTCCAAAAAAAATTAACACAAACAAACAAACATAAATCCTAGCCATAATTAAACCAATCTTAATAACATTGTTAAGTGACTTCCTCAAATCCCCTTGGTTGAATTTCATTGTATATCATTTTAACAGTTTTCCAAAATTATTATTATTATTATTATTGCCACAATGGCCATATTCTCTGCTGTTGGGGGCATCACCAGATGTCAAAGAGAAAAACAACTACCAGACTTTTAGAAGACATCTGAAGGCAGCCCTGTTTAGGGAAGCTTTTAAGGTTTAATAGATTATTGTATGTTAATATTCTGTTGGAAGCTGTCCAGAGTGGCTGGGGAAACCCAGCCAGATGGGTGGGCAATAAATAATTTATTTATTTATTTATTTATTTATTTATTTATTTATTTATTTATTTATTTATTTATTTTTTATGCCCCTTAGAGCTCATGCAGACTTTCCTGTGACCTTCCCCCGGGGAAACTTGATCTTTAGCGCTGAAGCAGAGCAAACATTGGGCACCTGGTCCAATTCAGTGCTAAAGAGTGAGTTTTCCTGAGGGGAAAGCGGCAGAGCACATGAGAAGCTGCTCAGACCTGTGTCTAAGAAGCGCAGGATGAGAGGGAACCTTTTTGGACGAGCCTTCAATTCCAGTGGGCGGGAATTGCAGGTGGGGAGAGAGTAGGGCTTCTGTCCTCAGGCCCTCCTTTCGGGGTTTCCATGGCGGGGTCCGGTTGGCCGCTGCAAGAACAGAACGCTGCACCTGACCCAGCTCTTCTTACGACTCTCCTGTTTGCCGGTTCACCTCCTTGTTTCTTTCCTTGATCTCCCAGCTGCGAACTCTCCCCGATCAATACATCAGCCACTGGGAGATCCAAGGACGGCGGCTGCTGCTCTACTTTGACTCGGTGAGAGCGATGCGTGCAGGATTATGCCACGAGAACGGAGGCAGTGGGGGGCAGGGAGGAAGGGCAGCTGCACAGAGGAGTTCAGATAAACTCTCCCCGCCCCCCATTGTAATGTGCAAGAGGCCAGGATGGCACCCACCCAACCTGCCTTTGGGCTATATGGCACTAAACCTTTTTTATCTGAGCGAGGGCCACATTTGCTTCTCTGCAACATTCTGGGGGCCGCATGCCAGAGGTGGGCAGGGCCAAGGGGTGAAAGTGGGTGGAGCAACAAAGGTCAATTCTGTCCTTGTACACTAGGCTAGTTTCTATGCACTCTGACACCTGCTTCTCTATCCTCCACCCAAAGAAGCAAGAGTTCGAAGGGCACCTTCCAGCCAAGCAGCTGGAGTCACCTCCCTTTTGAAGTGACTGGCCTAGTGAGCTTAATGGCTGAGTGGGGATTCGAACTCGGATCTCCCTGCTTACAGCACAAAACCAACTCTGAAATGATATGCAGGAGGCCCTGGATTTGGTCCCTCACATCTCTACTTATCAGGGCTTTTGCCTTTGGAGGACTGCTTCCACTTCGCATAGACGGCACTTGGCAATCACACCTGTGCCCTTCTGATGTTTTGGGCTCAGTGGAGGCCTTGCCAGCCTCAATCTGCCTCCAGCCTGCCACGTTACTTACATCCCATCCAGCGGGTGGCGCTGGCTGTCAGCCTCCTCCTTCCTTGGTCTCAGCATTGCCGTTATAGAACTCAGCAGAGAGGAGGAGATAACGCATTGCCTGTGCCCGCCATTGGCTCTGGCGCCACCTACTGGCGGCCTCCCTGCCTCCTGCCCTATCACTTTTTATACCGTATTTTATGTTGTTTTTTGCTGTATCACAGTTAAGTGTTTTAAATTTGTTGTTAGCCACCCTGAGCCCGGTTTTCTGATTATTATTATTTATTATTACCAGTACCAGTGACCCCTGTGCTACCTCGGAGCTGATAGTTATCCAAACCATTTGGAGGGCATCAGGTTGGGGGAAGCTGGGGGAGATTGCCCAGCGGCCTGATCCAATATAAGGAAGCTTCATATGTTTCCTTTACATTATTGTTGTGCTCCCCCTCTGGGCTTTGTGTTGGATTTTTGCCTCTGATCTTTTTCAGTCGCTTTTTGCAGTGGTTTAGTTGGTTGGCTGCTTCGTTTACTTATTTCAGAGGTGGTTGTGCTGCTCAGCTCCCGCTGGCCACTGTGAGAATAGGATGCTAGACAAGACAGGCCACTAGATCGATACAGCAGGCAAGGGCTTTCTCCTACGTTCTTAAATATACCCATCTATAGGTGCCAGCATCCGGACGCGAATGCGTATCGTTTACAGCAAAGCAGCTGGTGCCTGTGGGGAAAATCCAGCCAGCCAGTGCCACCATCTATGATTTTTATGAACCAGGTAAGTGATTGACAGGTCACAGGGCCTGAGGGGGGGCGGGGGAAGCAGGCTGCATCTTTCTGGTGGAGCAAAGGTTTAGTAGCTGCGGCCTTAGGGAGCAGGAGAGCGTTGCCTTTGCTGGCTGTAGCAGGCAATTAAGGGATAATTTTTGCTTATTAAATCGTAACCTGACATGACAACATTCTCCTCAGTTTGAGATTGTGATTGAATTACCACATGCAAAACTACCCAGGTTAATTTTAACAGGAGTTGCTTGCAGCTTAAAACCTAGGCAGAGAGAGAGGTGCTATGTCTGAATTAGGCCAGAGTGTTTTCCATGCATGAAATGTTCTGGAGAAGTTTGATATTTTCTATCCAGGGGATTAACTTAGGTTGGCTCTGGGCGGGAGTCAAATGAGTTTTTGAATTCATGGAACAAGATTCTCCCCTCCCTTTGTGTGCTGCCACAACCCCTAAATCTGCTTTGGAGCAGTGGGAGAATTTCCAGTGCAGGTTTGTGGGGTAACTCAGTGAGAAGATAGGGAAGGAAAGCGCTATTGGGGGGGGGGGATTATTGGGTTGTTTTTGGTTTTATTTTGTATTTTTTGTTTTTGTGATTTTATGTTGTAACCACCCGGAGATCTGCAGGCATAGGACGGTATACAATTTAATTAATTAATTAATTAATTAATTAATAATAACCTCATTCACTTTCTGAAAAAAGTTGAATATGCTGAGGTTTTCGTGATAAGCAAATGTATTTTCTTTTATTTATAAAAATATTTCTATACCACTACAGTGGTACCTCGGGTTACAGACTCTTCAGGTTACAGACACTTCAGGTTACAGACTCCGCTAACCTGGAAATAGTACCTCGGGTTAAGAGCTTTGCTTCAGGATGAGAACAGAAATCGCGTGGCAGCGGGAGGCCCCATTAGCTAAAGTGGTACCTCGGGTTAAGAACACTTTCAGGTTAAGAACGGACCTCCAGAATGAATTAAGTTCTTAACCCGAGGTACCACTGTATTCGCAAAAAACCACCACCCATCAGAGTAGTTTGCAACAATTGTACATAACTCCATAAAATAAAACAAAACATTAAATAGTTAAAATAAGAAAGCAGCTGACTATTTCGGAAATATGCGTTCTTGATTGCCTGTATGGGTCTGGAATAGAAGACTTGTCCACAGGCGTTTAAAACTTGAAACAGAAGGCAGCTGCTGGATCTCTGTTGGCAGAGTATTTATTCCGCGATCCTGGGCTGATGATGCTAAAGGCTTGGTTTCTTGTTGTGGTCAAATGAACCTAACCAACTTGAGGAATGACTATGGCAATCACAGAGATCAGGGTGGGATATAATGGTTTATGTTCCCTGACATACTCTGGACTTGCAAATTAACGGAAGGACTTTGAACCTGGATCAGGTTCACAAAAGCTTATTACAAAATTGTTGTTGTTGTTATTTCTATATCGCTTTATATTTCTAAAAAATAATCTCAAAGTGGTTTGCAACACATTAAAACATCAAATAAAACAATCCAGACTGAAACATTACAGTGGTACCTTGGGTTAAGTACTTAATTCGTTCCGGAGGTCCGTACTTAACCTGAAACTGTTCTTAACCTGAAGCACCACTTTAGCTAATGGGGCCTCCTGCTGCCGCTGCGCCACCAGAGCACGATTTCTGTTCTCATCCTGAAGCAAAGTTCTCAACCCAGGGTACTATTTCTGGGTTAGCGGAGTCTGTAACCTGAAGCGTATTTAACCTGAAGTGTATGTAACCCGAGGTACCACTGTACTGAATAAAGTCAAATATAAAACATACATTCAATGCAACGTAATTAACAGGAAACTCAAACGCCATCTTAAAGAATGAAAAAAAGACCATTACAAAGGAGGTCAGAATGCACATTTAACAAAGTTAACAAACAAAAAATTTACCAGTTACAGATAGGTAGCCGTGTTGGTCTGCCATAGTCAAAATAAAAAAAATCCTTCCAGTAGCACCTTTAAGACCAACTAAGTTAGTTCTTGGTATGAGCTTTCGTGTGCAAGCACACTTCTTCAGATACACTGAAACAGAAGTTGCCAGATCCTTCTATATAGTGAGAAGGTGGGGAGGGGTACTACTCAGAAGGGTGGTGGGAATGTGAGATTGGCAGATAGCTGGGATGAGCCTGCTGACGACTCTTAACGACTGTAATGGGTCTTACAGGAAAAGGCAAGGGGTGAGAAGGTGAGAAATGGCTTAGTCATGTATAATGGGATAAGAATCCAATGTCTTTGTTCAAACCAGGTTTCTCCATGGTTTTAAGTTTGGTAATGAGTTGCAATTCACCTTAAAAAAAATTTACCTTAAGCATTTCAGACAAAAGCAAGTCAAATATAAATTGCATATTTAAAGCAGCATAACAAACAAGGGAATAAAATATTATCCCAAGCTTAGGACGTATCTGTTGCTGTTGCCACCAGACCTGCCAAAAGTGGTTCATGGCAGGTGATGGCTGTGGAAGCCCAGTGTTATGTACTGAGTTGAATAGTATCCAAAATGCAGCAGTCTGATTGGTCCTAGAACAATAGGATTCAGAATGCAGCAGTCTGATTGGTCCTAGAAAAATAGGATTCAGAAGGCAGCAGTCTGATTGGTCCACAGGAGCCACCCAATCCAGTTCCAGGTGGAAGTGAATCCTCAACCTGATTGGCCTACAGGAGAATCCCGGAATTAGCCAATCACTAATTGCCCATTGCGTAAATAATGTATATAAAGTAGATGTTTTGGGGGAACTTCCATTCCTCACTACTATGAGCTGAATGAAGAGCATGAAATCCACACTCGACTCTGAGTATATTTCCCCAGGCTCGATGACCTGACTCTGCACTAAAGAGACAGCTGGGGGTGGAAACATAACATGAAAAGCCTGATCTTTTGGGGGAAGAAAGTTTGTTGTTCAAGACCTCCCAATCTTTAATAGAGCGGCCTGAGTTTGTCAGAATGTGGCTGAGTCCACCTGAAAATAGCATCCGTCTGGAAGTACCAGGGTGAATGGGTGTGAATATATACACACACATGCATGCACATTCACACACAATTTCTTTTTTTAAAATAATTTTTATTGAATGATTTTATGGTACAAAAAACAATACAGCCATACGACCACTAAATATAATTAAGGAATAAAAATTACATACATCAATATTTAGTTTGTCATTTGTTATTTACCGTCTTATTTCCTCCCAAACATTCCATACAAAAACACACATATGTGCAGACACCCCCACCCCCACACCCCCACACAAAATGATAATAATGAAAGTAAATATTTCCCCCCCTTTTATCTTACAAAATCTTTTCTTCAACTTTGACTTCCTGTCAAGTCCATTTGCATATATTTTATCTTACAATCGAATGTACACAAAACAATAAACCTTTCTATATAAATTTTCCAATACATTCTGAAAACATAATAAATCCTTAATTGTTGTCCACCTCCTTTTAGTTCCTTTATCACTCGATGCTAGCACGGAGTCAAAACTATTATTGTATTTTTGAACATATCTTCTATAACCATCCCATTTTTCCGCAAATTTTTGCTTTGAGATTCTCCTGAGTTTGCTAGTCAACTGAGCCATCTCCACCAATTCCTGTAATTTGATTTGACAATCTGTTATTTTTGGAGCCTTGTGATCTTTCCATCCCTTGGCCACAAGTATTCGAGCCGCTGCGGTTGCATACAAGAATACCTCTCTTAGATTTTTTGGGATCTCTTTATCTAAAATACTTAATAGAAATGCCTCCGGTTTTTTCGTAAAAGTTATCCCCATCATCTTTTTAAATTCATCGTATATTCCCCCCCAAAAAAATCTTAATCTTTTCACACGTCCACCACATGTGGATCATGTCACCGTTATGTCACACACAATTTCTAAATGTTCTCCTTTCGCCTTTCAGACCAGCGCTGCAGCATCTTCTATGGCGCCCCAAACAAGCCTCAGTACGTGTCCGCCTTGTGCTCTGAAGACGTCTGCCAATGCGCCGAAGGTGAGGTTGCCTGGGCGGCCTTCCACTGGGGGTGATGGGAAATCTGGAGCATCCCTCCCGCAGCAAACACACCACCTCCTTCGTTTCGCCCCGATGGTGGGTTGAGGTTCTCTAAGGCAATGCGACCATAAGGCTCTCGCTTGCTGGATCCCAACAGCAGGATCTGAGCGATCCTGCACACACCTCTTCTTAGGCTGTGCTTCAAACCCCACCGACCTGGGAGTTGGATGGAGAGATGGTGCCAGTGTCTTTTTTCTCTCTTTTTCTCGTTTTTCAACTCTCAAATTCAGCTTCTCTGCATTTCTGGAGACATTTGTGAGTAAACCACAGAGCCTAGGGCTTGCCGATCAGAAGGTCGGCGGTTCGAATCCCGCGATGGGGTGAGCTCCCGTTGCTGGGTCCCTGCTCCTGCCAACCTAGCAGTTCGAAAGCACGTCAAAGTGCAAGTAGATAAATAGGTACCACTCCGGCGGGAAGGTAAATGGCATTTCGGTGCGCTGCTCTGGTTCGCCAGAAGCGGCTTAGTCATGCTGGCCACATGACCTGGAAGCTGTACGCCGGCTCCCTCAGCCAATAAAGCGAGATGAGCGCCGCAATCCCAGAGTCGTCCGCAACTGGACCTAATGGTCAGGGGTCCCTTTACCTTTACACACACACACACACACACACACACACACGAAATCCTCAGGAAATTTCTTCAGCATACCAGGAATCAGGATTGTATAAAAACACAAATGTTAGTGAAAGTACCGTACACACACACAGATACAAAAATCACATTATTTTAGGGGGACTTGCTTTGCAAAAATGGATACGTTAGGAGAAAGCTACACTAAAATGCTGATCTATTATCATGAGGGCTTTTATTATCTTTTTTTATATAAAAGAAACCAGCCGACTGATGTGGAAATGTGGAGAGTTTGAGATGAGAAAAGTCAGGAACGAGGAGGAACTGGAATGGACAGATTTGCCCATTGCTGGCCCCCGTTCTGTGCTCACTTTCCCTACACCTCTCCCATTACAAACCTGGACTGCCTAAACTCCACCTCCCTGCCCACTTCTCTTGAAGCATCTCAGCACCCAGCCTTGCACTAATGCACCATCCATTCTTCCCTGCCAGGGGATCGTAGTGTCAAGCTTGGAGAGTCCTCCCCTCAGTTCGGTAACTCCATAGATAAGAATCAACGAGCAGTTGATAGATTTATAGCCAGTGTGGTGCAGTGGTTAAAAGCGGTAGCCTCGTAATCTGGGGAACCGGGTTCGCGTCTCCGCTCCTCCACATGCAGTTGCTGGGTGACCTTGGGCTAGTCACACTTCATTGAAGTCTCTCAGCCCCACTCACCTCACAGAGTGTGTGTTGTGGGGCAGGAAGGGAAAGGAGAATGTGAGCCACTTTGAGACTCCTTAGGGTAGTGATAAAGCGGGATATCAAATCCAAACTCTTCTTCTTCTTTTATTAAAGCTTCATTTTGCGCTCACAAAATACACAGCTGTCCGCAAGGAGGGCAGTTGCCTGCTCTGAATTCGACTCCCGCAGCAAGGAGCGCACCAACATGAAGTTCCTCCCCCTCTCTGCCTCCTTTGCTCTCTGATACGTTCGGACCTCCGAGTCCGTGGGGAGGGGGGTTCCCCCACACTCCCAACTGATGTGTCTCCCAACTGCCCCCTCTCTTCTGGGTCTCTTGCCATTATCTCGTAGCTGGGTATCTCCTCCCTAATCTGTTCAGCTTCTGTGTCTGTGTCTCTGTCTGCCTGTCTCTTCTGAAAACACTGGGGGGGGGGGCAAATACTCCCCCTCCTCTTCTGAGAGAAGGTGGTCTGCCTGTGACTGCATTCTCCCATCTTCAGATCAAAACCATTCCCTGACGCCTAGGAAACCTGACCTTATCTCCTCTCTCACTTGCACAGGTGCCTGTCCGCGTTTGAAGCGTACCCTTGACGAGGCCATTACGGAGCAAGCACGCATGGAGTTTGCATGCTATAGTCCCCGTGTGCATTACGGTAAGGAGTTAGGGGAGGGATCAGAGACCCTCCAGCCTCTCCAGCCCGGCTCTTTTGGCTCTTGCTCCACTGATGTCTCACCATCTCTAACCCCTAATAATAATAATAATAATAATAATAATAATATTTATTATTTATACCCCGCCCATCTGGCTGGGCCTCCCCAGCCACTCTGGGCAGCTCACAACAGAATATTAATATACAATAGTCCATCAAACAATAAAGCTTCCCTAAACAGGGCTGCCTTCAGATGTCTTCTAAAAGTCTGGTAGTTGTTGTTCTCTTTGACACCTGGTGGGAGGGTGTTCCACAAGGCGGGTGCCACTACCGAGAAGGCCCTCTGCCTGGTTCCTTGTAACTTGGCTTCTCGCAGTGAAAGAACCGCCAGAAGGCCCTCGGCGCTGGACCTCAGTGTCCGGGCAGAACGATGGGGGTGGAGACGCTCCTTCAGATATACTGGACCGAGGCTGTTTGGGGCTTTAAAGGTCAGCACCAACACTTTGAATTGTGCTCAGAAACGTGCTGGGAGCCAATGTAGGCCTTTCAGGACCGGTGTTAATATGGTCTTGGTGGCCGCTCTAAGTTACCAGTCTAGCTGCCACATTCTGGCTTAGCTGTAGTTTCCGGGTTACCTTCAAAGCCTCTGTGATGCATAATTTCAGACTTTGCATCTTTTCTGCTCATGGTTCACATGCAGCTCTGTAGCCAACTTGCAGACCCAGCTGAGGTCTGACGTTTATGTCTTTGTTGAAAATATTTGCATTCTGCCCTCTGCCCTCTGAGAGATTTCAGGGCGGTGGCGAACAACATGAAAGTTGGAGAGTTTTTTGTTTGCCTGCTGTGCATCTGTACACCTCTTAAAGTATCGTAACCAAATTTTGCACGGTGGTCCTTGAGATCAAGCAGCAGATTTCTTTCTGTGCTTGGATGCAACATTCTTGAATCAACAAGACAGACTGAACCTTAAAAAAATTGCAGTGGTTTTAAACTGCTGATTTCAAAATTGCACTGATTCTAAAAACTGGTTTCAGAACTGCACTGATTTTTTTAGACTTCGCAAACAACACCCGGGTTCATGGCTGCTAAAGCCACAGCATTAACAAGCAAATGAGTTGACAGCTAAAAACTTAAAGGCCTGACACAAAATGCATGGGAAAATATAAAATGACTTAACCAGGGACGGAGGGAGGTTTTTTTGGCACTAGGCAGACCTCTTTGGAAATGGCATTCCATATCGGAGTGGCCACCACTGAAAATCCCTTTCCCTTTCCCTTCTTCATACATAGCACACATGTTGTTTTTTAGTGGGATTTCTTGCCCTTGGGTGAAAATAAATGTTTTAATCCACTTTAACTGCATAAACCTAAACTTCTGGTGTGTGACTAAATTCCTCCTGCAAATGATTGAATGTCTGGAGGTGCCCTTTGTTTCTTTATTACTTTTATATGTTGGTTTTGGAGACTCGTTTTCTTCATCAAGCAGTGTATGGTCTGAAATTAGCTCCTGTCTTGTGGGTTGCTGACATGTACCTTCCTGGCTATTGTCACTTTTCTCTGAGAGCCAGTATGGTGTAGTGGTTAAGAGCGGCAGTCTCGTAATCTGGGGTACTGGGTTCGCTTCTCCACTCCTCCACATGCAGCTGCTGGGTGACCTTGGGCTAGTCACACTTCTTTGAAGTCTCTCAGCCTCACTCACCTCACAGAGTGTTTGTTGTGGGGGAGGAAGGGAAAAGGAGAATGTTAGCCGCTTGGAGACTCCTTCGGGTAGTGATAAAGTGGGATATCAAATCCAAGCTCTTCTTCTTCTTCTTCTCTCCCACCTTCAGGGTTCCGAGTTCGAGTGGAGCGCGAGACCCAAGAAAGTGCCTTCCGCGTCTACGAAGTTATCATCCTGGAGCCCTTGCAGTACAGTGAGCAATGCTTATTTCATTTTCTTAAGTTTACGAATTGCTTCCTAGGAAATACCTTGAAGCGATTCAACCATAAAGACGACGACAGCAACAACAACAAAACCTAAAATAATTTGACATATAAAAGCCATTACAGCAATTGCATGTATAAAAAACGGGTTCAGATCCAACACAGACACCGGCTGGGCTAAAAATCTCCACTTCAATGGCTTGTTGGAAGCAGAAGGACATCAACAGGAGTTGAAAAGGCAATGGAGATGGCGACAGCAGCGGAGGAGCGTATGCCCCAAGGGCACAGAGGGCGCCCTCCGCAGGTCACAGTTCAGGATTAGGAGAGGGACGGGAAGGGGCCACTAGGGGCGCATCAGAAGATGGCTGACAATAACATCTCTCCGACCCACACAAGGTAATTTGGAGGCTGTGATGGGAGTAAATAGCCTCCCTACCCCCCCCCAGGATTGTAGGGGGGGGACTGCCCTTGCCTGCTGTGCCCTATACCACCCCCGAATTTGTGGGGATGGGGGCACTAGGCACAATGCCCTCCTGTGGGATTTCGGCGCTCCTGGACGCCGTCTCTGATCCGCGCCCCTAGCTGCAAGAACTTCAAAAGAAACAATTTGGATGAAGCGAATGTACATATTTCAAGGAAGGAGGGGGAGTAAAGACTGCTAACAGAAGAGATCTCTGATAAAACAAGACGAGTCGGAGGAACAAGTATAAATCATGAGACGATACGCCAAGACTCGGTATGGCAAAGGGACTGATGGGGGAGGGAGGGGAAAACTTTCCTTTCTTTCCTTTATGTGATTAAACAAGAATCGCCCCCCTCACAAGTCAGAAATGTCATTTTAAGGACTTAAGCTGTGGATTTAAGGCTGTGTGGAGATAAACTTTCGAACCAAAGCATGTTTTAAGAAGAGCGTGGAATGTATAAGGGCTTTGGAATGACGCAGTTAAAAATACCGTCGCCATATTGGGAAGTTCTGTCGGAGGACTTAAGTCTGGGAGGAGAAATAGAGAAATAGAGCTGTTTTTATATTGTGGGTGAAACTCCTCAGAGGGACTTAAGAACGACAGTTCTGTAATTAATGATGGAAAGAGCGATGTTATCTATGAAGGCGATGATATATGGAAACCATCTCGATTTGAGGATTGGAAGAACGGAAAAATTCACACAGGATTATTATTGGTGTTTATCGGCTTAAGGAGACTATCAGAAGATATCATAAAGAAAAAAGAGAAAATATATGAACAAGATGTGATGTGGAAACAGCAAGATAAGGCTGGATAGAATTATGAACTTTGTTTGGACTGATTTGGACATTAACGCAGTAGCAAGAAGATGATCAGAATCCCCCTTCGGATCTTGAAATATGGGTCCCCTCAACAAAATTTAAAATTCAGCTTTGTAAATCGGAATTTATGTGATGTGATTTGATTTGATTTGATTGGCCGGTTAATAAAAATTATTTAAAAAAAAAAATAGGAGAGGGGCGGGAAACTGCTGCCCACACTCCTCCTGCTCCGGTCTGACCTGGCATCAGAGGAGGTGCCTCGCAGCCAAGGAGGGTGGGCAGTAGCGCTGCCACCCACTGACCTGATCTCCTTCCTTGGGTCAGGCGTGACCCGGGCCCCACGGAGCTGCGCCTCACCCCACAAGCGCCTCAGCCGAAGCACAGCTCCTCCTGATGCAGAGTCAGGCCATAGCTGTCAACTTTCAGATTTGAAAATAAGGGATCAGCAGCTGCAGCTGTCCCGGGGACAGTCTACCGGATATCTAACAATCCAGGATAGCAGCGAGAAATGGCACTGGAATAAGGGAATTTCCCGCAAAAAAAGGGAAGGTTGACAGCTATGATTCAGGCTCCAATGAAAGAGCCTGCTGTGGGGGCGCAAACAGCAAAATTGGGCCCGGGACCACGCCACCCACAGCTCCCCTCTGCTTGCTGCCGATTCCAAATTGCCCACTGAAGCCTTCTTAGAGGGGTAGTTGGTTGCAGACCCATTTGCTAGGCTTTGCTCCTGTTGTCTGCCACCTGTAGCTGGTCCCCAACCCCAAAACAAAACCGTAGCTCAGGCGCCTGGAGTGCCACGTGTGCCCTCCGCCCAGGGGCGGGGCAAGCTGGGGCAGGGTGCGCTGCTTCGAGCCTCGCCAGCGCAACCCACCCCCCAGCTGTAGGGTGGCTGAGGGAGAGGCGGCGGGCGGATGCAATGGTACCTCGGGTTACATACGCTTCAGGTTACATACACTTCAGGTTACAGACTCCTTTAACCCAGAAATAGTACCTCAGGTTAAGAACTTTGCTTCGGCAGCAGGAGGACCCATTAGCTAATGTGGGTTAAGAATGGACCTCCAGAACGAATTAAGTACTTAACCCGAGGTACCACTATAATAGTAATAGTAATAATAATAATAATAATAATAATAATAATAATTATTATTATTATTATTTATTTATACCCCGCCCATCTGGCTGGGCTTCCCCAGCCACTCTGGGCGGCTTCCAACAAAATATTAAAATACAGTAATGTATCAAACATTAAAAGCTTCCCTGCCGTTTTGGGCAGAGTGGAGCCTGCAGGTGGCCAAGCCGCCACGTCACAAAGCCCATAGCCATTTTGTCACCCCTTCAGGGATGACACCCAGGGCGACCCGCACCCACCGCACCTCCCTTCCTACGCCACTGGATGGCGATGATCTTAAAAATAAAACAAAATAATTGTAAGTTTTTATTGAGGCCTTTATCCCACAATGAAACTAACCTGACCTGTTCAGCTCATTTTCTCTTATATTATTCTCACTGCCCCCCCCCATCACCCCCTGACTCCCATTCTCTCTTCCTCTCCAGTCGCAGACGTTGGGATCTCTGAGAACGAGATCAGGCGCTTTGTGGTCCGTGCTGCCTGTCGGACTCGCTTGGTCACCGGCCAGGAGTATCTGCTGATGGGACGCGACGGGGAGACCCGGGATGCCAAAGGACGGTAGGTTGAGGAGGGGAGGGGAATCAGGTGTGCAGTGGGCTGGTTGGGGGGCGGGAGGAAGGCCCAGTAGGAACTGGTACCCAGAAACAGAGCTCACTGGCCTTCAGGGCTTTTTGAGAGAAGGGAGTTGAAATATACTCGGAGTCGAGAGTGGTTTTCATGCTCTTTATTCAGCTCATAGTGGTGAGGAGGAACGAAAGTTCCCCCAGAATATCTGCTTTATATACATTATTTACACAATGGGCCCCACATAATTGGCTAATTCCGGGATTCACCTGTAGGCCAATCAGGTTGCGGATTCTCTTCCACTTGGAGCTGGATTGGGTGGCTCCTGTGGACCAATCAGACTGCTGCCTTTTGGATCCTATTCAACTCAGTACATAACACCAGTCATGCTTTAGGGATCAGCTGCTGAGACGGGGTGGCTAACTTGTGGCCCTTCGAGAGGTTATTAGACTGCTGTTCCCATCAGCCCCAGCAAGTCAGGAATGATGGGAATTGTAGTCCAGCAACACCTGATGGTCCACAAGTTCCCCATCCTTGGGGCAACGGTCAGGCACTTGCTGAAGCAGAGAAGAAAAGAGGTGGGGCGCAAATGTTTAATGATAACAATGCCAGGGCCGAAATTCAGAGGCAGTTTAGGAAGTTGCCTTATGCTCAACCCATCTAGCTCAGTAATGTGGTTTTGGGTCCTCGTATTTACGTGATCTCCTCGCTGGCCCAAATAGGACTAATTTAGCCAGCTAGCCTTGGTGATCATCTAATGTTTATTGGATGGATTTCCCCCCTAAATTGATTTTTGAATTCTGAATTTATTGTTATTCACGTTTTATACTGTATTTTATGCTGTTTTTTGTTGCATCAATTAAGTGTTTTAAATTTGTTGTTAGCCGCCCTGAGTCCGGTTTTCTGAACTGGGAAGGGTGGGGTGTAAATAAAAATTTATTATTATTATTATTATTATTATTATTACACAGACTGGCAGCAGCTCTCCATGGTTTCAGGCAGGGGGCACTCCCAGCCTTCCCTGGAGGATTCTGGGGACTGGAGAGCCAGTGTGGTGTTGTGGTTAAGAGCGGCAGTCTCGTAATCTGGGGAACCGGGTTCGATTCCCTGCTCCTCCACATGCAGCTGCTGGGTGACCTTGGGCTAGTCCCACTTCTCTGAAGTCTCTCAGCCCCACTCAGCTCATAGAATGTTTGTTGTGGGGGAGGAAGGGAAAGGAGAATGTTAGCCGCTTTGAGACTCCTTCGGGTAGTGATAAAGGGGGATATCAAATCCAAACTCCTCTTCTTCCTGTATGCAAGGCAGAGGCTGTCCCGTTCAGCTACGGCCCTTCCCTCAAACGCTCCTTCTCTGTAAATGCAGCTGTTTTGGAGCGCATATTTGCCAAGGCAGCTCCAAATTAAACTCTCCTGCGTACATTTTTTGTGGAAGGGGGTGAATATGCCTGGCTTTTTACACGCTGACCCGTCTTCTCCGCAGCCCCCAGTACCTGATGGATATGAATTCCTGGATTGAGGAGCTGCCCAAGTCCCAGAGCTGCCGAGCCACGCAGCACCGCAACACCTGCTCCCAGCTCCAGTCATTCATCTCTTCCTTTGCCATCAGCGGCTGCCGGGTCTAAGCCACAGAAGGGGCTTCATGTCTCCTGCGCCCCCCCCCCCCCCCATTTAGATGCACCAGAACTCTGGCCTCTGCAGCGGAGTCGCTTCCAAGTACGATATATCAGCTCTGCTACATTTGGGAGGGGGCCTCGCTCACCCTGCTGACGGGGGACCCCTGCGCCTGAGAGTGTGCCTGGCCTTTTTAATGCTTTTAACGAGATTCTGGCTGCTAATTTCTAGGGAGCCCACAGAGCCACTTAGAAATAACAGGAATATGTGGCCAAAATGGCAGACGGCTGCCTACAGTGTGTGTCTTTAAAATCGGTGTCTGTTCCATAGGAACAGGAAAATGTATGCCCAGAGCATATTTGAACAAAACGGGCATTCTCACCTGAATTTAAAACGACAGTTTTTCTTTGCATAACATCAGCTACGTTTACAAGTTCAAACAGCAATTTCTGTCTGCGAATGATGACGAGGGGTAGCCATTAGCCGAATGAGAAATACCGGCCTAGTCCTGTCCAAAAAGCTCTCGGCATTAACCTTTTTTATTTTAGGTTTCGCCTGCAGCACCTTACAATGTATTTGCACTGTTCAAATGGCAATTTTATTCATTAAAAAGAAAGCGTTGCTTCCTGGTTTTGTTTCCTCTGCCTGTTAATTCTTTCTGCTGCCATCTTGAGTCTTGAGGGGTCACCAGGCTCAGGAGTAATGGAGTGTCCGGCTGAGGTGGACAAGGAGGGGAAACAGGAGGACGACATGTGGCAGGCTGAGCTTCAGGAGGTGGGTACTTCACCCTCCCAGGATACGGATGCCCCGGCTGGAGAAGCAGAACTCCCATCTCTCCTCCCGCAGACTGACCCCCAGACTCATAAGAAACTGATAACACAAGGTTATGTTTTGCCTGTCGTTGCACCCAACGTGTCCATGGCTAGTTGTATTTAGAGTGGGTCCATTTAAGTTAATAGAAGCAATTAATTTTGGCCAACCCGTTTGTTCAAACACACAGGTTATGCCAATTCAAAGTGCTTCACTACTAAGCCAAAGATATTAGGTAGACAGAGGAACGAGTATCATAGCATTGTAGAGCTGGAGGGACTCCAAGGGTCAACTCTATGATACTAGGTTTACGAACCATACCATAGCTGTCAACTTAAGGGAGATTCCCTTATTCTAAATAGGATTCCTCGCAAGAAAAGGGAAAAGTTGACAGCTATGAACCATACTGAACATGGGTTTAAAAACAATACAAATAAAAAGCCAAGGTATGTATGTATGTATGTATTTAAATTTCTATACCATCTTTCATCTGAGGATCAGAGGGTGTTTTACCAAAAAAAAAAAAAAAAAAAAAAAAAACAGCTGGAAAATCTTGTCGAAACAAAAATGTCACCAGTTGTTTCTGGAAAGTGTCTCTGCCTGTCACCTCTCAATAGGGATGCTGTTCCACAAAACCTGAAGCTGCCGCACTGAAAGTCCTACTCTCGAGTAGCTGTGCATAGGTTGGGCTTGGCTTTTTGGGGTGGGGGTTGCAAGGAAAGCCTTGGGTGCGTAAGGAGTAAAGGGGTGTCTAGGGTAGCCTGACCTGAAGCTCTCTGGGGCCCAAACCGTGTACTTTGCCCTGGAACAGACTGGCAGCTCAGTAAGTACTAGACTAGAGGGATGATGGGAGCTGTCATCCAACAATGGATGGGGGGCACCACATTGGCCAGGCCCCTCTCCCACTAGTTCTTCCACAGTATCTAGGGTTGCCATATTTCAAAAAGTGAAAATCCGGACACAAAAGTTGTTGAACTTTTTTTGGTGAAGTTGTTCAGTTTTCAAGCTATTTTTAAGGAATTTAACACACACACAAAATCAACGCTTCCAATACAGGCTGCCATACGCCCAGATTTTCCCGGACATTTTAAACAACTTTCGAAAATCGCCCAGACGCCATTTTTGACGGCCCAGTCCCAGCTATGTCTGGGAGATTCCGGATGTATGGCAGCCCCAAGAGTATCTTCCTCCTCACAGAAGCTGGATTCAGATATGTCGAAGTCAACCGAACCCACCTGAAAGAGCAACTTCCCCATGGATCTTCTCTCGGTGAAGAATCCATCCCCCACCGTCCTGTGCAATCCTGTACATGTTGATTCATAAGGCAGTTCCGCTGTGTGCAATGGGTCAGGCAAGCGTGCGTGCCTAGGACCCACAACTCCATAAAGTTGCAGTTGCTTAGCATTCAGAAACTTTCCAATGCTTTATAACGGAAACAGCTGTATTACTTGCCTTACCCTCTTCCCCCAATTGCAACAACAGTGGACGCTTGGGGTGTGAACATGATCCATGCGGGATGCACGTTCGCAACCCGCAGCGGTGCGTCTGTGCACACGCGGGTTGCAATTCGGCATTTCTGCGCATGCGCAAAGCGCGATTTAGCACTTCTGCGCATGCGCAACCACCGAAACCCGGAAATAACCTGTTCCGGTACTTCTGGGTTTCGGCGCGTCCATAACCCAAAAAAATGCAACCTGAAGCGTCTGTAACCCGAGGTATGACTGTACTCTGGGCTGGTGTGGCCATCCAAATGTTTGGCTGCATGTCCCATCAGCCCCAGCCTGCATGGCCAAACACCAGGGGGGATGGAATCTGTGCCGCAACAACACCTGGAGCGCCACGGGTTGCAGTTCTTCCTCTAAATTTTATGGTTGCATCTCAAAATAGAGCAACCAAGTCTCTAGTTCTCTTGATGCCATAGAAAAATCCTACTTAAAGAAACAAACAAAATAGGTAAAGGTAAAAGGTAAAGGACTCCTGGAAGGTTAAGTCCAGTCAAAGGCGGCTATGGGGTGCAGAACTCATCTCGCTTTTCAGGCCGAGGGAGCCGGTGTTTGTCCACAGACAAACATGGGGCCACCATGACTAAACCGCTTCTGGCGTAACGGGACACCATGACAGAAGCCAGAGCACACAGAAACGCCGTTTACCTTCCCACCACAGTGGTACCTATTTATCTACTTAAACTTGCATGCTTTCGAACTGCTGGGTTGGCAGGAGCTGACAGAGCACCAGGAGCTCACCACCGTAAAGAGGATTCGAATCATCGACCTTCTGATCGGCAAGCCCAAGAGGCTCCGTGGTTTAGACCACAGCGCCACAAAATAGAACTAGGGTTCACTTCAGAAAGGAATCCTCCTTTGTGACCTCGGCTCCGTCAGTAGAGCAAAAGACTCTTAATCTCAGGGTTGTGGGTTCGAGCCCCACATTGGGCAAAAGATTCCTGCATTGCAGGGGGTTGGACTAGATGACCCTGGATCCCCTTTCCAACTCTACAATTCTAGCAGTTCAGTCCATCCATGCGCTCAGACTGCAGATTGGTCGGGCTGGACTTGCCAGTCGTCGGGCTCGGCTTCAGCGAGTCACATGATGGGAAGCGGAAAACAAAGGAAAAGCCTCCCGCATAAGCAGCAAGGAGAAGCCCGAGAGGCATTTAATGCAAGTCGCCCCCCCCTTATTATTTTTATTTTTTTTTAAGGCTTAATTCGAATCCTTTCCACTGACGAGCAGTTTTGCATGCTGAAGATCAGTCGCAGCGCCATCTTAGGCAGGTCTACTCTGGAGCAAGCTCCGTGGGGTTTGCTCCCAGGTAAGTGTGCGCAGGATTGCAGCCTTAATGCGGATTAGCGGCCCCCTTCCTGCAGGTTGGACCATTGCCCGGCCGTGTTTGCGATGGGAAAGGTAAATTTAAAGGTCGTGCAATAAGGCGTATGCGCATGAAATAAAAATAAACCAACGCGTGCCGCTGGGTGAAGAGGGGATCCTAACCCGCGCTTGAGATCCTGGGCTTTTTTTCGTTTTGTGTGTTTTGCTCTGTCGGGGTTTCATTGGCCTCGGGCAGCCGAAAGGGTCAGACTTTCCTGGGCTTTGACATTGGGGAGGCGCCTTGGAAATTGCTGGGCTTGCAGGAAAGCGGAGAAGCTGCAGGATCTAGTTAGCTGCTAAATCGGTTCAGAGCAACCTCTGCTCTCTCCCGACCAGCAAAGAGCCTCGCTCCGCTATTGTTTCGCCCCAATTGGTGCAAGCCACGTAGTTTTCCTGCATGACCTTTGTAGTGATATATTCAGGCCTATAGTCAGACACCCATTCGCTCTCTGTCTCTCTAATATAGGTGCTGGCTGAGCACTTTTATTGCTATTGCCACAAGCCTAACCAGGGATATCACTGAGGGCTTTATTTATTACATTTATATTCCGCTTTTATCTTCCAAGGATCTCAGAAGCGCTGTACATTGTTCTCCTCCTCTCCATTCCAGCCTCACAACAACCCTGTGAGGGAGGTTAGGCTGAGAGACGCCAACGGGCCGTCTTCATGGCTGCTGAGCAGGGATTCGAACCCTGCTCTCGCAGATCATAGTCCAACACTCTAACCCAGGGTTTCCCAAACTGGGGTCTCCAGCTGTTTTGGGATTACAGTTCCCATCATCCCCGACCACTGGTCCTGCTAGCTAGGGATGATGGGAGTTGTGGTCCAAAAACAGCTGGGGACTCAAGTTTGGGAAAGCCTGCTCTAACCATTATGCCACACTGGCCAGTGCCAGCCCTACTGTATTCCTTCATTGCAAGGGCTTGGACTGGATCACTCTACGTGGGGCTGCCCTTGAGACTGACCCAGAAACTCCAGCGGGTGCAGAATGCTGCGGTGAGACTCCTTACGGGGTCCTCGCTGCGGGATCACATTCACCCGGCGCTATACCAGCTGCACTGGCTCCCGGTGGAGTACAGGATCAGGTTTAAGGTGCTGGTTTTAACCTTTAAAGCCCTATACGGCCTAGGACCCTCGTACCTATGGGACCGCCTCTCCTGGTATGTCCCACGGGGGAAGTTACGTTCTTCAAATAAAAACATTTTGGAGATCCCGGGCCACAGGGAGGTTAGGCTGGCCTCAACCAGAGCCAGGGCTTTTTCGGCTGTGGCTCCGATCTGGTGGAACGCTCTGTCACAAGAGACTAAGGCCCTGCGGACTTGACATATTTCCGCAGGGCCTGCAAGACAGAGCTGTTCCACCAGGCCTTTGGCCAAGGCACAGCCTGACCCCCTCCTTTGGCAATCCTCACAGACCTCTAGCCCAATGGTTGCCATGAATTTGATTATGAATTGATTTTAGAATGTATTTAAATTAATTGATTGTGATTTTATGTAAAGTGTATTATTTTTACTGTTGTCAGGCGCTCGGAGCCCAGCTTCGGCAGGGGACGGTGGGATATAAATAAATTATTACTATTATTATTGTTGTTGTTATTATGACACCTTGGTTCCCTTTCAACTCTACAATTCTAGAATTATGCTCAGAGGAGCTCCATTGAGGTTAATAGACATGACTGACTTGGGGTCATTAATTTCAATGAGTGGCCTCCGAGTCACGTTCACATTTGATGTGCTGAGATTCCACTTTAAACAGTCTTGGTTTCCCTCCTAAATTCCTGAGGGCTACAATTTCCAGGGTACACTGTGGAGAAGAGCTAGCTAGCTGCTGAAATGTCTCTGCAAAGGCTGGTAGCTTTTGAAGGATAGTTTGCAAGGCAGGGTTTATTCGCCCCCTTGGCATTTAGAGAATGGCTACAGCTCAGTCCAACCCCTGGCAGCTCTGGGTATACCAAGCTGAGAATGTCGCCTGCCTGAAACTCGCAAGAGCCTCTGTCGGTCAGTGTTAACAACACTAAGCTAGTTGCGACTTTGTATAATACAGTTTCCTATCTAGGAAAGATTCTCCGCTTGAGACCCTGGAAAACCGCTGCCACAAAGAGACCCCAGCCCTGGGCTAGATGAAATGGGGGTCTGATTAGATACCATTTGCCATGCCAGCCTCAGTTACTTATCTGTAAAATGGAAATAATAGTGATTCATGTTACAGGGTCGTTGTTGTGAGGGCTGCATGCAGTATAGAGCTTTTTATCCCTGTGGGTTAAACCACAGAGCCTAGGGCCTGCCGATCAGAAGGTCGGTGGTTCAAATCCCCGTGACAGGGTGAGCTCCCGTTGCTCGATCCCTGCTCCTGCCAACCTAGCAGTTCAAATGCACATCAAAGTGCAAGTAGATAAATAGGTACCACTCCGGCGGGAAGGTAAACGGCGTTTCCGTGCGCTGCTCTGGTTTGCCAGAAGTGGCTTAGTCATGCTGGCCACATGACCCGGAAGCTGTACGCCGGCTCCCTCGGCCTATAGAGCGAGATGAGCGCCGCAACCCCAGAGTCGGTCACGACTGGACCTGATGGTCAGGGGTCCCTTTACCTTTACATCTTCACTGCAACTATTTTTATATGTGGAATTATTTTCAGATCTTGGCATTGTTTGTAAATTTGGAACCATTCTTACATTTTACATTTATGATTGTAACTCTTCTTTTGTTTTACACAGGTATATATATATATTTTATCATTGTAACCTGCCCCGGAGCCTTGTGGTGAAGGGCAGGTAATAAAAATTCTGTGGATTTTTAGCTCTTCTGTAGCAAAAGTGGACGGGTTCTGTTGTTTTGTTTCAAGGAAGACTTTTGAGGATGTGGCTGTGTTTCATGGAAGTGTGCTGAAGATCTGATGAACTCAGACCGATGAATTCTATCCCGGGTGGTCCTGCAAGAAAATACAGGAATATGGCCTCTCTGGGTAAGGATTCCTTTCTGAATTTTGTGTTAGACGTCTGAGAGGCTTAGAAGCCTAGGGCTGTCTTTGGCAGTTCCAGTATTCATGGAAGATTTGTGCTTGAAGATTACAGTGCTGATTTTACCCCTGTCCTTTGTGTGAATGAAAATGTGCTTTGAATAAGACTGGTTAGTCCAGATTTCAGAAAACAAAGGGCATTTTATTGAAATTAGGGGTCGTCGTCCCCCCGCCCTACTAGAAATATTTTGAAATAATGCATGTCCCTTGTTAGTGTCAGATCTCATTTTTTAACTGGTTGGAACATGGCGGGGGGAATCACATAATTGAAAACATAAGAAAAGTATTTTTATTATTACAGTGGAGCTTCGGTTTCCAAGCGTCTCGAAAGCCGAACGATTCGGAACCCGAACGCTGAAAACCCGGAAGTGAATGCTTCCGTTTTCAAACATGTCTTGGAAGTTGAATGGCTTCCAAGGCATGTTTCTCCATTTTCTCAATGGATTCTGTGGACCGTCCATTGCGCCTCAGTTGTCAAACGTTTCGGAAGTTGAACGATCTTCCGGAACAGATTATGTTCAACTGTATTATTATTTATTGAACTTACCGTATATACCAGCTGGTACCCGCACGTCTCAGGGCGGTTCACAGAACAAAACTACAAAAAATGAATATCAATAGCATCAAAACCCCCACAAACAATACCCCAGCCCAATACATTATTATTATTATTATTATTATTATTATTATTAAAATCTACCGACTACATTCCTCATTCTTAACAGTTCCGGACATCACTAATTCAAGACTTCTCAGACCCTTCTCCTCTTCTCTTTGATTAGAGTTTCCTAGCGTGACTATAAAACTGGAAGACGAAGATGAGATGCCGTGGCTCCCGAATAACCAGGGATCAGAGGATATTAAGAATTTCCCAGGCGACCGCTCAGGTGGTGGATTGGTTCAGCTAAACTGTGCGATGCATATATAAGTATTCATAGATAATTTTTTGTTTCAGGTTGCCCACACCACGCTTTCTGCCGATTCTGGTGGATAGAAAAAATAAAGGCTGACACCTTTCATGAGAACTAGTGGCATGAAATAGCTGAGCTGCCAGCCAGGATGCCCATTATGGTTATCTCTGATCTCAGCCCTGAGTTTGTTGGGCAGCTTTGGTGCTTAGCCTCCACTTTCCTTCCCCACCAGCTGCAGTATGGGGATAATACAAGGACTTCACTTAGAAGGTTGTCCTAATGCTAAGTGCATATAAATGTTACATCAGATTATTTTATCAAAGGCTGTGTCAGGTGTTTATTGCTTTCCATGTGCCATTATTATTATTATTATTATTATTATTATTATTACTACTACTACTACTAATACTACAATCTACAGGAGGCCCTCTCCTGCTAGGCTCAATGATCAATTGGGGATGATGATGATAATAATAATAATAATAATAATAATAATAATAATTTATTATTTATACCCCGCCCATCTGGCTGGGCTTCCCCAGCCACTCTGGGTGGCTTCCAAAAAAATATTAAAATACTGTAATACATCAAACATTAAAAGCTTCCCTAAACAGGGCCGCCTTCAGATGTCTTCTAAAAGTCTGGTAGTTGTTTTTCTCTTTGACATCTGGTGGGAGGGCGTTCCACAGCGAGGGCGCCACTACCGAGAAGGCCCTCTGCCTGGTTCCCTGTAACTTGGCTTCTCACAGCGAGGGAACCGCCAGAAGGCCCTCGGTACTGGACGTCAGTGTCCGGGCTGAACGATGGGGGTAGAGACGCTCTTTCAGATATACTGGACTGAGGCCGTTTAGGGCTTTAAAGGTCAGCACCAACACTTTGAACAGGGATGTGATGATCTTTTAGGAATCCTGGCCCCAATGTTGGTAAACAAAGCCCTATGTGACAAGTACCTGTTATCTGGTTCCTTCTGATTACATTGGTCACTTTTTCCCCTCAGCAGGATTCCCGGTTCCTAAAACTGAAGTGGTCCATGGGGGAGATCCATGGATCCCAGAGCCTGTTTTGGAGGAAAGAGAGATCCCAGCAGACTACGGCTCGGGTAAATAGAAAGATCTGGGCAAACTCTTGGGAATCAACCTAGGCTTTTGACAGGAAGAGAATGTGGAAACTCTTGCCTGTTCATAGCTTTGAGAGACAGTATGGTGCAATGGTTAGTGTTAGATGATGACTTGGAAGACCCAGGTTCAAATCCTTATTCAGTCAGGATAAAATGTTGGTAGAATGGGGGCCAACCATGTATACCATCACAAACTTCTTAGAGGAAGGGTGACTCAACAGTGTGACACATCAGGGTTGGGAGTACTTGTGTGTCCCTCCAGATGTTGTCGGGACTCCATTTCCCATCAGCCCCTCGCCAACATGGCCGATGCACAGGAATGCTGGGAGTTGTAGAGACATAAACAGAGGAGCGCAAGACCCAGCCCGTTCCAGACACCTCCAAGGTCATAACAGGAGGATCTGGGCAGCTGTTCTGTAGATGGGAAAGTGTAACATGTAGCCTGGCTCTGCGTTATTGGGGAAAGCTCTGGGATTTGGGCAGGTTGGTGCCCGCTTCGGCCTGTCAAGGAGCCAGCTCCTCAGCCGCCCTCCTCTCTTCTCATTCCCCGAGCAGAGCTTCCGGATGTGATAATAAAGTTGGAACAAGAAGAGGTGCCGTACGTTCCCTGCCGCCCGGTCTCGGAGGCCAGTGTGACATTCCAGGCGGCCCACTCAGGTGAGTGAGCTTCAAACTAACTTGCTCTTGGGACCTTCATTAGCCTCATAACTGCATGTGCAATTTCTCCTCACGATAGTGGCCAACCTCACAAGCAGGATCCAAAAGCTCCCAGCTTCCCCTTGCTATTTGTTTCCGATATGTGAGGCGCACTTGCAGATACACTGCTTTTGAACATGAGGGTTCTGTCTTGGTATGGATAATATGACAGCAAGTGTGCCATGACTGTGGCAGAGAATGTTTCCCATGCAGAAGGTCCCATAGCAGCCATCTTCAGATATCTCAAGGGCTGTCACGTGGAAGAAGGAACAAGCTTGTTTTCTCCTGCTCTGGAGGGTAGGATTCGAACCGATGGCTTCAAGTTACAAGAAAGGAGATTCCGACTAAACATCAGGAAAAACTTTCTGGCAGTAAGAGCTGTTCAGCAGTGGAACAGACTCCCTCGGGAAGTGTTGTATTCTCCTTCATTGGAGGTTTTAAGCAGAGGTTAGAGGGCCATCTGCCATGGATGCTTTAGCTGAGATACCTCCATTTCAGGGGGTTGGACTAGATGACCCTCGGGATCCCTTGCAACTCTACAGTTTATGATTCTGTGATCAGTCTTGAACATGAGACCTTCTGCATGGGAAATGTCTGTTTGCAGTGTTTGGGAGAGTGGTTTTGTGGGGCTTGTTTGGCCCTGCTGTAAAGTCTGTCTGCAAGTTCTTTTTGACTTCGTAAAGAAAGATGTTAAAGCGCTCTCTTTACTCTGACAGGAGATGGACGCGACAGAATATTCATGGGAGAAATGCCATATTACTCAGGCTTTGGGAGAAGCTTCGGCGACAAACAAGGCCTTATCAAACACGAGAGCCAACACTCCGCAGAGAAACCACACAAGTGTTCCTGCTGCTCTAAAAGCTTCATGAAAAGATCCAACCTTCGCACACACGAGAGAATCCACACGGGAGAAAAGCCATTTCGGTGCTCCGAGTGCGGGAACAGCTTCAGCGACGGATCCAGCCTTATTCGACATAAGCGGAAACACACGGGCGAGAAACCCTACAGTTGCTCAGTCTGTGGGAAACGGTTCAATCAGAGCTCCAGCCTTATCAGGCACGAGAGAAGCCACACTGAGCAGAGACCTTACAAATGCTTAGAGTGTGGTAAAAGATTCAACCAGAGTTCGACCTTGGTCAGACACGAGAGGATCCATAGAGAACAAAAACTCTTTAAATGTCCGGATTGCGACAAAAGATTTATTCAGACTGCGAGCCTCCTTGCACATCAGAGAATCCACCGGGGCGAAAAGCCGTATAGCTGCTCCATGTGTGACAAGGGCTTTGTTCAGAGATCAAACCTCCTCATTCACGAGATGAAACACACCGGCTTGAAACCGTTCAAATGTTCAGACTGTGGGAAAGGGTTCAATCAGAACTCGAGCCTTGTCATACACAGGAGAATCCACACCGGAGAAAAACCGTACAATTGTTCCCACTGCAGGAGACCTTTCAGCGACAAATCGAGCCTTAACAAACACGAGAGAGCCCACAGAGGGGACAAGCCGTTTAAGTGTTCCACTTGCGGAAAAAGCTTTGTTCGGAGGTCGCACCTTCTCACACACGAGAGAATCCACACGGGAGTGAAGCCGTTCAAATGTTCGGACTGCGGGAAAAGCTTCAGCAGCCGCTCGCATCTGATACGGCACGAGGGGACTCACACGGGCGAGAAGCCCTACGATTGCTCTTTCTGTGGGAAGAGCTTCAACCGGAAGTCCAACCTGACGAATCACGAGAGGACGCACACGGGAGAGAAGCCCTATAGGTGCTCTGATTGCGGGAAAAGCTTCAGCGACAGGTCGAGCCTCATCAAGCACGAGAGGATCCACACGGGAGAGAAGCCCTACAGCTGCGCGGCCTGCGAGAAAAGCTTCAGCGACAAGTCGAGCCTCATCAGGCACGAGAGGATCCACACGGAGGAGAAGCCTTATAAATGCTCGGATTGCGGGAAAGGGTTCAACCAGAGCTCGAGCCTCATTGTCCACGAGAGAACCCACACGGGGGAGAAGCCGTTCAAGTGCTTGGACTGCGGGAAAGGCTTCATCCGGAGAACGATTCTCAACAAGCACGAGAGAACCCACACTGAGGAGAAGCAATGAAAGAAGGCCTGGACTGCGAACGGGGCTCGGGTCGTCTAAGCTGCGAAGAAACTCCGCTGGAATGAGACTATTAGGACTGATATAGTGGTAGCGATGCAGCTGTGAAACAAGAAGTCCCTGGTTTGGTGAGATCGCCTCTGTCGTGATCTCAGGTCACCGTAGGCGAGCCAGTTCTCCCAACCTTTGGGACGTGGATTCACACCTGGGCTGTGGCCCAACACAGAATTGGGCCTAATTAAAATCCACTGATTAGAGTGAGCCGAACATGTTCAACCCCAACGTCAGATGGGTTATGATCCTCATTTTTCCAGGGTGGAGAAAATGTCTGTGTTGGGGGAGGGAAATGGACGAGGGGCTCAATACCAGGTATAGGCAGACTTCAGGCTTGCTGGTTCAAATTATTATTATTATTATTATTATTATTATTATTATTATTACATGAGCTTTGTTTTTTTTTAAAAATCCATCTAAAAGGCTATCTATAGCAGAGAATAAAAACAGACAGAAGCCTAAATACAGAAAATAGTACATGCAGAAATAATTGGGTAATCATACTTTTTGCATTACAGTATTAGCACTGAGGTGAGGGCTGTGGGCTCGGGATTGTGGGAAGGAGTCAGTGGGCATTTACTGTTAACAGATTAAATAATCCACGTTTATATTTAGGAGATTCTTGCTTGTTAGGAATGGAGTTTCAATATAAATGACAAAACAGCCCATTTCCCCTCACCTTGGTATTCAGAGTTGGGTTCTTAGCTTGCCCAACACTGACTTAGGCCTCTTCTGCCCTATACGTTTAAAGCAGTATTTTATCACTTCAAACAGACATGACTTTCCCCCCAGAGCATCCTGGGAACTGTGCTGTGTTTGTTTTTTAGACCCTTATTTTCCCTAGAAAACTACATTTCCCAGAATTCCCTCCAAAGGGGGCTTGACTGTTAAACCACTCATAAGATGGCAGCTCTGTGACGTAAACACAGAATTGTTAGGAGACCCAAATCTGAGAGTCCATCCTTCTTCCCATGGAACTCTGGGAATTGTAGCTCTGTGAGGAGAATGGGGGGGGGGGTCCCCTGACTGCTTTCAGGGTCCTTAACAAACTACAGTTCCCAGGATTCCTTGGGGGAAGAAGCCGTGACTGTTTAAAATGGTACGATACGGCTTTAAATTTATAATGTAGATGGGCGCCTTACTTTCAACCTTGAGCCTCACCAACTAGATCCAGGTGCAAAATATGGGTAATGTGGGTGGCGCTGTGGTCTAAACCAGTGTTCCCCAACCTTGGGCCTCCAGCTGTTTTTGGACTACAACTCCCATCATCCCTCGCTAGCAAGACCAGTGGTCAAGGATGATGGGAATTGTAGTCCAAAAACAGCTGGAGGCCCAAGGTTGGGGAACACTGGTCTAAACCACTGAGCCTCTTGGGCTTGTGAAGCAGAAGGTCGGCAGTTTGAATCCCCACAATGGGGTGAGCTCCCGTTGCTCTGTCCCAGCTCCTGCCAGCATAGCAGTTCGAAAGCACACCAGTGCAAGTAGATAAATAGGTACCACCACAGCAGGAAGGTAAACGGCATTTCCGTGCGCTCTGGCACTTGTCACGGTCCTCTGTGTGCCAGTAGCGGTTTAGTCAAGCTGGCCACATGACCCGGAAAAGCTGTCTGTGACAAACGCCGGCTCCCTCGGCCTGAAAGCAAGATGAGCGCCACAACCCCATAGTAGCCTTCGACTGACCTAACCATCCAGGGCTCCTTTACCTTTTTTTTACAAAATATGGAAGTAGAGGGTGGGGCCGCATACAAAATGGCGGCTTGGGAGGTGTAGCTAATTACCAGCTGTGCCACATGAGCCACACACTGGAGCAACCTGTGTATACAATTGAAATTTTATAGCTTTGAGTTAGTGCTCATCAGGGATTTGGGTTTTTTTTGCGATGAGGGTAAGCGGGTGAGCTTCCCATAGGCCTCTAGGCGGTCATTGTGAGAACAGGATTCTGAATTAGACGTGCCTTTGGCCTGCATTGCTGCCATATTTAAACCGTTGGCCCCCAACGACTCCTGAACATGCATCGCAAATTATCCAATGATCTACCTGGCAACCCCAGTCTACCCTCTACTTACCCCTGGTGTGGAACAGTTTCCCACAGCAGCCACATCCACAATGGTTATTTAAATTACACTGCTTCCCGCCGCAAAAATCCTGGGAACTGTAGTGTGCTGGGAATTATAGTTCTGTGAACGAGAATTCTTCAGGGGAAGCCATGTTCTTTAAAGATGATGTGTGTCCCCCATTCAGCAATACCAGCATATCTTCTCGCATGGATACGGCACCCCTCTTGCACCCCGATTCTTTTATCCTGCATGCTGATAATTCCTCTGCGGAGCCTTAAAAATAAAAGCCACGTTTTGAAGCTGTCTTGAAGGCAGAGGAAGGTTCTTTTGTGTGATGATGAAGCAATTTATGCATCTGTAGCAAGACGCAAGTAGACATCCTAATAAACAAATAGTCTCTCTATAATTATTTTGGTCTTCTGTTGTGTTTGAGCAGCCTTCCAGGAACTGGGCAGCGGCCAATTCGCCCAATGGAATCTTTCTGCCCTAAGAGGTGGAGGCGCCCATCTAGAAAGACATGGCACGCAAGGAAACAGGAACGGGAGCAGAGGAGGAAAAGCAAGTTCAAGTAGTTCACTATGGCAGCTCAGGTGAAGTGGTGGTCTCCTTACCAGTGGCAGGTGCTAGGGAATAAACAACAAAGAGGGGAGGGTTATCTTTGGGTGCTCCTCATTAACTTTTGAGAGGCATCTGCCTGGACCCGTGTTAGAAACAGGATCCTGGGTTCTGGTCCAGCGATACCCAAAGGGCCAGAGTGAAGAGGCTGAGAGCCCAGCAGGCTGGATTACTGCAATGTGCTCTTTGTGGGGCTGCCCTTGAAGTTGTTCCAGATGTAGATGATGCACAATTTGTGACAGCTTGACTACTTGGTGAGGCAGGAGATTGCCGACACATTGCTAAGTCAAAGGTGCCAGGATACCTGAAAGATTCTCAGCTGGCTTCTATATCCAGTTGATCACTGTGCTCAGCAGGTGAGGGCCTCTTGCAGAATCCATCTTACTGGCAGGTCTGTTCCATGGAGTGGAGGAATCCCCCTTTGCAATTCCTCCCTGCTAAATACTAAACTGGCGTGTCTCATTTCAGCACCTACTGAAGCCCTCTTTCAACAAGCATTTAAAGCTAAGATCTTTCCCCAAACTGCACCTGTATTGCAAGGTGCTTTTATTGTTTCATTATTCGTTCATTAGCTGGGCTCCCTTGTGAGGAGAGGTGGGATATAAAGTTAATTAATAAATAAGCTTTCTAAAATATGGCGGGCAAAACAATTCACTGCATGCTTGCGTGTTTCTTCTCCAATATAACTTTCACCTCACTTAAGAGGTGACAAGCAGGCTCTGCAACAAAATGTTGCAGTGTACAGGTATACTGCTTTTTTTGTAGTCAACAGCCATTTTCTCCTTTATGAGGATCTGTTCTATTCCATTCTTTCTCCCTGCCTCCTCAACACTCCATGTTCTGGGACCAGATAAACAACTACACCACTCTCTGAAGGCAGCCCTGTATCAGGAAGTTTAAAAACATCATACATTGAAATGTTTAGCTGTGTTTTAATATTATGTTGGAAGCCACTCAGAGTGGCTGGGGCAACCCAGTTAGATAGGCAGGGTAATAATAATAATAATAATAATAATAATAATAAATTTTATCATTTATACCTCGCCCATCTTGGCGGCACCCAACAGAGGACTAAAAACAGAATAAAACTTCAAACATTAAAAACTTCCCTAAACAGGGCTGCCTTCAGATGGCTTCTAAAAGTCAGATAGTTGTTTATTTCCTTGATATCTGAGGGGAGGGCGTTCCACAGGGCGGGCGCCACTACCGAGAAGGCCCTCTGCCTGGTTCCCTGTAACCTCACTTATTGCAGTGAGGGAACCGCCAGAAGGCCCTCGGAGCTGGACCGCAGTGTCTGGGCTGAACAATGGGGGTGGAGACGCTCCTTCAGGTATACTGGGCCAAGGCTTTCTGTCAACAAATAGTATAATCCCATTTGGGTGGTGTAACCTCCAACATTGATTTTAGCTGCAGACCAAAGGGATCTTGAGGGCCATGGATTCAAAATTAAAATGCACTCCTATACTTCTACCTAAAAGTAAGTCCCCTTGATTTCAATTGGATTTACTCCCAGGTAAGCATGCATAGGACTGCAACCTGAGGTCATTAGGCATAAGACTGTTAAGAGGATTATCTGTATGGTGACCTTGGCATTAAAAAATAATTGTCAATGCACTCCAAATCTACATTTATACAATTTATACAATGCATAATTCCTTTTTAAAAATCGGCAATTTGCGTCATTCTTGTTTTGCTAGTCAAGGGATCTTTGAGTCCCTGTAGTCTTGCCATCAACCAAGGGAAATAGATCTGGCTTCTGAGATTTCAGCAAGCACTTCCCAAAGTGTTGTTCAAAGCCATAAGGGCTAGTAACTTGCACTTATTTTTCTATTTTAAAAAAATGTTTATTTGAGCAATAATATTCGTAAGCTGCCCACTAACATAGTTGCCCGGGCAGCTTCCAGTTACAATAAAACAAATCAAATATAGAGCAGAGAATAATACCAGCTTAACAACAACAACAAAATAAACCTCAGCAACACCCAAAATGTGAAAGCTGGATGCTTCTAGAGACTGATGGCATTTTTTTTTTATGTACTTCTCAGGAATTGTGGCATACACACAACCCCCGACTGTTAAACTGAATTTAAATCCAGGTGTTAAGAATAGCTTCTGTTCTGTATCAATGGACAGCTCAAATATTTGAAAGGGCATATTCTCAGTCGACCCCACTGTCATCAACCCCCCACCCCCAAAGTGGATCTACTTTAGCAGAGAATATTCTGAAAGTGGATCTGTTCCAGAGCAGATCTGTGGGATTCCACACCAACACACCAATGACGCATTAAGTGGGGGACTATCGCAACTGTCCATCGCTTCCTCGCAGGCAGGATCTGATCATGGGGACTGGCCACCTCAACCACATCTGGAAGTGGTTTGTTTGATGAAACCCTGTTATGACTTGAATGGCTTCCCTTGCTTTCAGATGGTGGCACAGACTTTGTGCCACTGGCTGGCCCGGGAGACCCAGACTGCGCATGCACCTTCCAGATGGCAAAAAACCGGCAATTGCAAAATAGCATTATCAGAGCAGGATTTGCCCTGAAAACATCTAATTTCAGATCTGCAAGAATGGACTGTTGTAATAGTTTCCCATGCTGTTTGATGTAGCCAGCCAAACCAAGCGTTCTCCGCGAACTTTCGCTTTTACCTCTACAATTAACTCCCCTGTGGGAACATTGCAAGAGCTAAAAAGTTTTTGTTCTGAAGTGTGGTACTGCAATGAAGCAAAACGAGAAAAGCGAAAGGTAACGGGACGTACGTACTGAGAACGCAGAACTCAAGGATGAGGTCTGTGGGGTGAGGAACTGAAGATCACACTAACTAGCCACCAGGAAATTAGTGCTTTTTCCACTAGACGGGACTGCTAGAGGCCTGGTGTGTGTGTGCTAATCCTCAATATGCAAAATTTCCCGTAGATAGAAACATAACATGCCCAAGTTCCTTTTATTGATGTGCTAATTCTCTATGTGCAGGAAGATCCTGCCCCCAAATTAGGGAACGTTCAACTATGTGAACACCCCACAGCAGTGTAAAATTATACAGCCCAGAAAAAGCTCTATCACACGACCCAAAGGGAAGATAAAGCCTGTCGTGGCATATCCTGCGTTGTTTCCTATGGCATAGCAGGAAATATCCGCTGTGAGGTTTTTTCCTACCCTACCAAAGCACGAGTCTTTCTAGAGTTGCTCTCCGGTGTGACTTTTCTGGTGCCTGATCAGATTCGACCGGTCACCGAAACTCTTCCCGCAGTCCGAGCATTTGAACGGCTTCTCTCCCGTGTGGGTCCTCTCGTGTGCGAGCAAGTTGGCGCTCTGGTTGAACCCTTTCCCGCAGCTGGAGCACTTGTAGGGCTTCTCTCCCGTGTGGGTCCTCTCGTGTTTGATCAGGCTCGACTTGTAAGGGAAGCTTTTCCCGCAGCGGGGGCATCCGTACGGCTTCTCCCCCGTGTGAGTTCTCTTGTGGACGGCGAGAGTCGTTTTGTTGGTGAAGGTTTTCCCGCAGTGAGCGCACTTATACGGCCTCTCCCCCGTGTGCGTCCTCTCGTGAACAACAAGGTTCCGTCTCTCGTGGAAGCTTTTCCCGCACTCGGAACATTTATAGGGTTTCTCTTCCGCCTGGGCCCCTACGTATCTAGTCAGGGCTGAGTCACCGCCGGAACTTTCCCCACCGTCTGAGGACGGATTCGTTTTCTCCCCTTTGTGGGTCCTCTCGTGCCTGAGGAGGTTCGACCTCTGAACGAAGCTTTTCCCACAGTCCGTGCAAGTGTGAGGCTTCTCCCCTGTGTGAGTTCTCTCGTGCTTAACCAGGCTCGATTTGCTGGTGAAGCCTTTCCCGCAACCGGAGCACCCGTACGGCTTTTCTCCGGTGTGAGTCCTCTCGTGCACGACGAGGCTCGACTTGTTTGTGAAGCTTTTCCCGCAGGCGCGGCACCGGTAAGGTTTCTCTCCTGTGTGGGTCTTCTTGTGCTTCACGAGGTTGCGCCCGTCATTGAAGCACCTCCCGCAATCGGAGCACTTGTGGGGCTTTTCCCCCGTGTGGGTCCTCTGGTGCACAATGAAGTTGGATCTCTGGCCGAAGCTCTTCTCGCACTCCAAACACTGGTAAGGTTTCTTCCTGGTGTGGGCTCTCTCGTGGATGAGGAGCTTGTACTTCAAGTTGTAGGCCCGGCCACAGTAAGCACACTTGTACAGACTCTCTCCGTTGTGAGTTCTCTCGTGCGCGAGGCGCTTCAATTTCTGGATGACGCTTTTCCCACAGGCCGAAAACCAATATGGCTTCCCTCCCGCTTGGGTCTTCTTGTGCCTGAGGAGGGCTGACCTATAGCTGAACCTTTTCCCGCAGTCGGAGCACGCGTATGGCTTCTCTCCTCGATGAGCCCTCTCGTGTCTGACCAGGCTCGATTTGTCAACGAAGCTTTTCCCACAGACAGAGCATGGGTACGGTTTCTCTCCCGTGTGGCTTCTTTCGTGGATGACGAGGCTCAAGCTGTGGTTGAACTTCTTCCCGCACTTTGAGCACTGAAAGGACTCCTCTTCCTTGTGCATTATCTCGTGGGCGTGAAGGTGCGACCTCTGGACGAAGCCTTTCCCGCACTCGGCGCATTTGTATGGCTTCTCGCCTGTGTGGGTCCTCTCGTGGATGAGGAAGTTAGACCTCTGGATGAAGCCCTTTCCGCAGTGCGAGCACTTGTACGGCCTCTCCCCGGCCTCCATCTTCTCGTGCCTCAGAAGCGCCGACTTGTGGCGGAAATTCTTCCCGCACTCGGAGCATTTGTACGGCTTCTCTCCCGTGTGGGTCCTCTCGTGCCTGGTCAGGATCGACCTCTGACTGAAGCTCCTCCCGCACTCGGCACACCGGTGCGGTTTCTCCCCCGTGTGGGTCTTCTTGTGCCGTACGAGGCTCGACCTCTGCGTGAAGCTCTTCTCGCAGTCTGGGCACGGGTACACTTTCTCCCCCACGTGGCTCCTTTCGTGGACGATGAGGTTGAGGCTGTGGTTGAATCTCTTCCCGCACTTCGTACACTGATAGGGCTGTTCGGGCTTATGTGTCATCTCATGTACCAGCAGGTGCCACCTTTGGACGAAGCTTTTCCCGCAGTCCGAGCACAGGTACGGTTTCTCGCCGGTGTGGATTCTCTCGTGGATGAGGAAGTTGGACCTCTGGATGAAGCCCTTTCCGCAGTGAGAACATTCGTATGGCCTCTCCCCGGCCTCCATCTTCTCGTGCCTCAGAAGCGCCGACTTGTGGCGGAAATTCTTCCCGCACTCTGAGCATTTGTACGGCTTCTCTCCCGTGTGGGTCCTCTCGTGCCGGGTCAGAATCGACCTCTGGCTGAAGCTCCTCCCGCACTCTGCGCATTCGTAGGGCTTCTCTCCCGTGTGCGTCTTCTCGTGTCGCACGAGGCTAGACCTCTGCGTGAAGCTTTTCCCGCAGTCTGAGCATTTGTTCTCTTTCTCCTCCGTGCACCTTTTCCCATGGCCCTCTTCTGTCGGGATAAAGGGAAAGCGAACAAGTGAACAAGCAAGTTTGACTGGGAAGGGAAAATGTACAATGTGTTATCTTAATAATGGGTATGAATCTACTTATGTTGTCATGCAAGTGGAACATATTTGCTCAACAAATAAGATAGTTCAGTTGGCAGGGCATAAAACTCTTCATCTCAGGGTCACGAGTTTGAGTCTCACCTTGGGCAAAAGATTCCTGCATTCTGAGCCATTTGTCAAATTTTTAGAGACAACTATATGTACTTGGGCCCTGGATTCTTATTATAGCCTGGATAGCTCAGTTGGTTAGAGTGTGATGCTGATAACGCCAAGGTTGCAGATCTGATTCCTGTATAGGGCAGCTGCATATTCCTGCATTGCAGGGGGTTGGACTAGATGGTCCTCAAAGTCCCTTCCAACACTACTACTACTATTATTATTATTATTATTATTATTATTTCTACTACTACTACTACTACTGCTACTACTACAGTGGAAGTCAAATGGAATCTGTTCCAGAAGTCCGTTCGACTTCCAGAACGTTTGGAAACCAAGGCGCAGCTTCCAAGCTTCCTGCAGCCAATCAGAAGCCACGGAAGCCGTGTTGGACATTTGGGTTCCAAAGAATGTTCACAAACCAGAACACTCACTTCCGGGTTTGCGGCATTCGGGAGCCAAAAAGTTTGAATCGCAAGGCGTTTGGGATCCAAGGTACGACTTATTATTATCCCTTTCCACAGATGGGTCTCAAGGCAACGTACAATAAAAACAACTTTTAAAAGTTGAAAGCAACACACACACAAACAGATATATTTATCCAAAACAGCAGACATCCAGGGAAGGGGCTCATTCATTCAACTGGGAAAACCCACTGGAACAGAAATGTCTTCAATTGTTTCCAGAAAGTACAGATAATGATCACTTGTCATTATCTCGACAAGAAAGCTATTCCACAGAGCCTGGAGGAGGATCACACTTTTTCTTCACTGCTGTTGTTTTTGGAGACACATGTGCACAACTCCACACAAATACACTCCCTTCCAGTTGATGGAGCAAACACAGAAGTTGTGCCTGAGACCAAAGTGTAAAACAAGAGTCTAGCTTCACTTTGAGGATGGGGCGAGCATTATGAGAAAAGAGGAGACATTTGTGAGTATCTGAGGTGCAGTTAATGTCCTGCTTATTATGAAGCCCCCCTGTGCCTGTAGTAGTCGCTGGTTCCAACAGCCACTACAGGCAGCTGTCGCTGGAGATTATCCTTCCAGTTCGAAGCTTGCCCTGCATGTTGGGCGCAGAGAGAGCTGCTGCTGAAAATCAAGGCACAAATGCGGTTTCGATTTTGCAATAGCAGAATATCGGTAGATATTGTTGACCTGTCTCTCTGACAGTTATTTTAATGTCCAGTGTTGTAAAGACTGCGGAGAGAATAATTGGGTGCACTCTTCTCACCTTGGATCAAATCTATGCTTCCAGGTGCCATAAGAAAGCTGCAGAGATAGTGCAGGATAGTGTGCACCCCGGAAATGATCTCTTTCAGCTTCTGCCTTCTGGAAGAAGCTACAGGGTTATGAAGACTAGGACTAGCCACCTGAGAAACAGTTTCTATCCAAATGCAATTTTGGTTTTAAATGCAGTGTAAGGAGTCTCTATGGGAGTATACTGTATTTAAAAATGGGGTATCAGAGTTTTTAGGGGGCTAACCAGGTTGGGATAGCTGGGATAGCAAGCTTGTTGGTTTTTGAATGTTTTGTGTAGATTTTTCAATTTCGTTGTTCTGTATGGGGCAATGACAGTATCGTATATCTTGGAAGAGTGCTTTTATTTAGGGATCCAGACTTAGCTAAATAAACCTCTCACCTGAGTGGGCAGGTGGGGATGTTTCGTTTTCCTCAGAGCCCTGGTGATACACCACCCAAAGCTCGTCATCTTCTTCCTTCTTGATTATCACAGCAGAAAACCCTGGTTGGTGGGGAAGACACTTGTTAGTATGTTGATTTCAGTACGGGACTTTCGATTTCCAAAGCACTCCCCCTGCATCATCTAGTTGCAATCTTTACAAACAGCCCAACAAGCCCCGCCCCCATTTAACAGATGGGAAGACTGAGGCTGGGATACAAGTGGCTTGCCTAAAGGCCAGCTACTAAGTTGATGGCAGAGGTGAGATTTAAACCAGGATTTCCCTTAACAGCCGCTACGCCGTGCAAGTTGTCCTAAGTGCGGAATGATATCCTGACCTCCAACAACGGGTTTCCAGGAAGACCCCTTCACCTCTCCCACAAATCCCAGGGCATCTCGTGAGTCGGATTATCCCATCCCTCACTCAAGATGGGACACAACATTGTGAAAATATTAACCATTGGGAAGCCAAAGAACCACAGAATCACGGCAACCATCCAAGAGCCTGAGAAGAAGAAGAGTTTGGATTTGATATCCCACTTTATCACTACCGAAGGAGTCTCAAAGCGGCTAACATTCTCCTTTCCCTTCCTCCCCCACAACAAACACTCTGTGAGGTGAGTGGGGCAGAGAGACTTCAGAGAAGTGTGACTTACCCAAGGTCACCCAGCAGCTGCATGTGGAGGAGCGGGGAAGCGAACCCGGTTCACCAGATTACGAGACTACCGCTTTTAACCACTACACCACACTGGCTCTCTGAGAGCCACCTTCGCTTGGGGGGTGACCTTTGGGGAAGGTGGGGCCTGAGATTGGTGGGCGGGGCCAAAGGCAAAAGTGGGTGGAGCAACAGGTGCGACTCTTACCTTTCTGTTTTAGGCTACATTCCAGCCAAACAATATTCTGGGGTCTCCACAGCTACCCACACACATCTCTCCGTCCAGACTAACAAGAAGCGTTATCCCACACATTCCAGCCAGGCAAACACACTTCTGCGTGGCCGGAACGTGGCCTACTGTACAATGATAACAGTCGCATCCACTAGTCCGCCCACTTTCTCCTCTGTCCCTGCCCATCGCTGGCAGGTGGCCCCTCAAAGGCTCTCAAAGAGGCAATGTGGCCCTCGGAGGTGGGAAAAGTTCCCTGCCCCTGAATTATAAAGGCAGGTTTAAGGCTGCTCCTCACCCGAGGATACCGTTTCTCTTTCCTGGAGAGAGGAGTTAAGTGGATTCGCTCCTTGTTCCGATTTCTCCGGAAGCCACAGCTCCTCTTCCTGTTCCACCTTTATGATCACATCAGGAAACTCTGAAAAAGAGACATGGCCAGAGATTAAACATTTTTGGGATATGATCCATGAAGAGATTAAAAAATTGATAAAGGTTTCATAGAACAAAAGGGCAGAATCATACTTATTAGGAATTTTGGGGAAGGATATCCCCAAAGATAAAATTAACATATTTGTATACACATCAACAGCAGCGAGAATATTGGCAGCCAGCTAATGGAAAGGAAATACTATTCCAACAAAAAGAGAATGGTTAAGTAAACTATGTGAGTATCTGGAGTTAACTGACGGACTTAATAAGGCACAAATCCAAAATTATGGTACAGAGACAATGGGATTGTCTAACTGAATATTTACAGAAGCAGGGCTCAAATACGAAAGTTTGGTTGTGCTTAGACTAACCTTGTGAAGAATATAAAGAATACAAAGAATTGATGGACTATGAAAGAACTTAAGGAAAGGAAGTGAACGAAGAACAGATGTAAAGGTGAACTGGAAATTAAGAGACATGTGGTGAATGTGGCGGAAGTCTTTTATAATATTTTAATTAGGATTTGGTATTTGGCATTATTGATGGATAGTAGTTTTTCCCCCTTTCTTTTTTCCTCTTTCTTTTTTCTTTTCCTTTATCTGTTGTCTTTTTTCTTCTTTAGTCTGCATTTGGTAAATATGCAGACGATTGTGTTTATATTGTTTTGTATGGATTTTGTTTTGATTTTCCTTTTCTATTTACCTTGTAATATTTAATAAAACTAATAAAAAATATTATAAAAAAAGGAAACTCTGAGAAAGAAATATTAAAAGGGAATGAGGCCGAGAAGGTGGAGGGAGTCGATTTTGGGGTTTCTCTCCAGGACAAATGGTTTCTTTTCCCTTAGCTTGTTTAAGCTCTCTCACCCTCTCCACTGTCCAACGGCATCTCCCTCTCCTTTTTGGCGGAAAGATCCGGAACCCACGGGTCTTCTCCAGGGTCAAGTTGAGAGAGCATGTCAGGTTCAGGAAGAGAAAAGGCTGAGGGGAAAGGAAAGAGGCAGACACAGTCAGAAGCAACATTTTTTTGTGTTCATAGCCATGTTAGCTCATATTCAGACTGTTGGTATTTGGAGACACACATACCCAGAATTCTGCTTTTGCACATTTATAGCGCCGAGGCCCTTCTGGCGATTCCCTCATTGCGAGAAGCAAAGCTACAAGGAACCAGGCAGAGGGCCTTCTCGGTGGTGGCGCCCGCCCTGTGGAACACCCTCCCACCAGATGTCAAAGCGATAAACAACTACCTGACATTCAGAAGACATCTTAAGGCAGCCCTGTTCAGGGAAGTTTTTAATCTGTGATATTTTAGTGTATTTTTGGTTTCTATGGAAGCCGCCCAGAGTGGCTGGGGAAACCCAGCCAGATGGGCGGGGTACAAATAATAAATAATAATAATAATAATAATAATAATAATAATAATAATTATTGCGGGTTTAAGGATTCTGTCACCCTTGTGCAATAAACACACTTTTTAAAAAAACAGACTTTTTGCAGGTTGGAAAGTAGATGAAGAAAAACATTAAAAATGAGCGGTGGTGAACAAACAATCAACAGGAAGATGTGTAAACGCTCCCCAAGCAAATCAGGATAAGTGCAGGGCAAATGTTCATTGCCTTATATCCTCCCTTTAAAAAAACAGCAACTCAATAATGAACAGGCATAGTCTAACCACCGTGTTAAGTTTTAGGCAAGCAAATCAAGATGGAAGGTCAACGGTGGAAGGGGAAGGGGGGGGTTAATGGTTTGTTTTGTTCTTGTTTTTATTACGTATTTTGTGTTTTTTTAATCTTGCATTTTTTTGTTATGAACTTCATCTATGGATGAAGGGCGGTATACAAATTTTGATATACAGTGGACGCTCGGGTTGCAAAAGTGATCCGTGCAGGAAGCACGTTCGCAACCCGCAGCGCCGCATCTGCGCACGCACGGATTGCGATTTGGCGCTTCTGTGCTTGTGCCGTTTCCAACAGCTGATATTCCTGTTGGCTACCCCTGGCGTGCGGGATTTTGAAGTGAGCATACACTGAAGTTATTACCCCCCCCCCCCATAATTTCTTTAAACTTTTGTGCTTGTTTTGATTTCAGACTCCCGCCCAGATCAGTATATTATTAATATTTCCACCTCACCCTTCCTCCCCAAAGGAGGCAATCTTTCCCTTGCCCCACGCCTTTCGCTTCACTATAACTGCCCCACAGTTTTAAGTCTTTCTCAGTCTTCTTGGCATCAGTTGCCCCAGGCTCTGTACGCTTCTTTTGATCCTCTTTCTACCTGGTCCAGGTACACCTGCCACATAGCTACAGAGAAGCCAGGCTTAAATCTGACACACCCCAGGGCTCACTTTATGCACATTAATTCTATTATTATTATTATTATTATTATTATTATTATTATTTGCAACAACCCTGTAAGGTAGCTGGTATTGTTATCGGCGTATGACTCATTTACCCAATTTACATCCTGCTCAAAGCAAGAGCAGCCAAGGCGGCTTTCTGAAAGCTAAAAAAAGCAATAGGAATATGAATGAAAACCGGAAGCCACGTTTGAAGACGACTGGAAAACGTTTATTGAATAGATGGAAAATAACTGTGGACAGCTGAAAACGCTGGCAGCATTAAGAATAAATTCAACAGTGTAAATAGGTTTTGATGGCTGTAATAACTGAACACCGAATGGTTTAGTTTATGTAAAATATGCAAGGATTTATGTTATGCAAAATGAACCATGGAAAGGGAAGAAGGGAAGACATTGATGTTTTAAGATTGTTTAAACCGCCCTGAGACCCCCCAAGGTATAGGGTGGTATATTAATTCTAACAACAACAACAACAACAACAACAACAACAACAACAGAGACTAAAGCTGTCAGGCAGAAAGTAAGTCAGACGTTTTCCCGACAGCAGGGGAAGGCGAGGGCAGTATATGCAAATACTGACAATATGATGAACAAATAAACAAGCGAATGGACAAACAAGTAAATGAATAAATAAAACCCAAGTGTTATTTGAGGACTGTGATTTTTGGAGCACCACCACACTTCTGATCTTCTCGGTGCACAATATGCACACCGCTTTTGTTTCCAGATTCACCGCATTTAGACGAGAGGCGTTTATCCTCCCGCTCCTGCGTCTCGATTTCTTTGTCTGCAGCAAATCTAAACGGAATAGGGGTAGTGGGGAAGGGGTGCGGGGCTCAGGGGCCTTTGCGAGGATGCGCTGCAAAAGGAAGACCCTTTGATTTTGTGGGGGGAGAGGTTTGCTTTCCGCCCCCCCTCATCTCTCCTACCTCTTCTTTCTCTTTCCCCCTTAAAATGCAAGTTTCCTCCTCTTCTCTTTCACTCACCCGCTCCTTGCAGCCTTTGCATTGCAGCCTCCGCGAATCTTGCAAACCCTAAATTTCTGCAAGGCGGTGTTAAATCCCCCCCCCCAAATCCAGAAAGGGGCGGGGGAGGGGGGAACACACAGGAAGGAGGTTCGCTTTTTTCTTTTTGCACTTCCCCATCTCTCATATCTTTATCTGATCCTCTCTAGGAACAGGCGCTCTCTCCGCTTAACCCCTTGAGTCCACGGGGAGGGAACGGAGAGCAGCTGTCCGCAGAAACGTCCAAGTAAGTCCAGCCGATTGCATCTCCGCCGGGCGCTGGGTTCGAATCCTGAGCGCGCCGCAAATGCTCTTGCGGTTGCGTAAACATGCGGGGAAGAAAGGGGCGGGGAAACCTGCGCATAATTTAAAATTAAAAGAAAATGTAAAAGAAAAGAATTGCTTAGTAGAGAAAGTAGAGAAAGGGCCGAGAAGGAGGGGTCAGCTGGGAAGCGCATGAATGAGACTGAGGGTGTTCTCTGTGTTGCATTATTATTATTATTAATTACCGGCCTTTCAACTTGAGGTTCTAAAGTGGATTACAACAATCCGAAATACAGTTTAAAGACTTTAAAAAATACTGTCAAAATTTATATTTTACAAAAATCAGCACTATCTCAGGTGTCGAAAGGAAAGGCTGAGTCTTCAGAATTCACCAAAAGCTATATAATGAAGTATCCAACTGCATAACGGACACCTGTGATTTCCCCAAAGCTGAATGAAACCTTAAGCAAGCAAAATTCAAGGGTTAAAATTCGGGGTGGTTCAGAGGAGAATGAACCTCAAGTCTCCCCATCTCTCTTTCTAAATCATAGAATTGTAGAATTGGAAGGGATCACAAGGGCCCGTCTAATGATTCAACCCTCTACAATGCAGGATTTTTTCCCAACTCTCTGAGCTATCTCCAGATATATTTTTTACTTTGCTTATAGGGTGGCTAGCTGTATCTCAAAGCACTGCACTTCATTAAGGCCTGCTGGGAATTTTAGCTCTTGGGGTGGGGGGTAAACTACAATTCCCAGCGTTAATACAATAGCCAGGAATAAAAATGGAGGTGATGCATGCAACACCATCAGCTCCAGCAGGGCAGCTCAAAGGAATCAGAGACCCTCATGTCATTCAAGATGGGGCCGTGAAGGAGTTTCTTTCTCAACCAGCTCTCCCCCCAGAGGAGAAAGTGTTGCAGCGCTGGGAAGCCCAGTGGCAATTTCTTCTCCTCAGGGCTGTGGCATCTCCTCATTCAGGAAGAGAAGTCACTCGGCTGCCCGCATGTGTAGCAGTAGCTCCTGAAGCACTGCTGCCACACATCCAAAGCAGCGTCGCCCTGGTCCAGAAACTCTTCCTTTATTTCCACAGAAGACGAGGGCAGCTGGGCCAGTTGGGCTTCTCCCAAAGGATTCTGGGAAGTGGTTTATAAAGGGTGCTGAGAGTCCCCCTCACCGAGCTACGATTCCCAGTGCGACTTGACAAGCAAACGCTTTCCCCAGGGAACTCTGGGAATTGTAGCTCTTGCCATATGTCCGGGAATTTTCTTTTAAAAAGCTCAACCATTTATTTTTGCCCTGATTTTCACTTCTTGAAATATGGCAACCCTAACCCTTCTATCTTGGAAGCACTGTTTTTTATTATTATTTTAAAGTCTTCCACTAGGCAGCGACTACTTAAAAGTCTTCTACTTGGTAGCAGCCGATTCCGTTTTGTTTGCATGCCTCTTATATAGGCACTGGTACCTTTTGAAGAGATGGTGGCGAATTCCTTCAAGACAGAACGGCCTACATCAGATGCCGCTGTAGAGTTTGATTCTTCCATGGAAACCCCAACAGGAGGATGTTGGGGAAGCCAAGTTGCTAGGTAGGAACTCTTTGGCCCTGAATTGTTGGACGGCACTCATCTGCTAGAGTAGGTGTAGCCGGGGCCGGCCCTCCCATGAGGCAATATGAGGCAGCCACCTCAGGCGACAGCATCTACAGTGGCAGCAGATCTGCCTTCCAAGGAACACATCACCTGCTGCTGCTGTCATTGTGGCAGCAATGGCTGCAGCACACTCCTTAGCGGCCAGTCCTGCTGCCTCCTCAACATCTCCTCCCAGCACGGCGCCTCTACAGCGACCTCTTGGAGAATAGGAGGCACTGCTGGTCTCCTCCCTGATGGATTGTTGCTGATGTCGATCGTCACCCCCTGCCCCCAGCTTGTTCCTGAGGTAGATCCTCACTCTTCCTTACAGAGACCCCCTGCACAGCTTTCTCCCTGTTAACGTTTAGCGATCTTCCTCTGTCCGTTTCACTTCAGGCAGGTCACACGGACACAACACTGTCCTGCCTGGGATACTGAGAAGCCTCTCTCAGCAGCCATTCCCCTTCTCACACAAAGAGAGAACAGAAAAGCCGTTAAAAATGACAGTTACTGGAATAACAGTCACAACAGAAAGGAATGCCTCTCTCATGTGACTCACAGTCAGCCAATCACATGAGAGCTACTGCTAGAGGAGGGAAAAAACCATGTTAAAAGTACACAGTACAGTGGTACCTTGGGTTAGAGACGCTTCAGGTTACAGACACTTCAGGTTACAGATTCCGCTAACCCAGAAATATTACCTCGGGTTAAGAACTTTGCTTCAGGATGAGAACAGAAATCATGCTCTGGTGGCGGAGCGGCAGCAGGAGGCCCCATTAGCTATAATAATACTTTATTATTTATACCCCGCTGGGCAGCTTCCAGCAAAGTACAGTGGTCTGTTAAACATTAAAAGCTTCCCTAAACAGGTACCTCAGTGGTTCCCTAAAGTGGTACCTCAGGTTAAGAACAGTTTCATGTTAAGAACGGACCTCCAGAACGTATTAAGTTCTTAACCAGAGGTACCACTGTAACTTGACATAAGTAAACATTCCCATTTCAAGGAATTAAATCATTATTTTTAACAAGGGATGGCGGGAATTGGAGTCACAGTTTCCCTACCCCTGATTTAAACCCATACCGATGGGTCTGCCATTCTCCTTACAGCTCATTGCCCAGAACTGGCCACAGCACACAGGTTGCAGTCAGACTTGTGCGGGGATATAATGGAAGTGAGCACTCAGTCATGGCCTAATTTTGTGTCGTTCTTCTCTGTGTGTTCCAGCAGAACATGAGCAAAAGGGGGCTGATGCAGGGAAGAAAGCGTGCAGGTGCTCTTGCTGTGAGAAAGTCTTCACCTGGAGATCCCACCTTGCCAGGCATGAGAGGATCCACACGGGAGAGAAGCTCTATCGCTGTGCCGTCTGCGAGAAGAGCTTTGGCCAAGCGTCACACCTCGCCACCCACGAGAGAACCCACACAGGAGAGAAACCCTATAAAAAATGAGAGGCACAAATACAAGATGGGTGACACCTGGCTTGAGAGCAGTACATGTGAAAAGGATCTAGGAGTCTTGGTTGACCACAAACTTGACATGAGCCAACAGTGTGACGCGGCAGCTAAAAAAGCCAGTGCAATTCTGGGCTGCATCAATAGGAGTATAGCATCTAGATCAAGGGAAGTAATAGTGCCACTGTATTCTGCTCTGGTCAGACCTCACCTGGAGTACTGTGTCCAGTTCTGGGCACCACAGTTCAAGAAGGACACTGACAAACTGGAATGTGTCCAGAGGAGGGCAACCAAAATGGTCAAAGGCCTGGAAACGATGCCTTATGAGGAACGGCTAAGGGAGCTGGGCATGTTTAGCCTGGAGAAGAGGAGGTTAAGGGGTGATATGATAGCCATGTTCAAATATATAAAAGGATGTCACATAGAGGAGGGAGAAAGGTTGTTTTCTGCTGCTCCAGAGAAGCGGACACGGAGCAATGGATCCAAACTACAAGAAAGAAGATTCCACCTAAACATTAGGAAGAACTTCCTGACAGTAAGAGCTGTTTGACAGTGGAATTTGCTGCCAAGGAGTGTGGTGGAGTCTCCTTCTTTGGAGGTCTTTAAGCAGAGGCTTGACAACCATATGTCAGGAGTGCTCTGATGGTGTTTCCTGCTTGGCAGGGGGTTGGACGCGATGGCCCTTGTGGTCTCTTCCAACTCTATGATTCTATGATTCTATGAAATGTACCGTGTGCGGGAAAACCTTCATCCAGAGCTCGGCACTTCTGAGGCACATGGTGTGCCACACGGGCGAAAGAGGCCATAAGTGTCCGCACTGTGGGAAAAGCTTCAGGCGGAGGTCACAGCTTGTTAGGCACATGCCTAAACACATAGGCGAGAAACCATACGAATGTGCAGAGTGTGGGGAAACCTTTGTCCAGAGGTCAGCCTTTTTTAGGCACATGATGCGTCACACTGAGGAAAATGGCTTCCAGTGTTCGCACTGTGGGAAAAGCTTCCAGTGGAGGTCACACCTTGTTAGGCACATGCCCATGCACACAGGTGAGAAACTTTATAAATGTTCATGGTGCGAGAAAACCTTCACACAACTGTCCGCCCTCCCTATACATGAGAGAATCCACACGGGGGGAAAGCCATATTCATGCTCCACCTGTGGGAAAGAGTTCATTGCTAGAGCTCACCTTGTTGTACATGAGAGAAGCCATACAGGGAAGAAACCCTATAGTTGCTCCTCCTGCGGGAGAGGCTTCAGCAACACATCATGCCTTGCTAAACATCAGAGAATCCACACGGGCGAGAAGCCGTACAAATGTTCTCTCTGCGGGAAATGCTTTGGCCACACATCATCTCTCACGAAACATCAGATAAGCCACACCGGGGAGAAGCCGTACCGATTCTCAGACTGTGGGAAAAGTTTTGTCGACAGCTCAAAGCTGGCGAGGCACAAGAGAACCCATGCAGAGGAGAGGCCCTACAAATGCGCTGTCTGTGGGGAAAGTTTCAGGGAGAGCTACCACCTTATTAGACACGAGAGGAACCACGCGGGAGACAGGCCCTATCCGTGCTCAATCTGTGGGAAAAGCTTTGTTAACAAATGGCGCTGCAGTACGCACGAGAGAACCCACACAGGAGAGAAACCATATCAGTGTGCGGTCTGTGGAAGAAGCTTCGGCGATCAATCCAATCTTCTTAATCATCAGAGAATCCACGCTGGAGCGAAACTGTATAGATGTGATATCTGTGGGAAATGCTTGAGTCGGAGAGAGCACCTTCTTAATCATTATAGAACCCACACCGGGGGAAAACCCTACAAATGTCTGGACTGCGACAAGAGCTTCATTCAACGAATTCAGCTTCTTGTTCACGAGAGAACCCACCACAGAGGAGAGATTAAATGAAATGTCAAGCCTGTTCTGCAACTAGGCCTGTGATACCTCAAGAGCTCCCCCCACCCACCCAAACTTTAAGACCAACCTCAGAGTTCTTGCATTTTACCCTGCCTTTGTGGGAGGCAGGTGCAAGAGACAGGGCCTTTTTAGTGGTGGCACTCAGGGCCAGCTCCAGAGGGTGGCAAGATTGGGCATCTGCTAGACCCCAGGACCAGAGGTCCCTCTGTGCTTAACAGGTCTACTATTTCTACTTTGCGCAGAGTACAGTGGTATCTCGGGTTACAGACGCTTCAGGTTACAGAGGCTCCGCTAACCCAGAAATAGTACCTCGGGTTAAGAACTTTGCTTCAGGATGAGAACAGAAATCGTGTGATGGTGGTACAGCAGCAGCGGGAGGCCCCATTAGCTAAAGTGGTGCTTCAGGTTAAGAACAGTTTCAGGTTAAGAACGAACCTCCGGAACGAATTAAGTTCTTAACCCGAGGTACCACTGTATCCAAAAAGAACAGAACTCCCAGTTTTTATGTCCTGTCTCTCCAGATGAGGGGGGGAGCTCCTGGGGGGTGTCGTTCTGAGGACACCCTCCCCCCCCAAATCCTGGCGCCAGTAATGGTGGCACTGAAAGCGTGGCAATCCACAGTTCTTCCTCTCCAGCGTTTACCACCTACAAGAATGGTCTCCCTTCAGTTAACTTCAAAGTATGTTTCAATTTCCACTTGCACCAGGTAAAAACCAGCGGAACACAGCTTTACTCTGAAGCAGCATTAACAAGCACTTAGTGCTTGGGATACTGTATAATTGCTGTAATAATAAAATAAGGGCATTGGCTGTATGAGGTCAGCCGGAGACCGTTTTTCTTCTATATTATTTTTAAACCCAGGCATCAGGGATATTCTAAAATAAAGAATGCTTACCAAAGGATAACGAAACGAAACAAAACAAAAACGTTAGTGAAATCTGTGGTGGTTCTGCATGGCCCGGAGCGCTGCCACTGCTCAGAATGTGTATTTTTCAAACTTTGGCTCGTGCAAATCATAGAATAGCAATGCAGGGATCTCGGTTACAGCATCGCTGACAAATGGCCATCCAACCTCTGTTTGGAAACCTCCAAGCGGCAGTGTCATGGCTGAAGGGTTGAGGTTTTAGACAATGCCATACTCGATGGGTAGGGGAGCAAGTGATGTGAGCCTCTCATCCACCATGGTAGATCGCAAGTCTATTTGATGAGCTTTGACTCTGAGAAGCTCTGATCATCCCTGGCAACAGAATCTCAACATAACAGGACCTCTCCCTGGCCATGACGAAGTAACCAGTTTACACACTTGCGTGTGAAGCAGAATAGATGCTAATTTGAACATTATGCTATTGTTTTGAAGCAGGGGTTCCCAAAGCAGGCGGTATCGCTGAATCAAGTCCATCAGTTTTGTTGAATTTATTAAATACTTGAATTTGGATTTGGAATAAATGTGCAATTAATTGTTGCTGCTGTGAATTTTATTGTGCTTTTATTTGTCTTCCTTAGTGGGTCGTGCAAACCGCTATTCTTAACAACGCTTTTTATACGGTTGGGGTGGGGTGGGGACCAGTGGGAACAAGTTTATAGAAGCGGGGGTGGGGGGACGGTGGTTCAAAAAAGTTTGGGAGCCAACTCTACGATTCTCTGATTCCATAAATGCAAATAAAATTTGGACTCCCAACTGCAGGTTGTATCGAGGGTGCATCTCCTAATCCACAATACACAATACACACCCCTTAGTGGTGGTATGGCCATATAGAAAATAATGTGTTTTATTTTGGCACATTCTTGTGACAAATCCCAATATAGGAGTTGTGGTTTTCTCTTGCAGCAACTGATCGAGACATTTTGATGCCTGAGCTGAAGCAGTAAGGGGTGCCCTCCCCACCATCACCCACTTTAAGGAGCACAGTATCCAAACTGATTGTGCCATTGTAGCTTCTGAGGCTGAGACGGGGTGGGTGGGAACTGTAGTACAAAATGAAGGCACAAGGTTGGCAGGTGTTACTCCGACTAGGGGTTGGGCTTGTCTTGCATCATGCGAGCAAAGCTCGGAATAGTCCATTGTAGAGTCGGAAAGGACCCCAACAATCATAGCTTATGATCAGCAATGGTGGGAACTGTAACACAGTGAGATCCGGAATCTCAGTAGTAGTAATAATAATAAATAATAATAAATTTTATTTATACCCCGCCCTCCCCAGCCAAGACCGGGCTCAGGGTGGCTAACACCAAGTATAAAACAATTGATTAAAATACAACTTAAAAACAAAATTAAAGTACAGTACAACATTAAAATGCAGCCTCATTTCAGTAGAAACTCAAATCAAAAACTTTTGGGGGATGAAAACATCAAATCTTCACCAAGGCCAGCTATCCAGTAGTAGTAGTAGTAGTAATAAGAATAATTTATTATTTATACCCCGCCCACCCAGCGGCTTCCAACAAAAGATTAAAAATACATTAAGACATCAGTCATTAAAAACTTCGCTAAACAGGGCTGCCTTCAGATGTCTTGTTAATATGAGATAGTTGTTCAGTGGTTTTCCATCGCTGGGTCTCTGCCTTTTTAAGGTCAAAGCAAGTTGCCGGGGCAACCCAGTCAGACAGGTGGCGATGAAGAAGAAGAAGAAGAAGAAGAAGAAGAAGAAGAAGAAGAAGAAGAAGAAGAAGAAGAAGAAGAAGAAGAAGAGGAAATTCCCCTGAGCAGCAGGGCTTGACCATGGAGCCGCACAGGCCACAAATCTCCCCCACTGTGACTGCCCTATTCAAATTACAGCAATGATTTCCAAATTTCCATTTACCCATGCAAATTAGTATTTGCAAATCTGTGCCCTCTTTTGTCCTTCTCTTTCTTCCCAGTTGGGGTGTGTGTGTTGCTGAATTTCCTCTTTGGCGATGCACAAATGCGGCCGCCCCCCCCCCCCCCTCGCTGCCCCGAACGCAACATCGCAAAAGGCAAGTGTGGGCAAAGTAAGGGCAGGAGAGGCTCTTCGCCGGTTGCGAGCGCGCATGCTCGTGCGAGGAGCGTGGGGGCACGTCCCTGTATCATAATAAGAGTTCGGAAAATTTTTCTCTCTCCTCTCCCCCCCCCCCCCATTTGCAGTTTATTCAGTCTATCTGGCCTGTCTTCGTCGTCGTCTCTGTGACCTCTCCAAAAGGGGACCCCCGTTTGGCTTGAGCTGCTCGGAATTGCGCCGCAAACACCGCGATGTAAGGTACAGACTCCCCAAGCAAAAGCCCATTTTGCGCCCAGCTCTCAGCTGCCTGGGAAACTCGGGGGTGCATCAATTGAACAAGCTCCTTTCTGCAACAATAAAACCCTCCCTATAGTGAAATTTGGAAAAGACCAGGACAAAATATATTTTAGGAGCCAGATTGGGGGTGGGGGGAGCCGTTCACATTCCTAGGGACTAGCGGCTAGGCTTCAAGTTCATCCCATTTCAGTATCAGCTTTTCTTTTTCTTGTCTGGCATTCCTCTCCCCCCGTTCCTTGTTTCCCCAGCTAGATTTAGGGGACAGAGGAAACGAGACCTCTCCAATTGCACCCAAGGGGTGCAATCTGACACCTCGATTTTTAAAACTATTCCTTCCTTATGCTCCCGCACAATGTAGTTCTCCTTTGGGTAGGTCCTTTGGTCCCTAAAGGGGCATTGGACTGCATTTCCCATCAGGCCTCCCTCCCTCTCTCCCTCTCTCTCTTTCTCTCTCTCTCTCTCTCTCTCTCCAACCCACCCCTCCGTGGTGCGGCAGGATTGTTGTAGGAATTTGCAAAGTTCCTTTGTAACTTACCCCATCGTTCTGATTGGCGGAGCCAGCAGTCCCCGCCTCTCTAGGTGTGCAACGCGGCAAAAAATAAATAAATATGAAAGTTGTGGTGCCTGAAGGAAGCCCTGAAATCCCAATTCTCTCTTTTAAGCTGAGATCTTCCCCAGTTTGCCTCTGTATGCTGAAATGTGGGAAAGAAATTGCTTTAAATATGTTTTTATTGTTTTAGCGTTTGTTTGCCACCCTGGGCTCATCAGGGAGGAAGGGTGGTATATATAAGTTTAATAAATCGTAGAAGTGGTGGAGTTGATAGGGGGTTTCTGCAGTCTTTCGTTGCACTGTTAAAGGCCATGGCTCTGTGGTGAAGCACAGAGCATCTCCCTGTGCTTCTTGTGGCATCTATGATTCTACACCTTGGAGGTCCCAAGTCGCAAGGTGGTTAGATTGGTCCCAACTAGGGCCAGGGCCTTTTCAGTACTGGCCCCGACTTGGTGGAACACTCTGTCACAAGAGACCAGGGCCCTGCGGGACTTGACATCTTTCCGCAGGGCCTGCAAGACAGAGCTGTTCCACCTGGCCTTTGGTTTGGACTCAGTGTGACCCTTATGTTTCCCTCCCCTTATGGTTTGGATCTATGGGCTACTTTTAAAATGAGGCTGAATTTTAAATTATATTTTAACCTGTATTTTAAATTGGGGTTTTGTGTTGGTTTTTTTTGTAATTTTAGTGGTGTTAGCCGCCCTGAGCCCGGCTCTGGCTGGGGAGGGCGGGATATAAATAAAAAATTATTATTATTATTATTCACCCAGGAAGGACAGGGGAAAGACTGAATCATAGAATTGTAGAGATGGAAGGGCCCCATCACCCAGGCCTAGCTAGGTAGATAAAAAAAGAAACATGACATTGGATAAGGCAGGCTTCTGATCTTCCAGCTGATTTGTAAAAAATAAGGCACAGAGATTAAGTTTCCTTTGAATCTCCTCCCCCAAACAATGCTTCATTTTGCTTTATGGTGAAAACAGCCCAGACTCCAGGACTTCAATAAATCATGAAAAGTCTCAGTGGGAGGTTCTTGGATGTGTACAAACCATCGGGTCATTACCATATATTGGAGGAAAAACAGCTTTTTATGAGTGGCAGACTCCAGTCCTGTACACACATTAACACATATATACTGCTTGATATTTTAAGTATAGTAAGTCTGCAATTTACATTACGTTTCAGGGATCAGGCTTGGGGGTTTCAAGCACATAAAACAAGGTCCAGTCTTCTGGGTCAGGAGAAGCCTGGGCAAAAAGCTAAGTCCTTGCAATATATCCCAAGTAATTTAATTATTTAACTCTAAGTTTGCATGCATTTGATTGCACCACACCATAGCCTGCTTTACAAACTATGGCTTACTGTAAATGAGAAAGCATGGTGTTCATCTTTTAGTGAGGTGAGGTAGGATTTAACAGAATCATAGAATTGCAGACTTGGAAGGGACCTCGAGGGTCATCTTAGCCCAACCCCCAACCCCCCGTCCTTATTATAGTTGCTGGATTAGCACTTTTAGGATTTTTTTTTCATTGCATTTTTCCTGTGTATTTTTCTTAAAAAATCAATTATCAAGTTCTGTATTTTGTAGATCTGTGAGTCGCTTTGAGTCATCTTGTGGAAAGTGATCAATAAATATACAGTGGTACCTCGCAAGACAAATGCCTCGTAAGACAAAAAACTCGCTAGACGAAAGGGTTTTTTGTTTTTTGAGCTGCTTCGCAAGACGATTTTCCCTATGGGCTTGCTTCGCAAGACGGAAATGTCTTGCAAGTTTGTTTCCTTTTTCTTAACACCGTTAATACAGTTGCGACTTGACTTCGTGGTAGCCTTTTTTGAGGTTTTTAAAGACTTTGGTGATTTTTGAAGCTTTTCCAAAACTTTCCCGACACTGTGCTTCGCAAGACGAAAAAAATCGCAAGACGACAAAACTCGCGGAACGAATTAATTTCGTCTTGCGAGGCACCACTGTAATTAATAATAATAATAATAATAATAATAAAAAAATGAGCTAAGGTAATGCTTCAGGGATCTTTTCACACTAGGGAATGTACAGGTCATGTTTATGTTTCCTATATGTATCTGGCTGACTCCTGTGGAACAGAACGCAGGACTGGGACTCTCCCGGTGCAATGGTGCAGCCATACCCTATTCTTTGCTCCTACAATCTGGTAATTCGGAGATATACTGTCACTGGCCCTGGAGGCTCCATTTGGCTTCTTCTAGTAGCACTGAGCCTCTTGGGCTTGCCGATCAGAAGGTTGGCGGTTCGAATCCCTGCAACAGAGTGAGCTCCCGTTGCTTGGTCCCTGCTCCTGCCAACCTAGCAGTTAGAAAGCACGTCAAAGTGCAAGTAGATAAATAGGTACCGCTCCGGCGGGAAGGTAAACGGTGTTTCCGTGCGTTGCTCTGGTTCGCCAGAAGAGGCTTAGTTATTCTGGCCACAAGACCCGGAAAAACTGTCTGCGGACAAATGCCAGCTCCCTCAGCCAGTAAAGCAAGATGAGCGCCGCAACCCCAGAGTCGTCTGCGGCTGGACTTAACTGTCAGGGGTCCTTTACCTTTAGTAGCTGCTGACAGACCTGGCCTCCAGCCTTTCAAACATTTCCTGCTTCCGTTGATAAGGCAATGCCTCCTTTCTCATTCTGAACTCGGGTGAGGGTCTGCTGCAGTTTTGCGCATCAGCTTCCGATTTCTCACCCGCAACACCCTCCGCTCCTGTTAGGCTGCCGTCCTAGATATAGGCAAGGGTTGCGCTGGTCGGCTGAGAAGGCGGTGGGTTGTTGGGGGGAGAAGTCTTTGGGGCCGCCACAAATCACGTTTCTTGGCTGTTGGATGACCAGATGGTCCCCAGCTCCTGTCTTGGGACCGAGGAGAGGGGAGGAGTTTGCCCTCCGGAATCCTTTCTGCTCAATCCGGCGGGGTTGAGCTTCCTATAGGGACAGAGCCAGTGCAAAGAGACAACAGATCCCCGGGTGGGAAAAGAAACCCCTCGATTCCCGAACTTATTTTGCATCCAGAGGCGCGCGCTCTCCAGGACGCAGTGAGTGGATCTGGGCTGGATCAGTACTTTAGATGCGGGTGAGAAAGAAAGAAAGGCGAAGGAAAAGGAGGAGTTTGTTTTGTTTTGCCGTGGGAAGAGAGGGTGCCAGCATGGAGTAAGGCAGCGAGAAGGGACTTGGGTAGGTGGGCAGGGAAATGGGAGAGCGGGGGCCTCGGCCTTCCTATTCCCAGCGACTCCATTGCGCCGGAGACGGTGCGCTCTTTCCGGCGCTGCGCAGGGTCTCCAAAGAGACCACGTGCAACCCAGCCAGCGGGGCGCGTTCAGGGTGATGCTCTCTGCCTTTCTTTGGCTGCGAACCCATTTAAAGCACACCCCCCCCCCAAGAATCCCGAGAGGTGTCCCTCACAGAGCTACAGTTCCCAGCATCTCGGCCAACTACAGTTTCCAGGGTTCTTTTGTTTGTTTGGTGCGTGGCATGCGCTTTAAACGGACGGTGGGTGTGCACAGTCTTTGTGGGTCAAGGCGGAAGAGGGCTGCGGATGGATGGATAGCTGGGCGGTCCTTGCTGGGAATGTTTGGACCTGCATGCGGGGGGGGGGTGGCTTTTGAAATGGGAGAGATGATCTCGAAGTGGGATGCGAGCTGTTTGTTGTTTTTGTTTACTAATGGAGAGACCGCCGTATGCCTTACATGGGGTCACTAAATTCTACGGGAGAGAAGTTCTGAAAATAGCAGAAGCAACTGGGAGCAGGGTTCCCACTGTGGCTGCTGCTTCTGTTTTTGGGGAACACCCCTGTCTGGAGATGACAGGTGCCAACTATTTGTAGTTTCTGGAAACAATCGGAGACATTTTTGTCTCGACAAGCTTTCGCAGCTAGATATAGATATATATGGCCTCTGCCTTGGGTGTTTATTTGTTTTCTTTTAAAACCTATTTTAGGTTGCTTTAATTATATGCTTGTAAATTGCCCTAAGATTTATGCAAAAGGAAATTCATGCAGTAATAAAAAAAATGTATTTTATTAACTGAGGTGATATAGGCATCCCATAACATAAGCTCACGAACCAAATTCAGCTATTAAAATACTATGTATAAAATGCTGAATGGTATTATAGACTAAAGACACAATCAAAATACAGATTTATATATTTTTTGATGCTAAGTCAGGGGTGGGAAAGCTATAGCCGTTGGCATGTTTTTGGACTCTAATGCTCATCATCCCTCACCATTGATTGGGCTTATTTCAATAAATGAACTCTTATAGCCCATGGCAACTGCAGCTTGTATTTAGCTCTGTGGCTGTTGTTTTCCTCAGTTGGGTTTTATCTGATCCTGGGGATTTGAGTTGCACCATGCCAATACAGTGGTACTTTGGGTTACATACGCTTCAGGTTACAGACTCCGCTAACCCAGAAATAGTGCTTCAGGTTAAGAACTTTGCTTCAGGATGAGAACAGAAATCGTGCTCTGGCGGTGCGGCAGCAGCAGGAGGCCCCATTAGCTAAAGTGGTGCTTCAGGTTAAGAACAGTTTCAGGTTAAGTACGGACCTCCGGAACGAATTAAGTACTTAAACCGAGGTACCACTGTACTGGTCATTGATGGAAATAAAGAGAGTGATTGATTGCATTATGCCTGCAATTTTAAGCATTATCTTGTAAGCAAATAAGGTGGTGTCCAGCTAACATGCCCCACAGCAAAATGATTTCTGCTTGAACAAGGGGACTCCCCCCCATTCTTCCCCCTCCCCAGATTTGCTCAGGAGGATTGGCTGATAAACCCCTGTAACAGGTTTAAGGAAGCGAGGAGAGGAGGGGAGTCCTGTTGCACAAGCAGAAACCCTTGTGCAGACAGGCTTACTTAGCACTAAGTCTCGAACAACCCATGGCAAACACATTCTCCAAATGTGGATTCTTATGTAGCCAAAACAGTAGCATCTACAGTGGTACCTCGGGTTAAGTACTTAATTTGTTCCGTAGGTCCGTTCTTAACCTGAAACTGTTCTTAACCTGAAGCACCACTTTAGCTAATGGGGCCTCCTGCTGCCGCCGCGCAGCTGGAGCACGATTTCTGTTCTCATCCTGAAGCAAAGTTCTTAACCTGAGGCAATATTTCTGGGTTAGCGGAGTCTGTAACCTGAAGCGTATGTAACCTGAGGTACCACTGTACACTCAAGGGGGAGGTTTTCAGCCAACTTGGGTGAACACCAAGGTTTTCAGAAGCACAAAATAAATTTTACGAGGTAGGAACTTGGAGACAGGGACTTGCTGGAATCTAAGAAATGAGTCGTTTTTTTCTGCCCAGTATTTCATAGAAAGAGTTCACTACTTAAATAAAGGGAGGACTCTTCAAATTTGTAGTTCTCAAATTAATGCCCTTAAATGATGCCATGAAAGGAACACATGAAGCTTCCTCGAGAGAATACATTTTGTCCTCCCATCTGCATATTGCTTTCGCTGCCAGTGATCATATAGGGTCTGTCAGTCACTATGTCTTTCCTTCGAAACATTGTTAGCAGCACACAGACATAATGTCAGTGTTTCTGTTTTAATGTTTTGCTAGATTTTTATTGTATTTTGATGTTGGGTGTTGATTTTTTTGCTTGTGCTCATTTGTGTAAACTGCTTGGGGCTTTTGTTGCTTTAAGTGTTTGAAATGAAATTAAGGCCCTCCCACAAACACCTCAATGAGGACTTAGCGTGTTCCGTGGAATACTGACTGTTCTTGTTGGGAATGGAATGGAGTATCCTGGGAAAGAAATTGGCAGCTTGGCTAGAACCTTGAACAGGAGCACTCCACATTGCCAAATTGTTGCTTTTTACTTTGATAACCTCATTTGTCTCCAGCCATAGCAGATTTCCCAGACAAAGATACATAGAGCTCAGATGTGATCTCGAACCGTTTTCTTTAGGTTTCTATGAATGAGTTAGCCCAATGGCCTGGCTGCTTGCTTTCTGCACTGCTTAGCTACCGTAAGCAGAGTTTGAAATTAGCCAGGCGCCGGGCGCATTTTGCACCAGGCTTTTCACCACTCGTAACCAGGTGAAGTTGCCTGGGCATCAGGATGGTGCCTGACATCTCCACTGTCTGGGGAATTCTTGGTTCTGGGCTGTTTTCACACACTAATACCCGCACCCTGTAGAATTCTATCAGTTATATTTTATCTGCACAAGCGGAATGGATTTCTGGAACCAAATGGCTTTTTCTGTGCAGCCTGAGCAAGAGCAGTCACCACTAAGAAAAAGAGGTTGGAATAGGCCAATTTTTATGTGGACTGTCAATGGATCAAGAGGCTTTTCTTCTTTAAGTTCTCAAAGCTGTAGAGCCCTAGGTCAAGGTTGTCATCTGAACTAGCCAGATGTTTAACTGGGAATCAATCACAATCAGTCCATCATTTGGAAAATAGGACTTTAGCGCCGTCTTGCCCCAAAATGGCAACTGGACATTCCATTTTGGCGACCTCAGCCTTGGTTTAAGGAGCCATTTGGCACCCAGATTATATATGTGAGTTTCTAACGCTGTGTAAGTGTGCTTGGTGTGAGCTAGACCGCAATTTAGCCCTGCAAGCAAAGCTGGTTGAAAATCAGGCGTTGCACAAAGCCTGACCGGACAGCAATGTTGTCTTTCAGATGCCAGTGAATTTCAAAGAGGTTGCGGTGCATTTCCCTGGCGATCAAGGGCCGCTGCTGGATCCAGATCAAAGAATCCTGCACAACAGCATCATGCCGGAGAACGATCGGAATTTGGCCTTTCTGGGTAAAGAGCCCTTCATCCTTTCTCAGTAGATATCTGGGTAGTCTTAGATGTACAATTACTTCTGTTTGCAACGTTCAGTGGTGTGTGTGTGTTGACGCTTAGGGCAGACAAAATGGCACTGCAAACAAGGAGGAGCTATCGGCAGGCTCAGGGGACCCCCAAGACTTGCAGAGAAAAAGGCATTGGGGGTAGGTAAACTGAGGAGGGGACCCCAAAGCAACCCAGTGAGGATTGAGCATGCTCAGTAGCCACTGAATGCTTATTGTTTGAGGTGGGGACATCTCAGGGGTGGGCGGGGCCAGAGGCAAAGGTGCACACAGCAATAGATGTAAATTTTGCCTTTGTGCCTTAGGCACAAAGTCCCACATCCCACCCTTGTCTTCTAGCCAGGCAGGCAAGAGGCGTTATCAGAGTTTAAGGACACAAAACGCTTGATGAGTGTGTGAAGGGAGAGGAAGTTGCTGGGGAGGGTCCTGAGGGCCAGATAGAAAGGCTTGGAGGGCCACATTTGATCTCTGGAGGTCCAGGGTTCCCCATCCCCGAGATACATCTGCTTTCTGGAATCATAGGAACACAGGTGTCAAATGTCACCTTTCTAGATTTATTTTATATTTTCATAATGATGTTCCAGCCTTGTTCTCTCATAAGAGAGTATCAAACTATTTAGGTACTTGGTCAGTGCTCAGCTATAATGTGGTCCAAGGCACCTGTGTTATCACAGAAGTATCCATGGGCCATTTAATGCCTCTTACTTAAAACCCAGCGCATGAAATGTGCCTTGCGGTAGCAGCCAGCACTCTTTGGGAAGCAAGCCAGGACAGTTTATGAACAGAAGGTGCTAAACAGCCCCACTAGGAGTTGCCTGGGTGACTCAGAAAGTGATCTGTGCCATTCTGTGCGTATTTACTTGGATGTAACTCCCACTGTGTTCACTGAGGCTTATTCCCAGCGAAGTATGGGGGTGGGGAGTGTGATGACGGACTTATTGTGACATGAGCTTTCGAGAGCCACAGCTGTATCCTCCCAACTCATTTCTGCTGTTGTCTTCGTTTAATTTGATTTTATTGGCTTCCTACTACAAAAGCAATTATGAAACATTTTGCTAACTTTAAGCAAAGTACAATTTTTAGAAAAAGAAGAACCGGATCTTGAGAGGGTATAAGACAAATGGTGTGTTTTTGTCAGCACATAATAATAGGATGAGGGACACGGGTGGCGCTGTGGGTTAAACCACAGAGCCTACGGCTTGCCAATCAGAAGGTCAGCGGTTCGAATCCCCGTGACGGGGTGAGCTCCTGTTGCTCGGTCCCTGCTCCTGCCAACCTAGCAGTTCGAAAGCACATCAAAGTGCAAGTAGATAAATAGGTACCGCTCAGGCGGGAAGGTAAATGGCGTTTCTGTGCGCTGCTCTGGTTCGCCAGAAGCGGCTTAGTCATGCTGGCCACATGACCTGGAAGCTGTACGCCGACTCCCTCGGCCAATAAAGCGAGATGAGCGCCGCAACCCCAGAGTCGGTCACGACTGGACCTAATGGTCAGGGGTCCCTTTACCTTTAATAATATGATAGACAGGTTGGACCAGGCAAATAGTTTTGATTTAAGTTTTCACCAATAACTGAAATACGTTTGTTTACTTTTGGAGACATACCACTAGTTATAAACCATTCAGTTATTTCCCTCCCAAATCTCCTGACTCATTTCTGAATAAGCATCAGGTCATGATTATCTGTTTCTTCTAACAGGTGATGGGCAGGCAGATGTGAACGAAGAGGATATGCAGGTGCAAAGTTCTGAGCAAGACAAACCATCACCGGGATTAGCAGGAGAAGCAATTTCCCAGTGCCTTGAGAGAAGAGAGACGGTGCTAAATCATCGCAGGGCTGAGAGGCAGCTGGACCACCACCTATCAAGGAGAACGGCTAGTGCCATTCCTAGTGGGGGTGGCGCCCAGGATCTCCGCAAAGGCCCAGCACGAAAGCGAAAACGCAGATCTCAGGGCCCAAGGACGTGCAATGAGTGTGGGAAGACCTTCGCTCAGGCCTCGAACCTTCTGGCACATAAAAGAATCCACACAGGTGAGAAGCCATATAAATGTGTGCACTGTGGGAAAAGCTTCACCGAACGGTCCAATCGTAACAGGCACCAGAGGACTCATTCTGGAGAGAAACCATATCAGTGTGTCGACTGCGGGAAAAGTTTTAGCTTCCGGTCGGACCTGATTAGACACGGGATTACCCATACAGGAGAGAGGCCATATAAATGTTCGGACTGTGGGAAAAGCTTCAGTCACGCCTCCACTCTGATTAGACATGAGAATATCCATACAGGAGAAAAGCCCTATTCCTGTACAGACTGTGGGAAAAGCTTCACGCAGAGCTCATCCCTTCTAGCACATAAGAGACTCCACACTGGAGAAACGCCTTTCCTGTGTCCCGTTTGCGGGGAGAGCTTTAACTGGAAGTCGCACCTTGTCACACATAAGAGAACCCACACAGGGGAGAGACCATACAAGTGTGCAAAGTGTGGGAAAAGCTTCATCGAGAAGTCGAAACTGAATCGACACCAGAGAACCCATCTGGAAAAAGAACTTTACGAATGCGCAGAGTGTGGGAGAATTTTTAGCATCCGCTCCAACCTCCTTCGGCATGAGACCGCCCACAGAGGAGAGAAATCGTTTACGTGCTTCAGCTGTGGGAAAAGCTTCAACCAGTCGTCAAAGCTGATGAGGCACGAGAGGATCCACACGGGAGAGAAACCCTACTCCTGCGCCGACTGCGGGAAAAGTTTCAGCCAGACCTCTGAGCTCCTCCGACACGAGAGAATCCACACGGGAGAGAAGCCATATAAATGCGCCATCTGTGGGAAGTGCTTCAACCGGAGGTCACACCTGAACACCCACGGGGCGACCCACGTCGGAGGCCAACCTTACAAATGGCCAGACAGCGGAGCGAGCTACGAAAATGGTTCCCTCCTTGTGGCAAACGTGAATCCGCCCGAGCAGTTCTATGTGGGGAACCAGTCCTATAAATGCTTAGAGGGCCAGAAGGACTATGGTCGTGGCTCTCTCCTCGTCGCAGGCAAGAATTCGCACGGACAAGCGCATATAGAAGGCCAGCTGTACGAATGGCCAAACACGGAGACCAGCTACAGTCACTGCTCCCTTCTCATTACTAGCGTCAATCCACAAGAAGGAATCCATGTGCAAGAACAAACATACAGGTCCGCGGATAATGACACGAACTGCAGCCGCGGTGGCCCGTTTTATCTAACCGGCGCAAATGCCCACGAGGGGATCATTGCAGGAGGTCAAGCATATAAATGCCGGAGTGGCAACGATGAGAGCCACAAGGGTCCCTCGCTCCTTACAACGGACGCGGGCAACTGGAGGGAAGAGAAGGTGTTTAAGTGTTCAGAGTGCGGGAAGTGCTTTAACTGGAAGTCGCACTTTGTTAGGCACAAGAGAATCCATACGGGAGAAAAGCCGTACTGCTGTCCGGACTGTGGGAAACGCTTCAATCGGAGGTCGCACCTTGTCAGGCATGGGAGGACTCACGCAGGACTGAGGCCATACGCTCAGGTTGAGGAGGAAACTTTGGTTCAGAGTCTCGTCATCTCGAACCCAAGTGAATCTGTGCCTGAGGGAAACGGTATCAACACACAGCCTTCTCACGCTGTATTACAGACCAGTGAAGTCATGCGGGAGACAAACCTTATGAATATTCTGTGACATACCCTATTGCACATTAAAGAACCCAGATGGGAAGGAAACCTATGGCAGGGAGACTTCCCGTTGTGCATCATTTCTTGCTAGACACAGAATGCACGCACAGGGGAAACTATGGCTTAGTTTACACCAAGGGTGGAAGAGATGGTTAAGGTGTTCCTAGACTGCTAGTACTTAAGTTGCCCAGGAGAGAACCATATGATTGTTTGAGCATCTGGCTGTGTGATTGACTCCAGCACATGCACACCCTATGTAAATACGGCACTATACTGCACAAGCATGTGTGATCTTTGAGTACAGTGGTACCTTGTGTTACATACGCTTCAGGTTAAAGACTCCCCTAACCCAGAAATAGTGCTTCAGGTTCAGAACTTTGCTTCAGGATGAGAACAGAAATTGTGCTCTGGCGGCGCAGCAGCAGCAGGAGGCCCCATTAGCTAAAGTGGTGCTTCAGGTTAAGAACAGTTTCAGGTTAAGAACAGACCTCGGGAACGAATTAAGTACTTAACCCGAGGTACCACTGTATAGGGTTATTGCCAATGCAACTCCTGCTCAGAGTAGGCCCAGTGAAATTAAGACACCTAAGTTAGGACTGTCCATCAGTTTCAATAGGTCTGTGTCAAGTAGGACTGGCACTGATTACAACCCATAATAATGTACCTCCTGTGTGAAAAGCCTTTCTGTGTACCAAGCGGATAATGTGTGAACTGACCTGTGCGGTTCAGGGATAGAGAATCTGCAGCCTTCTGAATGTTCAGTTATATCCACAAACATTCTTATAAATCATTTCACTTTTATTTACAAAAACCCCTTTGCATTAGGCACATTCACACACACATTACATTGAACCACTAACAGGACAGTTGCTAAACTGTTTCCCCACCCCCACCCCAGACAGCTAATTATATTGTGAAATGGGGAATAATGGGTATGGAAGATTGTATTTTTATGCACATTTTCCTCTTATTATTCTTGCAATATTCCTGCTCGCTCTGACAAGGACATCAAGATGCTGCTTGTAATTCGCTTCTTTTGTAGTGTTGCTATTTTCTGCATTCCTTTCGAAACCTGCCTCTAGAATTGTATTGAAATATATTGTCTTCCAAGAAAGCAATTCTTTCACCACACAAGTCTGGACTCTGTGAGCTGATCTGTAATACAGGGCATTAAGGAGGGGTTTGGGTTCCCCCCCCCCTCAAAATTTTTATTAAACTTGTTTTAGATGAATATTTTAGATTTGTCCTGTGTATTTCTACAAAAGCATGACTTTTATTTATCACCATAAATTTATCAAAGCACTTCACATTCAAGTAGGTCAGTAGTTAGCATACCTATAAACATGTACACAGTGATACCTCTCTCCTTTCAACTACTTTTTTTTTAATAAAAAAGAACACTACAATCTTTTTATACATTCCCTGCGCCCTCTGCTTTTGTCTTCACAACCTCCCTGAGAGGTAGGCCATGTTTAGAGGACATGCCTGGCTTGAGGTTGAATCCTGACAAGACAGAAGTACTGTTTTGGGGGGATGGGGTGGGCAGGTGTGGAGCACTCCCTGGTCCTGAGTGGGGTAACTGTGCCCCTGAAGGACCAGGTGCGCAGCCTGGGGGTCATTCTGGACTCACAGCTGTCCGTGGAGGTGCAGGTCAATTCTGTGTCCAGGGCGGCTGTCTACCAGCTCCATCTGGCACGCTGGCTGAGACCCTACCTGCCCAGACTGTCTCGCCAGAGTGGTGCATGCTCTGGTTATCTCCCGCTTGGACTACTGCAATGTGCTCTACGTGGGGCTACCTTTGAAAGTGACCTGGAAACTGCAGCTAGAAGGGTGACTAGAAGTGGCCACCAAGACCAAGACCTGAAAGACCTACATTGGCTCCCAGTACGTTTCCAAGCACAGTTTAAAGTGTTGGTGCTGACCTTTAGAGCCCTAAACGGCCTCGGCCCAGTATACCTGAAGGAGCGTCTCCACCCCCATCATTCAGCCCAGACACTGAGGTCCAGCACCGAGGGCCTTCTGGTGGTTCCCTCACTGCAAGAAGTGAAGTTACAGGGAACCAGGCAGAGGGCCTTCTCGATAGTGGCACCCACCCTGTGGACTGTCCTCCCATAAGATGTCAAAGAAATAAGTAACTACAGTATCGGACTTTGAGAAGACACCTGAAGGCAGTCCTCTTAAGGGAAGTTTTTAATGTTTGATGTTCTATCGTGTTTTTAATATTCTGTTGGAAGCTGCCCAGAGTGGCTGGGGAAACCCAGCCAGATAGGCGTGTAATAAATGCAAATTTGCCCTTATTCCCTTATGGGGAACTCAAGAGCCCTTATAGAGTCTTTTGTAGGTTCTCCATCGGTCGGAGAAAATAACAGAGGCCAACCAGAGAATACTGAGAAGCAAAGCAGCTCGTAAGCCTGATCTTTAATGAACAGGGTGCCCCCCTCTCACATAGGAAAGGAGGAGGACCTAGAACCCAGATGTGCCCGCCCTTATGTAGACATTTTAAATTGCCTGCCCTGGACTCCAAGACCACCCCCCAGAAACATCCTACATACATCACAGAAAGGGCGGTATAAAACAAAAATCTGAGTGCGTTTATTTTTCTCCTGTCTGGAAGATTACCTGTTAATGCTCACTTGATTGGATACCCTGGGGAGCCTGGCCAGTCTTTTGTAATGATAAATACTTAGTTCCTGAGCCAGGTCACAGGCTCACCCTATTCATACACAGATATACCCTTAAGACAGGATTTGTGATGAAAAGGCAACTGGGAGGCTTTTCCATTTCCTTCAACCTTGCAGAGAAAACATTTGGTAAGTTTGAGAGTCAAAATGGTTCCAGGGCTGTTTTCCTGTGCTGCCTTTGTGGCAGAGCAACGATTTGAACCAGGGCTCACCCAATACTCCTTCTGCTCTATTGAAGTTGGAACTGGGGTAATGTAGAACAGATGCAACTCCTGTTTCTCCTCCGTATTCAAAAGCGAGTTCACAAGGGCACGTTTACTGCTTGGTGACCCACCATAGAGCCCCTATACCCCCTCTAACCAAGCAGCTACGGCAGGTACTCAAGTCCTGCCCGCGCCTGCATTTGACACCGGGGACTACTTTTAACCAGCGAGTAAAGCGCGGCCACAACAATCGATCACGCACACGCGTGTGCACAAACACACGTGCACACGTGCCCGCATCTCCCCCACCCTTGCAAATTTTAGCCCTGTCAGGTTGTTAACAGGACACCCTGCAGGCGATCCTCCTCTGCCCGCCGAAAACAGGACCCTCTTTGTCCTCGTCCTCGCCCACCTTATGGAGTAGAAGAGGCGCCAGGAGAATCTGCTTCTAAGTGAGGGCAAGAGAAGGGGACGTGAGAAGGGCGGGGAAAGGCTTCGGTTGCTGCTAATGAGCACGCGCACATTCTCTTTGAGCATGCGCAGTGGCGTTTGGTCGTTGCATAAGTGTACCCGCGCGCGCCTGGAGGACTTGCTAAAACGGTTCGCTCTCTGTCGTCGGGGCTGCTTCTCGGTGGGCAGAGGTAGGCGCCTGCTGGTACTGTATAGGAAAGGGGAATGGGGCGGGGGGTGCTGAGGTTTGCTGATTTTGCTAGGGAGCCAATTCCTTGCTTGGATTGGGCCTCAGAGACATTCCTGTCTGTCTTTCTATGCAAACTTCCCCCCCCACTTTCTTAGTGAAAGTTTATTTTCTGGGTTCCTTCCATCGTCTCCTCCCTCTTTGCATTTCTTGTTGCGCTTGCTCCAGAGAAAACATGTGGCTGTAGTATAAATCTGCGTCCATAACTAATGCAATTAGTAACTTGGCAGAGTTTGCTACCCTGAAACTTAATTGGGGATATTAAGAAGCCTCCAGTGGCACAATGGGGTCCGTGTGTCTGGCTGTTAACCAAGAGGATTTGTGGCTTGATCCCGCTCAGGGATGGCTGTGGGCAGGATTCATGCATTGCGGGGGGTGGGGTGGACTAGAGGACCCTATGGGTCCCCCTTCAAGCTCTATGGTTCTCTAAGGGCTCCATTTGTTCCTAGGAGTCTGCTCTAGAATGCCATGCCATAACCCTATATCTTCCACCTGCTCAAATTATATTTAGATTGTAAAGAGTTAGGGCAAGGTTCTACAGGAGCTTCTGCAGATGATAAGAGATCTTCTGGTGTTTGGAGGTGGGTGAAGGGTGTTGTAAACAAAAATCTGCCCTTTTTCCCTTATGGGGTATCCAAGAGCCCATGTAGAGTCCTTACGTAGGTTCCCTATTGGTAGGAGAAAATAACAGAGGCCAACCAGAGAATATTGAGAAGCAAAGCAGCTAGTAAGCCTGATCTTTATTGATCTGTTGCAGTATGGTCCTCACCACACGCAGGAGGGAGGAGGAACCCAGAACAATGGTGTGCAAGCCCGTATATAGACTTTTGAAATTGCCACCCTGTAGATCAAGACCACCCCCAGATACATCATACCTACATCACAGAAGGGGTGGTCTACAGCAGAAATCTTGAGTGAGTTGTTTACCTCCTGTTTGCCAGGTTATCTGTTAATGCTTACTTGATTGGATACCCTGGGGAGCCTGGCCAGTCTTTTGTAATGATAAATACTTCGTTCCTGAGCCAGGTCACAGGCTCACACCCTATTCATATCTTAAATGTGCCCTTAAGACAGGATTTGTGTGGAAAGAGACAATGGGGAGGTTTCCCACTTTGACCTTGCAGAGAAATAGAGGTCAGTTTGGGAATCAAAAATGGTTTCAGGTCGGTCTTCCTGTGCTGATCTATGTACCTGCTTGGTTGGTACACTTATGAACATTTAACATATATCTAAGGCCTCAAAATTCCTATCACAAGGGCTACTTGAAGGCTTTGCAATACTGTATAGATAGAAGGAAGAGACAGACAGACGGGGGGGGGGGGGTTAGGGGCCCAGCCATAAGAGAGAGAGAGAAAGGGTCACAATGTTTTCTGAATTAACTTTCTTCCTCCCGCAGGAGGTGCATAGTTCCCAGAGTCTTCCACTGCATTGGCTTGACAAAGAATGGCTGCTGCGGTGGAGACAAAACAGGTGCGAGAATTGTTTGAGATAGCTGACGATGAGTCTCATAGCAAGTTGGAAAGTGGAAACAGCACTTATCTCGGGGGCCCTCCAGAAATCCTTTTTATTCTGTGTTCATTCTGTACCACTGTACAGCATTAAATACAGTGGTACCTCAGGTTAAGTACTTAATTTGTTCCGGAGGTCCGTACTTAACCTGAAACTATACTTAACCTGAAGCACCACTTTAGCTAACGGGGCCTCCCGCTGCCGCTGCGCCGCTGGAGCCCGATTTCTGTTCTCATCCTGAAGCACTATTTCTGGGTTAGCGGAGTCTGTAACCTGAAGCGTATGTAACCCGAGGTACCATTGTATTAAAAACTTGCCTAAACAGAGCTACCTTCAGATGTCTTTTAAAGAGAAGATAGCTGCTTATTTCCTTCACATCTGAAGGGAGGGCATTCCACAGGGCGGGCGCCACTACTGAGAAGGCCCTCTGCCTGGTTCCCTGTAACCTCACTTCTCACAATGAGGGAACCGCCAGAAGGCCCTTGGAGCTGGACCTCAGTGGCTGAACGATGGGGGTGGAGACTCTCCTTCAGGTATACAGGACCGAGGCCATTTAGGGCTTTAAAGGTCAGCACCAAGACCAGTGGGCAGACAAGTGGGAGGCCGGGCAGGGAGGCTGGCGCAAGGCCTGCCTGGGAGCTGAAGGGGAGCCTTTCTACCATGCAGGTGTGGCAATACCCACTGCTGCCTCCCAAGGTAAGGTGCTGGCTTCATGTTCACCTTTGGCCAGACTCCGTTAGGCCACTAAAGCTGGGGGCATCCTCTTCCCAGGTCCCTGTGGGGCAGTGTGAGGAGGCACCTCTCTTTGGGGCAGGGGGGCAGATCAGAGACCGGGGCAGTAGCACCAACCAGTTGCCGGAGGACTCCCAAGGAGAGGGGAGAGGAGAGGAGGCTGGGGGAATACCCCACAAGGGAGAGTGTTCAAAAAAGGGTGAGAGGCTGCCAGCTGGGCAGACAAGGGGTGGCGTAACTGGGCTCCCAAGCCCACAGGGGTGCCGCAGAAAGAATGTAGTCGGTTAAGGAAGCCGTGGACTCAAAAATGTTGAAAACCTTTAGACTAATGGTATATATTGCAACCATTAAGCTCATTACGGGCAATATAATTAAATGCCTGGGACACTGTTGTGCTTGAGTCATTTGTCATCCCATCTGGGTGATTCTGCTGGCTGGCGCTGCATTTTTTTTACTTTGCTGGAAGTGCTGTTGGGCGATGGATTTGTGGTGGTTTCAAATGCCACAAATATCTGACGACAACAACAACCTTATGAGGTAGGCTAGGCTGAGAGACAGTGACTGACCGAGGTCACCCAGTGAGCTTCATGGCTGAGTGGGGATTCGAACCCTGATCTCCCTGGTCCTAGTTCAGCGTTCTAACCATGATGTCACACTGGCTCTCAGATCAGTTGCAGGGAACCTTTGGCCTTCTAGAGCAGGGATCAGCAAACTTTTTCAGCAGGGGGCCGCTCCACTGTCCCTCAGAACTTGTGGGGGGCCGGACTATATTTTTTGGGGGGGGAATGAATGAATTCCTATGCCCCACAAATAACCCAGAGATGCATTTTAGATAAAAGGACACATTCTACTCATGTAAAAACACGCTGCTTCCTGGACCATCTGCGGGCCGGATTTAGAAGGCTATTGGGCCAGATCCGGCCCCCAGGCCTTAGTTTGCCTACCCGTGTTCTAGAGGTTGCTGAAATGGTGATGAAACTACAGAAAATCCATTGCAAATCTCCCAGCTTTTAAGTGTGGCCCCAGACCGGCGGTTGCTTTAAAAGTTTCCTTCTTCTTTTAGGAGCCTGTGGCTTTTGAGGATGTGGCCGTGTATTTCACAAAAGCAGAGTGGGCTCTGCTGGACCCAACGCAAAGAGCCACCTACAGGGACGTCATGCTGAAGAGCTATGAGAATGTGCTTTCTGTGGGTGAGCATCCCTTGTTTGAAACAATAGGTCTGGCCACAGAGACATGCCCCCCCCCCCCCCGCTTCTGCTTAAAAACAACAACACTTGAGGCTGGTGAGGAGGGCAGGTGTTGCAGTGCTACCATTGGATTAGTGTGATAGGCTCTACAGGTGGCTGCATTTGAAAAAACATCTGGAAACTATAGCTGGTCCAGGATGTGGACTCCTATACAGTGGATGCTCAGGTTGCGAACGTGATCCATGCGGGATGCACATTTGCAACCCGCAGCGGCACGTCTGTTCACGCATGGGTTGCAATTTGGCACTTCTGTGCATGTGCAAAGTGCGATTTAGTGCTTCTGCGCATGCACGGCCGCCGAAACTCGGAAGTAACCTGTTCCGGTACTTCCGGGTTTCGGCAGTCTGTAACCTGAAAAAGCGCAACCTGAAGCATCTGTAACCTGAGGTATGACTGTACTTGACCCTTGCCTTGCAACAGCTGGCGCGGGTGGGCTGGTTGGATCTCAGGGGTTATAAAATGCCTCTTTGCAGCAATAGGTGATCCCACGCGCACATTAGGAGGCAGATGCGTGATTGTGCTTGCAAATGGTGCGTTTGTGCAGTGGGGGTTACCCATGATCTGTGGAGTCTCCGTAACAGAGCCATAGTGTTGGAACCCAGCATGGGCCTGATGCTTTAAACAATAACATCCTCATTAGTAGTAATTATTACATTTACATTTCCCACCAAAGGATCTCAGAGTGGCAGGCACAAAAATCATAAGAAATGTGAACATCTAAACATAATTCCAATACACAGACGCAGACTGGGAAATATATCTACAGTTGTACCTTGGATCCCAAACGCCTTGCAAGTCGAACATTTTGGCTCCCAAACGTCGCAAACCCGGAAGTGACTGTTTTGGTTTGCAAACGTTCTTTGGAACCTGAGCATTCGATGGGGTTCCGCGGCTTCCGATTGGCTGCAGGAAGCTCCTGCAGCCAATCGGAAGCCGCACTTCGGTTTCCAAAAGTTTTGGAAGTCGAACAGACTTCCAGAACGGATTCCGTTTGACTTACTGAAAAGGCTTGTGGGAAGAGTAAGTTCTTCAGTAGGGTACCAAGAAGACTACAGCCCCTGTTTACCATTTAACAGGAGGGAATTTCAAAGGGTAATAATAATAATAATAATAATAATAATAATACCCTCCCCATCTGACTGTGTTGCCTCAGCGACTCTGGGTGGCTTCCAACAGAAACATAATTATCAAACATTAAAACCATCTGATATAGGGCTGCCTTCAGATGTCTTCTAAAAGTTGTATGAATACTTATCTCCTTGACATCTGATGGGAGGGCGTTCCACAGGGCAGGTGCCAGTACCAAGAAGGCCCTTTGCTTGGTTCCCTGTAACTTGACTTCTCACAGTGGGAGAACCACCAAAAGGCCCTCGGAGCTGGACCTCTGCGTCTGGGCTGAACATTGGGCAAGTGCCACCACACTAAAGGTCTAATTCCTATATCTTACCACCTGATAGACGTGGGTGGCGCTGTGGGTTAAACCACAGAGCCTAGGGCTTGCAGATCAGAAGGTCGGCGGTTCGAATCCCCGCGACGGGGTGAACTCCCGTTGCTCGGTCCCTGATCCTGCCAGCCTAGCAGTTCGAAAGCACGTCAAAGTGCAAGGAGATAAATAGGTACCGCTCGGGCAGGAAGGTAAATGGCGTTTCTGTGCGCTGCTCTGGTTCGCCAGAAGCGGCTTAGTCATGTTGGCCACAGCTGTACACCAGCTTCCTTGGCCAATAAAGCGAGATGAGCGCCGCAACCCCAGAGTTGGTCACGACTGGACCTAATGGTCAGGGGTCCCTTTACCTTTACATATCTCTTGATAAGATGGTATCTGCAGGAAGCCCTCGACCATTTTAAAGTGGTTTGAACTCACCCTGGGACCTTGTGGTGAAGGCTAAGAAATCTAACTAACAATAGGAGTTCTTTTTTCCGGTAACATACCAAAACAGGCTATGTTTCCCCCCCCCCCCCACGCTCTTGTTTTTTCTTCCTCTCATGAGCAGGACTTCACCCTTCGAAACCAGACCTGATCTCCGCCCTGGAGCGATGGGAAATGCTGTGGGCACCTGATCAGCAGGAACACAAGGAGCATGAGATCCCACCAGGCAGTAGCTCAGGTGAGCCATTTCGAAACAGAAGCTGGCAAGGAGCCATTCGGAACTGGGCCAATCGCAGTGCCACGCTAGATCTTTATGCAAGCCTGCAGGCTGCTTTGTGTTCATTTTGCACAACGTGCCCCTCACGGGGAGGGAAATAGTGCTAAAAGTCCAGTGCTCCTGTTTGTCATTGAAATTCTACTCAATATTGATCCAGAGCAGATTCCAGCGTATAGTTAGCAGAGTAAAAACTTAAACACTTTGCAGGATTCCCAAAAAATAGACCAGAGGCAATTGTATTTCATCCTTCAGAGCTTTACTGCTACTGAAAGCTAATGAGCATAATGGGCACAAATCCAATACATTCAGGATTGGCACTGTTCATAAGAAATCCAGTTGCCGCAGACTTAACTTAAACTTATAATAAGCTATTAGAAGACTAAACCTTAACACTATCTATATACAGAACACCACACCAGAAGGAAAAGAGATAGAAAGAGAAAGTGAAACCAGGCTCCTTCTGGCTTTACTTTTACAGTGGTACCTCGGGTTAAGAACTTAATTCGTTCTGGAGGTCCGTTCTTAACCTGAAACTGTTCTTAACCTGAAGCACCACTTTAGCTAATGGGGCCTCCTGCTTCTGAGCCACTAGAGCACGATTTCTGTTCTCATCCTGAGGTAAAGTTCTTAACCCGAGGTACTATTTCTGGGTTAGCGGAGTCAGTAACCTGAAGCACATATAACCAGAAGCGTATGTAACCCGAGTTACCACTGTATAGTCAGCGTGACCTTGGTAGAAGAGATAAGAGAACCAGTTTAAGCCAACTTCACTCAGCTTCTCGGAAGGAATAATCCAAACATCATGGACCACCTGCTTGTTTCTTTCACACAGAGAAGCTTGCAGAATTAAGTATAATAGGAAAGATCTCTACACATCAGATCAATACTTTCTGCACTAAGAAATGCAAACTGACACTTTTAGCATTCCGGCTCTATCTGGAATAGATTTTGGTCAGGGGCCCTACATGCTGCTGTTTCTAAAGACTGTTTAGAAACTTCTGCTTCAATAATAATAATAATAATAATAATAATAATAATAATTGTTGTTATTTTAACACACTTGGTTTGGGGCCCCCCAAATGTGGCCTGGCAGCATCAGGTGGGGAAGCAAATCAGGTCTGGAGATAATTACCGTATTTTTTGCTCCAGAAGACTCACTTTTTCCCTCCTAAAAGTAAGGGGAAATGTGTGCGCGTCTTATGGAGCGAATGCAGGCTGCGCAGCTATCCCAGAAGCCAGAACAGCAAGAGGTATTGCTGCTTTCACTGCGCAGCGATCCCTCTTGCTGTTCTGGCTTCTGAGATTCAGAATTTTTTTTTTCTTGTTTTCCTCCTCCAAAAACTAGGTGCGTCTTGTGGTCTGGTGAGTCTTATAGAGCGAAAAATACAGTAGTCCCTTGGAAGGAAGATTGCTCCAAGTCCCATGTGAGAACAGGGCATCTGGGCTGTGTATACCACCTCTACCCTCATAGCATCTTCACAACAACCCTGTGATGTAGGCAGGGATGCCAGAAGGGTTTGGTCCGCAGTTTGCCCCCTTTCTGCTTCCCCCACACCATGCATAAATCATAGGTTAGCTGTGAGTAGCCCATGGCTCCCAAGAAGCTTCCTTGTTTTTTTTCCTGCTCCTCCTGTAGTGTTCGTAGCTCCTTTGAGAATACACATTGACAGTTTTCGGTCTCATTCCAACAGGAGATGAGCAGGTGAGTGAGAATACAAAGAAACCTATTCAGCCGGAAAGCTTCGCCCTGGGGAAGCAAGAAGAGATGCAGTTGCAAAGGGGTGAAGAGACCCAGAGAAAGGGGGAGAGCTCTCGGACCTGCCACAGAGCCGACCGGCCTCAGAGAAAGCGTCTTGGAAATCGAAAGGCCAAAGCCATTCCTGCTCGGAAGAGCAAAGAGCAAACACAAATCAAGAGCCGACCAAAGAAAAACTCTCCCCCTAAAGCCCCAAACAGAAGACGTGGAGTAGCAAACTCGGAAAAGTGCCCTGTCTGTGGGAAAACCTTTTGTAACAACACGTACCTTGTTATACATCAGCGGTCCCACACGGGAGAAAAGCCATACAAGTGCTCGGATTGTGGGAGAATGTTCAGTTCGCCGTCAAACCTTCGCTCACACGAGAAAATCCACACGGGAGAGAAGCCTCACTCATGCGCAGATTGCGGGAAAGGTTTCATACACAAACGAAGCCTTCGTCAACACAGACGCGTCCACACCAGAGAGAAGCCACACGGGTGTTCCTACTGTGGGAAGAAATTTAGCAGCAAAGCACACGTTGCTAGACATGAATACATCCACAAAGATGAGCGGCCGTTCCAATGCTCAGAGTGTGGGAAAGGATTCAGAGCGAAAGAGCACCTTATAGTTCACAAGAGGACACACACAGGAGAGCAACCCTACAAATGCTTGGACTGCGGCAGGAGCTTCAATTGTTTGTCTAACTATATCAGGCACAAGAAAACTCACGGAGGAGAGAAACCGTATAATTGCTCAGATTGCGGGAAAAGCTTCCGAAATAATTCAGATCTTAAATTGCACAGGAGAATCCACACTGGCGAGAAACCTTATCAGTGCTCATTCTGTAGGAAAAGCTTTAGTTGCAGTTCGACCCTCGTAAATCATAAGAGAACCCACAGAGCGGAAAAATCATTTCCATGCCCCGAATGCGGCAAACGTTTAAGTCAGAAATCGTGCCTTGCTAAGCATTTGAGAATGCATAAGAATAAATGCTCAGACTGTGGGAGACTCTTCAGCAAAAGTTCAGCCCTTCAACATCATCACAGGAAAAGACATTCAGGTAAGAAGCCGTACAGATGTTTGCGCTGTGGGAAGAGCTATGACCGCAGGTCAGCGCTGATGATTCATGAGAGGATTCACACAGGAGACAGACCTTACGTTTGCTTAGAGTGCGGGAAAGCCTTTATACAGAAATGTAAACTTGAGCGACACGAGCGAATACACACAGGAGAGAAACCATATGAATGCCCCCACTGTGAGAAGAGCTTCAGCGACAGAGGAAACCTTCTTCAACATGTGAGAATCCACGCGAGGAAGAAGCCCTACAGAAGAGGTTCCCGCAAGATCACACGTCGTTGAGCACGAGAGATCTCATCCAGGAGATACTTCCCATGACTGTTCAGGATGCGGGAGAAGCTTTTTGGCCATATTTCATGCCGCCTTAAACGTTCAAGAACAACTGCAAATAAGTTTTGATGGATATAATCGTGGAAAGCTGACTGGTATCGTTTTTTTAAAAATATGCAGGGATATAAGATATGCAAAATGAACCATGGAAAGAGAAGAAAGGAAGACATTGCTATCTTAAGTATGTAAAATGTTTATTTGAGATTGTAAAATGCAAAATTTAATAAAAATCATATTTAAAAATAGAGAGTTTAACCCTTTCTCTCCTGTAGGGCTGTCATATGTCTGGATTTTCCTGGACGTGGGGTGTGTGTGTGTGTGTGTGTGTGTGTGTGTGTGTGTGTATGGATTTCCGAAAGGCGGTCCAAGGTTTGATGGCTCATAACACCTGATTGGCTTTCTCAACACTCGTGCTCATTGGCTAAAGCTACTGCATATCAACCTAGGCAAATTGTGTTTCCTCTTTCTGGTTATTTGGCTATAACTATTGGTAAAGGACCCCTGACAGTTAAGTCCAGCCGCAGACGACTCTGGGGTTGCGGCACTCATTTTGCCTTACAGGCCGAGGGAGCCGGCGTTTGTCCACAGACAGTATTTCTTGGTCATGTGGCCAGCATGACTAAGCCACTTATGGCGCAACTGAACACCGAAACCAGACCAGCGCACGGAAACGCTGTTTACCTTCCACTGGAGCGGTACCTATTTATCTACTTGCAGTGGCATGCTTTCAAACTGCTAGGTTGGCAGGAGCAGGGACCGAGCAACGGGAGCTCACCCCGTCGCGGGGATTCGAACCGCTGACCTTCTGATCAGCAAACACAAGAGGCTCAGTGGTTTAGACCACAGCGCCACCCGCGTCCCTTTTGATAGAATACAGAGTCTATCTTTTGATAGAATACAGATCATTGAACAAACTTTGTTGCATTACATGTCTTCATTAAATTATCTTTCCATTGATATATAATTTTATGGTATTACCCCCCAAAAAGTGGTTTTATGAGCAATAAAACCTCAGAAATACACTTATTCCAAAAGGTTTCTACTATTTTGACTACTAGTGTATGCATGTGGTTCTCCCTTTCCCCATTTTATCTTCACAGCAACCATTTGAGGTAGGTTAAGACTGGGTTTGCTCAAAGCCACCCACTGAGCTTCATGTCTTGGGGGGGTGTGGGGTGGGCTAGACCCCTGGCCTCCCAACATTTAGGCCAACACTCAAAACGCTGGAGAGATTTTTTAAGAAGTTCTTCTTTAGAAACCAGCAGATAAATCATAGAAAAATGAGGCAACTTTGTCATGTTTTGGTGTAATAAGACAGGGATCTCCCTTTCTTTCCCTGTGTGTGTGTGTTTGTGTTTGTGTACGTACACACACATATAAACTCCAAATTCCCATCAGCCCCCAGTCAACATAAAAGGGGCCTGGGGGTGATAGGAGTTGCAGTCCAGCAATAAATGGAGGGCTGCAATATAAAACCAAGCCTTATGAGGAATGGTTGAAGGAGCTGGGTATGTCTAGCCTGCGGAAGAGGAGACTGAGGGGAGATAGGAGAGCCATCTTCAAATATCTCAAGGGCTGCCACATGGAAGAGGGAGCATGCTTCTTTTCTCCTGCTCTGGAGGGTAGGACTCGAACCAGTGGCTTCAAGTTACAAGAGAGAAGATTCCCGCTAAACATTGGGAAGGACTTTCTAACAGTGAGAGCAGTTTGACAGTGGAATGGTCTCCCTCAAGAGGTTATGGATTCTCCTTCCTTGGTGGCTTTTAAGCAGAGGTCAGATAGCCACCTGTCATGGATGCATTAGCTGAGATTTCTGTATTGCAGGTGGTTGGTCTAGAGGACCCTTGAGGTCCCTTCCAACTCTACAATTCTATGGTGCTATTTTTTTAAAAAAAAAATCAATTGTGTATTATATAAAATACACATATAACTTCATATTTTTTAAAAAATCAGTTTTTATTGGATCTTTTAACAAACAGCAACAGTGATAGGGGTTAAGCCTGCTTGTAGCCCATGCAGTCAATGTCTGCCTCAGTTTGACACTGCAAAAAGACGACGGTAATCCAAGCTTACAGGTGTATTTCTCCAAAAAAGGTAAGTTTTTAAAATAAAAAATATGATTTTATTTTGTTGTTGTTTAGTCGTGTCCGACTCTTCGTGACCCCATGGACCAGAGCATGCCAGGCACTCCTGTCTTCATGATTTTATTAAAACTCATGCAGAGATGGGTGGTCCAACAATACCACAAAATAAAAGAAACTAAACAAAAATGAAGAAAGAGAAAAGAAAAACACCAAAGGAAAGCCAAAAAAATAAAAGAAAAGGGGGAGGGAATAGAAGAGAAGAAAAATTAAAAGGACTTTCTTTATGACAGTTTCTGTGCGCACACATACACCCACCATAGGGAGCCACACTCAAACATTCCCAGCTTTTGCCATCTCCTTTAGCCCATATGCCACCCTTTCTCAACCTGTGGGTCCCCAGATGTTGTTGAACTACAACTCCCATCACCCCTAGCTAGCAAGGCCAGAGCTCAGGGATGATGGGAGTTGTAGCCCAACAACATCTGAGGACCCACAGGTTGAGAACCACTGCTATGCAAGTGGAGTTTTATCTGCCATCCCTTGCAGCGATTGGAGGGGCGGGGACCCCCTTGGTTTTAACAAAGCGGCAACAATCCAGAAAACTACAACGCCCACAACCCTTTGCGCTTTGGAAAGGCGAAAGGAAGACCACCAGCTCCCCGCCGCGCTAGACGTTTCTTGCCTGCTGCCTCCCTGTCGTAAGAAGGGGGTGTGGGGTGGGCGCAGGGGTCGCGCGCGCGGTTTAATGGGTTTTGAAGGAGGCGCGGTGGGCGGCTGGTCTTGCAAGGGGGAGAGAAATGCAACCCGGGCTGCGCGCGTCTGGCAGCGAGAAGTGGTGCATTCCTTTGTTTTCGCTTTGCACGCTTCGTTGCAGAGAGGAGGAAAGGTGCGCTTGCATTTTGGCAGCGGGAGAAGGCGGGGTGTCAAATGAGAGAGGGCGTTTTGGTTACCGATTTAGTCTGCTTTTTCAAAATTCTGGTTTTTCACTACCAATTCCCAAAGTCAGGGTATAATTAAAAGATCTAGGCGGTAAAGGAAAGAATAATAGAATCTTGAGAGTTGGGATCCCAGGGTCATCTAGTCCAACCCCCTGAAATGCAGGAATCTCAGCTGGATTCAGCCTTTGCCATTCTCCAGCGCCTTCCCTTTGGAGCGGCTTTTGAATCCCAGCAATTCTGTGACTGAATGAATTGAATGAATGAATGAATTTTATTATTACGGTCACAGACCAGTTCTGGCTCACTTACAATATCAGGAAAATCATAAAACACAACAGGAATACATTGAATTGCAATTGGGTATAACAGAGACAATTCAGATATAGCGGCAGTTAAAAATATATATTAGTGATCTTGATCACTAAAATATAACCTAAAATTGTCATTTAAAACCTTAATCGTTTTGGTAATTCTGTGTCATTCCCTCGCTTCAGTCTTTGCACGCCAGATGATCTCAAACAGCCTCTCATTTCTTTATTAGATTTCTACCTCAGCTTTCCCCAAGGAGCTCGAGGCGACGGCATATGTGGTTGTCCCTCTACCCCATTTTTATGCTCGCAACAGCCCTGTGAGGTAGACTGTGACTGGCCCAAGGTGGCGAGCTTCATAAATGAGTGGGAATTCGAACGCTGGTCTCCCAGGTCCTAGCGCAGCACTCTAACCACTACACCACATTGCCTCTCGGATACAATCTGTTGCCGAAAATGTATTTTACTGAAATGTTCACCCTTTCGTTTTCCTCTCCCCCCCCCCCTTGTTCCCTCCCTCCCCACGTGCGGAAGGACTTTGCATAGAATGCCAACAAGGAATCAGTCCCTATTGCCCCTTCCTTCTAGGACAAAGAAAAGGGGCGCAGTGGAACTATTTCAGGTAGGAAGTTACCAGGTAACAGCTGGAAGATTTGTTTATTTATTTACTTAATTAGCTTCACAAAATTTATATGCCTCTCAATTGTAATAAAACCTCAAAGCATTTTACAAAAAGAATAAAGCAATAAAATTATCAGTCAAAAAGGTCAAAAACTATTTAAAACATTCAAAAAGTAATAAAAAATCAACCAAACTGCAAGAAACAGATCAAAACACACGTCGAGCATTCTACATGTGTGGATAGGCTTGCCTAAGCAAAAAATATTTTATAGTACAGTACATTGATTATTGCTTTCATTTTATGGATCAATGATCTTGTGAGATAGTAAAATTCATGTTAAATTGCTGTTTTAGGGGTTGTTTTTAAAAGTCTGGAACGGATTTATCCGTTTTGCATTACTTTCTATTGGAAAGCATGCCTTGGTTTTGGAACGCTTTGGTTTTGGAACGGACTTCCAGAATGGATTAAGTTTGAGAACCAAGGTAACACTGTATGTTCTTGTCTCACATCTCAGGGTTCAACAAATGCTAGAAACTTGCTCTTTGCCTCACAACAAAAGTTGAGAATCAGGGAGTTAAGGTTTCGCTGCAGCATGGGGGGGACAAACCTCCCCCCTACCCCACCCCCTTTTGGATGCCCGTGGATATAAACCATTTGATTCTGCATTCTGGGGCTTGTCCTTAGATTCTCTCCTCTGTGGGATGCATGAGAATGTTCCTAGGCAAAATGGTTGTGTCTCTCAATCGAGGGTTCTTTTATTTTCCCTGGGGAGAGGGTCACTGTCACCTCCTGGGAGACTGAAGGAAGGGCTCTTTGTTCTCACAGAGGCCAGTGATCTTTGAGGATGTGGCTGTGTATTTCACAGAGGGCCAAGGGGCTCTGCTGGACCGCAGACAAAGACAGCTGTACAAGAACGTCATGTTGGAGAACTACAAGAACGTCGCTTTGCTGGGTAAGAACGTTTCTTCCTCAACTGCCTAGGACCCTCGTACCTACGGGACCGCCTCTCCCAGTATGCCCCACAGAGAGCCTCAAGGTCCATAAATAGCAAGTCCCTGGCCCTAAGGAAGTTAGATTAGCTTCAACCAGAGCCAGGGCCTTTTCAACACTGGCACCGGCCTGGTGGAACGCTCTGCCTCATGAGACCAGGGCCCTGCAGGATCTGATTTCTTTCCGCAGGGCCTGTAAGACAGAGTTGTTCCGCTTGGCCTTTGGCTTGGAGCCAGTTTGATTCCCTCCCCCTCTTTCTTTTTTCTTTTCCTTTCTCCTCCTGTGATGAGGCTGCATTTTAATATTTTAATGTTTCAATATTTTAATTGTTGTATTTTAATCTTGTTTTTAAGTTGTATTCATTCAACTTGTTTTTATTATTGCCTGTTAGCTGCCCTGAGCCCGGCCTTGGCTGGGGAGGCCGGGGTATAAATAAAAATTATTATTATTATTATTATTATTATTAACTGGAGTGAGAACCATTGGATGCTCAAGGGTCCTGCTATGCTTCCCCCCCACCCCACCCTAAGTCCTTTGTGTTTTCAGAAAGATTGAAATCATAATAATAAAAAATGGAGCGGCAGGAACCAGCCAGCCACCTGAGTTACCGCTTTATTAGCAAGAACATGATGTGCACACATGTGGCTGAGGGTCAGGCCTAATGAGCTCAGCAGGTCATCCCTGGTAGGTCTTGCCCCGTGAATCAGTTTGGTGAGATTGAAAGTCCCCGCCTCCCCACAGTCGTCTTTAAGCTCCTTCATCTCCAGGGTTTTCCCCAAGCAATCTGAGACTGCGCCTGCATGAAGCCAACCTCTCCTCTGCCCTCTTCACGCCTCTTCTGGGAGACCAGGGGAACGGGGAGCTTGTCTCAGCAGGAGGGAGAACCCCGCTTGCTTCTTCACCAACCTGACTCCTCTCTCCCTCTTCGCCTTCCTCCTCTCCTGCTTCCACTTCTGCTCCTGAACTTGTCTCTGCCACAGTGTCTCCCAGTTCACTAAGCCCTGTTATGCCTAGTTCCTCCTCCCAGTCTTCTCCCTCTGACCACTCATCACCGTCCTGCCACCACTTTCTGGGCCCTGAGCTTTATTTCCTTAGGGCTTCCCCAGCTGGTTCCTCCTACCATTCCTCTGCGTCAAACCAATTCATAACACGGAATTATTAAAATATAGGTGACCTTCCTTTCGTAGAGTGTCTTTTGGGCTATGTCAGCTAAGCCAGTAAAGGCGGGACCTGGAGAAGGGACTTGGAAGTAGCAATTGCCTGCTGGCAGTCATTGTTTGCCTTTTATTTGTCTTTCCTTAGAAGGATTTCCAGTCTCCAAGCCTGACCTCATTGTCCAGCTGGAACGAGGGGAAGAAGCATGGGTGCCGGACCTTTGGGGAGTCACTGGTACCCCATCAGGCCAAGGTAAAAGAAAGAGGCATGTCTTAGATGCCTGTACATTACTGGCAAACCATCTGCAAGCACATAATTATGAATTGCCTGAAAGCATCTTTAAAAAAAAAGAAATGATGTAAGGGTGATATTAAAATATTTGAATACAAGGGGCCGCCAGCCCTGCTTGCTTCACTGATCAATTCCACCAGCCCCTTTGCCAAGTGCCCTTCGCCCACACCTGACCTATACCCTCCAACATCTCCCCAATGAAAATAGGGACAGTCTATTCAACAACAACAATTGTATTATTTATACTCACAACAACGACAACAACAATTATTGTATTACTATACTCCACCCATCTCACTGGGTTGCCCCAGCCACTCTGGGCAGCTTCCAACATATATAAAAACGTAATAAAACATTAAACAAAACTTCCCTAAACAGTCATACCTCATGTTACGTTTGCTTCATGTTACGTTCTTTCAGGGTTATGTCTCGCGGCGACCCAGAAGTACTGGAAAGGGTTACTTCTGGGTTTTGCTGCTTGCGCATGTGCAGAGGCACAAAATGATGTCATGCGCAGAAGCGGCAAATCGCAACCCGCAAGTGCGCAGATGCGCTGCTGTGGGTTGCGCTCTTTTCATGTTGCGAATGGACCTCCGGAATGGATCCTGTTCGTAACCAGAGGTACCACTGTACAGGGCTGCCTTCAGATGGCTCCATACCCTCCTAACATTTTTCTAATGAAAATAGGGATGTCCTAAGGAAAAGTGGGAGGACGCGGGTGCCCCTGTGGGTTAAACCACAGAGCCTAGGACTTGCCGATCAAAAGGTCGGTGGTTAGAATCCCCGCGATGGGGTGAGCTCCCGTTGCTCGGTCCCTGCTCCTGCCAACCTAACAGTTCAAAAGCATGTCAAAGTGCAAGTAGATAAATAGGTACCGCTCCAGCGGGAAGGTAAACGGTGTTTCCATGCGCTGCTCTGGTTTGCCAGAAGCGGCTTAGTCATGCTGGCCACATGACCCGGAAGCTGTACGCCGGCCCCTCGGCCAATAAAGCAAGATGAGCGCCTCAACCCCAGAGTCAGTCACAACTGGACCTAACGGTCAGGGGTCCCTTTACCTTTAAGGAAAAGTGGGACATTCTGGGATCAAATCAGAAACTGGGATGGCTTCTGTAAATCCGGGATTGTCCCTGAAAATAGGGGCCCTTGGAGGATGTGCTGACGAAACCCCTCTCCCTTTACGCCTCACCCACACCTTGACCGATCCCCTCACAACTCGCCTGCCCTTACAGTTCACCCCAGACTTCACCCACTTTTATAGCAAGGGGAGGGGCTTCACAGAGCAGCTTGTTAAACCATGAGGGGAGGGGAAGGAAATTCCCTGGGAACGTCACAACTTTTCATGCTTCTACCAGCACACATCTTAATATACTTGCCACATGGGGCGGGGTTGGGGTGTACGCACACACCTGTGTGCATATATGTGTATTTGGGTGAGTGTGTATACTGTTTTCTGTGCTCACAGGAGTGAACCCTGTCCGTATTTTATTTTCCCTGAGCAGGTAACTCTACAAGAAAGGAACCTTGCTCAGAGCCTGGGGAACATTTTATGAAAACGTCACGTCTCCCTAGACCTCAGGGAGTCCGCAAAGGAGAGAAACCATTGGTCTGCAAGACAGGTTTCCCTCACAATTCGCAGCTTGTGGGGCATCTGAAGATCCACACAGGAGAGAAGCCGTTTCAGTGCCCGGAGTGTGGGAAATACTTTACTCAGAAACGGACCCTTACGCTGCACCAGAGAGTCCACACAGGAGGGAAATCTTGTCAGTGTTTAGAGTGTGGGGAATGCTTTGCTAATCAAACAGACCTTGTGAGCCACCGTAGAATCCACACAGGAGAGAAGTCCTTCCAGGGCTTGGAGGGCGGGAAAGGCTTTATCCAGCGGTCGCATCTTGACAGTTGCCAGAGAATACATACGGGAGAGAAGCCCTTTAAATGCCCAGAGTGCGGGAAATGCTTCGCTCAAAAAACAAACCTCCTCCTACACCAAAGCACGCACACGGCAAACAAACCTTTCCAGTGCCTAGACTGTGGGAGACATTTTGCTCATCCGTTGCACCTTGACAGTCATCGGAGAATCCACACAGGAAGGAAAAGCTTCAAGTGCCTGGAGTGTAGGAAATGCTTTGCTCACCGAAAAAGCCTTGCGTTACACCAGTGTGCATACAGGAGAAAAATCCTTTCGGTGCCTGAAGTGTGGCAAGGCCTTTGCTTATCGCTCGGCCCTTATGAGACACCAGAGAATCCACACAGGAGAAAAACCCTTCCGGTGCTTGGAGTGTAGAAAGTGCTTTGCTCGACAGACGAGCCTCACTCTCCACCAGAGAGTGCACGCAGGAGAAAAACCCTTTCAGTGCACCATGTGTAGGAAATGCTTTGCTCGCCCAACAGACCTTGGGCTGCACCAGAAAGTGCATGCAGGAGAAAAACCCTTTCCGTGCCTGTCGTGTGGGAAGTGCTTTGCTTATCAGTCAGTTCTTAGCAGACATCAGAGAAGCCACACGGGAGAGAAACCCTTCTGGTGCTTGGAGTGCGGGAAAGGCTTCGCCCGACAAGCAAACCTTGTGGCTCACAAACGGGTCCACACAGGGGAGAAACCTTTCCAGTGCTTGGAGTGCGGGAAATGCTTTGCTCGACAGACAAACCTTGCAAGACACCAGAGAATCCACATGGGAGATAAACCCTTTCAAGAGTTGGAGTGTGGGAAATGCTTTGCTCAACAGGCAAAGCTTGTGGATCCCCAGAGAGCACGTGTAGGAGAGAGACCTTTTCAGTGCCCAGAGTGCGGGAAAATCTTTGCGTATCTTTCAGTCCTTATGAGACACCAGAGAATCCACACAGGAGAGAAACCCTTTAAATGTATCAAGTGCGGGAAATGCTTTGCTCGGCGGACAAACCTTGCAGATCACCAGAGAATCCACACAGGAGAGAAACCTTTTCAATGCTTGGAGTGTGGGAAATGCTTTGCTCGACAAACTAACCTTGCCAGACACCAGAGAACCCACAGAGGTGAGAACTTATTAATCCTCAGTATTTGGGAAATGTCTTACAGCATACCCAAATGTTTCAAAAACATGGAGTGGATGTGTGAGAGAGAAATCTGTTATTGGTCTGAGGTACTTGAAACACAATCCTTTCTGAATTGAGCTGTTTCTGCAAACATTCTCCTCTACCACCCAGTTAAGGATGATGAAACTACAAAGGCAATGGTAGGCCTAAGCTATTTTTGGATGACTTTCCCCAAGGAATTCTGGGAGCTGTAGTTTGTTAAGGGTGTTGAGCGTTGTTAGGAGGCTCCTCTATTCCCCTCTCGGCCACAATTCCCAGAGTTCCCTGTGAAGAGGGACTGACTGTTAAGCCACTCTGAGAATTGTAGCTCTGTGAGGGGAATTGGGGGTGCGGAGGTCCTTCTCAATGTTCAATGTTCTGAGGGTGTTTAGCATGCACAGGACACCAGGATGTTGTGGGTTGTTGCACGTGCGACGCCAGAACATCTTGGCAGGTCTTCTTAATCATTTACAGAAGTTGGTGCCTCTGGGCTGCAGCAACCCAGTCAGATGGGTGGGATACAAATATTATAACAACAACCACCAGCACCTTGAACAATAGATGCCAGCAATTGACATCTGGTGACAGAGGTTTCATTTCTTTCTCCCTTCTTTTGATTTCAGTAATTTGCAATCTGTTTCTCATTGCAGCCCATGACTCGAGGAAGAAGCACTCCAGCGCTAAGCGTGAAAAGCTGTTTGCTAGGAGCTAAGCCTGGCAAGGCCTCATGGGAGCCACACGAGAAAGAGAACCCTGGGACTGACATGTGTGTGACAAAAGGCTGGGCCTTCTTCATAAATAGAGAATCCATGCGAATGGGAAAGCCCTACAAGTGGTGCAAGCGTTGCAGAAGACTACAGCTGGAGAAATTCCTTCTGAGATTACAAAACCCAAGGCTGAGAAGAAGTTTGCATTGTTCCTTAGATACAGCAGGTGTATGTTATTATAGTCTTAAGAGTGTTAAAGGTGTTTTGGTGGACTTCCTTAAGCTACGCTGTTATACATCGCCTTGGTAACTTCTGGTTTTAATAGTGATATATAAATGATTTTAATAAATTAGGGCTGGCATTTGTCTGGATTTTCCTGGACATTACCGGGATTTCCAAGGCGGAATTGAAGCTCAGCAATTTGGGGTGTCCTCGTTTTTTTACTTTTTGAAATATGGCAACCCTAAATAAATTCATCGTGCTCTCAGTGTATTGTGTGAAGATGGCTTTGTGAGGGTAATTGAAGTTGTCCATAACTGCAACACTTCCTTCTTTGGGTGCCACATGAATTTCATTTTGCTCAGGGCAACAACAACATGTCCTCCTAGCGGTGCAGCAATAAAATTTCTAGTACATTTGCAAAGCTAAGCAGGGTCTGGTATGGTTTCAAACTGAATGAAGGATTTTGTGTTGAGGTGGGGTTTTTTTTGCGTTGCAAAAGTCCCTTCAAAATCTGTGATTCTATAAATTATGTTTGGAACCGTAAATGAACTTCATTAAACATTTTTGTTGTTGTTGTTAATTTGAACCCTGGCTTTGACTGATCTTTTACCTAGCCTGTGGATTGCTTCTTTCCCGTTGGATCACACAACAAACTTTTAGGGCAGGGATGGTGTCCCTGGCTGGCTACCAGTTGTTCTTGCAATCCCATCAGCCCCAATCAGCATGGCCAGTGGCAAGGGATGATGGGAACATTCATTCATTTATTTAAACAACTTCTGTTCTACTTATTTATCATAATCTCTAAGAGGTTTAAAAGTAAAGTCCAGTCATGAACGACTCTGGGGTTGCGGCGCTCATCTCGCTTTACTGGCTGAGGGAGCCAACGTTTGTCCGCAGACAGTTTTTCCGGGTCATGTGGCCAGCATGACTAAGCTGCTTCTGGCGAAATCAGAGCAGCACATGGAAACGCTGTTTACCTTCCCGCCAGAGTGGTACCTATTTATCTACTTGCACTTCGACGTGCTTTCGAACTGCTAGGTTGGCAGGAGCAGGGACCGAGTAATGGGAGCTCACCCTGTCGCGGGGATTCGAACTGCCAACCTTCCGATCGGCAAGTCCTAGGCTCTGTGGTTTACAGCACAGCGCCACCTGCGTCTCTAAGAGGTTTACCTAACCACAAATATAAAAATCAGTTAAAACTTTAAAACCAGACATAAGTTAAAATACCTGCTGGAATAAAAAATAAAATAAAAAGTCCTCAATAGGCACCAGAAGTTCAACAGAGTTGTGTCCACACATTTAATTCAGATCTAAATTAACAGGAAGGGTGTTTCATAAAATTGAGCTCACAATCCTGAGCGCATGGCTTCTGTGAGCATCCAAAAACCTCAATGAGCAGGTAAGGGAGCTGATACTTGACCCAAATTGATAAGGGCCTTGTAGATCAATAGAAGAACCTCGAACCTGGCTCGGCGGCATGTTGGTGGTCATTGCAGACTTCTGAACGTCAGAGTGATGTGCCAGCAAGACTCTACCTCCATCAATGGTCTAGCCACAGTGTTTTCCACCAGTGACACCTCCTAACCAGGCACAAAAGTAGCCCCATACAGCAGACACTGCAATAATTGAATACCAAGGTTACTAGCCGACCCTTCAAGTGTCCCTATTTTCCAAGGACATCCTTGATTTTGAGAAGCCATAACGGTTTCTGATTTGATCCCAGAATGTCCAATTTTTCCTTAGGTTGTCCCTGTTTTCATTGGAGAAATGTTGAAGGGTATGGGGCTATCTGACCCCCGAGCTGTCTGAAGGCAGCCCTGTACAGAGGTTTTTTTTAAAAAATGTTTAATGTTTTATTATGTTTTTTATATACGTTGGAAGCTGCCCAGAGTGGCTGGAGCAACACAGTAAGATGTGCGGGGTATAAATAGCAAAATTATCATTTATGGAATGGGACGTCCTCATTTTCATGGGAGAAATGTTGGAGGTTTTGTACTAGCTCTTGGTCCTAGCAAGACCTGGAAGGCTAAAGGTTCCCCATCCCTGTCTTAAGGAGAGGTAAACCACAGGTATGGCTCCTTTCCTGTGAGAAACCAGGTGACTTCCTAATAGTACTTCCCTCCTCACTTTCATTCCTGCAGTTCTGAGCTGCCTCCTGCTTGAGCGTCTGGGAGCATAAGGCGGTGGTAGTGATTCTACTTTTCAGTCAGAATATGGTTATTCACCTTGGTATTTGATGGTCAAAAGATGATGTGCTTGGCAACCTTGAAATTATTCGTTATGAGGACATGCAGGTTTTTTTTAATCTTAATGTGTCCAGGTTTTTTAATTTTTTTAAAAAATGTTTAAAATACATTTTGTATATACCGTATTTTTCCATGTATAAGACGCCCCCATATATAAGATGCCCCCTATTTTTGGGGACTCAAAATTAAGAAAATGCACTATGCGCTATCCGTGTATAAGACAACCCCTTATTTTAAACTTCACAAATTTAGGAAAAAATATAGTCTTATACAGTGGTACCTCTGGATGCGAATGGGATCCATTCCGGAGCCCCGTTCGCATCATGAGCAGAATGCAACTCGCATCTGTGTGTGCGCGGGTCGCGATTCGCTGTGTCTGCGCATGCGTGTGACGTCATTCTGAGCGTGTGTGCATGCGCGAGCGGCAAAACCCAGAAGGAACATGTTCCGTTACTTCCGGGTCACCGTGGGACGCATCCTGAAAAGATTTAATCTAAAGCGTCTTTAACCCGAGGTATGACTGTACACGAAAAAATACGGTAATTTTTTAAAAAAGTTTTGGTGTTTGCTGCCCTGGGCTCCTTTGGGAGGAAGGGCAGAATAGATATTTAAGAAAATAAATAACAGATATGCACCCAGCTGGTTCTTTTTCACCAAACAGATGAGAAGTTTGTATTCTGCAATATATAAAAATATCTATTATACTACACTGAAATGTTAAAATGTTCCTTTGATTGTCCTTGAATTTTGCCACCACCTTTGCCAACCTCTCCTGCCATCCTCTATTGGAGAACCTCTGCTCCAAAGGCGTCCCAACCTTGCTATCCCAAGGACTCATTGTCGACCCCTCTCACAGCGCACAGTCCACTGCTGGCATTTCTGGGGCACACGCAAGTGTTTAGCATTATAGACTCATAATCCTATTACTTTTTACAAAAACACCCCTGAATAAGCATGAACACAGAACTCCCATGGACTGTGGCATTCTGGTTCGTAGCATATACGGTATATGGGTAAGTTAACATAACAAGAGCTGAGAAGAGTGAGGAGGTTCCGAAGCAGCGACGATGGAGCCGGGTGGGCAAGCAGCGGAAGCAGCTCCAGCGTGGTGACGCCCGAGGGGCTGTGGGGCTGGATCTGGGGCGCCTACCGCTTTGCCACAGATGGCAGTGACTTTCGCAGGAACCTCATAGTTAACCTGGGTCTCTCTGCAGTGGGAGTTTGGGTAGCTAGAAACTTAACAGGCATCGATTTGATGGCACCACAGCCTCCTACATAGCAGAAACGATGTGAATGAAGTAGATCTGTGTGAAGTCTGAGTTTCCCTCTTGCTTTATGACCAAATGAGTTGGTTCATCACTGCGTTGATTTTCATGGGATGTTATCTGCAATGCAGCTTCTATTAAATCAATTGGAGGCATCAGCATTGTGAGTGAAGGACTAGAGAAAACACAGAGGCTACAATTTACCTGAACATTTCTTTTTATCATGTTCACTTTACTTGCTTGGGAGCACTATTGAGTCCAATTAATGTACAGTGGTACCTCGGGTTAAGTACTTAATTCGTTCCGGAGGTCCGTACTTAATCTGAAACTGTTCCTAACCTGAAGCACCACTTTAGCTAGTGGGGCCTCCTGCTGCCACCGCGCCGCCAGAGCCCGATTTCTGTTCTTATGCTGAAGCAAAGTTCTTAACCTGATGCACTATTTCTGGGTTAGCAGAGTGTGTAACCTGAAGTGTATGTAACCCGAGGTACCACTGTAGTACCTTCTGTTCTATTTTTGCCAGAAAATATAAGTTATTTTGCAGATGGACTCAACTTCTGTTCCAAGAGTTTAACAGATTCTGAAGTGTGAAATAAAGACATGCCAGTGAAAAAAACAAAAACAAAAAAATAACAAGAGGTAGCGAGGGTCGGAAGCAAAATAATCTGCTTACTGAGAAGTGGAGCACGTTGGTTATCTATCACAGCAACAGCTGAAGGAAAGATGCAGCCCTTGGCGGTTTGTTGTAAAGTGCATTATTCCAGAAGGAAGGGATGCTTTGTCTATGGTTGCCATCAATTTTGACTTTAATTCATTTTTATAATGTTTTTATAATGTTGCACTATTTTAGTGTTGTTAGCCACCCTGAGCCCGGCTTCGGCTGGGGAGGGCGGGATATAAATAAAATTTATTATTATTATTATTAGAATTTAACATGCTGTATCCACCGCTTAAATATAAAGAAAGCAAATGATAAGCATGGGTGAATAAAAAAATATATGTGGCAATGACCAGGATGACAGTCTTTCCCAACCTGGTGCCCTCAGGCTAGTTTGGAGGACGCATCCCAACTGGCCCCAAGGCATCTCTTTTCAAAACCTCCTTCCAGCCTCCCTCATCCATGCGCTCAAACAGCCGATTGGTGAGGGCTTCGCCTTGCCCATCTTCTGTCTTGGCTTCAACCACATGATGGGAAGCGGAAAGAAAAGGAAAACCCGCCTTTGGAAGCGGGAGGAGGGGTGGAAATAGCAATCCACAAAACCCAGCACAACAATAAGGGGGAGCTGAGCGAGGCTTTTTTGCGTTCCTCCAGCCACCCGCTCCTAAAAAAAGCTCCATTTGCGCCCTCGTTCAATCCATAAGCTGCTTTGCCGGGCGCGCGCGCACGCCGGAGCTCCCTTAATTCGGATTAGTGGCCCCCGTCTGGACGCTTTTGCAGGGCTGCTTGCCTCCCTTTGCGGGCTCCGCATTCCGAGCACGCAGCCGCGGTTCTTTCAAATGAATGCATGTGCGCACTACCTGGACGGCGGCGAGGATGGAGCCCGGTGCGTGCGCGCGCGGCGGAGATTCGTGTTAACTGATTGACGCGGGGTAGAAAGTACGTGTGACAGTCAAGAGTGTCAACGAGCTGCTGGTCGAGGAGAAGAAGAAATCTGGCCAAGAGGGGCGATCTTAAGGGCTGCTGTCTGAACAGGTAAGAAGAAAGGCTTCTAAGAGCGATGGAGTGGCGCCAGGTGCGATTCCCGGCATCTCCAGGTGAGGCTGCCGGGAGAGACACCTGCCTAAAACCTTGGCGTGCTGCTTCCAGCCCGTGTCGATTGGACCAATGATCTGATTCACTATAAGGCACATTCCTATGCCCTTGCATTTAAGAGATGCGTAGAGCTGATAATTTTCCACAGGTGTAGCTTGCTAAAGGTGCAAGTCCCGTCCCCCACCATGTAGTTATATTAAAGGCAGATGGGCAACAAAGTTCAAAGCAGCAGAAATTTATTGCAGAAGGCATATATAAGTGTCTAGGTGCAACCTAGCTTTGTAAATAAGGCTACAAAAGTTGTTGTTGTTTAGTCGTGTCCAACTCTTCTTGACCCCCTGGACCTGAGCACGCCAGGCACTCCTGTCTTCCACTGCCTCCCGCAGTTTGGTCAAACTCATGCTGGTAGCTTCGAGAACACTGTCCAACCATCTCGTCCTCTGCCGTCCCCTTCTCCTTGTGCCCTCCATCTTTCCCAACATCAGGGTCTTTTCCAGGGAGTCTTCTCTTCTCATGAGGTGGCCAAAGTATTGGAGCCTCAGCTTCAGGATCTGTCCTTCCAGTGAGCACTCAGGGCTGATTTCCTTCAGAATGGAGAGGTTTGATCTTCTTGCAGTCCATGGGACTCTCGTCTCCTCCAGCACCATAATTCAAAAGCATCAATTCTTCGGCGATCAGCCTTCTTTATGGTCCAGCTCTCACTTCCATACATCACTACTGGGAAAACCATAGCTTTAACTATACGGACCTTTGTTGGCAAGGTGATGTCTGCTTTTTAAGATCAAAAGTTACCTGCCTTAAAAAAACAAAAACAAAAAACTAGCCTGTTATGAGGCTAACATTCTGTGTTTCTATGCCAGCTGCAATAGAAAAGGGAGTGGACCTTCCTTCATGTAAATTATGTACTGATAAGACTGTGGTGCTGGATTGCAATTATTTGTTAGGGTTTTTTTAAATTGGGGGCTGCGTTGAAAGGACCTTGGGGCCTGAAAAGCAACGTAAATATCTGTTAAATAAAACAATGCATACTGTGGCACAGTCCTAAGCCTACTCACTACAATTGAATTCAGTGGGGCTTACTCCCAGGTAAATGGGGTTCCTATTGCAGCCGCAGCCTCTTTACAGGATAATTATATATTTTAAAAGCCTTCTACTAAAGAGATTGGAGAAGGAGGGATACAGTTGAGGGCTGGCTTCCCTTCTCTGCCAACCCACTGCCTCTCATGCTTGAAATTCCTGCTCTGGTATTAACATTAGCAAAACAACAACAAACCTGTGGTTTTGTGAAAAATACTCAATAAACACACAAGACTTAACCGGCTGTGCTTTTGAATAAATAAGATATATTATTCATTGTATCAAATTGTAGATTTCAATGGAAGTCTCATAAAGTTCAATGAAAAAAGCAGACGACCCAGTGGATCAGTTCATTCTCTAGTCAGTTCATGCCTAAGGTCCATACATGTATAAGTGTCTGTTCCACCTGTCTGTTCATAGAGTCCAATAATCCACATGAATGGTTGTTACAGTTCCACAGAATCCTTTTGCAGAGTCGATAAGACAAGGATTTCCGGAATATTAGCCTTGTTTCGCCATCCTATGCTTCATCAGTAGAACAGGCTCTAGGTAATGCAAATAAATACAATATCGCAATCTCACACATTTTTACAGCAAAATTGATATAAAAAACCATAAACAACTTTACATACCATATGTAATATTACAGGATAGCGGATCTTATAGCAGCTAAAAGCTTGCAAAGAACCCCTTCTATCCATTTTTTCCACACATTAAGCTCAAATGTGCCTCAGCAGGTTGGTGATTTTAACATCAATAAAAATCAAGATGTTGATCAAGATGCTTAGTGCTGTCCCTTGTGGTTTAAATCAAGACAAAGGATTTTTAAAACATTACACAGCATGTGTTAAGCACCTTACTAATGCCAGCATGGGCTATCTGTGACTGTTCCTTGCAGATGGCTCCCTGGGCTTCTAAGACAACTTTATCAGATATATGAAGTGTCCCCCTGTCTGGTTAGGGTGCTGCATATACCCTAAATACAGAGAGAGGAAAGGAAAAACAAAACCCTGTTTTGAGTGCGGAGGTAAAGTGTTGGCTGGTGCAGTTTTAACCTGGCCAGTGCAGACTCCATGCTCAAACCCACCCAGAACATTTCCCCAAATGGGCTAATACATATTATATTTTAACTTTGTTTTTCTCCACGTGGGTGATGTGACTGCCCTTTCCAGGGGAGCAAGTCAGTTTGCTGGATTCATATCCAAGAGCTGTGTCAGGAGACACCATGCAGGCCGATGACGGTGGTGACGCCATCTTGTTGGGTAAGGATGCGTTTGATAGAGCCCCTGGCTTTCTTTATAATATTTGTCATCAGCTGCATGCTTGCTTGTGGTGCGTGTGGGTTTTCTGCTTGTATGTTTTTGTCCTTACGGTGTTTGCTTTTAAAACATTCAAATAGCCCGTGTAAACGAGCCCACAAAAGTTACTAGCCTGCCATTTATTTCATTTTCTGCTATCCTGTTTGAGAGATGGCGAAGGGCTCCATCCCTCCAGACTTAAAAAGAGCGTTGCTGGATCAGGCCAGAGGCCTTCCATTTGTCCATTATCCTGATCTCACAGTAGCCACCCAGATGCCTCTATGAAGCCCTCAAGCAAGACCTGAATCTCTGCACTTAGCTACATTAGTAAAGAAACACTGAGTTGAATGCACTATAAACATGCAACACCAGATGGCGCCAGAGAGCAGTTAATTTTAAAATGCGATTTTCCATAGAGATATTTTTCTTTTGTTATAACGATCTAATTTCTGACATTTATAGGTTTGTTTTCCTGTGTCTAAATCCACCCCCCATCCCCTCCCCTCTCTCTCACACACACAGCTTCATGCTGCATTTCTGTGCCAGGCAAGGAAGTGGGGAAAGGGGCTTCCTCTCTCTGGTTTCCTGCTTGGCTACTATCCTGGGTGAAGAGGGTCATCTAGTCCAACCCCCTGCAATGCAGGAATCTCAACTAAAACATCCATGACAGGTGTCTCCATCCAACCTCTGCTTAAAAACCTCCAAGGAAGGAGAATCCACCACCTCCTGAGGCTGTTCCACAGTCAAACAGCTCTAAAACCAAAAAAACAGTAAAGCTGTAGCATAAAAAATGAATTCAGGGAACTCTGGCAAATAAAAGCAGGTTTTGAGGAGTCAGTTGGGGAAAACAGGCTACTGACGGTGGCTGCTTCATGTCTAGCACAGGGAAGGGCATTCCATAGTCCTGGGGTAATAGCGAAAAATGCCCATTTTTGGGTCACCGCCCTATGATATTCTGTAGGGTGTGGTGCCACAGATAAAATGCCCAGATGATTGGAGTGGTCTTACAGGTCTAGGCAGGGGCCTGCAGAGGGCGGAGGAGAGGTTGGCTGCATGCAGGCGCAGTCTCTGATTGCTTGGGGAAAACTCTGGAGAGGAGGAGACTTAGCTGTGGGGAGATGGGGGGGGGTTCAGTCTCGGCAACAGATCCATGGGGACAAGACCTACCAGGGATGGACTGCTGTGCTCACTAGGCCTGACACACTGCCTGGTCTGTGCAGATCACATTCTTACTAATACAGTCATACCTCTTGTTACGTTCGCTTCAGGTTAAATCTTTTCAGGTTGAGTCCTGCGGCGACCCGGAAGTACCGGAAAGGCTTACTTCCGGGTTTCGCTGCTCGCGCATGTGCAGACGCTCAAAATGATGTCATGCGCAGAAGCAGCAAATCGCGATGTGCAGTCGCGGGTTGCGTTCTGCTCATGTTGCGAACGGGGCTCCGGAACGGATCCTGTTTGCGACCAGAGGTACCACTGTAAAGAGTTAACGACGAACTTGCAGGGTGTGATTTTACTGCCCGTTTGCTCCTGACACCTGACGGCCCATTTTTCTGTTCCAGGCAGCGAGGAGCGCGGAAAGATCTACCCGGGAGAGACCCCGCGCTACTGCCCCCTCTACGCCAAAAGCTTTGGCGGCACGCCGAGCCGCGAGAGGCCTGTCGCGGGTGACAAACGCTACAAGTGCTCTGAGTGCGGGAAGGGCTTCAAGAAGCGGTCGGCCCTCCTGACTCACGACCGGACGCACACCGGGGAGAAGCCCTACGGCTGCGCCGAGTGCGGGAACAGCTTCAGCAACAAGTCCAGCCTGACGCGGCACAAGAGGAAGCACACGGGCGAGAAGCCCTTCAGCTGCCCCGACTGCGGCAAGAGGTTCAGCCAGAGCTCCAGCCTCATCCGCCACCTGAGGAACCACACGGGGCTCCGGCCCTACCGCTGCTCGGCGTGCGGCAAGAGCTTCAAGCAAAGCTCCAGCCTCCTGGTCCACAGAAGGACTCACACGGGGGAAACCCCCTACAGCTGCTCGGTCTGCGGCAAGCGCTTCTCGCAGAGCTCCAACCTGGTGAAGCACGAGAGGATCCACACCGGAGAGAAGCCCTACGGCTGCGCCGAGTGCGGCAACACCTTCAGCAACAAGTCCAGCCTCACCAGGCACAAGAGGAACCACACGGGGCAGAAGCCCTACAAGTGCCCCCAGTGCGGGAAGCGCTTCAAGCAGAGCTCGGGCCTACTCAAGCACGAGCGAGCCCATGCGAGGAAGAGCCTCGCAAAACTCCCAGAGCCTAGCAAGCGCTTGGACGCCATGAGAGCCCACGTTGGCGAGGCCTTGTGAAAAAGCCTTGCTCCGTTGAGGAAAGGTCGAAAGGCATGAAGCTCGTTGGTGTTGAAACCGTACGAACTCAGAAATTGTGGGGCTGCGGCCCTTCTGGAGTTCCTGGGCTGCAACGTCTGCCATCTCCGACTCTTTGGGGGTGGAAGAAGTTGGAGTTCAGCAACTTTTAGGAAAGTCATAGGTTTCCCCACGTCTAATACCGCACGTGTTTGGTTCAGGGCATGCGCAACTCTGGACCCTGACGCCTAGCTAGATACTAGTCAAAAGTCCACTGCTCTCACAGTCCACACAAGGCTGACAAAATGGCCGCCACTGTTGACAAGCTGTGGTTGGTTGGTTGGTGTGTGTCGCAGGCCCGGCGGCAAGGTTTTCTGATGTTTAGCTCTCTTTGTACATGGGAGGATTCCCTCCTGGGAGAAAACTTTTAAAACGAGGCAACTGCTCCTTACTCAACAGAGAATTTCCCAAGGAGAACCTGGAGAAGGGAGGCAGGAACCTGTTGCTGGCACCATCAGGCGATTTGAACCAGAGAATCATCAGTTTCCTGGTCCAGTAAAGGATTTTGTTATCTTCTATGTTCTTAGAGTAGCCTTGTAAATAAAAACCACAGAAGTTACCTCAGGACTGGCCAAACCGTTAGGCAGCGTGAGGCGGCTGCCTCAGGCAACTAATTTTGGGTGTCATGAAAGTGTAGCAAATGGTTTTATGTTGTTGTCTTTTTACCCCCAGCCTTTGGTTTTACGCACCGTGACCTGAGAGGGTGCCATTTGTTCCACCCTAAGCAGCCAAAATGGCTCAGGCTGGACCTGATATGCCTACTTAAAAGCAAGTAGACTGCAATTCCGTGCTGGTCGTGGAGGAGGGAAGTGCAATAATAAGAAACTTAGGTTTCTTCCCTCCTCCATGGTCAACATAGAAACCTAAGTTTCTTATTATTGCACCAAAGTGGACTAGCGGAGAAGGTATGAATCGCTCTGTTCCTTTCTGTGGAGCAATCTGTCCCTTCTCCAGTTTGCTTGTTTGCCTGCGTGGAATTCCTGCTCGCCTGTGGCGACCAGGTAAGCTCTTAAACACAAGGCTGCATCAGATGGAGTTGATCACTGCCATGTTAAAAGTATTTTTAGTTGCCTCGGTTAGAAATGCTAGCAGACATCTTTGTTTATACACGTAAAGAATATTATTTGGTAAACAAAAAAGTCCTCCTCTGTTTATAGCAAATGGGAGACCTAAATTAACGCACACACTGGTATTTTCTTTCTATTTGTTTAAACACATTTAAGGTGGCAGTCCTATGCACATTTAACTTTCCACCCTCGGGACTTGCTCATGAGTAAGCGTGCATCGACTCGGGCCTTTCAAGTCTATTTATTAATCACGGTATCACACCCTTTTCAAAATTCTAGTGCTAGCCTTAATTTTTAAGCCTGAACGTTAATTTTTCTGAGTAACCTTATCACTCTGTTGTTGTATCCGATGCCTCAGTAGATAAGAGGCTTTAATTTGGGTGTGGACGTTCTGGCTTCATGTCCTGCCCATATGTAGCCTTCCTGTCTTGTCCAAGTTAGCCTCACTTAACCCATTTGGAAAATGGGAATAGCCCCCCCCCCAGCCTACCTCACAGGGTTGTTGTGGGGCTGAACATAAATAAAGACTGTACACCCTTCACTCCTGCGAGTTTTCTTTACTTTTCCTCCAGCCCCTAGCATGCAATAATGGCAGCAGCTTTTTAGATAAATATTGAGGTTTGCGGTCTGGTTCAAGCTACTTCTCTTTGCTCGGTCTGATCCGCTTCCCATATCCCTTGACCGAAGCAAAGCCAGAGCTCCTTGCTTGAGTTGCATACGGAGCCAAGCCTGCCCAAGCAGAGATCTGAAACTAAAAAATTGAGCAATTGCAGCTGGAAAATTGCACCCTTTTTGGAAATGCAACGCTTCTTCCGGTGCATTGCTTTTAGGCACCCTCCTTTGTACCCAGACCAGGCACCCAGATGAGGCTGAAAATGGCCAGAATACCCTTACTCTGCCTCTGCAAATAGCCTCCACCTCTGCTCACTTTCTCAACCCAGAAAGGCACTTAATGAGTTAAGGGAACAGAGTGCTGCAACTGTTCGCAGTCCTAGACAAGTTGTAGTGAGGGAAAAGAGGACTGCCAGCTACATTTCCCCCTGTCACGCCCCCTCCTGGCAAAGTGGGGCAATGACAGCAGGGGGGGAAAAGCAATTTAAGGAGGATACAGTGGTACCTCAGGATAAGTACTTAATTCGTTCCGGAGATCCGTTCTTAACCTGAAACTGTTCTTAACCTGAAGCACCAATTTAGCTAATGGGGCCTCCTGCTGCTGCCGCACCGCCGGAGCACGATTTCTGTTCTCATCCTGAAGCAAAGTTCTTAACCTGAAGCACTATTTTTGGGTTAGCGGAGTCTGTAACCTGAAGCGTATGTAACCTGAGGTACCACTGTATTAAAAAGCTGGAACATGCAGAGGAGGGTGACCAAGATGATCAAGGGTCTGGAAACCAAGTCTTATGAGAAATGGTTGATTGAGGGAGCTGGGTATGTTTAGCCTGGAAAAGAGGAGACTGAGAGGAGATAGGATAGCCATCTTCAAATAAATCAAGGGCTGCCGCATGGAAGAAGGAGCAAGCTCGTTCTCTCCTGCTCCGGAGGGTAGGACACAAAGCAATGGCTTCCAGTTACAAGAGAGAAGCTTCCCGCTAAACACCAGGAAGAAGTTTCTAACAGTGAGAGCTGTTTGACAGTGGAACTGTCTCCCTTGAGAGGTTGTGGATTCTCCTTCCTTGGTGGCTTTTAAGCAGAGGTCAGATAGCTACCTGTCATGGATGCATGAGCTGAGATTCCTGTATTGGGGGGTTGGTCTAGAGGACCCGTGGGGTCCCTTCCAACTCTACAATTCTATGGTGCTATTTATTTTTTTAAAAAAAATCAATTGTGTGTTATATAAAATACGCATATAACTTCATATTTCTAAAAATCAGTTTTTATTGGATCTTTTAACAAACAGCAACAATGAGGTTAAGCCTGCCTGTAGCCCATACAGTCAATGTCCACATCAGTTTGACACTGCAAAAAGACGACAATATCCAAGCTTACAGGTGTACTTCTCCAAAAAAGGTCACAATTCTATGATTCTATAATTCTATACTGGGCAGTGCAGATTTCCTGAAGGTGCAAAAGGGGGGCAGGGTAAAGGAAGAGGTTCGTGTTTGTAAATGAAGAGGGTCTGCGTTACATCGAATCAGACCACTGATTCACCCAGCCTGGTATTTCCTACGGATGGGGGACCTTCATGCGCCCAAACCCCACAGAATTCCTTGGGCAGAGGGGTTGATTTCTAAATTACTCTGGAAAAAAATTGTAACAGGAGACACCTGAAAACCCTCAGCACCCTTGAACAAACGACGGCTCCCGGGATGATCTGGCGGAAGCCATGGCTGTTTATTGTGACATAAGACTGCTTTAAAGGTACAGTACAGATGGGACCTTTGTTGGATATCACCTGTACTCACTTCATAGGGTGCCTTTGAATGCAACAAAGTCTACAGCCTAATAAGCAATAGCTAGGACACGGCTGAAATACGACGTTTAATCTTTTTCATTCACAGATACAGTAATACACCAGAATCAAAACTGCTTCCAAAAAATTTCCAAGCCCCTTTAGCAATTTGTATTTGCCTGATAAACACTGGCACCTGGTGATGAATGTAAGTGAAGTTTAAGTTGGTCAAGTTTGCAGTTCAACCCCCCAAAAGTTCGCAAACTCTTGCTAGTCTGCACAATTTTTTCCGCCTCCACTAAGCTGGTGGGAGAGACAAAGAGCTACTCAAGTCGCTGCACCAAACATTGGAGGGCCCTGAAATCTCACTCAGTGCGACCAACTTAGCCTAATCCTAACCTCTGAAGGACTAGAAACTTGGTAAGCCTAAATTCTCTGGATGCCTACAGCCAGTGTGGCCCAGCATATAACGTTCTAATGCTCACTTGTTTTATGTTTAAAAGTGCTTCTTCTCACTGTGTGTGTTCCTCAGCAACATTTGGTTAATGTACAGTGGTACCTCGGGTTAAGAACTTAATTCATTCTGGAGGCCCGTTCTTAACCTGAAAACTGTTCTTAACCTGAAGCACCACTTTAGCCAATGGGGCCTCCTGCTGCCGTCGCGCCACCAGAGCACGATTTCTGTTTTCATCCTGAAGCAAAGTTCTTAACCCGAGGTACTATTTCTGGGTTAGCGGAGTCTGTAACCTGAAGCGTCTGTAACCTGAGGTACCACTGTACTGAGTTGGTCCACTGCTCTCTTGATCCCTTCCTTGCCAGAAGCTGGAAGCAGGCTATGAAGAAAGGAACTTGCCCCCATTCCACTCTCGAGGAGGAAAAAGAAATTTCTGGATTGGCTACGCTAAGCTACTTGGCACTTAAATCTGTGCTTTTAGTAGTCAAAGCACTTCTCGGTCAACCTTACGATCCTGTGAGGTCGGTCGGTGTTATCGCCCTCTGCACTGAATGTGGCAGCAGAGGGCAGGTCGAGGATGAAGGAATAAATGGCTTGCCTCAGGCCACTGAGTGAATCTGTGGCAGAGGCGAAGCTGGTATGGGGGAATCTGTTGCGACAGCTGCTGTTTCTCAGACCAAACTACCTCGCCGGACTGTTGCAAGGCTGAAACGGGAAGGGTGCAGAAGAGAGACATGACTCGCACCCAGAGCTCATTGGAAGAATGATAGGCTAAGGAAAACGTAATTAAATGAAAATCCTACAGCTGCAATCCTCCGCTGCACTGAAAGGAGGGCTTGTGTGTGATGAGGCTCTGGCAGGGACACAGTACAGGCTAGTCACATCACAAATAATTCTGGGAACTGTAGTTTGTTAAAGGTGTTGTTAGGAGGCCCCTCACAGAGCCACAGTTCTCAGAGTCCCCTGTGAAGAGGGATTATGAAACCGCTCTGGGAACTGTAGTTCTGTGAGGGGGGAATAGGGGTCTCCTGACAACTTTCAATACCCACAGAAAACCACAGCTCCCAGAATTCTTTGGAAGAAGCCATGACAGCTTAAAGCACTATCAAAGCACCTAAAATGTGCTTTGGGAAAGAAAGAGACGCCCAAGATGCTTGTGGAGAAAAATAAGGAGAGGCCTTGTCTTGGCTGGATGTGTAAAGCCAGGCTGGTTTACTTTGCAGGGACACGAAAACCTGCCTTATACCGAGTCAGAACATTTGTCCTTCTAGCTTCGTATTATTGACACTGATGCTCTCCAGGGTTTCAGATCCCTAGACAGGCCAAGGATTGAGCCCAAGACCTTCTGTGCCCAAGGGAGATGCTCAACTACCGAGTTATGGCCCTTTCTAAAGAGCACACCTTGTTTTCCATGTGAATTGGTTGCAGAATTGTGGCTGCAACCACCACACTGCACCACGAAATGAACACCTTGTGTGGCGACAGCAGCCACAGTCTGAGCGACAAATCTTAGGCCAAAGATCTGCAGGAATCTGTGTGAGATGCTGATCACATGAAGGAACGACGCCAGAATATAATACAGGGGTCAGCAAGCTTCTTCAGCAGGGGGCCGGTCCCCTGTCCCTCAGACCTTGTGGGGGGCCAGACTATATTTTGAGGCGGGGAGGGGGGGAATGAATGAATTCCTATGCCCCACAAATAACCCAGAGATGCATTTTAAATAAAAGCACACATTCTACTTGTGTAAAAACACCAGGCAGACCCCAAAAATAACCCAGAAATGCATTTTAAATAAAAGGACACATTCTACTCATGTAAAAACACGCTGATTCCCGGACTGTCTGCGGGCCGGATTTAGAAGGCGATTGGGCTGGATCCGGCCCCCGGGCCTTAGTTTGCCTACCCATGATATAATATGTTGAAGAGATTAGGAAGGGTAGATGTGGAACTGGGAAGGCTGGGCCTTAAGTTGTGAAGATGTGAACAGCAACGGAAAAAAGAAAGTGTGAGGGGAAGTTCTGTGGCCCATCAGCGATGCTCTCTCCTAGTCGAAGCAGTTACACAGGTTCTCTCAGGTTGGACCTGCCCTAAAACTGAAGTAGTAAGTTCTCACAATCTCTCCTGCATTAATTTCTGCCTCACCAAGTATATGATTCCATCCCTTATGTGCTTTCTGCCATGTGCAAGGTGGCTTCGACTCTGGCTGAACCCCTTTCCATTGTCAGACCATGTAGATGGTTCCTCTCGTGTTTAAGGAGGGATGCTTTATGACTAAACCTTTTCCCACAGTCTGTGCACTCAAACGGTTTCTCTCCCGTGTGGCTTCTCTGATGATTAATAAGGTTTGATCTCTGGCTGAAGCTCTTCCCGCATTCCAGACACTCGTACGGCTTCTCGCCCGTGTGAGTCCTCTGGTGGCCGATGAGGAATTCTCTGCGGCTGAAGCTTTTCCCACACTCCGGGCACTCGTACGGCTTTTCGCCCGTGTGAATTCTTTCGTGGATCCTAAGAACCGAGTGGCAACTGAAGTTCTTCCCGCAGCTGGAGCACTTGTAAGGTTTATCTCCTCTGTGTGTTCTCTCGTGCGACGTCAAGCTCGAGCTGTTGCTGAACGATTTCCCGCAGTCTGTGCAGCTGTATGGCTTCTCTCCCGTGTGGATTCTCTGATGATTAAGAAGGTTCGAGCTCTGGCTGAAATTCTTCCCACAGTCTAAACACTTATACGGTTTCTCTCCAGTGTGAAGCCTCTGGTGACGAACAAGGCTTGACCTAAAGCTGAAGTTTTTCCCGCAGTCTGTACACACATACGGCTTCTCCTCCTGTTGAGGATCGGCGGGCTGTGGGAATTCTTTTTCACTTTCTGAGAATTTAGACGGATTCTCTCTGGTCTGGGCTCCCTCTTGTTTTCTGGGGGCTGAGCTGGAAATAAAACTTTCCCCACAACTGGAACATATATGAAGACCGTCTCCAGTAAGATCAGAGCCCTGGTTGAAGTTGTGTCCGCATTCAGAGCACTGATAGGGTTTCTCTCCTGCAGGGATTCTCTGAGGATCACTAAGATGTGCTTTCCCACCCAAGCTGGTTCCACAATCCATATACAACTCTTCTCCTGCTTGGACCTTCTCCTGCTGAGGGGTCGATGTCCAACTTTTTGCACTATCTGTATGCTGGCATAGCTTTTTCTCAGTTTGTGTGTTCTGGAAATCAAGGGTTTGGCTGAAGCTTTTTCCACAGCCAGGGCTCATCCTCGTATTCTTGTCCTTGTGCTCTCTCTCCTGGAAGGTGTTGTGATTTAGGAGTTTATTACCATCTCTTTCCCAAATCTGTTTTTCTCCTCCTCCTCCTCCTCTCCGCCCTGGGTAGCTTCCCTCCTTCCTGTCTGCCCTTTGCTGACTTTTCGGCACATTTTCCACTTGAGGAAATGGGGGGAAATCCCATTTGGCTTTGTCCAATGAGTCACCAGAAAGTTCCGCCTGCGTTGATGCTCCTGGCTCAAGAGGCTTCTCCTCATTTTTGGCCACTTGCCTATCCCCTGACAGAAAGAGAACATAATCTGACATGAGTGACACTGCTGTGGAAGCCATATTCACACCCTATCTTTAATGCATTATGATGCTAATTTAAACAGCCATGGCTTTCCCTAAAGAATTCTGGGAGTTGTAGTCCATTAAGGGTCGTTGGAGACCATTTTCCCTCACATATTCCCCTCACAGAGCTACAATTCCCAGAGTTCCTTGCGAAGAGGGATGGTCAAGCCACTCTGTAAATTGTAGCTGTGTGAGGGGAATAGGGATCGCCTAGCAACTCTCAGCACCCTTAACAAACCACAACTCCCAGAATCCACTACTGCTTCCTGCCACTGCAGATTGCCCAATCAGCAAGGGTGCTGAGGAAGTACAAGGGCAGACATAGCTGTCTTTCCCATTCAAGGCGTCCCCCTTCACCAGTCTCCAAAAACTCCACTGCTAATTCATTCCCTGTTTAATGATTTCTTCTAGTATCTTCTTATGCTTCCTACTGAACTTCAGGTGCATGACTAATAAATACTACTACTGGGTGGCGCTGTGGGTTAAACCACAGAGCCTCTTGGGCTTGCCGATCAGAAGGTCGGTGGTTCGAATCCCCGCGACGGGGTGAGCTCCCGTTGCTCAGTCCCTGCTCCTGCCCACCTACCAGTTTGAAAGCATGTCAAAGTGCAAGTAGATAAATAGGTACCGCTCCAGCGGGAAGGTAAACAGCGTTTCCGTGCGCTGCTCTGGTTTGCCAGAAGCGGCTTAGTCATGCTGGCCACATGACCCGGAAGCTGTACGCCGGCTCCCTCGGCCAATAAAGCGAGATGAGCGCCGCAACCCCAGAGTTGGCCACAACTGGATCTAATGGTCAGGGATCCCTTTACTACTACTACTTTCTTGTTTAACCAGGCATTTGAAGGTGGTTTTTGCTTCTTTCAAACATTTTTATTGTTTGATCGCCCCATTTTCTGTGTATTGCTTTTTGTGCACACTGCTTAGAAATGCCAATAATTAAGCGGCCTTAAATAAATAAATAAACGTACTTTACCCGGTGCTCCAGTTACAAGCAAAGCCTATGCCAGTGGTCAGGAACCTCTGCCCTGCAGGCCTGATCAGGCCCACGAGGTCTCCTCCTTTGACCCATCAGGCAGTTTGGGCCAAGCTGCACCCACCTGCCCTGCACGCATCATCATGCCTGACATCAGGTGTGGGGCGGGGAAAGACACGGCTGAGCCAATAAGGGGGTGGGTTTGCAAACACCACCAATCAGCTGACTGGCATCCCCTGCAATTCCCCTCCCATCCACAGGCGTTGATTGTTGGCACTTGCAAAACACTATGCCTTTTGCCATCAGGATTCGAATTCAGACCATGTAAGCAAAAATGGGTCACCGGACACCCTTGTGATGCCAGGGGGTGGGCAGGTGAGCAGCATCGGGGCTCTGAAGCATTACCTAGTGGCAGGTGGGGGCCTCCATCATCCACTGGCTGCACTTCCATGTAGGGCTGTGCCTTCGTAATCTCCGAAGAGGCGAGTTTGGCTTTGGGGGGACCGGTTGTCTTCTTAAATGGCTCCGAAATCTGAAACACAGTGCAGGGCATGGTAAGAAGATCTGGAAGACTTAAGACTGTTTTGGGGGGAAAAGGCCTTCCTGGATCAGGACCATAATCCGTGAGACCTAGTAGTATTGTGGTCTCAGCAGTAGTCAGCAAGGTGGGTTAGGATCCTAAGCAGCAGCAACAAGGACAGCTAAACTGGTGAGCTCTCCTTCATGGGATGTTTATAAGCAGAGGTTGGAGGGGTTCCTTAGCTTTGATTCCTGCCCTCTGCCCTGATCTGTAGCAGCTGCCTTTTGGCTGGGTGGGAAGATCAGTATACCTGAAGGAGCATCTCCACCCCCATCGTTCTGCCCGGACACTGAGGTCCAGCTCCGAGGGCCTTCTGGCGGTTCCCTCCCTGCTAGAAGCCAAGTTACAGGGAACCAGGCAGAGGGCCTTCTCGGTAGTGGCACCCTCCCTGTGGAACGCCCTCCCATCAGATGTCAAGGAAATAAACAACTATCAGACTTTTAGAAGTCTGAAGGCAGCCCTGTTTAGGGAAGCTTTTAATGTTTGATGTATTACAGTATTTTAATATTTTTCTGGAAGCCGCCCAGAGTGGCTGGGGAAGCCCAGGGGTATAAATAATAAATTATTCTTATTCTTATTCTTATTATCATCATCAAACCAAGCAACAAAAAATCATTGGGTTGCCATGGCTGACTTCCAGGCGAGGGAGGGGAGTGTTGGTGTTTGAGTTCTGCTTCTTTCTTTCTTTTCTTCTTTTTTTAAATACTTTTATTTTGCTTTAAACAAATACAGATAAACAACCAAAATTACAAAAGAAAAATCCTTAATAATAGTAATAATGGAAAAGCTAAAAAACTACAAAAAATATCAACGTACATGGCACAGAACATAAGCCTTTATGAGAAAGAAAAAAGAAAAAAAGGAAAAGGAAAGGAGGGGGGGGAGAAAAAGAAAAAGTAAAAAAAGGGGGGAAGAAAAAAGAAGAGAAAAAAAGGAAAAGGAAAGGAGGGGGGAGAAAAAGAAAAAGTAAAAAAAGGGGGGAAGAAAAAAGAAGAAAAAAAGAAGATGAGGCAAAACACAAGGAGGCTCATCTATTGTACACTTCCATCAAGGTCACAACAGATCATTGTTCTTATCAATTCTCTCTATCTGCATTCCATAGAATCCCGCATTTTGGTATCAGGGAACATTTCCCAATGCGGTATCATTCTAAACATAACCAGGTCTTTCTTGATGAACCCTTGTCCCCTAGGTAATTATTTAAACATTCCCATGCTTCTTTTAGCTGCTGGTTTGTGGGTGGAAGTGCGGTTTGATCATTAGTGCATCGCCAAAGTTTTCTATTGCTGTTAAGAGGGAAGGGGGCGGGGCTGTATTGTGGGCTATTACACCTTGCATGGGTTTTGCATGAATTTTCTTTTCTGTGGTAAAATAAATTTATGCCTACGTATCTTGAGGTAAGCTACTTGGAGTCTTTGAAGGTAGCAAGCAATTAATCCTTTTTAATAATAATAATAAATGAGACACAGGGAGGCCATAAGAACACAGGAAGAGCCCGCTGGATCAGGCCGATGGTCCAGAATCGTGTTCTCACAGTGGCCAACCAGATGCCTTTGAGAAATCAGCAAGCAATAGCCATCTTGGCTAGAAGCCATCAATAGCCCTCTCCTCCCTGAAATCATGTTCTGGTTCAAAGTTTTATAGAAAACCCAACCTTCAGCAATGCCACTCCATACCTGAAGGAGCCCAGACACTGAGGTCCAGCGCCAAGGGCCTTCTGGCGGTTCCCTCCTTGCGAGAAGCAAAGCTACAGGGAATCAGGCAGAGGGCCTTCTTGGTGGTGGCACCCTCACACTAGATGTCAAAGAGATAAACAACTACCTGACATTTAGAAGACATCTAAAGGCAGGGAAGTTTTTAATGTGTGACATTTTGATGTATTTTTAATCCTTGTTGGAAGCCGCCCAGAGTGGCTGGGGAAACTCAGTCAGATGGGTGGGGTACAAATAATAAATTATTATTATTAACAAAATTTCCTCACCCGACGCTCCTGCATTTCGACCTCCTCCTTCCAAAGTAAGAAATCTTCTGCCAGGGCCACCGCCTTGGCGCAGGTCTCAGGGCCATCGCCCCTAACCCAGCCCTGCATTTCTAAGGGCAGGATGTCCAGGAACTGCTCCAGAATCACCAGCTCCAGGATCTGCTCTTTCGTACGAGAATCAGGCTTCAGCCACTGGCGGCACAGGCCCTGGAGCTTCCGCAAAACCTCCCGGGGTCCCTCGTCCTCCCGGTAGCAGAACTGCCTGAATCGCTGGCGTTGCCTCTCCTTTTCCAGAACCCCTCCTTCCACGCTCAGTGAAGAAGCCTGACTTCTGGGGACTTTCCCAACGAGACCCAGCAAGGTCTGAGACTCCAACTTTCCTCTTGGCCCACGGTTGCCGTCGGCGATGGCCTTCAGCGATGCTGCATCGTCCAGGCCTACAAATCCAGGCACCTGGGATTTGCCTCTTTCTGAGCCAGTTCCCTCCTGGGATTTCTGCCACTCCCAGTGCTGGACCAAGTCTTCATCTAGCTCCCCTTTAACCAGCTGTGTGCCGACACCAGACAGAAACCTCCCAGCCTGGACGAGACGAGGGTCTCTTCTTCCTTCCTCCATTTTCTCCCCTAGAACTGGCACAAGCGACATTCTGGTCCGCCACTTTTATTCCTGGCCATGCACCCTGTCCTGGAAGAAGTTGAAATGAGAATCAAATAAAAGCACCCACCCACCCACAAAATGGATCGAACCAAGAGTCCATTTGGCCCAGAGTTCTCTTCCTGGCAAAGGCCGGCTATATGACAGGACTTTGCTGCTGTTGCCGTCCGTCCCTCCCACTTCCCCATGGAGGTTCCATTCAGCCATTGCTCCTTCTATTCCCAACGTTCAAAGCACAAGTGTCAATCCTTACGTAGCCCAAAATATATATCGGCAGGCTTGAGGAAACCCCAAGGTTTGCAAATGGTTCAAAAATATTCAGGCAGCTAAAAAAAATTTTTTTTTTCCAAAGGTGAGGAAAAAAAGCACACTTCCGAAATACTCCGCTGAATTCTGAACATGCTCAGAGGCCATGGAATGCTGACTGACTGTTGGGGAAGGTGGCTATCACAGCTCATGGCCCTTTGAATGGCACCTTCATAAACAAGTCCCAGGCCATTGTGGCTGTCATTACTCAGTTCTGAAAAATGCAAACATTATTTCCATTAAGTGCAAGGAGTAGAGAAATAACTCTTAGGAGCTGCTGTGCCTTGCTACGGTTTTTAATGTGCTTTCAGGAGTACCCTTTTCAGAGCTGTTTTCCGCTTCCATAGCCACGCAGGGTTGGGACCCGACCCACCCAGATGCACACTTACTCCCCCCCCCCCCGCAGGGGCATAGCCAGGATTTTTGTTGGGGGGGGGGGCAGAACATCAGCTAGCTATGTATTTTTATATATTTATTTTTGGGGTAGCTACCCCTCCCTGGCTACGCCCATGCCTGGGAGTAAGCCCCACTGAGCCCAGCAAAATATTTACTACTTGAGTAGTAAGTGCACCAAAAATGGGAGCACAAAATCTCCTTTTTACCTGGGAACGAAGTCCACCGAATTCAATCATACACGCTACCTTGTAAATCAGGTTTTCCGATTCTTGAAACAAATAATGTCAGTACCCGTTTGTGCGTGGAGGGAAGAGACGCAGAAAACAGCTGCGTTTGGCAATACTTGGGACACAATCTGGTGCATAATCTGCCTGCCTGACGTGTACAGGTAAAACTATGGAGTATGGGGGTGGGGTGGGGGGAGCCAGCCTTGCCCCTTTCCTTTCAAGTAGCCTGAAAGTGAAATAACCAGTCCAGCCAGTTTTGGGTTCCTCCCCCCCCCCCCCCACTCCTGGTAGGCTGGCACCCTTACTTGCCCCTGCTTGTTCTGCAACCATGTGGGGAAGACTTGCCTGACTAGAAATTTAGCTAGTCTGGCCTCAGGGCACTGTCAAATTGGGGGCAGGGGGTGGAGATGGGAGGGGGGGGGTCTCTTTCAGAGAAGCATAAATATGCTTCTAAACATTTTTTTTTATTGTTAATAAATTACATAAGAATAAGTATACATGACCCGTATCTTAATATGTGATTTTATTTCACACTGTATATTGTTATGTGTTTGGGGCAGGGAGGAACAGTCTGGGTGATATCCCCGGGTCCCTTCCAGCCCTGTATTTGTGGGGTAGAATCTATAAGGAGAAAACTTGCCTAACCAGTTCTTTTTATTGAAGTAATGGCTTTGGCTGGCTAGCTCAGTTGGTTAGAGCAATAATGTATTTGCCTGGCGCAGAAAAGGCTTCAAAGAAGAAGCCAGCCAAGCCGCTCTGGGGGAGGCCGTTTCGCAATCATATTCCCTATTTACTACGTTTTTATTCTGCCTTCCCTCCAAAGAGTTCAGGTCCTACCCTCAAAACAACCCTGCAAGGTAGGTCAGGCTGAGTGACTGCAACTGGCCCCATGGGGCCCTGTGAGCTTCGTGGCTAAGAGCAGGGATTGAAAAACTGGCTGGTTCTCCCTGGCGGGTGACTGGGGAGGAAATCCACCACTCAGCACAACCACAAAACCACCATACGTCAATTCTCTCACCCCATCCATACAACACATACCCATAAGGAAATCCCACTGAGATCAATAGGTTTACTCCCAGGCAGATGAGTACATGGGCTGCAGTCCACCAATCGCACCCTTAGTTACCTGTGTGTGTGTGTGAGTCTCATTGAACTCAATGGCGGGCTCCCCAGGCGCTTCTGCAGTCCTATGCAGGCTGACCATTACCAAGCAGTGACTTGCAGCACAAGCCTACCCCTACCGAATTCATCGGGGCTTAGTCCCATGTGAGTAGGCTCGGGCTGGCAGCCTTGCCTCGGAGTAAAGACGCACCAGGGTGGGCCGTTTATGAAATATCCGTGCGCAGCTCAGTCAGTAGAGCAGAACACTCTTAATCTCAGGCTCGTGGGTGCGAGCCCCACGTTGGGCAAAAGATTCCTGCATTGCAGGGGGTTGGACTAGATGACTCATGGAGTCCCTTCCGACTCTACAATTCCGCGATTCGTCGCCCCAAACCGATCCCCTCGCCTTCCCCTCTCTCTGCCCATCCGTGCGCCTTGCTCTGCTGCAGGTCCGCGGGTGGGAAAGGAGGACGGGGGAGAATTCTTTGGCTACAGTCCCCAGCCCGGGTGGTTGGCCGATACAGCCCCATCTGTCCACGGCCACGGATTTCCTGCTTGGCGGCTCCCTCTCCCTCCTGCTGCTGCAGCAGCAGCTGGGGGGGGGGTCCCACCTCCCTCCCGGGCTCCTCAACTCACCTTTACCTGGCGAGATTCCCCAACCTTGTGCGCCCCCCGCGCATCGCAGGTCCAGCGCGCGGGCGCCTCCAGGTCGCTCACCGCAGTCAGGAAAGGGATCTCTCTCTCTCTCTCTCTCTCTCTCTCGGAGGGTAGGTGGGTGGGGTTGAAAGCTGGCCAGAGAGATCGCAGGCTCCTAGAGAGACCGAGTTGAAGAAGGCGAGGCCAACTCCTTCTTCCTCCTCCTCCATCACCGTGGGAAAGCGCCCATTATATTTCCCACCCTTTCGGATAACTGCGCGGGGCGCTTTCCCTATCCTTTTTGCATCGCCTGAGTGAGCGTTTCTTTCCAGCTCCAGGTCATATAAAAGGCATTACACACCCCCCCACACACCCAGATCAAAAGATACAGCAGCAGGTCAGCCGGTGCGCTTTTTTGTTTTTTGTTTAGCCACTTGGCAACCCTGTTCACACGCTCAGTTCCCGGGGGGGGGGAAGATGCTCAAACGGTTAAACAAGCAGAGCTGGAATTCCTAGAGAGAGAAAGCAGGAAACGTGTGATTGGGTAGCTGCGATAATAAAAAAGAGGGAAAGGAAAGGAACGAAGCAGGAGGCATTTTCCTGTCCCTCCCCCTTTAGGGAGAAATGACTTTTTGGTGCAATTGTGGGCTGCAGATCCTGGCCCCCGGAAGGGGCTGGACAAAGTGGGTGTGTGGTAGCAGAAGAGGGGATATCTGAAGGGTCTGGGGTGGTAGAAGAAAGAACACCCGCCCCATGACTGGTGCAAGAAGAGGGAGTCGGTGGGGTTACGAACACAGGCACTCCAGAGAGCAGGGAAATGCAAAGGGTCTTCTTGCTACGCTGAAAATCAGGAACTGACTAAGCAGCATCCTGTAATAAACGAAAATCTGCCCTTATTCCCTTATGGGGGACACAAGAGCCCTCATGGAGTCCTTTGTAGGTTCTCCATCCGTCGGAGGAAAGAACAGAGGCCAACCAGAGAATATTGAGAAGCAAAGCACCTTGTAAGCCTGATCTTTACTGAACTGTTGCGACAGGGTGCCCCCTTCACACGCAGGAGGATGGTGGAGGACCCAGAACCAAGGTGTGCCTGCCCTTATATAGACCTTTTAAATTCCCTGCCCTAGAGCTCAAGACCACCCCTCCATACATCATACCTACATCACAGAAAGGGCGGGCTACAGCAGAAATCTGAGTGGGTTGTTTACCTCCTGTCTGGCAAGTTACCTGTTAATGCTTACTGGATTGATACCCTGGGGAGCCTGGCCAGTCTTTTGCAATGGTAAATACTGTACTTAGTTCCTGAGCCAAGTCACAGGCTCACACCCTATTCACACACAGACATACCCTTAAGACAGGATTTGTGAAGGAAAAGACAATGGGAGACTTTTCCATTTGACTTTGCAGAGAAAACACCTGGTCAGTTGGGGAGTCAAAAATGGCTTCGTGGCTGTTCTCCTGTGCTGCTTCAGACATGTGGTTTATATATTTATGTACGTGTTTGCTTGGTACACTATGAACATTTATTATATATATAAGACCTCAATTCTTTTATTTCAGTACCAAGATTGCAATCACCACTTCCTACTTCACTTACCTGGGGCATGTGCAGGGAGGAAAAGGAAACCGAATCAAGGATTTTCAAGCATGTATTAATTAAGCTCACCCACCCCTGTGGGCAGCAGGATCTAGAATCAATCTAGATTGGAAGCAGTGTGTTGAGGAAAAGCATGAAAGGTTCTGGATTGAGGGCAGGGACTACATTTTTGTGCTACCACGAGCAGGTTTGTGTGTACTCAGGCTGATTCCCAGAGCCTCAAGCTCTTTAACTTTCCAAATCACAGGCGGTAGAGCCATGGGGCATGTGAGCAGGGCCAGCCCTGTCATTAGGCAAAGGGAAGCAACAGCCTCAGAGTCGTGAGGAGACCACCACTTCCCAGAGTGGTGTAACAACCTGTCCCACTTTCCAGAGAACTCTGGGAATTATAGGTCAGTGAGGGGAGTAGAGGGTCCCCCCAACAACTCTCAGCACCCTTTGGAACTACAGGCCCCAGGATTCTTCGGGGGACGCCATGTTTTAAAGTGGCATGATCCCGCTTTGAATGTACACTGCGGATGGGGCCTAAGTGCATATAATACTACTACTACTACTACTACTTTTATTATTTATACGGCACCCATCTGGCTGGGTTTCTCCAGCCACTGTGGGCGGCTCCCAACAGAATATGAAAAACATGATAAAGCATCAGACTTTAAAAACTTCCCTAAACAGGGCTGCCTTCAAATGTCTTCTAAAAGTCCGATAGTTGTTTATTTCCTTGACATCTGATGGGAGGGTGTTCTACAGGGTGGGCACCACTACTGAGAAGGCCCTCTGCCTGATTCCCTGTAACTTGGTTTCTCGCAAGGAGGGAACCGCCAGAAGGCCCTCAGAGCTGGACCTCAGCGTCCGGGTTGAACGATGGGGGTGGAGACACTCCTTCAAGTATACTGGGCCCAGGCCATTTAGGGCTTTAAAGATCAGCACCAATACTTTGAATTGTGCCTGGAAACGTACTGGGAGCCAACGTAGGACTTTCAGGACTGGTGTTATACGGTCTCAGCAGCCGCTCCCAGTCACCAGTCTAGCTGCCGCATTCTGGATTAGTTGTAGTTTCCAGGACTGCATACTAAATCTCATTGAACTCAATAGGGCATATGTCTGATTAGATGTGTACAGGACTGCACTCTGTGAGTTTTTTGTTCATCATGGGTCTGGGGGCGGGGAGGCAGCTGCGCTAGTCTGGATTCAGTTAAAATAAAATAAAAATCCACAATGTCCGGCCAACAGATTTATTGTGACATTCATCTTCATGGTCCAGGACCCATTTTTGTCAGACAGAGGGATACTTGACCCCAGCACCTGATATTCAGATACAATGCCTCTGCTCATGGATGTTCTGTTTGGCTCTTCGCACACCTCTGTGAGTGTCTCTCACCCTCTTAAACCAAAGGCCTCTCTAGCCCGGCATTCTCCATTTCCCCCAGAGGTTTGCTAGATGCTTCTGAGCACAATAACACTCTCCCACCCATGTTCCACAGCAGTTGGTACCCAGGGGTAGGCTGCCTCTGCTACTGTAGGTAATATATATCATGACTAGTAGCCACTGATAGCGTTGACGTCCGTGAATTTGTCTAACCCACCGTAAGCTGCCCAAGTTGGAAGCTATCACTGCATCATGGGGCAGTGAGTTCCACAGTTTAAGTATGCCCTTTGCAAAGCAGCCTCTCCTTTTGCTGGTCCGAGATCTCCTGCCCTCTAGCTTCATTGGGTGTCCTGAGGTTTTAATATGATGAGAAGAGCAAGAAAAACGTCTCCCCATCCACCTTCTCCATACTGACCTCTTATCATGTCTTCCCACCCTGTCTTACTTGCCTTTTCTATAATCTAAAAAGCCTTTCTGTGACCTTTCTGGGCAGTCCCTCGGTCGTTGTGACAGTCCTCGCCCCTTTTTAAAATGAAGATGCCAGGGATTAAACTTCTGTCAGCAAGCTAAGTGCTATATCGCTGCGCTACAATCTTCTTTCATGACAGGTAATTCTGTTTTTGATGAGGGGGAGAGGATTACGTACCGTGGTACCTCGGGTTACATACGCTTCAGGTTACAGACTCCACTAACCCAGAAATAGTACCTCGGGTGAAGAACTTTGCTTCAGGATGAGAACAGAAATCGTGTGGCGGCAGCGGGAGGCCCCATTAGCTAAAGTGGTGCTTCAGGTTAACAACAGTTTCAGGTTAAGAACGGACCTCCAGAACGAATTAAGTACGTAACCAGAGGTACCACTGTATTCTTTTCTCTCCCAAATCGATAATGAGGGAAGAATGAAGGAAAATCCTCAGTTCATAGAAAGCCTGGAGTGCCACTGCCATGTGCCCCTCACATTCTGAGACTAAAATTATATATATACGCGTGCGCAGACGTGCCACTGCGGGTTGCGCTCTTTTCATGTTGCGAACGGACCTCCGGAACGGATCCCGTTCGCAACCAGAGGTACCACTGTATACGACTGAAATGAAAAACACACACCCACGCCCTCTTTTCCTGAAAGTTGAGTGAGGTGACACACAAACTTCAAAAGCACATCACGCACAAATCACTTCACAATCTCGTTTAGGATCTGCACTCCGAAACGGACACCTGCCGTGTCCCGAGCTCAGCTTTTGCGCGGCTTCCCTGCCGTGTGGGTTCTCTCGTGAGCAGTAAGGGTGGAACTCTGGTTGAAGCTTTTCATGCAGTGCGAGCACTTGTAGGGCTTCTCCCCGGTGTGGATCCTCTCGTGCCGAATCAGGTGTGCCTTGTGGCTGAAGCTCCGGCCGCAGACCAGGCAGGTGTAGGGCTTCTCTCCCGTGTGGCTTCTCTTGTGCCTGTTAAGGTTCGACTTCCCGCTGAAGCTCTTCCCGCAGGCCGTGCAGGTGTACTGCTTGACCCCCGAGTGGCTCCTCTGGTGGCCAATCAGGTCCGTCCGGTGCTTGAAGCTCTCACCGCAGTTGGAGCACTTGTAGGGCTTTCCCCCCGTGTGGATCTTCTCGTGGCGGAGGAGGTGGGCCTTGTGGCAGAAGCCTTTCCCGCACACCGAGCAGAGGTACGGCTTCTCGCCGGTGTGGCTCCTCTCATGCCTGGTGAGGTTGGACCTCCCGCTGAAGCTTTTCCCGCAGACAGCGCACGCGTACGGCTTGTCGCCCGTGTGGGTCCTCTCGTGGATGATGTAGTCGGAGCGGTGGTTGAAGCCCTTCCCGCAAGCCGGGCACTCGTACGGCTTCTCGCCCGTGTGGCTCCTCTCGTGCGCGGCGAGCTTGCCGCTCTGGCCGAAGCTCCTCTCGCAGTGCGAGCATTTGTAGGGCTTCTCCGTGTGGGTCCTCTCGTGGGAGATGAGGGTGGAGCTCTGGCCGAAGCTCTTCGGGCACCGCGAGCATTTGTAGGGCTTCTCGCCCGTGTGGATCCTCTCGTGGCGGGTCATGTGCGCTTTGTGGCTGAAGCCCCTGCCACAGGCGGAGCAGGCGTACGGCTTCTCTCCCGTGTGGCTCCTCTGGTGCCGGTTGAGGTTGGACCTCCCGCTGAAGCTCTTCCCGCAGAACGAGCAGATGTGGGGCTTCTCCCCCGTGTGGGTTCTCCAGTGAGCGAGGAGGTAAGACTTCACGTTGAAGCCCTTCCCGCAAAGCGAGCACTTGTGGGGCTTCTCTCCCGTGTGGGTTCTCTCATGAGCGAGGAGGTACGAGCGCCCGTTGAAGGTTTTCCCGCAGTGGGAGCAGGCGTACGGTTTCTCTCCTGCGTGGCCTCGCTCCTGGGAGAGGAAGTATTTTCTCCAGACGAAGGCCTTCCCGTAATTGGAGCATTTGTAGGGCTTCTTGCAAACTCTCTTCCCTGCCTGGCTTCCTTGCTGCCTTTCTATTCTGTACTGATTGGCTCTCCGGAAAACGCTCCCTCTGGACATCAACAACGATGCCCTCATGGGCTCTGTGGGCTTCATGCTACCAGGCAGAAAATCCACCTCTTCTTTGGCGCCGCCATTGCCTGTCAGAAGCAACAGGGAAATCAGGACACTGCACATCAATTCCCGCGCAAATGATCGTTCTGCTTCATGTATTGATTACGAGTTCCTGGCAGGGACTAGCAAGATGCTGACAAGTGTGTGTCAGGGGAAACAGGCCTGGAATCTGACTTGGGAGCTGGGGCCAGTGATTTGTGGGGAACTATTCCAGTCAGGAAGGGACGGGGGAGGCGCCGTGGGTTAAGCCACAGAGCCTAGGACTTGCCGATCAGAAGGTCGGCGGTTCGAATCCCCGCGACGGGGTGAGCTCCCATTGCTTGGTCCCTGCTCCTGCCAACCTAGCAGTTCAAAAGCACATAAAAGTGCAAGTAGATAAATAGGTACCGCTCTGGCGGGAAAGTAAACGGTGTTTCCGTGTGCTGCTCCAGTTCGCCAGAAGCGGCTTAGTCATGCTGGCCACATGACCCGGAAGCTGTATGCTCGCTCCCTCGGCCAGTAAAGCGAGATGAGCACCGCAACCCCAGAGTCGGTCACAACTGGACCTAATGGTCAGGGGTCCCTTTACCTTTACTATTCCAGTCAGGAGGCAAGAGTCAGAGGCAGGGGAAGTTTCAGAGCTGGAGTGTGGAGCCCAGGATGGATTGGAAGAAGAGGAAAAGGCTGGTCAGGAGGCAAATGAGGAGGCAGGTGCTTCCCCACCTTCTCCAGCACCTCTGTCTCCCAGAACCAAGAGGGGATTGAACAGGGATGAGCAGAGGACATTTCCATGCAGGCACAGTCTCCAGCTGCGTGCATACAGCCCAGCCTGGAAAGGTATATTCCAGGTATCTAGTATTGTGATGTTTAGGTGCTGACTGAAGACATTTTTGTTTTACGAAGAGTTTCCCTGAGGGATGACTCAGTTAGCTATGGAACAATACCATACCCGATTAAAACTATTTTGTTGTTTTCAGAATTTGTGAGGATGGCTTTATTGTTTTTATACAGTGGTGCCTCGCAAGACGAAATTAATTCGTTCCGCGAGTTTTTTCATCTAGCAAATTTTTCGTCTTGCAAAGCACGAAATCCCATAGGAATGCATTGAAATTCAATTAATGCGTTCCTATGGTCAAAAAAAGTCCAAACAAAGCCAAATTTGGTACAAGAGTTTATTAAGTGCTCTTTAAAGTCACACATACTGTAAAGAGCATTTCAAAAATTGAAGGAACAATAAGTTTCTAAACATGACAGAAAAACATTTAAAAATCAACAAAGTGTACAGTACATTTTCTAAGACTCTGGGGGACAACTCGAAGAAGGTTCCTCTTCCACTCTTTGCTTCTTGCTGAAGAACCTGTCCATGGACTGCTGCTTCATCCGCCTTTTAAGCACCTCCCTGAAAGGCGACATGACCCTCGTATCAAAAGTGTTCGCATGGTCATGTGCCACATGCTTGTCAGGGTGGTGCCACTGTGCAAAAGCCTGCACATCCTTCCACTTCAGGCAAATGTCCCTCAGTTCTTTGGAGGACAGCCGCTCCTCAATTGCTTCCTCCTCTTCCAGCGAGGCCTGCTCCTGCGCAGCCTCTGCCTGCAGTTCGACCAGCTCCTGGGTGGTCAGCTCGTGGTCGTGCTCCTCCACCAGCTCGCTGATGTCCTCCTCTGTGACCTCCAGGCCCATGGTCCTCCCCAAGGCAACAATGTCCTGCACCACTGTTGACTCTGGTGCATCAGAGTCACTTGGTGCCACACAGTCCGGCCACAGGCTGCGCCAAGCGCAATTCAAATTTCTCTGGCTGATGCCGTTCCAGGCCGTGGTGATCGTCTTCAAGCAGATGATGATGTCGAAGTGGTCCTTCCAGAATTCCCACAGGGTGATGGTGGTGCAATCAGTCACCTCGAAGCATCGCCTGAAAAGCTCCTTGGTGTAGAGTTTTTTGAAATTGGCGATGACCTGCTGATCCATCGGCTGGAGCAGTGGCGTGGTGTTAGGCGGCAGGAACATGATGCTGATGAAGCTGAACTCCTCCAACAAGTCCTCCTCAAGGCCTTTAGGATGAGCAGGAGCATTGTCCATCAGAAGCAAAGCCTTCAGTGGCAGGTCGTTGTCCAGCAGGTACTGTTTGACAGCAGGGCCAAAAGCAAGATTGACCCAGTCCACAAACAGCACACGTGTGACCCAAGCCTTACTGTTGGATCGCCACATGACACTCAGCCGCTCCTTGTCGACCTTGTGTTTCTTGAAGGCCCGTGGGTTCTCCGAGTGGTACACCAACAGGGGCTTGATCTTCAGATCGCCGCTTGCGTTGGCACAGAAGAGCAGGGTCAGACGATCCTTCATGGGCTTGTGGCCAGGCAACTTGGCCTCCTCCTGTGTGATGAAAGTCCTTTTGGGCATCCTCTTCCAAAACAGCCCGGTCTCGTCGCAGTTGAAGACCTGCTGTGGAATGTAGCCCTCCGTCTTCACAACCTCCAGGAACTCCACTGCAAAGTCTTCAGCCGCAGAAACATCAGAACTGGCAGACTCTCCATGCCTGACCACGCTGTGGATTCCAGATCTTGCCTTGAACCGGTCAAACCAACCTCTGCTTGCCTTGAAGACTTCTGGCTCACCTGAGGTTCCTGGCTGTTGCCGGACGAGGTCTGCGTGCAAGGCCTTGGCCTTCTCACAAATGACGGCCTCAGTCACTGTGTCCCCTGCACGCTGCTTCTCTTCTAACCAGATGAGCAGCAACTTCTCCACCTCCTCCAGAACAGCTGGGCGGTTCTTCACGATCCTGGTGACTCCCTTGGCTGCATCAGTCGCAAGGATCTTCTCCCTCATCTTCAGGATGGTCCCGATGGTCGATGGATTCCTCCCGTACTCCCTCGCGAGGTCTGTCACACGCATTCCACTGTCGTGCTTCCGGATGATCTCCTTCTTCATTTCCAGCGTAACCTTCTCCTTCTTCCCCTCGCCGGCCTCTGCAGCAGCAGTCTTCTTGGGTCCCATGGCAGCACAGCTCCTACCTGCGCAAACCCAAAAAAAATAATCAGTGCTTCACATCCAAAAAATTCAAAAGCACCCAGCCACCCACCACACAGAAAGCTTCAAAAATCACCAAAGTCTTCAAAAACCTCAACTATTCCCCCAGCCGCCCACCACACAGAAATTGCAAACCCCTCCCCAACTGCTGCAAACCCCTCCCCAACTGTTCCCCCAGCCACCCACCACACAGAAATTCAAATCCAGAATTTTTTTTAAAAAACAGCAGAGTGGCCCAATGGTCACAAAAAATCATAAAAATGCAGAAAAACACACACAAGCTTCCAGATTCTTGCAACCCCCTCCTCAACTGTTCCCCCAGCCACCCACCACACAGAAATTCAAACCCAGAATTTTTTTTTAAAAAAACAGCAGAGTGGCCCAATGGTCACAGAAAATCATAAAAATGCAGAAAAATCACTCACAAGCTTCCAGATTCTTGCAAACCCCTCCCCAACACCAAGTCCTTGAATTCCAAACACCCCAACCCAAAATCCAACCCCCCCCCCAAAATTTAAGAGTTTAACTTACCAAATGGCTGCAAAAGAAGTTTTGGAAAAGCTTCAAAAATCAGCAAAGTCTTCAAAAACTTCAAAAAAGGCTACCACACCGCGTGCTATGAGTTGCTCCTTGAAGTCAAGTCGCAACTGCACCTCTTCAAGCAATGCACCCTGGGTATTAATGGTTTTACGAAAAAGGAAACAAACTTGCAAGACGTTTTCGTCTTGCGAAGCAAGCCCATAGGGAAATTCGTCTTGCAAAGCACCTCAAAAAACGAAAAACCCTTTCGTCTAGCGAGTTTTTCGTCTTGCGAGGCATTCGTCTTGCGGGGCACCACTGTAGTGTTTTGGGTCTTTTTGTGTGTTCGTGTTTGGGTCTTGTACACCACTTTGATGGCTTTGAAGCGCTCCAAGAATTCGTTACATCATCATTGAATCCCTCACCTGGCTGGACTCCTGAGACAGCCGCACTTCCCTGAGTTGTATGGAGACTGGAGAGCCAGGGCTCCTCTTCTGGTTCCACCTTTATTATCACACCAGTAAATCCTGGAGGAGCAGAAGGAGAAGATCAGGTGTTGAGGAGACTTCCGGGTTAGCGCCTCCGGTAATGGCTGAATTCCTCTGACTGGGAGGAACTCGCTTCGTGGCAATTAGGGTCTGACCGCCACGGCGAAGGCGGGGACCCACAAAAAATCACAGGCAGGAGAAGCCTGTGAACGTGGGATTCGGCTGGCACCTTTTGCGCCTCCCCTACTCGCGGGGAAACCCGGTTTCGGGGATCCGAAAGAATTGACTGCTTCTTTCACGGAGTGAAGCCGCATTGCTGTTGCCGGAGAGCGCTGACTTTTTCCTGTGGACAATTCGATTTTAAAACAACTACCTGTGAGTAGAACGGAAAATTGGATTTTTAAACGTCTTAATTTGGTACCGAAACGGGGAGGTTTCAAACAGGAAGTCCGCCTTCCCCTTTTGTAAATAGACTGGAGCAAAAAGGTTGCAAGCTAAAGTCTTGGAAAGCTTTTCATAAAGGATTAAACTTCCATCGGCTAAAATCATCAAACCCCCCTTGGAAGCAGGAGGAGAGGGGGGAATTCTTTTTAGACCGCGTAAGCCTGCAGGAGAGTGAAGAAAGTCAAATTACCACCGCTCTGAACCTGGAAACGGGCTGCTAGTAGGACTGAAGTTTTGGATATGTTCATTGACTGTGAATAGATCGTTTGTTGACAGTAAGTTAAAGAAGAGAAATACATTGTTTCCATTGTCTCCTTCTGCGTTTAAAAAGGAGTAAATGTAATTGAAAATTGAAACTAACTCTATTGTTTGAATTGTGCTTAAAAGGATTGATACAAATAGAAATTGTTTCCCCCTAGAGGAAGCCTTTGAAATTGTTACATGAGTTGAGTGGGGAATTTCCAGCTGTAAGACAAGACCATGAGAATTTGGGATTGACCTTGGACTGTAAAGAATGTTGACAGAAGAAGCCTTAGTGGTTGCATTATGTAAGATTAATGACTCACTGGAACAGCTCCATAGGAAGACGGATGACTTGGAGCAAAAAGTGACTAATTTGGGACAAAAAGTGAATATTAATACAGAGACTATTCAGGAATCGATACAGGGATCTACCTTGACATGGCAAATTGAGGAGAAGGCGGGGGAGAAAGTTGTCAGAGCCCCAGCCACACAGATGCAATTTGATGACTATAAGTGGATGCCTTTTATGACTGAATCTAGAGAAAGCCAGACTTTGAGGATTGGAGCCCCGCTTGGATTGGAGAAGGAAAGTTGGATAGATCCCTTCATGCAGGGATTTATTGACTTTTGGGACTTGGACTTGGGTCAGGAGGAGACTGGAGTTGTGGGGACTGCTAGACTTGGAGGAACTTTAAAATACGACTAGAAATACCTTGTGAATTTTAGTTTTAACTATGCAGATTTGGCTGATTTGTTGAGAAGGAATACTAGGTGGGAATTTCCTCGAGATTTACTTTTCAGCATCAAAGGAAGGAAAATAAGAACAAGATCAGGAGAAGACAAAGTAAAGTGCATGTATAAACATGAAGAAGACTCACAGAAGGGACTTGGAAAAGAGTTAAGAGCCTCAGACAGAAGATTACCAGGTTGATGGACTATATGGAATGGATGGAAATGACTGGCAGAATCCAAGACCAGGGAGAAGAGACGGTGGAAGATTATTGGAAAAAGTTTAAAATCTATATATGGAAATAATGTAAAATTAATGAATGTTAGAAAAATGTTGGAAGGAAATTTTATGGCTTTAGTAGAAATGTTTTAAGGAATTAAGTATAAATAAGCATTATAGTTTTAATGGAAAATAAGGTTAAAATATGTTAAGATAATCATATGACAGAAAATAGAGAAAGATGGAAAGGATTTGCTGAAACAATTAATAGAAATGGAATACAAAAAGGGAGGTGAGAGGAAGTCGATGAAACAAGGGAATGAAAGAGAGGATATTGAGATGGTGTGATGTGTGTTTTTTGAATTGTTTTTGCTTTTGTACTGTTTTTGTATTGTTTAATGTGTTAATGTTGTGTTGTGTATTGTTTATATATTGTATTGTATGTTTTTTCTTCTCCCCCCCCCTTTTTTTGTAAGGTTTAAAAGTAATAAATATTATTTTTAAAAATAAAATTAGAAAAAAAGATCAGGTGTTGAAATTCTGGCTCAGAGTGGCAGTGGTGGTGGGGGCTGCATAAGTTGCTGGACTCCAGCTCCCATCAGCCACAGCCAGCATGGCCAACAGTCAGGAATGATGGGAGTTGTAGTCTAACTGCATCTGGAGGGCACCCTCTGGATTATCCCAGTCATAACTTGATAGGGTCAGAGGTACTGGCACTGACTCAGGTAGTGCAATTAGGTGCAATTTATAGCCTTATTAATCAATAGCCGGATTTGCCTGATCCCCTTTTAAGAGCCAGCTCAGTTGGCAGACATCACATCTTAAGGGCTGTGAACGTCATAATTTGTGTTCTATGAAGAAGGGCCTCCTCCTGTTGTCCACCCTGAGTCTCCCACCACTCTGCTTCTTAGTATTGCAAGGGGAGATGTGGGGGTTATCTCACAGCCAGACTCTTCCCTCTCTTGGGAAGGCCTCACCTTCCTCACAGCCTTGATGATCTGACTCCCAGGGCTCCTCCTCTTCTTCTTCCACCTTCACAGTCACCGCAGGAAGCCCTGAGGGAGGAAAGAGATCTAAGAGGATCTCGGGAAAGACACATCTTCCGGACAACCTCATCTTAATCATATTCTTTCTTTTAAGGATTTAATCCTGCCGAAAATAGGACCTTGGGTTTGTGTTCCATAAGACATGGCACAAAAAGAAATGGGATTGGGAGGGAGGAGGAAAAAAGGCAATCTTGGGCAACAATTATTATAAGACAGAATAAAAATAAAAAAAATCCTTCCAGTAGCACCTTTAAGACCAACTAAGTTAGTTCTTGGTATGAGCTTTTGTGTGCAAGCACACTTCTTCAGATACACAGTGTATCTGAAAGGTGCTACTGGAAGGATTTTTTTTATTTTTATTTTGACTATGGCAGACCAACACGGCTACCTATCTGTAATTATAAGACAGGTGGTTCTGCTGTTGCGGGCTGCCTCTGTTTCCCTCTAAGACACAGCCTTGCATTCAGACTCTCTCTTCCTTCACAGGGCAGCCGGTTCTGACAGCCTCTATTAAACAGTTCAGAACTGCAATACCTCAAGGACCACCTCTCTCCAAATAAACCGATCCAGACTCTGGATTCATCCTCTGAGGCCCTTCTTCGTGTGCCTCCTCCACAAGAGGTCCAGAGGGAGGCAACACGAGACCGGGCCTTTTCTAAAGTGGCTCCCCATTTGTGGAACGCTCTCCCCAGGGAGGCTCGCCTGACGCCTTTATCACATGTCTTTAGGCACCAGGCCAAAATGTTCCTCTTTAGCCAGGCTGATTAGTATTCTACAGCCTTTAAATATGTTTGTGGGAGTGGGGAGAGGCTTATTGTTTTGTTTTAACTTTTTTTGTGTGCTTCCACCCAGTATTTCCATCTGCTCCAAAATCTTCGGATGTAGAGCAGTATATAACGATACAATACAATAATCTTTATTGTCATTGTCCCATACAGAACAACAAAACTGAAAAAAAATCTACATCTACATTTGATTGATTGATTGATTGATTGAATAATGTGAGGGGAGAGGGGTGCCCAGTTCAGCAGACAAGCTTACTTTGGAATCACAGACACAATGGGGCTGCAGACATGAAGAACGCTATGGGGCATTCTCCTGGGTTCTAGAACATTCCAAGACTACAGAACCACTGGTGGGTGGGTGTTTCTGTTTCTGCCCCGTGCTATCCTCCTCTCTAAGGATCAAAGCTACACATCAAGGCTTTCAAATGCCAAAGCCAGCCTTTATTAAGGTTTTCTTCCCACAACGTTCAAATCTTGGGTGTTTCAAGGTTGGGGAGAATGTGAGAAACCTGGGGATGATCAATAGAAGAGAGGTGTGCCACAGATTCAGAGTAAGTCACTGGGAGAGGGAGGGGGGAAGGCAGCAGGGCAAGCGCAGCGGCAGAGCAAATCCGGTGTTTCTATGGGTCCACACCGCACCAACCCCCCTGCCACCTCACCCTACAACACACTTGCTGAGGCGCTGGTGTTGTGGGTCTAGCCCACGTGGAGAGCTGCTTCTGGTTACCTGTGCATTTTAGGGGAATCCACCCCTCACCTGAGCATGAAGTCCCAACAGCCTTGTTTCCCTCCATGCCTCCACCATCAGGTTCGTCTTCTTCTATCTTTACCACTACTTCAGGGAATCCTGATCAATACAGGGAAGGCAACGGTGAGTGCCAGCTAGTTTTCTGTGGAAAAATTCCTCTCACCTCCCTCAATACACAACAGCTTTCAAATGAGGTGGCTTCTCCATTACCTCACCAGTGGTGTGGCCTGGAGCCTCGTTTTCTTCCCTTCTTTTTTGTGTGCTACAGAACCCAAGCCTTCTCTCCTCCTCACTAAAATCCAGGAATCCCACTCGGGCTTGAAAACTGAAATTTCTGCTAAAGTGCAGAAGACGCCGACGTAATCACGTAGGGAATAATGTGAAATGCACCAGAGGGGTGTTCATTTTAACCCCCACGTGTACCTCCAAAGTTTGTGAAGGGTCTTGTGGGAAGCCCCACAGCTTGCTGGCTGCGCATATGGAGTTGTTGTGGGGTGGGGTGGGCCTCGATCCACAAGAGCTTAAGCCACATTAAATCCTTCAGCGTTCCAGGAGCCACAAAACGCTTTGTTGTATTTTGCTGCCAGAGATGAATATGGCCACCCCACTGGAATGCTGGGAAACCAGGAAGAGGCCTGCCCACAGATGATGGCAAAATTAGGGTTGCCATACATCTGGAATTCCCCGGACATAGCTGGAATACAGCAGTTGGAAGCAGAAATCACTGAAATGTCTGGGGAAATCCCAACATATGGCAACCCATGTCAAAAGTCTAGATTTTGCCAAATTTCATTTTTGAGATTTTGCACAACAACTTTGGCCGAAAAGAATAATAAAAAAACAACCTCAACAACTTTGCCAAAAAAAAAAAGGTCCGAATTTTCACTTTCTGAAATACAGTGGTACCTCAGTTTTTGAATGTAATCCATTCTGGAAGACAGTTTGAGTTCTGAAACGTTCAAAAACCAAAAACTCAACAGCCAACTGCTAGGCACTCAGTGGAAGCCGTGTGGCATGTTCGACTTCCAAGGTGTGTTCGAAAACTGAAGCATTTACTTCCGGGTTTACGGCGTTCGAAAACCGAAATGTTCGTCAACGGAGACGTTCAGAAACCGAGGTACCACAGTATATCAACCCTAGCTAAATGGGTCCCAGTTTCTCGATTAGATCTTTCACCTGACTGGGCAGTTGGGGAAGTGCTGTTTTCCTCAGAAATCTGATGATTCGGGGTCCATGGTTCCTCTTCTACCTTTATCGTCACGTCAGGGAACTCTGATCAAGAGAAAAACGTCAGAAGGTGAGGCACAGGAGGATGGTTCAATCATGAGTGGCAGGCAGTTTCTCTGCCTCCTCCCATTCCGAGCTGCCCACATATTAAGATCTGTATGAGAGGAAGGTCTGCTGGTGGCCCACACACCTCAGGACACTTGTGGGATGGAGTCCCATGCACAGGGCTCTCTCTTGCCATTGGAGCACCAACCCCTCTGAGGCGGACCTCACCACAACATTGGTGTCATTTCATGAGCCGGTGAAGTTGCATCTCTGTTCTCAGGATTTTGGGGTGGGGGTGACATGAAGCCCCTGAATTTCTGTCGCTGCTGGTGGTTTTATTGTAAGCAGATTCTGTATTTTGTTTTTTTCCTACACTGTTTCAATCCTATGGTTTAAAAATGTTTGCTTTGGGCAGTATAACATTCCTTGCCCTGGGACTTTTGGGCGAAAAGCAGATTATAAAGTAAAGGTAAAGGGACCCCTGACCATTAGGTCCAGTCGTGGCCGACTCTGGGGTTGCGGCGCACATCTCACTTTATTGGCCGAGGGAGCCGGCGTACAGCTTCCGGGTCATGTGGCCAGCATGACTAAGCCGCTTCTGGCGAACCAGAGCAGCACACGGAAATGCCGTTTACCTTCCCGCCGGAGCGGTACCTATTTATCTACTTGCACTTTGACGTGCTTTCGAACTGCTAGGTTGGCAGGAGCTGGGACCGAGCAACGGGAGCTCACCCTGTCACAGGGATTCGAACCACCGACCTTCTGATCAGCAAGCCCTAGGCTCTGTGGTTTAACCCACAGCGCCACCCGTGATAACTGTTAATGTTGTGGTTCTGGACTGTCAGGGGTTAACAATCCAGGAGCGTTCTTATCAACTGGGTGCACTGCCCATATGATCCATGCTTGTTTGCTTTGATCTGTGCTCTGTGGGGGCTGAGCTCTCTCTGGAGAGCAGTCTGTCTGGGAACGCTAGCAAGGTCCTTCCGTTTTTTGTTAAGAGGCAGAGAGCTGTGAACATGCAGCTAGATTCTGCAGGTTTTCTTTTCTGTTTTGAGTGCTACTAAATAAAGAGTTTTGGATTAGAAGCACTGGTGTCGAGCTGCGTTATTGAGGACACCACGTTGCCACAGATAAGCCATTTGATGCTGTGTGTGGACTCTGCTATTATCCGGCAACGGGAGAGAGTGGCAGCGCGCGGAGTGGAAGCGTGTGGGCACCATTGGAAGTTTGTCGGAGTGGCAAGAAATCCATTAGCACAAAGGGGGCACTGCCAGCTCCCTGCCTTTAACCCTATCAGATGCATACCAGCTGCCAATGGAGTTCTACAATTGCAGGGCCGTTGCAGCAGACTCTGTGGGTCAATAGATATACGACCCAACAAACTTTCACAGTTATGGGATGAATGAATGATCATGATGAAGAATCTTTCTTTCTCCACGACTACAAGAAGAAAATAAAATCTAGTGGCGGGGGTGGGGTGGGGGAAAGACCCTCAGAATCAGAAAGTGTGAGGCTCTCCGTATAGCTTCATAGCTAATGTGAACTAGTAGAAAAGGACCCAAAACACATTCATATACAAACTGAACACATTAGAATAGCCACCTGTCATTTTGTGACCAAGCAGAATTGAACTCCCTCTTAAAAAGCAGAGACATCACCTTGCTGACAAAGGTCCGTATAGTAAAAGCTATGGTTTTCCCAGTAGTGATGTATGGAAGTGAGAGCTGGACCATAAAGAAGGCTGATCGCTGAAGAATTGATGCTTTTGAATTATGGTGCTGGAGGAGACTCTTGAGAGTCCCATGGACTGCAAGAAGATCAAACCTATCCATTCTGAAGGAAATCAGCCCTGAGTGCTCACTGGAAGGACAGATCCTGAAGCTGAGGCTCCAAGACTTTGGCCACCTCATGAGAAGAGAAGACTCCCTGGAAAAGACCCTGATGTTGGGAAAGATGGAGGGCACAAGGAGAAGGGGACGACAGAGGACGAGATGGTTGGACAGTGTTCTCGAAGCTACCAGCATGAGTTTGACCAAACTGCGGGAGGCAGTGGAAGACAGCAGTGCCTGGCGTGCTCTGGTCCATGGGGTCACGAAGAGACGGACATGACTAAACGACTAAATAATAAGGTACCCACGGGTGTACAGGGAGTTCAATCCTGCTTCCTGCAGGGATAGGATTTGAGAGCAGCCCTACTATCCACATCTCTGCATGCCCCATAGAACATCAGGTATGGGGCAGATGGGCACAATTTAGGGGGAAACAACCTTGTAGTCAAATGGGGAGGCCTGGTGTTTCAAATCTGGTCGGGTGGGGGGCAAAGTTCCCTAGGTAACCTGTATCATCCAAATCCACCCCACACCTAGCCAGTCACCTAGGAAGATCTTGCTTTCCTCAGAGCCCTGGGGACCGGCTGCCGGGAGGTCTTCCTCATCTTCTTTTTCTTCCTCCTTCATTTTCAGTGTCACCTTAGGACAGCCTGAAACCAAGAGAAAGACAGAAGGAGAAAGTGTAAGGCTGGAGAAGACCATGGCCGGGGAGTTAGAGGGGGAGGGATGTTGACTAGTTTCTGCTCAAATACCAGGGCTCAACCCCTCTAGTATCTCCAGGCAGGATTGGGAGAGAATTCTCCCTGCCTGAAACTGTGGTAAGCTGCTGCCAGTCCGTGTAGACTATATTGAGCTACATGGTCTGACTTCGTACTTCCTATGTTCCCAAAAAGAATAGAGAATGGCAAACACATAATAATAATAATAATAATAATAATAATAATAATTTTTATTTCTACTCCGCCCTCCCCAGCTCAGAGCGGCTAACTAGTAATAATAAAAACAAGTTGAATGAATACAAGTTAGAAACAAAATTAAAATACAACATTCAAATATTGAAACATTAAAATATTAAAATGTAGCCTCATCGCAGGAAGAGAAAGGAAAAGAAACAAGAAAGAGGGGGAGGGAATCAAATTGGCTCCAAGCCAAAGGCCAGGCGGAATAACTCTGTCTTACAGGCCCTGCGGAAAGAAATCAGATCCTGCAGGGCCCTGGTCTCATGAGGCAGAGTGTTCCACCAGGCCGGAGCCAGAGTTGAAAAGGCCCTGGCTCTGGTTGAAGCTAATCTAACTTCCTTAGGGCCCGGGACCACTAGGGTGTTGCTATTTATGGACCTTGAGGCTCTCCGTGGGGCATACCGGGAGAGGCGGTCCCGTAGGTACGAGGGTCCCAGGCCGTGAAGGGCTTTAAAGGTCAAAACCAGCACCTTAAATCTGAGCCTGTACTCCACCAGGAGCCAGTGCAGCTGGAAAAGCACTGGGTGAATATGCTCCCATGGCAGAGACCCCGTGAGGAGCCTCGCTGCAGCATTCTGCACCCGCTGGAGTTTCTGGGACAGCTTCAAGGGCAGCCCCACGTAGAGCATAAGGGCAGAAAACGTTCAATGGCTCCTATAGAGGACTGCCGGCTCCCTTCCTGGTGCTGAGCCAGATCTTTTTAGCAGCGGCCAGAAACCAAGCAGGTGGCACGGTGGAAAAACTCAAGGCCCACTTTTTCTCCCTGCCCCACGGGAGTTAATGAGAGGTTCTGTGTCTCAAACCCTCAAGGTTCTTCAGCTAATAATTCTGTCCCTGAGACATCAATACTTAAAGCATACTTATTAGAAAGGGAGGCTGGTCCATTAGCACAAAGGGGGCACTGCCCGCTCTGCCTTCTCAGGGGCTATGGCTCCCCCTAGTGTTGGCCTCCCTGCCTTTCACCCTATCAGATGGATACCAGCTGCCAATGGAGCTCTACAATAGCTTTTGTTCAAACAGCCACAGGATTACTCTGGTAAAATGATTTTAAGCAGAAGCATTGTAACAAATCCCTGAACAACTGGCCTATTGGTCTATAATGACACATTCTCTGTGCTCCTGTCTCTCACCTGAGTGGGCAGCTGAGGAAGTCTTAGCGTTCTCCACTCCTATAATTTGCTGTACCGTCTCTTGTTCTATCAGATCAGGAGCTTCTGATTAGGAGAAAGATGGGGGGAAAACCTCCACAAGAGTGCTGAGGAGAGAGATTTCGACCTCTGCAAGCTGCAGGAAAGAATATAGAAAGAACATAAAGGACTCTGCTGGATCAGACCAAAAGTCCAGCATTCTGCTTTGGTACACCAATTGTGGAATGACTTTCCCAAGTATTATCAGACTTTTCACATGCTGCTGTTTTTAATTATTACTACCAGTTTATTTACTAAAGCCCTGTACATAGCCCTGGGCTTTTTAAAAAACGTTTAGTGCTGGATGTTTTCCAATTTGTTTGGGGGGTTTTTTTAGCTGAAATTTGTAATATAATTTCAATATATGTTGCATTTTAATTTGACTAGCTGCCTTTTATGCTAACATGATTTTTTTCCTTTGTATTTTTATGTTGTGAACCGCTCCGAGATCTACCGGTGAAGGGCAGCGTAAAAATTCAATTAAAAAATAAATGAAATAAAAGATAGAGGAAAAAAATGTATACATTACATTAATAGGTAGTGAGAGCTTGAAAGGTTTTGGTTTGTTTCACCCAGAAGAGAGATAAAAGATTGCAGACGTGCGATGAAAAGAACAGAAACGATGGGAAATGAGATAAGCTGGACATTTCAATGTGTGGGAATGGCTGTAATCCTCAACACAAGTCCTACAGAAGAGGACATAAATAATGCCCTATTATTTATTTATTATGTCTCTAATCCTGCTCTCCTGCAAGGAGCTCCCCAATTTTGAGCTCCCCAATTTCTCCTCTCAACAACCCTGCAAGGGGCTCTCCAAAGGCTGACTTCATGTCTAGAGAGCCAGTGTGGTGTAGTGGTTAAGAGCGGTAGTCTCGTAATCTGGGGAACCGGGTTCGCGTCTCCGCTCCTCCACATGCAGCTGCTGGGTGACCTTGGGCCAGTCACACTTCTTTGAAGTCTCTCAGCCCCACTCACCTCACAGAGTGTTTGTTGTGGGGGAGGAAGGGAAAGGAGATTGTGAGCCGCTTTGAGACTCCTTAAAGGGAGTGAAAGGCGGGATATCAAATCCAAACTCTTCTTCTTCTTCTAGAGTGGGAATTTGAATCTAGATCTCCTCGCTCCTGATTCAGCCCTCTAACCTAGACAGCATCTTAAAAAGAAGAGACATCACCTTGCCAACAAAGGTCCATATAGTAAAAGCTATGGTTTTCCCAGTAGTGATGTATGGAAGTGAGAGCTGGACCATAAAGAAGGCTGATTGCCGAAGAAGTGATGCTTTTGAATTATGGTGCTGGAGGAGATTCTTGAGAGTCCCATGGACTGCAAGAAGATCAAACCTATCCATTCTGAAGGAAATCAGCCCTGAGTGCTCACTGGAAGGACAGATCCTGAAGCTGAGGCTCCAATACTTTGGCCACCTCATGAGCAGAGAAGACTCCCTGGAAAAGACCCTAATGTCGGGAAAGATGGAGGGCACAAGGAGAAGGGGACAACAGAAGACGAGATGGTTGGATAGTGTTTTCGAAGCTACCAGCATGAGTTTGACCAAACTGTGGGAGGCAGTGAAAGACAGGAGTGCCTGGCGTGCTCTGGTCCATTGGATATGACTAAACGACTAAACAACAAAATTTACTTATTACATCTTTAATCTTGCTCTCCTGCAAGGTGCTCAAGGCGGGCGACCCTGCATCCTCGCCCCCAATTACTCCTCTCAACAACCCTGCAAGGTAAGCCAGTCTTAGAGAAGGGGCTGTCCAAAGTCTGACTTCATGCCTTGAGTAGGAATTTGGATCTAGGTCTCCTCGCTCCTAATTCAGCCCTCTAACCACTACGCGACACCGTTTTACAATTGTGTGGCACCTTTGCTTAGGGGAGGCGTTGCACTTACGCTTAGGGTCGCTTCCCTGGCTGAAAGGATCCTCGGTCTCTGCTCTCCCTTCCGTTGCCGGCTTGAAAGGCACCCTCGCCAGGAATCCTTCAAGAAGCGGAATCCTCAACCGATCTCTCTCTTTTCTCTTTCTCTCGCGTTTGCGCCAGGAATCCCTACTGCGTCTCCTCGATCACCACCACCGTCTCCTGCGCGCTTGTCTTTTTTATTTCTATTTCCCTTTCTCCTCCTCCACCAGATCGCTCAATGGGGAGAGCTGGCGGCTTTGCTCTTTGTTTTCCGCTTCCCACCATGTGATCGAAGGAAAGCCGATTCCAAAAGGGAAAAAAATCCTCCCCCTTGGCTACCTGAGCGCATGGATGGAGCGAGGGTGGATGCGCTTGGCAATTGATTCCTTGGGGCTGCTTGAATTCATTGCCGTGGGGGAGGGGCGGCTTTGCAGTTTTTGTTTGTTTGGTAAAACCCACCCCCACTCATATTTGTAGGCTTACTCTGAAGTAAGTGGAACGGGAGTCGTGGACTCTCCTCCCAATCACCTTGTTTTTACATGAGTAGAATGTGTCCTTTTATTTAAAATGCATCTCTGGGTTATTTGTGGGGCATAGGAATTCGTTCATTCCCCCCCCCAAAAAATAGTCCTGCCCCCCACATGTTCTGAGGGACAGTGGACCGGCCCCCTGCTGAAAAAGTTTGCTGACCCCTTTTCTAAACCCTTAACTCTGGAGTTGATGGTTTGCTCCCAGTCAAATGCACAGGGCTGGGTTTCTCGGCTGCCCGCACCCCGAATCTTTTGCGCGCTTACTCGAGAGTAAGCCAGTGACCTCAGCGAGTCTTGTTACAGATAGGTAGCCGTGTTGGTCTGCCATAGTCAAAATAAAAAAATTCCTTCCAGTAGCACCTTAAAGACCAACTAAGTTAGTTCTTGGTATGAGCTCAGCGAGTCTTGGTAGTAAAAGCAGGCAGGATTGAGTTGCTGATCTTTTTGCCCCCGCCCCTTCCTGCTCCCTTTCTTGGCTCTTGCGCAAAGGTGACTTAGAGAGCTACTTGCTCTCATTCCTCCAGCCTAACTTCAGCAAATATATGTAGAATACAGTGGTACCTCGGGTTACATACGCTTCAGGTTACAGACTCCGCTAACCCAGAAATATTACCTCGGGTCAAGAACTTTGCTTCAGGTTGAGAACAGAAATCGTGCTCCAGCGGTGTGGCGGCAGCGGGAGGCCCCATTAGCTAAGGTGGTGCTTCAGGTTAAGAACAGTTTCGGGTTAAGAACGGACCTCCGGAACGAATTAAGTACTTAACCCGAGGTACCACTGTATATGCATTTGGAAACTAAGGCGCAGAAGATGCTGATGACTGGGCTGCTGTCCGTTCAAATTATATTTTAATTGCCGGTTTTAGATACACTGTGATGCATTTTAAGTATTGCTTTTAACCAGTTTGTTATTATTCTGTATTTTGTAACTGATGTTGTAAGCCACCTTGAAACCTGACTTGGCAGGATAAAAATAGATTAAATAGAAAATAGATTTTAAAATAAGAGAGAGGCCGTGGGGTGGAATCCAGGCTGGCTTTGAGCTTCTTGGAGGATGAACCCTGTTATTTTCTGCCTTCTGCACATCACAACCGCATTTTGCTTTGTACCTGGTAACTGATGCCCAATTATTTGTTGTCTGCATTGTTCCATGTTATTCATCTACATCACAGAATCATAGCATTATAAAGTTTGAAGGGACCCTGGGGATCATCTAGTCCAACCCCCTGCAGTGCAGGAATATGCAGCTGTCCCAGACAGGGATCGAACTTGTAAACCTGCCGCTATCAGCACCATGCTTTAACTAACTGAGCTATCCATATGTATCCATATATTATATAAGGGAGCGGGTGATGCTGTGGTCTAAACCACTGGTCCTCTTGGGCTTGCTGATCAGAAGGTCGGTGGTTCGAATCCACACAATGGGGTGAGCTCCTGTTGCTCTGTCCCAGCTTCTGCCAACCTAGCAGTTTGAAAGCACACCAATACAAGTAGATAAATAGATACCGCTGCGGCGGGAAGGTAAACAGTATTTCTGTGCCCTCTGGTTTCCATCACGGTATCCCATTGCGCCAGAAGCGGTTTAGTCATGCTGGCCACATGAACCAGAAACCTGTCTGTGGGAAAATGCCGGCTCCCTCAGCCTGAAAGTGAGATGAGTCCTGCAACCCCATAGTCTCCTTTGACTGGATTTAACCGTCCAGGGGCCCTTTACCGTTTCACTTTACCTATTATATGCTTTTACAGTGGTACTTCGGGTTAAGAACTTAATTCGTTCTGGAGGTCTGTTCTTAACCTGAAACTGTTCTTAAACTGAAGCACTACTTTAGCTAATGGGGCCTCCCGCCGCCGCCACTCAATTTCTGTTCTCATCCTGAAGCAAAGTTCTTAACCCGAGGTACAATTTCTGGGTTAGCGGAGTCTGTAACCTGAAGCATCTGTAACCTGAAGCGTCTGTAACCCGAGGTACCACTGTATTGCTGATCCTTTGGTTTCTAATTGCTATTATAGATGTAATGATTTTTTTAAAAATGCAATGATTTTAAATATGTAATACTTTAAAATATGTTTTTAATGGACTTGTGAAATCGCTTTGAGATGCAATAGAGGAAGCAGCCTATAAATGAAACGAATGGATGGATAAAACGTATGGTTTTTTTAAATCATTAATTGCTTCAGGACCCCCCCTCCCCCCTCCCCCCCCCCCAATGTCTCAACAAATGAAACTGATTTGTAAAAATGTTACATGGAAAAAATACGAGAGACATTACACATACTTCTGTAAAACAAGAAAATCTTTAATAAAAAAAAAGAACAAACAAAAATTTAATTGCTTCAGGATATTTCATGGGAAGCCCCTCATAACTGAAATAAATGCATGTGTGCCAAGCATGAGCCTTGCCACTGAGAGGCACTCCGTCTGAGGACACAGCACAGAAGATGGATTTGCACTGCCAGGGGTCTGGTGTGGCCTCAGTCACATGGCGGGAAGCGGAAAAGCAGGCGCATAGGTCAACACAGGCAGGCAGGAGAAGGAGAAGCCGTGCAACTTCAAAAGGGGCACTTCCAAAACATCAGCCCGCATAATAATAATTTATATATATATATAAAAAACCCTCCTGGAAGGCATAAAGCCGAGAAGGGCAGGAACTGCAGATGTAGGAAGGAGGAAGAAAGAGATCCAACAAGAAAGGGGAGGGAGGGGGAAACAGAAAAGAGGGATCGGCTGAGCAGGGATGCAGCTGAACAGGGAGTGATCTGCTGGTGAGAGAGGGAAAAGGGGGTGAAGTGTGGTGGACGGGGGGGGGGATCCACATATTTAGACACCCACAGTATTGTAAACCTGTACATTGGAAAAATAATTTCCTGAGGCTTCTGTCTCAAAGCTGATCTCAAAGGGGGAAAGGATTTTAAATCTCCTCCTCTGCATTTATATTTTTTGGACTAGACTAGAGGCACATGGTAGATGTGTGGTGTGGTGTGTGTGTGTGTGGGGTGTGTGTGTGTGTGTGTGTGTGTGTATGTATTATTCCTGAGCCCATGGTCTAAGTCAGGGGTTGCCAACCCTGAAGAAACCTTGACTGGTGGTTCAGTTTTTTAAGTTGGCGCTAGACAGCACAGCAACTAAAGAAAGAAAAGCGCTTTGTACATGCACAGAGGCGTATGTATAGCTGCTTGCTCCATATATCCCTGGCCTGAGCCCCCCCACAAAAAATGCGGGAACTAAAGACCTGTGAGCTCAGGCTCCAGTGAAGCCCTGTGGTCTGCCTCCTTAACTGCTCCCAACTGCCATGGTTCAAAAAACCAACATCCTTGGAATAGAATCCCTGACCATTATTTACACCTTTCCTCATGGACTCAAGCTTGACTCATCACCTGTTGCAAGATCCCTGTTACAATACGACCACCTCACTTTCCTCACCATCCATTTGGGTTGACGCTTTTATATCTATGGAGGGCACAGCCCCGTGTAACCTTGTCACTTTTCCAGGTCTCGCAGGAGCATCGTCCCCACCTCTGAGGGAAGCGGAAGCAGCAATGGACACACAACTGCCTCAGGTACGGGGGGCTGGGGCTGGGTGTGGGGTACCTGGGAGAGGGGCAACTCCTGTATTGAGAGAGCTCAGGGCCCAGATTCCTCTGTTCTGGCTGAGTTGAGAGGCGGGTGCCATCGTTCAGCTTCAGCATCCAGGAAGCAAAATTCCTTGGCAAATTCCAAAGCATCTCTTACAGTCAAAGGGATGCAGAAGTAGGACTGGCCTCAGGTTTGCCTAGGATGGGACAGCAATTGGTACCCGCTTCCTGCAAAATCAATCAATCAATCAATCAATCAATCAATCAATGTTGACTTGATTTATTGCTCAAGATCACAGCAAAGGGTTGTTCGTTTTCTGGGAGCTGGAGATCATGTAACAGATGTTTGAACTACGAGCTGGAAATAAAAGCCCCAATTTAAATCTCAGGATAAAGTAAAGGTAAAGGGATCCCTAACCATTAGGTCCAATCGTGGCCGACTCTGGGGTTGTGGCGCTCATCTCACTTTATTGGCCGAGGGAGCCGGCGTACAGCTTCCGGGTCATGTGGCCAGCATGACTAAGCCGCTTCTGGCAAACCAGAGCAGCGCACAGAAACGCCATTTACCTTCCTGCTGGAGAGGTACCTATTTATCTACTTGTACTTTGACGTGCTTTCGAACTGCTAGGTTGGCAGGAGCAGGGACCGAGCAACGGGAGCTCACCCTGTCGCGGGGATTCGAACCGCCGACCTTCTGATCGGCAAGTCCTAGGCTCTGTGGTTTAACCCACCGTGCCAACCGCATCCCAAAAATCTCAGGATAGGGGTGAGCTAAATGTAATTTGGGCAGTTAATAGACAGATTTTTGTGTTGGATTTTTGGGGCGTGGGGTGGGGGAATAGCAGCCAAAGCATACACACACCCCATGCCAAATAAAGTACTGTGGGGCAGAGGGAAGGGGTTTCAAAATGTTTGGTACATTTCTGCCCTGAGGGTAACTTTGGGAGACAGGGTGATATTAGGACAATGACATTAAGGAGTTAATCCCAACTTCCCCCCAGCACTGCCATCCTGATCCAAATTGGCAGGTGCAGGCAACAACACTCATTTTTTAAAAATTGTAGGAGACCCAGTTGTAGGTCTGCCATTGTTATGGAAAAATCTGGGTGCGGGGTTACTCTGCCACCCAGCTCGTCGGACTAAGTCCGCGGGTCCCTGCGGAATAAAATGAGCTCAGCCGGACGCAGGAGCAAACTACAGAAGATCCAAGTTTATTGCGCAACAGGTTCAAGGCGAGATTGAACAGCGAGAAAGGGGTGACATGAACTTTTGAAATTTCCCTCCATATCCCAGAATACAGTGCAAAATACATCCCAGTTACATCATGAATACATTAGGAAGAGGTTGGGTTACACTGGATTAACATATGGAGGAGGGAGGGGGGAATATGCAGAGCTAGAGATATGGAGGAGGGAGGGGGGAATATGCAGAGCTGGAGATATGCGCAGATATGCACATCCTGAGAAGACAATGGTCCATGTATGCATAGTCTGTCACCTGGCATCGCCCGGAGGAAGGGCTTGGCAGAGCGATTTGACCGGATTAGGGTCTTGACACCTTGCTTGAGGGATTATGGAGGACTGGGGAGGTGTCATGGGGTCCTAGAGAAATTGAGCAAATTGGCACGTTGATTTTCTATGAATTTTATAGATTTTAGTCCCTTTTGACATTGACAATTGGAAATAAATGGATATATTGTAGCGAAGAAGGAGGTGAAGAAGACATGCCCCCCCCTTCCGTATCAGCCATGCTGATATCTACTTGAATGCTCAGTGGCCTCAAAAGCAACCCATGGTCTGTCTTCCTCTTAAGCTTCGTTTACAGGGTTGTAAGGATTACAGAGGAAATGGGTGAAACCAAACTAAGTCAATCTTGAGGGTACAAGTCAGCGAATTCATCCATCGATATCAGTCAGTCTCCTCTGAGTGTGACTAACAATGGATATTGGCCATTGGACATAGATTGCCTGGCTGTTTTTATTTAGGCAATTTATAAGCTGCCCTTCTGCAAAAGGACTTTCAGTGTGGTGTACAATTTAAAGCAAAAGTCACAAAAGTCACAAAAACCAAACAACATTTGTTGCTTCCAGACAGCCTGTTTAGTAGGCATTCCTCCTGATCTGTTTGCAAGATTAGACAACGTGGGCTATTTAATGAGCATTCCCCATCAAAGCCAGTGTTATCCCACACTTTCCTGTATTTTCCCCATCTTTTTCCTTATTACAAAACATCTGTTCTTTTGGGGGAAGCCAGGTCTCTGTGCAGGACCTGCCAATCAACTACAATTGCGCAATCTGAATTTACCAGTACCTTGGAAGTCGAACGGAATTCGTTCCGGAAGTCTGTTCGACTTCCAAAACGTTCAGAAACCAAAGTGTGGCTTCTGATTGGCTGCAGGAAACTCCTGCAGCCAATTGGAAGCCGCTGAAGCCGTGCCGGATGTTCGGCTTCTGAAAATCATTCGAAAACCGGAACACTCACTTCTGGGTTTCAATAGTTCAGGAACTGATTTGTTCGGGAGCCAAGGCATTCGAGATCCAAGGTACGACTGTATGTGACTGGATCCCATGTACAAATAGCAGCCACCCAGAATAAGGTTACTAGATGTCCCCGTTTCCCGGGGACAGTCCCCAGATTTACAAATTTTGTCAGTTTCCTGACAAAATCCATCTTATTTAGTAGGAAGTTGAAAAGTGTCCCCGGATTCATTGAGAAAAATCTGGTAACCTTAGCCCAAAAGCATCCCAAGTCATAGTTATCTGTAGCAACAGGGAACTTAGTATTTGCATCACACTTTTCCTAAATGTTGCTATTTCCTTTCTTTCCAGAGCTGTGTGGCTTTTGAGGATGTGGCTGTGTATTTCACAGAGAGTGAGTGGTCTCTATTGGATACACATGAAAAGGCTTTGTACCGGGACGTCATGCAGGAAAATTATGGGCATGTTGCCTCTTTAGGTAAGTGCCCTTTTTCTCAACTTTTGATAAGAAATGTAATTCTCTTCCCTCCACCCCTTTCATTCAGAAATTCATTTCAACACATGCTTCTGGCGGTGTGGGACTTGCTCTAGGAGAGAGGTACTCGTATCTTGTAGCATAGAAAGCAAATTATTATAATGTGTCTGGTATTAGTACAGTGGTACCTCGGGTTACATACGCTTCAGGTTACATACGCTTCAGGTTACAGACTCCGCTAACCCAGAAATAGTACCTCAGGTTAAGAACTTTGCTTCAGGATGAGAACAGAAATCGTGCAGCAGCAGCGCAGCGGCAGAGGAGGCCCCATTAGCTAAAGTGGTGCTTCAAGTTAAGAACAGTTTCACGATAAGAACGGACCTCCAGAACGAATTAAGTTCTTAACCTGAGGTACCACTGTACTCAGTTCCTAACACTGAAAAGATATCTTTTGGGGGTGGATGAGCTCTTAGTTGCTTTTTTTTTTACTTTTACTTTTCTTATTTGCATTTGTTAATGTTTTGAAATTCAATCAAAACAATTTGGGGGGAAAACACATAAAAGACAATCATTAAAATAATAAACTGTAATATAAAAAATATCTACTAAGATACAGTTCATAAAAAACAATAGAAGCTTTATATACAGGCTCGTTGAGTGAACTTGCCCTGTGCTGACTTCAAATCCTTAATTCCCCGCAATTTCTTCTTCTTTATTTTTTCGTCAGTTTTTATATGGAAGTATTTGGTAGCCAGTTCAGTCATGCCAAAATTGGTGTTATATGTTCTGACTATCATGCTCTGGGCAGCCCCACATATTACTCGAGTTTCTTCTGTTCCCTGGACAGGTTTTCGAGTTGTCAAACCCAACTTGATCTCCCAGCTTGAGCAAGAGGAAGACCCATGGATCCCAGACCAGCCAATTGTGGAGGAAAAGGAGATCATTTTGGAGCCTGACACAGGTGGGGAAGCTGAGACACCACCCCAATACACATTGAATCCAGTATAAAGGGACCCCTGACTGTTAGGTCCAGTCGCGGATGACTCTGGGGTTGCGGCGCTCACCTCGCTTTACTGGCCGAGGGAGCCGGCGTTTGTCCGCAGACAGCTTCCGGGTCATGTGGCCAGCAAGACTAATCCGCTTCTGGCGAACCAGAGCAGTGCGCAGAAACACCGTTTACCTTCCCGCCGGAGCGGTACCTATTTATCTACTTGCACTTTGACGTGCTTTCGAACTGCTAGGTTGGCAGGAGCAGGGACTGAGCAACAGGAGCTCAACCGCCAACCTTCTGATCGGCAAGCCCTAGGCTCTGTGGTTTAGACCACAGCGCCACCCGCGTCCCTGAATCCAGTATACATTGGGCTAAACTCTGGAACACAATTTTGGGTTCTGCTCCTGTCTAGAGTGATGAAATGTCCCTCTTAACCATACTCTTTCTCACATATTTCCTGTGAACCAGAGATTCCTGATGTGATAATAAAGCTGGAAGAAGAAGAAGACGAGGGGGAGCAGCTTTGGGTTCTGGACCACCAGTGGCAAAAGTCCTTCCCAGGTACTGCCAGATCAGGTGAGGGGTGGAAATTAGGACCAAGAGGATGGCCAGACGGCACATTGCTTTAACAAGATACAAAAAATAAAGAGGATGCAAGATGAACAAACAGGGACGCGGGTAGCGCTGTGGGTTAAACCACAGAGCCTAGGACTTGCCGATCAGAAGGTCGGCGGTTCGAATCCCCGTGACGGGGTGAGCTCCCGTTGCTCGGTCCCTGCTCCTGCCAACCTAGCAGTTCAAAAGCACGTCAAAGTGCAAGTAGATAAATAGGTACTGGTTCGGCGGGAAAGTAAACAGCGTTTCTGTGCGCTGCTCTGGTTCACCATAAGCGGCTTAGTCTTGCTGGCCACATGACCCGGAAGCTGTACGCCGGCTCCCTCGGCCAATAAAGTGAGATCAGCGCCGCAACCCCAGAGTCGGTCACGACTGGACCTAATGGTCAGGGGTCTCTTTACCTTTAAGATGAACAAACACCTATGAAAGCTAATAATAATAATAATAATAATAATAATGCAACCACAATAAGAAATATCCTAAAAAATAATAAAATAGTGAGCGTTAAAAAACAAAAATAAATCCTGGAGGACCACAAATAGTTATGGTAAGATAGCAATTGCATCCATCCTCCGAAGGCCAAATTGGAAAGTTTTGATGACCTTCTGCTACAGCGTTGAGAAGGGGAAAGATGAACTTCCCTAGGCAGCTTACAACCAGATTACAAATCAGGGGAGGGATCTGATAAGTCAAATGATAAGTAACTCTTGAACAAAACTCTTGCGTTGCAGGGGGCTCGACTAGATGACCCTCAGGGTCCCTTCCAACTCTACAGTTCTGTTATGATTCTCTAGTTGTGCTCTACATCTGAGGTCGGCTGTTGGAATATTGCACCTGAACGCTTCGTTTTACCTCTCCTTTCCCTACCCCCTTTGATTCAGGATTTCCCGACCTCGTGATAAAGCAAGAACAGGAAGAGGAGCCCTGCGTCCCAGAACACCCAGGAGCCGACGAAAATGCGAATGCTGCTGCAGATCAGTCAGGTGTGGTAACAGTTCATCTGATTTGGGGTTCACCACCAGGTCTTGATGATCCTTAATTTTAAAGGGTTTACGTGGGCATTTCTCCCCAGGGCCCTCTCTCCAGTTCTGCAGGTGCACAAGGCGATCGTGGGAACACAGCAAGCTTCTCCCTGATCCTAACTCAGATCAGCTCAGTATTTTCTCCTCCAACTAGCAGTAGTTCTCCAGGGGCACAGACTGAGTTCTTTTTCAGACCTGTTGGGGACATAGCTTTCAAGCGTCCCTTATTTGGCGGGAAAGTCCCTTATCCCAGCACCGTGTCCCGCTGCTGTCCCTTATTGATGATGTCCCTTAAATTTCCCAGGTTTCAAAGGAAGCAGCTCCTCTCCCTCCCTCCCTGCCGGCCAGGGAGGCTCCAACTGTGTTGCTTGGCTGCGTTGCTCACCCAATAAGGAGTCTAAGAACGACTGGGGGGTGGAGCTTTCATGCCTTGTGCCAATCAAATCGGCTTCGTTGCCTGGGGACTTGCCTTTACTCAGTGCTTCCCAGTGGAGAATGGCATGGTTTTCCTTGCTGCATCCCCTTTGCGGGGTTGCTGCACTATGGGAACCACCACTTGAGGCTTCGTTTGGCTGCTGGTTGACTAAAATCCCTTATTTTGGCTGCTGATCCCTTATTTTCGAGGCTGCTAGTTCCTTATTTTCAAATCTGTAAGTTGACAGCTATGATTGGGGATGACTAGGACTGTACCTGAGAACTTTCTGCATAAAGACTGGGATGGTACAGTCCCTTTCGCACCAGGCCATCCTGGGTCCTTGCAACCTGGAGCTGTCCAGATGTTTCAGCCGCTGCCAGCACGACTGTCCTGGCCGGAGCTTGGCCTAGGAACCAAACCTGATCTAAAAGTCTTAAAAGTCACGGCCGCCAGACTTTTATATGCACAAAAATGGAAGGGCACGTCATTACTAACAATGGAAGAATGGCTGTTAAAACTGACGGACTTAGCTGAGATGGCGAAGCTGATGTGTTTGATCAGAGAAAAGGCACTTTAAAAAAAATTATTAGAAATTTCAACACAGTAATTTTAACAAAAATACATCATCCACATTGGTTCCCCCCCTCCATTTTCCTCCCCCCTCCCCCTAAACAAAAAACCCAACCTCCCCCCCACCCCCGGACTTCCCTCAACTCCTTTCTCTGGTTTCTCAACACATCTTTCTGTCTGCATGTTATAAAATTGTAAAGATCCTCAAATTATCTATCTATATATTACAATAAAGAGTTTGTGAATGTTTATTCAAAACCTGCCACAGAGTCCAGTTCATTTTGTTCTTCAAATATTTCATAAAAGGTTCCCATTCATCTTTAAAATCACAGTTATCCTTGTCACGTAGTCTGTGTGTCAGTTTTGCCAATTCCGCATAGTCCATCAGTTTTTCTTGCCACAGTTCTTTCGTCAGGATTTCCTCATTCTTCCATCCTTGTGCTATTAAGACTCTTGCTGCCGTTGTTGCGTACAGAGAGAAAAGGCACTTTTGTTAAAGACTGGAAAAGTCTCTTAGACTTTTTGTGTGAAAAAGACAATGAGGATTGAAGATAATGTTTGTTTATAGAAAGTTAGAAAGTGGCTTTGTTGGGTGTTATATTCGATTGAACAAAGTGAATATTATTTTTACATAGCGGACAGATGCAGAATAAGAAGTTATTTATTTTCTATATCTTATTCTCCTATCTTTCTCTTTTACCCTCTTTTCTACTTTTTAAATTTTCTTTCTTTTTCTTTCTCTCCCCCCCCTTTTGTGATTTTATTGTATCTAGATAAAAGTCTTGGTTTGTTTTTTTAAAAAGGGAGAAGATAATAAGATTTGTATTTTTCTCTGTAAGCCTTAATAAAATTTATTTTAAAAAATTATGAAACCTTCTCTGATCTCCTTCCTCCTAAACAGGATTTCCTGGCATAATAATAAAGCTGGAACTGAAAGGAGAGACCTGGGCCCAAGATTTCCAAGAAACTGAGGAAAGGGCAACTGTTTCAGGTGAGGCAAACCACAGTGCCAACAGCAGGAAACAGCAGGAAGAAGCTTGGCAGGAAGCTAGTCTCCACTTGCCAAATAAAAAGAGGGTGCCTGGGACACGAAGAAAAGGCTAAAGCAGGGGTAGGCAACCTAAGGCCTGGGGGCAAGATGCGGCCCAATCGCCTTCTCAGTCCGGCTTGCGGATGGTCCAGGAATCAGCATGTTTTTACATGAGTAGAATGTGTGCTTTTATTTAAAATGCATCTCTAGGTTATTTGTGGGGCATAGGAATTCGTTCCTATTTTTTTTCAAAATATAGTCTGGCCCCCGCACAAGGTCTGAGGGACAGTGTAGCGGCCCCCTGCTGAAAAAGTTTGCTGACCCCTGGGCTAAAGTGACATACCATCCGTGTGCCATTTTCCCTTTGGGTGCCAAGGCCCTGAGGCAGAGAGGGGAGAAGATCTGCTATGCCCTTTTATTGTTATCATTTCTTTGTTTATTAAATTTGCATGCCACCCTTCATCCGTAGATCTCAGGGTGATTCGCAGGATAAAATTACAATATTAAAAACCACAGAATACATAGAAAAAATAAGAAAAACAAACAAACCAATAATAATAATAAAAAATTTTATTTGTATCCCGCCCTCCCCGGCCAAAGCCGGGCTCAGAGCAGCTAACATCATATAAATAAGACAATACAGTGGTGCCCCGCAAGACGAATGCCTCGCAAGACGAAAAACTCGCTGGACGAAAGGGTTTTGCGTTTTTTGAGCTGCTTTGCAAGACAAATTTCCCTATGGGCTTGCTTCGCAAGACGAAAACGTCTTGCAAGTTTGTTTCCTTTTTCGTAAAACCGTTAAAACCCAAGGTGCATTGCTTGAAGAGGTGCAGTTGCGACTTGACTTCGAGGAGCAACTCGTAGCACGCGGTGTGGTAGCCTTTTTTGAGGTTTTTGAAGACTTTGGTGATTTTTGAAGCTTTTCCAAAACTTCTTTTGCAGCCATTTGGTAAGTTAAACTTTTAAAACTTTTTGGGGGGGTTTTTGGATTTTGGGTTGGGGTGTTTGGAATTCAAGGACTTGGTGTTGGGGAGGGGTTTGCAAGAATCTGGAAGCTTGTGTGTTTTTTTTCTGCATTTTTATGATTTTTGTGTGACCATTGGGCCACTCTGCTGGTTTTTTTTAAAAAAATCTGGATTTGAATTTCTGTGTGGTGGGTGGCTGGGGGAACAGCTGAGGAGGGGTTTGCAAGAATCTGGAAGCTTGTGTGGTTTTTTCTGCATTTTTATGATTTTCTGTGACCATTGGGCCACTCTGCTGTTTTTTTAAAAAAAATTCTGGGTTTGAATTTCTGTGTGGTGGGTGACTGGGGGAACAGTTGGGGAGGGGTTTGCAACAGTTGGGGAGGGGTTTGCAATTTCTGTGTGGTGGGTGGCTGGAGGAATAGTTGAGGTTTTTGAAGACTTTGGTGATTTTTGAAGCTTTTCCAAAACTTCTTTTGCAGCCATTCGGTAAGTTAAACTTTTAAAACTTTTTGGGGGGTTTTTGGATTTTGGGTTGGGGTGTTTGGAATTCAAGGACTTCGTTCTGGGTTTGAATTTCTGTGTGGTGGGTGGCTGGGTGCTTTTGAATTTTTTGGATGTGAAGCACTGATTTTTTGGGGGGGGGGGTTGCGCAGGTAGGAGCTGTGCTGCCATGGGACCCAAGAAGACTGCTGCTGCAGAGGGTGGCGAGGGGAAGAAGGAGAAGGTTACGCTGGAAATGAAGAAGGAGATCATCCGGAAGCACGACGGTGGAATGCGTGTGACAGACCTCGCCAGGGAGTACGGGAGGAATCCATCGACCATCGGGACCATCCTGAAGATGAGGGAGAAGATCCTTGCGACTGATGCAGCCAAGGGAGTCACCAGGATCGTGAAGAACCGCCCAGCTGTTCTGGAGGAGGTGGAGAAGTTGCTGCTCATCTGGTTAGAAGAGAAGCAGCGTGCAGGGGACACAGTGACTGAGGCCGTCATTTGTGAGAAGGCCAAGGCCTTGCACGCAGACCTCGTCCGGCAACAGCCAGGAACCTCAGGTGAGCCAGAAGTCTTCAAGGCAAGCAGAGGCTCGTTTGACCGGTTCAAGACAAGATCTGGAATCCACAGCGTGGTCAGGCATGGAGAGTCTGCCAGTTCTGATGTTTCTGCGGCTGAAGACTTTGCAGTGGAGTTCCTGGAGGTTGTGAAGACGGAGGGCTACATTCCACAGCAGGTCTTCAACTGCGACGAGACCGGGCTGTTTTGGAAGAGGATGCCCAAAAGGACTTTCATCACACAGGAGGAGGCCAAGTTGCCTGGCCACAAGCCCCTGAAGGATCGTCTGACCCTGCTCTTCTGTGCCAACGCAAGCGGCGATCTGAAGATCAAGCCCCTGTTGGTGTACCACTCGGAGAACCCACGGGCCTTCAAGAAACACAAGGTCGACAAGGAGCGGCTGAGTGTCATGTGGCGATCCAACAGTAAGGCTTGGGTCACACGTGTGCTGTTTGTGGACTGGGTCAATCTTGCTTTTGGCCCTGCTGTCAAACAGTACCTGCTGGACAACGACCTGCCGCTGAAGGCTTTGCTTCTGATGGACAATGCTCCTGCTCATCCTAAAGGCCTTGAGGAGGACTTGTTGGAGGAGTTCAGCTTCATCAGCATCATGTTCCTGCCGCCTAACACCACGCCACTGCTCCAGCCGATGGATCAGCAGGTCATCGCCAATTTCAAAAAATTCTACACCAAGGAGCTTTTCAGGCGATGCTTCGAGGTGACTGATTGCACCACCATCACCCTGCGGGAATTCTGGAAGGACCACTTCGACATTGTCATCTGCTTGAAGATGATCACCACGGCCTGGAATGGGATCAGCCAGAGAAATTTGAATTGCGCTTGGCGCAGCCTGTGGCCGGACTGTGTGGCACCAAGTGACTCTGATGCACCAGAGTCAACAGTGGTGCAGGACATTGTTGCCTTGGGGAGGACCATGGGCCTGGAGGTCACAGAGGAGGACATCAGCGAGCTGGTGGAGGAGCACGACCACGAGCTGACCACCCAGGAGCTGGTCGAACTGCAGGCAGAGGCTGCGCAGGAGCAGGCTTCGCTGGAAGAGGAGGAAGCAACTGAGGAACGGCTGTCCTCCAAAGAACTGAGGGACATTTTGCCTGAAGTGGAAGGATGTGCAGGCTTTTGCACAGCGGCACCACCCTGACAAGCACGTGGCACATGACCTTGCGAACACACTTGATACGAGGGTCATGTCGTCTTTCAGGGAGGTGCTGAAAAGGCGGATGAAGCAGCAGACCATGGACAGGTTCTTCAGCAAGAAGCAAAGAGTGGAAGAGGAACATTCTTCGAGTTGTCCCCCAGAGTCTTAGAAAATGAACTGTACACTTTGTTGATTTTCAAATGTTTTTCTGTCATGTTTAGAAACTTAATTTATTGTTCCTTCAATTTTTGAAATGCTCTTTACAGTATGTGTGACTTTAAAGAGCACTTAATAAACTCTTGTTGTACCAAATTTGGCTTTGTTTGGACTTTTTTTGACCATAGGAACGCATTAATTGAATTTCAATGTATTCCTATGGGATTTCATGCTTCGCAAGACGAAAAATTCGCCAGACGAAAAAACTCGCGGAACGAATTAATTTCGTCTTGCGAGGCACCACTGTATGCACAATACAACATGCAAATAAAATAACATTCAACATTCATTAAAATAATATAGAATATTATTAAATATCAGCATTTCAAATTAAACAGAAATCCACTCTTAACAGTTACAATGAGTAATTTCTAAACTCCAATCAATAAAACGCAGCAAACCACAGTGCACAACATAATTCAATGCAAAATGAGAAGCAGAGACTGGAGGGTGGGGCAACGCAGGTGGAAAGAGGCCTTGCCTGGTGAAGTCTCTCCCCTCAGTCTCCCCATTCTTCCCACATTTAAAAGGGCTTTGGGTGCCAATCAGCCAAAGGCCTGGTTGAAGAGGAACATTTCTGCCTGGCCCCCAAAGGTGTATAATGAAGGTGCCAGGTGAGCCTCCTTGCGGAGAGAATTCCACCTCCTTTTTGGTTTGGAAGTTCCAGTCAAACTGCACTGGCAGCATCGATCAAAGTGAGGATCCCTTCTGGTTCTCTCTAAAGATCTGCTCATAAGGTGTAGAAAAGCTGTACAGAAAGGCTATCCGTAACCATCACTGTTTGGTCAGGTTCGGGGCTTCATTTCAGCTGGAACTCGCCAGAACTCGGTTCCGGCTTCTCTCAGTTGAGCGCCATTGCCATTACAGTGGTACCTCAGGTTACAGATGCTTCAGGTTACAGACTCCGCTAACTCAGAAATAGTAGCTTGGGTTAAGAACTTTGCTTCAGGATGAGAACAGAAATCATGCGGTGACAGCGGGAGGCCCCATTAGCTAAAGTGGTACCTCGGGTTAAGAACAGTTTCAGGTTAAGAATGGACCTCCAGAACGAATTAAGTTCTTAACCTGAGGTACCACTGTATAAGTAAACAAGGGAGGTGTTCATGGTGAGTTCCGGTACCTCTTTTCCTATAAAAATAGCACTGGTCTGGTTGTCCCTTATGGAAGCCAAATTACATATCTTTATCAAGTAAACAAAACAGTGAATTGCCACACGTTTTGGTTGATGACTTCTTTCCTCAGGAGACAAACTAAGGCAATATATCTCTTACTGCTGTCACAATTCTCTGTTTATCTGAACAGGCAATGGGTACATGAAAGAAGAAGGCTCCATCCCACCAGAAAGCACTCATCAAGTGGCAACGGATGAGACACTCTTGGGAACTGCCAAGGAGAGAATTTTCCAGTATCCAAAGAAGGCCGAGGTCTCTGTGAAAGAAGGCCAAGCAGGGAGGTACCAAGGAAATGCCTCTGGAAAGAGAGTGGGAAAGACTTTATCTCATGGGGGAAGTGGCATCAATGAAACCAAACTCCAAAAGAGAATCCATAAGTCTGGGAGAATGCTTAAAAAAGGAGAGGAACCATATAAATACCTAGATGATGATAAGAGATCTGGTTGGAGATATTACCTGATGACCCATGGGAAGAGCCACGCAGGAGAGAAACTATATACATGCTTAGTCTGTGGGAAAAGATTCTTTCGGAGATCTCATCTTATTAGACACAAGCTAAATCATACAGGGGAGAAACCATATACGTGTTCAGTCTGCGGGAAAAGCTTCAATCAAAGATCCCATCTTATTAGCCATGAAAGGACCCATACAGGGGAAAAACCGTACCCATGCTCTGTCTGTGGTAAAAACCTGAGTCGTAAGGCACTCCTTATAAGACATGAGAGAATTCATACGGGAGAGAAGCCTTACAAGTGCTCTGAGTGTGGTAAAAGCTTCTGTCAGAGCTCTGGGCTTGTTGCGCACAAGATCACCCACACAGGAGAGAAACCATATGCATGTTCAGTCTGTGGGAAAAGCTTTAGTCGCAAAGCAAGCCTTATCAGACATGAGAGAATTCATATGGGAGAGAAACCATATACATGTCCAGTCTGTGGTAAAAACTTCAGCCAGTGCTCCGGCCTCCTTCAGCATGAAAGAATTCATACAGGAGAGATCCCGTATAAGTGTTCTATCTGCGGGAAAAGTTTCAGTCGTAAAGACTGCCTTCTGGGACACAAGGGAACCCATACGGGAGAAAAACCATATTCGTGCTCTATCTGTGGGAAAAGCTTCAATTGGAAAAGTTACCTGGCTGTCCATGAGAGAAGCCATAAGGAAGAAAAGTCCTATATATGTGCAATCTGTGGGAAAAGCTTCAACCAAAGATCCAATCTTCTTAGCCATGAAAAAACTCATACACAAGAAAAAACGTACACGTGTTCTATCTGTGGTAAAAGCTTCATTCACAAAGTAAGCCTTATTAGACATGAACGAGTCCATACTGGAGAGACACCCTATAAATGTTCGGTATGTGGAAAAGGTTGCAGCGGGAGAACTAATCTTATTTCACATGAAAGAACTCACACGGAAGAAAGGCCTTATGCCTGCTCATTCTGTGGTAAAAGTTTCAAGCAAAGATCCAACCTCACAAGCCATGAAAGAATTCACACTGGAGAAACTCCCTTTATGTGCTCAGTCTGTGGTAAAAGCTTCAGCTGTAAAGCAAATCTTCTTGGACACATGAGAACGCACACAGGGGAGAAACCGTATTCGTGCTCAGTTTGCGGGAAAAGCTTTGGTAATAAATCACAAGTGGTCATACACGAGAGGATTCATACAGGGGAAAAACCATACACCTGCTCAGTCTGTGGGAAAAGATTCAAACACAGAACAAGCTACACCGAACACCAAAAAATCCACACGCAGGAGAAACCGTACACATGCTCAGTCTGTAGCAGAAGCTTCAGTCGTAAGGAGCACCTGATTATTCATGGGAGAATCCACACCGGAGAGAAGCCATATTCATGCTCAGTCTGTGAGAAGAGTTTCAAGCAAAAGTCAAGCCTTACTTCACATGAGAGAAGCCACACAGGAGAGAAACCACATACATGCTCAGTCTGCGGTAAAAGTTTCAATCGACGATCAAACCTTATTCATCATGAGAGAATTCACACAGGAGAAAAACCACACCATTGCACCGTCTGTGATAAAAGTTTCCGGAGTAAAGCATACCTGAGGAGACATGAGAAAATCCATGCGCGATGAGGCAATCCATATGGGAGGTGGGACGGCGATATGGGGAGTGAAAACTGAAGTTGGAAAAAGATGGTTAAATAGAAAGAAATTATATATATATATATGTAACTCTAAACCACAGTATAGCACTATAGGAATGAGTCTGTGTGGCCGGCAAAAAGAGTTTGAAAAATTACACTTTGTTTTGTTTTTTTACTGTCCACAGTTACTTAATTTGTCCAAGGCAAGAACTGTTAGCTCTTAACTATGGTTTTTAGGAAGATATGAGCCCCAAAGTTTGTGCACGTAACACTAAACTATAGTTTGGCATTATGTGTGACACAGGCCATTGAATATAAGAGCTCCAGTTGTGGCAAAAATATCAGTCGCATCCTGCCTCTTTGGCAACAACTTGGAGCATTAGCTCTGGAGCAAATACAAAAAAATGTCAAGGTTTGCAACAAATCTCATAACCGTATCTCATGTTCCATAAATCTCATTTATCTCAAAACCGTATCTCATGTTCCATAAATAAAAAGTAAATGTTAGGACAAAGTATTAAGAGGAAAAATCAGGATGCAGAAAAAGGTATATGCTGAAATGATATATACCATATTAAATAATGAAATTTCCCCCAAAGAGATCTGTAGTACTGTGCCTACCGTGTAATTGTACATACATTTCAGGACTGATAATATTTGTGGTCCACGAACCGTTTCAGTTCCGTAACAGCAAAATTTCTATTTGATGTATGCACCCTTCTAATAACAAATCCTGCTTCTTGCCCTGTTTATTAACACTGAATTCTCGAAGCTTTTTATTTTAGCTATAAAATATTCTGATGTATGGTTTATAAAACAGCATTGTTTTGTTTTACTTTGACTAAATCTATCTTGGAGTCTCTTATGTAACTTATTAAATAAAGTGTTTGACAATTATGTACTTTGTGATCTAGCCACTGTGGAACCTGCATAGATTCATAGAATTGTAGAGTTGGAAGGGACCTCGAGGGTCATCTAGTCCAACCCCCTGCAATGCAGGAATCTTGGCTGAAGAATCTATGACAGAGGGTCATCCAACCTCTGCTTAAAAACCTCCAAGGAAGGAGAGCCCACCACCTCCTGAGGGAGACAGTTCCACTGTTGAACAGTGCTTACTGTCAGAAAGTTCTTCCTGGCATTTAGTTGGAATCTCCTTTCTTGCTCCTTGAATCTATTGGTGTACAGGAGAAAATAAGCTAGTTCCATCTTCCAGTGACAGCCCTTTTAATCTTTAGAGCCTCTCTCCTCTAAGTCTTCTCTTATCCAGGCTAAGCAGCCCCATCTCTTCAACTGTTCCTCTTGACCTGATTATTTGTGGCTTGCATACCCTCCAACATTTCTCTGATGAAAATAGGGATGTCCTAAGGAAAAGTGGGACATTCCAGGATCATATCAGAAACCAGGCAGCTTGTTTAAATCAGGGATGTCCCTGGAAAATAGGGGCACTTGGAGGGTCTGGGATTCTCCCTCCTCTTCATCTATGATAATGAAAACACAGAACTAGGACCCACGTACCTAAGGGACCGCCTCTCCTGGTATGCCCCGCGGAGGACCTTAAGGTCCACAACTGACAACATTTTGGAGGTCCCAAGTCGCAAGGTGGTTAGATTGGTCTCAACTAGGGCCAGGGCCTTTTAGGTACTGGCCCCGACTTGGTGGAACGCTCTGTCCCAAGAGAATAGGGCCCTGCAGGACTTGACATCTTTCCGCAGGGCCTGCAAGACAGAGCTGTTCTGCCTGGCCTTTGGTTTGGACTCAGCCTGACCCTTATGTTTCCCGACCCTTAAGGTTTTGATCTATGGGCTACTATTAAAATGAGGCTGCATTTTAAATTGTATTTTTAACCTGTATTTTAAATTGTTTTCTCCCCCTATTATCCTATTATGTTTTTATTGTAATTTTACTAGTGTTAGCCGCCCTGAGCCCAGCTCTGGCCGGGGAGGGTGGGGTATAAATAAAAATTTATTATTATTATTATTATATGGTATTTTTGGTTCGGCTACTAAGGTAAAAAGGTAAAGGACCTCTGGACGGTTGTTGTTGTTGTTTAGTCGTTTAGTCGTGTCCGACTCTTCGTGACCCCCTGGACCAGAGCACGCCAGGCACTCCTGTCTTCCACTGCCTCCCGCAGTTTGGTCAAACTCATGCTGGTAGCTTCGAGAACACTGTCCAACCATCTCGTCCTCTGTCGTCCCCTTCTCCTTGTGCCCTCCATCTTTCCCAACATCAGGGGCTTTTCCAGGGAGTCTTCTCCTCTCATGAGGTGGCCAAAGTATTGGAGCCTCAGCTTCAGGATCTGTCCTTCCAGTGAGCACTCAGGGCTGATTTCCTTCAGAATGGAGAGGTTTGATCTTCTTGCAGTCCATGGGACTCTCAAGAGTCTCCTCCAGCACCATAATTCAAAAGCATCCATTCTTCGGCGATCAGCCTTTATGGTCCAGCTCTCACTTCCATACATCACTACTGGGAAAACCATAGCTTTTACTATATGGAGCTTTGTTGGCAAGGTGATGTCTCTGCTTTTTAAGATGCTGTCTAGGTTTGTCATTGTCTGGACGGTTAAGTCCAGTCAAAGGTGACTGTGGGGTATGACTCAGTCCCACTAAGCAAACAAATCGGAAGCCGCCTACAGTGGGCAGATATAAACAAATTATATTATTATTATTATTATTATTATTATTATTATTATTATTATCAGTGGCCAACTTCCTTCTAAGGAGGAATATCAGGTCTGCTCAGTCTCAGGGGATGAGGTTGCTTCACTCTGGAAAGCAAGAAACGGAGAGAGAGGAAAATTGCAGACCCTGACTCCAGACAGCACCCCCCACCCCCTCCATCCATCCACTCCCTTCCTTTCATCCATGAGCTCAGACAGCAAGACTCAGGGTGGTGCCTCCTTTTGCCAGGAGTCTGGTCCCGACTTCAGTCACATGACACGGAAGTGGGGAAACAAGCCTCCATCCCCCCCCCGCCCCTTCCAACACACACAAACCCCACCGTAAGAGAATAGGAGCTGCGGTGGGTGCAACGTCGAGCCGGGTCTGTTGGCGAAGAAAACGAACCCCAAAAACCAAAGCGCCTCTCGCGGGGGGAGGCAAAAGATGCAAATGGTGCAGGATCGAGTTGGAGAGGAAAGATCCAGGGACGAGAGGAAGGGTAGGTGGAGAAAGCGGAGTCTGCTGGGGAAGGGGAAGGGGAAGAAAGAAAGGGGGGCGGCGACGACTGAGACAAGCATATGGGGCTCAGAAGTGGTCGGAGGGAGGGTTTATTTCTTAGGGGACGCGTATTTGTTTTGTCCCACTGGCCGCTTCTAGATAAACAGGCTTTGCAGGGATTTATTGATGCATTTATTGATTCCTGCCAACCTAGCAGTTCGAAAGCACATTAGTGCAAGTAGATAAATAGGTACCGCTCCAGCGGGAAGGTAAACAGTGTTTCTGTGCACTGCTCTGGTTAGCCAGAAGCGTCTTACTCATGCTGGCCACATGACTTGGAAGCTGTACGCCGGCTCCCTCGGCTAATAAGCGAGATGAGCACCGCAAAACCCCAGAGTCGGCCACGACTGGACCTAACGGTCAGGGGTACCTTTACCTTTACCTATTGATACGAAAGCCTGCAAGATCTAGTTAGCGACCCCAATCTTCATTAAAAAAACAACAACAGTTTCTAGCATTTGTAGAACCTGAGATGTTTCTCCCTCTTTCTTGGAAAATGCTTCTTTCTCTCCCCCCCCTCCCCAAATTTCTGCAGACTACCATGTTACCATGTTATCTTGGGACGCGGGTGGCGCTGTGGGTTAAACCACAGAGCCTAGGACTTGCCAATCAGAAGGTCAGCTGTTCAAATCCCCCCCCATGGGTTGAGCTCCCGTTGCTCGGTCCCTGCTCCTGCCAACCTAGCAGTTTGAAAGCATGTCAAAGTGCAAGTAGATAAATAGGTACCGCTCCGGCGGGAAGGTAAACAGTGTTTCTGTGCGCTGCTCTGGTTCGCCAGAAGCGGCTTAGTCATGCTGGCCACATGACCCGGAAGCTGTACGCCGGCTCCCTCGGCCAATAAAGCGAGATGAGCGCCACAACCCCAGAGTCAGTCACGACTGGACCTAATGGTCAGGGGTCCCTTTACCTTTTACCTTTACCAAGTTATCAGAGGTGAAAAATATGGGAAGAATTGGGTTGTGTTTACACATCAGGGACAAACTTTCTCTTACAATCGACCTTTAATTCTTTGGTTGTCTGTCTTACCCCTAAAGGGCCAGACAATAAAGGATTTTGGCACAGATGGAATAGCTGTCATCGGAACTGGCTTTGAAGGAGTGGGCTTGAGGCTCACCTTTTCATTTTTTTTATTATTATTTTTTTGCCTTCAGCTCCCTTGAAAAACAACAATTCCTCTCCAACTCTTCACATAGAGGGATTCTTCTCCCTTCTGTTGGCCTGCCTCCAGTGTTGGCAGTTTGCAAAATATAAATGGTAAGAGCAGAAGAGGAGGAGAAACAGGATCAAAGTCTGTTTAGGATCTCTCTCAGGCTCTGGGGAATCCACCAGGTTAGTAGAACAACAGTAAATGAAAAAGAAAAGAGGAAGAATATAAAAATATATTGGTGTGTACTAACTATACTCACCAAGATGGCCTGATTGAATTTCTAACAGCTGTAACTCAGACATGTATCTGGGGAAACATTTGTTCATTTCCTGACATATATATTTGCATACTGCTGCTGCTGCTGCTGTAACCCACCTTTGAATGAAGTTGCAACTCAACCCAATAGTTGAAGATTAATGACTTGAAGTAGGAAAGGAACCTTTCTAAAGAGCTCCAGTTGCTTTGATGCTTAAAGGGTGGGGGTATTAAGATCAAAGAAAAAACTCTGATCCCAATAAGTCTGTGACGAATGCAAAGCAATAAATCATTAAAATCAGAGGGTTTCTACGATTCACAGGTTATAAACTTGAGGCACACCTGGAATAACTTTATAAAGCTGTGCCTGTGATTTTACCAAAGGTGCATTGCTGTTTGTCTTCATTTATATTAAATATTATATTAAAGCAAGAGCTGTTTGATGGGAAAGCTGGATATAAAACTTTTTAATAAATATTTCCTAGGCCTCAGAGCTGATTAAAAAAAAAAAAGAAAAGATGGTGAGCTTCAGATCCCAGAAAGTCCAGCACCAAATTAAACCTCACATTCTTACTCAGCCGGCAGCATCATTTAAGTGGCTGGATTCTGAACTGCTAGGCAGTTTTGACATCTGAAGGGAGCCCTGTTCAGGGAAGGTTTACTGTGTGATGTTGTATTGTGCTTTTACTATTTTGTGTTGCGAGCGGCATATAAATAAATAAATTCTTATTATATTTTAAAATGTTAGCTGTCTTGGAATAGAACTTCTAAAGTGGCTTGCATAGATTCTCTTGCTTTCTCCTCATAAGATTTTGTTGTCCCACAGGAGGACAAACCATATAATTTTACCTGCAACCCTTCGCCTTGCTTTCTCATTGTTGCTCTCTGATTGCAAACTCCTCTCTCTCTCTCTCTCTCTCTCTCCTTTGTAAAGGACATCATCCTGACTTGAAGCCCTGAGTGCTTTTGCCCCACCCACTTTTCCCGTATTCAGTACAGCACAACATTCAAGATCCTTCCTAGATGTACAGATCCTTGGAAAGTGGAAATGGCTGCGACAGGGTGGCCTCAGGTATGTTGATGGAGGCTGGGCTCACCCAAGAATACATTCTGCTGTCTTGAGGGAGAACTGTGAATGTGCAGCAATAAAACCAAGCTAAGCAGGGTCTGGTCTGGTTTCAAACTGGATGGGGGACCACGTTTTGGAATTCCTGCATTGCAGACTAGATGACCCTCGGAGGTCCGTTCTAACTCTACAATTCTATGATTCTGTGACAAATATCCACAGATAAACATGCTGAATTTCATCACTCTCTAGAGCAGGGGTCTGCAACCTTTAAGACAAAAAGAGCCACTCGGACCCGTTTCCGAAGAAAAAACAACTGGGAGCCGCAAAACCATTGCGACATTTAAAACAAATATATCTCCGGAGCCGCGATCTGACAGTGGGCGGGAAGGTGACGTTGGGACGGTGCGTGACTAACGCACGCACCGCCCCCATGCGACGTCACAGCCAGTACAGCGCCCGCCACAGTGGGGAGTGTCGGGGCGCACAATGCGCCTCCTCCCCTCGCTAGTATCCGCCCCGGAGCCGCAGCAAAGGTGTAAAAGAGCCACATGCGGCTCCGGAGCCGCGGGTTGCTGACCCCTGCTCTAGAGCATCAGAATATCTTCCAGTTGATACTATGCATAGTTCTTTGAGCTGCTGGAATTTCTTAGGCTGCCAACATTTTCTAGTAGTTTGGATTTCCCTCCACCCTTAAAGAATATGAGGGAAGTACTTGGCTACTGGCCAGGGATGATGGGAGCTGAAATTCAGCAAGATCTGGGGAGGCAGGCCAAATTTCCCCACACATGTGCCATTGTCCTTAATAGTTTCCCAGCTGTCAGAATGCAGCCCACTTGACCCACTAATGGCACCACCAACAGAAGGAAGAAATAGATGCCTTTCATTCTTTCTTGCGCTACCTTCATCTCAAAAGAAGTCCTCCATCGTTGCCGGCAGCTGATCTTCAGTGTCGTGAAAGAGCAGCAAGTGGTTAATTATTTGATTTATCATTTTCAGTTCCAGGGGAAGGGAGACTTGTTCTTGGGAGTCTAGGAACAAATGGAAGTTGCTTTATATCGAGTCAGACCGTTGGTTTATCAAGCCATTATGTCTACACTGACTGGCAGAGGCTGTTAAGGGTTTTAGCTAGGGGACGTTCCCAGCCCTACCTTGAGATACCAGGGATTGAACCTGACACCTTCTGCATACAAGGCACTTCCACTGAACTGCAGCCCTTCCTCAGTTTTCAGCCTCAGGTGCCAAAACACCTTGGCTGGTCTTTAAATCCAGTATTGTCTACTCTGTCTGGCAGCTCAAAAATAAGACCTGTCCCTTCCAACATCCAATTTCACACAATGGCCAACCAGGTTTCCGAGCACAATTCAAAATGTTGGTGCTGACCTTTAAAGCCCTAAACAGCCTCAGTCCTGTATACCTGAAGGAGTGTCTCCACCCCCATCGTTCAGCCCGGACACTGAGGTCCAGCTCCGAGGGCCTTCTGGCGGTTCCCTCCCAGTGAGAAGTGAGGTTGTAGGGAACCAGGCAGAGGGCCTTCTCGGTAGTGGCACCCACCCTGTGGAACGCCTTCCCATCAGATGTCAAGGAGATAAAGAACTACCTGACTTTTAGAAGACATCTGAAGGCAGCCCTGTTTAGAGAAGTTTGTAATGTTTGATGTTTTATTGTGCTTTTAATTCTGTTGGGAGCCTCCCGGAGTATTATTATTATTATTATTAATAATAATAATAATAATAATAATAGCACAGCTGTGGAGTCCAAATCGGCTCACTGTGTTGGTTCCAGGCCTTCAATCCCAAACAGCTCTGTGGGGTCTGAGGCGGAGGTTTTCCCCGTTACCTTACACTGGATCCTTTTTAACTCGAATGGTTCTGTCTAGTGAACTCTACTATTGAGCTGTGGCCTCCTCAAAGTCAAAGTTCACATCTCTGCTTAGATCACTAGCTCTCCGTTGTGGTTCATAATCCAGGCTTACCTTCAACGGGATGGTGTAAACACCAGATGTGTGAAGCATCTGAGGCGCTTGGACATGGTTTGCTTATGTTTCCCCAGGAGCTGGTGACTTTTGAAGATGTGGCCTTGTATTTCACGCAAGGGCAATGGGCTTTGCTGGATCCGAATCAAAGAGCTTTGTACAGGGAAGTCATGCAGGAGAATTACAATCATGTCGCTTCCTTAGGTAAGGACCCCTTTGTTAGGGATATCTGAACAGAGATTGCATCCATTAATCTTCTTCTTTGGCGATCACTCGGAGACGAGTAAGATTGTCTTCCATAAACACGGTTTTAACAATGAGTCCGTAAGTGACTGTGGGGGCCAATTTGGGATCCACACTTCCTTCCACAGTGGGGACATTGGTTTCTGGGCGGGAGTTGATCACGGTGTGGATTTGCCAAGCGTGCCTTCCTCTTAGGGCATTTCTCCCTTGCGTCCTGAGTTTGAGTGTCTTCACAGCCCATGACTGTTCTCCAATTGGAGCGCTTTCAGGCAAGTGTATCCCAATTGTTGGTGTTTATACTACATTTTTTAAAGATTTGCCTTGAGGGAGTCTTTAAACCTCTTTTGTTGACCACCAGCATTACACTTTCCATTTTTAAGTTTGGAACAGAGTAGTTGCTTTGGAAGACGATAACCAGGCATCTGCACAACACGACCAGTCCAACGAATTTGATGTTGAGGAATCATTAGCACAACATGGATCTATACTTAAAGCCCGAAATTCTACTCAATAACATCTTTTTAAAAACTCTTTGATCAGGATTTCCACTTCTCAAGCCTGGTTTGATCTCCTGGCTTGAGGAAGAGCCATGGTCTGCAGAACGGCTGGGTTTAGAGGAGACAGAGGCTCCCTCAGAACAGAGCGCAGGTGAGGGAATGAAAAACAGAACTCATAAAATGTATATATTTGTGCGAAAACTCCAGAGATTTGTACCAAATCTAGTTCTTCTCTTACTGGGTCAGAAAGCCAACCTTTGCATGACCTTTGCCTCTGAATGCCAATTTCCTTACACTTTTCTCTTGATCAGGGTTTCCTGATGTGATAATAAAGCTGGAGGAAGAAGGGGGTCCATGGAACCTGAATCAGCAGGAATCCAACACCTTCGCAGGTACCAAGATCTACCTTTCTTTACCTGTCTCGATTTTTTCCATGTTAAATGAACAGCTGTAAGTAATTTTGCCTCAAGGGGACGCTTCTGCACATTTCCCCAACACTCTTGTTTTTTTTTGCAATATTGTTTTTGCTGAGACTAACTTTTCTGAAGCCTGTGCAATGTTGTTGTTGTTGCTATCAACATTATTCCAGTACAGTCATACCTCGTGTTGCATTTGCTTCATGATACGTTTTTTCAGGTTGCATCCTGCGGCGACCCGGAAGTACTGGAAAGGGTTACTTCTGGGTTTCGCTGCTCGCGCATGTGCAGATGCGCAAAATGACGTCACGCGCAGATGCGGGAATCGCGACCCGCAGACGTGAGTTGCGTTCTGCTCATGTTGCGAACGGGACTCCGAAACGGATCCCGTTCGCAACCAGAGGTACCACTGTAACAGGATGTTTGTGTTGTCACACTGCTTTGTAGCCATTTCTTAAACATTTTTATTTATTTTGGAAAAAGTATTCACAGGCTGCCCCTTCATGGAAAAAAAGCAGTGTACAACAAAATGTACAATTAGAATAACATACAAAATTCAATAAAAACAGGACAAAATAGGCATAAAGATGATCGGCTCACCTTGAAAAGATTTAAACCACTGAATAGGCCTGTTGACTTAAAAAGATTCAGGTAGGTAGCCGTGTTGGTCTGACACAGTCAAAATATATTTAAAAAATAAAAAAAAATGTCCAGTAGCACCTTAGAGACCAACTAAGTTTGTTCTTGGTATAAGCTTTCGTGTGCATGCACACTTCTTCAAATACCGAGTGGGACAATTTTTTAAATTTTTTAAATATATTTCAGCATAAAAAGAGTGAGTGTGCCTGCTGCATCTCTGCAGGAAGAGTGTTCCACAATATGGGGCCAGCAATACTAAATGTCCGAATCCTAGCTGAAGCCACTCGGGCTTCCGAAACATGGGGGACAATTAATAGTGCTCCACTGGACGGTGTCCGCGATCACTGGGGGAATCTATATTTACATATATTTAATTTGGAACGCAGTGATCACAGCTTGTTGTTTTTGCACCTCGTTTTCTTCACCGCTTGCATTTTTACTTCTATACCCATCCAACGTTCAGCTTCACAGGATGCCGCAAGTTCTCGTGTTAAAAGAGAGGGAGGAAAACTCTTTACCTGCTTCCTCTGTTCTACATGATGTCATCACCTTCTCTGTTTGTCTCGCCTTTTTTTATCCTGACTCAGGACTTCCTGGCGTTCTGATAAAGCAAGAGCGAGAAGAGGAACCAGGGGTCTTGGATGATCAGAGAACTGAGGAACGGCCCAGTGCTGCTGGCGACCAGTCGGGTGAGGGAGCAGTTCATCTACAATTCCTGGAGTGGTTTAACAGTCAATCCTTCTTCCCAGGGAATTCTGGGAATTGCAGCTCTGTGAGGGGAACGGGGGCTTCCTAACAGCTCTCAGCACCCGTAACCAACCACAGTTCCCAGGATTCCTTGGGAAAAGCCACAACTTTATAAATGACATGATACTGCTTCAAATGGATATAGTGCTGATGGGGCCTCACTCTCTGTTCTAATAGCAACAAAAGAAAAGTTGGTGTCTTTTTTTTATAAAAAAAAGCTAGATGGTCACACCTCACATTCTCCTCTTTCCGCTGACTCAGGGTTTCCTGGTGTGATAATAAAGGTGGAGCCGAAAGAGGAACCCTGCGTCCCTGTGCTCCACCCAGGTAAGAGATGGGTTCAAGTGGCTCATGATCCACAGTCAATATGTTTTGAACCTAGTTTGGTTGTCATTTTCCAGGCCAATGATATTCACACTGATTGTAATAAAAAAAGGAGACCATTTTCTCTTAAAGCAATGTAGGGAGTTGCCTTATAGCACCGCAGACCATTAATAATAATAATAATAATAATAATATCCCGCCCTCCCCAGCCGAAGCCGGGCTCAGAGCGGCTAACAACAATGAAAGTAACACAGTTTACATAAAATCACAATCAACTGTGGCCCTGTGGAACGCCATCAGATGTCAAAGAAATAAACAACTACCTGACTTTTAAACATCTGAAGGCAGCCCCGTTTAGGGAAGTTTTTAATGTTTGATGTTTTATTGTGTTTTTAACATTCTATTGGGAGCCGCCCAGAGTGGCTGGGGAAACCCAGCCAGATGGGCGAGGTATAAATAGTACATCGTCGTTGTCATCATCATCATCATCATTATTATTATTATTAATTAGTGCTTTTTTCCTAAAAAATGTTTAGGGGTACTCTCATTTTGACTCACGAAAATCACCATTTTATAGTTCAAATTGGGAAAAATAAATACAGTAAATGGACAAAAGTACAAAGATTCATAAAATGTTTAGAGGGATGCGTACCCCTGCACCCCCCCCCCGAAAAAGCATTGATGATGATGATGATGATTAGTAGTACTGCTATCTTTCTCTTAATAGGCGGCAGGTGTGAGGAAAAAGGAGAAGAGGGTCTTCCAGGAAGCGCTCACCTAGTGGCAGCAAACAAAATATCCTTAGGAATTACCGAAGGGAGCGTTTCACAGTACCAAGACATCGCCGAGAACCGAGGCAGAAAAGAGAGGCATCAGAGAAATGACCTGGGAGAGAGATCAGGAAGGGCTTTACCTTGTCAGGGAGGTGAAAAAAGTGAAACCAAAATGCAAAAGAAAATTCACAAGTATGGGAGAACTCTTCAAAAAGGAGAGAAACATCATAAACAATTAGGTTGTGAGAAGAGAATGAATGGGAGCTACTGCCTGCTTTCTCAGAGCAAAGGCCGCAAAGGAGAAAAAGTTCATGCTTGTTCAGTCTGTGGTAAAAGCTTCAAGTGGAAAAGTAACCTGATTATCCACGAAAGAATCCATACAGGAGAGAGGCCGTACGCATGCTCAATCTGTGGTAAAAGCTTCAGCAAAAGATCGTACCATGCTGTCCATGAGCGAATGCACACGCAAGAAAAAACATACACTTGTTCAGTGTGTAATAAGAGCTTCATCCATAAAGTCAGCCTTAGGAGGCATGAACAAGTCCACACAGGAGAGACCCCGTATAAATGCTCAAACTGTGGGAAGGGCTTTAGTCAGAAATGTAACCTCCTTTCACATGAAAGAATCCACACAGAAGAAAGGCCTTACCCGTGTTCATTCTGCAGCAAAAGTTTTAAACGAAGATCAAACCTCAACAGCCACAAAGTCAGCCATACGGGAATAAAAACAAATATGTGCTCGATCTGTGGTAAAAGCTTCAGTCATAGATCAAACCTTGTTAGCCATGAAAGAACTCACACTGGAGAGAAACCGTTTTCATGCACAATCTGTGGTAAATGTTTCGCTGACAGAACACATCTTATTAAACACGAGAGAACTCATACAGGTGAGAAACCATATATGTGCTCCATCTGTGGGAACAGCTTTAGCCACAAATCAAATCTGGTTAGCCACGAAAGAACCCACACAGGGGAAAAACCATACCCGTGCTCAGTTTGTGGCAAAAGTTTCACAGATAGAGCATATCTTCTTAAACACCAGAGAACTCATACAGGAGATAAACCATTCAAATGCTCTGTCTGTGGGAAGAGCTTCAGTCGTAAGGATTACCTTATTAGACACAAGATCATCCATACCGGAGAGAAACCATACATGTGCTCAGTTTGCGGGAAGAGTTTCATGTGGAAAAGTTACCTGTCTATCCATGAAAGAATCCACACAGGAGAGAAACCGTATACATGCTCTTTCTGTGGTAAAAGCTTCAGTGAAAAATCGTACTACATTGTACATGAACAAATGCATACAGCGGAAAAAATACATGCTTGTTCAGTCTGTAGTAAAAGCTTTGTTCATAAAGTAAGCCTTATCAGACATCAGCAAGTCCACTCGGGTGAGACACCACATAAATGCTCGGTTTGTGGGAAAGGCTTCAGTCAAAAATGTAGCCTTATTTCACATGCAAAAATCCACACAGAAGAAAGGCCTTTCACATGCTCCTTCTGCGGCAAGAGCTTCAAGCGAAGGTCAAATCTCACCAGTCACGAAAGAATCCATACGGGAGAGACCCCCTATGTGTGCTTGGCCTGTGGCAAAAGCTTTAATTGTAAAGCACATCTTCTCGGACATGAGAGAACTCATACAGGGGAGAAACCATATTCATGCCCGGTTTGTGGGAAAAACTTCGGTAACAAGTCACAGGTGGTTATACACGGGAGAATACATACAGGAGAAAAACCATATACTTGTTCACACTGTGGGAAAAAGTTCAAGCACAGGACAAGCTATACCGAGCATCAAAAAATCCACACGGAAGAGAAACCGTTCATATGCTCAGCCTGCGGCAGGAGCTTCAGTCGGAAGGAGCACCTGATTATCCACGAGAGAATCCACACGGGAGAGAAGCCATATTCATGCTCGGCCTGTGGGAAAAACTTCAAGCAGGAGTCAAGCCTTACTTCACATGAGAGAAGCCACTTGGCCGAAAAGCCACACTCGTGTTCCACCTGTGGCAAAACTTTCAAGAATCAAGTATACCTGAGGAGACATGAAAAAATTCATATGAGATAAAGGACGAGGGTGGCGCTGTGGGTTAAACCACAGGCCTAGGACTTGCTGATCGGAAGGTCAGCGGTTCGAATCCCTGCGATGGGCTGAGCTCCCATTGCTCGGTCCCTGCTCCTGCCAACCTAGCAGTTTGAAAACACGTCAAAGTGCACGTAGATAAATAGGTACCACTCCGGCGGAAAGGTAAATGGCGTTTCCATACGCTGCTCTGGTTCGCCAGAAGTGGCTTAGTCATGCTGGCTACATGATCCAGAAGCTGTATGCCGGCTCCCTCGGCCAATAAAGCGAGATGAGCGCCGCAACCCCAGAGTCGGTCATGACTGGACCTAATGGTTAGGGATCCCTTTACCTTTACCTTTATGTTTGAAAAGCCTCAAAAGGAGCTTCTCATCCTCGTCAGACTTTATTTAAGCATCAGAAAGGTGAGGGTTGGGGTGTGTCACGAGATACGGAAGACGTTAAGGCACAGACGTGACCCAGAAACCCATACCAGAGACAGAAATAATACATGCAATATTTAATAAAGCACCAGTAACCTTTTTTCTCCCAATGATCTATAGTATTGGACTTAACAGTGCTGTTGTGAATACATTTCAATATTTCAAACTTTTCCTAGGTTTGAATTTCCTAGCTTCATCTCATAGTCTGAAGACTAATTGCCACCCGCTTCGGCTTCCAGATCTGCTTTTTCGAACATTTTCATCAATTCCAGAGCACGTTCGTTTTTGTAGCTGTATGAAGAACACTTGGTTTAGCTGCAGATGTGTCGTAAAATATAACGTATTGAATAAAGAATTTTAGAAACTTGGTTTTTTGTTTACCCAGGGATGCAGAGGTGTAGTTCTAATGTTCTGTCATCTGTGAACGATGAAAGTACAGGGCTAAGTTATATTTTCAGCCTGCTCTCCATAGCACAGCCATACACAGAATGGGGCACTGACCCACCAACTCCAATCTCCCCTCAGCCAGCCCCCACCTGCCTGGCACAGACTGCCAGCTGCCTCCTCCTTAGTCTCAATGTTGCCCTTGGAGAAAGCTGGGAAGATGATGGGGGCAAAAGCTAGAATTACTTGGCTCGGCCTTGTCATTGGCTCTCTGGCTCCACCTACTGTTAGCCTCCGGCTTTTCACCCTACCAGTTCCAACAGCCACCACTGGGTAACCATAACTGAGCTATGTCTGTTTGCGCCATACATTTAAAACTGAACCATACAGCCGTGACTTTCCCTAAAGAATCCTGGAAACTATAGTTTGTTAAAAGTGCCGAGAGTTACATATAGTATAAAATGGACCAAAGTTCCTGCCTGAGGTGAGATTTTGTATCGTACGGCTCACGGCGTCCTTAGGATTCATTGCATCTGCACACTTGGATCAATCAGTCAAATCTTTATTACGGCCATAGACCAGCATAAGTAGGGTGGGGTACAATAATTTAAAATCTGCAAACAGTTTGGAAAGCTAAAAAGTATTAAAACAAGGTATATATAAAAGACTATAAGAATCTTAAAGAAGGGTTAGGAGCATTAAACGGATGTGGAAGAGCATAAAAGGTTAGTACAGTGGTACCTTGGTTTACGAACAGCCCTGTTTACGAACTATTCAGTTTACGAACTCCGCAAAACCGGAAATAGTGTCCTGTTTGTGAACTTTACCTCTGTTTACGAACGGAAGCTGAATGGTGGAAGGGCACTGGCGGCGGGAGGCCTCATTAGGGAAAGCGTGCCTCGGTTTAAGAACTTTTTTGGTTTAAGAACGGACTTCCGGAATGGATTAAGTTCGTAAACCGAGATCCCACTGTATATAAAAGGCTATGGCTATCAGTTTACAGAGCACTCTGAAATAAGTGTTCATTAAATCTAGTTTGTGGCACAGGTCATCATCCGATGAATTTTGAACGCTGCTATGCAGAACCTGGCAACATTGTAAGTTGTTGCAGGGTTGGTATCTGAAAGCAGCAGGTAGGTAAAGAATTCTCCTGTGCGCCCTGGATACTTATGGAGTAGTGGGGAAATGAGGCTAATATGGATGTCTCTATAATATAGGCACTGGAGAAGCACATGCTCTAATGTTTCTATTTGTCCAGAATCACAGGGACATTGTCTCTCCCGAATAAGCAATCAGCCATACATCCTAAAGTCTAGTGCAGGGGTAGCCAACAGGGTGCCCTCTGATCTGGATGCTATTGAACTGCTGGCTCCCAAAGCCCTGGGATCCTTTGGAGGAAAGCATTGGGTGTGAATTTAAATAAATAAACAAGCCTCAGCCAGCATTGCCAGTGGCCAGGGATCTAACACACATTTAAAGCGTGTGACACTCCTTCCTGAAGAATCTTGGGAGCTGTAGTTTCCCCCCAGCATCTCTGTCAAATAAGTACTGCGGGAAAGGTAAAGGGACCCCTGACCATTAGGTCCAGTCATGGCCAACTCTGGGGTTGCGGCGCTCATCTCGCTTTACTGGCCGAGGGAGCCGGCATACAGCTTCCGGGTCGTGTGGCCAGCATGACTAAGCCGCTTCTGGCGAACCAGAGCAGCGCACGGAAATGCCATTTACCTTCCTGCCGGAGCGGTACCTATTTATCTACTTGCACTTTGACGTGCTTTCGAACTGCTAGGTTGGCAGGAGCAGGGACTGAGCAATGGGAGCTCACCCTGTTGTGGGGATTTGAACCGCCAACCTTCTGACTGGCAAGTCCTAGGCTCTGTGGTTTAACCCACAGCGCCAATGGTACAATGGTACCTCGGGTTAAGAACTTAATTCATTCCGGAGGTCCGTTCTTAACCTGAAACTGTTCTTAACCTGAAGCACCACTTTAGCTAATGGGGCTTCCTGCTGCTGGAGCATGATTTCTGTTCTCATCCTGAAGCAAAGTTCTTAACCCGAGGTACTATTTCTGGGTTAGCGGAATCTGTTACCTGAAGCGTCTGTAATCTGAGGTACCACTGTAACTGGGAATTAGGAATAAAGGGCTGCATGCTACAATCAGCTGTTTTTGCCTACTGTCTACAAAAAACATTAGATGCATTTATTTCCACATTTGGCCACAAGGTGTCGGTTTTTCACCACAAACTATTCTGTCTGGCTGCTTCGCTTTTTTACTGTTTGTGTTTCTGCATATTATTTGCGAGATTATCCCTAACCCAAGGGACAGGTGGGGCTAGGGATAATCATCGAGGGGGAGGAAAACTAAATCACCAGGGAGGAGGATACTAAACCTCTGCTGCCTTGCGGGACATCTTCGGGAAAAGAAAATAATAATAATAATATTCCCCAAAATAAAACCAGGTTATTTATGTATGCGACGTCAGCAGCAAGGGTTATAGTGGCAAAATACACCCACTAAAGAGGAATGGGTAGTCAAATTGTGTGAGTACTTGGAGCTCACGAAGCTGACAGATGTAATAAGAGATAAACCTAAAAAGATGGTGAAAGAAGAATGGAAATGTTTAAATAATTATCTAGGGGACAAGGGTTCATCAAGAAAGACCTGGTTATGTTTAGAATGATACCGCATAGAGAAATGCTCCTGATACCAAGATGAAGGATTCTTTGGAATGCAGATAGAGAGAATTGATAAGAAAAATGATCTGTTGTGACCTTGATGGAAGCATACAATAGATGAGCCTTTTTGTGTTTTGCCTCATCTTGCTCTTTTTTTCTTTTTCTTTTCCCCCCTCCTCCTTTCCTTTTTATTTTTTGTTTCCCATAATGGCTTATGTTTTATGCCATGTACTTTGATATTTTTTGTAGTTTTTTAGCTTTTCTCATTATTATTAAGGAATCTTCTTTTGTAATTTTGGTTGTCTATATTTATATGTATTTGTTTAAAGCAAAATAAAAGTATTTAATAATAATAATAATAATAATAATAATAATAATTTATTTATACCCTGCCCATCTGGCTGGGTTTCCCCAGCCACTCTGGGTGGCTTCAAACAAAATATTAACACCCTTAAGACATTTGTTACAGTAAAATCTGGGTGCGGGGCTACTCTGCCACCCAGCTCGTCGGACTAAGTCCGCGGGTCCCTGCGGAAGAAAAATGAGCTCAGCCGGAGACAGGAGCAAACTGCAGAAGATCCAAGTTTATTGCGCAACAGGTTCAAGGCGAGATTGAACAGCGAGAAAGGGGTGACATGAATTATTGAAACTTCCCTCCATGTCCCAGAATACAGTGCAAAATACATCCCAGTTACATCATGAATACATTAAGAAGAGGTTGGGTTACACAGATTACATCACGAATACATTAGGAAGAGGTTGGGTTACACCGGATTAACATATGGAGGAGGGAGGGGGGAATATGCAGAGCTGGAGATATGCGCAGATAAGCACATCCTGAGTACCTGATGAGAAGACAATGGTCCATGTATATGCATGGTCTGCCACCTGGCATCTCCCGGAGGAAGGGCTTGGCAGAGTGATTTGACAGGATTAGGGTCTTGACACCTTGCTTGAGGGATTATGGAGGACAGGGGAGGTGTCATGGAGTCCTAGAGAAACTGAGCAAATTGGCACGTTGATTTTCTATGAATTTTATAGATTTTAGTCCCTTTTGACATTGGCAATTGGAAATAAATGGATATATTGTAGCGAAGAAGAAGGTGAAGAAGTCATGCCCCCACCTTCTGTATAACATTGAATGTTGTTTTGTGCACCTCCTTGGCAACTGCTGCAGCCCATCTGGTGCTAAACCTCTGGCTCTGCTTTCCTTTGGACCACATCAGTGAGGCCGAGAGGGGGGGGGTGTTTCTTATCCTCTGGGCAGCCCAGGACCTCTAAACACACTGCCAGGCTTGTGCCCCTCGGAGGTCACTTGGGTGCTGTTATTAACAGTTTTGGGCTTCACCCCTGGAGGCGCATTCCATTGTCAACAATCCCAACCCCACCTTCCCTTTTAGACACACCCTTTGGAGCAGGGAAGGGCAGCTATTCTTGCAAGGCATGCCAGAAGGCAGTTGCTTCATGCAAGAGATAAGCGTATCTCACTTCAATTGCAAATGGGTTTGTTCCTTGGTGAGTAGAAGATCCAATCAAAGTCCCACTCCCGCTGGTAATGCTATTGCAAAAAAGGGCAATTCCTCAAAGGCTTTAGAAGCACAGACTCTCCCCATGCCTATCGGAATCTCAGCCTGAGGGTATCAAAATCTGTGAAGTTTGGCTCCGGCATAGCAGCCAACTCCTATAAAACATTTATTGGGGGCCAGCCCCCCCCCCCGCAAAGTGGATGGAAATTGCCATTCAAATGGTGTGTGTGTGTGCTGTGTCATGTGATCAGTTATCCACTGCCTCATCTGCAGATGTTGTGTGTCATCTTCTTTGGTGATCACTTGTAGCTGTGTAAGATTGTTTTCCATAAACACGGTTTTAACAATGAGTCCATAAGTGACCCTGGAGGCCAATTCTGGATCCACACGTCCTTCCACAGTGGGGACATTGGTTTCCGGGTGGGAGCTGATCACGGTGTGGATTTGCCAAGCGTGCCTTCCTCTTAGCACGTTTCTCCCTTGCGTCCTGAGTTCGAGTGTCTTCAAAGCCCATGACACCTTTGGTAAAGGCTGTACTCCAACTGGAGCGCTCGCAGGCCAGTGTTTCCCACTTGTCAGTGTTTATACTACATTTTTGGGGGATTTGCCTTGAGAGTCTTTGAACCTCTTATGTTGACCACCAGCATTACGCTTTCCATTTTTAAGTTTGGAATAGAGTAGTTGCTTTGGAAGAGGATAATCAGGCATCCTCACAACATGACCAGTCCAACGAAGTTGAGGTTGAAGAATCAGTGCTTCAACAGCATATTGCTGTTGCTCCTGGTTCCAACTTTTAAGCTGCTGTTCCGCTCCCTGCTTCCCCCAAAGAAAGGACAGACTAGCAGCTATGATTGTTGTTGATTGCAAATTATGTTTATTAAATGCAGTGCTTTTTTCTGGGAGTACGCAGGGGTACGCATACCCCGAAACATTTTGTGAATCTAAGTCTGGCCTCATTGAGGGGCAGTATTTCAATGTGGGTAGGAAAATGAGAGTACCCCAAAATATTTTTTTTTAGAAAAAAAAGCAAGCACTGATTATTTGTGAAATGCAATAAAATGCTTTTCTGAAATGCAGACACGCACTTGAATGCAGAATAAGAGCCGGGATGCGACCTTGCCTGAATTGATTGGCTCCCTGATTACAGTTGCCTCAATTCTCCATATATAGGGATAAGAATCGCAGATCTGCACTTTGGAGCCTCGCAAGAGCTGATTGGCTGCCAAGTGAAGCGGCGTTGGCCCGCCCCCGCTTCTCCATTCACAACCATTATCCATTCATCCACAGAGTTGCAGTCTCTGACTGGCTACATTTCTCGTGGCGGCGATTTTGATTTCGTTGCCTGCTGCTTCGGCTCCTCCTCTTGCTGCTCACCAGAGCTGCTCCGGATCAGGCAAAAAGGGGTCCCCTTGCTCCTCTCTCCGCCGGATTAGGAGCGCTACGAATTCCTGCTTTGGCCGGACGTGGAGACGGAAGGACACTCCGGCTCGGATCCGGTTTGCTCATCGATCTCGTCCCTCAAGATCTCTAGGTGAGAGAGATTTATTGCTCAATAGGCGCGCCTCACCCGGCAGGACCCTTTCCTAGCATGTTGCGCCGAAGATACGTGTACACGGTCGTGTGAATGGCTATTATTTTGCGATACCCCCCTCTCTTTCCTTTGCTCCCTATCTCTGCTCTGCCCGGACTCGGAAAAATAAAGGTAATCTTTTTCTCCGAGCCCATTTGCAGATCCGGAGTTGAGCGAGATTTATGGCTCAACAAGTTCGCGTGTAACGCTGCGGGCTCCTTGCGTGGGGATCGCCTCACGTGTACACGACACGTGTGGGTGCGTTTCATTTAGCGATGGGAAGATGAATGACGGTGGTTCTTCCCCCCCTGGCCTCGGTTTTGTCCTTCCTGGACATCACTGGCGATTCTTTAAAAGAATCGGGACTGCAGGTCTCTTTCCGCGAGCTGAGTGAGCTATAGAAAGCCTGTATATGAAACGAAGGGTTCAGATTTCTTAGAAATTGTTGTTAAATTAGGAAGAAAAACGAAGCGGGGTGGGGGAAAGGCAGATGAATTTCTCAAGATTCCGTAACTTCAATGTGCGTGTCCGTCTTCTCTCATCTGCTTTGCGTGCAGAAGGTCCCAGGTTCAAATCCTGCCATCTCCAGGTGCGGGTTTTTTGGGCGCGCGGGTGGGGGAGTTTAGCTCCCAAAAATTCCAGCGCCATCCACGCTCTTTTTAGCACTTCCCACGATTGGCAGCGACGTGTTTGTGTTGCTGGATGTTTGTGTTATTTGTGTTGCTGGATGAGTGTTTTAGGACTTTCCTATTGCACGCGGTTTTGCTCTCTGTTTGCACCTGGATTTTAACCGATTTAACCTCTCCATCTTTTACCTTGCTAGTTGGATAAGAGCCAAGTTTTTGTACACAGCAGCTAAGAAACGCGGCAAATAATACGGCGTTCACTTGTAATCTACATCATGGGAACCATCCCCATGATTTTTAAAAATGAAGTTGAAAGTGCCTCTCTCACATCCAGCCCCCGGTTTACCTCCTTTCCCATGTCGTTTAAACATAAACCTTTATTGTCAATTGCCTAGAGGATTTTAATTTAAAAAGTGGTGTGTGTGTTAAATAAAATAAAATACAAACGAAGCTGTTTCTGGACCAGGGATTTTCCAACAAGCTTCAGTGGCAAGCTTAAAAATATCCATGTTGATTTTCGATTGTATTTTGTGAATTACTTGGAATGCAAATGGCAAACATTAAAATACCATTCAAGAAAAAATATATATGAAGGAACAAAATGCAATTGAAAACCATTGAACACAGGAGGAATCTGTCCCCCTTTGTGATGAGATCTGCCTTTCCTAAATACTTGAGGGAGGGTGATCATCTTTCTTTCCAGGGTGTAGGAGATGCATTTCTATGATCCCACATATAAAATGTAATAAAACGTCAAACATTAAAAGCTTCCCAATACAGGGCTGCCTTCTGATGTCTTCTAAAAGTTGTGTATTTCCTTCATCTCCTTGGCATCTGATGGGAGGGCCTTGCACAGGGCGGGTCCCACTGCTGAGAAGGTCCATGCGGATGGGGCAGGGCTTACTTTTCCCATTTCAGATTAAAGTTCACAGGGACCCTAACTCTGCTCCATCTCTCTTCCAGGTGCGGCTGCTTCTGGAGAAGGAGAGTGGTCCCTCACAACAGGAGTGCAGCCATGGCTGAGGAGAGGTACAGGAAGAGGATCCGGAGTGAAGTCACCTGCTCCATCTGCCTCAGTTACTTTACTCGTCCGGTGGAACTGGGCTGCAGGCACAACTTCTGCGAAACCTGCATCTTGAGGTGCTGGGAGGAGTCTGGTGAGAGAACCAGGTGCCCCGAGTGCAGAAAGGCTGTCAAAACAGACTACAAGCAAAACAGGCTTCTCACAAATATGGTTGGAATCATCAGTGAGTGGGATCATTCTGAGGAGAGAGAGGCTCAAAGGAGGCGCTCGGATTGTCAGAGGCACCAGAAGACCCTGGACCTCTTTTGCCGGGACGACGAAGCCCCCTTCTGTGGGGAGTGTGACACATCCCAAGGGCACAGCGGCCACAGGGTGGTTCCTGTGGAAGAAGCCGCCCAAGACTACAAGGTAAGAATGAACCATTAATAGGAACGGCTAGTATATATGATGGAATTAAAATCATAGAATTGTAGACTTGGAAAAGATCCTGAGGATCTAGTCCAACCCACAACAATGCAGGAATATGCAGTTGTCCCATAAGGGGATCGGACCTGCAATCTTCATATTATAAGCACCATGCTCTAACCAAACTGAGCCATTCAGCAATCAAGGTTAAAGGCTGTCCATAAACCACTGTCTCCTCTGAGTGAGTGTTTATCCCTCTAATCCTAGGTGTGAGGGAGGCAGTCTGCTGTCAACTGACTCTGCTCATGCTCAGGAGGCCTCTCATCTAATTATTTTACACATCCTAAGATAGATATTGGCTTTTATGGGACTGAGGCTTGTTTTGCCTTATAAGACTCCACTAGATGTGTATATTAGGTATGATTGTGTAAAAAAATGATAATTAAGCTGATATAGAAAGATTGAACAATGTTAAGGTGGCCTTTCTAGGAAAAATAAATGCAGCTCAAATGAGTTTGCAAACTGCCTTTCCTGTTTCAGAATCTAATTCAAAGAGCAGAGCAAGGATTGCAAGTCAGGAAATAACTAATACATTGATTTATTTGGGATGGAAAGAAATGTACAATTGCTTTAAAAAGGCAATCAAATAATAAAATCTAGGAAGATGGCAGTTTGGGCATCTCAGAGATGCTTGCTGTTATAAAGTGGGAGTTGTGCAGTAGTTGGCATACTGGCGTAAATTTAAGATAAATATTTTAGGCGCACAAAAGACAATGCAATGAAAAGCTGTAATAAAAATTTTAAGGTCACACACACACACACACACACACACACACATATACTTCATAAATGTACCAAGCAAACACTCACATAAATATATAAACCACAAGTCTGAAGCAGCACAGGAAGACAGTCCTGAAACCATTTTGACTCCTAAACTGACCAAATGTTTTCCCTGCAAGGAGGGAGGGGGTGAGGGAACCTTCCCATTGTCTCAGGAATTGGGTAATCACCATCTCAAAGAAATGGCCAGACTACCAGGAAAGGCTATCAGATAACCTGGCAGACAGGAAAAACAACAACATTCAAATTCCTGTTGCAGATCACCTTTTCTGTGATGTAGCTATGATGATTGTGGGGAGTGGTCTTGGGCTCCAGGGCAGGGAATTTCAAAATGTCTATATAAGGGTGGGCACACCTTTGTTCTGGGTCCTCCTCCGCTCTCCTGCGTGTGGGGGAGCACCCTGTTGCAACAGCTTTAATAAAGATCAGGCTTACTAGCTGCTTTGCTTCTCAATATTCTCTGGTTGGCCTCTGTTATTTTCTCCTACCGATGGAGAACCTACAAAGGACTCTATAAGGGCAGATTTTGTTTGCAACAGTGTCAAAGGAGAATAGGAAAAAATAGTGTGATGGATCAGATCAAGAGGTGAAGATTTCTCCCCTTGGTTGTATTTCCATGTTAGCAAATCTATTTATATATACAGATACTGCCCTTCACAAAAAAACCCAACAACATTAGAGGCATAAAACAACGCTGCTTTCTCCTGTTGCCAGCCCTAAACTATGCAAAGAACTCAAGATTCGTGAGTTTTAAACCAGTTGTATTAATATAAGTCTGTCACTGGTGCTTGATCTTAGGCTATTAGTGCAGGACCCGGTGTGCTGTTTCACAGGAGGAGCAGATTTCAGATTTACAGTCAAAGTTGAGATCCACGTGCTTGGATAAATGCAAGATCTTTTTTTTTATTTTTACAAAGCAAGCCGTTTGTTCCCACAGCATTAACCAAACAACACCCTCCCCTCGCCATGCTGCTGCTACAATCAACTAAATCTCAATTTTTATCATAGTTCTCACTTCATTGCAAGTGTTTTTAAAATCCTGCCAATGTTTTCAATTGTTTACAATGTTCTTTCAAGTAACTTAAAAAAATTCTCCATTATTGAGTAAATGTATTGTCCTCTTGATCTCTGATCTTCCCGATCGTTTTCGCCAATTCAGTGTAGTCCATCATCTTTATCAGCCATTCTTCTTATGTAGGTAAGTTGTCCTCCTTCCATCTTTGGACAAGTAGCTTCCGAGCAGCTGTTGTGGCATACATAAATAGTCTCTTTAAATCCTTCGGTATTTCTGGACCTAAAATTCCAAATAAAAAAGCTTCAGGTTTTTTTAACAAAAGTTATTTTAAACATATTTTTCAGCTCATTATAAATCATTTCCCAATATGCCCCCCCCCCCCCCACATGTCCACATCCTTCCTTCTGTTTACACTTCCAACATGTATCTGTGGCAGTTCTATACATTTTTGTCAATTTAGTAGGAGTTAGGTACCAACGATACATCATTTTCCTATACATGTAATTCTCTTTCAACGTATAACATGCTGTAAATTTTAGATCTTCCCTCCATATTTTTCCCCATGATGCCAATTGGATATTATATCCAATGTCCCTTGCCCATTGTATCACTACTGATTTCACTTCATCTTTAGTATACCATTCTAACAACAATTTATACATTTTTGAAACCAATTTTAAATTATTCTCCAATAATTCCTTTTTGAACCTTGAAGTTTCTGTATTAAAACCATTCCTTCTATCTTTCATAAACACATCATTTAGTCGGTGGCATTGCAGCCAGTATGTTACCAAATGTCCTCCATTTTTTATTTTCAATTGATCATCTACTTCAAATAACAACTCTTTATAAGTCACCCACTCACTTTTTGCATTAAGTTTTTTCACAGATAACGCCTCCAGTGGTGAGAGCCACCAGGATGTTTCTGTTCCAATATTTTTTTTTATTTCTCCCACAGTTGGTAGATCTATGTTCTTACCATGTGGTTTAGGAAACCTTTATGCACTTTTGTCTTTTCATACCATAAATATGCATGCCAACCAAATCTATTGTTATGACCTTCTAAATCCAAAATAACCACATTCTTTAAATCAATCCAGTCCTGCAGCCAGCATAGACAGGACACCTCATAGTATATTCTCAAATCTGGCAGGGAGAAACCACTTCTTTCCTTAGTACAGTAGTACCTCCAGTTACGAAAGGGATCCATTCCGGAGGCCCGGCTGCATCCTGAAAGAACCACAACTAGACTGCCGTTTCTGTGCAGGCACGCAGTGTGATTTGGCTCTTCTGCACAGGCGTGAGCAGCGAAACCTGGAAGTAACCCGTTCTGGTACTTCCGGGTTGCTGTGGGACGCAACTTGAAAAGACGCAACATGAAGTAGATGCAAAACGGGGTATGACTGTATTTGTTAACAATTTATACTTTATTCTTGGTTTTCTTCCCTTGCCAGAATAAATTTAGAGATAGCTCAACATTTCTCCATAACACTCATCAGTTGCAACTCTTGTAGGCTCAATACTCTGGATGGAAGAAGCAGGCTCTTAAATATAAAAAACGGGAACAATAACATAATTCAACTGTCCTCTCTCTTTCCTTTCCTTTTCTTCTCTCTGTCTCACGGATGATTATGATAGTTATTGCCTAGAAACCTCTCACCAGGACCCAAATGGGAACTTTGGCTTTTCTTTTCAGGATCAGCTCTGCAGGGGCCTGGAGACTCTGAAGGGGCTGAAGGCAGAAAACCTGAGGTATAATAGAAGAACAGAAGACACCATTCAAAACCTGCTTGTAAGTGTCGCTCTTACTGGGAAGTAAGCAAATAATCAAAAGAACTAATGTCTGGTGGGGGGATAAAAAATTACATCCTGAAGCCATCAGGCAGCTCCACTCTTTTGGATGTCTATTTATTTGGGGACACCTGTTCCGATGGGAAGGGAAATTTTCCTTTGCTTGAAAACTGACGCATTATCTGTGAAAATACAAAAATTCAGAAGCACCCAGCCTGTTCCCCTGCAGTAATCCTCAAACCCTCTTTATGCTGCAGAAGGAGTGGCAACGTTGCTAACAGCCTGTTTTTCTTTCCATCTTTCTTGCAGGAGAAACTAATGTCTCATAGGCAGAAGATGAAGGATGAATTTAAGCAACTACATTTGTTTCTGGAAAAATGGGAAAACCAGCTGCTGAAGGAGATGGAAGAGATGGAGAAAGAGATTACAAGGAAATTGAATGAGCAGCTAGGCTGGCTCTCCAGAGAACTTGACTCTCTTCAAAATATCATCCGGGAGCTGGAGGAGAAGCTTTGGCAGCCCCCCAGTGAATTCCTGCAGGTAGGAGAGTGGCATAAGCAGCCCAAGCTTTTCTCCAGGTCAAGGCCACGACCAGACCAGTCTCTGCCTCTGTCATTATTCACAAATGACGTTGCTTAGTTTTGTGGAGCTGGTAGCTGGTTCTCTTACGTTAGGTGCAGGAGCATTTAAGAGGACAAGCAGAGAATGTGCACCTTAATTTGTTACTTAACGATGATGGAATCAGATGTTTTCTGCTCTTGCCTGATGATGGGTCTGCTGCTGGCTCCCAAATTAGTGATGTTGCCTTCCTGGCCTGTTTGGGAGCTTCACAGAATCTGCTCTTGCCAAGAGGGGTCTGGCTTGGGTGAATCCCTTGGCCTGATCCCTGCAATGAACAGAGCCCTATTTTGTGCCTTTTAAGGTGTGGGACAGTTTGTCATTTCAGGGCTTCTTTTAAGAAGTTTTCCCTTCTGTGGTTATATTACCTGAGTTGGGCTGAAAATAGGTGGACCCTTGGTCTGATACCTTACTGGTCCTCTTTGGTTCCTGCTCAGGGCTTCATTTAAGAGGCTGTGCTCTGATTTTATGACATTACCCTGCTTGGACTGAGGCATGGGGCATGGGCTTTGATGTATGGCCAGTCGTGGATGTTGAGTTCTCTTCTTTTTCTCTTTCCCCTGCAGGATATTAGAAGCACTTTGCAGAGGTAAGCAGATCCCTCTTCTTTTCCTTTGCGCTTTGCGGTTCTGTGAAGGATATGGACTGCAGGAAAAACACCCGCTGTTCCCAAGGGGACAGTATGGTTCTTTGTGACCTCCAACTTTTAACAAATCAATAGGGGCCCACTTTTTCTAAAGTTCCTATTTTCACTTCCAAACTTCCTTTTCTCAGTTTTTATCTCTCGTTTAATTCTGATTCTCTTTCCTTTCTTTCTGTTTCCACCTGGTAGTCTCAACTGTCTTCCAAAACAGGGATGTATCTAAGAAAGCAACAAACCATTGTTCACACTTTTATTCCCTCCACTGCTTATTTCAATATACGTTTCATCTGTCCTCTTATTATTCACCTTGAAGCTGACCAGCCAGTTTCTTGAGACCTTTGTGATCCTCTCCCCTCTCCTCCTATTGATTCCTTTGGGAATTTGAGGTTGGATGGAGAGCCAGCTGGCATACTTAAACCTTTTATTTCTCCACAGGCATGAGGGTAGACAGACATTTGAGCCTCCCAAAATTTTCCCTCCTGAATTTATGTGGAAAATCGTGGACATCTTTGAAATATATCCATTTCTGAAAGCTGTTGTGGAGCAGTTCAAAGGTATTGGCAGCAAGAATTTCATGCTGGATATTGAATTGGTCCATATGGGGTTGAGGAAAAACTCAAGGTGTCCTCTGTAATGCTAGGAGAGCCAGAAAAATTGAACTTGAGGGTCAGTAGGGAAGGTAACTTTAAATTTCACTGAGGGGGAAAGGAGGTCCTGCAACCACAGCTCAAAATGCCATTTGCTGAGACTGCCTCTCTCAGCCTGGTGCCTTCTGTTTCCTTTGGACTCCAACTCCCATCAGCCCAGCTGATAATTGAAGTCCAACAACATTGTGAAGGCCACAACTTCCTCCTCTCTGGTCTACATCATCTAAGCATGAAGGCAACATGTTTATTTCTTCAGCAACAGTGTCTCACCCACATGCAGATTTATGCAGGGACACTTGAAAAAACTCACACACTTTTGTGGCTGAAGCTTTGTATGACTTAAGGCCCACTGAATTTGGTGAGGGGGTGTGTGCGCGCAAGAATATTGTGGTGAATTTAATGATCAGTTTGGTAGTTTCAATGACACTCTGTCACAACTCGTGTTTAGCCAGGCCTTAGGCTCCAACACTTTAAGGCAATAACCTTAAGAGGCAGCTTGCTAAGATTTTCAAAAGCAGACAGCAGCTATTCCTGCATATGCTGAGAGGCAAAAGGTCTCATAAGCAGAAGTCAAATGTGATTATTTGGAAACAAGTGAAAAGACAAACAAGGTTCTGGAAACCGAGGAATGGTTGAGGGAGTTAGGCATGTTTAGCCTGGAAAAAAGCAGATGAGAGAACGATATGGTAGCCATCTTCAAATATCTAAAGGGCATGTAAGTTGGAGCAAGATTGTCTTCTCCTGCTCTGGAGGGTAGGACTCAAACCATGATATCAACTGACTCTTTTTCTGTGCTATAACATTAATTAACACCACGACGGTGTGTGATGCTTAATCTCTCTTGCTTTCCATTTCACAGGCACTCTAACATCAGGACTCTCTCTGAAGAAAGGTAAGCTGAGGAGCCTCAATCAAGCAATCATTTTATTTGCACTTCCTCCTTCCAAAGTTAAGCCCATGATCAAGGGGGCTGGTGACATATAAATAATTACATAATAACACAAAATAGTCATATGCAATGAACAAAACATTAAAAAGTACACAACCAAATTGAACAACTTCCACCTAAATCATAAGATCTAAAATAAAGAGGTAACATAATAGCAGCAAAAGCCCTAACCGATGCCCAAACCCAAGAGTCTGTTTCACAGCCTCAGCTTTTGTAGCTGGAGTCAGTCTTGGCCAGGGGGAATAGGCTTGCAAGGCAGGGAGCAGGTCTTCAAGGGCTCACGGTCAAGATGGTCTGACAGAGAACCAGGAGGGAATGTGTGCTCTATCAGGACGCTTTCTGCTTCCATCATCCCTGCTAGCGGGCTCTGAAACCATCACTGCATTAACTAAGGATAGCGGGAAAAGTTATCCATCGGGGGAGCTGTTGCGGCCCATCTGCCAATAGCTGGTGGGGCCACAGTGGACACAACCAGTGTCCAAAGTCGCTCCTTTTCTAAGATCCCAACCTTTTCATTGCTCCCTTTCTTCGTCCTTGGTCAGTTGGCTGTTGGGAGAGAGAATGGTGGCTTCAAAGAGTTTTTGATTTTGGACAGAGGGCCAAAGCTGGGCTACGCTAGCAGCGAAGCCGCAGGGAGGCCCACAGTCCAGGCAGGAAAGGAACCCCCTTCCGCAATGATCCCTGGAGTGGATCTAAACTCACAATGTCTATCCTCCCAGCTGATTCCTCTTTTCTTTTCTCTTCCTTTGTCTCCTCGCGATGCCAATAGTAAGTGTAACTCTGGACCCAGACACCGCTCATCCCCACCTGATCCTGTCCGAGGATCGTCGAAGCGCGAGGTGGGGAGAGGCACATCAAGAGCTGCCGGACAATCCTGAGAGATTCAGCGGATGTCCCTTTGTGCTGGGCTGTGAGGAGTTTACAGCAGGGAGGCACTACTGGGAAGTCACCATGGATATTTCGGGTGAATGGGCTGTGGGGGTCACCAGGAAGTCTGTGAAGAGAAAGGGCATGCTCTCCTTTACCCCTGAGGAAGGCATCTGGGGACTGAGGCAGCTGCGTAGCCTGCCTGCTGCGAAGCTGAGGAGGATCCGGGTGGCTGTCAATTATGCAGGGCGCCGCATTCTCTTTTTTGATGCTGATACAGGCAAGGCATGCTATGTTACAATGGCTGAATTCTCTGGAGAGCCCCTTCTGCCTATATTTTGGGTGGGGCCAGAAACCTGCCTTGAACTGCCTCCGGTGACACACTAGCCTGGCCAGCCCTCCAGAAAAAAAAGAGAAACGTGTGGAAAAGTAACTTCCAGATTGTTCCTTGATTTTTTTAAAATCAAAGGATTGTGTGCGCTTCTGTGTGTAGATGACATTAAAGAGATGACGACAAGAATGTGTCAGATTATTTTTCCATTGCATATCTGCTTGCCTCACCTCATGGTCTTGGTGCCTGAGGATAAATCAGGCATCCCCCAAGACTTCTGGCCTAGGGGCACCTTTGCAATCCAGAAGACCATGGCAGGGAGCACAAATTACCACTTTCACAAAACAGAAACACGCAGTGTTAGAAAGCTTAGATATATAAGCTAATTCCAAATGGCACCTTAAACCTATGTTACCGTCGTCACAGTGGAATGTGCGGGCGCCATTTTGGCAGAGGCAATGCCATTCGTTATCATTATTATTCCTTTTCATTTCTATACTGCTTTTTAAAGAAAAAATCTCAAAGAGGTTTACAACACATTAAAACATTGATAAATCACCTCTTTTGCATACCTCAGAGTGGCTGGGGGAACCCAGCCAAATGGGCGGGGTAGAATTAATAAGAATAATTTATTATAGCTAGAGGGTCACCCAAGATTCACATGGTCACAGCTGGACCTGTGCCAGTCGCAAAACCTGCCTGGGGGATTTCTAATACTGCAAACAGGATGATCGCACAAACCCCCAACAAGAGGGAAAATGCCTAGAACGTTCTCTCTCTTTTTAAGGGGGGGGGGAACATAAAAAAACACCTGCCAACCCCCTCTCAAAATATAGGAAGATGCAATGGAGTAACAGCACTTTCTCTCCCTAGGCCAGCCCTCTGTTTCCTTTTCCCTCAGGTGAAATCCCCAGTAGAGAACGAATCACGAGCGACAGTGGGCTTTTCTTTTGGGAAAACAGGTTGCAAACAAACTTGATTATAACAGGTGTAAACTAGGAGTTTTGGTTCTTCTTCCACTGAAATGTAACAAACAGTGTTGTTGCTTTTTATTAAAATGAGTACGGTTTCAAGTTGTAGGCTGTTCAGGCTTAAGGTTACTTTTTTACACATCTTCCATAGATCAGACTTCTCCACACACACTTCAGGAGCCTAGGATTTTAAATGGACCGTTTCCTTACAGACCCCCAAATCCTCCTTTGCCTCAGAATCACGACTGCCCTTTCCTGTCAGAGTATTCCCTCTGAGGACCCTTTTTCACCGTGTGGGACGGTGTCTTTTCTATTTTAACAGTGTTCTGCGATTCAGAACTTGGGAATATATACTGTCAGTTCTCGGCTCTCCTCAGCTCTACCCCCTGTCAGAAGAAGAATCCCCTCTCTCAGACCCCATGAATCCCTCACACCTTCTGTCACTTCACTCCAACTGCCTCCTTTGGAACTCTGGCCAATCAGGAGCTGTTGCTAGGCGACTTTGCAGGCAGGGAGGGGGAAAAACACACTAGGTGACTCAACCAGCTCAGTAAACAAACTTTTCCGTCACAGAAGCTCCCCCCCTCAAATCCCATTCATTAAAGCATGAAACAAGGTGTCTGAAGGGGCGGTTGTGCCCAGGGGTGCGTCACTGGGGACTCCAGCACCACCAAACAGCAGCCCATAAATATAAAGTCCTTTGGGCATCATCAGTCTGAGGGGTGAGCTTCCTTCACTCCTCAGTTTGTAGTCCACACTCAAGGCTGCCCAGAAAATACAGAGTAACTCTGGTATCCTCATAATACTATTTATTGCTATCTTGCGTGGAAAGACACACTTTGCTTCGCAGGAGCCGCATTACATCCAAAGCCTCTCTCCACTCCAAGACTGAGAGGCAAACCCTGCCCAGGCATCATGCTTCAGTTGGCTGGGCCTTTCCCCTTGAATTTGAACTCTATCCCTGGACAAATTATCTCTGCCGCCTCTCCTTGTATGCCTCAGGCCAGCAAGGTCAGCAACCTTTTTCAGCAGTGGGCCTTTTTCAACCCCTGTCCGTCAGACCTTGTGGGGGGCCGGACTATATATTTTTTTTTGGGGGGGGGGGGATGACTGAATTCCTATGCCCCACAAATAACCCAGAGATGCATTTTAAATAAAAGCACACATTCTCCTCATGTAAAAACACCAGGCAGGCCCCACAAATAACCCAGAGATGCATTTTAAATCAAAGGACACATTCGGCTCATGTAAAAACACGCTGATTCCCGGACCGTCTGCGGGCCGGATTGAGAAGGCGATTGGGCTGGATCCGGCCCCCGGGCCTTAGGTTGCCTACCCCTGCCCCAGGCCCTGCTCTCTTCACGGAGGACGTGATCACAAGCTACCATGGCTGCGCGCTCCCTTCCCTGACAGAGGCAGCAGGCCCCCGAACTGCGGGGAAGTGCGAGCATGAGAATTCTGCAGGGCTCAGGGCTTATGCACTTCCTCCATCTTCCCCAAGTCCCTTCAACATCTCCACAGAACTCTTTTCTTTGCAATGAAGCCTTTGGCTTTCCCTCCTTCGGTGGACCTGTTCAACTCCAGCTTTTCTCTCTCAAGATCAGGGGTCAGCAAACTTTTTCAGCAGGGGGCCGGTCCACTGGCCCTCAGACCTTGTGGGGGGCCGGACTATATGGGGGGAAATGAACAAATTCCTATGCCCCACAAATAACCCAGAGATGCATTTTAAATAAAAGCACACATGCTACTCATGTAAAAACATGCTGGTTCCCTGACTGTCCGCAGGCCGGATTGAGAAAGCGATTCGGCTGCATCAGGTCCCCGGGCCTTAGTTTGCCTACCCGTGCTCTAGATCAAGTGAGAGGAATCTTTAGCCCTCCTGATGCTGAAAGCCAGTGTGGTGTCGTGGTTAGAGTACAGTGGTGCCTCGGGTTAAGTACTAATTTGTTCTGGAGGTCCGTTCTTAACCTGAAACTGTTCTTAACCTGAAGCGCCACTTTAGCTCATGGGGCCTCCTGCTGCCGCCGCGCCACCAGAGCATGATTTCTGTTCTCATCCTGAAGCAAAGTTCTTAACCCGAGGTACTATTTCTGGGTTAGCGGAGTTTGTAACCTGAAGTGTCTGCAACCTGAAGTGTATGTAACCCGAGGTACTGTACTGGAGTAGGAGACCTGGGTTCAAATTCGCACTGAGCCTTCAAGCTCACTGGGTGACCTTGGGCCACTCACTGCCTCTCAGCCTAATCTACATCACAGGGTTTTTGTTGGAGAAAAGGGTGGGGTAATGAATGAATGAATAGAACTACAATTCCCATAATTCCCAGCAAGCATTGGCAATGGGAGTTTGGTTTAATGGCCCCTGAAGGGAGTCCCTTGAGATCTTTTGTTAAAGGATGGTATGTAAACCTAATTAATAAATAAGGGCGAACGGTTCCACAGACCTCCTGCTCTACATGACTGTTTTGATGGACTGATCAGCAGCCGCTTGGAGATTTTGAAGGAGAGGAAAACACTTCTGGTCTATAAAGCAGAAACAGAAATTGAAAGCACCTGTTTGTCAGTATCACTAGGGCTTGGAAATGAATGAGTCCTAGAAGCATGGGTGTAGCCAAGGGGGGGCAGGGTAAATATACATAGCAAATGGAGCTTCTGCCCCCCCCCCCAAAGACCTGCCACCCTAACAAAAAACCTGAATACGCTCAGGCCTAGAAACAATTTTTTGGGGGGTACAGTTAAATATTAAATTAATAATAGTAATAACAATAATAATAATTTTATTCATACACGACCCATCCGGCTGGGTTTGGGGTCTGAAGCACCTTTTCCTACAACAGATTATACACCCCCATACACTGTTTGAAGATCCAGTAAAATCTCTCATATTGTTGCAGAAATAAATGGATACACAATACTACGCGCCCCCAAGAGGGGGTTGCCAAGGTTTGCTTTGTCTCTTTTTAAAAAAGAGAAGATTTATGGGTTGTCGTTTGGTGCTGCAGTCCCCAGTGACGCACGCCTGGGTACAACACCCCTAAAATGAGGCTGCATTTTAATATTTTAATGTTTCAATATTTTAATGTTGTATTTTAACCTTGTTTTTAAGTTGTATTTATTCAACTTCTTTTTATTATTGCTTGTTAGCCGCCCCGAGCCCGGCCTTGGCTGGGGAGGGCGGGGTATAAATAAAAATTATTATTATTATTATTATTACTTTATTCTATTTTAATGAATGGGATTGGAGGGGAGAGCTTCCTGTATTTTGAAAGGGGGTGGCCAGGGTCTTTTTTGTCTCTTTAAAAATAAGAATGTTCTAGGCATTTCCCCTCTTGCTGGGGGTTTGTGTGATCATCCCGTTTGCAGTGTTAGAAATCCCCCAGGCAGCTTTTGCAACTGGCACAGGTCCAATTGCGACCACGTGAATTCTGGATGGCCTCTCTAGCTAGCTTTCTTCTTTTTAATTGTTTTTTAACTTGTAAAATCAAATAAAAAGTAAGGAAGAGAAAAGATTATCACATTACCAAACAGAGAAATTTCTCTGAATCCCTCGACTTCCCACCTTCCCCTCCATGGGTCCTATTGTCTACATTTTCAACTACATATTATTACATAATCCATATTTTCTATCTCTCCGTAATATACATCATATTAGTTACATTACAGGTGTTATTAAAATCCTGCTAATGTTTTCATCTGCTTACAGTGGTCCCCTAAATAAATTATAAACTTTCCCCATTCTTTCTTGAAATTATTGTCTTCTTGGCTCCTGAGCTTTCTGGTCAGTTTTGCCATTTCAACATATTATAACAGCTTGATTTGCCATTCCTCTCTGGCCACTCTAGCTTTCTTAAGGAGGTATGCAAAAGAGATTATTTATCAATGTTTTAATGTGCTGTAAACCTCCTTGAGATTTTTTATTTAAAATATAAAGCGGTATAAAAACAAAATAGGAATGATAATAAAAAATTGCATTGCCTCTCCCAAAATGGCGCCCATACATTCCATTGTGGTGACTGTAACATAGGTTACATTTGGCGATTCGCTTATATATCTAAGCTGCGTGTTTCTGTTTTGTGAAATTGGTAATTTGTGCTCCCTGCCATGGTCTCCTGGATTGCCAAAGCTGCCCCTAGGCCAGAATTCTTGGGGGACGCCTGATTTATCCTCAGGCACCAAGACCATGAGGCGAGTCAAGCCAAGCAGATATGCAATGGAAAAATAAAAAATCTGACACATTCTAGCACTTGTCATCTCTTTAATGCCATCTACACACAGAAGCGCACACAATCCTTTGATTTTTTTTTTTTAATCAAGAAACGATCTGGAAGTTTTCCACACGTTTCGCTTCCTTTTCTGGAGGGGTGGCCAGACTAGTGTGTCACCGGAGGCAGTTCAAAGCAAGTTTCCGGCCCCATGCAAAAGATGGGCAGAAGGGGCTCCCCAGAGAATTCAGCGTTTGCAAAGGTCTTGAGTAATTCTCCTGTATCAGCATCAAAAAAGAGAATTTGGCGCCCTGCATAGTTAACAGTCGCCCGGAACCTCCTCAGCTTTGGCGCAGGACGCGGCAGAGAGCGGCGGGTAGACCTGCCCTTGCATTCTGTCTGCCCCATTCCCCAGATGCCTACACCAGGGTAAAAGCTGTCCAAGCCCTTTCTCCTCACAGACTTCCGGGCGACCCCCACAGCCCAGATGCCCTCAGTTCCTATGGTGACTTCCCAGCAGTGCCTCCCTGCTGTAAACTCCTCACACCCCAGCACGAAGGGACGTCCGCTGAATCTCTCAGGATTGTCCGGCAGCTCTTGATGTGCCTCTTCCCACCTCGCGCTTCGACAATCCTCAGACACGATCAGGTGGGGATGAGCGGTTTCCGGGTCCAGAGCTACACTTGCTATTGGCGTCGCGAGGAGACAAAGGAAGAGAAAAGAAAAGAAAAGAGGAATCAGCTGGGAGGATAGACATTGTGAGCTTAGATCCACTCCAGGGATCATTGAGGAAGGGGGTTCCTTTCCTGACTGGACTGTGGGCCTCCCTGCGGCTTCGCTGCTAGCGTAGCCCAGCTTTGGCCCTCTGTCCAATTTCAAAAGCTCTTTGAAGCCACCATTCTCTCTCCCAATAGCCAACTGGCCAAGGACGAAGAAGGGGAGCAATAAAAAAGTTGGGATCTCAGAAAAGGAGCGACTTTGGACTCTGGTTGTGTTCACTGTGGCCCCACCAGCTATCGGCACATTGGCCCCAACAGCTCCCTCTGATGGATAACTATGATTGATTGGTGGAGGTTCCTCAGCTTACCTTTCTGCAGAGAGAGTCCTGATGTTAGAGTGCCTGTGAAAGGGAAAGCAAGAGAGATTAAGCATCACACTGTCCTGCTGTTAATGAATGTTATAGCACAGAAAAAGAGTCAGCCGATTATAGTCATAATCCCCTTTCTTGTAAATTGAAGATAACATCGTTCTGCCCGGACACTGAGGTCCAGCTCCGAGGGCCTTCTGACGGTTCCCTCACTGCGAGAGGCCAAGTTACAGGGAACCAGGCAGAGGGCCTTCTCGGTAGTGGCGCCCGCCCTGTGGAACGCCCTCCCATCAGATGTCAAAGTGATAAACATCTTCCTGACACTCAGAAGACATCTGAAGGCAGCCCTGTTCAGGGAAGTTTTTAATATGTGACATTTTAGTGTATCTTACATCTTTGTTGGAAGCCGCCCAGAGTGGCTGGGGAAACCCAGCCAGATGGGCGGGGTACAAATAATAATAATAATAATAATAATAATAATAATAATAATAATAATAATTAATATTATTATTATTATATCTGCTTTTGAAAATCTGCCTCTTAAGGTTACTGCCTTAAAGCGTTGGAGACAAAGGCCTGGCTAAACTTGTGTTATGACATAGTGTCACTGAAACCACCAAACTGATCATTTAGGTCTTGAAATCTAGAACATGGACAATTGAAATTAAGTAATTCAGACTCTATAATTGGCTGTACTTTTTTGTTTTGTTTTTGAATGTGGTAAGATGTGGCTTGATTTGTTATTAATATGGATCCCCCCTCTTTATTGGAAAATGAATAAAAATTATTTACAAAAAATAGAAACCACCAAACTGATCATTATATTACTCACTATATTCTTGCACTCCCTCCCCCCCCCCCCCCGTTGGGCCTTAAGTCATACAAAGCTTCAGCCACAAAAGTGTGTGAGTTTTTTCAAGTGTCCCTGCATAAATCTGCATGTGGGTGAGACACTTGCTGAAGAAATAAACATGTTGCCCTCCTGCTTAGATGATGTAGACCAGAGAGGAGGAAGTTGTGGTCTTCACAATGTTGTTGGACTCTGATTATCGCTGTAGACCAGTAGGAAGTAAGCAGCACATAAGCGGCACACAAAACACTACCAAAGCATTCTACGTTCTAAATCTTATATTAATAATCCAAAAATTGAGAGAACAAGGTACAAGATCTACTACAAAAGCCACAAACAGAAAACTCATTCAAATTGTGTCCAAAAGGAAGACTCAGTCTTTAAAGTTCCTTTAGCCAGGCTCCTGTAGATATCAACAAAGGTAAGTTTGAACAAACGAAGTATCGGTGATGTTACGCTCAAGGGTTAGATATCAACGAAATAAACATGTTGCCTTCATGCTTAGATGTTGTAGACCAGAGAGGAGGAAGTTGTGGCCTTCACAATGTTGTTGGACTTCGATTATCAGCTGGGCTGATGGGAGTTGGAGTCCAAAACAAAAGGAAGGCACCAGGCTGAGAGAGGCAGTCTTAGCGAATGGCATTTTGAGCTGTGGTTGCAGGACCTCCTTTCCCCCTCAGTGAAATTTAAATTCCTTCCCTACTGACCCTCAAGTTCAATTTTTCTGGCTCTCCTATTCAATATCTAGCATGAAATTCTTGCAGCCATTACCTTTGAACTGCTCTACGACAGCTTCCAGAAATGGATTTATATCATGGAAGTCCCAAACTTTCCACACCAATTCAAGAGGGAAAATCTTGGGAGCCTCAAATGCCTGTCTCCCCTCATGCCTGTGGAGAAATAAAAGGTTTAAATATGCCAGCTGGCTCTCCACCCAACCTCAAATTCCCAAAGGAACCAATAGGACGAGAGGGGAGAGGATCACAAAGCTCTCAAGAAACTGGCTGGTCAGCTTCAAGGTGAATAATAAGAGGACAGCTGAAACGTATATTGAAATAAGCAGTACAGGGAATAAAAGTGTGAACAATGGTTTGTTGCTTTCTTAGATACATCCCTGTTTTGGAAGACGGTTGAGACTACCAGGTGGAAACAGAAAGAAAGGAAAGAGAATCAGAATTAAACGAGAGATAGAAACTGAGAAAAGGAAGTTTGGAAATGAAAATAGGAACTTTAGAAAAAGTGGGCCCCTATTGATTTGTTAAAAGTTGGAGGTCACAAAGACCCATACTGTCCTCTTAGGAACAACGGGTGTTTTTCCTGCAGTCCATATCCTTCATAGAACCACAAAGCGCAAAGGAAAAGAAGAGGGATCTGCTTACCTCTGCAAAGTGCTTCTAATATCCTGCAGGGGAAAGAGAAAAAGAAGAGAACTCAGCATCCACGACTGGCCATACATCAAAGCCCACGCCCCATGCCTCAGTCCAAGCAGGGTAATGTCATAAAATCAGAGCACAGCCTCTTAAATGAAGCCCTGAGCAGGAACCAAAGAGGACCAGTAAGGTATCAGACCAAGGGTCCACCTATTTTCAGCCCAACTCGGGTAATATAACCACAGAAGGGAAAACTTCTTAAAAGAAGCCCTGAAATGTCAAACTGTCCCACACTTTAAAAGGCACAAAATAGGGCTCTGTTTATTGCAGGGATCAGGCCAAGGGATCCACCCAGTCCACAAACAGGCCAGGAAGGCAACATCGCTAATTTGGGAGCCAGCAGCAGACCCATCATCAGGCAAGAGCAGAAAACATCTGATTCCATCATCGTTAAGTAACAAATTAAGGTGCACATTCACTCCTTGTCCTCTTAGATGCTCCTGCACCTAACATAAGAGAACCCTACCAGCTCCACAAAACTAAGCAACGTCATTTGTGAATAGTGACAGAGGCAGAGACTGGTCTGGTCGTGGCCTTGACCTGGAGAAAAGCTTGGGCTGCTTATGCCACTCTCCTACCTGCAGGAATTCACTGGGGGGCTGCCGAAGCTTCTCCTCCAGCTCCCGGATGATATTTTGAAGAGAGTCAAGTTCTCTGGAGAGCCAGCCCAGCTGCTCATTCGATTTCCTCACAATCTCATCCTCCACCTCTTCCATCTGCTTCAGCAGCTGGTTTTCCCATTCTTCCAGAAACGAATGTAGTTGCTTAAACTCACCCTTCATCTTCTGCCTACCTGATATTATTTTTTTCTGCAAGAAACATGTGGAAAGAAAAACAGGCTGTTAGCAACATTGCCACTCCTTGTGCAGGATGAAGAGGGTTTGAGGATTACTGCAGGGGAACAGGCTGGGTGCTTCTGAATTTTTGTATTTTCACAGATGATGCGTCAGTTTTCAAGCAAAGGAAAATTTTCCTTCCAGTCAGAGCAGGCTTCCCCAAACAAATAGGCATCTAAAAGAGTAGACCTGCCTGATGGCTTCAGTATGTTATTTTAATTCTCTCCCAAGCATTAATTCTTTTTCTTATTTGCTTACTTCCCAGTAAGAGCGACACTTACAACCAAGAATGAACTTTGCTTTCCTGTCGATGTTTTTTTTGCCTGAATTTTTGCCTCCTCCTCCTTCAGAGTCTTCAGGAACCCGCAGAGCTGATCCTGAAAAGAAAAACCAAAGTTCCCATTTGGGGTCCTGGTGAGAGGTTTCTAGGAGATAACCATCATAATCGTCATCGAGACAGAGAGAGAAAGAGGAAAGCGAGAGGACAGTTGAATTATGTTATTGTTCCCCGGGTTCTGAGACTGCAGAGCCTGCTTCTGCCATCCAGAGTATTGAGCCTACGACAGATGCAACTGATGAGTGTTATGGAGAAATGTTGGGAAAAGACCCAGAAAGCCCCTTCTGCAGAAAATGTCATCCTCTTTCTATCACAGGTTGGATTTCCTTCTTTTTAAATTATCATTCAAACAAATTGCCCACTAATGCAAATAAAAGCTACCGTACAGCAGGGTGGGTATTGTGGCTGAGAAAGTGTTAAGTCATGTTTGTCCTGGAAAGCATTGTTGATATTCTAACAGGCAGGGAGCGGAAGAGTTTATGCCAACCCTGCAGTCTAGGATTGCTACAAAGTCTTAGTCCCTGCGGGTTATATTTTTTTAGGGGATGCAGTTGTGGGGGTTAGTTGATTGCAGTGGCGTAGCGTGGGTTGTCAGCACCCAGGGCAAGGCAAGTAATTTGTGCCCCCTAACCCGTGGATTTGCGCCCCTTAACCCGTGGATTTGCGCCCCCTAACCCCCAGAAGTTGCGCCCGGTGCGGCCGGCCCCCCCTGCACCCCCCACGCTACGCCACTGGTTGATTGTTGCAGCATTGGGGCCAGTAGGGGTTGGTTAAAGCTGTTGGAATACACTGCTTGCACTACAAGCCTAAGACCAAACACCAGTGGCAGACCTACATTAACACAATTGGTTTAAACTCATGACTCTTGAGTTCTTTGCATAGTTTAGGGCTGGCAACAGGAGAAAGGAGGGTGGTTTTATGCCTCTAATGTTTGTTGTTGTTGGGCAGTACTTGTGTATATGTAAATAGAATGATTAACACTGAAATACCACCAAGGGGGAAAATCTTCACCTCTTGATCTGAGCCATCAAAGTATTTTTTCCCTTTATAACAGCAAGCATCTCAGAGAAGCCCAAAACATCAGCCTTCTAGGTTTTATTATTTGCTTGCCTTTTTAAAAGCAATTGTACATTTCTTTCCATCCCAAAAAAATTATGTACTGGTATTAATTCTTTCCATTTTTTCAATGCTTGCTCTGCTATTAGTATTATCAGATTTTGAAAGGGGAAATTCAGTTTGTACTCATTTGGGCTGCATTTATTTTTCCTAGAAAGACCACCTTAACATCGTTCAATCTTTTTTTACACAATAATACCTAATATACACATCCAGTGGAGTCTTATACGGCAAAGCAAGCCTCATTCCCATAAAAGCCAATATCTATCTTACGATGTGTAAAATAATTAGATGAGAGGCCTCCTGAGCATGAGCAGAGTCAGTTGACAGCAGACTGCCTCCCACACACCTAGGATTAGAGGGATAAACGCTCACTCAGAGGAGACAGTGGTTTGCGGACAGCCTTTAACCTTGATTGCTGAATGGCTCAGTTTGTTAGAGCATGGTGCTTATACTGTCAAGGTTGCAGGTTCGATCCCCTTATGGGACAACTGCATCTTCCTGCATTGCTGGGGGTTGGACTAGATGATCCTCAGGATCTCTTCCAAGTCTACAATTCTATGATTTTAATTCCCATCATATATACTAGCCATTCCTATTAATGATTCTTACCTCGTACTCTTGGACGGCTTCTTCCACAGGAACCACCCTGTGGCTGCTGTGCCCTTGGGATGTGTCACACTCCCCACAGAAGGGGGCTTCGTCGTCCCGGCAAAAGAGGTCCAGGGTTTTCTGGTGCCTCTGACATTCTGAGCGCCTCCTTTGAGCCTCTCTCTCCTCAGAATGATCCCACTCACTGATGATTCCGACCATATTTGTGAGAAGCCTGTTTCGATTGTAGTCTGTTTTGACAGCCTTTCTGCACTCGGGGCACCTGGTTTTCTTACCAGACTCCTCCCAGCACCTCAAGATGCAGGTTTCGCAGAAGTTGTGCCTGCAGCCCAGTTCCACCGGACGAGTAAAGTAACTGAGGCAGATGGAACAGGTGACTTCACTCCGGATCCTCTTCCTGTACCTCTCCTCAGCCATGGCTTCACTCCTGTTGTGAGGGACCACTCTCCTTCTCCAGAAGCAGCCGCACCTGGAAGAGAGATGGAGCAGAGTTAGGATCCCTGTGAACTTTAATCTGAAATGGGAAATGTAAGCCCTGCCCCATCCGCATGGACCTTCTCAGCAGTGGGACCCGCCCTGTGCAAGGCCCTCCCATCAGATGTCAAGGAGATGAAAGAAATACACAACTTTTAGAAGACATTGTAAGGCAGCTCTATATGGGGAACTTTTTAATGTTTGATGTTTTATTATGTTTTATATGTGGGATCAAAGAAATGCATCTCCTACACCCTGGAAAGAAAGATGATCACCCTCCCTCAAGTATTTGGGAAAGGCAAATCTCATCACAAGAACCACAAATGGGGACAGATTCCTCCTCACCAGAACAGCCATGGGCTCTGTTGCTCAATGGGTAGAGCATCTGCTTTGTAGACCAAAGGTCAATTCCTAAAATCTCCAGGAAGGATTGGGAGGGACCCATGTCTGCAACCTGAACTGCAATTGCCCAATGTTTTCCCCCATGGACAGCTGCAAAATTGCCGGTGGTCTTGGCAGACCACTTAATGATTTGCTTTGGTTTGATTCCTGCATTGTAGGGGGTTGGACTAGATGACCCTTGGGGTCCCTTCCAACTCTGCAGTTCTACGATTCTATGATTTTCTTGCCTTTTTTAGCAGTTCCAATGCGCTGTGTTCAATGGTTTTGAATTGCATTCTGTTCCTTCATATATATATATTTGTGTGGTATTCTAATACGTTTGCCATTTGCATTCCCAGTAATTCAAAATTTAATGCAATAAAAAGGTAAGAAATACAGCAATAAAAATACAATCGAAAATCAACATGGAATGGAGGCCACCTCAGTTAAGCTTGCCATTGAAGCTTTTCGCCGTGTGGAAAAACCCTGGTCCAGAAACAGCTTCCTTTGTATTTTATTTTATTTAACACACACACACCAGTTTTTATAATAAAATCTCTAGGCAGTTGACAATAAAGATTTATGTTTAAAGGACATTGGAGAGGAGGTAAACCGGGGGCTGGATGTGAGAAAGGCACTTTTAATTTCCTTTAAACAAATCATCACGAGGATGGTTCCCATGATATAGATTACAAGTGGACGCCGTATTATCTGCCGCGTTTCTTAGCTGCTGTGTACAAAAACTTGGCTCTTATCGAATTAGCAAAGTAAAAGATGGAGAGGTGAAATCGGCTAAAATCCAAGTGTAAACAGAGCAAAACAGATAGGAAAATCTTAAAACGCTCACCCGGAAAGACAAATAAGAGCAGGTCGCGGCCAATCGTGGGAAGTGCTAAAAAGAGCGTGGATGTCGCTGGAATTTTTGGGAGCTAAACTCCCCCACCCGCGCGCCCCAAAAACCCGCACCTGGAGATGCAGGATTTGAACCCGGGACCTTCTGCACGCAAAGCAATGAGAGAAGACGGACAGACACACTGAAGTTCCGGCTTCTTGAGAAATTCATCTGCCTCTCCCCCCACCCCGCCCCGTTTTTCTTTCTAATTTAACAGCAATTTGTAAGAAATCTGAACCCTTCATTTCATACACAGGTTTTCTATAGCTCACTCAGCTCGCGGAAAGAGACCTGCAGTCCCGATTCTTTTAAAGAATCGCCAGTGATGTCCAGGAAGGACAAAACCGAGGCCAGGGGGGGAAGAACCACCGTCATTCATCTTCCCATCGCTAAATAAAACGCACCCACACGTATCGTGTACACGTGACGACATCCCTGCGCAAAGGGCACGGAAAGGAGCCCGCAGCGTTACGCGCGAACCTGTTGAGGCATAAATCTCGCTCAACTTCATTATGTTAGGAAACGAATATGGATGCTGAATTTGATGGTTGTAATTTTTATTTTTATTTTTTTCCTTTTTCTTTTTTTGGTTTGCTTTGGAAATAACAATTATTTTTTTAAAAAAATCACGCTCAGTTCCTTGATCGGGGTCCGCAAATGGGGTCCGAGAATAAATTTACCTTCATTTTTCCGAGTCCGGACATAGCAGACATAGGGAGCAAAGGAAAGAGAGGGGGGTATCGCAAAATAAAAGCCATTCACACGACCGTGTACACGTATCTCCCGCGCGACATGCTAGGAAAGGGTCCTGCCGGGTGAGGCGCGCCTATTGAGCAATGAATCTCTCTCACCTTAGAGATCTTGGGGGACAAGATGGGTGAGCAAAGCGGATCCGAGCCGGAGAATCCTTCCGTCTCCACGTCCGGCCAAAGCAGGAATTCGTAGCGCTCCTAATCCGGCGGAGAGAGGAGCAAGGCGACCCCTTTTTGCCTGATCCGGAGCAGCTCTGGTGAGCAGCAAGAGGAGGAGCCGAAGCAGCAGGCAACGAAATCAAAATCGCCGCCGCGAAAAAAGTAGCCAGTCAGAGACTGCAACTCTGTGGATGAATGGATAATGGTTGTGAATGGATAAGCGGGGGCGGGCCAACGCCGCTTCACTTGGCAGCCAATCAGCTCTTGAGGGGCTCCAAAATGCAGATCTGCGATTCTTTCCATATAAATGGAGAATTGAGGCAACCGTAATCAGGGAGCCAATCAATTCAGGCAAGGTCGCATCCCTGCTCTTATTCTGCATTCAGAGAGGGGTGCGTGTCTGCATTTCAGAAAAGCATTTTATTGCATGATGTTTTATTGCAATATGCTGATAACACCCAGCTCTGCGGCTCCTTTACAGCATCTGCCGGTGAGGCAGCGCATGTCTCATCCCCCCTCTTATTCTGCGGGGGGGGGGGGAGCCGTGTCTGCATTTCAGAAAAGCATTTTATTGCATTTTCACAAATATTGTAATCAGAGCTTTTTTCTAAAAAAAAAAAAAAGTTTAGGGGTACTCTCACTTTCCTACTCATATTGAAATACTACCCCTTAATGAGGCCAAACTTAGATTCACAAAATGTTTAGGGGTATCCGTCCCCCCAGGGAAAAAGCACTGCCTATAAAAACATAGTTTGCAATCAATGACAACCATAGCTGCTAGTCTGTCCTTTCTTTGGGGGAAGCGGGGTACGGAACAGCAGCTTAAAGTTAGAATGAAGAGCATGTTTATGGGGTTTGGAGCCCAGAGTTTTGGAGCGCATTGTCAGCAATATGCTGATTCAACAGTAATTTGCTGATTCAACAGCAATATGCTGTTGAAGCACTGATTCTTCAACATCAACTTTGTTGGACTGGTCCTGTTGTGTGGATGCCTGATTATCATCTTCCAAAGCAACTACTCTATTCCGAACTTAAAAATGGAAAGCGAAATGCTGGTGGTCAACAAAAGGGGTTCAAAGACTCTCTCAAGGCAAATCTTAAAAAATTTAGTATAAACACCAACAACTGGGAAACACTGGCCTGTGAGTGCTGCAGTTGGAGAACAGCCTTTACCAAAGGTGTCATGGGATTTGAAGATGATCAAACTCAGGACAAAAGGGAGAAACGTGCTAAGAGGAAGGCACACTTGGCAAACCCTCACCGTGATCAACTACCGCCCAGAAACCAATGTCCCCACTGTGGAAGGACGTGTGGATCCAGAATTGGCCTCCAGAGTCACTTACAGACTCACTGTTAAGACCGTGTTCATGGAAGACAATCTTACTCGGCTACAGGTGGTCGCCAAAGAAGAAGAAAGAAGAAGATAACACACAACATTTGCAGGTGAGGCAGCAAATGTCATGGACTTGGCAATGGACTGGATTAGGTAAACCCCGACCCACATAACTGATCACATGACACAGCACATGTACAGTGGTACCTCGGGTTACAGACGCTTCAGGTTACGTGTTTTCGAGTTGCGCACTGCGCCGAACCCAGAAGTACCAGAACGGGTTACTTCCGGGTTTCGGCGCTCACACATGCGCAGAAGCACCGAATCGCGACCTACACAGACTCGGCGCTGCGGGTTGCGAACGTGCCTCCCGCACGGATCACCTTCGCAACCCGAGGTTCCACTGTACACCGTTTGAAGGGCAACGTCCACCAACTTTGGGTGGGGGGACTGGCCCCCTCAAATATTTTATATTTTATAGGAGTTGGTGACCATGCCGACTCATTTCCCCCTTTTTTGCAAAAGCATTACCAGCGGGAGTGGGACTTTGACTGGATTTTCTACTCTTGAACAACCCATTTGCAATTGAATCAAATATGCTTATCTCTTGCATGAAGCAACTGCCTTCTGGCATGCCTTGCAAGAACAAATTCCTTTCCCCACACAAATAAACCAGAGATGCATTTTAAATAAAAGGACGCATTCTACTCATTTGAAAACACGCTGATTCCAGGACTGGATTGAGAAGGCAATTAGGCCGCATCTGGCCCACGGGCCTTAGGTTACCCCTGGTCTAAAAGAAGGGACGGGGGTGCCTAGGGATTGTTTTGTAGGCAGCCCTGGCTACAAGCGCCCCAGGCGAATGGTGCCTCAGGTCCTGGCTAAGGGGGTGTTTGTGAGGAGGCACCTCTCCATGGGGCAGGGGGGCAGCTCAGAGACCAGGGGCAGCAGCTGTGGCTGCCCAGAGGACAAGACTCTAAGCCAGTGTAGTGTAATGTTTAGAGCCCACAAAAATCTCTTGCAGTCGCAGTCAGAATGCAGAAAACCAATGAGAGAAACCTGCAGGTGCAAGTACGCTGTTTGAAAGTGCACAACACAGTGTGACTTTAAATGACCTTGTGGATGAAACATCAGGGCTTGGATCGAAACATTATAAAAGTAGGTCATGCTGTAAATAGACAGACATGGAACTGAGCACCAGGCTGGTTTAGTTGTTTCCAGAGTCACCTGAGATTTCAAATATTTTGATCCTAGTATTGTCCAACCAACCAAGGGTGCTGTATGCATATATTCTAGGGTTGCCCACATCGGAAAATTTGGACCAACAGTAGGAGAACACTTTAATCTTCCATGACATTCTATATAAGATCTCAAAGTTATCTCAAAGTCTTATTACAAAAGAATTTCAGAAATAGACTGGAAAGAG